CCCAAGCAAACCCAAGCAACCCAAACCCAAGCAAGCAAACCCAAACCCAAACCCAAACCCAAACCCAAACCCAAACCCAAACCCAAACCCAAACCCAAACCCAAACCCAAAGCAAACCCAAACCCAAACCCAAACCCAAACCCAAACCCAAACCCAAACCCAAACCCAAACCCAAACCCAAACCCAAACCCAAACCCAAACCCAAACCCAAACCCAAACCCAAACCCAAACCCAAACCCAAACCCAAACCCAAACCCAAACCCAAACCCAAACCCAAACCCAAACCCAAACCCAAACCCAAACCCAAACCCAAACCCAAACCCAAACCCAAACCCAAACCCAAACCCAAACCCAAACCCAAACCCAAACCCAAACCCAAACCCAAACCCAAACCCAAACCCAAACCCAAACCCAAACCCAAACCCAAACCCAAACCCAAACCCAAACCCAAACCCAAACCCAAACCCAAACCCAAACCCAAACCCAAACCCAAACCCAAACCCAAAACCCAAACCCAAACCCAAACCCAAACCCAAACCCAAACCCAAACCCAAACCCAAACCCAAACCCAAACCCAAACCCAAACCCAAACCCAAACCCAAACCCAAACCCAAACCCAAACCCAAACCCAAACCCAAACCCAAACCCAAACCCAAACCCAAACCCAAACCCAAACCCAAACCCAAACCCAAACCCAAACCCAAACCCAAACCCAAACCCAAACCCAAACCCAAACCCAAACCCAAACCCAAACCCAAACCCAAACCCAAACCCAAACCCAAACCCAAACCCAAACCCAAACCCAAACCCAAACCCAAACCCAAACCCAAACCCAAACCCAAACCCAAACCCAAACCCAAACCCAAACCCAAACCCAAACCCAAACCCAAACCCAAACCCAAACCCAAACCCAAACCCAAACCCAAACCCAAACCCAAACCCAAACCCAAACCCAAACCCAAACCCAAACCCAAACCCAAACCCAAACCCAAACCCAAACCCAAACCCAAACCCAAACCCAAACCCAAACCCAAACCCAAACCCAAACCCAAACCCAAACCCAAACCCAAACCCAAACCCAAACCCAAACCCAAACCCAAACCCAAACCCAAACCCAAACCCAAACCCAAACCCAAACCCAAACCCAAACCCCAAACCCAAACCCAAACCCAAACCCAAACCCAAACCCCAAACCCAAACCCAAACCCAAACCCAAACCCAAACCCAAACCCAAAACCCAAACCCAAACCCAAACCCAAACCCAAACCCAAACCCAAACCCAACCAAAACCCAAACCCAAATCTCCTGATTCACCTCTATTCTCTTTTCGAGATAATCAATTCCTTACAACCACACAAATTTCAGAATTAATACGAAATGCAATTAGATTAGTGGATAGCAAAACAAAAGTCTCCGGACATAGCTTACGTATAGGTGCTTCTACCGAAATTTCCTCGAAAGGAATGTCTATTGAAGTCAACAAGATTATGGGTCGATGGGCGTCAGATAAGTCAGTACTTAGATATTCTCGCCGAATTGGTTTTGCAGAAAACAACTTCTCCACCAAACTCTTCAATACTCGGAACTAACCCATCTGTTCCTCTAAATTAACCAAACGATTCTTGTTGTTTACGTCTTCGAAACACTATCGTTATAGGTCCTAAGACAACTAAATATGTTGTTTATTTGAAAATTACAAATTTTTGGGATCACTGAATGGGCGATATTCTCAATGGTTCCTTTTAGGACTTCCTTTGTTCTTCATGACAAGGAAGAACTCTTCATACATGTTCCTAAAAGTCTACGAACAGAGTTTAGATTACACTTGACTTGTCATGAAAAGTTACCAACCATTAATGTCAAGATGTATGTTAAAATTAGAAATGTGGCAATGACTGCTGTGGTTTGTAGACAAGAAGATATTGAAAACACTCAGTCGTACCAAAGACTTTGCAATGGTGGAGCTCAATTTGTGAAAGCAGATCAGGTCGCAGAAATGTTAACTGAAGCTCTTCAATCGAACAACATGATTTGCTTCCAAGATCCTGAAATACCTGACAAGGTAGTAGAAAAGTCATATACTTTCTCAACACAAACCCCTTGCAACTCTCTTCCCTTGATGTTTTGAAAAATTTATAGAGAAAAATTGCCGATGGTCTTGGTTTAAATCCTCAAGATTACCAACCTATTACTGTTATGTGGAATGTTGTTAATATACTGAAAGAAGAAATAGATTACAGACAAGCTAATCAAAAAATTAGGAAATTTTACACATCTGAACAAAATTCAGAAAAGATACGTGTTTCAGGAAAAGCTGGAATTGGGGCCTTTAGTGCGAAAGTTGGTTATTCCAAAGAGATGACACAAGAGAATATAAATTCAGGGTATTTCAATGATGAAACGGAATACAGCGAGTTTAAACGAAGGAATTACACCGAAGTTGGCCAACAACCGATCAATTCTCCAAGAGGACTTGATTTAGTAGAAAGCACAACCATAAGAACAAACTTGTCCAGAGTGGTTTCGTCTTTCACTTATAAGCCATCCAACGCAGAAGAACGTTTTGATTTCAATGCTCCGACAATTGAAACTCGCAAAGAGATCTTAATTCCTGCCAAAAATCCAGTTAACTTGGTTGGCGCAATTAGAGATTTGGGTTGCAGTGTTGCTGTGCCATCTACTTGGGATCATAGACATTCATCCCTTCATATCGCTATTAATGACATTCCTCGTATGGCTATTTATTCTGGGTGCAGAGATGCAGACTCTGGATCATGGTGTGCACAAGTTAATGATGGAAATCAATGGGTCAAAGTATATTTTGGAGAAATTGTTTCTGTGTATGCAATTGATCTCCAAGGACGATCTGATTTAGATCAATGGTTACCATGTACACAGTTGAATATACCATTGACGGTGTGAAATGGGAAGCTGTTGACGATGGTCGTGACTTTCAAGGTTGTCATGATCGGAATACTTTTGTAAAAGAAATATTCAACAAACCTGTTTTAGCAAGAGCCATCAAAATCAAACCAAAAGCAGGCTGTTTCAATGATCATATTAGTATGAGGTGTGAAGTTTATATTTCTTTTGATGTGAAGAAACTTTATTGACTGTAAAATCAAGGATGGAATCAACGTCTTCAAATTATTAAAAATGTTGATTTTCGAAACTGAAAATCAAAAACTGCCTTTGGCTCTAAAACACTGCTCCTTATTGAAATAATTGGTAAATTGATCTGAGCACAACATTCTAATTCTTTCAGTGGTTGCAGGAGAATCCAACACAAAGTAATCATTCAAACCCATTTGCTTTCTCAAGTCAAAAATCGCATGACGAATGGCAAACAACACAGAGGAAGCTAAAAACAATGGTGGCTCACCAATACCCTTCGATGAATAGACTGAACTTGGGAATGGCCTTTCCATATCATCTCTCAATAAATGAACATTAAATTCGTCTGGTAAATCATTTCCTGAAGGAATTTTGTAATTTCCTGGTCCTTTAGTGAATAGATGGCCTGCCTGAACCCATGGATGGGCTGAATCTCCAAAGATTAATTCTTCCATTGTGTAATAACCCATTCCTTGAATGAAAGCTCCTTCTATCTGACCAATGTCAATTGTTGGATTCAAGCTATCACCAACATCCATTACAATATCCGTTCGTAATACACTCCAATCACCAGTGAGAGTATCAATTTGAACTTCACTACAAGCAACGCCATAAGTGAAATATGAGAAGGGAGTTCCTTCACACTTGTCCCAATCCATACACAAATTAGGAGTTTTGTAAAATCCTGTCGACGATAATGGAATACAATTCAAATAAGCTGTTTTCACCAACTTTCTCCATTGATCATGTGTTAAAATAGGTACGTAGTTTAAATCATTCAAATTATGTTCCATGTACAATTCAGGGAATAGTTCCTTCTTGAGCTTGGATAAATTTTCATTAATTTTTTCACACGCATTCTTTGTAGCGAATCCATTCAAGTCACTTCCAACACTTGCTGCTGTAGCACTTGTATTTGGCGCCTTATCAGTGGAAGTCTCTCCAACATGAATTAAATCGAGAGGAATGCCAAGAGAAGTGGCCGCACATTGTGCGACCTTAATGTGGACACCTGTTTTTAAAAATGTGATCAATCATTGAAATGTCAAAGCATTGCGAATTCATAGCAACACATACCTTGTCCCATTTCACATCCTGCATGCGAAATGTATACACTTCCATCATGACTATAAATATTAACAAGTGCTGTGGCTTGATTCAAAAAGGTGACTCCAAATGAAATTGCAAACTTGGTTGGAATGAGTGAAATTCCTCTCTTTTGATACTTGTGTTTCTTATTGTATTCATTCACTTGTTTCAATCTTTGTGGATAATTGGTGATTTCATGAATTCTTTCCCACATGAGTCTTATTCTATGAACATCACCGATGAGTTGCTTGTAAGGTGTAATGGCATTGTGTTCAGTGTACATGTTAATTTGTCTAATGTCATTACAAAGTTGAGATTTGTCTGAATTGAGCTGTGGATATTTCACAGAAAGTGCATGAGACACATGTTCAACAATGGTCTCACAAACCATTAATCCTTGAGGGCCTCCAAATCTGTGAATGAATAATATAAACAAATACAAATGATCTTCATTAAAAATCAAAATTAACTTACCCTCTAAATGCAGTGTTGGTTGGTAAATTTGTTTTGAAGGCTTTTCCAATTACCGTGACATGAGGCATGTAATAGACATTATCAAAACTATAGAGAGCCCTTTCCAAAACTCCCTTAGAGAAATCCAAACTGTAACCTCCATTTAAATAGATATCTGTATGAATGGCCTCAAATTTTAGTGTCTTCTTATTAATGGCTATCTTATATTTAGCATAACAAGGATGTCTTTGACCGGTGTGAGCCATATCGATATCTCGATCAAGAATGCATCTCACAGGACGATTTACTTTTTTAGCTGCGACAGCTGCAGCAGCTGCCAAAATACAACTTCTTGATTCCTTGCCTGTTTGCAAATGGTTAAAAAGTTTGTATAAAGTGGATATTACTAGAAATAATACATACCTCCAAATCCACCTCCTAGACGTTTCAACTTGGTAATCACCTTATTATCTGGAATTCCCAAAACAGAAGCAACCATGGACTGAGTATGAGAAGGACTTTGTGTCGAGGAAAAGACCACCACTTCTCCTTCATCTCCGCTTAAACCATATTTTCCTGGAAGAATTAGACAACTCTGTGTTTCGAAATAGAAATGTTCTTGTCCACCAATTTTGATATCTCCTTCAATAATTTCAATGTCTTCATTATTGCTGAGCTCCTCAAATTTAGCGACACTATCACCTCTGAACATCTTTCTTTCAATTAAAACTGGTGCTCCTTTTTGCAATGCATCATCAATAGAAAGAATGGGATTTTCATTTTCTTCGTACTCCACATGAACAGCTTTTGCAGCAACCATTGCTTTAAGATGAGTCTCTGCTAAAATAAATCCAATGAGCTGACCCACAGCTGTTGTTTCAGTAGTAAGGAATAGTTCTTCCTCGTCATGAATGACAGCTCCAACTCGATTGGATCCTTTCACATCTCTCCAATCCACCCATGAAACAACTCCTTCAAAGGTCAATGCTCTTGAAGGATCCACTTTTTTAATTTTCGCATAGGGTTTGTTCGAGAGAACTGGATAAGCATAAAGCTCTCTCGATTGAGGTGGAATATCTTGAACATAAGTTGCCTCTCCAGTGACTTGAAGATGACTATAATTATGTGGAATTGGTTTACCAACAGCAGTTCCAACTTCTTTGGGTTGATAATATTGATGTCCAATTGGATAAGGCTTATGGAAGCTTGACAAGAGCACACTTTCTTCCTCCTCAGTGAGTTTTCTCAAAGAACAATCTTTCACTAATTGAACGTAAAACTTGTAGAAGAAACTTAACGTCAGGGTACGTCTATATTCAGACATTCCTCCAGGAACGTTTTGAGGGAGAGGTAAATCTTGTTGAAGTAATTCAATGGCTTTTTGACATGTTTCATTAGAGAGAGTGTTTCCTGTCAAGTATTGAACGGTTTTAGAAGCAGTAACGGTTTTAACAGCCATTCCTCCAAATGCTAGTTGACAAGTATGAATTTTTCCAGTCTCTTTTTCAACAACCATACTCATTCCAGCATTGACAATGGCAATATCGTCCTCTCTTCTTTTGGCTTGTTTGTATGATTGAACAATTTGAATGGTTCCTTTTGGAAAATCATTTGGTTGGAATAGTGGAATAGTAATTGAAACGAGAATTTCGTCATCTCTCAAATCCACTTTTCGATATCCTAAAAAGAATTCACTGAATGGAACAGTACGTTTTTCTTGATCGCAATTAATGAGATTAAGAGATGCACCAAGAGCAATCCAAATTGGGTTTAAATCAGAGATGGGTGATGCAGTAACCACATTACCACCCAATGAAGCTGCATTTCTAATAGACGTGGATGCAAATCTCTCAATTTGTTCACATACAGCTTTCAATCCATTACATTGATAGGATGGCAGACTCTCCATGGCCTCTTTGAAAAAGTTCAACATGTTGGTCAGAGTCACAGAGGCCCCAATTTCAATGCTTTTTCCTGTTAACAAACCATTGGAAGAAGAATTCTCATGAGAGATAGATTCTTCTGCATAATTAATTTTCTTTACCAATAATTCCTTCACTCTCAGTGCTTCAATATAATATCTATAGTGTTCATACTTTTTGAATTTGGTTTCAATTCCCAACTCTGTATTGCCACAAATGATTCTTAAATGTTTTTCACCTTCAAATTTTTTTCTCAATGCAAGCAATTCCTGAAGAGTGGTGGGTCTAAAATAATGAGTTTGTGTTTCTCCTCTCTCAACACCTGATTGTGGTTTTGATTCAACATAGAGAGGTCTTTCTGCTGGATCATACCTTCTTAGTTCTGCTGGAAAGAGTGGATGTTTCTGTCCGTTCAATGTGTAGACATGATTTCCAACAATGTGAGCTCGTGAATGTGTGTCCACGACTTTACCATTTTCATCTACGATTGTAGTTGGGGGAGAGATTGAATGGACTGAAGTTTTTTGACAACAATCATTTCCACAATCATTTCCCTTGTTGTTTCCTTTTTTCATGCAACAATTATCACCTTCGCTACAGCCTCCTGATGATGATGAAGAGGGTTCATACTCGGTGTCTTGATAAGGAATTCTTGCAAATGTTTGGGCAGCAGCAAAAATTCTACCATTCAATATTGAACATCCCACCATGATAATTCATATTGCAAAATGATGTTTCAAAATATTCGTAATGAACAACCACATGAATGAACAAGAATACTACTTACGATCGATATCCAGTACATCGACATAAATTACCATCCAAACTTCTCTGAATTTCCTCTAAAGATGGATGAGGATTATTTCTCAACAAGGCATATAAACTCATGACAAAACCAGGGGTACAAAATCCACATTGCGAAGCTCCAAATTCTCGAAATCTCTTTTGAATTAAATGCAAAACGTCTTCATGATTATTTCCAATTCCTTCGACTGTGACAATGGCACAACCATCAGCTTGAATTAATGGGAATAGACAGGCATTCACACTTCGATTGCGAATCACGTGATTTTCATGATCGTAATGAGAAACCAGCTTTTGACATCAATGTTTTTTTCGCCAAATGATAAATTTGGTCAACGAATAAAACGTCATGCAAGGTATTGTAGTGGGGATCGGAATTATAAGATGTGAATCAAAATATGATCACAACATTCTTCAAAGCTTTATAGCTTAACTTACCACACAACAAGCCCCACAACCTCCTTCACCACAAGCAATCTTCAAGATGCAATGTAAGATAATATTATAAACGTAACAACGAGATGATTTCCATAGATGGCAAGATAAATGATGCGCACGAAGATCAGAATAAAGCACACAACACAAACACACCATCACCAAAATTCATCATGAATGAATTACATTGCTCTTTTGATTATAAGAGAGAGAAAACATACCTTTGTTCCAGTCAAATGCAATTTTCTTCTCAAATAATTTGCAAGGGTTGTATTGGGATTTGGGTTTTCGACTTGATGCCTTTCTCCATTGACGTAGAACAATATCTTTTTAGACCAATCGTGATGAGCCATTCTTTTGATCTTTGTGTTTAGTACATGTTCATTGTTTGAGTCATGGACAAACAACAATCAGTGAAGCATGACATGGTTTCAAAGAATGCGCAAATCACATTGTTGTTGTTTGTCGTGCGTGACACACAACATGATGGTGTTATGCCCAGCGTTCAAAATTGTGTGTTGTTTTTGAAGAGAAAGGGAGTTGATTCAGCAGTTACAACCACGGGATTAAATGCTTGGAAAGCACCTACCTCTAATGATTATCGACGGGTGTTTTTTTTGTTAGAGATACGCGCACCACAAACTACTGCTAAAAACTCAAAAAGGCAAAAATTTTTGAAATGCAGAACTCCGTGATTGGTTCAGAATCATGTAAAGTCCCTAAAGTGCTGATCATGAAACTAATGGTACTGATCACTTGGTATCTAAGATACAGTAAAGTTGTTCCAAAACTAGTTGAAAAATTAAATTACAACAAAAAGCAAAAACTCTTTAAAATTACACATCACAAGTTTCTCGTCATTATTGCATCAATCAATATTCTTTCCACTATTCGTTCTTTCATGTGTGTGGAGCAAACAGACGACAATTTTGAATGGACTAACTCCAAGCAGACAACCCAACTGTTCTTTTGCTTCTAGTGAGGTGAAAATGGTAACAAAAAGTATTCAATGTGTTTCAATACGGACACATTTGTGAAAATTTAAGATTAGAGATACATTTTAACGAAAGAAGATCTATTGTGACAAAAAAATCCACCTTATCATTTACTTTGTCAATATCCACCCCATGACATGTCATCGGTTCAATCATTATTCGAATAATTCCAGTTATTGCTCGAAGTTGATTTTCTTTTACCTTCCAAAAAGCCACAGGACGGACTACTTCTCTTGATTGAGGTCTCCAAAAATTTGTCATATTTAACGGAACGCATGCGAATGTAACACAGCCTTTAGATCCATCGAGATTGAGTTTGAGCCACTTAATTTTTGTTTTCCAATTTTTATCCTCTTCGTTGAGATGAGCAGATAATTCCTTGTCTGTTGATATTAGTTTTACCCATTGTACATATAATTCTATCATTTGTTTAACTAAAGAATAAAGGCTGATGAAAAAATATTTTCATTCTTCTCATGTGTAAGTGACAGCCACAAAAAAATGGGCGGAAAGATTTCGAAAGAGCAAATGCAAGAGTTGCGAAAGACAACTCGAAACAGACTGACAAAGAAAGAAATTGAAAAGTATCACAAATTTTGGTATGAATTGTATCCGAACGGAGAAATGACCAAGGATGGCTTTTCAAAATTTGCAAAATTGGCTCTTCCAAACGTAGGTGGTTGCTTTTGTGGAATCTTTCGTTATTATTTTAATACTCGAGATCACCAATACATGATCACAAATCTTGATGATTCGAAATTAGTGGAACGGAGAGAGTGATGTCGAGTATTTATTTAGAGCAATGGATCAAAACAAGGATGGTACTGTGACCGTAAGTAAATTATATTCACAATTTTCGGTTGGTGAGCTGGCACTTCCAAAAATGATGGATTGTGACTTCCCTCATCAACAACGAAACGACATGATTCTGAATATCTTTCAAATGATAGTTCAAGGAATTTTTATTTTTTCAATCCATTACATCACCTTCATCAGAGCCAATGAATCCTATGGAATTGATTGATTTGGCATTTGATATGTATGATGAAGACGGAGATGGATTCGTTACAGTTGATGAAATGAGAGAATGTTTGCACAACATGTTCAAAGCTAAAGGAATGCAAGTCAGCACGTCCGTTGTTCAATCGCAAATTGATAATAGAATCAATAACTTGCTCAATATTGCTGACAAGAATAGGGATGGAAAATTAACTGTAAGTACACTCATGATTTCAATTGCATTCAATAATGAAATTATTTTGTTCATTTGTCTATAGAAAGAGGAAATCTTCCTAGCCTGTGAAAAGGATCCACAAATTGTGGCCATGTTTTAATTGAACAGTTGGATGGCCTTAATGATTTTTCTTCATTGCATGATGTCTTCTTGCATTAACAAATGATACCACAACCATTTATCATCAGCTGAATGAATTCATCCACAATACAATAACACATTTCATTCATTCGTTAAATCTTCTTGAAATAATTCTTTCGATACCATGTGTAAATCAATTCTGGATATCCCATCGTAAGAATACCATCCTTCTCTTGGAAGTGTCTATTCATCAAATCATGAGGAATGTGCTTCCTCTTCTTATAACCTTCAATATTCACCGATTCAAAATACCATTCTTGATCTGAAGCTGATACAGGTTGAATTCCTTGAGGCAAGCTAAATCTCAAAGAAAAGTAAGCGTGCTCATAGCCATACGAGTTCTTTCGAATTTTCTCGACAAACACTGGAACGATGATGTACTTGTTGGAATTATCGGTAAAGTAGCTTTCGTTTTGGGTTTCTCTCAGCACTTTGACAACCCCATCGAGTAAGGTCCTGCTATCCAAGTTTTGCAAATTCAGTGGTTGATGCAAGTAACCATGAAACTTCTTCCATCGTTCAATTCCAGACTTCTTTTCTTGATCCGAAGTTTAACTTCAAAGTTATTGGTATGGGCCAATTTGATACCGATAGCACAAAGAAGATGCTGATAACCATCATGATGGCAATCGTTGTTGTTTATGATGGATGAATCATCATCATGATGGAAGATCAAAAAATAGATATCATCTTTTGATTCCATGATTCTCATGATAGAGGCGAGAGAAATCTTCTTTAGAGAGTTCCTTGAATCGACGAAATTCGTATCCCATATCTAACGGAAGACTCTCGATAATACTAATGAAGCTGAATGATCAGTTTGTATATTTTTAGTTTGTGAATCAAGTCCAAATTGCGACCAACATTCAAACATTGAACGAAACAACATACACAACAGCTTTTGAACAGGAGTACTTCTCAGTATTGCTTTCAGGATAGTAATAGTAGGGTAAACGGAACAATCCCTACATTTTTTTTTTACAAAACTCGTAACGGCTAGTTTGGGTGGCATTTTACAACAGCATTGTTTCTTCTAAAGAAAAGAAGAAAGAGGCACGAAAAGCAACAACAAATGGTAGGTTTCAGCTGAGTGACAGAACAATCCGTGCCTTTGTTCTAAGAATATTCTTCTTTTCGACGATGATGACAACCTTATGAAACATTTTTAAAATGTCTTTCGATGATGATGTGTGGTTTTGTGGTCAAGGCTCCTGCACAGGTTATGATTTTTTGTCCAGCAGCCTTCTCGGAGAGGACGCAGCCGAGGAAGATGAAAACATTGATTACTATTTTTGCACGACAGCAAGCTTTGATGTGGCTGAATTAGACGGAGTTGAATCGTATGGAAAAGATACGGATTTAAATGATGATGAAGAAGAAGAGGATGAACAGGTGCCCTATTTTCCGACGAACACTTTTTCGAAAATTATTTACAAACCGTCAAGATTGTTAAGAAGACCAGCGAAACGAGGAGGAAATGGAAATCAAGCAATCGCTCGAGGAAGAGGAAATTTATGGATGAGAGAAGAACATTTTCGGAAAAACGAGACTTGGAAGATCAGTAGAGTGTGCAGTGGAGGCTTTCACACTCAATATAATTTATTCTTTATTGAAAATGATGAGAGAACATACTTTTATATGAGTAGTGATACTTTACAAGTGTTGCGAAAATTTGAATTTTCTACATTATTTGATAATATGTTGAAGAAAATGATCACCAAATATCATCGAGAGAAGAACTTCAACAGCAAGAACAACAATAATTGTGATCATTTGACTTGCTCATCTTTGCATAGGAATGAGCATGTGACACTTTCTGAAACAATGTGTGCCTCTCGAGAAATGAAAGATATTATTTGTAACAATGCAAATTATGTACTATTTGAAATGATGGATGGAAGACTATATTTGTTTGATATTTGGAAAATTATACTATTTCCATTTCCAGTTGTAAAATTCAAAAGCGATTCGATCATCATTTATTCAAACATCATGTCAGAAGAAATTATTTGTTATTTGAAAAATCAGGAGAGAACTCTTCGAATTTGGATCTCAAAAGAATGCAATAAGGACATACAGTTACCAACTGAGTGTTGTAACCTCAAACAAGTTGCTGCATATTCAGAGAATTTTCACTATTTTGTTGATATGCAAAATCAATTATTTATGCACCAACATAGTATTTTCTCAGGCTCATCAAGGGCCATCATTGATGACGTCACTACTCGTGTTTTACTACCAAATCAGCATACAATGGTTCATTCGAATATTAAGCAAATTTGTTGTGGAGCCTCTCATATATTAGTCTTAATGGATAACGGAGTGGTATATACTCGAGGTTCCAATCAATATGGGCAATGTGGTGTTCATGGAGCATCTAAGTTGCCAGAATTTATGCAAATTGACGTCTCTACTCCTGTCAAATCCTTATCTGCTTGCCCCAACTGTAGCGTATTCATTACACAGAATATGTTCATATTTTTAGGAGCAGTATTCGATCCTTTTGAACAAGACGACCGATCAAATGTCCACGATGAAGATTTGAAACAACAATACTACGAGTTGCATTCTCGATTCAAGTCTGTTCATATCATTAAGAAGGAGAAACGTTTTGAAACTGTCGAATGTGGCACTTTGTGTTGCTTTGTTTATTCAGGACGTCACTTCATGCGCTCATGTGACGCTTTACGAGATGGGATGCTTCAATTCTTTTCTCGATTGAATTATCAACTCATGGAAGCAAATCAAGTCTCGGAGGACAATCGTTATACTTTCATCGACTTGGATGTCTTGTGTTTGTGACTGCATAACTAAAGTGTCAAACAGATCAAGCAAAACAAATCAATCAATAAGGTAAATGTGTGAGCATTACGAATGGTATTCAACATGGGGTTCCTTCCATGAATACAGCTGACTGATCATTTCACAGTTATCACCACAGGTGGTCAGAAGGTTGGAGAAATTCACGAAGACCTTAATTTGGTTTGTCGCTCTCTTTAAAAAAAATTGTCAAAAAGCTCATGATGAAGAAATTATTGTCTGTATATTGTAATACAGATCAAATTGGATACACTCCCAAATTTGAATAGCATCATCATCATGATTCCTAATAAGTGTTGTTACACTTAACCATCAGAAATTTCGCTCATTCCGTTCATCCTACTCTTCGTTCCAAGCGAAAGGACTTGAAGAAAAAAAATGAATAAAGGTGATGGCCAACAACCGGAATTTAATCCCAACACCTCGATGGAATTTGAAAGCAGAGGCGACAATGATGTTCACGAATATCCGATTAATTTAAAGGCTTCTTCTTCGGAGCAACGTGAGTTGATGATCGGAAACACTCAAAGTTGTCATTCAACGGAGGGATTACCAAAAAACAATAATGCCGACACCAGCAAAAGAAAATTATCAGCCACTAATATGTTTCTTCCTAAGCAAGTACTCATCAACCAAGCAGAAAGAGTAAATAATCAAACAATTCAGAAATTTACCGACAACTCTGACAATACAACCCTATCAAACAAAGCTAAATCAAGTCTGCCAATTATGGAATACAGTCAATCTGTGATAGGAGCCATAGAAGAACATCAAGTTGTGATAGTGACAGGTAATACAGGATGTGGTAAAAGTACACAGGTCCCACAAATCATTTTCAAACATTATCTGGAGAATGGAGATGTTAGAAGATTAAAAAATGTAAAAATTATTTGTACACAACCTAGAAGAATTGCTGCTACGAGTTTGTCACGGCGAGTGAACTCAGAAATGAAGAAATACCTCGAAAAGAACCATTTAGATAAGCTTTTTCACCATCGTCAAATATCCGGTTATATCATTGGAGGAGAAAATAATATTGACAATGATACTCCCATAATATTTGCCACTGAAGGTTGTTTAACTCAAATAATTATGAATTTACAAACAGGCTCGAAAGGGATCTATGAAACCTTTCATAACCATTTTTCACATATCATTTTAGATGAAATCCATGAACGAAAGGTGGACACTGATTTATTACTTTACTTTGTTAGAGAAATTGTGAAAGTTAATCCTAATGTTCGAGTTATTATAATGAGTGCTACCATTTCTCATCAAAAGCTGTGCCAATATTTTGAGACAGTGTTACTGGACGTATACAACAACGTTGGAAAGAATGATGAAGAGAAAATTCCAGAATCCCCTACTAGTTTTACAGAATTTTTATCCTTCGAAACTCTACAAGTCAGCAGCAAAGTTCCAGTCATTCACATTCCCAGTGGATGCTATCCTGTTCAAGAATATTTCATTGAAGATGTAATTGACATGGTTTACTTGAATGCACATAATGCAGCCAAAAAGATCTCAAACTATAATTCTCTTTTAACAAAACCTTTGAAGCCAGGAATAACACTAGAGAGAAGAAAATTAGCGATATCACTCATTGCAAAGGTCCACTCTACTCATTTGATCAACGAAGCGATTCTAATCTTCTTGCCAGGAATGGTAGAGATTGAAGATTTCATGGATGATTTAGTCTCACCATATATTACCATGGATGAGTGTCCATATGATATCCATATTTTGCATTCTCTGGTAGCTGAACTGGAACAAGATGCAGCATTGTTACCTCCTAAACATGGAAAAAGAAAGATAATTTTGAGTACTAACATTGCGGAAAGTTCAATAACTGTTCCAGACGTCGTCATTGTGATAGATTTTTGTTTGTATAAGGGAAAATTTTGGAATGAATCATGGAATGCAGAAGGTACGTTGAAATTACTATTAGAATGCATCTTGTGAACACTTGTTTTTGAATCGTTTTAATGTTTAAAGTTATGGGAGTCAATTGGATTTCGATTCAAAGTGCAAAGCAGAGAGAAGGAAGAGCTGGAAGAGTCTCACCAGGAATTTGTAAGTAGTAGGCAATGAATAATCAATCATGTTAATATGCTTCATTTAGGTTATAGGATGATAACAAAAAGTGAATATGAATTGTTAGATGAGTCTGTAGTTCCTGAAATTCAACGCAAACCTCTTACAGGTGTTATTCTTCAAATTTTAATGTTTACGGGAGCGTATGAAAAATCTGAAACCGTTCACACAGAGAGAACGCGAAAAACCAAATATCAAACACCTTCTGAAGTTTTAGGCAAATGCTTAGATCCTCCAAAAATGGCATTGCTAGAAAATGCTTATACTGAATTAATTTCTTTGGGAGCCATAAGGCCCATTCATGATACAGTTGAAGTAGGAAGTGTTAATGACAAGCCAATTGTCGAGCAATATGAACTTCAAGAATCATATCTTGTTACAAAAATTGGCAGGTTCTTGTCTCTAATGCAAATTGAACTGAAGTTATCTTTTCTCATTCTCTTAGGATATTGTTTAGGAGTTTTACCTGAATGTATAATTACTGTGGCCGTTCTTTCTAGGTCTGTCCCTGTATTAGCTTTCTCTTATTTAAAAATTCTAACAGCAAAAGCATTATTCGCGTTTTCTAACCAATCTGAGAGTGATATTATTGCTGCAATTCATGCATTTAATAGATTTAAAGCAGTATCGCTTCTGAAAAAAGATGGTATTTTACGACAACGAGAATTTGTTGAAACCCTTCAAATAGAAATGATTTCTGGGAAATCTGTAATGGAAATTGATTCTCTCGTTGCTCAAATTTGTCACACTCTCTTTAAACATTATGGAATTTTCATTGAAAATCTCACTCCCAAATCTGCAACTTCGCACAAAAGAAACACCAAGAAAATTTCGTATTTACCTCAAAGTCTCAGTGAAGAAAAGATTATGATCATCAAAGCCTTAATTTCTAGTTTGTACTATGATCAAGCAGTTGTAGGAGAGCTAGAAAAAACACATACTAACATTCCTAAAGAAATCGTATGTTCCCTCAAGCTCCGAAAACAGAAGTTAGCTGTTGACAAAGATTCACAGAAAAATTGGAATGAAACACTTTCTGAGCTGTTGAGATTTTTTGATGGTGGAATTCTAAACTGCAAATCGTTAACAGTAAGCCCCAACAAAATTTCACTTTCGTACCCAATACCTCACTCCGATGAAGGTCTTTTGTTGCCCTATCCACCCAATTGCAGACAGGATCCACTATTTCCAGTAAAACTTTTAGCTAGAACAGTAAGAGGATCTGCTCAAGAAAAGGGTAAAGATGTTCAAATAACTCTTTCTCAAGCGAAGCAAAGTATAGTGTGCTTAAGAGATGATTCAGATGTGTATGGAGTTTTTAGAACATTTCCCAAGGATTTGATCAAATCACACGTTCTGAAATTTCTATCAGTGGAAGCCAAACCATATCAAAGAAAAGCAAATTTTTTACATCCTCAAATGAGCTCAACAGACAAAGTCATAATATCACGCGATTCTGTGGCATTTCCGTGGATGGATTTGCAGCACAAAAAAAAGATACTGATTCCCTCCAGTATTTCATTGAAGGAAATGGGAATTGTCATAGAAAAAAATACTATTCTTCCACCTATTCAAGGATTTTACGAAATGAGTTTATTACTATTTGTACCTTTGATTTACCCTCAAAAGTTTTATACATATGCTCCCAAAGTTGAAGATTTGGAGAACGCATTCGAAATTCGAGTTGGAAATTTCACACAAAACATGATGATCTCTGCTATATCGAATGAATTTTCCAGCCTTTCTGAAGATGACAAGACTCGCGCCATACTATTACAAGATTCTCACAATTCAAATGTGTTCCTCATTCCACACGAAAACCATTTACAATTTCAACTACAACATATTCGATCTGAAATTAACCAGAAAATTACAGAATTTTTCTCATGTGAAGAAACACACAATATTGATACATTTCATGCAACTTTTCAAACAAGTATTTTACAACTTTTGAGCTACTCACCAAATTTCATTATACACCAATGTGGTTATAATCACAAAATAGCTAAAATTTTGAATATTGAATCGACAACTGGAGAAAGTATCCAAGATAACGATGAAGAAAACACTATTTGTGGTACCACCATTTTAAGAATGTCTGAAATTGCTAAAATTTCAGACAAAACTTTAAAAATGATTGCCGATCGATGCATGGTCTCTCCGACAGATTCATCGATCGATATTATAAGAAGAGGACGATCTACTATTGAACTAAAATACGCATTACAACATCAATTTACACAGGCGAAGTATTTGCTCTTGAGAGAAATTAATAATGTTCATTCAGTGTTTGCACATCCCAAACAAGCGTTCGTTATGTTTGAAGCATCAAAATCGAAGGTTGCCAAATTATTATCTTCCAAAATTTTTTTCTGCAAATATGATGATTTTACAGGAAAAAACAGAGATTTTTTCACTATCAATGTCATTAACTTCACATCTAATCACCACACAAAGGTCATTACCATTGATGAACCAAAAGAGCATCAAAAAACCATGAAGATGCTTAAATCTGAACTTGTATCAGAAAAATTGACAAATGGAGGATTTTTAGTTGAACGGTTCGCAATAAGACATATATATTCTGCTTTCAAAACAGCTCAACCCTCCTTAGATCAGAACAAAAATTTTACCACCATTAATGCATATTTTGGAAAGCAAGTATTTTATTCATCGAGATTAGGTTCAATCAAAATTGGTCAATCTCAAAAAAGCTTGACTTTAAATGATTTCAGAAATATGAAAATTGGAAATGAGAATGACCTAAAAGCCATGTTTTTACCTTATGTTGATTACTGCAGTCACCCCAAGTGGAACCTAACGAAAGCATTTGTTGAATCTCTAACTGATGCTTCCAAGAAAGTTAGCTTCTTTTCAGATCCTCCATTGTTCCAGCCTCTACTCTCTCAAGTTAAACCTAAGTTGGGAAGTCAAGGTGAATTCATTTCAATGAGTATTGTTGACATTTTAACAAAATCTCGATACTGCTTGAGATTTACAATTAATCGAGAAATGGTATTCACAGAGAATGAAATTTACATGTACAAGTGCAAACTCGAGAAGGTTAAACCACCCGAAAACAAGTTACTCTATCTTTCTTGTGTTTCTCCCAATGTGGTTGAAAGTAATGACACAGAGGAATCAGTGAAAAACAAAAACTTGAACTCGGTAGATGTACGCTTTTCCAAAATTCTTCAAAATGTTGACGAGAGTGTTGATAGAACTTCATTAAGGCCAGAAATTTTACAATTTGCTGACAATATCTGGTACGACGACGACAATTATACATTATATTATTTATATGAGGACAAGGAAAGAAAAGCTTACTCAGCTATTGATCTTGTGGAGTTGAATTTAGCCTTTGGTAGCACCATTCCAGATGCCATGTCAAGCATTCGTCAACAAACACCTCTTTCGACGCTTTCTGTTGATTCTGCAAGCTACAACATTGAAGAACAGATGCACGAGACCTCAACCACATGTATTCTTACATTCCGACATGGAGTGGACATTCTCAATCCATTCAAGAGGTACAGCACAACAACGGTTCACGTCACTGATGAAAAGTTGAAACACTGTGATCTTTCAACAAGTAATTCCAATGTGAAACACTTCATGAAGAAAGTTCTATCTTGGAAACGTATCATTAATCGTGAAGAAGAGAGAAAATAATGTTATTTGAAGATAATACTCAAAACTTCCATGAATTGATTCAAAATTTATTTTCAAAACCCAATTCTCGTTCTGGAAAGAGACATGGGAGATGAAAATGTTGCTATTGAATTCACTGTTCGATGATAACCTTGCCACAACTTGAATGTTAATTTCCTAAAATATCCAGCACCATTTATGTTGTAGATGGTCTTGAGATCCATGGACATCGTTTTGTTTCAACCAGTTGATACAATTCATGTCCTTGGTAACAATTTCCAACTTTTGTTTCATGAATAAACCACTTTCATTCTTTGTCTTCCATGTTCTTTCTTAAAACAACACAATCAAAACAAGCTTCAATCCCCAAGTCAAACGCCCACTTGCATTGTATTTGCGCCCAAAACTCAACACTCGTGATGTCTTTCTTTGAGTCATTTTTTATCTTATGAACTTGGAGAAATGTCTCTTCCAAAAATGTTGTCATTAATCATGCACGAATAATTTACTTGCTCAAGGATTTAATTAAATTAAAGCTTGTTTGTGACAACTCTTATTCTTCGATCATTTCAATTTCCTCTTCATGTCTGTTCTTCATGACTCCCAATTTTCTAAGGGCCTCTTCATTGAGATAATTTGGACCGTGTGACGACGATGAGGAGGATTTGAGAGGTCGAGGCACAGAAAGTGAAGGTGCAGCAAGTAGCGAAGAACTTTCTGTGGTCCATTTTGGAAAGACTCTCTTGTATAAATTCATACAAATAGTATCCTTTGGAAGTACATTATCATCGAATAGGCAACGCATGTAACCATGAGTACCAATTGCTTCTTTGATGACACCATGTCTTCCATATTTGGTGTAGACTTCAACAGGCTTAAACCAACGAACATCTTCAGGGTTGAAGAACATGTAACGAGCCACAACTTGATTCTTATGTATCTTGTATGGGTGACCAGTGAGAATAATCTTCTTGATGATGCATCGATATGGATCCACACTGTGAACTGTACCATGTCCAACAAATTCCAAGTTTGGTTGTTCATGATTATTTCCACTAGTGGCTGTTTCAACAATGGTATTGCTATCTAGTAAGGTTAATTGAGGTCCTTTTTGGTTACGACGGAACATCAAAACTGGCGAAGGTTTAAATGTGACAGGAGCATAAACAGTAGCGATCAGGAATCGGTATGGAGCAAAGAATCTTTCGAATTTGTGTTTGTCATTTCTTGGGTTGTGTTCTGAATAAATAGGATTGCATTTAAAGGTTCTGAAACCAATTTGAATGATGAGTTCATCCTTTGATTTGATAGGATGCTCCTCAATTTCTGCTCCAGGAATTGGTTCTTCTTCATCGTCGTCTCCATCTTGTGGATGATATTCAATCATTTTGGTAATGTTATCGGAAGGATCATAGTCAGCAGCTTGTTTTATCACCACTGATTCATTGGTTCTCTTGACAAGTAAATGAACCACACTGGTCTTTTGCTCGTGTTTCAATAAACCAAACACAATAAGTGGCTCCTTCTTTTGTTTGATCACCTCTATCATACTCATTGGAACATTAGCAATGTGAAGAGTAATATAATTTTCCCACAAGTTGTAGTCGTTGTCTGGATCAAATCCTTCGAGAGCAACCTTTTGTGACACAATAAAGTTCTTGAAACGGAAAATTCTAGAGTAATCCAATGGCAAATTTTCCTCAGGATCCCATGGTGAAGATCTGAAAGATTTTAAGCCTCTGTACTTTTGGAAACGAACACGAGCAGGAACGTCCAAAGGTGTTTCAACTTCATCAGGATAATCCATTTCGTTCTTCATTTCCTTTCTTGCCTTAATAGCACGAAGCATTTCATTAATTCTTTCCTCTTCTGTCATATCTTCGTCCATTTGATCCAAATTAAAGACCTTGTCAATGTGTGTTTGTGCTTCAGAGGCAATGTCAAAATTAAATTCCACACGCTTTTCTTCTTCTATGTCCTTAACGGCACGGTTGGCTTCATCGATCATATCATCATCGACATCTTCGACTGATTCACCATCCTCTTTGGCATCTTCCAAAGAATCCATAATCCAAGCAGCCTCCAAAGCGTTCATACCCTTAGGAACCACCTTCTTATGATAAACATATCCTGATTGTTTTTCCATGATTTGATTGTGCAATTCCATTTCATAGTCCTCTTTTGTTGGAAGAGTTTGTTCTCCATCCATCAAATCAGGATCCAGAGCAGTTTGAAGTGATTCTTGAGTAGCATCAGGAAGTAACTCCTTTGGTTCATGGTTCATGTTTTTATCGGGAGTTTGCGATGATTTCTTGTCATCTTCCATTGCATTTTCATTTTGAGGCTTGGATTTTTTGGTGAGAGCATGTGAATTCTCTTTTTCTAATAAAATCTTGTCCAATTGATAAGTACCATAATTTACAATATGGAAAAGTTGATTTGGACTTGCTGATTTACCTCTCAAATACCCACGGACAATCAATGTTCCATTTGTACTGTTGTTATTATCGTCAAGAACTTCGGAAAATTCTCTATCTTGAGAATTCTTCACAAATTCATAATTTTCAACAAGCATGTAAGGATGATTTTCTCTCCAGTGAATTGTTTTTGGTGTCAACGTATTCACTCTCAATAAAATTTGCTTCATGTCATTCTTTGACTGTTCTAGCGAGGTTGTATTGTCATCCATCATTGAGGCCTCTGTTGAATTACTATTGTTATAGATAAAAACCTTTTCAAAATCAGGAATTTCATCTTTCAGTATTCTGTTTACGGTATTTTTGAAGTCGTTTTGTTTCTTGTTAGGAATTTGATTTAGACCTTGCAAAATGACAAGACTTGAAGGTAAACCTTGTGCTCTCAATAAGGATAAATTATAACGTGCTGTGGCGTGGAGTTGAGTCTCTTCAACACTTTGTGAAGGAAGCACAAATATCATAATGTCTGCCACTTTGGCTGCATCCAAAACAGACCTCATGTTATTTTGGTTGACACAGAAGAGAGTGAGTGTCTTTTGTTGAAATTCCTTTTGAAGTCGAACAGTGTAAACCTGATGCAAGTCAAGTTCGTTCAATTTGAGTTTTCCACTCTCATATTCTTCAGACCTTCCAATAATATCACAAAAGACGCTCTGTACATCCTCTAAAGATTGTCGAATCGGGACAATACAAAGGTGCAGTGAGAGTGATCATGTTGAACAAGTAGAAGAAAATCATTCCGGTGGTGTGAATGTCATTCAAAATATATCATCATAAGTATTTCATCATTTTGAACACTCGGAGATATGAACACCTACCTTGTCCTGTCGTTGAACCACTCAAAGACATGATAGCAACAATTCTCGGAGGATTTCCAGTCTTTCCCAATCTCTGTCTATATAATATTTGTTGCTTCTTGTTGTCCCTCAATTGTTTTGCTCGGAGTTTTCTTTGAGACTTTCCTTGTTGATGAGTGTGTTTGGTTTGAGAGGCTTTCAACCCTCCATCTACCGAACTACCACCAGCATTGTTGGACACTCTACCCTTGTTTTCCTTCTTTAATTGTCTTTTACTGGCGTGTCGGTTTTTGTGCTTCTTGTTTTCTTGATGAAATTCGGAGGAAGAACGATGATGAGTGCTCATTTTTTTTGAAGTCGATTTGCTTTAAGAACACTTGAAACTGAACAACAGTAGCAATGATAATAATGATATAGGCTATGAGAGGGTGGTACCACAGTATCAAACAATTCAGCATTCACACCTCTCCTTAATTCATGGAAAATCGATGAGGATGTTCCCTTTTTATTTGTTCCTTACTTGAAAAATAGTACTCTATTTTTACTGTGATCACATAAAAGTAATTCACCTGTGAACTCATTAACACACACTCCGTATGTTTGATCAATGACAAGGTTCTTGGGGGTAAATTTTTTCACCAAAGTACCATCAAGTGTGAAAATCGATAAGGTATTTCTGTCATCAGCCACAATCAAATGATTTGCAATTCGATCAAATACCAGAGCGTACGGAGCTTCAAGCTCGTGGAAATGACACTCATTCTTTTGCTCAAGGCGTTTCCATCTTGTTTCATTTCGTGATAAAATCACAATTCCTTCCTCTTCAGATGTTGAAACAATTAAATAATCACCCCTCGTTGAAAAATCAATACCATATGGGGAACATTTAAGTGAAATAGTATCGAGTAATGATCCAGTTGATGAATCCAACACCTCTATCATATTATTCATGGAACAACAAGCGTAGATTTGACCATTACGGGCTGTGACTCCTTGTGGGCATTGAATGAATTCATATTTCCAAATGTGCTTGATTGATTTTGCATCTATTACATCTGGAAGAAGTGGGTTCATTAATGCATTCAAATCATATTTTGTCAAAGATTTAGTTTCATCACACACAAAAATCAATGCATCTTTTTTTCCATCATAATTTTCCTCAACGCATAGATAGGAAGGGTTTTTATCCGTCATGAGCTGTTTTTTGAACTTTTTTGTTTCTAAATCAACAATAGTTATTCCATAAGGACTTGCATAACAACTGATGACAATACATGAATGAGTATACGAAATTTTTATATCAGTAGGATACGTAAGTATAACATCGCTATTAAATGTTAAAGTTTTTTCATCATTGGTTAGTCCATCAAGATCTCCCATTGCATAAACTAATTCAAAATTCATTGAAAATCCTCGTGTCCGAAGTGATCGTTTTTTTCTCAAATTATATTGCAATAATTTCAATAAATTCAATTCGTCGTGATGATCAACAAGTTCTTCATTGTCAAATGGACTTGGAAGATTCAAATCCACGAGCAGAACTTTCATTTTTTTAAATAGTAGTAATAAGGTAACCCTTGATTTTTTCTTGTTGGTTATAACACTCGACTTTCACTGGTTGGTGATAAATTGGTGATAATGTAGGTTTGGAATATATTTAATTTAGCAAATGCTGAGGGATGATAGGATGGTCACACTTAGATAAAATCATTGTCAGATGTTGGAAGCATTCAGAAGAGAGAACCAATTTTCCTTCTGAATGAGAGAATGTGTTTCACATTCTGTTCTTAGGGCGCACAGTGGTATTAAGACATTAATGTGTGTTGAGGAGATTGGATCCTTGTCACTCGCATGAGGGATTTATAAATTCTAAAAAAAACAAAAAATGAATTTATATATATATGATCATGTGAGGCTGATTTTGCTTGATTTTGAAAATGAAACTTTAAATTTGAAATCATCATTACAACCCACAAAAAAGCCATGGGCCCAACATTTAACGATTAATAATGATGAATCAACCACTTCCGATCAAGTATGCCGCTTGAAAGAATTATTTTCAAAATTAAAAGCAAAGATGATGCGGAAATTAGGTCGTCGTGCAAAACCCTTTCAAATGAAATTTGAATTAGTACATACTTTTGGACAATTGGGAGTGCAGGGAAATGACGATGAAACACTTTCATTACCGATAGATGTGAAAGTTTCTTATACACATTCCTGTATTTTGGTCAGTGGTTTTCGGAGAATACAAGTATTTGATTTGCACACAAAACAGTTTAAATCATCAATATCTTTCTCTTCAGAGGTTCATAATTTGGTTCCAAATTTTTTATGTGTGGAGGAGCTTTATGAAGAAGAAAGAGATGCATTGCTGTTAAGTGGGACTCACCTAATTTATAAATATGATTTGGAATTTTTATTACAAACTGTTGCAACAGTTGACATGAATGCAGATACATGTCTTTGGAAATCTGACATGGTTGTAAGCCCACAAGGAATAGCAATAGAGAAACAGTTACAACAAGCATTTATCAGTGACGCTCATTGGGCGTATATTGTTGTTCTAGACTTAAAAACTGGAGAGTTAATTAATTTCATAGAACTATGTATGTTTCCGTATGGAGTTGCTGTTACGACAAGTATTGAGATGAGCGGAACACTTTACGTGATTTCTGCAGGAACGAATGCAGATAACTGTATTGAAATAATGAAGAGAAATAACGATGGTTTTTACACAAAAAAGGCACAATTTTGCGACTATGGACAAGAGATAGGGAATCTTTGGTTACCCAATGGGCTGGTATTTGATCACAAAGCAAAGAACCTCATTGTAAGCGATAAAGAACAACAATTAATTCAAATATTTACGTTGGAAGGAAATTTTGTAATTTCTTTTAAGGACGAAATCAATTTAAAAAGACCTGTTGGGATGTGCTTGAATGAGCTTACCGGAGAGTTGTTGATTTGCAATTTTGCAGATCACACCGTCAAAGTTTATAGATGATTCAAATAAGAGTCATTCAAATTATATAATGGCCTGTTTATTTTATCTGTACATCTAGTTTTTAGAAATTTTAATAATATTGCTAATGGCACTGTACCACATTTCTCGTTCCTCTGCAGTGGTGCAAGAGAGATAATATGGTTTTGCTGGAATTTCCACTTTAAATACAAATCTCTTCTTTCCACTCTTTTCTGGAGACATTTCAATGGTGGCTGTTTTGAGATCAATCGATCCTACTGGCTTTGTCTCAACATCATCCACATAATAAAATAAAAAGCTTCCATCCAGTCTGAAATATCTTCGTTTGTAAAGATTAAGTTTGGGAGATCGTTTTTCAAGATATCCCTGTACTTCATTCAAGTTACTTGTAGAAGAGCTCAATTTCTTATATCGAGGTGATTTGGCATCGTATTCTTCTTCCTCTGTACTGACTATGGAAGTTTTTGAATTTTCACGAGAAATTGGTGTACCTCTCAAGTCATTATTGTTACCTCTTGGTGAATTGGATCCCAATGGATTCATCAAGCTGAGTTGCTGTTGTAAGGCGCTTATTTGTTGCGACTGTGTCTTGCTGATGGTCACAGAGAGACGTTTAGCAAGCAATTCTTTTTGTCGAGAAGATGCTGTTAAAATAGTGTTCAACTTTTTAGGTTGTGTCACAGAGTCGTCATTCTTCTTTGAGAATGTATCCATTTTCACACCTGTATACTTCTTGAGGAATTTAATTTCACGCTCCAGAGTTTCGTTTCTTTCCTTTTCTTGCAATAATAAAAGTGCGTGCTGTTCTTGAGCTTGTTGCAATGCAACAACTGTTTTCTTTCGATTGACCTTTGCTTTCTTCAACTTGTAAGTCAATTCTCCATTTTCCTTCTCCATTCTTGAAATTTCATCTTTGAGTGTGAGAATTTCAGTATCTTTGGCAGTAACCACTTCAACTTTGAGTTTTTCAAGTTCATCGGAAAGAAGTTTTTCTTTTTCGTTGGATTTAACCTTCAACTCTTCTAATTCCTTTTCAAGTGTGACCACTCTTTGTTTGGCATACTTCTCACCTTCTTGCCATTTCATTCTGGAAATTTCCATTTCAGTGTTCTTCTTTCTGGCAGTGTTGAGTTTGTTGGTGAGATCTGTGATGTTCAATTTCAATTTTTGAATAGTGGCTTTATCTTGTTGTGAAGTCTCTTCATAAGAGGACATGGTTGCTAAAAGTTGTTTTTGAGCTGTCTCCTTGTATTGATTGACAATGTTTTTCAGTTCGTCTAATTTGACATCCAAACTCTTGAGAATACTTTCTGATGACTTTTCACGAGTTTTGATATTTTCTCGTTTTGATGCATTCAATTGTTCCATCAAGATTCTGTTCTTGTTTTTGAGTTTTTCAATGAGAGTGTTCGAAGGATCGTCCAATGGAATGGTTTTCGATTCAGTCGCAATTTTCTCTTCTTCCAATTCAATATTTTTCTTTTCCAATTCATCGACCTTATCAAGAAGCTCATAATACATTTGTTTCATTTCATCGTATTGAGTTCTTGCAACAGAGAGAGCCTCCAAATTGGTTTCTTCCTTTTTTTGTGTGAATACTGGAGACTCAGAACTAGAGCTCGAAAGTTGAGTTTGAAGTTTTTGAATGGTCTTTTTCAAATCTTCAACTTCTGCAATTTTGTCACCCATTTCTTCTCTTTTGGATTCTTCTTCAATTAATTGTTGTTTTAGTGTTTGAATTTCTTGATGAGATTGTGCTAGAATTTCTTGGAATTTTTCCTTCTCTTTTTGAAGTGAATCTTTCAACAGAGAAACCTCTTTGAGTTGCTTGGTCGTTTCATTGAGTGCATTTTCCAGTTGAACAAGTTGTTTTCTTGCTTGACTATTCTTTTCATCCTCTTTGGACAATTGTGCTTTGAGAGTTTCAACTTGAATTTTGAGAGCTGAGACATCGTCTTGAAGTGAATTTCGTTCTGCAAGTAACTTTTTGTACTGTTCTGTCTCTTCGAGAACAATGGATTCACGAGGTGTGGAAGGAGTTTCAGGTGCTTGGTTAGGTGAAGTTGTTGTGGAAGGTTGATTCTCTTCATTCTTACTTTGTTCCAATGCTTTCTTACGTTCCTCGTCATCGATTCGAATCAAATTGGGAGACACTTCACTCGATAATTCATAAAGTTTTGAAGCCAATTTTAAACTTGGAATGGTGTACTTGGTAATTACGGAGCTAATGGCTGAGGGTGACAAGGTAATGAATGCATAACAAATGGAATTCACAAAAATACGTGAAAAGAGCAAACAACGAAGCGTTGTTGCAAAGTAATCAAAATCATCTGTTTCAGCATGAATGGCTTCCACCATTTGTCGTAATGTGTAACATCCATCTTTGTGGATTTTTCGGTGTTCATCAGAGGGTGACTCCGAATCAAAGTCAATGATTGTGACACGAGATTCTTTTGTGATCTTGGTTGCTGGATCACTTTGCAAGACCTTAATTTCGATAAAGACCGTTGAGGGCTCTGGTGTTGTGTAATGATCAAGAAGAAGAGCATTCAATTGGGTATTGCGATACGAATCAAGGAGTGATGAGATTAGTGATGAATCATGAACATGATGCATTTCGATGAGATGTCAGTGTTCGGAATTGTCAATTACCATATTTGTGGGTGATGGCCATATCCATGAAACCATCAACGGCAAGACATTGGTTCCAGTATCAACATATAATCAACCACTAGAAACACACACAACTCTCGACTTACCTCTCGCGGCTTTTTCGAGTGCCTTATTCACAATTTGGAAAAATTCATTCTCACTCGTGACAAATTCTTCATGAAGACCTGTCACTTCTACTGTATTCGTTTCATCATTGACCAAAACTTCCAAATGTGAAGATCTTTTTTCATTTTCTCCAATCAATAAATCGGTCATGATGGTGTCACCATTTTCATTTCCGTGTGTTTCAAATGCTGTCAATGAAACTGAAAATTCAATTTCAGGAGGTGATTTGTGAACAATGTAATCAAATAAAGCTCTTGTTAAACGGACTGCAAATCCAGCATGATGATTGGCAGCCACCACTGACTTTCCAAATAAGGTAAATGATTTTCCTGTATCCTGAGCTCCATACGAAAAGATTGTGCAATTAAATCCATCAAGCACTCGCTGTAGAACCTCATGTCCATAAGTCGAGCTGAAAGTTTCTTCTTGTGTGGCAGTTGACTTGAGAAATTTGTCAAATGAAAACTCTAATGGTTCAGAAAGACCATTCTATTTATGTATCCAAACCACAAATGATGTTTCAAATTTAGTGAGACGCACATCCATGATCATGGTGGTACCCACAACACATTGTGACAAGGTGTCCATCGGACACAATGAGTATGAACGTGCCATTGTTGTTGTTGTTGTTGTTGACATTCGCAATTGATTGTTCAATCACCGATGATTCCATGATTGATGGATGGATCACAAATTGTTCATCATCAAGACATTCCACACGGTTGTGTCATTAACCATAACAACGAAAGAACGAATTGTTATTGATCCGAATGTCAAGTCCAAAAATCAACAAAATTTCCGTTGTCGTGAATGTGTTTGAAACATTAAAATCCGAATTCAACCAACCTTGATGAGAAAGTTTTTTCCATTCTATTCGAATGATCAAATGATGAGTATGATGAATGAACAATTGTCACGGAATATGTTTGTTGTTGTGATTCATAGAGAGAGATGGTGAGTGTGTTTGTGAATTTTCAAATACTTTTCGACCTACCTTATGAAACGCAACACTTGTTTTTGGTTTATCTTCTCCATTCCTACATTCTTCATCGGTTTTAAGAAAGGGTCTGAATCGAGGGCAGACTCTCATTTGCATATGTTCTTTGGAAGGAGGCAAGAAAGATTGAGACATTTTTTTGTGCAAGGCGCCTTTCGCTTTTGAAAAATGAAAAGTGACAGCGAGAGAGACAGTTCACAACAATATTTTTTAACGAGTTGCCTGCTGAAGGTGTCGATTGCCTCAAATGGAACCCATTCCAGTTGTTGTGGTTGCTGTTGGGTTTGTGATCAATTCTTCCAGTGCAAGAGGTGAAAGGAGAGTCCAAATGCGCGAACGTCACAACAAAATATTTCACATGAAGGGTTCTTCAACATTTTCAAGAACTTGCAGAAAAATATAATACAATAATGATGACGGAATGAGGAAATGTTCGGATCTTCGTTTTTGTCTTTTCGCGTGATTGAATTTATTCAAAAATTAATGAAATTTCAAAAGTCAGATTTGTGCATTTGCGTGTTAAGGTTGTGAAGAAACTCTTCGTCGATGAACGTAATGGGAATTTGTTCGAGGAATTAAATCCCTTAAAGGATGGACTAAAGAAGGAATTCAAAAGAGTTAAAGATTTTCAACCACATGGGTTGTCAAAGAGATGAATCTGTGAATATCCACTTCCTGCGCAGGAACGCCATCTGTCAATAGTTCAAAATTTCATTTCGCAAAATGCATATTGTTGAATGAGTAATAATGTCAAATGTTGCTTATACAACACAACTCCCCAAACCTCCCCTCCATCTTCCACATATTTAATACAATTATCGAAATATTTCGAGAATCCCAATTATCCTCCATCTCTCTTTCACAACAACGTTTTCTTCTCATTTAAGAGTATTTGGAGTTGATTATTACAAAAAAGATCATCATCCATTCCTCTCGATTAAATCATGTTGATACAAGAATGGTTTCTCTCAGATTCTGTAACTTGATGCGCGCAAATGTAATCGCATTATACAAATTTGGCTTTGAATTTAAATTGGTTGTCTCCGAACTCTAAAAAGCGGGCAAAAACCGAGTGACGTTCGACCTTATTTGTCTCTTATCCAACAAGTCCAAAATCAAAAAAACAAAACCACCACACTGCTCCTCACGAGAGTAAAGAGAACCTTCTTGTCGTTTATTCTTTCAAATTTTTCACTTCGAAATGATTGCATCTTCGACTTTATCCAATTTTCATCATCAATATGATGAAGAAATTTCTTCACAAAGTTTTGAGAGACATGGACGACCACGACGACGACGATCGTTTGCTTCCTGCTTGTTGAATCGTGTGACACCAAGACAGGAACGACCAAAAACTCAGAGTTCGATTCGGAAACGAATTCGAGTGAATCAATTGCGAAGGAAAATGCATTATGAAATGAATCATCAAGAAGAAGAGGAAGATGACCATTCTTTGCCACCACAACATTCTTATCCAGTACCAACATCATCCACACCATCAATTCTTTCGAATATCATGTCATCGACTAGTCCGCACACTCATCCCTCTCCCCATCAAATGCCAAATGTCACTCAACCCAATACACTGTTCTTACAACAAACCAAACAAGTAGTGACTCAATTCTTTGAAAGCTTGCTTCAATCCAAGGAAGCTCTCGAAGGTAAAAAGTCTATCCAAATGACCAACGAAGACAAGGAAAGGATTGCACAAGAAATTATTTCAACCCCAATTTTAATGCAAAAACTGACAAGTGTCAAATCATTGTTTCATTTTGAGAGTTTTGTGAAGGAAGATCGAGAAATATTTATCATGGTTTCAAATGTTACACAACCAAGATCGATTTACTTGTCTTGCTTTCCTTTAATAAATCAGCAAAATCAACAATGAATTCAGAATGTAAAACTGCTGATTGTCACTTGCCATCCATCACTTGTTTGTCTCTGTGTGTGGAACTCCATTTGAGATTCTCAAAAATGGGGATCCTCAAACGCAATCTCGTTTTGGAAAGATGCAAAAAATACAAAATTAATTCACGCGTCGTTTCTTAGTTGCTTTTACGGTGTTGATTTCTAAAACTCGATCTCTGTTGAATTTGGAAAATTCCAATTAAATTAGTGATGAAAATTTACAATGAGGATTTGAATTTAAATTTTTGAAAATCTTCTCCCATCGCATTGAACATTTCTAACACTCTGAAAAAAATTATAAATCATTGATTAATGTTCTTGAATTTCATTGACTTTCCTCTTCAATTCCAATTGTTCTTTCTTCAATTCGACAAGTTCAATTTTCAATTCGAATAATTGTTCATTCATCAACTCACGAATTTTATCTTGTTGATTTCTTCCTTCCATTTCTTGTGGATGCTGGTTCATTCATTTCAGTCTCCTCATTCTCATGTTGATAATCATCATTTTCATCATTCGTCTCCAATATCGAACAATGAACTTGTTGTAAATGTTTTTGAACTCGACTCACCCACGTTCGACTATATTCAAATCCATTCTTTTTCAACTCATTCACATATTCAGCAAGAGTCGCATGAGGTTTGGCTTTTGACATTTGAATCATCACACGAACGGCTTGAATCACCTGTTCAGTGCTGTATTTAAATTTTCGTAAACCTCCTCGACCACAATGGTGAAAAGAATTCAAAGGATTGGAATGATTTGATTCTTCATAATCTTCTTCTTGAGTGGTGACAGTGATGGCAGTGTGTTCTTGTTCCTCACGTTCTTGTTGTTGTCGCTTCTTTTTCCAATAATGAACTGTACTTGGAGAGCAATGGAAAGCTTTGGCCACTTGTCGGACGGAATGAAATTGCAAGGCAGAGACCATTGAAGATCTGGTGTGAGGATCGAAAAGTACTTTCTTCTTGGTGGATGAGTGGTGTTGAAGGAAGAAGACGAAGAAGTGTGGTGATGAGTGGCGTTGGGTGAAGGTGTCATTCTTTTTGTGAAGTTTTTTTTTAAAAAAATGTAACGATAAAAAATGGCGGAAAATGAGATTTTGGCATTTGATGGGGGATTTATTGACCATGACGGATGGTTGTGGACATGCAACCATACCGTAAAGCTTGAATATATTTATTTCAATTAAAAAGGAATCTACCTTCTTCCCGATGATGATTCATGAATAATTTGAGTACATTGTACTCATACATTTGGAAACACTCCTCTTTTTCCATGAGATGACTTTAAAAACAAAAAAGGAAAACATATAACAGCGATTACTTCTCACTCTCCCGTTTGTTTCATCGAATCAATTTATTGTGTGTTGATCAAGATTGTTGAATCTCTCAGCTGATGGTGAATCATGGTAAAGATAACAAACGCCAAACGTCATCAGACACACAAAACGTGAACGAGATGCGTCATCTGAAGCTTTTAGACGAACCTAGTTTCCAAATGAAAACATTGTTCAATAAATGGCGAGTCGATCTAAATATGTGTTCGCCTTTTACCCTTAATTTGACAGTTGACCTCAAAAACAAATCATGATTCTCAAAATAAGAAATATCCTTTTCGAACGTTTTGTGTATACGCACATGAAAAGAGAAAAGTCAAAGCTCGTGATGACGCACACTCACCCAAAATAATTTTTCGATCAATTAGTGTGTGAGAGTCATGTCATTAAAAAAACAACAACACCATCTGCCACTTGTCAAAACCAAAGCAAACTCTTCAAAATGAAATACAGTGTCGTTCAATTCGTAAGCACTTCCAACTCTGGAAACCAAAAGCTCATCATGACTCAACAAACAGAAGCTGTCAGTAGTTGTGGAGGTATAATGCAATTTGACATTACGTGCAATTTTCATTCTCGCAATTATCCATCTATGAAACCGAAACAAACGAATGTGAACAATACAACACCTGCTGCTTTCTTTTATTGGAAGGAATCATCACCATCCTTTTCGATATCAAAAGGTAAACAATCCTCTTGTACAGATTTACAGAAAATGACAAGTGCCATGTCATCGAAATTATCGAGTGATTCTGCGTTGAGAGCAACAACGAAACATTCTTCAGCACCACAACAATTCCAACCTAAAATTTCAAAACCAAACAAGATGAAGAACAAAGCCAATTCTCCAAAAACGTTAAGCTTTATCGATGTCTCCCAAACGATGACAACTGGCATTTCCCATGATCAACGACTCGTTGTGCAGAATCATCACTCGATAGGCTCAACACCTCGAAAGAGAAAGACCTCGATACAAAGCTATGAGCAAGTTTTGAATTTGAATTCCCAACCCAAGATCCTCCCAACCACCACAACTGTCAGCTGTTCAACACATCAACAAGCATGTAACATTTCTCAAGCACAGCAACTTCATGTGTTTAACGACAAAACCAACAACATTGAAAATTTGCATCCTTCAGCACTTGTGGCTGGTTCTTACGTTCACCAAGAGTCATTGAGCCCAAAAAGCAATGACTCATCTGTCATCCAAGTCGATTCGTCATCAAAGAGCCAAACATCCGAGAGCTGTCAGACGTCAGATAGTATAGACTCCATATCAAAGCCTAAAAAATCGTCATCTCCAAACGTGGTTCGATCGTATATATTTTCTATCCAAGAATTATTAAATTAATCAATTTTTAAAAATACATGTACCTTCCATAATTTATAAAGTGGTTTTCATTTACATTTTTCACAGGCTTTCATTTACAGGGAATTAATAACTCAATCGCAATAAACGAAACGACTATTCTAGAGGCCTTTTCACCTTATTTAATGATCGAATTGGTCGGAATAAATACAGACCTCCTTAAAGTAACAATTTTCCACTTGTTCTACTAATACATCGATTGGACATAATGAGCTCTTCATCAACGTTCATCAGCAATCACATCCAATAGATCCTTGAGTCATCTAACTTGTCCCTTTCGTAGTTTCCTCACTAACATATAATGAAGACCGAGCTGTTGTTGATCCATTTTCATTTAAGGCAATTAAAAAAATCATGTCATGAGTAGTCGATATCTTTTTCTCAACGCCTTCAACACTGAATGCAACAACACTTCCTTTGGTGAAACAAAATCACAATTTCTTTGAGCTTGAAGAGCTGGTCGAAATCTGCATTGTCCCGTTCCACCATTCAATTCTAAAATATCCAATACTTGAACATGTGGAAGAGAAGATAATACCAATCGACCATGTGAAGGTTGACACAAAATGTCTCTTCTGAATCGTTTGCAGGTTGGTGCAATCATTGCAGAAGTGTCTTCTCTTAAAAAGAGAGAATAATAAGCGGCACTTCCTGGATCAGAAATATAAACATCCACATCTGAAAAGTACTTGATTTGTTCAGAAATGCTTGCAAAACTTCCTAAATCTAGAGTTTCAATTCTGAGTTTTCGAACGTTCGAATGTGGTGTTGGTCGAATGAATTGTTGAATGAGAGGATTTTTGGGTAATTCTTGTTGAAAATAATCTTTCAATTCATCAGCATTGGAAAGTGCTTGACCATGACGACCTTTGATGTCTTTTCTATTAATGGCAATAATTATATCTTTTTCAAGTAAATATTTAGCAAGTTTTTTCTGTTTTTGCTGTTTGGTGTATTTTGCATCGAACGGAAATAAATTCAAATTTTTGTAAACAAGTTCCCTTAATTTCATAAAAAGTCCTTCCTTTCCATAGGGATTCAATACCAAATTGCTGAGAGTGTGACCCAAATAAATGTTTGAAAAACATGACTGGAGAGTTAAGTTCGACAAGTTGGATCCATTCATGAATGTGGGAATGGGCGAATTGAATTGAGAAGAAACTTCTGATCGACATGGAGCTTTCTCAATTTTCCAAACACCCTCTCTCTTGCATAGTTGCAATACTGAATGATTTGATAAAAGTTTTGCTGTTGACAAGGAATAATATTCTGCCTTTGCTGGATCATATTTGTAGGCACCTCTCCAATTATCTCCACTCACGTCAAATATGTCATCCAAAAATAAAATATGATTTTCAAATGGAGAAGCATCTGAATCATGTGTATGAAAATTTAACATGTGCCCAACAATCATGGCCAAAGATTCTGAGAAAATATGACCAACATTTCCAGCAGCAAATCGTTGTAAGGCAAACACTGATTTTTCAAAAAAGGTAAAATTAGATGATAGTGAAATAGGCACTAATTCTACTTGTTCTTCCACTTGTGACAAACACATGACATTATTCGTGTCACATTGATTTTGCTTTTTCTTTAAAATTCTCACAAAAGCTTTTGCGTATGCATTTCCATTGCTTTCCTCAAATACTAAATCTCCATTCAAGTTTTTAATATAGAAATTTCCTCGATCGCTCTCTACGGTAGATCCTTGCACGTAGACCCATGGTTTAACATTTAATTGATTTAAATCATTTAAAATTCGATCATGTGATTGAAAGAGGACAAAGTCACCATTCTCACTCAAACATAAATTTTCAATTTTACAGGAGGCCATCATGGTATCTTTTGGTGTATATTCATATTCGTAACCAAATGGAATTAAATTTGTTTGTCCAATGTGACTGTATCGATTGCATTGATAATTTCCGAAATAAATATTTCGAAGAGTGTGACGACGATCGTGAAGGCGATTAATTTCAAATAATTTTCGTCTGTGAGTTTTGTAATAAAACATTGAAAAATACAACAATAAAATCACGACAATGGCAACCACAAAGAGTCGGAAGGATTTGTTGTAGGGAAGTACCATTCGATTGGAACGAAGGAATGACCAAAAAGTGGATGAGATAGAAAACAATGTTGACAGAATCGATCCCATGCCAAACATTTTTTTGATCTTTTCAAAATATAGTGGTTATACAAAACACTTGTTGTTGAAACATAAAGATTTTCAACGGTCAGGGTGTTGTATAAATTGACATCACTCTGGTGATGCAAATACCAGTGCTTCAATGTTGCGAGAACAAGCTTCCAACACTACTTGTTCATTTGTTGATGAGTATGCTTCGGAGACTTGTCAGAGAGAGAAATTCAAACTCTGGTCCTCTATTGATCGACACCTTCAAACTTTCCCGCCATTTTTAAACTGTAACGCAAATTTAAAAAAAATGTATTCTCTATTTAAACATCAGAAAGAACTGGTGGAGGCAAAAGCTCGAGAGGAACACGCAAGAGTCTTGCTTCGGAATTCATCTCCAAAGAAGAGTAATTATGGAGTTATTACTCCAATTATTTATCAAACACAGAAACAACAGCAACAAATAAATTGCCATTCCGTGGCAAGTACAACAAACGTAGAACAACCATATCGGAATGATCAAGCAATGAATTCTCCAACATCAAAACCAATAATTCGAGGAGGAGTGTTTAAGCAACCTTCTCCGCCATCAGTAACTGATTCCCAATCGAGTATGCTTAAAAAGTATCGGGATGTCCAGAAAAAATCAAAATTTTCAAATAATCATGAAAGTATCACAAATGACATGCTTCACGCTGCGGACACTGTTGGAAGAGTCATTGAACAATGTGATCCCGATGACGAAAAATACAATATAAGGCTCTTGTTAGAAGAGCTCAATCGGTTGGACATTTTGAAAAAGAAGCGAAGAAGTTTGGTTCCCATGAAACCCATTTCGTACACAAAAAGAGAATCGAAAAGTCCTTCGTCACCACCTCGAAGGAGTTCTTCGTGCTATTGGGATAAGGAAAATGAGACAAGTGCATCATGTCTGAACACCAGTTTTCAATCGACAGCTGCAGCCTCGATGAGAAGACCCGGCTCGGCACCCAGTTGTAGAATGGGAGGTGGTGCAACCTCAGTTGCGAGCGTCCCAGTCTCTGTGTCACGTACCGTCATCAGTTCAAATTCTCAATATTTGGCAAATGTAATTCCTTCAAGATGTATCGATAGCTTTGTCGCCAGCCGACCATCTCGACCCAGCTCTGCCAAACGACCTTCGAGTGCCACCCATGTCAAATATTTGAAAGAGGGTAAAGTTCCTCCCCATGATTTGATGGAATGTGAGGAGGAGAAAACCTTTAAAGAGCAACAGTTGAATGATCTCTTGTATAATTTGGTTTGTGAATATCATTACCTAAAAGACCGAGGGAAAGAGGAAACTGAAAAGGAAAAAAAAGAATACATTGCTTTGAAAGTAAGCTTTCAGAGAGTTTACCCACTCATCAAGAAACATTTCCAAACATATTTTGCCTCGAGAAAGGAATTCACATGGAGGGACCAGCAAGTCATCCAATTAAATAAGGATATAGAGGAAATTGCTTTGGAGGAGCAAATAAGAGATCGAGTCGAGCAAGAACACATGGATTTTCTCACAAAAAAACTTAAAGTGAATCAAATACGTAAGGCATTTAAGGCACAACGTCAGCAGAACTTTTTGAAACGAGTGGTCGTGAGCGATCCAAGAGCTCTTTCGCAGCTGCAACAGTTGTGTAATGATGACAAACTTGACGATGCTCTCAATGAAGAGATCGAGGAGTGGGAGAATGCTGAATTGTATGATCCTCTAGATTATGAAAGGCCCTCAGTCGATATTCCAAAAATTGATTTAACCAAAACTAAGAAAAAGCAATTTGCTGATAATGTCTCAGTTGGAGGGTACAGTACGGGCAGCAGAATTTCAACAAATGATCGAAATGCCCATATGAAGTTTTTGAGGCTCATGACACCAGAGGCCTCCAGTGGTCTGCGGAATACACCAGACATGCTAACGCCAACACCCACCATTTCAAGAGCGAACAGTGCACGTCTCAGTTCTGGAAGGAGATTTTCTTTTCAAAAGAAGGCACCTGTACTGGATGAACTGGATAAGAGGTGTGACAAAATAGTAGTTACTGAGAAGAGTGGAGGGAATCCGCTGGATGAAATTGACAATTTTGAAAAACGTTTGAACAATACTCGTAAAAAGGATTTGATGTGGTGATGTTACATGAAATCCGTTTTTGAACTCATTAAATTATTGAACTTTCTAGATAACATCTTTCTGTACAAACTAATTTCATGAAATACATTTCTCAAAATTGTCAATACTAATAATTATGAACTGCAACAATTCCTTCATAAATCCAACCATGACAACCTCGAATAATATTCATTAACAATTTGATTTAAACGTGTTTGCTTCTTGACCTTGAGTAACCTTTTCAAAAACCATCGTATCGTAGCAATTTTGTGCATTTCAAAAATAAAAGGCCTCAACAAGTGAAACAGTGTGTGATATTGTCCGTCATAATCTTTCAAGAGTTGTTGAGAGGAGAGTTGCATCATTTCCATTGTAATATTTCCATCAAAATTTTCGTCAGCTTTTTTCATGGAAATGACATGTCTTTGAACTTCCACGGATGCAAACTCGAGAGCTTCATACAACTGTTGCTCCTTTCTCTCTCGTACGCCTCTCACTCCCAAACGAAGACAGGAGCCAGCCAATAAATTTTTCATAAAGTGGCAACAAGTAACGTACAATGAACAATAGTCATTGTTTCCAGTCCATGTAATTAATTTTCTCTCCATAATATTCAGGAGTGAAGCGTTATTTTTGAAAGTATTAATTATATCATGAAGCTTAATGATTTCCTTCTTTTGTGATTGCTCACTTTGAGAAATCATATAGAGAGCCTTAACTCGCCTCTCTGGCGAGTATTGATGTGAGAGCTCAGTAAAGAAGTGAAGAAAATTTTGAGGTAATAAATCAATGCCATCCCAACGAGTGAGAACTAGAATTTTTCCAAGGCGTGGCTTGATTGTTGTTGGATGTGAATATTGTGGCTCTACTTGGTTAATGGTTTCTGTTGAATTAGAAATTCCAAAAAATCCGTCTCTTGGGTCCTCGAATTTTGTTGAATAAATTAACATGAAATCTTCACTTGCAGTGTGGTGAGTAGATGATTCATGAAGAGGAGCAGTAGATATGGCAACTTTTTGATGTTGTTGTGCAATGTTTTCATTACTCGTACGCCAAATTCGTTCCCTCTCTTTTCCATTATTAGTATTCATGTTTTCTTTGGATCTCAAAGTTTTCTTCACATGTCTCACACAAAATTCCAATTTTTTCCAAAATATCAATACAAATTCGCACGGAATACTTTGAATCATCTTTTTGAGTCTCCGTGAACTGGATTTTAAATGATAGGCCAATTGCATTTGAAAGAGCTTTTGTAATTTGGCAATCATTAAATTTCGTTTTCGCTCTTCAAGCCTTTGCACCACTCGTAAATAAAGCCATCTCATCAAGAATTCATGTTTTTTCTTTTGAATGGAAAGATGTTGTTCCGAGATAATATTGTGGTCCGTACTTTTGGAGAGTTGTGTTTCATCATCATGACCAATGAATGGAAAATCGGAATGGATATTTAGGCTTGAATCGGAATTTAAAAAGCGTTGTACAATTAAATAATCGAGGAATTTTCTTCGATTTTCTTGTCGTAGGCGATGGCGTTCGTGTTTTAAATCATGATAGGTTCGGGTGTTTGCAGAAGGGAAGGTGGCTTGCATGGTCAGCTTGTTTGCATTTTTTTGTTGAGCGAATTGTAATAAGCCATGTTAATACAGTCTGATCCAAGTTTTTGATTTGCGCTCGAAACATTTATTGACATGGTTTGTGGAAGATCTATAAGCTATGTGCATCAAAATATTGAGAACCGACTATACGATTCGAATTTTTCACCTCATGGAAAATGTTTGCAACTTTGTGGTTGTCATGATCACACAAGTAATTCACCACTCATTTGATTTAAACATCATGATATTCTAGGCCATTCACTCATTGGTCACTAAATTTTCTCTGACAAGCAGATGGATAGTTGCCTCACTCAACGACTGTTGACGTACAGATAACATAGGAGTGTGGAGACACTTCCCACAAAGCAACATAGTTTTCTTCTAGAGCAACTGTCTTAGCGTCTTGAGAGGTTAACGAAGATGTTTGACTCTTTCCAATTTCTTCATCGTCATCACAACTACTACTGTCACTATCATAGGAAGAATACTTTGTAGGGTAGGTTCTCTCTCCAGTACAACATGCTATATACGGTAAATATGGATGAAAGTTAATACCGTTCATCATGGTTTTTGAAAGAGTGTCACTCTCCAATTCAGCAATTTCCTTTCCTTGTGACTCCAGATCGAATATCTTAATTTTACCGTCACATGTTCCAGCAATTGCAAATTGGGTCAAAGCATCGAGATCAAAATTGATTTTCTGGTTGGTATTCGCATTTCTCGAAAATTCAAAGTATTTGACTGGCTCAAATAAGTTTCTCAAGTCCCAACAAACAATTCTGTGATCTTTTCTCGAAGATTGGAACAAATAATTGCCGTTAGATGAAAATTGAAGATGATTCACACCAGATCCATATTCGCATTGAATAATATGCTGAACGACATTATCGTCTTGATCATAAATTCCAATAGTGTTGTTATAACATCCTGCTGCATACATGGATTCCATTACAGGACTGAATGCAAAACAAGAGATGATACCGGTCTGACCAAAACGTTTGGCACGCTTCTTTGATTTTCCTCGAATAATATTCTTTTCGACGGCATAAATTTCAGTATAGATTGAGGAACTTCCAGCCTGAGCATCAAATACGCAAATTCTCTGGTTGAGACCACAATAGATTCTAAATATGTTGTGGTGTGTCAAATTTTTCAATATTTGAGGTGACAAGAGCAATATTAATAAAAGTAAATTATGACATCCATGTCGAATAATTAATGAACCTGACGAAACACTGCAGAAAAAAACCTACTTGCTACCTAGCGACAAAATTCCATTATATGAAACAGAAATAATGTTATCAACTTCGCCCATGTGGTCCTTCACTAGAAAACTGTTTAGAAGAGATCCATTGAACGCATCCCACATATGAACAGGCTGCTTGGTGCTTGCTGTTAAAAAATTGCAATTAATTCCCGTGGAAGAATTCATACATGGATGCCAACAGAAATCATTGATGCATCCTCCTTCTCTCACAGTTAAGCATGGCCTCCAAGATTCGTTTACAACAGTGGTCGAAGAGCTATCTTCTTGAATATTTAATGAGGATTCGCTCAACGACGTGTTCTGAGTAGTATCAATATTTTCACTTGTTACGTTCATATTAATTTTTGAAATGAACTGTTGTGGTCTGTTGTTTTCAAATTGTTAATAAAAATTCAATTCAATTTAAATATTTTCTTGACATTTTCTCACACTTACAGCTCAAATAATCGAATTCTATTGTCATTACTATTCGTCAATAAACAAAGTCCATCAGGAGACCATCTCACTCCCTTGGTATAAATTGGAATTTTCCGACTCTCATTTGTGAAGCCAAATTCACCTTTCCCAGTCCTCAATACCATTCGTGCCTGAATTCTTCCATCTCCAAAATTATACTTTAATACATTAATCATCTGCACGGCCGTTTCGGAAGATGATACATCCATGGCAGTGGTACTCGAGTCTTGTTCGGTAACAGTGCTGAATTGCAATCCAGTTGTAGCTGCCGATGAAGATGAATCATTCTCTTCAGAAACAATATTTGTTGAACGTTCAAGCAAATCCAATCCCCTTTCCTCTTCTACTTCCGATATTTCATGTTTCCTTTTCTTCTGTTCCGGTTCATCATCATTCTCGTTTCGGATGAAAATGTCGGCCTCACCAGGATTGCTTGTCATCATTTTTTTGATTAATATAATTGATTTAAAATTCAAATATTGTGTCTTTGTTGTTCAAAATCTTCACTCTAAAAGTTGCTTTTTGAATTTTTCATCCTGTGGTTGATTCAAAGGAACGAGACTCTATCAGATCTTAATTTCGTCTCAAGTTCATCAAAAAATTCAGGGATGGGTTTATTCGATGATAATCGTTGTTCGATGGTTTTATGTACATTATTTACAAGCCGAACGTAAGATACGTAGTGACTTCCTAGCAGGCACCCCGGAAGTAAAGGTGTTTAAACTGCTCACGATAACAGCAGCAATACCTGGGATTCGAACGCTGGACCAGTTGGCTGCCACAGTTCCAGAAAAACCACTCGGCCATATGCGGGCAGCTCAAGTTCATCAAAAAATGTCGAAACAACACTCGGACTCTTCCATGAACATATTTCCTGCTCGCACGCACCAAAGTACACCCATTGAAAAGATTACGAACCTTCTCAGCAAGTACAGAACAAGCGTTCCGAGTCATATTCAACGATGTGTCTTGTTGAGTACGGGATCCTATAATCCATGCCATCGGATGCATATTGAAACCTTTCATATCATCAAGAAGGCTCTCGAGAGTTCCCATAACATGTTGGTAGTGGGAGCTTTTATATCGCCATCGCATGGACAATATGTTTCATCAAAATTGGGAGAGGATTATATTGAAACAGAGGCTCGTTTGGAAATTTGTAAATTATCGATTGAAGCAGAAACGAGAAAGTTGAAAGAAATACACGGAGAGGATTCGGTGGATGACTTTTTATGTGTGGATCGATGGGAATCTGCTGTGTGTCGTGAATTTATTGATTTTCCTGATATTACATACACGTTGAGGGAATATTTGGAACAACAATTTCCAAACGAGAATATTCAAGTTATTTACATTTGTGGGAGTGATCATCTTGAAAAGTGTCCATACGTGCTGTCATTTCCAACACTTTTGAAATGTGGAGCTGCAATTTTGAATCGACCCTCGCATTCCAAATCGGCCGCTTCCAAACAATCATCCTACAAGAAAACAGAACACATTTATTGGATTGATACCACCATGGAGGATGAATGCAGCTCAACCTTGGTAAGAAAGAAGGCAAAAGCAGGCGAGACCATTTCACAATGGGTTTATCCTGAAGTTGAATCTTACATGAGAACTCACCATATTTATTTTCCTTAGAATTAATCGTAGATACGATTTTTTGTAAATTTGCTTTGGAAACAAAATGAACATTACAAATTTCATCAATGCATGACTATTTCATGATCATGTTGTGGACGTTTCCAATAGTGACATTCAATCTATTATTGCAAAGAATGCAGGACGTGGCACATTCGTGAAGTCTCGAGTCGAACTCACGAAATGGTAAGACCTGTTTCCAAACAAATTTAAAAAGATAATGCCTTCAAGTTCACAGAAACAATGTTCTGCGCAACTGAGCGACCGAGTTCGGAGCAGAATCACAAAACAACTCCTGAAGGAATTCTCCTAGATTACTTTTGCTGGCCTGTCAGTGACAAACCTTTCATTCTTTTGAACTCTTGCTTGATATTGAATTCCATATTTGTGGTGATTTACCGACGAGAGATGACACGCAGGATTACACCGGTTTAGTATACCATTCCACAATACTGACCAGCATCAAAAAAAACCAGCCCAACATAGTCCGGCAAACATCTTTATTTCCACTCGCCAACATTTCAAACAACAGAAGAAATCAACCATTCACATTTTGGTGGTCCCTTTCCGCTCTTGTTTGCCTCTGCATCTTCACAACGATGACAACATTGATTTCATGTGTTGCGGCAAGAGCAGACAAACATGTGGTGAATGTGAGGAACGACCAAGATGCTTACCATGTGACCATAAATCTCAACAATGACGATCACCCACAAAGAATTGAAGGGCAGCCCCTGCATGTCGACTCGACCACTCGAAAAGTCATTTCGAAATTCAAATATGTACTCACCAAGCAGGATGAAAAAAAGATTGCCCAAAAATACATCACCTTCGCTGAAAACGTGAAGAAGGTAAGTGGCACCAACCTGCCATTGGTTCAGATAAGAAGCCGATTTTGCTAAACTTACACTCTTATAGTTATATGATTCAATTCCAGAAGATGCTTCTCCCGATGCCTCTGCTCTCAAACAACAACTTTTAGCGATTGTCAGAGATTTCACATTGAAATCTGAACATCCAGGTGTTGACATGCTGAAGTCAACTTTGAACGATTTCAAGAAAGTGGCGTCTTCTCAACAAGTACAAAATAACAACAATGAAGGAGGTGCTCAAACGTTAGGCCTTCCAGCAGCCATCAAAGCAGTCTCGTTTGCCATGAACGTTGCAGATAAAATCGGAACCTATTCAGACTCTCTTTCTAAAGCGTCGAAATTCTTGGAAGGTCCTGTCGCCAACAAGCTTCGTAAATGGGAATTCAAAAAAGCTGCTTCATTGGCACAACGTTATGGACACAAAATTGACTAATACACAACAGAAAAACTCAAACCATTCGAGGAGAAAATTGCTAGAAAAATCGCACCAGTTGTGAAATCAAAAACATTTCAAACCGCTCGTCGATCTTTAGAAGTGGTTTCAGCTGCGTTGAGTTTGAAAGGAGGTCTCAAGGCATTGGGAATGGTGAAGAAAATCAAATTGGGAACATTGAAAAATGTTCGAAAGACCTTAAAGGAGTTGACAAAGGTTGTGAAAAATAGTAAGCAAATAATGAAAATGATCAGAAAGAATCCACTCAAAGCTCTGAAGCGATTCAAAAAGTTCCAAAAACAATAGAATCAATTAAGTGGAGATTGGAATAATTTTAAGGACAAACTTATCGAGCTGAAAGATGGAATCATGTCCAAGAGTGACGACACCAGTTCTTCAATCTCAAATGCGAAAAGAACAAGAAGGCACTTTCGTCTCGCTCCAACACAACAATCTTCAAACACAAGATCAAACAACACCTTCAGAGATTCGCCCAACAACAATGAGAATGAGGAAGTGAATTCACAACAAAAACCACAAACTGTCTCTCACAAGGTGACAGTGCAAATCTTTATCACCATGAAACAATAAGACCAGTGTTGTTCTTGTGAACAACATGGAAGTCAAGAGGAAGAATGGTATGTGAAGCTGAATTTTGACTTGCACCATTGATAAAAGATTTGCTTTTGAATGATTTGTTGCCCCAAATGGGTCTTTGAATGAATTTATCAAATGCTCGTGTTATATTTTATTATAATCTCTTCCTGATTATGGATGACGCAATTAAACATCTGTTAGAAGATTGAAACCCTGCCTTGCTATCTGAAAAGAAGATAAAGCATTTTCTTGTTGAACAAGCAAGAAACAACTCGAATGGAAGAAACGACGAACATGTTATAGTTCTGATTCACCACCTAGAAATTCAATCTTTGATTCATCACATTTGCCAAATCATAAGCGGAACACGACACGTAAACGGAGCGCAATGTTCACAATGAGAAAAATGACGGTGACAGCGAGCATTGAGTCTTCTTCTTTTAGAATGAGCATGATGATTAAGATGTTCAAAAAGAACCAACAAGAGTATTTCCATGTCAATCTTGACTTGAGGCTCATTACAAAAAAACAAAACTTCGTTTCCCTGACAAACACCATCTCCTTCATGTCCCAACAACAACGAGGTGGAAGAAGAGTGTTTGGCTCAACGTTTTTCTTTTCAAAGAATGTGGAGCATGCTAAAATAATCTTAATGATAGTGGTTGTGGCATGTGTGTTGTCAAAGATGATCATGATGGTGAAGGCTTTTAAACCATTTGGAGTTGAAGTGAGAGACACCAAAGATGCCTATCATGTCATTATTAATATGGATTCACTTCAATCGTCCTCCTCATCTTCAAAGAAGCTTCGAGTGGATTCTGACACCCAACAAATTGTTTCAAAATTTAAAAAGGTGATGACGCCTCAAGACGAACAACTCATCGCTACACAATATATTCAATTTGCTGAACAAGTGAATCAAGTAAGTGTTAACATGCATATGGACATTTATGTTCAACGAGTTCAACCAATAATATCGAACTTGGGAATTGTCTACAACGATGAATCTTCAACAATTGATTTCGTATCCTCGATTTCCAACTATTCTCAAAGATCGCTCAATCCATTCCAGCAAATGCTCCACAAGAAGCCTCTGCTCTCAAACAACAATTATTGGCGATTGTCAGAGATTTCACATTGAAATCTGAGCATCCAGGTGCAGACATTTTGAAATCCACTTTGAAAGATTTCCAATCCATGAAACAACAAGAACAACAACAATCAGGAATTTCATCTTCTGATCAACAATTACAACAACAAGAAGGTGGAGCTCAAACTCTCTTCCTTCCTATGGCTCTAAAAGCTGTCTCCTTTGCCATGAATGCTGTCAACGGCATTGGAACTTATTCAGATTCACTTTCAAAAGCTTCGCAATTCTTAGCCGGTCCTGTTGCTCAAAAGTTGAGTCAGTTGGGTTTCTCAAAAGCAGCTTCTTTGGCGCAACGATCCGGACAAAAGATGGATCAATTCGTCACTCAAATACTCAAACCATTCGAAGACAAAATTGCTCAAAAGATTGCACCAATTGTAAAATCGAAAACATTTCAAAATGTGAATAATGCACTCAACGTTGTGACAAGTGCCATGAGTTTGAAAGGAGGTTTGAAAGCATTGGGTATGGTGAGTAAAATTAAACTTCCATCTGGTGCTTTGGCAAAGGCAAGATCTGCTTTGAAGATGGCCATCAATGCTGTGAAAAATCGTCGAGAGATTATGAACATGATAAAACAAAATCCAGAACATGCATTGAACCAATTCAACAAGATTAAGAGTCGCGTAGAACGTGTTCAAGGTCAATGGGAAGATTTCAAAGGTCAAATGAGAAATTTCAAAGATGGTTTAATGAATCGAAATAATAACCAGCAAGATCAGCAAAATGCCATGCCAATTACATCTTCAACACAACCGTCAAGAAATCATCGAAACTCACGATCAGGATTTAATTCACAACAACAACAACGAGCAAGTACTAGAAATCACTCTCAACCACAAAGAAGAAGATCCAAAGGTACTCAGTCCTCACGATATCGCGGAAATAACAGAAGATCATTGGGTCAGATCAGACGAAATGGAAATAAAAGAAGAAATGGAACAAGGAACAATGGTGGAAGACCACAAAGATCGTTGAATAATAGAAGAACATCACCATCATCACAACAACCGTTGCGAGGACGAAATAATCAAGTGAATCGAAGAAGAATCAATAATAATTCTTCCCTCAAAAACCGTTCCAATTCCTCTGCAAGAAGAAGAACCACCAATTCAAAGACTTCTTCAAATGGTTAAAGAATGAATCGAGGTGGAAAAGGAGGAGTCATTAAAACGTCTTCTCGATTTTCTTCTTCCAGGGTATCAAGATCATCTCCCAAACCAAAGACGAAATTCAGAAAATAAACAAAATAGCACTTTGATCTTGATTACAACGAATTAATATTTTAAATTAAAAAAAATGATTCAAAACACTTCCAATAAAAAGAGAGACATGGTTGTAATTAATAATGATTACACTGGTGATGATGATGAAGACAGTAGTAATGTAGCAATCACATCGGAACGATTAGCCTGTTGCGAAATTCAAGTCCCACAACGAAAAAATCCAAAAGCAAAGCCTTTGCGATTTGTAGTTATTTCCGATACGCATTTACTTCACGATATGGTTGAAGTGCATCAATATACGGGCGATGTTTTGATTCATTGTGGTGATTTTACGAATAAGGGAACCAAAGCGGAAGTGGACACGTTTTTTCAATATTTATTAGATAAATGTGATGGAAAGTTTAAATATATCATTATGATTGTGGGTGAGTAGAGAATTCATGTTGAGATTAGATCAAAATTGGTATTCGTGTTAAAACTATTAATCGGACCATTAGGGAATCATGAGTGGGCTCCAGATATTGTCGTAAATGTTAGATTTAAAAAGTTTTTCAAAGAAAAGAAGGTAAAATCAAGTTATCATCTTTTACTCGATGAACATGTCACGATATTAGATCACAATAAGGAAAAGATTAAAATTTTTGGTAGTAGATTTAGAGCATCATGGAGGTTTCCACCATTGATGCGAGACACACTTAGAAAGACATCATTTCAAATACCAAAAGATATTGACATTTTACTGACTCATTTTCCTCCTTGCAAGAATGGACTTGACATTGCACACAATGATCTTTCAAGAGGATCTCCTCAATTAACAGAAATGCTTGACTCTGAATATTTTGAGAATTTAAAAATTCATTGCTTTGGCCATAATCATTGCACAAGAGGTCATCACTATGAAGAACAGACTGATCGAATGTTTGTTAATGCAGCTTCAACGCTTAGTAAGAAACAAAAGATTGTTGCCAAGCCTTACATGTTTGATTTTTAACGAGTGGATTGTTGAAACCCTTTTTTGTAGTTATAACTAACAAGTGAATTGCTGAAACAACACATTTTTGTGTAGTACTACCAACAGAGACACGTTTATTGATCATACGATATGATAAATTGCATAACATGGACAACGGAAATAGAGAATCGCTTCCTTCATTTCTTGAGACACTCTTCAAAAAAGGTATAAAATAATTATGGTAATGATGCCTATTTCAAGTCTCCATTGTTCCTTCGATGCCTCAATGCCCACACACAGTGTTGGATTTCATGTGGAGGAGCCACTAATTACAGAACAAGGGTCTGTCGTGAGCTTTTGTAATGGTAATGGTTGTTAAGCATTTTGCTTCATGGAACACAATAGACTGGTTGGCGAAAAGAACTTATATTTCTAAGATGATGACGTCGACTGAGTTTGAGACCCATCACTAATCATCATTTTCTTTCAACCTTATCTCGCAAAAATGGTCATCTCTCTAGACAACATCAGCAAATTTCCAAAAATGGAAGCGTTAAATACGTAGAAAAAAGACCTTCGACCAACCAATTCAGATGACGTAAGAAACACATGTTTAAATACGGCCATACGTGTGAGTAGAGCAGAATAAATTTGAGGAATGCTCATTTCCTAATCCTTTCCATTTGGTTTTTGGGAAAAAGGTAAACATTTCGAGAATTAAAGTGCTGTGTCCATGGCTTTCATATTTCCACCCTCATCGAAGGATTAAAAAAAAAACACATCTCTCTTGATCGTTGACATTTGCACAGTGTAAGTCATTAGTTTGGATGTCTTGGATCAAACTTGTTGTCGATTGAACTGATCTATTTTTTTGCATGTCATAATTGAATGGAACTCTCTCAATTCCACCCTGTATTTGCACATAAGCACGCAATCAATAATTTCCAAATACTTTCTCTTCTTCGATAATTAGAATTCTACCAAAAAAGCACTCTGAATGAAAAAGTTTGCATCTTTTTTCCGACGGAAACATAATTAGACTTTCGTGCCTTACTACTACTTGCCGCAAATACCTAATAACGTATCTATTTCGTCTTTTTCGTCATTGTGTGTTAAAGTCCCTTTGTTAGTAACGTTTATATTCTTTGTTGTTGTCGTGCAAAAACTTTTCAAAAAAAACACTCCTGAGAATCGTGTCAATTCCCTTCTCACATCAATTCTGTCACCACCACGACCACCACCACCGCGCCAGCACGATAGAGCTTGTTAATCCTTCTTCCTCTTCTTTTATATCAACAACGTAATGACCTCCTTGTCGATACCTTGTACCGTCTTGTTACGAATCAACAACAACAACAATAACAATTTGAATACTTCCACTCTATCAAAATCATCATCATCACCAATAACAACAACGTCGTGTCCATCCATGACAACTTGCACCATGACGGGCTCCGTACATCCAAATTCAGGCCTGGTGTCCATAACATCCATGATGGATTCCACAACCAAAGAAATTTTTTCACACATCCTTCATCAATCAACACATCGAGTAAATACCCTGCATTTCACACCAAAAGAATGGTCACAACTTCTATTCAAAGCAATCCAATTTGGCGATGAAAATGTGGTGAAAGCACTCCTCGAATGGGGAGATTATGAAAATCACAAAATTCTGCAACGTGTCCACCTCTCGAATTCAGGTCTACACTCAAACGTCACACATCATTCACCAAATTATTTACCTTACAATTTAGAAAGCGGTGACGAACAATCGTATGGAGCGACCGCTCTCCATAAAGCTTGTTCCCTTAATCGACCTCAAATGGTGAGTCTCTTATTACAGAGAAATGATGTGAATCGATGTGTGAAGGATCATTCACAATCCACACCCATGCATTACGCAGCTTCGAATGGTTCATTGGAATGTGTCATGCTTCTGCTCATGAAAGGAGAGAATTCAATGTCAGAAGGAATTGGCAGCCAAAAACAGTCATGTCAACAAGTTCAATTAGACTCTAAAGATGCTTTTGGAAATACTCCTATTCATTTAGCCATGAAGCATAAACACTATCATGTGGTCTCTGCATTGCTGAACTATTGTCCCAATTTGGTGAATTCGAGAAGAAGTAATTCACGGACATTGTTGCATATGGTGGTTGAAAATTGTGATGTGACAGGACTGTCACTTATCACAAAGGAACATTTAGAAGCTGCATCCAAAATTTATATCTATGCCAAAGATGAAAATGGTTTAACTCCACTAATGCTTTTGGTCAAGGATTTTTCAAGACTAAGCGAAAACTCACAGCTCCGAAAGAAGCATCTCTTTTCAATGCTTATCCAACTATTGTCACTGTACGACTTGTCAGAACTGTCACTCGTCAACAAACACGTTGATCATCACTCTAAGAATTTATTTCATCTTGCCTGTGTCCATAACTGTGCAGATGTGGTACGAATCATGGCTCTCTTCCTCAATCGAGAACTCTATTTAAACATGCTCAAACAATGTGACAAGAATGGACAAACTCCATTTCACACAGCTTGTAAATACGGAGCAGATGAAGTGTTGAAAACGTTCATGCTGATGGTTCACAACGAATCGACGATAATTGATATATCCACAAAATCGAAACATTATACCTCTCGGGAAGATTATTTAGAATGTAAAGATAAGGATGGTAATACACCATTGCATGTAGCTGCCTTATCTTTAGCTCATGTGTCACCTGTCAATGATGATGATGATGACTCTCCCTTGCCACGAGCTGTCTCTTTAAGTGCCAGTTGTTCAGATCTACCTTCTGCTACCACTACTACTACGAAAAGTAATCGATCAAGTGCAAGTAGTAACACTCTTTCATTGCCAATCACATTTGGAATAATGAACTCTAAGTTTTCACACAACACACGCTCGCCTGTGAGTACATCACCTCCATGTGATGAAGATGGATCCTCATACGTTCGATGTATTGAGGCATTGTTCCCAATAGTAAGCTTGGACATTGAAAATTCAAAAAAACAAAATGTTTTGGAACTGTTAAACAAGACAAGCTTTTTCGAGAATTCCAACATTTTTTCAATAAAAAACTAATCGAAATAATGATGTTCACACAGATGAAATTTTCATCATCAATCTAGATCTGACACATGTTTGAATGTGTTGAGAAACTTGCTTCTTTTTCAAGGCATATGATCGATGAAACTAAAATATCTCCTCACCAAGTTTTAATAATAATTGAATCCGAGAAAGGAGTGATTATTGACATGGAATCAATATACCAAATGCAACTTCTACAGAGCTTACTAACTGGACAATTTGATCTACTACATTCTGATTCTCTCCAAGTTCAATTGAGAAAAACACCAAAGATCTTTGAAACTTCTTTAAGGAATTTCTCTTTCATTTTCTCTTCCTCAAACTCGTCTCTCCACTTCACTTGTCATTCCTAATTTGGCCAAATTAAGGGAATAGTCTCAAACATTTTCAAAGGATAATACACACAAAAAGATGAAATCTTTATGTGAATCCTTCAATCCCACATGACTATCAAAACCCTATAAAAGATCCTACAATTCCACTCGAACTTGCCATCAACAAAAAAAAACAAGATGAACAAACTGTCAGTTGTCTTACTCTTCGCCTTACTGCTTTTTGCAGCAGTCTACGTTGCAGGATCAGATTCTTATCGTCCAGATCCTTACCGTCCAGATCCCTATCGCCCTGATCCTTACAAACCTAAAAGACATTGTCGTAAAAAGTGTGTCCTTCACAAATACGTCCGTGGAAAATGTATCAAACACAAAGTCGTTGGTCGTAAAAGATTCTGTGACAAGTATGCCATTGTTGGAAAAGGACGTTGTTTGAAGCACAAGAAGTTCTCCAAATGCGATAAATACAGCAAGCCATGTGTCAAATGTGTCAAATTCAAATTTAGAAAATTCTGTGCCAAACATCAAACAAACAAGATTTGCGATTCTTATGGATTCCGTAAATTCTGTAAGAAGTTTGGAAAGAAGAGATTCTGTGCAAGACATAAGAAGTTTAAGAAATGTGTTGTTTGGGGTAAGAAGACCACTTGCAAGAAGTTCAAGAAATTCCCAATTAAGAAATGTTTCAAGAAGAAGAGATGTGACAAGTATGTCGATTCATATGCTCCAAGAAAGTGCAGATTTATTCGTAAATGCCGTGTCATTGGTCATAAGAAGAAATGTATCAAACATCGAACTCGTAAATTCTGTAAAAAGCACAAACGCTTCACCAAGTGTATCAAACACAAGTGTAAGAAATTCTGCGCAAAATTTGCTAAAAAGCGTTTCTGTAAGCATCACAAGATTGTGAAGAGATGTTGTCAATTCAAGAAGAGAAAATTCTGTGCCAGAAAGAAGAGATTCCCATCCAAATGTATTCATAGAAAGCATTTCAAGAAATGTATCAAGAGATCCAAGGGAAGAAGAATTTGTAAGAAATTCAAATTCACCAAAGGAAGAAGAATTTGCAAGAAGTTTGCTCAAAAGAAAGTCTGTGCTAAGAGAAAGAAGATTTGTAAGAGAAAGCATCGAAAGGTGAAAAAACACAGAAAATTTGACAGATACTATTAAGAGAGAATGATTTCTCGCAAGTGCACACACAATTTTGAAAAGTTTTGCTTTCGTCGAGAATGAAAGAGAGCGTGAGTGTGTGGCACGAGTATAACTTTTCAAATTCAGTTTTGAACATTGTCATGAAGTTTAATAAAAACGAGTGAGTCCAACAAACTCTTGACATAACTCGTTGAATTTTGTTACTTGTTCAACACTGTGAATTGTGATGGGAACAACACTATGAGATTGACAATCTTGTGTCATGATGAACCACAGCAAGAACAGCAAGAAAAAGGGTTTCCAAGATTTTGAACCATTGTTCCACATTCACAACAAGAAACCATTGGTGGTCTTATTCTGAAGGCTTGAATATAATCTCAAGATTCGGCTTGCCAATTTTGCTGGTGACGTTGATAACAACGTAGGGTAATTCAAATTATGTGATCCCATTGAATAAGTTTGATTTGGAGTTTTCAGTTGATCTGTCGTTTCCGTTGATCTGTCTTTCAACTTGAAACAGCAACTTTTGAAACAAAATGACCATGTTTCCACTCTTAACAACAACGACCCACTCAACAGGAAGAGTGTGGAATCATGTGGTGCTATCTCCAACACTGTTGCGTCTCGTGATCACTTGTTGGATCATTGGTTTCGTTCCTGGCATTCATTGGAACACTGTGAAAACCATGTGTTTGTTCTTGTGGTGGTCCTTTTCATTTCAATTTAACATTCGAATGTATGAATTGTGTTTTTGCATGTGCTTCAATCTTTTATTCATTGCTCTCAATTACAATGCCTTGTCGAAAGGACTCTTTCAATTCAAATCCAATGATTTCTTTTTACAACCCTTGTATGAATGTTTCATGTGGGGTTTCTATGTCTTGCATGCAATGAGATGTTTAGGAGATGAACCACCAGAACTCAAACAAGGTGAGGAATGGCAGGAAGTTGGGGTGGTTGGATTGTCATGGTTGTCCTTTGGCTTGTTGTTTGGAGTGTGTGAAAACAAGTGGATTCTCTCCTGGGTTTCTCTGTTCCTTGTGGTGATTTGTTTGTGCATGTTGCATTCTGGAATTCAAAAGGATTTGCAATTCATTTTGTTTTTCATTGGAACCGGATTTTGTGTGGAATGGACAGGCCTGTGGTGTGGAGAATGGAAATATCCAGAGAATCAATTAATAAGCAACAAATATATAGGCAACAAGGAGAAATTTCAAATTCCTTTGTGGTTTATTGGAATGTGGGGAGGAATTGGTTTCTTTTTGTATCGAGGTGCTTTGCCTCTCATGTGGTGGGTGATGCGTTGGTTACAAAAACAACAACAACAACAACACGACTAGTGTAATAAAGTTGACTCACACCAAAATACTTCACAAATTATTTAAACTACTGTGTGACAAAGGACATCCTTAACAAAATCCTTTTTTATTTTTTCAAATTCTTTGCAAAGTCTTTTGGAATCATGCATTTGATGAGGAGAGATTTTGTAATTTCGTACAAAAAGATGTCTCCCAACAAATCTCTGTGTGATTTCTTTTTGAAAACCACTTTGGCGTACTTGGTGAAGATCTTCTTCTCCTTGTTATCATTCTGCAAAACCTTTGGTGTTTCATATTCTTTTTGAGCTTCACCCAGTGAGGAGGTGCTTGGTTCCTCGATTTCTTCGTCATCCATTTGATCCTCAACCATCCAATCATTCATCGAGTCAATATATGAAACTTCCTCAGTTGGAAATCCAATTTCATTCTCTATAATATTTTTGAGCTCATCCTCAGTTGGAATGTTCTCTTTTGGCACAGCCTTCTTGAATTGATTTCTAAAGCTGATAATGATGGTTATATCTCTCAAATAGGTAGTCTCACTGTAGAGAGAGTTTAGCAATCTGTCACGATCTGAAGGTTGTACTGATTTTCCATTCTCAAAGCACAAGGTAAACTTTTCCCATGCTGCCAAGTTGGTTGATTTGTTTCGTTGGCAAATATTATTGGCCTTTCTACATGACAAGTAGAATTGATCTAATTGATTACAAACAACTCTCTTCAATCCAATATCTTCACCAATTCGAACTGGGAAGTTTTGCAACTCCTCATTTGGAAGAGTCTTGATTGCAGAGACAGCAATTGGTTCTAGATTTTGATGATCGCCATCACCAACAAATCCCAATTGAGGAAAGTTACCATTAATGATGAGATACTTTCCACAACTCTCCTTTTTTTGATCTTGATCTCTCACAAAGTAAATATGAACAATCTGACCATAACACACTGGGCTTGTCTTGCTAATTTTGCTATTCGCAGGTTGCATGACAAACACACCATAATGAGATGGCGATGAAGCATTCTCGTACACAGTCTTTACGTAATCCTTCACAGTGGAAGCATCAATATGAGAGGTAGCTCCCATCAAGGCACCTCCTGAAGGCTTTACAGAGCTGCTGCTTTCAGAAGCAGAGATTTGAACAAAGGCGTTCAAGAAAGTCTTTGCTGAATATTCATGAGTATTGAAAGTGAGCATTCTTCCATGAACGGATTTCATGGTGAACGGTCTTCCATAGGTTAGAATGAGTGGATCGGACGCATCGTTATTGTTGCCTTCTAATAGACGCATGATGATGATTCAAAATTTGTTTTTGTAAAATTGAAAATTAATGATGATATGGATGATGGTAGCACCAAAGGAAATAATACAGGTCAGAAATAAATTAGAGAAAGAGAGAAAGAGAAGGATAGAGGCGAGAGTGATGATCAGTCAATGCAAACAGTGATGATCACCTGAAATATTTTTTTTTAAAAAACTTGAAAATTCACCTCATAGAAAATGTATGCAGTTGCATCTTGTCGCATGAAGATTCCATCTCCAAGTTGAATGTAATGATACAAAATTTGTGCACTTTTTCTAAAGATAATAAGGGGGCTTTCATAGCTTTTTGGAGTTTCTTTCGAATTTTGTCTTTGTCGACCTCAAAGAGAACAATCAAATGCAGAAATATCGAAAAAAGAATTTTAAAAAAAATGAAAGTGTAGGTTTTGATGAATTCACATTCACATCAATGTTCGTGTTAAAACGAGCGTTTGATAATTATTGTTTATGATTTGGATGATTGTTTTAAATTATTGTATGCACAATGAATGTTGTGAAATCCTATGATCAAATTTTGATTCCGGACACAACAACAATAATTTACATTTGAAATCATCGCCCCTTCGGAATGTTGCAATTATTTAAATTATTATTATAGTTTAAAGGTAGATGAATATCCGCTAACTAATTTCGAGGTGAAACAAGTGGTTGAACAACATTTTGAATTTAGAAAAGAAAAATTCGGTGTGAGAGAATTTAATTTTAAACGAAATAGAGATCCCTTGTTGGATTTTGAATGTCGTTTACTGTATTATTTTGACAAGCAAACAATAGTGAAATATCAAAATGAAGAAACTATTCGAAATTTACTTAAAGAGTTGGAGCCTTACCGTTTAACCAAGTTAGAAAAGATGTTGATGGTGAATAATCCTCCATCGACTCTTGTTGAAATTCACTCGGTATGTTTCAGAGATGTGAATGACTCTTCGCTTACCTCTACTATTTCATGGAAACTGGTATATCTTTCAAAATCAAACACCAAATGAAAAGATTATTGACAGTTGTGAGTCACGATACAATGAAGAGGACATTTTGAAAATGCTTGAAATTATTAACACTAATTTATTGAAAACACCAACTGCATCTGCAATTTCTTCAGATAGCTCTGAGAAGAAAAACAAGAAAGACAGAAAGTCCAAAAACAAGGCTGGCGAGAGAACCACTTGGTATGAATTCATTTCGAATATTGATGCAGCGAGAAAAAAAAAGCAAGATGCTCAAAACAAACAAAAGGAACAAACTAAGGAAGGCACTAGTGGAACCAGCACAGACACCACTCAAAAAAGTGACGTGATGGACATTCTGTAATGAACACGAATATCTTCTAGGTCGTTTCTAAAAGTGACACCAAATAATATTTATGCCCATAATGATATGTGTTCTCGTTTCGTGAAATTACTCAGTTTTACGGCTGAGAGTTTGCCATGAAAGCAACTCTTGAATATAAGGAGAATCCAACTCTGAACTTTTCAAACTCTCAATAGCTTTTGACATGACTTTTGTAGCCTTTCTCTTTTGTTTCTCGACCATCTCAATCTTTCCATTCTTATCTAACAGATGCAAATCAAACAACTCCTTTAAAGAGGTACAAAGCTCCCTAAATACTCGTTTGTTTTTGCTCTCCTCAGGAATTTGTTCAATGAGCTCATCCAGGAAAATGAAGGGTACACACACCGCTCGTTCTAAATTATTATAATTATTGAAAAATATATCCTCATCTTCATTCTTAATCATTGGGAAAACAATTCCCGAGTTGAAATACGTCGAAAAGTGGGAGAATTCATAATTTTTCATTCCTGTCACTTCTAGAATCTCACGACCCGTGAAGGTACTAACAATAATTTTTTCGAGTTGATTGTCAGTATTTTTGAGATTCAATTCTATAAAATTGTACTGTCTCTTGATCTCATATTTTGTTCTCTCAACAGCATATTGAAAATTGCAAAAATCTTTGTGCAAGTAATGTACAGATGCAATAAATAATAGAAAATATTCTAAAACTAATGGATGTCCTCCGATAATCCCTAGAGCTGTTGTTAATGCTTTTGAGCTTCTCCAATTAGTCTTATCAATAAAATGACCATTTCCATTCTCATCTTGAATCACAATGTGACCCTTCTTTTCAAACATGTGATCAACTATTTGTTCTACCTGTTCTTTAGTGAGAAGTGGGAATTGGGACGTTGTAAAAGTTTCGTTTTTGTGGTACGAACTACCTGCATAGGTTGGCCGAGTGGGTCCTAATTTGTGAACCCAGTCATCAACCATGCCTTCAATATTTGTACCAATCATGATGGGTGCATAGATTGTATTTGTTCCATCCTTAAATATTGAAGGTAGATCATTATACACTCGAACTAACACGCTAAATGGTTTAAAAGTATAATTCTCAATGGTATATTTCAACAACTCATCACAGTCGTCAAGAATCATGAAAAGAAGTAATTCCTCATCACTAGTCAGTCGAGAGTCATATCTAATAATTTCTGAAGCCAAGCTAATATCTTCAGGAATAAAGTGAAAGCAATTATCAAGAAAATGTCTGTATGGCATCACAAATGGGTTTTCAATGACTTGTGTGAAATATGAATAGATCATTCTGGCAGTGATTAGCTTTTTTGATTGTTGGTAATGTAAGATTTCTTGCGCTCCAAACATGTCTTCCTCTTCCTCTAAAGAACACATATCCAAAAATGGTAAATATAAGTACATAACTTTCTTAAACTTGTGTCTATATTCTTGCGCGCATATTTCCACAGCTTCGATGGTATTCCTTGTTCGTCCAGTACCTTTTCCTCCATTTACAAAGAATGCAAAAGCATCTGCATTCTTAGCATCAAGAGCTGGCTGCTTTTTCACCTTCTCCAATCCGTGTTCAATATAAGATCTTAATTTGGTGAGGAAAAATTGATGAGGTTGATATTTCATCATGTCAGACATCTTTAATTGCGTGAAAAGATTCTCAGCAGCACTTGGAATTGCCGATATTTTCTCAACTTGCTCTTCTTCCATGGGATTAGAGAAAGGTTGTTGAAAGTATCTTCTCAAACTTTCTGCAAAAGTTTTGGCATCGAATGAAAATGTTGATGCTTCGCCATTGGATGGCCGAGGCTGTCTTGTGACACTTGTTACATTAGTATGATAAGATCGTTTTCGATGCGCACCAGTTAAATTCAATTCGTGATTGGTTTCTAACAAACAATAATCATTTTTCTTAATCTTGTTGTGTTGATGGATGGTACGATTTGCCGACTGACAAGCTGCTGCATTCGACGAAGAATTGCCAGAAATTCTCGATGATGGTAATACTCCAATGTTTTTATAATGATTATTATGATTGTAATTGTTGTGAGGTGTAGCTTCCGAGAGGAGATGATGGTTGGAGGCTATGCTTCGGTGGATGTGTCTTCTCATTTTTTAATGTTATGATGAATTTTGAAATTGTTAAGACTTATGGAATGTTGTGAAAATGTTTGATTTTGATTGAGTTTTAAGAGCTTACAAAAGAAGAGATCAAGGGTATGAATATTTTGATTCAAAACTTGTACACCTTTAACCTTGGTTTCGACTCCATTATGGATGATCTATGATTAGGACTAGTCAAGATGAAGTTAGGATAAATCAAGAGAAACAAAAGTAATTCCACTGAGGAAGTGCAAAAAACCTTCATCGTTTTTGCATTGGCGCTTCGTTGGATGAAATGGATGAAGAGGTGGGCTTAGATTGTTGGCCGACAGAGCCAGAGTTGGTGTTGTCACTCGATAAATTCTTCGCAACGGGGGTTCGTGGCAAAAATTGCGACGACGTCGTTGATGTGGGGTTTGATAGAACCACCATGTTAAATGAAAAATCCTCAAGCTTGGGTTTTGCACTGAATCTTTTTCTTGTGACTAACACGGCCAAATCTAAGAGTTGGTCTCCTTCTTGCATGCATGCTTGTATGACCATCTGATTCTTGGAGGTATTTTGCAGATTGGCAAAAAATTGTCCACCTTGAAAGTTTAACAATTTCGTAAGGATCGTTTTTTGTTGTTCTGGAGTCTTGGAAATGACAACCTTTTTGTATCTTCTCTTGTATTGAGTGACATACTTCTTAAATTGTTCCTTAAACAATTGATTTTTTAGGGTTGTATTGCCGTCCATAGAGTCGATTGTTGGTAGATTTTGTAAGGTACATGTTTGAATCTTATTTGGGTCATCCGAAGAAGAAGAAGCGAGCGATCGAGTGCTCTCTTTGCTGCTTTGGGTCGAAAGTGGAGAGGCAGGTGGTGGCATTTCACGCACATGAGCTTTTGAATTTGTGAGGATCCATTTGTTGTTGGAACCATATTCATCAGCATTCAGCACTTGTATCCGATGATCCTGTGGTACTCGTTCACTCTGGTTTGTTGTTGTTGAAGCACACTCGGTGGAAACTTGGGACAACAGATGAAGAGACGACAAAGGAGGTAATATGGTGGCGGAGAAAGATGAGGATGGTGATGATGATGAAGGACGGGATAACGAAGTATGGACATTATTTGTGGCGCATGTTGTAGTTTTGAAATTATTCATCACCATGGAGGGTTCCATTCGCTCCTTGTTGTTTTGGTCGTTATTCGTTTCGTTTTGGAGATCAATTAAATGATGATGATCGTTGTTATGATTTTTGTTACTATTGTTACTATTATTACTATTATTATTATTACTCTTGGATGGTGTTGATGAGTTACAACCCGAATCAGTATTCATAGTTTTTCTTCGCTTCCAACGAATCATATGAATTCAACAGTATTTAAAAACTCTTGTTTCGGAATCTCAATGAGTTCTCTATTATAGAATAACAACAGAATATTACAATAATGAAAATTTCTCGTTTCGGTCAGAACAGTGGCAAACGTTGTGAGAGAGAGTGGGAATGATGATGGTGCAGAGCCTGTGTGTTTGGTGTGGAGGTGTTTTTTTGATCTGTGTGCTTTTGAGGTGATCGGCCCAAATTTGGACGTGTGGCAGACGTCTACAATAGTTGAGGAATCCTTTGGTTCAAGCAGGCTGTGATCATACCAAGAGATGAGGGATATATGGCCATGAGGTCTCACGAGACCACCTCCAAGTTTCACACAAACAACAACAAATTATAATTGTTTATTTTCGAATACTGCATTTGTGCTGGTATTGGTTTGTTCAGCCAAATACAATTGATGGTTCTTGATGTACTCTGCCACCTTGTCAGCCACATAATACTTGATGGAGTGATTTCTTCTTACAAGTTGACGAACTTTTGTTGAGCTCACATCATTGATGATCCATTCTGGAATGACGTGAATGTTTTTCCTATACTTGTACAAGACATCATGTTCGAATATAATTTTCGAAATTGAAATTCCATCTCTCTCAATGCAACACACTCCATACGTGGAAAGAATGTACTCGACTTGTTCTGGAATCCACACTCCCGGTTTCACAAAAGATTCCAATAAATCAGCTCCACACAATAACATAATTCTCACTTTTTGATCATCACTATTGCCAGAAGAAAGAGAATAAAACTTTTCAATTTCTTCTGTGAAATGTTTTAACACAAATAATGTACGACTGTATTCGGTTTGATTCACTTCCCACATATCTAAATCCACCCAGTCCGAATCAGAGACAGCCAATTTACACATTTCCACTCGATGATGTGCCTCTATGAGAGTTGGTTTTCTTTTGGCATAGTCTTGATGAACTGGAGAGATGAAACCACCCAACACAGAAAGCTTCTCTTCATTTTGGAGATAGTCTCGAGCTGTTTCAAACATTCGGAGGTGAGAATTGGTGATCGGATTGAAACTTCCACACGCAATGAGAATGATCGATGTGTTTTGAGTGCAACTACTATCAGTAGTGGTACTACTCGGAAGGGGTCGAAGTTTGTGAGTGGGAAAGACATAGGATGATGATGACGAGGAGGAGGAGTGTTGTTGAGACATTTTTTGTGGTTCGGAGGCAGCTGTGTCACGCGTTGCCAATAAGGTTCATCAGTGCCCATTCTTTCTTTCTCAATAGTGGTATTAATATTAATAGGATCTAGATCATGGATTGATGATGGTAGTCATTAGACACATTTAAAATTTTCCAAAAAAGAAACTGTCTTGGCTTTGGAAAAACAAATTTACCTACAACCTCTGCCAATATTGGTACGACCATCACCATCATCGTCGTTATGGTTCAACGCTTCACGAAATTGCGAGACGAAGTTGAAGTTGAGGAAGAGGACCCATCATCTCTGAAAGAGACAACAAATCCTGCTGGCAGCATCGGAACGAGTGCCAACAATAACAACAATAACGAGTCCTCTCTTTCTTTAGAAGTGAATTCTTCCACACCGTTCATTCTCCATCCATCGACTTTTAGAACTACAGAACTAGCAGCAACAACAACGACAACAACAACAAATGAAAAGAACAACCCAATGCAAACAATGCCCAGTGTTGCTAATGAAAGGCATCCCGAAATGAATATACTGGCTTCAACTCTCTCTTCTCCATCCGCTCTTTCTGACTCGTTGTTGAGTGTTTCAAATCCGAATGTGCAAACTCTTCACCGTCATCATCATTTTCATAACAACACTCACGAATTTCATCACAAAAATCCTCACTATTCCAAAGTGTCCAATTTAAAAGTTGTAGTGAGCCCACCAACGAATCAAGTTCAAGCTCGCTTGTTGCATGACTTTCCAAATGGTGGCGAACAACAATTTTTACACAATACTTATCATATGGAGAGAAATGATGAATTAAGTTGTACAAATGAGGGTTATGTAAAATGTCACAACTCTGTAAATATACACAACAACATTGATGAATATCATCTAGGTGAGGTAAATTTGCGAGAAAAAGGAAAGATTGTGCTTGGAGGTAATAGACCACAGCATTACAATAATTTGGACGATCTCAAAGAGGAATCATTTCACATGGGAGATGAGGAACAAGATTATGATCTTGTCACTGATAAATCTCTGGACAAAATTGAATCAGTGAATTCCCTTAACACAGCTGGAAGTGAGGAGGAGATTAAAAAATTAACATCCAATCAAAAATCTGCCTTATATGCAACCAATGTAAAAATCGAACAGAAAACGCCTTCTCCTCGGAAAATGATCAGAACAAAAAGTAATGTCACAGAATGCAGCACAAGCTCTCAGAGTTCGGCCATGGATCCCATCGACTCCAGTAGGAAGTCCGCAGTTCCTACGGGCATGTGTAAAAATCATACTGATGTGAAAGGCATTGACAAATGTACTTTTTGCAATGAGAATATTTGTCAAGAATGTAAAGTAGATCCGAAAGAAATTCCGTCACTTGTGAAAATTCTGTACCATAGAAATATGAGCAATGTGGTGTGCCATCAATGCCACGAGGAGCACCTTAAAGAGATCAATATTATTTGGTTGATTGTTGGAGGTATTTTTTTGGGGATTGTGTTCCCTCCATTATTAATTGCCGCTCCATTAATTTGCATTTTAAGGACGAGGAATAGGAAATTGAAAAAAGTAGGGTGGATATTGTTTTGGACCATTTCGTTTGCAGTATTCGCATTAATACTGATAGCATGCATATCAGTTATAATACTCAAACATGTTCATGTTTTTTGATTTCATACTAGAATCTACAATATAATAACATCGTCACCATTGCTGCTATCACTCATAATGCTGTCGTTGTTGTTGTTGACGATAACTACATTATCAGGTGGAATGTAATCATCATCATTGTCATCGATAATAACTTCTGTGCACTTAGAATCACCAAGATCATCATCGCTAGAATCAAGTAATTCAATGGCCATACTGGATGTTCTATTCTCGTCGTCAATTAAAATTACTTCAGAATCATGATCGTGTCGATTTTTAAGGGAGATGACACCTGCACTTTTTTGTGCCGTTGAATTGGAATCAGTAGTGGAGGGCAACGGAAGACCAATGTTTTTTGTGTCCAATATCCCTCCTACTTTTCTCTTTGAATACAGTTTTGGTTTTTGTGAATTTGATGTGGATGGCATAGTGTTGCATTCTGATTTAGGTGATGATAATGACAGTGTTGACGAGGATGCAACTGTACTATTTGCTGAAACAGATTTCTTAAAGAAAGATTCCATAAGTTTTCTTGATTTTTCAATTCCAGAATAATTCTTTTTCGAATCACATGCTACTCCCTTCTTTTCTGGCTCCTTAATTTTGATAAAAGCTCCTCCACACTTTTTCTCGTGATCTGGAAACCAATCGTCGTATTTGTTTGGAGCACGATTCATAGCTCGTTTTACCAACATTGAACATTTCGTACATTTCCAATGATGTTGACGATAATAATCAACTTCATCATGAAAACTGTGATATATTGTAATGTGAATTCCAGTGTTTGCCTCAACTCGATTAATGTAATTCATCCACCATTTAAAATTATCTCCATGGCCTTCCCTGTCGACCACATTGGACTCTATAAAAAGAAAAGCATGAATCATTTCATGAACCAAGGTCGATATAGTGTCGATTGAAGGTCTAAATTTCAGTAACTTTTCAGAAAGTGAAATGGTACACACTCTTTGAGTCACCTGCTCCTGCTTTTTTACAACATCACCCGGAGTTTTTCCTGTGTAGGTTTTTGTGATGGTTAATTTTTGGTATTGGCTGTAACATATTCCAGCACACAAGGTCATTTTGTTGCTCCATCGTAATGTAGTACACGTGCTGAGTTTGTTTCGAAAATATTTCTGATCGAAATGTGTAAATAATATATGAACGTCGGGAGTTGGTGATTTTAATTCGGATAATATTATTGCATCGTTGATCATTTCCATGGTTTGATTTGAATAGATAGGAATGTCGTGACCCCGATAATGAGGAATATTTGATTTGTTTGCTTGATGATGACAATTGTGATTATCGGAACAAGTATTAGATGAATGTGAGCACGAACTCCCAGATACATCACGATTCAACTTTGAAAGGGATTGATGATTGCTGTTCGGACTCTGCGTGTCCACACGTGGTGGTTGTGTGAGCTTTAAAAAAACAGAACGATTTGATGAGGGCTGAGGCGGCATTTTTTGGTCACGACCCATTCCTCTCTCCTTATGAGGATGGAATTTCTTGGCGAAATCCAACGTTGGGAATGATTCGAGAGAAAAGGAGAAGGGATAGCATTGCCACTCTCGTGTCCCAAGTCGCTTGCGTGGTGAGTTTCCCCTTAATATATTCAACCAAAAAAAAATAGACCGTCCTTTGATCCTCTCCAAACAGATCTCAATTTGTTCAGTGCGCATTTCTGTTGGCCAACAGCAAACAAATAACGCACAACAAACGTAACCAACCGTTGAATTGCAACACCATCATCGTTCCACAGAGAAACAACGCATGATTCCGAACACCAACTTTTTCTTCGGGTCTAGTAATGTTAATCCCAACAACGTGAATGATATGGTGAATCAGCATCATCAGCAAAATACAACCACGACGACTACATCCACAAATCCAGAATATGAAGTTAGAAATTTCAGTTCACCACATATTGGCTCCCAACAACAACAGCTACAGCGACCACCACCAACAATGCCGATGAGCTTATCGTTAGGACAATACCAACAAGGCTTTCATCAGCAAGCTCCTTCATCATCTTTCATTCGGATCAACCCGAACACAACAACCACAACCATCATCAGCAACAATACTAATTTTAATAACAATGCATCCACACAATATTCAGTTACAAATTTATTTTCCGTGCCGTCATCAAGCATTTCACAACAACAGCAATTTTCACAACCTCACTTTTTAACAAACTCCCAAACCCCACAAAATCATCCTTCCATGACGACAATCATGACTCAACCACAAATGAATGAAATTATCAACCTACCAATTAATAGCCATCCACACAGCACTCTTTCTCCGCAAATACGACAACCTATTCTTCCACCACCTCCTTCTTTGAATATCCAGCAACAATATCAACATCCATCCGTCAATGCCACAGGTCAAACATCCATTCTCGACTCGAGTTCTACAGTTCGCGCAAGCGACCTCCTTGTAGCATCAAAAATTGACCAATTCTGTTCTCCTTTTTCATCTATTTCACCTCAATCGCTCAACGCAACTAGTTCATCAATAAGTTCAACATCTTCCTCTTCTAGTGGCTCTTCATCGTCGTGGCCTTCTACTCTCCAAGACCCCAACTTTACAAAAAATGTTCTAAATGTCACACAAGGTAAACATGAAACATCATGTTTATTATGCAAAATTCGACACAGAAAATGTGATTACTGTTATCCATTTTGCACCCATTGCTCCAAAGAGGGTCGAACATTTTGCTTGTATCTTCAAGGAAAAAAAACATCAAAACAGCAAGAAGAACAAGACCTGAAAAATGATATGTTTGTCGTAACAGGAGATGAGGAAGATAATATTTCTAAAAACATAACAAGAGAAAATATGGACACAATTTACAAAAATGTGCACAATAACATTTCTGGCATCAAATGCGGACCTGAAATTACTAGCAAGTTATCTTATTCGTTAGCCATGAAACTCATGGGGAAAATTCTTCCAGTGGCGGAACGAGATCTTCTTTCTCAATTACTGAAAGTTTCTCTTGCACCTCAAAACGAAAAATTTGTTGGAAATTTAGAATATTTCTACAAATATTTTAATACACTCGAAGATACAGATCGTGCCATGATGTATATTCTTCAATGTCTATGTTTACAAAGAATTGGAGAGAAAAAATTAGGAAGAGAGCAATTTGAAAAAGCTAGATCCAAAATGTCAACTATATTTGATCATGTGTCAAATTTCAAATTAGTGTCAGTTTATGCATTGGTGGTGGCCTATCTTGTAGGTAAGTAGCAACAATGGAAAACATTAAATGTTGTGATATTTCTTTATTGATTTTCAATGTCTCTAGGCGAAGGAGAAAAACAAAAAGCGGAATATTATTTAAATCATGTGAAATTTTATGTAAAAGAATTTCAGCCGACATCTGAGAACGCTCATTATTTATTGAGAACCGCTCTCTTTTCAGAGTCTTTTCTGCAAAGCAATAACTATGATCAATTGCTTACTCATTTCGAGAATATTCTAGTCTTTTTTACTCCCAAAGAGGCAGCATCATATAGTCTATCGGAAGATGCAGCAGAGACTGTTTCCAAATACGTCGCTAGTTCAAATGAGCAAATTTTCTCCGCAAAAGAGCCCAAAACACCAAATCCAGAAAAAGCACAACTAAAGAAACAACTGGCAGAGTTGAAACATTTTGTGGACAAGAATAAGCAAGAGTATCCAATTGGATTCCACCAATTATTTGATTCTCTGTCAACGAGTTCTGAAGGCAGTGAGCATGACGATGAATTTAATGACAGTCAGCAAGAAGAGCCAAATGAAAACGTGGAAAAGAAAATCAAACAAATTAATATAGCAATAGAAAATATCAAAGCAATTTTTGGAACAACAGATTACATTGGGAACATGTTCATGACATTTCTTTATTCAATTGTGATTTTGAGGAAGCATAGATCATTTAAGGGTGAAATATCACTTGAGGCCATCAAATATGCAGATTTAATCTCAAAAACAACGCAATATGACGATTTTATTTATTCCTCATTTCCATGCTCTGTACCAATTTCACTTGCTTGCAAGGTACATTTGCAATCACTGAAGAATATCTTAAACAACTCGACTTCACTCATTATTGCCGAGTATGCAGAAAAATTGATCACCTATCTTAACATGGATTATAATGCACTGAAAATGCTGGCCAATCGATTTCAGCTGGTAGATCAAAAGTACAACAAGCTGCTGCTGGAAACATTAGCCACGCTGGAAAATTTTCAACAAATGAAGGAGAACGACCCGACACGATTTATCTCATTGCAGCACCTTTCACAATACATGAACGTTTTCTAAGAATCTAGGACTCTTTTTGTGAACACGTATTCTTGGTGTATTGAGATAATTTCGATGATAATAATACCTAGAACTATCTGGGGCTGATTGGCCACCATGCCCGAAATCAAACCTTGTAGCGCCACTTTTGCATTTAAAAGTAAATGACCAAAATTTGGGTCTATAAAAGAACCTTAGATGGTGGCCATAGATGGATAGTATAAGGTTCAAAAAGATGATTTTCCATTAAAAGCGAATTTTGATCCACATAACATCTCCAACCAAAAAAATGCTCCAAGGATGCATCCCAACAATCTTAACTTCCCAAATCAACCACCGCTAGCGTCATTGCAAACACCACAACAACAACAAACGAGGTTGTTTCAACAACAACAACAACAATCACAGCCTTCCTCAACAACGGAACAACCTGGTTATGCAGTGCCCTCCATCATTTCGGCGCCTTCAAGTCTGATTGGAAATAGCCTCCGAGCTAGTAGTTTGTTGATGGCCCAAACAGACGATTCTCATCCACTCTTGTTTCCTGCTGTTGAAACAAAGCAGCACATGGGGCAAGAGAGAGGATCAACCATGGAACATCCATCATCAATGAGAATTAGTATTGAAAGAGTGGAATTTCCAAACACGCCATACACGCATGATGGCCAGTCTTTACCGAGTCATCTCGCACAACATCATTGTGAACATTTCAGTCAAACTAGAACTCATGCGTTCGAACGGCAACCATTCTCATCATCATCATCCATGCAACAACAATTTTTGTCACCACCAACTACCTCGACGAGTGGCTCAGATGGTGCATCATCAACCAACGTTTTGCCTCCAAACCAATATTTGGCTTCAAATTTTATGATGAGAGAAAGTTCTCATCAAACCCAAACGAACTCAACAAATTTACAAACATATGAACATCCATGTGCTCAACTTTTCAAAGCAGACACTTCTTGTTTGTTATGCAAAATACGACATCGAAAATGTGACTATTTATTTCCATGCTGTTCTAATTGTGCTAAAGAAAATAGATCATTTTGTTTGTACATGAAGAAACAAAGTCAAATTTCTCAATCTTCATCACCAATGATGTCTTCATCAGAATTTTTACTAAGTGATACAGAAGCAGAATCAATCTCATCTCTCCTCCCTAAAGAAAATATTGAATCCATCTACAAAACAATTTACAACAATATCAGTAGTTTAAAAAGCAGCCCAGAAATTACAAGCAAACTATCTTATGAAATATTTCTGAAAATTATTTTAAAAGTTTTACCAAGTACGGACAGAGAACAAATTCTTCAATTTATGAAAGTTTCCTTATTTCCTCAAACAGAAAAATTTGTTGGAAGCTTGGAATACTTTTACAAATATTTTCATGATCTAGGAGAAAACGATTGCTCATTCATATGGACTTGTCAAGCCATGTGTTTTCAAAGAATTGACAATTTTGCATTAGCCAAAATGCAGTACGAGAAAGCACGATCGAGAATGGCAATTGTTTTTGACAATGTTTCAGATTTTAAAACTATGTTAACTTATTCATGGTTAGCAATTTATCTAATTGGTAGGTTTATTTTAATGGACATAGTGATCACTCTCAAATTTATTATATCATTTCTCGATGAACATTGTCAATATTGATTCAATTTTCATGCGTGATAGGAGCTGGAGAGCGTCAGAAGGCAGAGTATATTTTGAATAATGTCAAGTTCTATGTGAAAGAATTTCATCCTGAAGCAGAACGTGCTCATTGTCTTTTACGAACGGTATTATTATCAGAGTCTTTTTTGAGAAGCAATTATCGAGATGAGCTACTCGAGAGTTACGAAACAGTTCTCATGTTTTTCACACCCAAAGAAACCATCAACTACAGCTTGTCACAAGATGCTGTCGAGAATGTATCAAAATATGTGATAAGCTCTAATGAAAAAATGTTTCAGTACCCAAAAACAACCAAAAAAAGTCATGAAAACTCTCTTTTCAAGGAGCAGCTATCGAAACTGAAAGAATTTTATGAATATAACAAGGACAAACAGGATTATCCTTTGGGTTTTCATCAACTGGTTGACTCTCTATCTTGCAGTTCTAGTAGTGATCGAGGAGATGAGTACTATCCAGAAAAACATCCTATTGAAGACACGGAAAGCTTGGAAAGTACCATCAGAAAAATTAACATTGCTGTGGAGAATATCAGAACAATCTTTGGAACCAAGGATTTTGCAGGAAACACATTCATGACCATGCTCTATGCCATTGTGATTTTGAAAAAACACAAAACATTTAAGGGTGAAATATCACTGGAGGCCATCAAGTATGCAGATTTAATCTCAAAAACAACGCAATGTGAAGATTTTAAATACTCATCGTATAGTACGGCTGTTCCCATCTCTCTGGCATGTCGAGTGCATTTGCAATGCTTAAAGAATATTCTTTCTTCCGTCTCGTTGATCATCACTGAATACGCAGAACGATTACTGACATTTATTCAAATGGACTATCGAGCACTCGATATGCTTGCCAGGCGCTTTCCTCTCGTCGATCAAAAATACAGAACTCTCTTGAAGGATGTATCAATGACAGTAGAGAAATTTGAAATGATGAGATTGAATGAGTCCTCTCGATTTGTCACTCTCGAATATATTTCTCAACATTTAGCTCTGTAGCGACGACAGAAAGCGCACGAGTATAATTATTCTTGTATTGGTGTACGAAATTCGTACTTGTGCGAGCTTTGGAACGAAATGGCAAACCTACCAAACAAATACTTCTTAATGGCATTACCACAAAAGACCATCGTTATTGTTGTCGCAATCACTCTCCTGTCTATTGAACGGATGGAAATGGAGCAATTCTACGACAATGGTCATTGCTTTTCTCTTAATGCAAATGTCGTACGTTTGCACTTTCATTTCTGTCGTATTAACCAATACAAAAAGGAACGAACTCCAGGTTTGTAGAAAATCAGCTTCGCACCATTCATGTGGTATTTCTCAAAATGGATGTGGTTGTTTCCATCCGAGGATCCATGATTTTCTCCTCGTTTAAATTTTCTCCAAAATGCCAACCGAAACTGCCGGATACTAAAGCGCAGCAATGGGTCTGCACAAACGATCATTAAATGCATCTCGAGGGGACGCCACCAAGTGATTCATCAAAAAGAAAACCACTCATCATTATTAATTGAACAACCATACAACCAATTTCTCTTCTGCCTTATTGATCACCACCATGATGATCACTCGAATGCCTTGCAATGAAACAACAACGATCTTTCCAACATTACTGAGAAACAACACCTTGACCAACAATCCAAACAGTTCAAACAGTTCGAATCCATATGGCAGTTGGTTTCTCTTCATGAAACAGTTGTTTCTTGATAAAAGTGTGACGGATCCTTTTACTCTCTTTGATCATTCATCGAACACACCACACACATTGTTCCCATCCCATCATCAACAACAACACCTCCCGAATGATGATGATCCATCATTGAATTGGATGATCAACATCACTGAAAATGTTATGAGCTGCAATACCGTTGCATCACTTCACACACAACAACAACACTCTTCAAACACAACAACAGCTGCCAACCATCCTTCCACTCAACCACAAACTCCCCTCGACAACCACAACAACGTTTGCCTCCGTGATTTTGATACCTTCTTTTCGGCCAATACTTTTTCAGAATATTCTGAAACGCCAGAGAACATTCAATGCATTGAGCAACTGAAGCAAGTGTTAATGCTGAATGGTTTTATACAACAACAACAACCAAACAGCAGCCAACTCTGTAGTCAACCTAACCTGAACCTAATCAATACAAATGTGGTGGCAGATCCATCTTTCGATTGGTTCAATGCCCTTTTTGATATCCAAGAAGAAGAAGATTCCAGTCTTCCTTCCTTTTCGGATTCGAGTTTTGGTTCAACAACAAGTCAAAATCATCATCCATCCCTCTCAACAACAATTCCTCCTGTAATAATTACCTCTTCCTCTCCTGTTTCTCCAACTGTGAACAACAATCCATCCTCTTTAAGAACATCCGAAAAGACGGAAAAACAAATAGAGACACTTTCGAAAGTGTCAAAACCTCAAAAGACGACGAGCAAGAAAAACAAACCTAGGAAAAATCCAAGACTGATTTTTGAAAAAGCATGCAGAGAACAACGACCTCTTGAGTTTGATGTTGTCACCACGGAAGAAATGGCTCTCAAAGTGTCAGGAAATGCCTTAAAACAAAGAGGAAGACCAAAGAAAAAGAATCGAAATTCATCCATCACCATACCACAACAAGATACTCAATCCTCAAGCAAGAGTCCATCGTCGTCTGTTCCTGTTCAGTTTGTTTCGAATTGTTACGATAAGTGCAGTAAAATTTTCAAATAATTATTGAATCAAATAATTCTTGTTGAGCTACAACTGGACAAGTGATATTTGTCTTGTCAATGAATGTTTTTAGAATAGGTATTGTGAATTATAACTTTTCAATACACCAATTGAAGGCGCTATCATGCAAACAAGAGAGAATGTTTTCAAATTCTTCTAGTTCTTTCCGATACACATCAAAGTCATCATCTCCATGAGCATTCGTTTCGCTCAATTCAACTGGAATGAGATACATTAGACTTGTTCCAATATAAATTCCACCTCTATTAGGTTTAAATTCAATATAATACCATATTTCATGTTCTTCAACAAAGTAAATCCTTACAGGATCCAAATTGGGCTTGGATGCTTTTTTTCAAAGATTTTGAAGATGATTCCTCAACAACATGTTGAACCTCTTCTTCACAACTATCATCATCAGAGTCATTCCTTTCCAAAGTCTTGATCGAAACATCCTGAAATCCAATACCACCTTTGATTTTCAATACAGGATCAGGATGTACCAACAATAAAGGTTTGACGAGAGTTTTAAACTCATTCAAAGTTATCTTCTCCTCTGAATGAATGTTCTTTTGATATTCCAGAATCAAGGATTCGAGTGTTCCTGAACGATATTCTGGTGGAGAGTGTTGCCGTCCTTGTGAAGCAACTTTCGGAAGGTTGGAATTCGGAATGCCTCGAATAATCATACAATCATACAAATCATTCAACACTTGAATCCATTCCTTGTCCAAATAACGAATCTTCCAATCATCGTAAAAGCAACCCAAATCCTCAAGAGTGGTGTATTCCTTTCCATCCGATGGATTAGTGTGAATCCATTCCTCTAGATTTGCAAATTCAAAATAACGATGTCGAAGTTCCTTTCGATGTCGCAACACTTCACGAACGGCTTTGAGATCAATGATTGCATCTCCGGTGGCCTTTACGAATTTACTCCTATTGCCCATTTTTCTGTCGATGAATGAAATTCTTCAACTTGAAAGAAAAAAAGCTTTCAAACACTACTCGAAAAAAAAATGTTTTCGAATGTGGGTCAATCATCGGAACGGAGAACGGAGGACGGAAAGAGAAAAGATCACCATTCTCCTCCAATCACTCATTATGGCGATCATGATGATGACTCTGAAGAGCACGATGATTTTAAAAAAAGAAAAGTTTCCGAGAACGAGGATGATTCTAAATTCTCACAACAAGTCATTCACGACTTGATTGAACAAAAGAATTTTGAACAAGCCTTAAATTTATTGATGAAATGGATGAATTCGGATCGAGCAACTCCAGATGATAGTGTACACATCTTTGAATATTTAAAAAAAATGTACAAATTTGGATTTTCTGATTTTTCGCAAACATTTCGAGATTTGGAAGATGAACAACATCAAAATGATTGTAAAAAGTTACTTCTTGCATGCATGTATTGTGGAAGATGTGGACATGCAATTGATTATGAAAAAGCAAGATTGTTATTTCAATCCGATTCACTTAAATCTCATTACCTTTCTCAGAACATGATTGGAAATCTTTACTTTGAAGGAAAGGGAGTTCCAGTCGATTACTCAAAAGCAAAAGAATACTATGAGTTGGCTGCACATCAAAATTATTCGAGTGGAGTTCATAATTTGGGAAATGCTTATTACTATGGCTATGGTGTGACACAAGATTATGCAAAAGCTAAAGAATGCTTTGAGAAAGCGGCTGAAAGAGCACTTTTTGAAATGACATGTCGTCATCATTTTTCCTTTGAAAATCATTATGCAGAAGCATTGTGTGCACTAGGAATGTTGTATCAGTATGGAATAGGAATTGATCAAGATTTTCACAAGGCGAAAGAATGTTATGAAATGGCATCAAACTATTGCTCAGCCAAAGCATACTATAATTTGGGTATCATGTTTAATTTAGGATTTGGAGTGGATCTTGATTACTTGAAAGCGAAAGAATATTATGAGTTGGCTGCAGCACAAAATCACTCTCCTGCCATCAATGAATTAGGAAATTTGTATTTTAATGGCGATGGAGTCGATCAAAACTTTGAAAAAGCCAAAGAGTACTACATGCAAGCCATACAACTGAACAATGCTGATGCCACCTTTAGTTTGGCAGAAATGTTTGAAGATGGTTTGGGAGTCACTCAAAATATCGAACAAGCTGTGAAATATTACAAAATGGCTTCCAATTTAGGACATCCTGGGGCTCACTATCATTTAGGAACCATGCATCGAGATGGCATTGGTATGTCTCAGAATCTCACTCTAGCAATTTACTATTTCGAGCTAGCTGCCAAACAATGTTTTTTCGATGCAGATGAACAATGTAAGGATTTGAGGTGGAAACGATTTTGTTTACATTTCCACACTGGATTGATGAAACAAACAGAGGATGAAGAATCGAGTGATCGATTTTCAGATGTGACTATTATTTCGTTCGATGAGGAAGAGGAAAACGATTACTAGACAATGTATTCACGTGAATAATTTCACTATCATTGTACCAATCAGGAGACGTGTTGACAGCTCATGAAAGACTGCGTCGTGTTTAGTTTCAGAAGGAAATAATTGTGAAAGTCAACCTTCGTCGAGCATGCCTCCTGTTTCATCGGAAAAATAGCTTTTTTCAAAATGCGATATCCATCATCAGCTTTCAGTTACATGATGAACCAAAACGACACAAAAATCCAAATCACAACAAAAATATGATACGCGTCCCTCACAAAAAGGCCAACACTCCCTTTTTCTCCAAGGCCCAACTAGTCTCGAGCAATGATCATGATGAGAAGGACGAAGACGACGAAAAGGACGACGACCAAGAAGAAGAAGAACAGAATTCATCTCAAACATCTGTCACTTTTGAGGAAACATCTCACCACTCCTCTCAAAACTCTGGAACTTCTTTTTCGATCAATGATGACAGCAGGCAAATTCTTGAACAATTAAAAAAGGACTGGCCAGCAACTCTCAAAAAGTTGAAACAATCCGACATGGTGACATTTAAGAATTTCACCATGAAGCAAATGTTTGACTTTGTGATGAAAGAAATGACCTTTGATGATGCACAAGATGAGAATTTTGTTACAACGACTCGGAATCTTGTCTCTCGATTGAAAACAGATTTCAACTTTGGAAATTCAAAGGATTCTTGTGTGTTAGGATCTGGGGCTTTTGGTACTGTCATCAAAGCTGAACATAACATCGATCATAAGACCTATGCCATTAAATTGGTCAAGTTGTCAAAATTAAAAGAAAACAAAAGAAAAGAAGCCATGAAAGAGGCAAAGAAACTTTCATCCATCGATCATCATCCTCAAGTAGTGAGATATTACAGTGTTTGGAAAGAGCCCCTTATCGATGAAATTGAAGAATTATTTGTTGAGAGAGAGAGTGATGGATCACAATCAACCAACGACGAGACGACCAACAACAATCAAAGCTCACTAAATGATGATGAAGTATTGTGTATTCAAATGGAATATTGTAGCAGTTCTTTGAAAACAGAAATTGCAAAGAACCTAAGAAGAGGACATGCATGGAAATATTTAATACAGATATTAGAGGGACTTGCCTTTTTGAGCGAATTTTCGATTGTTCACAGTGATTTGGTACGTTTTATTGAATTGAACTCATTGAATGGATTTTACTCAGGTAATTGTGCACAATCATGATCGAATCGCTTTTGTGAACGACCATGCCTATGATCATGTGCATTTTAGAAACCTGATAATATTTTAATTCATGAAGGAGAGGTCAAACTTGGAGATTTTGGTTTAAGTTATAGCTATGATGAAAGTCATAAAATTGGATCTAGTCGAGGTACACAATTTTACGTTCCAGAAAAGGAACCTCGAGAAAAGAACTTAAAAGTAGATGTGTTTAGTTTAGGAGTTGTATTTTTCGAAATGTATGTCATTTGGATAATTTGGAATGCACAATGTCATGATTGATAATTATTTTATTCTGATAGGCTCTCATGTTTCACAACAGAATCTGAAAGACGTGTGAAATTGAAATCGTTGATTGCCAATCCTCATTCAGAGTTATCCACATGCGATCATTTATTCAATGTAGAAAAAGAACTCATTGCGAAAATGCTTGATTCAAACAAGGACTCAAGACCAACAGCAAAAGAACTTCTCATGTCTTTGACAACTCTGACTTTCAAATGCCCAAAATGCACCTCCAGCAAACCCATGTATGGTGTTGCACCATGGATTACACACCTTACTGGAAACACTCACGATCCTCTTCCCACACTGTTAAAGGGACTACTTTCAGAGCCAAATCACGAAAATTCAGTTCAGCAGTTGAACGAGATGTGCCAAAAACTAAAAGGCCAAATGGCATTTTCTGAACAGACAGATAGCCATGGCAAGTTCTCTTTAACAGTAGTTGTTACTTTTGGAAAATTCACCAAAAGAATTTCGATTGCCTCCGTCACGGCAAAGAGTTTGTTTTTTAAAACTAAAAAAGATGCCAAAGAACATGCATGTCGTCAAGCAGTGGAACAAATCATGCAACAATTGAGAATAGTAAATAATCAATTGTGACTTTAAACAACAGAGATCTGCTCAAATGATTTTCAGCTATCATTCTTGATATTCCACTGTTCATAAAGATTTATTGCTTGACTTTTTTCACATATGGCTCCCCATTTTGTCCGCCTTGTGATGTATCATGAGAGCCATTGGCATCTATTTCTTGTAGAGACCTCTTGTGTTGTTGTTGACCACTAGTGCTACTCGAAGAAGAGTTTGCTGGAGGTGATGATTTTGCTGCAAAGACAGAGTCTGCTAAATTTCGTGCCTTCTCCATGAGCAATAATCTCTCTAACAAGGCTGAGCCACTGCAGACTTTGATCAAATCTTCGGGAGAGACTTTGACTGTTCGAGTCACAACATATTTGCCATCGATTGGATTGAAATAAGTTTCAACTACTTGATTATGACTATTTCTAACATGATTCAAATCAACTTTTGAGTCGCCGACGAAACAATGAAAATTCCAAGAAACTCCCTCATCGGCAATGCAATACTGAAGAGAAAGGGAACTCTGATAGTGAGCAAGTTTGAAATAAGCAAATGCTTTCAGCTCAATAACTTTTGCTTCATACTCGCGTAAAAATTGCTCCCTAGAATCTAATATTCTCATATACTTTTTGCTGTCATAAGAATCGCCTGGCAATAAATAATATTGCAAATCGTCTACGGTGACATTCTCAAGCATGTTTTCGAGCGTATTCGCGACTGTTTTGAATGCGTTGGGTGTGTTTTTGTCCTCTCTGATAAGAAGGAAATACCATCCATCATGATTAGCCAAATCGTATCCACATTCCGCAATGAGAGCTTCATTTGCGTCAAGTCCTCTAAATCGAGCAACAAGACTCTCTGAAATATTTTTCACTTGACATACAGTGAAATGAGTGAGCTTTCTCTTAAATTGAAAATAAAAATAAAAGCAGTTATCAGTAGAAGTACGTGCATGCTCGACGATTTCTGAATTGTTCACAGGACACACCAGAAAATCGCATGTAAGCTTGTTGGGCCATTTCCATTTCATCAAATAGTCATTAGAGCCTGGCTTGAACGCGCTTAATTCTCCTGACTTTGGAGTAAATATAAGTCCATCGTTTTTGTTATAGCCCTTATAGATGTACTCGCCTGTTTTTGGATCCTCTTTGATGCAATTCAGAACTGTCATGAGCTCTGTCTTGTCATAAAAGTGTTTTCGAATTAATTTGAGACATTTGGGGCTGGGTTTTCGCAAAACTTTTTGATAGTAGTAGTAGTGAGGGTCAGTGACACCGCTTGTTATTTCTTTGTATCGAGTTGTCATGGATTCTTTTCGCAACGACACAATCTTATCAATAGTAGTATTTGTTTCTTTGTGAATAAATTCCTTCACAAAGCTAATCACATCATAAATAGAATAGTTATATCTTTTTTCTTGAATATTGTAAACAATCTCTCCGTCCAAAATTACCAAATCTTGGTATTTCACGTCTGCTACCTTAACAATCTTGCCAGAAATGGTACTCTTTGTTGGAAAAACAATTTCTTCTAGGCATAAATAAAATTCAAAATTTCTGTCAAAAAAGAATGAAAAGCACCATCCATTCAGCCTTTTCAATGTTCTCTGCATATTTGTTGCTGTGTTCAATAACTGAACAGTGTTTGTTCTTCTATTGTAAAGAAAGTTAGTGTTATCAAGAATGGTCAATTGCAGAACAACATCCTCCTTTGCACTTTGCTTTGCATGATGATATGTACATTCAATGGCACAGTTTTGCAATAAGTTAAACTGGTCTGTATGATCGTCTTCGTAAACCCAACGAGGAAAATTCTTGCTGCATAACATCATCATCATGGCTCGGATTCCGTCCGATTTTTCTGTAATATAGTAGTCATTGTTTCTCAGTTTTTCAAGAGAGGTCCTCGATATTTGAACAGCCATCGGACCTGGAAAATGATTGGGATCATTGAGCTCCAGGTTTTTCTGCAATATTGTTTTTAATTGGTTGGATCCTCGTTCTCTTTCAATGGAATTGCTTGCATTGTTGTTATCAATCATCTCTTGCAAGGCTGCAAATGCGTCATGCGGCCCGCTTTGAGATAACACGCACTGAATGAAACTACTAGATATTCTGCAAAATTCGTTTGGGTTCAAACTCTCCATTGTTTCTCATATATGAAGGAAAAGTATTTATCGGGAAGGAGATGTTGTTGTTGTTGATTGTTTATATTCGTGATGAAGATGATGAGAAAAGGAATGATTTTAATGTTGCTCACAAGGAATTAAATTGTTGTACAACAGTACAAGCAGCAATTGAGAACACACTTCAATATTCTGTATTGTACGGTGTTGTGGTGTACGCACGTTCGGTAAGTTCAATTTTTTTTGAGTTATTTTTGTTTTTTTCAATTCAATAAAAAATTATATCATCAGGAATTCTTTTCGAACGCAAGAATAGTTTAGTGAACACCCTGCATGACATTAAGATGATGAATTGGATTGGACATAAGGTTTCGAAAATTACCGGTATGGAATTTGAGATTGTTGAAAAGACTTTGACCAAAATGTCAAAATTTACAAAATGGAAGAATGTAGGGTTATTATCGCAGAGAAAAATGGTCCTTTGAGAAAGGTATTATTATCATCATTACAAATATGAATACAATAAATATTAGATCAATGTGAATATAATAAAATTCACATCTCACACATTTTTCACACCAGGATTGGCATCTGTTTGGAACATTGGTAGAATTGTGGAAGGTTGCTTTTTTCGTCGACTCAGTCTAAGAACGAGTGAAAGACAAACACAACCAAAGATTGAAAGCACCATAGCAAATAGTGGGAATATCCAAAATGGAGCGATACTTTTCGGCGATGCAGGACTATCGTTGCGTCCTTTGCCATTCTTCTCTACTTCATCTTCTTGAACAATGTCAATATTAGATTTATCCTCTGTACGCAAGTCATCTTGTGGCTTCTTTAGAGGTTCACTAACTCCCTCGTCTTGCTTGGAGTCTTCGTCGTCTTCTTCTTCCAAACCAAGCTCATTAATTTCTTTTCCTTCAGCATCTTCATTTTCAGCCTCTTTTTGAGAGATTGGTACAAAACCTTTTCCACTAAATGTCATGGCAACAAAATATGACTTTATGCTCGATCCTGGAATGATCACACGGAACACAGGATCCACCACAGATGCGAGAGCAAGTGTTTTTCGTTGTGCTGGATTTTTGTTCATTTCAGCAATTGCTTCATCGGATAAAAAGACACCTTCTTGATCAGTGTTCTGTCCACCCTCTCCTGATAAAGTCACTTCCTTAGTAAAATCAAATCTTATAACTCCATCTCGTTTAAATCTTAACTTTTTTCTTTCCTCTTGAACATCATAAATAAGATTCGATGAACGTTCTCTGATATCAGAAACTTCAATTCCTTCAGAGAAGAGATTTGAAAAGTTGATGTCTACTTGTTTGGATGGATGGAGATTTACAAATCGCATTGAAACCTCATCGGATGAGATACCTCTTGTTTGCATTGTCAATATTTCTGCATTGGTAGGGAAGTTTTTGTTGAATATATTGAACGATCCAAGAACTTCTCCATCAACCATATAGCTAGGAGGTTGTCTATTGACAAGCAAGCTCTTCTTATGCATGCTAACAAAGTCGTCATTGCTTGTACCAATCAAGTAAGAAACGGAGAGTCTGAACTTGAGAGGTGACTGGTCATTGTTGGCTTCTGACATTCCTCTCATGTCATCCTTCATGAGTCTTCTGTGAACCAGGAATTCAATTTCATTGTTTTGGGCAGTAACGCCCATGGTATGATCTGTTAGGATGGAAATTTGCTGAGAATCAGGCATCTTCAAAAGGGCACCCGAAGTTGAAGGATAGAAATGACCAGGATGGGGTGCAGAAGGATGGATAACTCTTTTCACAAAATTAAAGCCATCATAAACAATCAAATTTCCTTTGTCTTGCCTTGTGCCAACTCCAAATCGAGCTACCGTTTCAGAATTCTCAGGGAGAGGCGATAGTTCAAATCTGTAATCAATAAACTTTTCTAACACGCTATCTTTCATATTGTGAGGTAGTGTAACGTAAATTTTTACACGCTTAGTATCTACCAATATCTTGTCCATAACATTTCCCTTTGAAACGTAAACAAAGGAAAGAGATTGTTGGCCTAATGGTGAGGGACCATCGTCATTAGGTCTAAATAAGTAACTACCACTGTTTTGTGTTTTGTACTCCAAGAATTGATTTTTCGTGATGTGCTCTTTTCCATCATGTTTGGTGATTACCTTATTGACATATCCTGTATTCTTGTCAATGGAGACAACATAAAATTCATTCTCGATAGTAAGGTCACTACTTTTAGCTGAGTCCAACGACTTGACTTGAACATTAGCTTTCTCAAACTTTGAATAATGACTGTCTTGAGTGCTCACATAAAGCACATTTGTATCAAGCAAATCTCCTTCTGTATCCTCTTGGCATTGGAAGAATATTTTTTCAAAAGCAAGACCATCAATGCTGGCCAAGAACTGAACAGTATATGGGAATCCAGAAGCTTCTTCTTGAGGGTTATGTACGTTGGGTATCACTTGATAATCTATCTTTTGACGAGCCGAGTCTTGTACTTTGGCATTTGTGCATTTGGTGTTCACGCTAATTATTTGCTTCACTGCATGAGATAAGCTATTATAAATGACAATAGTGTGAGGTTTTCTATCGGAAACTTCTAATGATTCGAATAGAACTTTGTCTGAAGAAATTTCTAGTACATGCTTGGCGAGAGATTTGTGAAGTGATCTCATGTCTTGAATGGCTGAGGCTAATTGAGACATGTAGTCATTATAGACATGTTGCCTACAAGTACCTGTAATTGAATCATGATGTTGCACGAGTGATACGGTTTGTCTTGATCTTTGAATGGAGTTATATGTTGCAACCCAATCGAAAGCAGTTTTTTGATGTGTCAATTTCACTCTAGCAAGCGCATACAGCATTTCAGTGGTGGTAAGAATCGATTCTGCAGTTCTGGCTGAACGTTTTAAATTTGGTAAAGATGTATAATATCCTGTCCAGTACGAGTCTGGATAGTCTGCATAAGGTACAAAGTCCTGTTTTACAACTGGGAACTTTGTATTTGAGCCATAATTTTTGAAAAGTTCTTCAAAGTATTCCGTTGCAGTGGAGTATTGTACCTTCATTCCGAGATCATGATTATTGATATAATCGATAATTCTATCCATGCTTGAATATTGGGCATGAGCATTCCTGAATTTGAAATCATCACCAAAAGGTACAAATATAAAATTAGTTCGATAGTTTTGAGCTCGTTTTCGCATGTCCTCAATAAATTCCATGGATTTTCTTTCCACGTTGTGGTCATTCACTTGTTCAGCTCCTGGTTTTTCAAAATCGAAATTCCTTGGGCTGGAATAGTGAGTGTGAAGAACTTCTGTGAAAATTGTTTTGTTGTCACTAATGTTCCAAATAAATTCTAAAGCTCTTTCGTTTTTCATGACACTTTTGATTGAGAAGTGAACTCTGTTAATAACTAGAGCATCGAAACCCATTTGGCTGAAAATTTGTGGAATCCTACCATCGTGTCCCTAATGATGAGATTGTGAGATTTTAATAGTTCAATATTAATTAATTGCAGTTACTTACGAATGGATCTATGTGCACAGTCAGAAAAGATGCATAACAAATAATTACATGAAAACATACCAATTTGCCAAGCTACTCTAGGTCTAATACCAAATCGACGTAATAAATATTCGTGTCCAACTGTCATCGAATTAATAATTGATGTATAAGAAGCACAAGCTTCATCTGTTTGAATCCAACCGCCTCCTACAAATTCGAATCGATTTTGTTTAATCATTTTCTTCACGATTTGCTGTCTCGAAGCTGGTTGTTGCTCGAACCATTCTTTAAAGTACAGCACATCGCCCCATACAAATTTGGCGTGTGGTCGTGCAATGAGTTGCTCAGTGATGCTATCCAGAATGAGAAAGGTTTCGGATTGATATTCTCGCACTGTTCTGAGCCATCCTTGGTCAATATGTGAGTGTGGAATGACTGTGAAAAGTTTTGTTTATCAAGATTAAATGACAAATTAGTAAACTATTGCTTGCAAAAACATACTGAAAACTCTCAATTCTGAAGAAGCTCCATTTACTCCTTCCCAAAATATACAACCAAACAGCGCCACAATCAAAATTATTCCAATCAAACGATGCCCCAATCGGAATTCGTTTGTATAATTATTAAAATGATCTGAGTCTAGTTTTTGTTGATTTTTCATAAAATTCCATGAGGAGGACGACGACGATGATGATGCATTCATATGTATGGACACATTTGATATCCATGATGATCCTGTTGTAGAGGCAATCACTCGTAATCCCGAATCACCCATTTTTTAATCGCAAAGAAGAGGCTCTTGTTGTATTCAAGATCTTGTAACAACAACAACGAAAAATTTTCTGTAATGATCATCATCAGATCATGATGAAGAAGGGCAGTAAGAATCTCCCCGATTTGTTGTTCTTGTCATCCCGAGGCGAATTCAAAATCTCCTCATCACCAAAAACAATCATTCTAGACCACAGAAACGACGGTGCAATTTTAATGTTGAACAACAGAAAAAAATGTTGCCAACAACAACTGCCTCCGAAGAAGAGGAAGACTGTCTTGACAGTGGTAGTCATCATCATCACCATGCAGTGGATAAATCAAATAGAATCATTCCGGATACGAAATTGGGAGGTTATGAGTTTTGGAAGTCTATCGGATCGCCTAAACATGTGGTCGCTCCTATGGTTGACCAAAGGTAGGTGTTTTTATCATGAACATATACATACATATGTGATTATTTATCATCGGTTCATTTGTGAAGTGAATTGGGTAGGTTTCTTTTTTCAATTTTATTATTTACATTCATTATTATTGTTCAACAAAATATTGCAATGAATGTTGACGCTTTTTACGCTCAAAATTTGAAATATCATGAATTAATAATTATTATTTGAACTGGCTCTGTCTCAACAACAGCATTCCGAATTTTGGCACATAACCACGGAGCTCATTTGGCCTATACACCCATGTTTCACAGTAGAGTTTTCATGAATGATGAAACTTATCGAACACTTCATTTTCAATTTTTAGAAAATGAAGGACCAGTTTTTGCACAATTTTGTGCCAATGATCCCGATATCTTTGTCGAATGTGGATGGTTGGCATGGGAAATGAGTAATCACAAAATTGCAGCCATCGACTTGAATTTGGGGTAAGCAGAAATTTCATTTTGCATGAATGTGTGAATTAATTATTAATGAATACGCTGTTTTTGTGATGACTGATACTATATGATATTGATTAAACGAAATAATTATTTGCGATAATATTTAAATCACAATAGATGTCCACAAAGAATTGCTAAAAAGGGACGATATGGATCATACATTATGGAAAACTTTGATTTAGTCTATTCTCTCATTAATATGGCTCATAAGGAATTACCAGTTCCAGTCACTGCCAAAATTAGAATTTTTGAAGATGTCGAGCTTACTTTGAAATATGTTGACACAGTTGTTTCTGCAGGAGCACAAGTGTTGTGTGTACATGGAAGAACACGAGACCAAAGAGGTCACAATCAAAACTATGCAGATTGGAATGTCATTAAATTGATTCGAGAGCACGTTCCTCAAATTCCTATTATTGCCAATGGCAATATTCGAATGTATCAAGACGTACTTGATTGTTTGGAATATACTGGAGTGGATGCAGTCATGAGTGCAGAACCCTTACTTTGCAATCCAGCTCTTTTCAATGGAGGCACACATATTTGTCCGATTGAACTCTGTGACCAATATTTAGATATTTGTGAAAAGTATCCAACTCCAGAACACAGCTTTGTGAAACGACATATTTTTCACATGCTTGATCGAGCAATAGGAACTCAAAATCATTTGAGAGCCATGCTTGGAAAAGCTCATAGCATGACACAATACAGGAATTTTGTGAATTACTTGAAAGGCGTAAAAGAAACAATCTGTTTAGATCCTCCTCAGTATGAACCTTCAATCATGGTCGTACGGGATCCTGCCAATCATCCCATTGATAAAAAACCAAAAGGACGAGGTTGTAGAGAAGTTGATCAAGATGAAGAAGATGTTTCCAAAACCTTAGATCGAATTGCTAATACATCAAGGTAGTCAACGATGAAAATAAATTTTTTGCTTTTCTAACTTGCGACCGTCCCGCCAAATTTTACAATAAATGAATTCGAGAGATTTCCGAACGAAGCAATTGTTCAAATACCACTCTTGAAAAAAATGCAAAAACACTTTCGGGTACCCTTGTTGGATCAATATCATTTGTTTGTGGAGGAGAACAGTGAGAGTATTGAAATTCCGAGAGAGGCTGGAGATGAGTTGTCCTTCTATCTGGAAGAAAAGTTGTTGGGTGTGGTAATTCCTGCTTTGCAAGATTTGGTGAAAGACTCATCTCTTGCATTACAACATGAGGACACAACAAGAGGGGACAATTTCAACCAAAATGAACATTTGAAATCGGAAATTTATTCAAAGGTAGATCCTTTCAATCGAATTGCCATGTATCTGGTCCGAAATAACCCAAAATATTCTTCGGAAATACAAAATCATCCATATTTTAAATTACTGAAAGAACATGTTGAACTTATTCGGCCGTTGATGGAAGCAAGCAGGAAGAAATTGGGAAAATCTCAAAGTGACGTCCAGCAAGAAATCAAAGAATTGGCTCTTCAAAAACTTAAGGATCAAAAATTGTAAAAACTCTCGTGACATGTTGAGCATTACGCTTATTTAAACAAACTTTTATTTATTATTCATAATCAAATATTGAAGTTGAATATCTTCCTGAAATATTGAGAGAATCCAAGAAAATATCAGCTTTTCGATTCTTTTCCAATTCATCTTTGAGATCTTTGGACGTGAGAGATTCCACTTCTTTAGACATTGCCTTAAGAGTGTTAACGGAATGAGTCATATGTTTCTTTGGTCCGCTTTGGGCAGTTCCACTATTAGAAAATTCAGCAGCTTTCTTTGTTTCCATTCGAAGGCGTTTCATGTATCTTCGAGCAAGAAAGGATCGCCATTGACTTTGAATTTTGGTTGCAGCTTGATCCCGCAAGGCCCTATCCTCCAAATATTTAACATACATCTCTTCGAGGAAAATTAAACGATCAGCCTCTCTTAATCTTTCCATGTATGCAAACGATAAATTCATCTTCAACACTCGTGGAATATTTTGGAGGGTGCTGTCCTCGCTGAAACGAATGGTGTGTTTCTTGTCATTTTCTCGTTTCGACTGATAATGCTGAACAAGACTCACAGCACTGTGCATCTTTTGTTTTCTCTCTCCTTTTTCATTCATAATATCATTCACGTAATCATTGAAAGATATTTGTGAGTTATGTCGAATGTCATCCGGCAGTAAAAGAGGATTTGAATATAAAGAAATTCCTACAATTTCGAAGAGAGGAGCTAACTCTGTCAACTTTAAAAAGTCCGTATCATTTCGCATTTTAAGCATATAGTTTTCTCCATTGTACAGAAAAACAGTCTTTTTAGTGAGCTGACTCCTCCACAAAATAATGGATTCAACCAACCCTATTGTCACATCTCGTAGATTGGCCACAATGGTTGGTATTTCATTCTTGATCATGGGATCCTGAAGTTTGCTCATGAGAGAGGAGCTACCAGGTCGGTAACCATTGAAATGCATGGCTATTTCTTTGAGCCTCTTAATATACACTTCTCTTTGTTCCAAGCTTGTCAACACACTGTGTTGAATGGATCTAACCCCAGTCAATCGGGTAATTTCTTTGAAAATAATTACATAATTTATCAGTGTCTCGGGATAAAAATGTCTCTTTGAAAACTCCCTTCTTTCAGAGTCCTCAATATTCATTTCGTCCCACAAATTCTCTATAAGTGATCTCGTTCTCAAAAATATTTCTCTGAGAGAATTGTCAAAAATTCCCATTTGTTGCTTTTCTCTTTTTTTCATGTCAACAAGCTCAATCAACTGGTTGAGCATGAGATTTTCCGTCAAGGAATTGAGCTTATTGTTGGTTGTTTTCTTGAGAAAAGCCATTCCATTTTCGTCCACTTTCTCATTAGAATGCAAGCTATTGTGGGATCCATTCAAGTGTTGGTTTTTACCAGCATCATCTTCCGTAGAAGTCTCGAAATTTCCAACTTCTCCGAATGCTGACAAGGGATCATTGTCGTCAAGTGTTTGTTGTTGATAGAGGAGAGCTTTTGGTCCAAGCTTTTTCTTTGTCAAATTTGACAAGTCACTCAAATTTCTTTGTGCTTCATAAAGTGTTCTTGTCAGAATTTCATTGAGTTGTCTCTGACTCTTTTTCAAGTTCTCCTCATCAGCCCTTCGATCATGAATATTCATGATGGTATATTCAATTTTTTCGTTTCGTGTAACAACTTCCTTGGCTCCAAAGTCAGCTCTTGATTCCAGCTTGGAGGAAAAGGACTTTTGGATATCATGACGGTTTCCCGAAACTGTGTTTGCATTAACATGTTGTCCCTTCATTTCAATCTTCCTTATTATCTTTCCGAGCAAATCTGTTTGTTCCGATAATATCTGAAGATATGATCAAGCAAGAAAGTTTCCTCGTTTCCTGTTGATCACCAACCATACAATAATAACTTCCTCCTCTGATTCTCTTATTTGGAGATCTGGTTAATCAAACGAATGCGTCTATAAGATGATGATGATCTTCAACGAGAGAGAGAGAACGTGAGAAATGTCAATCTGCGATGAAGAGGGTCGTAAATTTTCTTTTCTTCTTCAAATTTACAGAAGGAGGCCGCAAATCATTTGGAATGCAGTCATATGACGGCAGGTTCTATTGGGCGTACCATATCTCCATCGTTTACATGGAGCTGCTGATGTATCCATTCATTGTGATAGACCGGGATACCATTTCGAAAAATTTCTACATTCAACAATTCACGATCGTCTTCATCCAAAACGCACGATTGACTTCTCTCTCTCTCTGATCAATATGAGTGGTTGGACTCGCCAAGATTGGCTGGATCCGTAGTTTGAATTTGGCGCCAAAATAGTGCCAAAAAAAATAAGCGTAACTGATTGTTGTTGGCTCATCATCAAAACTTTGTACGGTCTCATCCGAGTGGTGTTGTTTGAAGAATATATCATCCTTTCATCATCGTTATACTACATAAATTGAAAATTTAAAACACCGATTATTCATGCTGTAAAAATACCTTCATCAATATCTCATCAATATAACAACACTACATCAGAAAATGAGCAATATTAAGGACAGCGGAGTAATGTTAGTGAAGAACGGAATTGATAAGAGAGGAACATATATAATGATGCCAAATCCTCCGTCCAACTCCATTAATTCGCCCGTTCAGCAAATAACTTCATCCTCTTCCTCAACACTTCATAGCCCACCACGAAAATATAAAGCACACCCAAGCGTCCCTCCTCTGGAAATTGACCAATTCAACAGCACAACATCCATCCTAAATGCTCTAATCTCTTCTGAGGAGTTGAACCCTTTTGCGGACCCAAATGCAGCCATCAAAAAAACCAGCCTCAACATTAATTTGAACGGAGTGCCATCGTCATCATCTGCACGAGTAAAACCATTGGCAGGACCGCCCTCAAGCCGAGGAACCAGAAATTCGTTGTCCAATATCGCCAATACTGCTCGATCCAACTATAAAACCACAACAGCTTCATCAACAAATAATAATGCTAATAACAACACTGCTGCTTCTTCTACCCTTACAACGCCTCGCTACCAATACTACCAAGTACAACCTCCTCAAATTGGAAGTATGATCTCAACCACCTCAGTCTCAAAAAATGGATCTCAAACACCACGTACTACTACCAACACAAGCCCACACTCAAAACCTAAGCTTAAAAAAACTCCCTCAAAAAGTTCAACACGATCCATCATTAAGAAACCATCCGAACCTTCTGTACCAACAGTGACAGCTAATATTGGCATGTCATTCATTTCTCCAAGGCCTCCATTGAACTCGGCACGAAAATCAGCCCAACAAAATGTAGTCACAACCGCAACATCTACCATTTCTCAACCACCTCAACTCCAACCAGAAGAGCAACAAAATCCTTCTGTTCATTTACCAAGTGGAGGAGCTAACGCAAGAAGATACAATTTTTCCCAAGTACAAACAATACAGTCGTCAAACAATACAAATCCAATACCACCAACCACCATCCAACAAAACAATACGGTGGGAAGTCTGAAACTGAATCTTAACCTACAACAACAAAATAAGGAGTCCACAATAGAATTTGAGGGTTTCGGTTCTGGAGTACCAGAGTCTGTAAAAACTGCAAGAAATGTCTCAAGTAAGCCACAAGCAACAATGCCTCTCAGCGCTAGAGCTTCCAACTACACAGTGGATACATCTTCAAATTTCCAACAATCATCATTTGCTAAACTTGAAGAGAAGCAAAAGACCATCTATGATCTTGCAGGAAATTCCACATCAGGACAGAGCTCGAGAGCTTCCTCTTCACGATCTTCGCGAGCATTGCCAAACACAACGGTCAATCTAAAGTTCATGGATCCAATCACTCCTGCGGCAGCTCTTAAATCATATGGGGATTATTTGACAGACTTTGAACAGTCAGAAATTTTAGACTTCCACAAAATTTACTGCATTGGAAGCACTGCTAGAAAAATTAAAGGCACCGTGAATGCGAATGAGGATATGAATTATGGATATGATGATGAAAGGGGAGATTATAAATTGGTACTCAACGATCACATTGGTTATAGATATGAGGTTGTTGGATTTCTTGGAAAGGGAAGTTTTGGTCAAGTTGTCAAAGCTCATGATGTTAAAGAAAACAAGTTTGTCGCTCTGAAGGTTATTAGGAATAGAAAACGTTTTCATGCGCAAGCCCTAGTTGAAGTTAAAATTTTGAAGCATTTGAAGGACAACGATAAGGAGGGTAGACATCATTGCATAGAAATGTTGTCATATTTTACGTTTAGAAACCATTTGTGCATTACTTTTGAGTTATTAAGCATTAATCTATACGAGTTCATCAAGAACAATAATTTTAGAGGATTAAGTTTAGGGCTGATAAGGAAGTTTGCCTTACAAATACTGAACTCACTGCAATACTTGTACGAAGAAAAAATCATACATTGTGACCTCAAGCCTGAGAACATATTGTTAATGTCACCATCTAAAACAGATATCAAAATGATAGATTTTGGAAGTTCATGTTTTGAAAATGAACGAATTTATACTTACATTCAATCTCGCTTCTATAGATCTCCAGAGATCATTTTAGGAATTTCATACGGAAGAGCCATTGATATGTGGAGTTTTGGGTGTATATTGGCAGAGTTGTACACAGGTTATCCATTATTCCCTGGAAGAAATGAGTTAGAACAATTGTGCTATATCATGGAAGTAATGGGAATGCCATCTAAGAAATTGATTCAACTGAGTACTCGAAGGAAAAAGTTTTTCGACTCCAACAATCAACCCAGGTTAGTTGTTAACAAGAAAACAGGAAAGAAGAGGATTCCTGGAAGTGTGACGCTTCAACAAGCTCTTGATTGTCCTGACAAAAAGTTTGTCTCTTTCCTTGAAGGGTGTCTTAGATGGGATCCTGCCGAACGATTTACTCCAGATGAAGCTTTCAGACATGAATGGATATTAGAATCATTAGCGCCCATGAGGCCACAATACTCTCTTGAGTCAAAGCAAGAGGACCGCAACGAGAATGACTATTACATTTTAGATAATAAGCATCATGTGTTACCAGTAAGTATTCTTGAAATGTAACAACAATTAACTCACCCTTTCAAAATTTTACACCGTATTATTACTTATAACTACACTTTGTTATTTCAATTATATGTACAATATGAAATTCTCTATTCATTGCGACAGCCAATCGGAAGCCAAGACTATTAAATTAATTTTTCAACGCTGACAAACGTTTTTGAAGCTCAATGTCATCCTCATCCTCTACAACCTCTTCCGGCTCTTCAGTTTCCAATTCTGTTTTTCCAACTTTTGTTGCTCGCAACTTTTTGCCTAGTACTTCATCCAATATTGAGCTAACCTCCTCGTCGGCTGCTTCTTCAACATCTTCATCCTCTAAAACATCGTCCATCATATCGTCGACCATTTCTTCAATGAGACCTGCCTTCTCCATTTCTCTTGACATGTTTCGAATCGTCTCATTGAGGTCCGGAAGTTTCATCATTTGATTCATTGCTTGCATGACTTCAGTGCTTTTTTTCAAAGCTCCCATCACTCTTAACTGTTGTAATTGTTGATCAAGTTGCAATATCACGGAATTAATTTGAGCTTTGGTTTTGTGCAACCGCACTTTTGACTTTCTAGTCTTGATCAATTCTCTGGCCAATAATTTTGCTCCATCTTCTTGTCCTTTTCGCAATAAATCTTTAATATTCTTCTTTGCTTTTACTTCTTCCATTTCAATTTTTCGAATATTTCTGTCCATATTTCGAGCTTCGGCCCGCAAATTTGATTTCCATTCCTTCGCAAGTTCTTCCGGTGTCTTTTTATGAAACACATCGAGTAGACCCATGTTGTTTGTGTAATGATATTATTATTTAATATTATTGATGATGATTTTTGTGAATAATAATCACAATATTTGTGTGCCACACGATGTGTTGGTTGACTTGCTTATTTTTTTTCCTTTTATTGATGAAATTGAAGTCTGTTGGAACACTCCAAAAAAAATGAGTCCTCGAAACGAAAGCGTGCTGTCTTGCTCTCAATCTACAGAGCGCTCTCTTCTTTGTCATGTGATGGAATGGTTCTGGCAAACAAGCCTTTTGATCGTGCGATATGTGTTTCATGCCCTCTATGTTATTACAGAGTGGTATGATTCAAACGTTTCTTCATCGGAGTCCAATTTGTTTATTCCTTCCACGAGCAGAAAATTTTCAAAACCTTCGACGGTCTCGCCGAGAAGAGTTTGTATCATCGGAGCTGGAGTTTCTGGATTAATTCAGTTGAAAACTTTGTTGACTGATTTTTCAAACATACCATTTGAAGTCATGTGTTTTGAGAAAGGTGACCACATTGGTGGTTTATGGAAATTTGATGCCAACAAAAAAGATGAACAATTTTCAGAATTTATTCACATGGATCGTGCTTCAGGTTTGAAAATGTTATCACATGATTGGGAAAATATTTCTCCCATGTACTCATCGTTGCATACGAATACGAGTAGAGACTTGATGTCTTTTTCTGATTTTCCAATGAACGAAAACTTACCTGATTTTCCATCCGTTGAACAAGTCTATCAGTATTTGAGAGATTACACTCAAAAATTTAATCTTGAAAGGTATATTCAATTTAAAACAGAAGTGATAAAATTGACACAACAGTCCTCACACAAGAATACAGTTTCATCATGGGTTGTGACAACCAGAAATGTAGAAAGTGGAGAAATTACTGAGCGAGAATTTGATGCTGTAATCATAGGAAATGGAAGAAACAGCAAACCGAGAATTCCATCATTTTTTCAAGATCTTTCATCTACCTACAACTTTGGAAAGCTTCTTCATTCCAAATATTACCAGGACGATTATGAAATATTTAAAGACAAGACAGTTTTAATTATTGGAAGTGGCTCGAGCGGAAGTGATATTGCTTCAAGAATAGCTCTTGTTACCGACAAGACATTTATATCCGTTCAGAAAGGCGCTGCCTTACTACCTAAATTTCATGACGGAAAACCAATAGATCATAATCAAATCAGAAGAAGATATTTTCAATTTCTTCCGAAAACATTACAAACTTTTCTTGCCAATTATTTCATCAACAGCAAATTACCATCGTCTAAGCAATTTTATCCATTCAATCACAACACAACTAGAAACCATACTGTAGGACTAAGCTCTGAATTAATTATTGAAATTGGATTTGGTCGAGTGAAGGTGTTGCCACCAGTGACGTCCTTTAGCGAGATGGACATTTCATTCGAGAATGGCAAAAAGTTAGTTCCTGATTATATTGTTCTTTGTACTGGTTATGAATTGGATTTTCCTTTTCTAGATAAGGAAGTATTGAATATGGACAAACACTGCTCGATGACAACCATGCTATATGAACACATGTTCCATGCAGATCAACCCAATTTAATATTCTTGGGATTACCTTTTACTGTCCATCCTTTTTTAGTTTGGTAAGTTTTCAAAGTTATGATCCTCAATGATTGCTTGACATCATTTTGTTACAGTGAATTACAAGCTCGATATGCTGCGATGGTTCTCTCAGGTCTCTGCTCAATACCTTCCAGAAATGAAATTATTCAAGCAAATCAAAACAAAATCTCTCAACTTGAAAAAGCAGGAATTGACCCGATCAAATTTTTTCACAGAGAATTTCATTTAGAATATTGTGATAAAATTGCCAAACTTGGAGGATTTTATGCCAATCCCTTCAAATTCGATCACTCACGTTATTTTATGGATCTAATGTTTGGTCCCTTATACGGCTATCACTACAGGATGGAAGGCATTGGAAAATTGGAATTGGATGAAATTGAACGGGTAATGAAAATGTACCAACAAAGAAACAAGAGTGCTTGAGTTGAATATGAACATAATGCATTCCCGATTTCACTACAGTTCAAAATTGGCATTACATGCGATTGCAATTTCAGAAAATTGAAATTCCCAACAAAAAATTATGACCATCACCTTCATTGTTTCGTCGAGTGTTGCTCCCTCTGATCTTAAAAATTCCAATTTTAAACCGTTTGTTGTTCCATCCATCCTTCCTCAGCAACAAAATGAGACAAGAAAGCAATCTTACAAATTGATTCAAACCAGTCTTGAAGATAAGGATATTTATTTGAATGTCGGATCACACAATTCTTTTGTAATGACAGCATTTCAGTGTTACTCACAACATCACCAATTAGAGATCAGACCAGATGATGTTTGGATCGCGATCTGTACACAATTCTCAAACTATGTTAATGGTCATTCGCAAGACCTACGAAATAAGTTTGTCAATTTCGAAGGAAAGAAAGAATTGACAGTGTATGGATCAGGTACACTCATGTCTGCCAACTATGTCGAAATGAGTCGTGAAATGGCATTTGAAATTGCAAAGAACATCAAAGATCCATCAGTGCGAGAATGGATCATTCCTGATTTTAGTACTACCACTCCTACCGACCGAATGTGTGGTGCTGTCATGTTGATGGCCACAACCAAAAGCTATTTTGATTTCAAATTTATGTTATTGTGCGGATTACCAAGTGTGACGTTGCATGGAACAGTTGAAGATTGGATCAAACTTCGTGAAAAAGCTCAAAAATTGCTTGAATTTGATCTCAAAGAAGGACACATGACTAAATGGTCTCTCATGTTATTTCCCATCTTGGATCAATTTGTGAATTCTGCAAAGGGAAATCCAGACACAGAATGGTGGAACAGAATTGCACATACCAAAGGAGGTGGATCAGGTCCAACCTATTTGAGTGGTTGGATCACTGCCTTTTGCGTCTTTGACGATAAAGGTCGTTGGCATGGAGATGAAAAATCAAAGAATGATGGCTGGGGAAGAATATTTGAATCAAGCGAATGGCCAATTGTGGACTTGGATTTTGTTCCTCGTGGCTTTGTCAATGTACCCATCACTGTGAATGACAATGGTGTCACATACAAGACTGAAATGTTTGCTGGTCATATGTGCTCCATGAGAGGAGATGAGGAGCCGAATGTTGCATTGAAACCACGTGTGGATTGGGCTTTCTTTGTTGTGGAGGAGGAGTAGTTTCAGAGAGAGTTTTTCTTTTGTCCTTCTTATTTTGTCTCTACCATCCTTTCATACACAACACTCCGTAGAAAGTTTTGGCATTCGACAAATCAAGACTGAATGTGGCGGAAAATAAAATCGAATGACGCTGCTCACAACAAGTAATGATTTCCATTCCAAGGGAAAGAAAAGAATTTTCTTTTGTGGAGTTTTCTACTCAAGGAAATGTTTTAAGCCGGAGCATTTGTTGTGCTTGACATGGACATTTGTGTCACCCAAACAGCTCTGAGGGAGTCTGACCCATTCTAACTTGGTAAACGTAACGATTTAAAAGAGTCTGATATTGACGTTGAGGTATTGAGAGCGACTCCGCTCTCGTCAACGAATACTTGTAGAGTAACAGACAACAACAGGATTAATTCATCTTAAATTAAAAAAAGAAACACAACAATCTTGCCAAAACTACACCTGGTGCGATTCAGTTGTGCGTGAGTTGATTGACCTCTTTCTTCATCTGATGCCCACAGAAAGAATGAATCGAACGAATACTGATCATATGTATTCCCATTTTCCACTCATTCCACAAGTGACGACAAGTGCTCATTCTTCTCCAAACAATATGAAAGGAAAATTTCCTAATCATCGTCAAGTTGGTTGTCAACAGAATGTGGTGGTGTATCCCTCATGTGTGTCGACAAGAGTACCAGAAAATGGATCATCACCGTCGAATAGTTATTCACCTTCTACTGTCACTTGTCAAGATCAGCCACGAGAATGCCAAAACAGTAACAATGCCAACAACAACATGTTTCAAACCATTACATGCCAAACATCAAGTCCCTTTAAAAGTTCTATCAGTGAAAACTCACAAAATTCGACATCCAATCCCATTTCTTCCACTCCATGTAAAACACCAAATTTTACCACCTTCCAACATTCACCTCAAATCATCCGATGGAATTACAAAAAGACCTCTTCACCTCCTTCCGTTATATCTTCTTCATGTATGTCCTCCTCCAACAAGATTGCCAAAAAACAACATTCCAAATTTGTTAATTATGGCTCCAACAGTGGTCAATTGTATTTTATGGATAACCATCATCCACAGATTCCAAAATCTGTATCAAAATCATCATCACAACCACTCCCTCAATCCCTCTCCTCTCAAACTTTTGAATTTTTGGCTGAAAAGTCTTCATTCAATAACAACAACACTTCTCGACGAGGAAAAATTAAGGAATATATCTTTGTGGAGCAATTAAAGGAAATAAGAAAAGGATCACTTCCAAAAAGATCTGAATCACCAAAATTCTCCTCTTCCTCATCGATGAATATAAAAAGTCACACACTGCAAGGAAATGAAGATACCAAGAATCATCAGTCCTCTTCTTCTTCCTCCTCCTTCTCCACCTCTCACTCTTCCACAGTCATGCATTCTCTCATGATCATGAATACCACAAACGACACAGACTGTATTCATGTGGTGATTGGAAACCCTTCCTCGGTGGAAACCAATTCCTCTCCATCGACGACATCGACAACCACGACAACCACGACGACTCTAGAGAATCACAACAAACAACAAAAACCTTCAATTGTAAGAACTTCCATCTCATGGAAAGAAATTTTAAATTAAATAATTAATTGTTCACCCGCTTCACATGATCGTTGGAAATTTTTAAAATCAAAAACATTCAAAAAAAAGCAAAAATGAAAAACAATTCTCAACAACAACAGACAAGAAAGAAGAAGATAATTGCCGATGATGAGGAGAGCTACGATGATGGAGAGTATGCTGAGGAGGAAATGTCTGAAGAGGAAGAAGCATCCACCACAATGATGATGGAGAATGATGATTCACAAAGTCAAGAATTTTCATCTTCAGCAACATTGGATTCTAACAACAACAACAACAACAACACTATTCAAATCGCAAATATCGGAGAAGATGACCGATCATCCTCTTCGGGTGATAATGATGAGGACAATGCCTACGTTATGGGAATTGATGAAGCAGGAAGAGGACCAGTGATTGGACCACTTGTTTATGCCTCCATGTTTTGCAAAGCCAAATATAATACTGATAATTTCCTGAGAAAGACATTTAAAGTGAATGATTCCAAAAAACTCACAGCAAAAACAAGAAACACTATTTTTGATTTACTTCGCCAAAACGCTAAAATTGTGCACTACATGACTTGTATCATTCATTCGGATGAAATCTCTCACAAGATGCTTTCTCGGAAAAAGTATAATCTCAACCTCATTTCTCATGATTGTGCCATTCATTTAATTAAAACAGCCAATGAAGCTCTCAACAAAAAAGGAAAATATTTGAAAGAGGTCTATATTGACACAGTGGGAGATCCAACAAAGTATCAAACGAAACTTCAAGAGAAATTTCCTGAAATTGAAAAAATCGTGGTTGACAAGAAAGCAGATTCTAAATATCCAGTTGTAGGAGGAGCTTCCATTGTTGCCAAAGTTAAGCGAGATGAAATTATTGATTCCATTCAATCCAAGAAATATCCTAAACTCAAAATGGGAAGTGGTTACACCTCTGACAAGTACACGAAAGAGTTTTTGAAAAAGACACTCGATCCTGTGTTTGGATATGATCATCATGATGTGAGATTCAGTTGGGCAACCATTAAAAAGCTTTTGAACGATACGGCAGTGAGTGTGGAATGGGAAGATGATGGCGATGAGGATGAAATGGGAGAAAATGCTTTTGAGAGCCCATTCTCAACCAACAGAACACAAACAAAACTTTCCTTCCATATTGGAGCTGCAGAAATGCAAAGACATCGAATTGATTTTATGAGTAATAGAAAGATTGAACTCGTCTCTGACTTGTAATTGTTTTAATTTAGATAAATTTGATTATTGATTATAAATTATTTGATTTTTTCAATTATCTTCTAATGAAAAGGATCTTTTCTAAAATTGTTGATTCCAATAAATTATAGAAAAAAATGACGAGAAGGAGAACCCAAGCCACTTCCAGATCCAAACGGAAGAACGAAGCAACTCGGAGTGATGATGAAGAAACTAATGACAATCACCATGATGATGAAATAAAACACATGGAGAAAAATTATTCAGAAAATTACATGATCATGGATCAAGATGAGGCAATAATTATTTCCAGTGATCATGATTCCACTCCATCTCGAAGGAGAAGCACACGACAAATTAAAAAAACAAAATTAGAGGATGAAACAGAAGAAATTATTGTAAAAAAGCAAGAAACATCTTCGGGAAAGAAAGGATCAAAATCTGGTTATGCGTATGTTTGTTTGAAATAATAATTCAATCATTCATTTTGAGATCCTTCCAATTTGGAATTTTGCAAAAACAACTTTTTGAATTTTCATAAATTATTGATTTAATGAAAACAGCAATCAGGTGGCGAGATTATTTTACAAAAATTCTGTTTTGAATAAGATCAACTTGGAGGTAAATAACACGAAACAATTCAAAGATGAAAATCCATTCATTCACTCGCATTCAATATTGTAGGACATATTTTCATATGATATTTATAAAATGTTAAGCGAAAAGAATCAAAAATATCTGACCCAGTTTTTGGTTCAGGATATTGATGTTGATGAACAAGGTTTTGCTAAACGAAAGATGTTTTTGGATCCTAATTTTAAAGCATCAATATCAGAGTTTGAGAGCTTGTTGTCAGAGGGATATTTGAATACCTCAAAAAAGTTCAAAGAGGTTATTGAAAACGTCATCGAGGTAAATCAAAAGAAAGGATACGTCGAAGAAGGAATGGAAAACTACTGGCTTTCAAATGCAGACAAAATTGAGACTTCGTGGGTTAAAAATTTGGAAGATTAAAGAGTGTTAGCGAGTCCTTTCCCAAATTTTTGAACTCTAGTTTAAAATTGAATCCTTTTACTTTTTCATGCTTTCAGTTGCTTTTCGAATCAGGTTCTCTGCTTTTGCTAGGGCACTTCGTGTTCCAATCAAGAAGATTTTTTGTTTTGGATCTCCCTTCTCTCCATTAATCAATTTCACTTGCTCGCATCCAGAATTGTTTCTAATACGACCTAATCCAGCATTATTAGCAAGTTTTCCTGCCTGTGACGATGGTAACTCAATAATTTTCTCTCGTAACAGCAATTCACTCACTTCCACTACTTCCTTGTATTGGCCTATAAGGATAAAAGCACCATCACCTGCTCCCATTGAAACAGTTGGAAATTGCATAATTAATTCAGCAATATTTCTGCCTTTGGTTCCAATTATTTTTCCCAAATAATATTTCGAGACGAAATGTTCTGATTCTTCAGAACTTAATGACACAAGTTTACAAAGTTGATCTCTGTCTTCATATTCAAAATTACATTCTCGATCAATCTTTAGAGGGAAGAAGAATAGTCTCATGTGTTGTTCCTTATGAGCATTATTTTCTGATTTGCTCTTGAAGAATGAATCTAGCGGCACATCGACATAGTAATATCCGTCATCCATTTTTCCATGTTCCATCAAATACTCTTTTATAAATTCAGGAATGTGTGGAAATTCAAAATCTCTTAAGCATCGATCATAGAGATGACTTCTTCTCACAATCGTTGTTGACAAGGATGAAGAATCCTTGGAGGGTTTGAATTTCTTATTAAAAACAAATAATCGTTGTGTTTCATAGAGGAATAACAAATGTTTCACATCCATTGAGGCACATTCAATTTGATCTTGGCTCAATGGTCGAGTCTTCCAATACAATTCTTGTTCAACAACGTTTTTCTGAATTTCATATTTAGATGAATAATCAATCATTGAAAAATCATGCAGCAATCTCACAAGTCCCTTAATTTTGAAAAAATTAGAAACTGGATAATGAGATGTCATCACAAATTGATCCGTTAAAGCGGAAGGATAGCCACCTGAGTTCTTTGTCGAAGGTGGAACTCCTGTATTGCTGCTTGTCTTGTCATCAATAGTACTAGTTGTACCAGTAGCGGTAGCATTAGTGGACGTGTCACTTCCTTCTGAAATAATAGAATTTGACATAATAGAATTTCTTCCTGTCGTTGATGATATTTGATTTTGAGACGATGTGTTGGGATATCCAGATACGATGCACCATCTTGTGTTGAAAACAATATCGAGAGGTAAATAATTATTGGACTTGTCGCTACTGTACTCGGTTGTTGTTGTTGGCTCAATATATTCAACACCTTTGGCAGCTTGCAAATATGGGCTCTTTGGAGAGGTTACTTCTTTCGAAACGTTTTTCTCGAGCTGTTTGATGTTTTTGCAGAGATTCTCCCAATTTGTGTTAATTTCGTGACAAGTCAATTCTTTGTTTTGCAAATACTGATTCATAGTTCCTGAAAGAATTTCTAAAAACAATTCAACATAATTGAGTCGAATGAGTGAATAAAATCGATCTGCGCTTGTTTGATTTTCTCGTTGTTGGATTTGAGAAACCATGACAGAAATAATCTTGTCAAATAATGTAGAGGTGTTGATAATTCCAAAATAATATAAATTAGAAATGAAGATAATGTTCAAGTAACCTGTCCTTTCAAACATGTTCAGAGATACCAAATCTCTAATCAATTGAGAACTCATTGGTAGTATAGATGCATTGTTGTTACTTTCTTTGCTTGAAGTTTCAGGATCAAAGTAATTGTTTTGAATGAATATCTCATATTGTGCTTTTGAAAGTGTAGCATTAAAACGTTCCAATGTTAGTTTCACAAGTTTGTTCTTAAACTTGCTGGTGAAATATTGTTTATCCTTTCCAGATGAAAAGAATGTCGTTTCGTGTAATTTCTTCATCACATCTCGACACACTTTTGCAGCCATGTGAGCATCTTTTCTGTCTTTAGATTTAAGAGAATGAGCTGCATGAACAATGGCATTAGACCAGGACTTGGCACATAGTTTGAGTAAATCTGATGAAATATCTGCGTGCTTGGAAGATATCTTTTTGATAAACTCTTCTAATTCGACAAAAGTAAACTCAAGAATAGTGATATAGGAAGCAGAATAGAAATTGTTGGTCATGGCCTCAAAGTAACAAAACCATTTCACAAAGTGGCTAATGTAATGAGATTCAATAATGCTAAGGTTTCTGCTATGTGTTTTTGGAATATTGTGAAGAATTTGACTTTGTTTGATGCAAATATCTGCTACCTGAGTATCCCATGTGAAATTCAAACGTGTGCCGTTCATTTGATAAAAGAGAACATCTTCATCTCTTCTTCCATCATGGATAATTTTCAATACTTTAGTAGATTCCAATAGATCACGTAAGTTTGTCTTTGCAAGAGTTTTTCCACCAATTTTAAAAACATCAATAATGTAAATATCAATTTTCTCCTTCTTGTTTAGCAAGGTAGCTTTTCTATTGACAAGTGACAGTTGAATAATACAGAGAGTGCCACTTTGCTTTTCCAAATCAGGAGATCCTTCACAATCTAATCCAACACAAGGAGTATTGGTATTGAAGAGACGAGTTTGTGAATAAATTTTCTTTGAATCATTTTCAGGTAAACTTTGAGATTGATCTAACAAATCCTGAATGACATCTCTCAATAATTCATTATATTTTTCGATGGAATCAATGAGGTGAATTTCATGACCAATAGAGAGAATATTTTCACAATGGCCTTCTTTGAATATTGATTCTACTGCGATCATGTCATCGTTGTGAATAATGTTGGTGGGTGAACTCGAGGAGGATGATATCATGTTTGATTCTCTTGAGATTTGTTAATGATTCTAGTATAACTATTTTTGATCTTTTTCATCATAATCTCGCGTGATGATGAACCAAATACTCGGATGATAATTCAATCAAAATAAATATCAACAACAACAACAACAATGGGTGAAACCAAGATCTTGGAATGATATTGTTGATCCACCTCCGATCTTGAGGATGAAATTTAATGATGACGGCAAAGGCTCTTCTCTTGTTATTTTTTTTATTTTTATTCTTAAGAAAGAGGATGATGATGATGGGAATTCTGCGAGTCGTCATCATGAAAGAACTGACTTCATGATTGAATTTGATTTCAAATCTGTCCATGCATGAGGACATGGTTTTTCCTTAATGACTCCACTCAGACAGTAACTGGTGCCAAATCACAAAATCACAGGTTCAAAGGCTTGAACTCTGAGGCTTGAACGAAATATTTATACAACGTTCAATATGATGGAAGGTAGAGTCTTGTTCACTACTTGTACTGCTGAGAAGTTCGTACTCTTTGCATCTTTGTTGAAATGACGTCTTTTGCAGAATAGTCAAATTCATTACTCAAATGGATATTTTAAACGACATTTTGGTGATTTCCATTTTCAATCAATTTCAAGTTCAAATAGTGGGTTATATGAATCACAAAGAACGGTAAAATAGTGTGTGAGGCCCAAATAGAGTCATCACAAGAGTTCTTGAATTTGATTAATTGAGACTAACATTCAAAACATCTTCGACTCATAGAACTCAACCTACGTTCAATGACAAGTGGTTGGACGAGTGTTATGGTTGAAACAACCCAAGTTGATGACAATGGATGCAACAATATTGGAATTGACATCATCCTCTCCAAAGAGATAAAGGAGTTGAGAAGTAGCACACGTCTACGTATGGATTTGACGCATCTCTGAACACAACACTGATATTTCCTTCTTTCATTTCATTAGACATCAAACATTCACACTTTGAAGTATCACTTTCCCATTCTGATTTTCAATGTCTTGCTTTGGTTTTCAATGACACATAAAAGACAATCGCAAATATTTCATGGAGTTCAATGAATATGTTAAGATTCCTCTCCAAACAGAACCTCACCATTTCTATTTGTAATCATGCTCATCAAACATCATGATTCGTTTTGGGAGATTAAACCTTGTTATGAAAAAATTTTTCATCTTCGGAGGAAGAATCTTGCATTGGGCGAGTTTGAGAATGATTGGTTCATGAATTCACTCATGATGATCAGCATCAAAAACAAGCGAATCTCATCGTTCAAGTCCCTCCATCTTCTTCTTACCTCTTGTGTCACTCATGTTTGCCCTTTCTGGTATTCTACTCCAAGAGTAGCATGAGTAAAGACTCTTTTGGATTCGACAAATGTCAACCACAAAAATCGCATAATCGCTCTTTTCATGTAAGAGTGTTCGAAGCCTTGTCTGCGTTTAAAGTACACTCTCAACGTGTGCAGGTGGCTCTCTCGCTTCAGCATCATCCAAATCCCAAATAAACACAAAAAAAACCAACACAACCAACAAACTCGCCAACAGTGCTGTTGATAGTCTCTATCCCTCCTGCTGCTGCTGCTTCTCACTCCCGACTCTCACCAAGCCTCTTTATTCCGAGACTCTCACCTGAGTGTTCTTCCCACAAGAAGCGAGAATTATATCATCAACAAAGCCTTTGTTGTTTCATTCCCACATTCCTATTGTACTTACTCATCATTGTACAATTTCATTAATCATCAATATCCCAAACAACACATCCATAGCCTTGTAATTTAAGGATCCATTCTCAACCTCATCTGAATTCATAATCACCACCTCCACCCAACATTCATCATCAAATTCATTACAAATGGTAGAAAAGAAGGCATCCAGTAGAAAGAACTCCAATGGCAGCTCACTCTTCACTGCAGAAGATGATCAAAAGTTAATCGAAGGATACAAGAAGTATGGCAATAATTGGAAGGATATCTCTAGAGAATATTTCAACGGTCGATTCAAGACCAATCAGCTTTTCCAACGATACAAGAGAGTACTCCTTGCTAAGGATAAGGAGTCCACATGGTCCAAGAACGAAGATATCGAACTCCTCTCCGTCTATCATCACTTTGATGGCTCTTGGATTCAAATGAGCAAAAAGTACTATAAGGACACCAGAACGGACAACCAACTCTCGAATCGATGGGCCTCACTGAAGAAGAGTTGCTGTCTCATTGACACCTTTGCCAAGTTGAAGCCAAATATTAAGAAGGATCTCTACACATTTTACAAGAATGCAAGAAAGACCAATGGCCCAGAAAGTATCAGAGACACGAACTTTTCTGAGATTGTCGAAATTCCAGACGATGCCTTCCCAAAGATTTACCTTGGTGAAGGAAGAAGAGTCCAAAAGGATACAAACTCAAAGAAGAGAAAGTCTGCTCCAAAGAGAGAATGCCCATCTGAAACCTCAACCAAGAAGAGAAAGACTTTTATTGTTGAGGATGACGAAGATGATTCCTCCTCTTCAGAAGAGGAAGATGAAGTCTCAGCCAACGAAGATATTGCCATGTTACCAAGAGCTACTCGAGGTCAACGAATCAACTATTCCAAGATGCTTAGTGACGATGTAGAAGATGACAGTACAACAAACGAAGATGACGAATACGTTCCAAAGGAAGAGTCTGATGAAGAAGAGGCTGTAGTTCCACCAATGCCCAATGTGCAACAACAACAACAACAACAAACCTCTTATTATCATCCACTCAGCCAGCTCTCCAAACAACAAGTTGAATGGTTGCAAGCTCAAAAGTGCCCATCGAAGAGATCTTCGTCCAGCACTGCTCCAGTTTTTATTACAAACAGTGTTGATCTTGCCTGTGATGAAGATATTGTTGCTCCACAACAACCACAACAGTTGTCGCAACAACAAATCTTTGTGCAACCACAAGCAATGCCTCAACAACTAATGATGGCAAAGATGGAAAAGCAAATCCAATACACTGTTGTCGACAACCGTGACTTCAATCTCAACTTCAACGAAGAAGAATGCTTGGAGATTGAACGATTCCTTGGTGCACCATACAGCAACTTTGAAACTGAAAGAAATTACTCGATGGAAGATATTTTGGCTCAAACAAGAATCATTAAGGAATTTCTTGAACAGTCGAAGACAAGCAAACCACAAGAAGAGAATCCATTCAATGCCCTAAATGACGATTTTTGTGCAGAAGCTTGCAACAATGACATGTTTGATTTCTCTACTTTCAACAGAGCTCCAAAATCACCATTGTTGTTCGATGACGATCTTGAGTTCTTGTAAGCTTGTTTACAGCAAGTTTACCTAATGATTCTTCAAACCTAACGTTTAAAGTTTTCCAACCACTCCCTAGACCTCCTTCCACCGTACACTAGAACTATGTACATAACAACAACATGCTCTAATTTATAAAACAAAAACTCTTACTCAAACACGTGTTGCTTCTGGTGTCGCTCTCTAGACTCTCTATTCCCACTTCAGCAAGCCTGCCACGGTATCCAAGCGTGCTCTTACTGTTTTAGGACGTACTCGAGGTTTGAGCTCTATATGATTGTCATTGAGGACCTTCCAGTACGTAGTTGTTGGAAGAAGATCTTTAGACAGTTCGGCCTGTATATGTTGTTGTATGGAGAATTTGAAATGTTGTGAATATTGTATGATGAAGATGCAACATTCATGACGGTGACATAATGTAAGATTGATGCGAAATGACAGAATGTATGAACGCGAAATCAACATGAATACAAAGTTGAAATGATTCAAAGATGGTTATTGTAAATCATGAAGAGCAATGAACAGATTCAATACCTACCTTCACATTCACCAGAGAGGATTGCTCAAAGGAGGACCTTAATGCCATTGAGCTTTGCTTTTTTCCAACCTTTCCAAAATCAGAGACCTTTTGTTGCTCCTCTTTCGAAAGAGCTAAGGGATCAAACGAGAGAATGCTCTTAACGTTTAGATCCTCATGTGCCGAATCACTACTATGGTCATTTTCTGTGGAGGTTCTTTCTCGGGTAGGGGTAACTAACCTTCTTCTATGAACCCCAGTTGTGTCTGGAGGGTCAGTTATAATATTTCTTGGTTGGTACACACTTGCAGATTGGGGTCTCTTTCGCATGAGCCTAGGGGGAGGAGTCTTACTTTCCTCGTTGCAGTGAGTACCACATCTTGCTTTCCTTCTCACCTCATTGACAATCTCTTTCGATGATTCATTGCTCACATTTGGTCGTTTCCGGGGCTTGTCCTTCTCTGGAGTGGCATTAAGGATAGTTTTTCGCCCTGCGCTGAAATTAGCCTTTGGTATTCCATTGATGATCGATCCACCAGGGAGCACGCTGCTCAGACTCAACTGAGCAGAGCTCTGATGACTCGTATTATTTCTCTGATGATTGTAGTGAGACATGGAGGAGGAAGACCTCACCGATGAAGCTGATTGAGGTCGACTCGTTGAGGATGAGATACGATTAGAGGAAGAGGAGCCAATGACGGAACTCCCAGGAGAAGAGGCAAGAGGACACATTTTTTATCGCGTTGTTGGTTGGTTGTATGGGTTTTGGTGATGATCGGGTTGTGTTCCAAGATGGGGTCTTTCGGTTTGTATTGAATGGATGGAGTTGGGGAGAGAGGATGGAATGAATATTAGTAAAATATGTATGATGGAGTTGTTGTTTATAAAGGGTTTATACAACAACTATTGAAAGGAGAGAGAAAAACAATTAAGGAAGAGAGGTGTTCAACTAATGATCGTAGTAGTAGCTTTTTGGTTTTGAAGGAGAGATGTGAGGAAGGTATGTTTATGATGTTCTTCCTCTCGTGGTTTCTGGCAGTTGTCCAACACAATTCATGCACGATTCAAAAGTTGGTGGTGAGGCAGCCAGCAACCACACACTCAGAGTACAAGGTCGAGTCTTTTTTTTCCTTTCTTTCGGAGAACCTCCATACACTCAAGTTGTTGTTTCAAGTTGTTTGTATTTCTGAACTCGATGTGCCAAGATTGGAATACAAATGGATCATGCCTATGCGTGTGGGTGTGTATGCTGAGGGTCATTTGTAGTACATCGTCGGATTCATTATGGGTGATGATCTTTTAACAACATGATGATGATGGGTAGAGACACTTGTAGAATGATGGAGGACGACAACTTTTTGGAATTAATTGTATTTGAGGTGGTTCTTTTTAACACTTGCGATCATTTGGAATACAATGTTGATGTGCTCGAGAGACGAATGCAATGAAAATGTGAATGTTATGGAACCTTCACGAAATAAGGAGAGCATTAGTTGTCTATTATACGATATTCAAAGGAGTCTCTTGTTACCGAATTCTTCCAATTTCTCTATTGGTGATGAAAACCGTTTTGTTACTCTTTTTCTAAAACCTCTCCTGTGAGGCATACAGTGGGAGTATTGACACCTATTCATCATAGTTGCTTGTATACTCCTTCTCAGCCAAAGGTTTCTAATCCAAGTGAATCCAATAATTGGAAAAGTTGAGTTGTGTGATCCTTCTTGTGGATCTTCTTTGCATTCCCGCCAATTTTTGTACACTTTCAATTTATCAAAATAAAAAATAGACAAATCACCCCAACAGCATATTGTATAACATCCTCCGTTTCAGAAAACTTCGGAATCAAATTTCTCTAAATTTTCAATACACCAAAACGAAAAACAAAATAACCACACTTTCATTCAAGATGAGTTCTCTGAGAAAAACAGATTATTTGAGAAAAGCCTCTCCAACAACATCGCTGCCCTCAAAAAGCAGTATCGGAAAGAGAATGAAATTGAGCGATGAGCAAAAACAAGAAATTAAAGAAGCTTTTGAATTATTTGATACAGATAAAGATGGATATTTGGACGCACATGAATTTAAAGTTGCCATGCGAGCTCTCGGTTTTGATATTAAAAAAGAAGAAGTACTGAGGTTAATGAGGGAAAATCTGGATGAAAGACCACTTGATGATTCTCATCCAATGATGATCAGATCCGATGCATTTCTGCAGGTGATGACAGAAAAGATTTTAGAACGAGATCCATTAGATGAAATTAAGAAAGCTTTTAAACTGTTTGACGAAGACGGAAATGGTAAAATTAGTTTGAAAAATTTAAAGAAAATTGCAAGAGAAATTGGAGAAAGCATGAGTGAAGAAGAATTACAAGCAATGATTGATGAGTTTGATCTCGATAGAGATGGCGAAATTAACGAAAACGAATTCATTGCCATCATGAGCAACAATGACGACTTGTAAATAGATGGAGCTTTACAATGAACACCTTTTCAATTTTGTTTCTAAATTCGGATTCTTGATCTCTTCGAACAACAAAAAATGCCTCAACAAACACTTAAGCACTTTATTGCTGATTTACGCGAATTTTTCACATCGACAAAAAACACTCAACCTCCCGAAAATATTCCTGAGCCACAACTAGATGAAGAAGATGGCTCGGAGATGAAACTTTCAAAATCTGCATACTTTTTTCAATTAACAAAAGTCTATGATGCAAAGATTGAATTCTGGTTGGCCAAAATGAGAAAGTTTTCGTATGCCTTTCTCTTGTTGGCAATCATTCATCTTTGTAAGATTGTATTTTCGGATAGCATTGATGCAGAAAATTCTCGATGGAGTGATTTGATGGAAGTGAATCGGGCTCAATCATTCGTACTTTCGAATTATCCTCTTGTTGGCTCGATATTGGATTTGATATTTGTGAAGGGTCTCATTATTATCATGTCATTCACTTTATGTTATCAATACTACAGCAAAACAAATACAGAAAATATGAGACGATTGAATGTGATTTATTATGCCACAAATGTAGACATATTCTTTTTCATGTTGCATATGGTGTTCTTTGTGTGGGCTGAATATGGAAGAAGCTTCGAATCTCCACTTCCAATGCTGTCGAATCCGTTATTTAACACTGTACTGTACATAGGATGGGTTCTTACTATATTACTCTATGTAAGTGGAAATTTCAAATTATCATTTTCAACATTAATTGTTAATTTGACCAATCCATTCTGTCGCAATATGTGTGGAATGCAATCGTTATCTGCTTCGCATTAGACTTGTTTTTGTCACGCAGCTAAAGAACTCTCTCTGAACATCCTCATTAAAACAGAACTCATTCCGCAAACTGAGGAAGATCAACACAACAAGGATGTGCTTTAACATCTTTCGAAAGATGAAACTCTGAATATCCAATCAAAAGAAGGTCGTAGAAATTCGATCTCGATCAAAAATAAATGCATCAAAAATTTACAAAACTAATGTATTGATCTTTGAGAAATCACAATTTTACAAAAAGCTGGTGTCTCTGTCGTTAACAATCTCATTATTAATTTTTACAATAAAGGTGTCTGATAATAAATAGAAAATAAAAAAGAATTGAGGACAATGCTGTGTTAGTGTCTCAAAAACCTCAACTGTGATGCATAAAATAATGTAGGTAAGATATTAGTTTTGAGTTGCCTCTATCAAGTCTTTTTCGCTGTTGCCACTTTGATTACTTGCAAGACTGGTTCTGCTAGATCCGGTCTTTCTGAGTGCTCGTTCTCTTCTTTGCTTGTTCTCTAGTTCTTCTTTCTTTGTTTGAGCTAATTCCAAATTTCCATTTCGAAGAGCAACAGCATCCTCTCGGAAACGAGCATCTGATGGAAGAGGGTCATCAGAGGGTTTAGCATATCTTGGAACTTCCTTCGAAATATTGAAAATTTCCTTGCGAGTAACCTCTGCCTTTTCCTTGTCTTTCATTGAAGCCAAAGTATCGACGGTTTGTCCAGGATAGTAGTGAACAATACCCAACCAACTTCCTTCAATCACACCAATCACATTGCCATCTTTTTTAACTTCACCTCTCAAGAAATCAACAGGAGTCTTTTGACTACTGAAAAAGGATCCAATGAAACTCTTTTGGTCTGGATTAAAGATCACTTCACACTCAAGATTATTCTTGTTTTCTGTGAAAGCCATTTTGTCATAATATTCTAGAACTCGTTCTCCCCAACAAATACCTTTTAGCCACAAGAATGGTTGTGAGTAATGAATGGTTGCTCCGTCCGATTCAAAATCAATATAAGTTGGACCCACTTGACCACCTTTCAAGGCATTTCCTCGGATACTTGCGAGGTAGCCACAGTATCCGTGCAATCTGAAATTATGACCTTGTGCTTCGTAGGCAGAGATAGGAGGGTGATGGGATGTTTGTTCGATAAAGAGTTGAATATCCTTGTTGGGATCATTCTCATGAAGAAAAGTAGCTTCAAATGTTTCTCCGAGAATCGGATTGAATGGTTTCTTCTGTACACACATTTGATGTAATCCAGCAATACCAAAAGCAATCACTTGAATAAATCTTTCGACTGGATCCTTCTCATCAGCAGCCTTGGTTAATAATTTATGGAATGCCCACAAATCTGGCAAACGTTGTAAAAAGCTTCGTCCTTCGAAAATATATACAGGCAAAGAAACCGACACTAAATCTTTTCCTTCAAGAAGAGCACCTCCCAACTTTTTGACCATATCCCAAATTCCTTTCCGTTGTTCTTTAATTTCTTCTTCATTGGTAAACAAATATCCACCTCCACTCGCACAAGCCAATGAACGTCCATCCTTTCCCACATCATTCAACACAATACAAGCACCGAAATAGGTCTCTCCTAATTGCCTTCCGGTTGGAGAGGAAGACGCGTCGGTGATGTTCTTGGATAAACGTTTAGAATTTCGTTTGGAAGATGAACTCATTTTTTGCGAATGAACAATTGCGGAGGAGCAAAAATGTTGTGATGGATAATACATCCTGCTTGTGGTTGATGATGAGGATGATGAGGATGATGAGGATGCACACACACGTACGTGATGAATTCATATTATACAATACAACAACAATAACAACCACACACATGTACTCTTCTGGATCCATTCTGTTCAGCTACCCTTTTGGTTCGACTCTTGGAAGAGAGTGCGAGAGGATTCGATTTAGAAAGAACTCAGAGAGGAAAAGGTGACAATTTTAGATACGAGAGAGGTTCAAAGTCAAGAATATGTATGAACGGATACAACGTGTGTAGATGAACAACCTTACTGATAATCAAAGGTTTCAAAGTCGTACGTGTGTTTACAGTAAAACAATCCACCTCCATTAATTTTAGCTTTCAACTCTCAAGTTGAATCAGTTTTTCTTATTGATCCTCTGAAAGCCATCAACTAATTAAATGAATTTTTCAGATAAAAAATATTTGAAAATCTTCATCATCGGCGAAGAGTAATTTTTTATATCTCACCATCATCATGGAAGAACTCATTGAGAATTCACCAGCAGTCATTGATACCGAAGGAAACAAGGAATTACTCACAACTACTCCACCATTAAACGTTATTTTCCTTGGACATGTGGATGCTGGTAAAAGCACGCTCTCTGGCCGTATTCTTTTGGATACCGGTATGATTGATGAAAGAGTGATTGAAAAGTTTAAAATTGAAGCAAAAGAAAACAACAGAGAGTCATGGTATATTGCCTATATTATGGATTGTAGCGAAGATGAAAAGGAGAGAGGTAAGACCATTGAAGTCGGACGAGCACACTTTGAAACTCAAAAGAAACGTTACACAATTCTCGATGCTCCGGGACACAAGGCTTACGTTCCAAACATGATTGCCGCTACTACACAAGCCGATGTTGGTATTTTGGTTATTTCGGCAAGAAAGGGAGAATTTGAAGCAGGTCTCGATAGAGGTGGACAAACATTGGAACACACAGTTTTGGCTAAAACTTTGGGTGTGGACCAATTAATTGTTGTTGTCAACAAAATGGCTGATCCAACCGTTGACAGAGATAAAGCAAGATATGATGAAATTGTTTCAAAGGTCAGCAATACTTTGAAGAGCATAGGATGGAATTTAAAGACCCAAGTTCAATTCATTCCAATTGACGCTCTCAGTGGAGGGAATATTAAGACAAGAAATCTTGACTGCCCTTGGTACACTGGTCCATCATTGATTGAGGCTTTGGATGAGATCAAATTCACAGTTACTCACGATAGTAGTGCTCCATTGCGATTACCAATTATTGACAGATACAGAGACAAGGGATGCACAGTCGCTTTGGGTAAAGTGCTGAGCGGTCAAATTAAAATTGGTCAAAAGGTTGTAGTCATGCCAAATAGAGCTGTATGTGAAGTTGTGGCTTTGAAGAGTCACGAAATCAATATTCATGGTGGAGTGGTTGAGGCTGGTGAAAATGTTGAGCTGTACTTGAAGGGTGACGACGAAAATATTTCAGCTGGTCACGTTGTTTGTGATCCTGATCATTTGTTAGAACCTGTTCAAGAATTTATTGGTCAAATTCATATTTTGGATAGCTCAGAACATGTCGATGTTATTTGTTCTGGCTTTACTACCAATGCTCACTTCCACACTGTCATGGAAACTATTCAAATTACAAAACTCTTAAGCAAACTCGACAAGAAGACTGGGAAACCATTGCCACAAGTACCAAAATTCATTCAAAATAAGGATACTGCAGAGGCTGTTTTTAGACTTGAAAGACCAGTTTGCATTGAGAAGTTTGAAACTTTGAACTCTATGGGAAGATTTGTTTTACGTTCAGATAGAACTATTGGTGTTGGACGAGTTAAGAAGGTGAAACCTTTGAATAAGTAAGAGCCATGTTTTCAGGAAAAGTTAATTAATGTGATGAACAAACAGGAAGATTTTGTATTCCTCATCATTACACAAACTGCTACATGTATTGTGCAAGCACAAGTGTTCTAAATGTTCATAAATTGATAAATTAATTTTAATAATCAAGAATGTTGAAGAAAGGAAACCATGCTATATAGCATCACCTCCTTTTAAATAAAAGGTTATTTCCTCAATCATTTGTGACATTTGACGCTTTGCAAGATTCAGTGCGAAACAAGTATATTTCATCCATCATCAACTACATCTTCACACAAAAAAAACGAGTTGACACCAAGCAATAATCATCACTTAGTTGTGGTTTGTTATTGCTCTCCTCCAATTACAACAAACTCGTCATCATTGGTCACCTCGAGAGTTGAAACCACTGTGAATTTCCTTGACACTTTTTGTCGTTGCCATTCTCACAAGCACACATTCCAAATTGACAATTTCACATTCGTTTCTCATTCGCTCTCAACATCTATCTCAGACCCCAACAAAATGGATCAAATTGATTTTGTCCCATCCAAAGAGGCCATCTCCACACAAATCAAAAACTTTCAATCAGATTCCACTCTTCAATGGCTCTTCTTTGCGTATCAAGAATTGGATGCTTCCAACAACAATAACAACAAATCCAAAGGAGTTTCTAACAAGATTGAAATTGCTCGCATTGGCCAAGAACCTCTCGATAAAACTCAACTCGAACAACTTCGGGATTCAAGCAATAACTCCTCTTCTCAAGAATCCATCACTGGTTATTTGACCCCATTCAGTTTCAATTACTTTATTGTTCGAATTGATGCCAATCGTTATATTTTCATCAATTGGATCGGAACCAAAACTAAAACTCTCATGAAAACTCGTGCCATGACTCATCGAATGGAAATCAAATCGTTGGCAGAAAAGTTACTTTCCATGAATTTTGTATTTGATCATAATGGTGTCGATGAGTTTGACAAGTTGTTGCGTATTGTGGAAGAATCTCAAAAGTTTGAATTTGAAAATATGAAAGACAAGACGACCACTAGTGGTGCCACCATTCACTCGTCGACATCTCCACGTTCTTCTATGAACCATTCTATCCACACGAATAATAACAGTAGTGACAATCACAACAACAACAGCTCTACCTCTTCACAGAGCGGAGCAGCACAAAAATCTTCCACTCTCATGAGTCGTTACAATCCTTCTTCTTCCTCAAATGAAGAAACTCTTTCACACAATCGAAGACATCAACGTACCAGCAGCAAGCCACCAAAACTCGGACTCGCTGCCATCATGAGACAAGTGTTAAAAATCGATGAGAATAGCATTCAACCCTTGTTGAAATCTCGTTCCTTCGCTTGGCTCTTGTTGGGATATAATTCCGATGGTTTGTGTCAAATTGAAGGACAAGGTCAAGAACAAAATGTTTTTCCACCTGCATTGTTTGATGCTCTCAAAGAAGATGACATGCAATACATTATTTTGAAATGGGTTTTGACAAATACTGGATATGGAGGAGATGTTGAAAAGACCTACTTTTTGTCGTTTGTTGGAAGTGCTGTCAACTCGGTTCGTCGTGGTAAAGTGAATCAACACAAACAAGAGGTTTATGATTTCATTAACAAACATTTCCAATTGGGTGGTGAAGTCACAATTACCAATGAAGATGAATTAACTGTAGATTATATTCAAAATTTAATGTTGGGTAACAGAAGTGCAGTTCCTGTTGCTGTGACTGATTGGGGTACTCCAAAATATGTTCCTCCTCCATCCGAAGCAATTCACACCGAAATTCCATTAATGAAATCTCCAAGAAGTGATCCATTAAGATCTCCAAGAAAGGAATCTCTCAAATCTCCAAGAAAGAGTTCATTGAAATCAAAGGAAACCTCTGCATCGCCATCAACAACCTCATCAACATCAGAATCTTCAGGCTCCTCCTCTGCTCCATTACCAAGAAAGGGAAGTGAAATTTTGAGTAAGATTAAACTCGGTTATAAGGAAGGAAAATTGAGAGGAATTAAAACTAGAACTCCAGAAGATGAACAATCTCCAACAGCGTTGACAACCACCAATGCTTCTCAAACAAATCATGGTGATAGCATTGCATCTCCAAAAACTGATTCCCCAAACAGTGCAAGAAAGAGAAAATCCATTCTCAGAGGAGGTGTTCATAATTTTTCGATGGAAAATATGGACAAGCTCACAAGAAATTTACTTAAAAAGAAAGATACCAAGAGAGTGACTGCTTTGGTCTATGGACAAAATTCAATTCGAATTGAAGATGAAGAAAAAGCAATTGATCGATTGTATGACTTGAAGGATCCACTTCAATTGGAAACCATGTGGGTTCTTTTCAGTTATCCTAATGAGAAATCACTCAATATATTAACCGTTCTAGATAGTGGATCCAAACCACTCCCTAACGATGATGCAACCATGGAAAAGCATTTACAGGATGATGCCGTCAAGTACTTTGTTCACAAATACTACGTCGAAAGAAATTCTAGAATTGAAGCGAAATTTAGAATTGTCATTTGGAGAGGAAAAGGAGTGAGATCCTATTTCAAGGCCATTTGTACCAATCATGCGATGAAACTCTCCTCTTCCATTAGTGCTGTCATTCCCAATGTAGATCCTGAGCCACTTGTTTTCACAGACATCTCATCCGTCAAAGAAGCTAAAATTGCACTCGAAAGTGCTGGTACATCTCTCGAACCACAAGTGGCTGTCAAGAAATTACAAGAAAAGTTTGCACAAGCAGCTGAACGTGAACGTGAGAAGGCTTCAGCCAATTCACCTTCGAATCGAAATGCAGCAAGAAGAGTTTCCATGAAAAAGGCAGGTTATGATTCTGGAATTGGTGGTGGCTTAAAGGTTCTCAACGAAGATGCTTTGATCGAGAGCATGAAAGAATTACAAAGTGATTCGAATGACATTTCATGGGTCATGATTTCTTACAAGGACTCAAAGACGTTACAATTGGAAGATAAGGGAACTGGTACTGCTGAATCTTTCAAATCGAAATTGACCGATGATAAGGTCTTTTACATTTTATACAAACAATTTTTGGAAGAATTGGGAGGAGCTCCCAAAGCAATTCTTATTGCTTGGGTTGGTCAAGATGTGAAACCAATGGCTAAAGCATCCACAACTCCTCATCGTATTGCTCTCTTCAAATATTGCGTACGTCACGTCTCATTGTCAAGTGAATATCAACCTATTAGTATTGATGAATTAGATAATGATTCCATTTTTGGTAAAGTTTCTGGTGGCGGTTCAAAAGGATCCACCAGTGGTGCTGGTGTAATTTCCAAGTCCTTTGGTGGTAAGAGTCAATCTTTGACCCTAGTTAATGAGGCCTCTATTATGGAAGCTATTCAAGATTTGAAGGATGACCATACTCCAACCAATTGGATCAAACTTGGTTACAATGGATCTAATTCTCTTCAATTTGAAGAAAAAGGTACAGGAGGTTTGGATGAATTCCAACATCATTTATCGGATGATGCTGTGAGTTATGTCTTGTACAAGACCTATGTCGAACATAGTCCAAAAATAGCACTCATTACTTGGGTGGGTACTGGAGTCACTGCTGGAACTGCAAAAGCAAGAGCAACCACTCATCAATTGGAATTGGAAGCAATCACAAAGAAGGTGACACCTGTGGCTGCATTGTATCAAGCTCTCGAGAGAGAAGAACTTAAGGAAGAATTGATTCATAAGAAAGTTGCTGGTTCTGCCATTATTTCAGCTCCAACTGCTGTCTCTAAAGGTAACTTTGGAGGAAGAGATTCTAATTTGAAGTTTGATGATGATCATGCAGTTCTTGAAGCATTTAAGGAATTGAGAGGAAATAGTGGTATTCGATGGCTCCTGTTTGAATATGTTCCTGGAAATCAATATACAGTGAGTGTGACACAAAAAGGAAAAGGAGGTGTCAGGAACTTTAAACAATATCTTACCAATGACATTGTTTGTTATGTGGTCATGCGTTTGACATTTATGGAATATTCTGACATTGCAAAGGCCATTGTTGTGACATGGGTTGGTGAAAATGCACCAAGTTTCCAAAAAGCACTCTCTGGTGGTCACAGAATTAATTTATACGAATTCACAAGAAAACAAATCTCAGTCGGTGGTGAATATCAACCTGAAAGCTCTGAATCATTAAGCGATGAAGATTTACTTTCTAAAATTACAGGAACAAAGAATGACAATGCAGGAGATGCTTTGGAAGAAAAGATTCAACAACAAAGAACCTTTGAAAGAGAACGTATAGTTCAAGTTCAACCTACGATTGAAGTGAAAGATGCCAAACAATACATTGGTGAATATAAAGACATTGAATTCAATGGAAAAGAGGAAATCAAACAGGCACTTGCAAACTTGGCTGAAAAGTGTCGAAATGAACAACACGATAAGGCACTCGAGAATGCAAGTGTGAATTATATCAAGATGAAACTCACTGGAAAGGAGCTTCGTGACGTCGTGATTGAAGAATCTGGAGATAATGGTCTTACAGATGAATGGAGAGAACGACATTTAAGTCCTAATGAATGTCTCTTGTTTGTGTTTGGACTTTTCACATCTGAAGGAGGTTATGGAATGATGACAAAATTTGTTTTTGTTCAATGGATTGGTCATGACGTGAAACATTTATTGAAGGCCAAGGCAAGTGAAATTAGACAATCGATTTACAATTTCATTCATAAGGAATTGTACATGTCTGGTGAAATTCAAGGATGTACCAAACCAGAACATGTCACATTGAAACTTGTGATGGAAAAGATTACAGGATCGAACGTTCGTGGTAGTGAAATGAAATTAGAAAAGAAGGATAAAAAGTTTCAAGGCCTCGGTAAAGAAAAGAAGAGCAAATTATCTGTCAAGGATCAAGACAAATTGATGCATCTTGTGGAAGATATGATTTTACAAGATTATCTCGAAAAGAAGGATGAGAAGAAGGATGAAGACGAAGAAAATGAAGAATGGAAAAACCATAAGAGAATTTCTGAAGGAAAACTTGATTGGATTCTTATGAGCTATGTCAAAGATTCAATTGATGAAATTGAAGTGACAGCTTATGGAGAAGGAGATGTTCATAACTTTAAGAGCTATTTGAAACCAAACTCTGTGAACTTTGCAATTATTAGAGTTTTCCATGCTCAAGGATATGCGAAAGACATTTCCATGCTCACTGACAATCGAATCAATTTGGCAAAGCCATACTTTACTTTGATTTATTGGAAGGGTGAAAATGTTCAAGTGTTGGAAAAGGCATTGACATCCCATCACTTTAATTCATTCCACAAATTGATGACTCAGAAATTCATGAGAATGAAGTCATCCTTACAAGGTTCAACTTATCAAGCTGAACATGAACATGAGTTGGATATGGACAGAATTAAGAAGCTCATGAGATTGTATGATTAATTTCTGCTCGAACTAGTTTTACAATTCACTAAAATAATTCAATTACAACAATTCATTCCAATAATTTTGAATTGATTTGTTTTTATTGATATTTGAAATTTCGTACAAGAGGAGGTAAGATGTGTGTCTCCATTTCGTGCAACAAAGGATCAAATAATGATTTCACAAGTCCTTCCTTTTCATATGTTTGTTTCACCTTCTCAATCGTGTGTGGCTGAATTGAAAAGACAAATGCCTTACTTTCTTCATTTAGGAATGTTTTCAATATGGTTAAGGCAATACATTTGAGAGTTTGAATGTTCACTTGTTGGTTTGTCTTGACATCCAATAATGTTTGATAGTAATACTTCAATTTGTCATACAAACAAAACGTATTCAGGTGATGTGAAATTTCACAATAATTCTTGAATTCCATTCTACTTCTGGGATCATTCATAATATCCGAGAGAGAAGAAAAAAGTTCATTTCGAGCAGATTTCAAAGCGTCCGTACTTGTTAAAATTTGTAAATTTGATCTTCTTGAGAGAAGCTCATCCATACTCGATCCAGTGTTGTTTCTCTTTGGTGAACTTTTAGGAGAGCCATGTTGATTTCCAAAAAAGCATGAAAATGTTTTGCGAAGTTTGTTTCCATGTTCACTTGAATTCTTTTCAAAGTTATCATTCATGTCTCTTAATTGATCTGTTGGCACTGAAGAAATGTTATTTGAGTAAATGTATTTGTCTGGATGAATGGTCACACAGTTCATATTTTGTGAGTGAATGACTTCAGGGATGGATGGATCTGACTTCTTGAATCCATTGTTTGGCTTCAATGGAGACAATGTTAAAAATTCATAATCTAAATTCACACTTTCTTCACTATTAGCATCGACAAGATAATCAATGTAATCAGGTTTATCTTGCAAGTCCACAAAGGTAAATTGTTCACAAATTTCACCTTTTGAAACTCGAAACATGACTGGCAATCGGTGAACTTGAGACAAATGATTGGTACAAATTCCAACACTATAACCTTGTAATGTCATGGTAATTGCAGAAAATAATGAACTTAGATTAATGAGAGATTTCATGGGTAGCTTTCGAATGTTAAAGTGATTGAAAAATAAGTAACCAGTGGGATCTGAAACTCTATGATAGTCTTCGATCAAACTCTTGTAAAGAGTGAAACTTTCTTGATCCGATTGTACACAATTTGCTCCAAAAATGGTGTGAAGGCTATCTCTGCTTGATACGAGACGCTGAGAAGAATTGTCATTTCTAGAAGTGCTCTTATAGAAACTTCTCCATAAACGTGTGAGTCCCTTTTTTTCACACTTTCTGGTTTCTACCCTTTCAGAAAACATGTCATGTTCCAAAAATCCACTTCCTTGATGAACAAAGACTGGAAGAGTATTCATATTGAGCAAATGTTGGTATTCTTTGGTCATGTCAGAAATGGAATATTTTGTAAAAGGGCATGTGAAACTTCGTAAAAAGATAAGAACCACATCATGGATTTGACTTAATTCATGGACGCTTACTCCATGATTTGTGATCATTTGGTGAAGTATGTTATTACTTATTGGAGTATTTGAATGGCAGTAGGAGGAAGATGGAGAAGAAGGACTCGTTCTGTTGGATTTTTGAAGTGTGACAAGATTTTTCAAAAACATCAGCGGAGTGTTTGAATGGTTGCTATCAATGGTATCATCCAATTTTCGAATCGAAAGTCGATGAATGAAATTTCCCTTCTTTGATAAACTATTTCTTTGAGTTTGATGTTGTGTTAGAAATGCAAATGACACTGGTGTCAATGTAGCTCTTCTCTCAACATTACCATATTTAGAAAAGAACTCTGAATCTTTGATTAATTGACTCTTCTTCAACAACATTGGAGGTGACAAACAATTGGTATCTGGCACATAATTCCGTTGTACAAGAGAGTCTTCATGAGAGGTTGTACAAGAGATTTGTTTACAAGGAGATTCCACGAAACTAAAAGTTTCATCCTCCTCAAACGTGAGCAAGGAATGATCATCATTTTCACCATCGTCACCACCATGACCACCACCACATGAAGAGGATGGTTGGATATTACTCAATGAAATAATTGTTGTTGTACTCTGTGGTTCATTGGGTAATAGTGGTCGATGTGGTCGATGTGGTGTCATGAGAGAGAGTGGTGTTGTTCTTGTTTCAATGCTCATCGAAGAAGAAGAAGAAGAGGAAAGACAAAAACTACTTTCATTAATCAATGAACTGAAAGTGGAAACAAATGAAACATTTAAAGATTGAGAATTTTCATGACGATTGGAAAAGGTTGTGGAACAGTTGTGCAACGTGTAGCAGCTGCTGTCGAAATTTTCATGTTTGGCGAATGTTCGAGGAGGAGTGACCATTTCATCATCACTATTACTATTATTACTACTATTATTAGTATTACTAGTTTTACTGTTTGGAGAGTCATGAAGAGAAGAAGAGTCTTTTGATGTTGTTCGGATGATGGATGTTGTGTTGGGATTGGAGAGAATTTCTCGAGGAGTTGAATCCACTTGTTCTTCTTCGAGAAATTCCGAAAATTCGGACCGAAATGAAAATTCATGATTCTGAGAGAAGAGGGATTTGGAGGTTAGGAAATAATCGTCTTCATCGTCGACGGTGATGATGGGTTGGGTGTATGAAACAGCCACTGTGGTGATGTTGTTGTTGTTGTTTGTAGTGGGCATTTCAAACATGTTGACAAGTGACTTTTCAAGCAAGTGTTCCAGTATTGAAAGAAGGAGAGGTTGAATCTTATCAATAAATCAACTAGAGAGTGTTAGAGTGACCGAGTGTGTGTGGTTATTATTTTGTTGTTTTAGTTTTTTGAGAATTAGTGTTGGCATTCATTGACAGCTTCGTAAAAGGAAGAAATTTTTTTTGGTCTTTTGAATTGTTGGAAACGTTAATTTGAGCGGGAAAAGGTGATGTCAAATTTTGTTCACCCATCTCAAGTGTCTGTTCAATTTTAAATATTAATATTAAAAGTGTGAATTAACTATAATAATCATCATGATATGAAATTCTTTGTTTATTATTTCATTGACATTCTTCCCGCCTTTTCTTTTCCGTTAAAAAAAATGTCCAAACGAAAACTTCAGTTATTGCAAGCGTTGAATCATGATGCTTCGGGATTGTTGTGGAATGCTTCATCTGTAATCATGGGAGGAAACTCTATGCCTTTCACGATCGCTGGAATGAATACAACTGAAACAAAGAATGTAAGTCAGAAACCATCATGATCATCATTCTCATTATTTTCGGAAACATGTTTAGACCTCTTCATCCGAAGAAGAAAGTTCAAAAAACTCATCCATGAAATCCACTACTGCTTTGGTACATGAGGATGAGAATAATTTATCTAACAAGTGTAATTCATTCGTCATTCCCATGCTTCAACAGCACGAACAACAAAAACGATTAAAATCCAATCATCATGTTGCTGAAAAATTGTCGGGGAAGGACTTTTTTCAAGTACAAGAAGAAATGGAATGCCAATATCAAGAAGAAATGAAAGAAAAGGAGGAAATAGAGAAAGAAAATAAGGCTTTTAATCAAAAGTTAGAAAAGAAGGAGGCTTTGAAAAATGTAATCAAATCAGAGCCAAATTATGTCAAACTAAATTTGAGAAGAAAAACTTTCAAGTCAAGAAGAAGGTTTAAAGGAAGTGGTAAAAAGTATGGAGGTGCATTATCAAAGAAAGATCTAGAATTATTGAAAGAACAAGATGATACTACTATTGAAAATGATGAAAATAATGAACTGATTGAAGATGACAGTGAGCAGGATGGTGACATGAATGACATCACTCCTGCTGAATCTAGTCTCTCTTTGGGCTATTCAGTGGAAGAGATATTGAACTCTCAGCAAGTAGCAGAGTCTATCTTAAAGGAATACTTTTTACATGATTCATTTAGACTAGGTCAATATGAAACAATTTCGAGAATTTTGAGAAAAGAGTCTGCCTTGTTAATCTCTGTCACTGGAAGTGGTAAATCGACGTGTTATCAGTACCCCACTCTATGTCTAACATATAACAAGAAAGAATTTGTCGTTGTGGTTTCTCCGTTAATTTCCTTAATGGAAGACCAAATGCAAAACCTTATTCCTAGCTTACCAGGAGCATTGATGACCAACCATCAATCAAGCCAACAACGTTCAAAAATCATGAATGATATCAGAAAAGGACTTGTAAAGATATTATTTATTTCTCCTGAAAGGCTTTGTGATGCCAGGTTTATTGAGAGTGCGAAACAACTTCCTCCCATTTCATTTGCATGTATTGACGGTAAGTGAAAAGACTTATGATAGTTTAAGCTCTCAAACAATGAAAAAGAGGCCCATTGTATGTCAGAATGGTCACACAACTTTAGACCTTCATATCTGAGCGTGAAAAACGTTCTCGAGAAGGATCTTGGTGTGTCTACAATATTAGCCCTAACAGGAACAGCTACAAAAACAACAGAAAAATCAATTTGTGAATATTTGCACATTCCGCCACAGAACGTTTCAAGGCAAACCCTGTCACGCCACAATCTTGTGAAGACTGTTTCCCTTGGACTGCCAAGCAAGTTTACCGCTGTTCTCAATCTCCTTAATAGTGATCGAATGAAAGGATATAGAGATTCTGTTATCATTTACACTATGTTAAGAAAAGATGCTGAACAATTATGTAGCCATTTAATAATGAATGGCATACATGCAATTCCATATCATGCAGGAATTGAAGTTTCAAAGAGAAAAGAAATTCAGAATCAATTCATGAAGAGAGAAATTAATATCATCGTTGCTACAGTGGCCTTTGGTATGGGAATTTCAATTTCAGGTGTACAGTCGGTTATTCATTTTAATTTACCAAGATCAGTTGAGAGTTATGTTCAAGAGATTGGGCGTGCAGGCAGAGACGGTTCTCCAGCTCAGTGTCACATCTTCTTTGATGAAGATGATTACATAATTTCTCGATCTCTATGCTACAGCAATTACGTCGATATATTTACTGTGAAAAAACTAATTCAAAAAATATTTTCAAAGAATGCAGAAAAATGTCATATATGTGTATTAGGAGTGAAACAATTGGAAAAGCATTTAGACCTCAAAGAGGAAGTAATCTCAACTCTTCTTACGATTCTTCACAACAAAGGTTTTATTAAGCTCCGTTCGAACACAAATCACATGTACACAATATTTTTCATGAAGAGTACTCCTGCTGAATTGGCAAAGAAGCACTCCTGGATCAAAACGGCCATGTCTCAATCGAAATCTTCCTCAAAGTTTGAAATTGACCTTGCAAAAATTGCTTTGGAAGCTTCTGTTTCTTTTTCTCAGTTAGAAACAGAAATTATTGGACTCAAAGAAATTGGCGAAATCAAATATGAAACAAAATCTGAGGCATTTTGTATGGAATTACTGCAACATGTAACAAACATTTTAGAATTGTCAACAACAATCACGGATGAAATGAGATTGTTAGAAAAGGTAAATGTTTCAAAGGTTCAAGCCATGTTTAAGCTTGCTCGAGAATTTGTTGTCTCAGACGAAGAAGCCCAAAAGACTAATCCTACCAAAAAGGTTGGGATGGAACAGTTGATTGATGAATATTTCACATGTGAAAACGAACAAGAGTTCTTGAAAGATGAGGCTGATATTGTAAAAACAGAACTGAAAGGCAATGACCGATCTGTCATTCAATCGGATTGTTGTGTTTTACTTCGAAAATATGACACCATTCCAAACGCCAAAACCTTAACAAAAATTTTGACAGGTATTTCAAGCCCAAATTTCAATGCCGAATTTTGGAGAACATGCGGTATGTGGGGACGATATAGGCATGTTGATTTTTATTCATTGTTGGAGGTTGCCACTGAAGCCTTTACAAGACAAAAAGTAGAAGATTAAACGCCGCCTTTTGCCTTTTTTCGAATGAAAAATACAGTTAGCCATTCAGAGAAAATTCTATCATTGTCACGATCTTTGAATTTCTTAATCCATGCGTGCTCAAGCATATCTCTTGCAAAAGGTCGATTTGTTTGTTCATACTCACAACATCTCGTGACAAAGTTTATAAATTCACTACTCAACATCTTTTCATTATTCTTTCCGGATTTGTAAGATTTAGCTGCGTTAATAATTTTTTGAGGTATTTCACAAAGCTTGGGTAAATTTTCCCCGCTGATGTCAGTTTCATTTAATGGATGGTGACCTGTGATTAATTCTACAGCCATAACACCCAGACTCCAAATGTCACTATTGTAATTGTATGACTTCTCCAGTAACCGTTCGGGCGATCGATAAATAAACGTTCCGTTCACTGTTTTGAAAAAGGTTGAGCCTGCCTCAATTTTCTTGTGTCCACACAATCCAAAATCACCGATTTTGATAGAGGCTTTCTTTTCTTCCTTGTCATAACGAACAAGAATATTTTCTGGCTTGATGTCACGATGGATAATGTGCTTTTTTTGTAAGTAATCCAATCCAATCAATACTTTTTCCACAATCACAAATAAAATTCGTTCAGTTAAATTTTCTGCTTGCACGATTTTGAAAATATCTCTCAAGCTTCCACAGTTGCAGTAGTCTAGTAACATGTAAAAACACAAATTTCTATAATAACATTCATGCACTCGAATGAGCGACTCATGATTACAAAGATAAATGGCAGCAAATTCAGCCCATTCCATTCTTTGAGAAAATTCTAGCTGATCACTATCTTGATAGATCATTTTCAGAGCATACTTTTTAGAGGTAACTTTATGTCGAGCTACTACAACGTGGCCAAAACTTCCACTCCCAATGTATTTTCCACAAATTTCTAAATCATTATAAGGAATATTTACATGGTCTTTACACATTTCTCCAGGAATTAAACCATTTGGTCCAACAGTGAATGTACATTTCTTTCCAAATATATTTCCTTGTACTGTCATTAATGATTTAATTCCGATCATCACTAATTATTGACACAGTTATAGTGTATTCAACTTACTGACCAAAGGCTCTTCTGAAGGAGACATCAATGAAGGTATTGGAGAAGACATTATTCCAGTATTAATAAAAAGAAAATCAAAAGGAGATATTACAGAGGAAGTTGCAGTGGCAGGCGAGGTAAAACTGGAAGGAGCAACACTCTCCTGATTGATCATGCTGCTTTTGGATCCATTTCTGTTAGGAGTAGCGTTATGATCATTATTAACGACTGATGCAAAATTATCAATTCCATATGGCCTCCATACATTGCTTTCCGAAGAGGAGGTCGTGGTTGGAGTCGTCGGAATTAACGGAGACTGTTCCTTAGTCGTGGTCGTAGCCGTTGTTGTTGGTTCCGAAGCGATAAAAATTGGTTTGAAATTATAGTTCATTCCATTGCTTTTAAATTGATTCAGCATTTATAAAAAATTGAGAGGATGATGATGATGACTAATTCTAATTCGTTTTTGAGACAGCACGTATGACAGTAAAGAGAGAGGCTTTGAATATTTTTTTGGATTAGAAAGTTTTTCAAAGTTCATAGACCAGTCCAAAGGAATGAAGCGTTCTTTCACTAAGTGAGTATCACCTCTGACACCCCATCACATCCTATTGATGAATCCTCTTCATGCTTGATATAATTTCCGAGAGCTATAGCTATGAAATTAATGTTTAGTTGACTATTGGGATCAATCTTCAAATAAAATTTTGATTGAATTTACAAGTTCGAAAAAAATGTTTCTTGCAAAAGCCGTGTGTCGTCGTCGGAATTCATCACCATCGTTGTTATCCTTTGTACCAACAACAAGCCTTCGGAGAGTTTTTAAAATTCTTTCCCAAGAACAACACATCAACCATACGACTAATAATTTTCATGAATGGGCTCTTTTGAATAATACAACAACCACCAGAAATTTCCATTCCTTTTCTCTTCAACTTTACGCAAAGAAAAAGGCTGAAAAAACGAACAAAACAACGGCTCAGCCATCATCGTCCAATCTTCATCAAGAATCCAACTCATCCCCAGAACAGACAAAAACAACAACAACCATCACGGCGGAACAAAATGCCAAAGTAGCACCTTCCCCAGTGAAAGAACCCAAAAAACAGTTAACCTCAACAGAGCTCCGATTACTTAAACAGCAAGAAACCGTTGCTTTGCGAAAGGAACGATTGAGTGATGTGGTGAACAAACTTTTTAAGCCCAACCACAGCCCTCAACAAAATAAATCGTGTGAGGAAAAACAAACACAACCATCGGACTCAACAACACAAACCAAAAAGAAGAGAAAGACTAAAAAATCAGAAGAAAAAGTAGTTCCCCCATTCGTACTTCAACCTTACACAAATCCAGAGATTGACTCGATTTTTTCTGCTATTCTCTCCATTTCACCAAAGGCAACAATCAATTTACTTTCAAAACAGGAACCTGAAGATGAATTCATTACTGTATTGAAATCAAAGAGAGCTAAAGATCAAGGAAATGATTTGCCACAACAACAATCTTCAATCTCTCAATTTTCCGAAAAACAAGTGAATTTCACACAATATACCAAAGTGGAAACCTCAGTATTAGACACCCCACTTGAAATGACAGATGAGGAACTTGCAGCAGAAGCATTCCCAACTTCTAAAATGCCAAATATTAATGACAACGACGATAGTGACATTTTGGAATACCTGAAAGAATTGAAGAATCGAAATTCACAACACAAAACAATCAAACAACAATACGAAATGGGTGAAATGACTGCATCCGATGAGGCCTGGAAACAAGTTTTGGAGAAACCAGAATCAAGTCATTTGGAGGAAGATTTAAGCGAACCAGTAGTTGCGACAACAACGCCCAACTCCAACACAGGTCCAACACAATTGAAACATCACTCTCCACACAAACGCGGGTCTGCAAGATACGATCAGGATGATGTTGTGCTTCAATTTTTGAAGGATCTCATCAAATAAATACACCCGACCGTTTGATGATGGAGCCAATCTCTTCTTGTCGAGCTCGAACTGAATATGGTTCGACCTAGACCTTGCGTATTTGCACTACTGCAACGATAGCTCCACAACGCAGTTCTCATCCTTCCTCTCTAAAATCTTCCTTAAAAAAACAACAACATCATTTCTCTTCTCCAATCGCCTTTTTGTTTGGAAATCTAAATCGTTCGAGTGGCGATCAACAAATAATTTCAAATCTTCATTTGGTTCCTGATGGAAACTCTCATTGGAAGAGGGAAGATGATGCCGTCATACGAACGTAATTGCGTTAGGACTGTTGTAAAGGTTCCACAAGGTGTGGTCGTGATGAGCCTCATCATTGCCATGATCATGATGATGCTTCTTCTGATTCCCTTAACGGATGAACATCGAGGAGGAGCAGAGGCAGCCACTCCTCAAGTACGATGTTCACGTTTCTCCTCTCAATCCTTAATAGCTGGTCTGCAAGGAAGCTATTCCGGAGTTTCTCCATACCCTTTAAATTGCCCTCTTGGATGTAATTTGTATATATTATCCTCGAGTGCTTTGGGTTATAATGGACCTCTTGGATCATTGGGGTAGGTAAATATTATATTCCAACCCCCTAAAACCTTTTTCATTCTTAATCTATTTGTGTTGATATTCATTCAACCATTAATTCAACAACATGAAATTGATATTCCCATAATATTTGGTCATGTGTGGTTGTTTCGCCTTTCTGATATTGAACCGTTCGATTCAGACCTTTGGGCCCGTTGGGACCAGTAGGATGGATGACCAATTCCGCCTTTGTATGGCTTGGAGGAACGTTCGGTGATTTTCTTGCCTCAATCCTTGGAAGCTCACATGATGGAATTCTTTCGAAACTCAACAACCCATTATCGGATGCTGGCCCATTAGGGGATTCGTTTTGGGATGTGATGCCAAAGATTAATGATTTTACAAAACACATGCAAGGTTTGGGTGTGTTCTCCGTGCTTGGTCCAATCGGGCCATTGGGAGCTTTAGGTCCACTTGGACCATTGGGACCTCGAGGACCTCATCTTCTTCATGTGAACGACAATGGAGAGTATATAGATCCATCGACGGGCCAAGTGGTAACCACATTGACTGCGTATTATAATAGTTCAATGCAAGTGGTTTGGCCACTGTTTGAAAAGTATACCAGCAAGGCATTTGTCGATAAATTGAGTAGAAAGGGTCTTTTGGATACATCCTTTATGGTCAGTTCCACTGCTGACTCTAACGGCGATACCTATGTGATGACCATTAAGGAACCTCAATATGTGACCATTACAATAACCCCTATTTTGTGGGCCAAAAACTTTTTCGTGGATGTTTATATTGAAAACAAGCTGATTCACACCTCCGATCAAATGTTATTCACTCCCTGGGTTCAAGTATATATTTCGAAGAGTGACATGACTGGCCCAGCGATCAAGATGAAAGTAGTCGTGAGAGTGGATCCATTCGATTGTGGATACTTGTTGGGTTGTGCCATGGATTACACAATTACTGTGGTGGGTAGCACTGCATTCATGTTGAGAAGACCACACATTTCATACGCTGGTCCTTACTTGCAAAACTGTAATTAGATTGGTATTAACACAAGGTCAATAGAAATGCTCATGTTGACCATTTATCGTTTTATGCTTAAGCAATCAATCCAAATAATTAAAAGATCAGTGTCACATCATGCACTTGACTATTGAGACAACACATGGAATCAAGTTCGTCAAAATTGTGGTGTTTTATTGGAAAGTTAAAAACCGTTGTGGGTCATTGATCACTGGTCATCAACCTTTACTTTCTCCAGTTCACAGTCATCCAGTCATATCTGTAGTTGTCTTTCATACCAATATGGGAGAACTTTGATGGACATTGACCAGCCCATTGGAATGCTGGCACATTGTCGTAGGTAGGACCATTAATAATGTGAATAGTTTGAATATCAGCAATGCTTGACACCTTAGTATCATAACCACCGCTGCATGATCTATTCAAATTGGTCGATTGTGGTCTGAGATCATTTCTGCTAGCAATAGCATAACCAGGGTTTCCTAACGAGAGTGGATCCACTTGATAATTGTTATATCTGAGCATTCTCTTCATGCTATCAATAGAGTTCACTGTCGATTGGTCTCGTCTGAAGATGTTAGCTCTAACACAAGTCTCATACGAAAGCATATCGCTTGCATTTGGCTTCTTTAAAACTTCTGGATAACCTGAAATAGTGAAAACTTCCTTATAGAAAGGAACCTGTAGAAAAAGAATTTTCATATTAGTGATAACTTGCAATTAAACACTTACATTGTACGATGGCCAATATCCAAAAGATAATATTTCGGTTTGATCAGCTGCATAGACTTTTCCTGGAATTTGTTCAACAACCCAGAACAAATTCTTATTCAAGCTTTTTCCTGGAGTAAATTTCTTGGTGTCGAGAACCATGAATTGATTGTTATAGGTACCAGAGTTATATTCACTGAAAATGTCACTCCATTCTGGAGCATCAGAAGCAAGTCTGTATTTTAACGTTTATCCTCATTATTCAAACATTAATGTATGAACGAACACTTACCTGTTTGCAAGTATGACTCTTTGCCAGCACAGCAATGATTCAGGCTTCACCAAATCGTATAATGAGGTGTTAAAAATGTTATTCGATGTTTCAATGACAACCAATCCAGATTTGGTGACATAAAAATCGTCATTACTGGCCAAATTGGCAGGATATGACGAAAAGGTCACAGTAGGAGAAGCAACAAGTCTATTGTTGAAATTGAATGTATATGTCTTGTAAATTCTTGTCATGGCTGAAAATGTGAACCATGAGGTATGTCTATTATACAAATGATCATTGAATGTTCATAAGCAAGTCATCAAAAAACAGTCACCACTACTTACCCAAAGTAGATATTACTGTAATCTGGTGTCACCTTAAATAATGCACTACAGTGACCATTCTCTTGAACAAAAGTCATAATTTGTTGTGGAGTCATCTTGTGGAATTGTGGTCTATTTTCCTTCTTCACATTCAAAATATCAAAAATGTCACCAAATGAACTGATCGTTTGCATGGAAGCAAAATCAATCTTCTCATTAGGATTAGTTGTTGCATCATTATAACCTTGCACGAGACCCTCCATTTGCAAATAAACAGTCTTAATCTGTTGCCAAAATGGATCAGAAGCATACTTGGTGCTTTGTTCCTTCATCCAATTTCGTTGCGTTTCAAAAAAGTCTCTTACATAACCAGGCATCCTCTTATCTGGCATATCAGCCCATGAATAAGTATACATATTCGTGTAGTGATTATAAATACGTTGTCTTGTAATTACACCTTCCAAATAACCAGCTCCGAAGGCTTGCATATCATCCTTCACCAATCCATTGGTTTCCAACGACAAGACATCCCATCCACGGCTCTCAAAAGTAGCATCATAATGAGCAGCGGCAATACCACCCTTCAAATCATAACCCTGTTTCACTACATACGATCCCTTCTCAAAATAAACGGTATAATCATCAGCGAGCACGCAACAACAACAAGAGAAAGCCGCCAGCAACGACAACAACAACAACAACGAACAATAGAAGGATTTTTGCATTTTTTTTGACGATTCTCATCATGTCTCGGAGTTTCCCTTGCAGAGAGCCATAAGAAAAATATATTTGTTGAAAAGGAGTTCAGTCATGTAACCTTGAAACACACTTGAATATAGGGTTGTGAAATTGTTTAGCCTAGAGTCGTGGATTTTCGTTTAATGATAATCGAACTCGCTTGTGCCTACTCCACAAGAACTGTGTTGAGGAAAGCCCTCTACAAACCAAAGCTACAACGACAATGAGGACGAGGACATTACTTCCCTCTTTATCAATAACCTCACTATGTGACAAGAAATGTAATTAGAGGATATTTCAGGTGTTGCAGGCGCTTCTGGTTTGACGAAAAGAAAATTTAATCTCGTTTTATTATATTCATTTGTACTCGTTTGTACACCTCGTTTTTTGGCGTTCGAGGTCAAACAACAATGACAATACAAGGGGTGGTTGAATGAATATTCAATTTTCACACTGATAATTATGGCTTCAAGTCTTCTCTTTTGGCACCTCTTGGTTCTACTTGCACTGATTTATCATAAAGAACCTTATCATCAATAATGTCATGATTTTGAAGAGTATTTCGCAAGAGCTCTTGAATTTGATGTACTTGTTGAATATTATAGGGTGGATTCTTATATTGCATCACTTCTGCAATTTGATTGGCAACGAGCTGTCTCTTCTTATAATTGATCAACATTCGATTCGTCTTGGAGTGTTTGATCATATCTGGATTACCATCTTCAATAAATGTCAAGTCAGTGAGATAAATACCAAGATAAATATTCAATGGAGGTTTCACTTCTTCTTTGATGTGAGTACGATAGGCCTTAAAAGCAGAATCAGGTGACATGACTTTGCAACATGCTGCGAATTCTTCTCTCAGTTTCTCGTCAATATCGTTGATACTCAAATTCAAACGGTGAACAGCAGCATTTTCGTAAGCACTGTTCAAAGCCATCAAGCTGTTAAAATTGTTTAACTTGAACATGTGTTTGGCAAGGTTCATCAATTTGGCAAGTTTAGCTTTTCTTTCTCTGAATGATTCTTCATGGGTGATTTGTGTAGCAAGCCAGTTAGAAAGTCTGTTGAAAAAGTCAATACTTTTGATGACATTTTTAGAACGGTGTTTGAGTTTTGGTTTGGACCATGAGCAGTTCAGCAATTCATGAGCTTCAATATTACGATACAAATTGTGATCCATATAAGTAATTTGTTTTGCCAATTCATCTTCTCTAATGTCCCAAATTGATAATTTTGGTGAAAATACAGTGGCTGGTACAACGGGTGGAACTGGTGTCTCAGAGAAACTGAGTTTTTCTTCCTTATTTCTGCTACTGGCTAATTTTTGAGCAAGTCTTCCACGAATTCTGAGACCCATTTTGCTCGTTTGTTTGTGTTTGAGAAGGAAATCTTCAATGAAGACCGTGAGCTCACGAATCATGTTTTCATTCCAATCAAGTGTGAAAAATTCGTCAATCCACTTGTTTAAAATGTTACCTGTTCTGATTTGAATGGTTTCCTTATTTTTGTTCCATACTTCAGGAGAAATATGCTTTGGACACTTGGGAACTCGATATCTTTGGCAAAGTTTGTGAAGTAAAATTTCTGGAACTGTAAATGAGCGATATGTTACAAGGAAGCATTGAATAAACCTGGCATCGGTGTCTGGATTAGTCAATCTTTCAATTAACTTGTTGAGAGAAGCACTCTTCAATTCAGAACCAACGAAATCGATATTATCATCTTCGTTGCTCAATAATTCAGCCCACAATGGTTTTCTCATGTCACCAACATCATCCTCTTCAAAGTGATGATAAATACTAGCGGTTTGAACCTCAACATCCGTATCAAGATCTATCAAATCTGATTGCGGTAATGCATAGGGCTTTTCAATATCTTTAATGCCAAGACAGAGCAGAGTGGTAATTAATGAATCTTTGGTATCTGTTCGATCCGATCGATAGCCATTATACTTGATTCCAGTTTCTTCTTCCATGACTTCAATCGTTTGATACAATCCACGCTGTGACAAGTGTTGATACACTAATTGTAAAAGTATCTCACGAGACAAAACCTCTCTGTTTTCAACAGTTCCCAACACATCCGCATAATCAAGAGCACTTCTTTTTTGTTTCTCCTGATCATTCGAGGTTCCTGTCATGTCTCCATTACTATCCGTCATACCCATCAATAGAGAGAGTCCTGCAGGATTGGAGGTTAGTGCAGAAATCGAATTTGTGGAACTCGTTGCACCTACTGGCACGGAATCTCTTGTTCCAGCTTCAAATCCACTCCCTGGAGTTCCATTCAATAAATTCATATTGACGAATCCACCAATATTACCCTCACTTGGATTTCTCTGCAATGGACTATTGACTCCGCCAGTCGTCGTATTCGTCGTACCAGTAATAGAAGTCGTACTCACTCGAGGAGAGTTGGGATCGGAGCCAATGGATGCCTGACTTTTCAATTTTCTAAAACTCGAAGAAGCAGACTTGAGGGAAGCCATCGATGAGAAACCTCCAGCTTCATTGTGTTGCATCAATGCAGCACTATGACTTGGTTGTTTACTCAATGGACGCATTCTCTCCATGAGAGCCAATACATTCGGATTTCTCTTGAGAGCTCGTGCCATCCATTGTTCCCGATCCAACAAGGCTGAACTCTCGGATGCTCCCACCGATGAAGCATGATGGACGATCGCCTTCTCGACCTGACTCTGTATTTGTTTGGTTACCTTTTTCAATTCACTTTGATGGAATTTATCTTGTGTGGCTGGTTTCAATTTCTCAACTTTGGGATTTTCATGATAGAATTGTGAGAGTGTTTGTTGTTGTTGTTGTTGGAGAGAAGAAGAAGGCATCTGATTCGAATTATGGTTATTGGTCGGTTGTAAAGTCAGTTGAGCATTGGCGGTAAATGAATCTTTCAGGGTGGGCAAATTGGGTGGTAATGGAACATTCAACATCATATAGGCCTTGGCTAATGATTCCTCACGATAGTCCATCAATTGTTGAACGACTTGTTCCTGTAGGAGTGCACTCGACGAGGATGTTGAATTTTCATGTTCGGATAGGAGACTGGAGGGAAGAAGTGATTTTTGGAGTTCGATGGGAATTTTGATGGTTTTGAGATTGGATTCAACAGTGGTTGTTGATTGTGTTGTGATGTTGTTATTATTGGTGGTAGTGGTGGTGCTTGATGCAGGAGAGGATGATGATGACAGGTTCTGGCTGGAGACCAGTACAGGCATTTTTAGGTGATGTGAAAAATTTTGACATTTGACTTGCAGAAAATGATCCAGATGTTTTTTGCGACAGTGTAGAGAAGACCAAAAGGACATCACCATCATACTCTTTCCATCAGAATCAACGAAATGAAACATCAAATTCTCAAGAGAATATTGTACCACGAGATGAGTAGAAGAACATTTATTATCAATTTAAAACGAGGTTGCGATTGTGTGGGCGAATAACTCTTCGAATTCGGAAGGAAATGAATCTAATCTCATGAGATGAACTCTTAATTGTAATTCTTTACTCCATTTGGGGTTCACTGAAAACTCGAGCATGAAGTTGCATGAGGTTTCAAAATTGACAAGATGATTTATATTTCACATCAAAAAACAAAATCACACAACATGCCACTCCATTGCCTTTCAACTCTCTCCTGTATTCTTCTCTATTGTATGATCACCTTGTTTTGCATCATGGCTGTCATTGATCACTCAGCATTATTCATCCAGGCTGAAAGTTCTGAATCATCATCTTTCAGAAACGAAACGACGACATCCTCTTCTTTTCCTGTCGTGATGGACCATTTCATTTATCCAGCACAAGAATGTTTGAATTTGGCTCCAGTGAACCAATTCTATTATCCATTTCTGTACACCTATGATACCAAATATTATGATTTTTGCAAGATGAATGATCCACAAGCAGTACCTTCTGAAATTTACAAAAGTGGATTCATAACTGTTGAAGAGAGTGACAATTCCTCGTCTTCTTCTTCTTGTGTGAATATTCTGTGTTCGACCGATACGAGATGGGACTTGACCAATCAAACTCAATTAACTTTATTGGGAGTTTTATTTAATCATTGCTTGCATTGTAATAACTCGAATTCTGAATGGTTTCGACAAGTGTTGAGAAATCACTCGTGTCCAACCTTTACAACCAGTGCCTCTTTGATTAATTCATCACAAGATGAGGACTTTGTGAGCAAATTTACTGCCATTTCGCAATATCATTGCAATCACGAAACAGCAGATTCAACCACCAGCAGCAATCCGCAGAGAATGAGACATTTAGGATTATTTGATTACAATATTTTAACTTCTCAATATTTTCGAAAAACTTTTTTAGATTACTCAAAGAACAATAACCTATTTAATCAAACAGGAACTTTTGGAGATGCAAATGCAGCATTGAAATCTGTTTCACTTTCAACTCTTTTCAATTTTTATTTTCATGACTTGTTTGACAAGATGGATTCAAATGAATTGCCATCAGCACCTTTGAATGTTCCAATCAGTTGTTGGTGTAATTATGAATCTGAGAATGGAAAATCATTTGGATTTCAATGCAATGACTTTTACCAAAATTGGCAAATCATGTTTGCATATAGAATTTCAACAGTGATCTTTGCCGTTCTCTATGCAGTGGTCACATTGATGTTAGTTCTATTCATCACCATTCCAAAAACATTTGAAAGAATTGTCTCCTTCAAAAAACGAGCAGATGTCTCATTGGAAAGTTCAACCTTTAAGAAAATGCTTCTCTTTGTAAGACACTACTTTGATATTGCCACACAACCTCCTCCATTCTTTGCAGCTGCTGCCTTCTCTGGATTTGTGGAAAATTTCTTGAGATGTCTCTTTAATTACAATGCGTTTTTGCCCATGCTCAAATCGGCATATTTTCCTGGATTTTTCAGAGGTTTAGCAGCTATTCTGATTATATGTGGATATTCAAGCTTAGTGGTATCGTGGAGTCATGTCATTGATTTGTCAAAGCGAACCATAGAGAAAAGGGGAAAAGGACTTTCAAAATTTAACATGACCATTCTCTCCATCTTTTATTGTGCTGTGATCGTCGTTGCCTTTATCACCGTTGTTGTTTTTCTATCTGTGAGAAATTATGCAGTGGCATGGATTGTATTGACCTTTTCTGTCCTTATTTATTTGTTGACATTTGTGGTTGGGTTTACCTTTTATGGTGTGAAGATTTTCTTCGCATTGAGAGCTACAGCACAAGAAAAGAAAAACTTTATGGAATATCGATTCACGAAATTCATTCTCTTTGTGACAGGAATCTTCTTTATTGGATGGTTCATTTCACTTGGAATGTTAGTGACCTATGTCTTTGGCTATGACGCTTTAAGCTTATTTTTGGGTATATCTCGAAATCAATTCATGGATGCTGGATTGAATGCAGTTCTGATTGTTTCTTCATACATTACTTTTAGTGATACTTGTTTTGAAATGACCTATGGAAAGAAAGCCACACTCGTGTTGAATCATGTGCTCAGTTGTGGAAGTCGAATCGTTCAAAATCATTTGAAACGAGACAGACACGAATCATCATCATCACAGGCACCACAGAAGGAATCACCCACCAATTTCAACCAAAGTGCTGTTGTTGTTGCTGTGGTCGTCGATGAAAATTCATGTCTGAAGAAAGAATCCTCCCATTCCAATTCGATCGAGGATAAACACCAATTGGTGTGAATGACCAACCATGAATTATCATTTATATGAATTTGGGTCGCCTCGCCTCGTCGTTACTTCTCGCTCTGAAACCTGTTCTTTCTATCTCTCTCTCTAGTAGTAGGATGTTGAAATGTGTACACGTTGAGAATTCATCGTAATGCTTTTTTTATGGCGATGAAGCGGATAAAAAGAAGAAGCAGAGATATCTCTTCCTTTTTTGACAATCCCTTTCTTTGAACACTCAGTCAAAGGTGAAAAATCCATCAAGCATCATTACAATCTGGCTTGTCTCGGTTATTATTTCAGAAGCAAACGATGAATCCTTGTGGGATCAGTCATTGAGGCAAATCAAATAGTTTCACACACAAAAAAACGCCACAATAATGATGAAGAAATTTCATCTGTTCCCAACAAGATGTCAATCACAACAACCACAACAACCACAGCATTCTCAACAAGTGCCATCACTCTCACGAAACATGCTTTTTCTTTTCACCACCACAACACTTGCTTTCTTACTTTTCATGCTACCGCCACACGTCACAGCCATGACTTCGATTGCTACATCATCGATCACCACAACAGACACTCTTTCAACGATCATGAATCCACGAGATGTTGCTTTCAATCAAACCCAAGCAGTGGCGGAGGTAAAGGTAATGGTGATGGATCAATTCCTCAATCCCATACAAGAATGTCTGACACTTGCTCCCATCAATCAATACTATTATCCATTCATGTACACGTTTGATACGGATTATTGGGATTTCTGTGCCATTGATCAACCACAGAAGGTTCCTCCTGAAATTTACAAGATTGGATCGTTGTATCTCAACAACAACGACTCGTCTCTCTGTGAAAATGTTTTATGTTCCATTGAAAGGCGATGGGACTTGACCAATCAAACACAACTCGTGTCACTAGGAGTTTTATTTAATTACTGTTTGCATTGTAATCATTCAAGTGCAGAACAATTTAGACAGGTATTAAGCAATCACTCTTGTCCTTCCTTTTCGACGAGTGTGAACTCGATCACTCAATCTCCAACGTTTCTTTCGAAATTTAATTATTTGGCAGATTATCATTGTAACTATAATAATAGGAGAGAGAATGAACCATCGAAACATTTGGGACTTTTTAATTACAATATTCTCATGACTGATTACTTTAAGAGGTCTTTTTTAGATTACTCAAAGAACAATAACCTATTTAATCAAACAGGAACTTTTGGAGATGCAAATGCAGCATTGAAATCTGTTTCACTTTCAACTCTTTTCAATTTTTATTTTCATGACTTGTTTGACAAGATGGATTCAAATGAATTGCCATCAGCACCTTTGAATGTTCCAATCAGTTGTTGGTGTAATTATGAATCTGAGAATGGAAAATCATTTGGATTTCAATGCAATGACTTTTACCAAAATTGGCAAATCATGTTTGCATATAGAATTTCAACAGTGATCTTTGCCGTTCTCTATGCATTGGTGACAGTGTTTTTGGCCTTCTTTATTGTCATTCCTCGCTGTGTGGAGAGAGTTATATCCTTCAAGAAGAGAAGTGAAATTGGTTTAGAAACCTCCAAATTCAAAAAGTTTCTCTATTTCGTGAGACACTATTTTGACATTGTCACACAACCTCCACTCTTGTTAACCATTGGTTGTGTCACTGGATTCTTAGAAAATCTATTAAGATTTGCCTTTAACTTTACTACATTTATGCCACTTTACCAAGTCTACTTTCCAGGAATATTTAGAGGACTGGCAGCTATTTTCATGATTTGTGGATATTCAAGTTTAGTAATTTGTTGGAGTCATGTCATTGATTTGGCCAACAGAAAAACAGAACCAAACAGAAGAGGTCTCTCCAAGCTTAATATTATCATTCTTTCCATCTTTTATTCATGTGTCATTGTAGTTGGAGTGATTTCTGTGATCATTTTCCTAGCTGTGAAAAATTATGCCACTGCTTGGATTTTACTCAGTTTTGCTGTCCTTATTTATTTGTTGACATTTGTGGTTGGATTTACCTTTTATGGTGTGAAAATACTCTTCGCATTGAGAGCTACAGCACAAGAAAAGAAAAACTTTATGGAATATCGATTCACGAAATTCATTTTAGCTGTGACAGGAATCTTCTTTCTTGGATGGCTGGTTTCACTTGGAATGTTAGTGACTTACATTTTTGGTTATGATGTGTTGAGTGTGTTCTTTGGATTGGCAAGAAATCAATTCATGGATTCTGGATTGACTGCTGTCATGGCATTGTCCTCCTATATTACATTTAATGACACTTGTTTTGAAATGACATATGGAAAGAAAATCACAAAATATGTGAATATGATTTTCACTTGTAAACGACCATCGAATCAGGTGGAACCTGAGAGAGTATAAAACTCTGTGTCCATTCTCTCATGATTTCTTTGATTTGAACATGTAGTTCTTGAATTGGAAGATGAATGGTTATATTCATGCCATCACTTCCTTTTGTCAGCTGTCAAAAACCTTCAAGAACAAAAAAAATGGCGGAACAGCCTAACGGCACAACGAATCAATCTCACAATAATTTCTACAAAGATGCCTTCACTGAGCGATACATCGATGAGCTCGACAATACAAGCTTTACATCCTTCGAATTAAAATCTCAACCTTCCATCCAACAACGAAAACCCGTTCAAAACTACTCAGTCGAATATGACACCACCAAAGATCCTAATTTAGAGGATCCGATGGACCTCGGAGAAGGAAAATCCAAATATACAGCGGACCAAACACAAATTGATGGAGAAAATCAAAAGAAAAAGAAGAATCGAATGACTGATCGAATAATTTCATTTCCATATTGGACTGCTCTGACATGTGTGGCAGAAGTAACAGTGTTTGTTGCCATGTGCATTGTAGGAAAGGGAATTGACGATCCATTGGTATGTATGAGAAGAGTTTTTTGTGTGTGGTAATAATATTATTCTTGTTATAACATGTTTTTATGATGACATGATTGTTGCAAATATATTGAAAATGATTTACTCATGCACATGATCCTTTCGCGTGACAATCTTATTGGAATATGATCCAAATGATGAATGGTCTTTTGAATTATTAAAATTGGACGATGAAAGAACAATCCAATGATTGGACCAAAACAAGAAATTGTGATACAATTTGGAGCGAAAGATAATTCTCTCATACGAGCAAATGGAAGTGAATTTTGGAGATTTTTTGTATTCATGTTCATTCACCAAAGTGTTTTAATTTTATTATTTAATCTCATGTGGTTATTGACAACTGTCAGAAAAACAGAAGGAGTTTGGAAATTTCCAAGAATGGCAGTCATTTACATGCTCTCTGGTATTGGAGGAGGATTGTTGAGTAGTGTTTTCAGTTTTGATCAAATAAGCACTGGTTCCACTTCATGCATTGTTGGAATTATTTCGGCATCTTTGGCAGAATTGATATTGAATTGGGATGTTGTTTTTAATCCTTTCAAATTATTATTGAGTGTCATTATGCAATTGTTAGTTTTCTTCATTATTGGTTTATTACCAACTGTTGACCAATTTGCTCATATTGGTGGATTTATTTGTGGATTTCTTTCTGGAGTCATGTTGTGTGCAAGAAAACAAAAGCCAGATTTGGAAAAGAGATGGGCCAAATTCACAATTATTGTGGCGAGAGCGTTTGCTGCTGTTTTATTGGTGATTTACTTTGCCTTATTCTTCCCAATCTTTTATGGACTGATTCCAATGAAGTGTGAAGCATGTTATTGGTTGGATCCTACTTGGGCCATGTATTTTGGTGACAATGACGAATAATTGAATCATGACCATTGATTGGGATCTATTCATGTTGGATTCACAAACTCACCACTGTGTAATAAATGTGTAAGATAGAAATTGAGATGTTCATCAAACGCAATTGGTTTTGCTGACATTGTTCCTAAAATAGAAGGTCGATCAATGTGAAATCCTGAGATGTAAAAATCAATTGATGACAAGCAAAGTGGCGCAGGGGGAGCGCGGTGGGCTCATAACCCACAGGTCCTAGGATCGAAACCTAGCTTTGCTATCTTCTTTTTAAAGTTTTGGCAACGGGAAAAGACGAGAACGTTCATCACAGGAATTATTTTACTCTCCAAAGTTACATCCATCCATGCCTTCAGCTTGTGACTTACCGAGAGATTATATAATCACATCAGGACATCCTGAGATTAACTCTCTTTTTCCTTATTCAAATATTTCTTGATTGGATTTAAGGAATACCTCAAACAATCGACAGTGAAATAAAAATTCATGACAATCACCAACACTAATAGAACGCATTGACAATACACAATCACACAAGTGGTTGTAGATTGTACATTTCTCAATTCCACAAGATCTGACATGTTTGAAAACAATTGAAAACCTAAATACACACTCATTAATGTTCGAGTGATTAAAAAACTCAAAGTGTTCACCAACGAGTGAATGACAAAATATAATTTTTTGGAATAGTCATGCAGTAAATTTTCCATCAATTCTTCCTGACCGATCCAAATGGAAGCAATTTCTGAAATCTCGCCAAATAGTGCAGGAATTGCTCCTGTTCCATTCACAAAATATAAACTAAATGCAATGACAATAACAAAATGAAAGATGGCATTCATGAGATTGCTTTCTCCTAACACAACAAGAAATAAATAGCAAAATAAATCTACTGTCAAATACCCCAATGTGAATGACATTAAATTAGAAATAGAGTCGTTATATGAAAAAAAGAAATGATTTGGTTCTTTCACAATAGACATGAGTGAATGATTCGTTTTGTTAACTCCTTCCGAATTTAGAAATTTATAATAAAATAGATACAATCCCCATAAGCCACTAATCACTGCATGAATATAATTTGTGGTTGAAAAAGCTAATTCTCTGCAATCTAAATCACTAGAATGAGTTCTAAATAAATAGGAATTAAATTTTCCTTTGTATTTCTCTTGTAATTTCCGAAATAAAAAATTCAATAATAAAATCAAAATGCCAAATGAGAGAGTACTTGGGATGTAAATGTAAAGATTAAGAGGAAATAAGTGGCTCATCGGAGAATAATTGGATTCAAGACTGAGTGTTAAATATTTTTTTAAACGTTCGAATTTGGAAATTGACAGTTGTCAGTTCCAATTAAAAAAATCATCTTCACATGGTGGTTGGGTCCGGACACTTCTCAATTACATCACAACGGATTTTTCGTACCACTTCCATGAACAACCACAATTTTACAATCACTCTCTTTGTTCTACTGATCATTTCTATATGCGCTGTCAGTGGTCAAAATGACTACCATTCATATTTTGACAATTTCTATTCGGGAATCTCCAAAATGGGAATTGCCAACATCGCCATACAATTATCTCAAATAGATCCATCATCAAACAACAGAACAATATTATTTTCGAAAAGTTACGTCCATGAAAATTTTCGATTAAATTCCCAAATTGGTGTTGATTCCATTTACATGGCAGGCCCAACCATGAGTCAATTATTTACAAAATTAATTTCACTCAAATTAATTCCAAAAGAAAAAAGAGGGACTTCTGTGAACGAATTGTTGAAGTCTTTGCAATCCAAAGTTCAACTGTCAGATTCCATTTTAGGTGATTATGTCAGTTGGTCTCGAATGTTTCCAATTGTTGACTCTAACAGTCATGTCACCATTGAAAGTATCATTCAAGGAAAATCAGGATTTGATTACAGAACCCCAGAAGATTTATATCAAACAAGTAATCCACAATCATCCAGTACTCCATTATTAGATGTCATCGAAAATAACATTTTAAGAAAATTGGCTCCTAGAGTGAGACAAACGAATCGTTTAGAAAGTAGAATTGACATTGATGCCCATGCATTGTTAGGATATTTATTGTCTAAAATGAATTCAAATATTAGAATGGATGAAATTTTCAAAACTCAATTTTCAAACATGTTCAAGTCAACATTTCCATTATTCTCCTCTGACATGAAAGACAATTCCAAATTTGTCAAAGCAACAAAGGAAAATGATTTTCTTGTGGAGGATATTGTTTTTCCATACTTTACAATTTTCCCAGTCACGAGCTCAGTATTCACATCTGCTGAAGATTTAAATACTATTGGATCTCTCATCATGTCTCAATACTCAGAGAAGGAATGGGTAGAATATAACTTGATGAATTTCATGCGTCACAATGATCAACCTTATTACTATCAAATGTCAAAACAAGGAAATTACATGACTGCAATCATCCTGTTCCCAAAATCCAATTTCGTATTATCCTTGACTGGTCTCTCAGTTTCCTTAAATCAAGTCACTCAACTTGTGCAAGATTTTGCCTATCACATGCTTCCAAATGTGAAATGTTCTCAATTTTTAAACATGACTTTGAGTAGTGACAATCGATCATGCACTTACACCACACCACTTTCGAATTTAGAACCACTCTACAAGAAGAGTTATTTCATGGAAAATAAGAACAAGTATACTGGTTGTTATATCAATACTGAATATTCACACAGTACCTTTAGAAAATATTTTAGTATGAAGGAAATGATTTGTATTGCGAGTAGTAATGATGGAGAAGATTCTCAAATTCTCACTGGAAAATTTTACAACTACGATGCCAATAATCCAAATAGTCAAGCGAGGGTATTCAGTGAGGAATTTATATTCGTGCAAGATTTTGATTTTGATACTTTTCGAATGGGTCACAAAGTACCTTCTGATGCTCATTTGGTGCAATTTGATAATTATGTTTCGAATGTGACATGGACATTTAAATTAGATTCAAATCGATTCATGTATTTGATTGGTCCCTATGATACTCAATGTTATGAAAGATTTGAAGATGGAATTAGCACTTTTTTAATTTATTTATGTTTTGGAGGTCCATTCGTTGCTGGATTTGTTTTACCTTTCGTTCAATTGTTTTTCCTTGTTTTTGAGGTGAGAGATCGAGTCAAGAATGGTTATTCGAATTTGGCGAATGTGGATTTGTCTCATCTCATGTTGTCTGGAGGTGATTATCATTCAGAGAGTGACGAATCAGATCGAGAGCTCGATGACAATGGTGTTGAAAATTCTCTTCGTAGATATTCCTTCCGAGTGAGTGAAGACAAGGAAAAGAAGAAGAAGAAAAAAAAGAGTTCCTCACTCAACACCAAGATGGCAACAGGAAAAAAGTGGAGTATCATTCTGTCGGTATTTTCATTCAACCTTGTGAGCATGTTTTTGTTTGCTGCTCTGAAAGGGCTGAATATTATTTTGATTTTTGGCATTTGGCAACAATGGTATGCCTTATTAGTGGTGCCTCTCGTTACTATTTGTCTCACTGTGTTGTGTGCCATTTGCTCGATCATTCTGATAATTGTGAGAATTAAGATTAGCACTGTGAGTGGATGGGTGTTTTCCATCTTGTACATGCTTTACATCTTACTTGATATTGCATTTATTGTGGTTTTGATGAAGATCAATTGGTTCGGTTTTTGGAATACCATGTAAATTGGTACATTCAATGTTTATTATTATATATGAGAAGTAAGCGACATGCCTTATTTCTTCTTTGCTTGCAATAAACGAACGGATTGTGAAAGAAATTTCAAAAAATCATCATAACCACCTCCTATTTTAACCTTCAACACTCCATTGACAATGTTAAGATGTACTTTTCTTTCAGCTTTGCCTTCTCCAAAAGCATACACGCAATCTTTGACTCGTTTCAAAGGAAGTATCACACCCTTTTCTTTGAATTGCTCCTTAATGTCATTCACCATTTTATCGATTTGCTTAGAATTATCTTCAGCTCGAATTGGGCCTTTCAAAGACCTCAGCATTCTTTCTGTTATACTGTCCAACGTTTTGTTGGCCTTTCTGGTTTTATCTTCTTGTTGATTCTCTTCCTGTTCTTGTTCCTCATTGGAAGCAACTGCTTTTGGTTTTTCAGAATTAATCTTGAACTGTTTGGCGTCAAACGACTTTGACAGAGGATTAGCTTGTTCCTTGGACATGTTGTGTAACGCATTTCTGACAGCAGCATTAAAGTCTAAACTTCTTCTTGCCTCTTGCTTTGGATATGATTGTTGAACGGGTTGAGGTGGTGGTGATCTAGAGCGAGGTGGTGAGCTGGTTCTTGGATTCTCGTCAACATGCTCTTCCATCTTTTCTTCCTCAAGAGGTTTTGGAGCAATTCTGGAATTCGCAACTTCAGATGTCAGCTTATCAATATCCATGATATATCTTTCTCGCATCAACTCTGCTTGCTCTCTTAGGGACTGAATTTCTAAATCTCTTTCCTCAAGTAACAATTTTAAATGTTCATTTTCAGCATTAAGAAAATCAAGCTTTTCAGCCATATCTTTGTATTCTGGAGAATCCTCAAAACTAATCGATGCATTGGTTCTTAAATTTAGCATGGTATTGAATTGTGTTTCCAGCATCTGATAAACACCATTGTTTAAATATTCGAAGTGGGCTTTTAACTCTTCAACATTTTTTTGCCAGGGAGTTCTCCACAATGCTGGATATTAGTTTCTCAACGTCTTGCATTTTGGCAAGCTTTTCTTCGGCAATAACTGAGAATGGTGGAGGAGAGGATGCTCGTTCTATATATCGCTTTTGAAATTCCTCTAACGTAATTGTGTGGTCCTGCATGGATGGTTCCACTAAATTTACAGAGGCTCCTTCAAATTTAACTCGAGGAGAGGGTGATTTTTTAGATAATGGAACATTAGAGGGTTGAGGAATGGAAGACGGATTTCGTTGGCCCTCCTCCTCTGGAGTCAAACCACCTTCCTGACCCTTTAATATAGACCTGAATTTGATGTTTTCTTCTGATGATTGCTGTTTCAAGGCACTCTGAGGAGTTTTCTTTCCTCCTGAATAATAAGGATTTTTTGTTGAGTTGATCTGCCCTCCCTCAGCTGTTGCTCCGAATACAATCCGTTTTTTGTATTGAGATGGAGAAGGAGTTTTTTGGAGGCTGATTGATACGTGAGGAACTCCATATTCATCTTTTTCAACTCGGGATTCATATGAGCCCTCATCATTTCTTGTTTGCACTCCATTCTCACCGATTTGTGGTTCATTCACAATATTATCAGAGTTCTTCAAATGAGGATTGTATTTATCCAAAACATGAGCAAAATAGTGTTCATCCACATCTTCGGGCTGATCCTCAAACATAATCCTCTGGCTCACTTTCTCCATTCTAGAAATTTCATTGTCTTGATCATTATCCTCATAGGTATCATCTATCATGACCATTGCAGAGCCTCCAGCTTCCACGTTCGTATGTTCGTTGTGGTTGATATCGGTACTGCCATCTGCTGCAGAACTCGTGCAGTCTCCAATTTCATAAAAATCGTTAATGGCTTGTTGCCTCATTTTTTGCCGCCTAAGAAATTTACAATTTCCGACCGCTAGCATCTCATGATATACTGATCTCCTCAAGTTGGTTTTTCAGTTCTAAAGCTCTAGCTTTCCTGAAAAAGAGAAAAATATCTAAAAGCCCACCTCAATTTAATCACCTCAACACTAGTGCTGACTTTGCAAGTATTCTCTATATTTGTCAGAGAGTTGTTGGAAATTTGCTGGGTATTCTGCTGGAAGTTTTTTAAGCTTCTCTCTCAACTCCTCGTGTCCACTCTCCTCACAGAGTATCTTTTTAATGAATATAGCAGCTCCAGTGATTGATGTCTTTGGAAGCGTATAAAACAGTTTTGGAAACGGATTGTAATAATTTTTAAAGTATCCCTGAGTTTGTTTGTGTGTCTTTTTTGAGGTAAGGGCTTTATAATTCACCAGGGCAGCCTTTTGATTCGAGAAATTAAACTCTGCAAATGGAACCAGATGGGTATTGGCACAGTCTTCCAATAACTTCTTAATATCTCCATAGCGAATCATGGGTTCTTTTCGGGAAATTGCATCATCAAGCTCTTGTTGTTCATAATCTATTTGCTCTTGCTGAATGATACTATGATTGATGGAATCAGCCATTGCTTTAGCTTTTCTGTCAGGTCTGGGAGGAGTCTTTGTGTTTTGTGCGGAGCAACTGACTGCTTTGGTTCTCTTTTAGGGAGCAAGTTCCATAAGGTGTCGGCATTGTCCCCATCTTCTTCATCGGTACGGTCGTCGTCTGATGATTCATCGTTGTCCTCTTCTCCACAACAAGTATCTTCTTTCACTAAAGGGAGAAGAAGAAGCCATTGCATTCGGTTGTTCCAAGTTTGTTTCTGTTCTTTCAGTTGTGTGTTCTTGTCTAATTGTATCATCCATTCCTTGTTGTTCTAATGATCGTTTATTGGCCTTGTGCTGCTGTATTCGATCACTTATTCTTTGCTTGACTGTTTTCTCTACAAATAAAGCATACATATCAAGTCCAGCCAATGGTTCAAACAGCTGTCGTATGTCATGGATCATGTCTTTGCGAATTTCTTCACTCGGAATGTGGAAATAATTTGTTCCTTCGATGGAATTGCATGGTGGTCATTATCAATCTCGAAATAATCTTGAATTCTGGATTGAAAATAATGTAAATCCCAATTTTGGGAGTCATATTGCGAAGGTAAATAAGTTTTGAAATTCAGACGATAAGTGATTTCTTAAAATCGAGAAATCCATTCACACAAATCCGGTTTTTCCAATTTATTGGAAATCTCTCGGAAGAGACCATAGAGAATAAGTCCGAGACGCTGTTGGTTCATCGTGAAGCCTTACGCAATCAGGTAAAAACAAAGTTTGCAATTTTTTTTGTTTGAAAGTCACTTGTCCATTTCCATAGGTGGAAAAGGAGCAAAAAAGTGTTAAAACTTTTGCACGGAGCTTACTTCAAACTTTTTTCTTGGTAATATATCGTCAGCAAAATACCGGTGGTCAATGTTATTGGTTACCATTCTATTCATCTATATTCACTTTATTCTTTAATTCATAATTCTCAAGAATGCGAAACAAGTGCTATAATTCTTCTCCACAACAAGTATCTTCCCCAACGCAAATTCACTTGTTCGGAGTTGGAACACAATCTGAGTATACTGTTTGGTGAATTCTTTTGAATTTTCATGGTCATTGATTCAAGAATAAGGCATAAAAGGAATATTGATACTAACTCTTATCAATAACAAGTCTCTTCCTGGTGTTCTTCTTGTTCATCTTGAGCAATTTGTTTGAACAATCCAAGTGCGTTCTTTGTTGTGTTTCTTGTTGGTCTTCTTGTGAGATTTTCATAATCTTCTTCTTCAATGTTTTCTGAGCTTGATTCATCGTTACTCGTTACATCTTCTTCACTCTCCGTTGATGTTGCTTCTTTTCGAGAGGTTCTTTCCTTGGGTGATGATTGGTTGGTTGTTCTTTTGACGATTTTTCTTGGTCTTGGTGGTTTTTTACCGAGATCCACCACAGAGCTTGTGGATGATGAAGCAACAATTGTTGTTAGTGTTGTGGTTGATGGTGCTGTGGATACATCCAATGTTGGAAAAACGGAGGAGGAGGAGGACTTCTCTGCTAATTCCAAATGAGGTTTCTCATGATTCACACTGGATGATGGATTCGATGAAGAAGAAGACAATCCGCTGCTGCTACTGGAGCAAGATACAACGGTTTGTTTCATCATCTTTGGATCTCTTTCAAGAGAGATCGCAGCAGGATCTTCAGCTTGTGATCGTTTCTGTGATGGTTCTTCGAATTCAAACAAGTCAGACAGAAATTCATTATGCTCCTTCAATGATTGGGTCTCATTTCGGATTTTGTTGATCAATTCATTCATTCTATGGACATCTATGATTCCACAGAATGTAAGAGGATCCATTCCAATGGGGAGATTCCGAAATATCTCTTTCACCATATGTTTCAAAGTATGAAGAGTAATCGCAAGTGTTGTTTCTTAACCAACAGGGAAGCAAGTGTTAAATTGTTCCTTTTTTGTCAAATTATATAATCGAACAATCACGCCAAACCAATCTTCCTTTGTTACGACCTCTTCATTTTGTAATAAATCGTTAATATCGGAAATTAAAATATAGGATGTCTTTTTGAGATTTCTGAAATCTTTTGGAATCCATGAATATGAAAATAGAGGAGGGAATTTTTTTTGACAAATTGTCAGGGTCTTACAAGAGACGAATTGCAATAGATTTGGTTCTTGGAGCGTCATGAGACAATCTTGTTTTCTTCGAAGCAAACTCCAAAGACATGCTATCAAACATAAACAAGGTGGTGCTTGGAGTTTACAAAATTTTCAAACATCCTGAACAAGTCTTACAGGCATTGCTTGATCGGGGATGTTCTCACTAAAGATTCAAGCCCGTCAGACAGGTATTTTGAAGTGTATGGTATGAACAAACCTTGGACTCTATCAAGAACTGCTATGAGAAACGATTGAAAATTCTATCAAATAAATGCATAGCCAGTTGTTTTTGACATTTTCAAAAAAAAAATGTTCTCATCATCTGCTTGCAAAAGTTTCTCTCGTAATGTTTCACTTTCCAGAAGCACGATTTTGAGAGGTATCTCTAAAAACAATACTAAACCATCATTCATGGGAGATGGTTGCTTGAATCATGCAGTGTTCGGATGCAACCAAAAGATGATGATGAGAAATTCAACAATGATGATGAATGAATTTGCAAAATATCAAAACGGAATCAAAAGATATTTTCATACTCATCATGGCTTACAATTTTTCGATTTAAAGAAGGTCAAAGAGACTCAAAGTAAAGAACATTCGGAATCTGAAAAGATTGAACTTTTGGGGAAACTCAAAACTGCAGAAGAGCTACTCAAAAACATTACCACACAATTGGGTCCAGTGTTAGCAGCGATGAATGAAAAACCAGAACAAAAACTTCCAGCTGAAATAGTAGATTCCATCTATAATTTAATTAGATTTTGTTTGGAAATCATTCCTGATGTTCATACACCTGTTTCTAAAGCGAAATCTTTTTATGAATCCTCCGTCGGAATGGGTATTTTGAACATTAGCAAACAAGCTCAACTATTGGCAGCAAAAGGAATAATACAAGAATGGTTTGATATGGAGTCGTTGAAAAAGTACATCAGACCAGAAGAATTGCGTGCAGAAACAGTTATTTATCCAGAAGGAGTTATGGATGACACGTTTCTATTATTCCAGAGCCAAGAAGCTCAAATTTCCTATAGTGCTTATGTTTATCCAGCAGGTGATTTATATCCTTACAATAGATACAGTCTCATTGGTAGCGCTTACTTTTTGTTTCTTCGATTGAAAGACTGTCCAACCATGACCAATGCCGAAACTCTCATGAACTACATAAAGGAAGTTGTTAGAGAGTACAACAGAGTGAAACAGCTGTATATTTCAGCCAAGAAGCCTGAAAAAGATATTGACTACTCGACCACAATCACCTATGATGCACAACGTAATGCTTACTCCTATTTGCGAAAAACTTATACTGAAGATGAATTTGATTGGTTTGAGGATTTGGAAACCAACTTACCCATTCATTTGGGAGCATTTATCAAAGCCTGTGAAATGGTGTCACAAATCGACTTTATTCCAGACAAAACCAAAGTAATTTCAGCATTGGACGAGTGCTTGCAAATTAACCCAAACAATCCATATATTTTACATATGAAGGCCGCATGTTATCGGGCGCTTAATACGGAGCCTTTGGATGCAAATATGGTCGTAGAAAATTATTTGAAAGGAGTGGAGACTTGTGATCAAGCTCTAGAAGTAATGAAAAAAGCTAAAGTACATTATTTACAAAAATTGGAAAAAACACGATTAGAAGAAAATGAGGTAACCTTGCTTCCAGAGAACGCACGAGTGAATGATCTTAAATTCTATCCAATTCATTATTTGAAAGGTATGCTTTTGCATGCTACTGCTGAATCAGATCTGTCTCCTGAATTTCGCCATCAATATGGATCCAAGGCTTTGGAATGCTTTGCACAAGTAGAATCATTTTCAAGACTACCATGTGATTTCAATTACTTGGTGTCAAAGGCTCAAGCATATTATGCGTGTGATATGTTTGAACAAACTCTTGGCGTGCTATCTCCCGTTGAGAAGTTCCAAGGTCTTGTAGACAATTCATCAATCGTCACAGCCATTGTTATTGCTGCAAATGCAATGATTTCACTAGGTTATGCTGATGTTTGCATGGAAAAGCTTGAAGAATATATTAAAACCTATGACAATGACCCTAGATTAAGGTTTGAAAAAGTCATGTGTAAAGAGTTCTTATCTCGCTCCAAGGATCACTACAGGGATATTGTTAAAGAATATAAGGAATTATTGGAAGAGACACAACAGTCTACCGATCCCAACGTCCTTGCTGTTTCTCCCATGATTCAAACAAGAATGCAATATTTACAAGAAGCTATTGTCAACCCTGCCTATGCAGAAAGATGGTAATTTGCACTGCAGATGGATTTGCAAGCAATTACATTTATTAAATTATTGGCAATGGAAAGATTGTTACCAGCCTGAACTATCAAAAACAAGATGAAGAACAAAAGTGTGTGATTTAATTATTTTCGATCATGTCATCAGCAACCTCACATGTAAACACAGAATGGTCTTTTTGTGAAAACATGTTGTTCCATTCAAGTGTGAATGAATAGTCATTCTTAAATATGGTGTTATTTTGTACTAGTACTTACATCCACCAGCACCAATCTTTGAAACTGGATATGAGAATTTTGTTTCATTCACTCGGAATGTCTTATCAAGATGTCCTAATCCCAATTGACCTCCACTGTTTTTACCTGCACAGTAAATTCTTTGTTCTGTCGATCGTAACACAGTGTGATGATTTCTAAAGTAAATTCAATCATGATTGTTAGCAAATTATAAAATGATTAGTAATTCCCAATATTGAACCATGACATCCTGATCACAAGTACTCACCCACACTTGACAGTGTCAATCTTGACATCAGATCCAATATTAATTCTAGTTGCATCCTTGACATTGCTTCCATCATTTTCAATTCCTAATTCTCCATTTCGATTCTGTATGTGTGTGAAATTTGAAAAATATATTCATTGAATTCATGAAAATTCATTTTCATATCAAATATAGATTCATGATCATATTTGACATTAATAAGTCGTAGGATTTTATCATGCCACATCCTCAATAACCTACCTTTCCAGCAGCCCAAGCCTCTCCCTTATCAGTCACTACCACCGAGTGAAAACTTCCACATGAAATACTTTCAATTATTTGTCCTTGTCCTGCCTTATTAATGCTCACAAGTGAAATATTTAACTGTCCAAATGTGTTATTTCCTAAACAAAAAACGTTTCCTTCCTCAGTTAAATAGATGGTATGTTGATCTGTGGAAATTGTTAAATATTCATCATGCACGTATGACCATGGTTGTCCATTCAAGGTATAGAGATGTGTGACAATTCATGGAAATATTAATAATATTCAATATTATAAAAATTCGTGTGTTCAATCCATTCATGGAAATATTAATAATAATATACTCAATATTAATAATATTCAATATTCTCTCAACTTACATCCTGATGCAACCGATTTGATTTTCTTTCCTTTCAATTCATCAATTTTTATCTTTTCAGGTTTCTTGAATACTTCCTTCTTTTTAGAAGAAATTTGAGAATATGTATTATCTCCACATGCCATAATTTCATTGTCAACAGTGACGAAAATGGAATGACTCGCACCACTCGAAATGAGTTTGATTTTTTCCTTAATTGGAACTCGTCTAAATTCGGCAACAGAATCGGTCGATGAAAATCCAATTTGATACTTGTCGGAACGTCCACAAGCATAGACTTCTCCTCGATCCGATAAGAGCATGGAATGATAATCTCCACACACGAGTGACTCAATTTGAATGCTTAAATTGACACTGGTCCAAGAAGTACACGCACGAAAATGTCCCAAACTCTAATTTGACCACAACAACAACAACAGTTGGAAGGACAATAGTCGTGGAAGGGATCATCCAAATTGTAGTAATCATAAGAATTGTAGTGTTCGTAGTAGTAGTAGTAGTAGTAGTATTGATTGACATTGAATTCTCTCTCTCCTTTTTCATTCACGAGATAAAAAACAACACTCACCAATTGACCATAATCGTTATCTCCGATGGTATAAAGAAGATGATCATCTGTGTGTTGGTGGTAATCATGATGAAAAGGCAATGATTGAATATATGTTTCAATGGTTTTGTTACACCATGGACAGTACCAAATTTATGTGTTTTGTTGTTGAAAGCCATAAATTCCATTGTGGCAGTATCATCATTTCAAACAATGAATATAACCAGATGCTCTTTCTCACCTACCTGTGCATAATACTGTGAATTTATCACCACATCCAACGTTGGTCACTTTTTTATCTTTCAAACGAAGAACCTCTTTCGGAGTGGATATTCTCTCATCATTTTCGTTGGACAATTGATGAGCCATATTCTCACCGAGACTGTTGTTTGTGCAAGATAAATTGTTGATGATGTCCACAGATGTTTGTTGTGAATCACCTACCCGTACACTAACGTAAACACCATTTTTTTGTTGGATTTGACACTTGACAGCACGTTTCTTGGAATGACGGTCGAGTGAAAGCGGCAATTAGAATGCCGTTTCGGTGATCATCACTGATTTGCTCATCGTAAGATAATGTCAATAAATTAAATATTAATTTATAGAATGATTTGTTGTCAGTTGTTGACAATTCAAATTTTAAAATTCTATTTTCTCTTGAGGTTGTTAGGATTGATTGGGTTCAACAAGACAGTGTCGTGACATTGATCACGGATTGGGCAATCAATAAAGTTCAAATTCTTATCAGTACAGAATCTCATTTCAGTAATATATTGTTCTCCGTGATAGCAAGCAAGAGCAGGAGTTCCATAACCAGCAGATTTCATAGCACTCTTGAGTTGTTGAATGTGATACACCTTGCTGTCAGATGGAGTGACACCACCAGAAGCCAAGTTGGGAAGAACTGACATACTCTTTCTTAAATCAAGGACAGACTTGAAGAACTTGTACTCATTGTCCATACGTGGGAGAGAAGCAGCACAGGTTCCGTGCTTTTCATATTCGTGTTGCCAAAATGATGGAACTTCATTCTTGAAATCTGTTTATATTAGCAATGTATGATTGAGTGATATCAACATGTGAAATGTTGTTAGATTGTTGATGGTTTGGCATTTTGCAAAAATTGTAATTTTTAGAGTGTGTCCAAGGTATGATCATATTGCCAAATTGAAAGAAACAGTTAATACAAATAAATTTGTTGCATTTTAGACTTACCAGTCCAATAGTTGTTCAAATCAGGGACCAAATCTTGGATTTGACTGAAGTCAAAGGAACCTCCACAGAAGAATGGGCCTTGTGGACCAGTGTAACGGCTAGGCCACAAACCGTGAATACTATTATGGTGGTGATACGAACATCATAATATGGTGCGATGAAAGAAACATTCCGTGCGTGCCATCACATGCCAACGAACAATTAGATCATTATGCTCGGGTCAACGAGGCAAAATTAAACTCTACATACGTGAAATCCGAGGTGGATGATGGAATATAACATGGACTCAACTCGCGGCAAGCATTTCCTGGCCAAGTCATTGCAAACACCTAGTTCGCAATTCCATCATGAACATTCATCAACACACAACACGACGTCGTGTTCGCGCAAAGATGTCGTGATTCAGCAAATATTTGTTATCATCATTCCATAATATACTACTATACTTACAAAGTAATCAAAAGAAGAACCACCTCCTGCACGGTTAAGAGTTCCTCTCAATTGATCCACCACAAAGTTTGGAGTTCTTTGAGCGTTTGATCCAAGAGCAACAGCAAGGAGAAGAGCAGCCAACACGAACAAGGCTTTGGTTTGCATGATTTTTTTTCGGAGAAGATGCCCGATTAAAATCGAGAGCTGAGGCTTCTTCTTCCTCAGCGTGAATCTTTGGTGCGGGGTTTTCATGAAAGAGAGAATTTCAAGGGCGCTAAAGGTGGAGGTGGGGCCTCGTTACAAGAGAGGATCGTTTATCATAATTATCATTGAGGAAGGATCCACAAGACCATCAGCAATGATGGAAGTGCATCTTCAATAACGTTGAAAAATGTGGACCATCTGAATTTGTTCGAACCAGAGCTTGTACTCGTTCACCACATCAAAAAATTTATTCTCTTTTTTTGTATTGGAGCCTCTCTCTTTGAAGATCTGTAAAATGTACTCGGATATTGAACGCAGCATGAAATCAAGAGAACACACAAGAGAGGCTCATTTGTGGAAGAGTGGATTGTATGGTGATATAATATCAAGCGATTCCGAATATTTTGATTTGGAAAAGAATGAGAGTCATCGCCAGGCTTTTTTAATTTCGGGACAACGAATTATTGGAACAGGTTCTCTTGAGATGAAATCTCCTAAAGTATTCTTTCAACCAACTCGAATGAATTTTGAACTGTTTGATATGATTGATTGTGATTCTTGCGAAAGAATTAAAAAAATTTGTGCAAATCATATCGGATGTGTGATACTTACTTCAAATAATCGAGTGTTTTTGAGTCACAAGCGGAAAGTGAATGAGGAGACAAGAAAAGTACATATTGATGGAATTGAGTATTTTAGGTATGTTCATCGTTGGTCATTTTAGGTAGAGTCATGTTTGACATGATGAATCTATATATGAATGTATTGATATATTACAGTAATTTTTATTGCATTGATCACTTTTTCACAAAGACATCAGAATTTGTCGAAGATGTGGAAATTACTCTAAGATATACTTACTTTCTTACTAATAGCGGAAAGTTATATGCTTTAGAAATCGATCCACTTACATCCAATCTTGAGCTAATTTTGAATAGTATTATTCGATACATAAAATCGACAAAAAGTATTACCTATGCAGTTGGATATAGGAATGACCTGTATCGTATCACTAAGGAGGCAGTTTGGGAGGATATTTCACATTTATTTTCTAATAACCTAAGAGAAAAGGAATTCATAAAGTCTATTGCTTGCTGTGCTAGCCATTGCTTTTTCATAAGTAACCACAATAGAGTATTTGGGATGGGCAACAATGAACAGGGACAGGTAAGGTACATACTCTTCACGAATATTCCAATGTGTATTGATCATTAGCGATACTTGTAGTTAGGAGGAGGTCTTTCCTTTTCGAAAAACAAAGCACTCACGGAAATTACTCTTCCATTCGAAAATTCTTTTCTCAAGCAAATAGTCACTGGAAATGAGCATACCTTAATACTTTCGACAAGTGGAGATGTGTATGGATGTAAGTAACATGTTGAATGTATGTTTTGGAATGCATCTTTTAAAGGCGGGGAGGACAAAATGATCGGTACGAAAAAGAATGTCACTCGTACCAACCAATGGAAGAAAGTGAAAGACAATATTTCTCAAATTTATGCAGATGTTTATTCATCATATTTGATTTCCAAAAAGAGCAATTTGTTTGTGTGTGGAAGTAATATTATGGGATGTTTAGGTCTCTCGTTTGAAATTCAAGAAGTTTGTACATGGAAAAGAATCACATTGGGAACTAACAAAATCGTTCCTTGGATGAAATGTGGTTTTGCTTTGTGCTTCCTCAACTGTATTATTTTGTGTCGAGTCGCAATTTTCAAATACTGAATGTTTAAGGATATTTGTTGAAAATTTGGAAAAAAGAATTACCGATGGTCGACTTTCAGACTGCATTATCAGAGTAAATGTTCACCATGAATATGTTGGAAATGGGAGTGATGACTGGCATAATGAAAGAAATGAACATTTCCCATTGAAAAAAATCAAAAATTAGTTCATAAGCTCAATTGATAATGAGGGCTGGATTTTACGAAAAAACTTACCCCTCGATCATGATGGCTCCTTTTCTTGCTGTGAGATGTTTGGATTATTTGAAAAGGCTTAGACAGCGTTACAAGCCAAACTATCAGCTAAACTCTAGAGTGTTAAGGACACTTCACATAAAGTTAATTATTCAACCAATATTTCCACCAAGTACCAACAATAAATAATAATACAGCAACTTGTTCTTAATGTCTCAGTTTTTCATACTGCTGATATTCATGGTTATTAATATCCTTGCTTAGTTGTGACTTGAAAAACAATTCGCTCGTTTGATTGAGAGAGAGTTGAGCAGATGTTATTTTAAAGTGCTATTACAATTAGAGTCTGTAAAACATGTCCAAATCAAAATTATTATACACAAAGAGTGACCAAAATTTAGATGCTGGGGGTTACTTCCAAAGAGTATTTAAAAGAACTTTCTGTGCACAATACATGCACCAACTTCTTCATATTCTTCCCGAGTTACCCACATTTCTTGGAAAGTAGGCAAAGAAGCCAATAGTGAACCTCCAATCCAAGCAGCATAATGACGTTCTGGTAGTGCAATAGCATTAATCCTCATAGAAGAAGGAGCCATAGAAACCAATTCCTTTGTTATTCTCTCAGTCATACCCTCGAACATTGTTGAACCACCAGATAAGATGACGTTTCGATACAACTCTTGTCTAATATCCCTATCACATCTATGAATGGAGGTGAAAGTGTTTTCATGAAGTCCAGATGATTTAGATCCGAAATAGACAGGTTGGAACAATGCTTCGGTACATATGAATCTTTCATTGCCCAGAACGATCGTATTTCCATCAGGTAATTCATAGACCTTTTCAATGCTACTTGCTGCTTTCATCATCTCTTCATCGAAATCGAGAGCAACATAACACAATTTTTCCTTAATGTCTTTCACTGCAATTGCTATATCTGCATGAGTTGGAAACAAGTAACCATTGCGTTCTGAGAGAATTTTCATCAAGCAATCCGTCACATCTCTACCACCCCAATTAAATGTCAACACTGCATGAGTGAGAGCATGACCTGCATAAACTGGAACCGTATGAGCAACAGTATCACCACAATCAATGACCATACCATTGGTGCGACCGGATGCATACAAGGACAAGACCGCTGGAATGGCAATATACACAGCTGGGACTGAGTGAGTTTCAAACATGATTCGAATCATCATCTCTCTATTTGCTTTTGGATTAAAAGGAGCTTCAGTCAACAAGATTGGATGTTCCTCAGGAGCAACTCTCAATTCAATGTAGAAGGTGTGATGCCAGATCTTTTCCATATCCTCCCAACTGGTAACAACACCATATTGAATAGGATACTCTAAAAAAAGAATGTCTCTCTGTGAAAGAGCTTCATCACCCACATAGGCATCACGTCGACGATGATTTTCGTTTCCAGTACCAGCATCAGCAATGGCAATGCCTGCTGGCAAATTCTTCTTTGGCCTTCCAACGACAGAAGGAATAACACAACGAGGTAAATCATCACCAGTTAAACCGGCCTTACAGAAACCAGATCCATTGTCGATAATAATTGTTTCAAGTACTTCAGTCATTGTGAGATCGGAGTTTAACTAAAGAGAGGGTATTATTAAAAATTTGGTGGTAGTGAACTTGGTATTTTTTTTTGATGTCATTATACTAATACTAACTCTTTAAAAGACACCAATGACAAAGACCAGAATGATGCATTTCAAATTCATCTGCTCTAAATGATACAAATGTTCTTGCGTTTTACCTGCCCTCGACCTCTGTACGGTTTTGAGATCCTTAAAAAGATGGCGTTCACAAAGACACGAAATTGGGAAACTAAACTTGCTCTCAATGAATGCAATACCAATAAATGGATTCTCATAACGTGCATGTCCGAATTTTTGTTCGCAATAACGTCCACACCACTCGTATTATGACAAATCCAATCCAATTAAGTACCACAGTTTACAGACACGAACAATCGTATTGATAAAACATCCTTGTCAAATATTCAAGTATTTTACACCTTCTGCATGTCCACATTTTTCCAACTTGCTTCTTTTTTTAAGTAAATCAGTAGCCGATTCAAAGTTCTGCATTGGAGGTCAAGGTGCAACACTTTTCCAAACGAATACACTTTGATTCCTTTCTCTCTCCATATAATGTGGATCAACAACGTCGGTGCAACGCTTCCGCATCTCCATCGCCACCAATTTTAAAAGCACCCTCTCCCAACAAGCCTTTAATGGAGGCAAGAGAGATGTTCTCGCCGTCGCTTTGAACCACGAAAATTCAGTTGGGTTCGCATTTTTTCTCTTTTATTGAATCGCGCCATGAATTTCAGTCGCAGTCTCGTTTCTTTATGGAGCAAAGGCTCGACCGCGAAAGAGCCAAACAGAGAATTGAGTGCGAACGTTGGAAAGGAATCCATGCGAGGAGGAAAGAACAGCAGAAAAAAAAGATCATTGACGACATCATTCAACCAAACGCAAGCGCATTCGTTGTTGTTGCTGTTGCTGCCTTTGAAGAAAATACACTCTTCCGATTGGTTGTAACAACTAGAAGAACCAATTCTTGTTTTTTGAAAGGTAAATCGTGTCCCAGCGAGAGTGCAAACATCGAATTCTCGAGCTCAACCCGAATAGGTAAATTTTCTCTCTCCGGTATTCGAGTTGTACTACTCATACAAAAAAAACCTTTTCTGAGTAGTAGTAGAAGTTTGTTCCTTTTCTTCACCCATGCATAAAATTCAAGCCACTCATTGCCCAACGACCATGACCAACAAGGATGACCACAACAATCACGACAAGATTCAACCAAGCGACAATCTCCTCACAAGCATGTTGTTGATGATGAGCACCATCACGAACCACCACAACACCAACAACAACACCATGACTTCTTCGTTTCCGACGACTCGACCGCCAACACCTTCTAGCTCATCAACTAGCTCCACTACCGCTCTTCCCTCTCATTTGTCTCCATCACCAAGTCATCATTGGTCGTCAGGATTGACACAACAGTTGCCTTCACCATCCGCTTCGTCGTCGGCTTCTTTCAACGGTGTGAATTCAGCCCAAACTCCTCTCGAAGCTCTTCTTAACAGTTCATCATCGATGCGACCTATTTCTTCAATGACCAATAATACCCTAAATCCTCTTTTCCAAACCACTCTCACCACCCCTTCAACAACATCTGCTACCACCCAAAATGCTCCTTCCTTCACATCTTCTCCTTCCTATTACCAAACCTACCAAAACGTGTTGCAGTGTTTGTCCTTGTTATATTCACCATCCTCCTCCTCCTCCCCAAACAACAACAACACCTCCAACAACAATTATGCGAACAGTCACAACCTCAAAACAGCTCCATTCTCCAGTAACACCACAATACCGTCTCAAGCTTCCAAATCACGACACACACATTTGGGATCAGACTTTTCCAATTTAACCACTTCTTTCCTTTTTCCAAATTCGTGCCCAAACTCCTCCTCCATTCTCTCGCACGAGTTGGTGACCAGTTTTGATTCTCTCAGTCATCAAATTATTGTACCCAACACTTCAAGTACATCAACATCTTCAGTCTCCATCGAAGAAGAAGTTGTTGATGACGACGGCACTAAGAGTTTCAGAAAGCGAAAGACTTCGCCACTCAGTTCTGAAGTTCAATCACTCTATGTCAGAACAGAAGGCCTCAAACAATCTAAAAGTGGCAACAAGTTTAAGAGAGTAAAGCTCTGTGATGACGATCAATTTGATAATGACGGAAAGGATTTATCCAAAGAGATTGATCTCATAGAGAACCAATCTGCCAACAGCTTTTTTGTCCTTCTCAAAAATCATTTAAATTTTTGTGAAAGAATGAACAAGAACCTATTACGAAGTACCGTTGTATTTGACTATACTCATTCCACATCGTAAGTACTCGATTTTAGTTGGTAGTAATATACATGACAAACATTTAAACACGACGAAGGTTATGCCATGCTGCGCATGTTGTCAAGGACTTGAATTCCATGTCCCCTCCAACAGATTCTGATCTCACTCTCACCTCTAGTGACTCTATTCCTTTGGAAAAGTTGTGTTTATTGTATAGCATGTATTTGCACATGTGCCAGAGAAAAGGCCTAACCTCAGAAGCTAATATCACCTATAAAAAGACAAGAATGTTGCTTAAACAAGTGTTTGATAGATATGATAATTATCATGTGGCCTTTACTTATTGCATTCTTTCAATCTATCATTCAAGTGAGGGAGATGATGAGACCGGCAGGTTTTATTTAGACTTGGTTGAACATTACTTTACCTCTCAAAATAAGAAGACAAGTAGAAAGAACACATCTAGCTCAGTAAGCTCACACGAACAAGAAATGAACAAGCTCATTCAATACTGGATTCCATCCTCTGATATTGACAGGGATTTCTTTTTAGAAAAATTTAAACTTGCTGCTGAAATCACTAATGAAGCTGGCAAATTAATTCGGTCTGTTGAATTGCGAAGGTTGATCGAAAAGTATTATATTTATGGAACCAACCGTTCACATGAGACTCATCCAGAATTTAAAAATCTTCTAGAAAAGAAAATTGATGAGACAACCTTTGAAAATTACCTCAAAATGGTTGAATTTACATTGGAAATGGCTGCTCTTTCCAGCAAGACCTACAACTTGGACGATGAACAACAATTTATTCTCATCCATGGAGGCAAGGGTTACAGACACACTGCATATGCGATGATTTTGCTCGAGTATTTGGATTATTTGTCCAAACATGACTCATCGTCTGACACATCCTCCGTAGTAACTCTTTCTTCTATCAACAACCAAGATCCAGCAGTCAAGAATGTACTTTCAAGACTTTACACAGAAGTTGACGCCTTTATGAATGTTAGTCATGAGGATCCTGAAGCTCTAGGGGCCATCATTCCAGCTTATTTCCCATGTTTTTCCATTGCATGCCAACTTGATTTGAATGGTTGTGATATGACCAAACCAGACCAATTGACCAAAGTTTCAAGAGATCTTCATGTCATGCAGTACATGGCAAAAAGATACAAGAAGATCAAACTTTTATATTCATCTCTTATGAAAGCTCTTGCCCTCAAAAAGGAAGAACTTACAAACGAAATAAATTCGTCGTAGGTGGATGTGTTAAAATTTTGTACCACTCATCATCTCCACATAAATCAGACACTTGATCAAAAACGCAATTATTGAACCAACAGCCGCTTTATTGAGTCAGCAATCTAGAACAAGTTTAAGCTCTTGCTGGCTTTTTGTTTTGCTTTCTTCTCAAATAAGAGGTCAAAACATCCTTAAGCAATTGTCTATGAACATAAAACAATGGCTTTTCTGGTCTTCTATTTCTTGGCAATCTTCTTGGAGCTTGTCTTCTTTGAGGGATTCTTCTCACTACTCTTCTTGTAAATCTTGGCAATCTTATTGGAAATCTTTTTGGAAATCTTCTTGGAGCTTGTCTTCTTTGTTGAGCACGTCTTCTTTGGAGTCTTCTAGCAAGTCTCGCAATGAAATCGAATTTTTCTCTTGGAAGGGTAGAGAATCTTCTTCTTGGGAAATGTCTCTTCTTGTCTTGTCTTTTTGGTTGTCTTCTTTCAGCTCTTGGGAATCTTCTAAGAGCAAAGCTTCTTGTATTTCTCTTTGGGAAACGTTTTGGGAATCTGTTCTTCCAAATGGCAGAGATATTACGGACTGATCTCACTTTCTTTAAATTCTTTTCAAGTCTCTTCAAGAACTTTTCAATTGGAAATCTTCGATCGAATCGTCTCTTTAGTTTCTTGTCATTTTTCACTGCAGGAGTAGTTTGAGAAGATGTGACAGCAGTGGATGATGGTTGTTGAACTAGTTTGGCCAAAGTTCTAATCTTGTTTGCCAACTTTCTCACCTTTCTTCTCAAAAATCTTCTCAAAATTCTTCTCACCAATCGTACAGCTTCTCTGAAATTCTTTGACTTTTTCAAATCATTAATGTAATTCTTCAAATCATCATTCTTTCCATCTTTCTTCAATTGTAAAAGATGATTCACAATGACCGTAATCTTTTCCAAAGTAATTTTAGCATCCTTTTCATTGTATGGAGCTTGTTCGGAAGCATTCTTCAACAAACCCAATTCTCTCAAATTTTTGAGAATTTGTCTCAAGAAACGAACTTTGCTTTGTTTCTTGGTGGGTGTGGAAAGTGCGAGAGTGGAATTGACGGAACGCACAAGTTGTTGAACTTGGTCTGGTTTTTGTGAAAGAGTTGGTTGTTGTTGTTGAGCTGTTGATGTGTGAATCATCAAGGTGGCACAGACAAAGGCCAACAGGGCGAAAATGATCAAGGATGACTTCATGACAGCTGGCAGGTAGTGGTATTTTTTGCGGATGAAGTTTTTGTGTTTGGCATGTTCCGTGCTGTAACGTTGATTTTGATGATTATTATAATGCGCTTTATGAATGTAATCAATCAAAAATAATCATTTTGACAAGTGACATGCTTGGAAATGCTGAGCTGTACAATAAAATACATATTATATAATTTACAAATTTCAATTCTCTCTCTTTGACACTGCCACTTTCAAATTAGTTGGTCTTTGTACCACACGAACAGAACATCCCACTGGATCTTTTTCATCATTCAATAACACAAATTCATATCGTTGTACAAGTTTGGTTAAAATCATACATGCTTCTAATAAAGAGAAACGATAACCAATGCATTTTCTGAAAGAATTGAATGTCAAATGATTTGCAAGTGTGTGTTAGAATCATTCGATCATCATGATGATTGCATTCGATCATTCCAATTCGTTAGATCAACATTTCACACATCAACATTTCACAACATTTCACACAACAACATTTCTTAAAAAAAACCAAATTCTAAAAACATGTATGACTCACCTATTTCCCATTGAGAATGGCATCCATGTAAAATCATGTTGAACTCGATTTCTCGTTTCAGCATCTTTAAATCTCTCTGGATCAAATTCATTTGCATTCTTCCAAATGGATTCCTTTTTGTGAACATTTAAAATAAATACATTAATAAAAGATCCTTTTGGAATTTGATACTTTCCAAGAGTAGTATCTTTTTTAGAGACTTGTTTAGCAACTCCTACGACGGGTGGATGAGTACGTAATACTTCCATAATGACAGCATTGACATATTCAAGTGAATCAAAATCATGATAGGTTGGATTTCTTCCATTTAACACTCGAGTGACTTCGTTTTGGAGTTTTTTCTGAACTTCAGGTCTTTGAGAGAGTTCAAAGGTGGTCCATTGTAAGAGAGTGCTTGTCGTTTCATGTCCAGCCAATCTATGAAAGTAATAATTAAAGTAATAATTTTTTTTAAAAAAAAAAGAAAGTAATAGTTAAATATGAAGATCAACCATAAATGGAAATCATTATGAATGTTTAAAATCAATCATGAATGGAAATCATTATGAATAATAAATAGAATCATTGAAAATTATCATTTGTTAACAACAAAGATCATTCAACATACGTCAAAATAAATGCATTGCTTTTAAGCTCATCATCAGTCAACAAATTCTCATTCGTGTTGGCCTCCACAAGTAAACTCAAAATATCATTTCTCTCATATTCATCCATCGTGTTCTGACTTTCCATCATTTGATTCTTCTGTTGTACTTGTTCTCTTCGTTGATGAATGATTTGATCTAAAATTTTGGAACATGTTTCCAATGCTTGTGTGGCTCCAGACCATTTGGATAAAAGTTGATAAAGAAATGGATAATTTCTGACAAATCTTTTCAAAACCATTCCTCTTCTCATAATGATATCCATGGATTGTCTGAGTTGACGTCCTTTTTCATTGGAAGAAAAGATTCCAAAATCAACTCCAAAGCCTAAAATGTTTACATTTTGAAATATAATTATTGGTTTCATGGAATGTGTTATTATTATTGGTTTCAATGTGTCAAATTCAATAAGGAAATTCAATGGAATCATTGTCGATCAGTCAGATCATCATTGAATTCAATTAAAATAATAATTGAAAAATCATGAAATGATCATGTCCATCACACCACTACCAACACTACCAACAACCACTCACCTGCTTTTCCTAATACATCCAAAGTAATATCTGAATAATCTCCCACATTCAACACAAAACAAGATCCTTCTTGTGACAATTGTTCATCCCATTTCTTAAACATTAAATCTGTCGATTCGACAGAAATTTGACACATGAATTCCAAATTTTTAGAAGAGAATCCAGGACTACAAATTTTGAAATGTTTTTTCCATTCTTCAGTGTGAGGAGCTGTCAAGACATTATTTCCCTTGTCAAAAGGATTGAATGTTTCATAAATTAATTTTGGTTTAGAAAAGTGATTGGCTTTTGTAATTAAAAGTTCTTTTAACATTTCTGGATCTGAAACCCAAATAATGGATCTCTGAGCTAATGAAATTCGTAAGGTTTGAGTTTCAGGATCTCCAAGAGTTTTAGCCAATTCAGGAATTGAACCCATACTTCCTAAATATAAATAAGGAGCAAAAAAGGGAATTTTGATGGGTGAAAACCATACCTGCCAGGTGCCAGGAATGTGTCCAAGTTTCTTTAATTCAGAATGGATACCAAAAGCGAGCCAAATGAAATATCCAATGAGAATGACTCCGAGAGTTGTGAAGAGTGTGGTGTAAACATCATCATTTACAACACTCCAAAGAAAGGATAAAGTCATGGAGATCATTGATGAATATTCAGAGTGATGATGAGTGATGATGAGCACTTGTGATGGTATTCACGATGATGATGTGATGATATTGAGAAGTTGAAGAATACTATATTAATAATAATATGAATAGTAGTTGATGTTACGATCTAATCAACAAGAATGAAAGGATTCCAAACTCCGAATAAGTATTATTAAAAAGATTTGAAACGATAGGATTCGAGCAATCACTGATCGATCACTGAGTCGGTGTGTAACGTGTCGATGATCGACACTTGTTGATCGAGAACTTGGAAAGTTCTTGAGTTTTTTTGATGAACAAAAGAGATTGAGTGAGATCACGACATGAGAATTTAATGTCCGTCTTCGAAATCGTAAGTCATTGATTCCAATAAAGATTTACGGAAATCTTTCGAAAGATTTAACAAGTCAATGCATTACTCTCGTTTTATGACTTGAATTTTAAGGTTTGTAGAGGGTCTGATGGTCACACCAGGTTTTGGTTTTACAGGATCCACAGTTTCGTCATTTAAAAGTTTGAATTTGTACTTTTGAACCATCTTGGTTAAAATCATACATCCTTCGAGAAGGGCAAACCTATTTAATAATCATGATAGAAATTGATGTAATTAATTTGTAATTAAACAAAAAACATACCTATAGCCAATGCATTTTCTAATTTGGAAAAATGATAAAAAAATATTAAGGGTGTTCGATTAGATCATACAAATTGTTGATGAAACATTGGACAAGAGTCACATACCTATTTCCCATGGAGAATGGTATCCAAGTCATGTCGTGTTGTACTTTTTCTTTAAACTCAGGATTATCAAAACGTTCTGGAATGAATTCTTCAGGATTCTTGAAAACATCTTCGTCGTGGTGAATTGCATCAATCCAACCTAAAACAATGGTGCCTTTTGGTATATTGTATTTTCCGATCGTGGTGTTCTTTTTGGCAACAGATTTCACAACGGAGAGAACAGGAGGATGAAGTCTTAATGATTCCATAATGACAGAATTGACATGTGACAAAATTCCATAATCATCGTAGGTTGGATCACGAGATCCAATGGCTTGAGTTATTTCATGGTACAACTTGTTTGCAATTTCTGGTCGTTTGGAAAGTTCATAAAGCGTCCATCCTAAAAGAGTTGAAGTGGTCTGATTGAGAATTGAAAAAAATCATGTGAATGTTAAAATGCTGATGAATATTCGTCCATAAATGTCAAAAATATTTACCTCATGGCCAGCAAGTCTTTGGTCATTCAGAATGTTGTTAATGAGAGTAATGGTTCCAAAAGCGATTTCACTACTTACGACATGATAAAAGCATTGCTTTTCAACTCATCATCGGTCAATAGTTTTTCCAACATGTTGGCCTCAACCAACAAACTCAGAATATCTTGAGTGACATTATCAATTCCATCTTTCTTAATAATCTCTTTTCTTTGTTTAATAATTTCATCTAATTTATCTCCACAAAATTTAATAGCCTTATCAAGTCCCAAAATCTTGTTTATCAGTGGATAAAAAATTGATTTGTCACCAACAAATCTTCTAACAATCACTCCATAATTAATAACATTTTCCATCGCCTCTCTCAACTTGGTACCCTCAGCATCTGTTGAGAAAACGCCAAAATCAACACCAAAGGCTGCCTTTCCCAAAATATCAAGAGTGACATCGCTAAAGTTACCAAGCGGTAAAATAAATGGCTTGTTCTCCTTAATTCCCTTATCCCATCGTTGGAAGAGCAATTCTGATGATTGTGTTGCAACCTTGCACATGTATTCTAAATTTTTGGAAGAAAATGCAGGGCTACAAACTCTAAAATGTTTTTTCCATGATTCCGTGTTAAGAGCTGACAATATATTCTCTCCATAAACATTAAACATTTGATACACAAATTCAGGTTTTTCAAAAGTGTTAGCCTTGGTCAAGAAATATTCTTTCAACATGTCAGGATGAACAATAAATATTGTGTTTCTGTCCACCATTGAAATTCTAACAATTTTGGTTTCTTTATCTCCAAATTGTTTCACTAATTTAATTGTTTCTTCCGTATTTCCCATATAAAAGTAGGGTGCAAAAAAGGGAATTTTCACAGGTGAGAAGAAGTATTGCCAACATCCTGGAATATCTTTCACCTTCAAATAACTTTTATAAACCTTGTATGTTGAAATGACAAACACAGAAAGCAAAATTACTAGAATGGTGATGGCGCTTGTAACAAGCATGCTTGAGGCTGAAGGATTGTCCACCACCATGCGATCATCACCACTTGGATTGATTGCTTCTTCAGATCGAGTTGTTGCCTCTACGGTTTGACTCACAAGCATCACGGCCATGATCATCATCATTGCCAATCCTGACAACGACAAGGCTCTGTATGGAGAGGATGACGAAGGGAGCATTTTTTTAGTGTGAACAACAACAATATTTTTGTTGAATTTATTTGATTTAAATCATTGTAAAGTGGCTGTCCAATCAGAAACCACAGAACACGCATTGCGCCAACCTGAAAAGTTTTTATTTAGATCCATGATTCAAAAAGATTGAACGCACCATCTCTATTAGCATTGTTATTTGTAAATTTATTTGCTTGAGCAACAACCCGTTGCGTGCATTTAGTGAGATATCCATATTATATTCAGTGTTCGAATCTTTCTCACGGTTGCTATCTTCTTAAGAAGACATCTTTCAAATATATTATTTTTTCGGTTTGAACTCACAGTTGCGGACTACACTTCAGTATTACTGAAAGGCATCTTTTATTCCGAATTTAAAGAACTCCTCCTCACCTTCTGGGTGATCGTTTTAGCCTTTTTGTTATTGAACTCGAGTGATAGCCTTTTGCATCACTATTTGAAGATGACGACAAGAACATCAAACGACCGATTGATCATCAACAACACGACCATCACCACAACTCCAACCATACCAGCAACCATTTCAACAACAACAACAACAACAACCACTCACGAAACAAGCACTCCTCCCAAATTCATGTATTCCTCTCAACACAAAAAGGTCATGATGATGAACAACATGACTGCCGATCAGCAACATCGATGCTCCGATTCCAACTGTAGTAGTAGTATGAATAACCTGTTTGTGGCCGGTGCTTCTCCCTCTTCATCATCAACCACCACAAACAACAACACAAACAACAACAACCTCTCGGATCATGCTCATCCCCAACTTGCACAACAACACCCATTCAATGGATTCACATATTACAAGAGTGTACACTCGGCTGGCTGTTGTAGTTACAATGTTCCATCTCCTCTAATGTACAATAACCCTTTTGCCAATTATTTTCCACCTTTTCCTCATCAACATTATTCTTCTCCAACCAATTCAAACAATATCATTGAGAAGAGTAATGTATTATTGAGTGATGGAGGTTCGAATAGTGAGTCTGAATGTAAGGTAATCCTGCCAGAGAATGGTCATTCAGATTCCAAAACGAGTATTTCTGTCATGCCCATCAAAAAAAGAGCTCTAAGCAATGTCAACATGAAGAAACCTGCTCTTGAGGACATGACAAAGCAAACATTAAGCCCCAGCGTGGAAAAGAACGACAAAAGCGACTCAAAGAAACAGCCACGAACAAAAGACTCTCCATTAAAATCAGACGAAAGTGAAAAGAAGCGAAAAAGAATCAAAGACGAAAACGAAGAATTGAAAAAGAAGGAGAGGAGACTTGTTCGTAATCGTCAATCAGCACAAGCATCCAGAGAAAGAAAAAAGCAATACATCCAAAGTTTGGAGGCCAAAGTGGCAGAATTGGAAAAGAAAGTTCATGAGCTGGAAGAAGAAAATAATGAACTCAAAAAGAAACAAAAACCTTGAACGGTGAGAATTGTTGAATATTGTTGACACAAGGTACAATGGATTTTCAAAATTCATGAAATCTTGTTACCATTCACTCCACGGCAGAACACGAAAGAAGATGTTGAACAATTCACATCCATTCGAAAGGAAATGGCATTCAGTGTGACCAATTTCCAAATCATTAAGGTACAAACAATGATTCTTGTATCTAATTGATGCCCAAAATTGTACTTGATCAAGTATATTGTAAATAGAGTATGTAATCCAATAATTGAATACTAAAATCAAAGTATGAATTCAAGCATGTCGACACAATCAGTGTGTACTGTTTAAAAAAATGAGAAGAGAAGCAACAAGCACGAACCTCCATTCCTCCTCCGACAACTCCTCCGATGCCACGATACGACTTGACTCAAATCAAAGGTTATCATCACATCCAATTTCTTCTTCAAAAATCGAGCCAATTCTCGAGCATGCTCCTCATATTAAAATTATAATTGAAAAATCCCTATTGCAAATACAATATGATTTTCATTGCTTTCATTGCAAGAAAATATGGAAAATTTTGAATTTATTATTGGAGCATTGGATGTATGATCATGTAAATGATTTTTGTGTGCTCAATATAGATCGCACCTGTCATGGAAATATTGAAGTCTTAGTGAGCTATCATTTATTCTCGTCCACAAATAATAACCAAAAATTCTATGATGTGTTGACCTTTAAAGAATTGCCATCCAAGAATATTTCAACATTTGCTGCTGTGAATTTATTTTATAATTTTTCCTTTAACGAGATGACACAGGATGAAAAAATACACATGAAACGATGGGTTGAAAAAACAGGAGAGAATGTGAACCGTAAGTGCGCTCATTAGAATTTCATAATGCATGATGATGATCTGTTTGAAATGATAAATGATTAATCATTATTATTTTCTAATAATTACTAGAACAACAAATCGAAACCATGACAGAAATTAATACAACACCTCACAAAATTCAAACCTTCGACGAATTCCAACACTTTATTTCTACTCATCAACAAGAATCCCATATTTTCTGGATGGAATATCTTGCATATTTGAGATCCATTTATGCCCATCAACACCTACTCTCTCTTCCTGAATTGGAAAAACTAGAATTGATGATTTTTGAACGTTTGAAAAATTAGTTATTTGGCATCTCTGTAAATTTTTATTGAGCGGGAAAAAGGAGACCTTAAAAAAATGGAGCCCACCATTTACGTGGTGAAACAACCACCATCACCACCACAACACCAACAACTCAAATCATCAAGGTCTACAACCAACCAACAATTAATGCAACAACAACAACTGCGTATGACTCCTTCAACACTGGTGGTCAAAAAGATTCCGGCTAAAATAAGAGGAGGGGTGAAAGTTAGTTCTCGGAAACCTTCGGAACCATCTGAAAATACTTCATCATTCATACTGGAAAATTCTCAAAATTATCAAACCAAGAGCATCCCTTCATTGTTTCCAGCAACGTTAAAACCACGACAAACATCAGCTCCTATTCAATCAACCAGGAGCATTGGAGAATCAGAATTTGGATCCTTGACAAGCAGAAAAACTAGTACCTCTAAAATAACGAATATTACAAGTTCGAACCAAAGCGGTGAAAAGAAATCTCACCATAATGCCACTGTTGACGTATCATTAAAACATTCGCAAGAAAACTTGTTAGAGAAGAAATTAGAATGTTTATTGAATGATGACGATATTTATTCAGCTCGGCAAAGCATCAGAGATGCCTATCTTTTTAAGTCATACGAAAGAGATACGTCTAAATTTGCAAGAAAAATATCACTATCTCAGTTAGGAGTGACGTTAGTATTCGAAACGAAAGAAAGTTTTTACAACTTTTACAATCGATTTAAAACCTCAAATAGTGGAAGTACTATCAATTTTAGTATGGATGAAACTGAATTGGAAGAATTGAAGAATCCCGTCTCTGAGTCTAACATGTCCAACAATCTTGAACAACAGGAAATTCAAGAGGCTCAATTAAGCACGGATCCATTCATTACAGAAGAAGAAAAACTTGAAATAGTCAATACAATGGAAAAAGTAGGGGAACCTTACCTTGTAGAATTATTTAAAACAAAATATAAAACGAGAGAGTTACTTCATGCAGGTCAATCGTTGAGGTGAATGCATATTAAAGTTTTATTTTACAATTTCATAAGAAATAGCTCTGATGTGTGTTCACGCTATGAACTCAATCAAACGCATCTCGCTGCTCTTGGTCAAAAATCTCTGCTACATAATCTTTGGTATCCTTTTCTGGTCTTTGCTCTGTATTAAAGACTCCATCGAGATCTGATGTACTTTCGTCCAAATTAGGCTGGTCTGGGATTGGTTCGAAAAATTCTTCACTTTCTTGTTGAGCTTCATTAGGAACAGAGGACACCTCTTGATAAAATGTGGGAGGATGAGGATTCACAGGTTGTTGGTAAACTGGTATATAATGGTAAACATTGTGAGTTGGAGGTACAACAGGTTGCACGGTATGAACAGCATGTATTGGCTGAATAGGAATTGCATGGAGTGACTGAACAGGAAGAGGTTGAATTGTTTGAATTGTTTGAATTGGTTGAAGATGTTGAATAGGTTGGGTGATAGGTTGAATTTGTTGGAGGTGTTGAATAGGTTGGGTTTGATATTGGTGCACTACCAACTGAGGAGGTACCTCCCCTTCGGCAACAACAGTTTCACGATATTCAACAGGAGCATGTTGGTACTGAACTGGAGTAGTTGAAACGACAGGGGCTGTGTGAAAATAAAACTCTGGATAACCCATTCCTTGCTGGACTACTGTCTCTGTGACACTTCTGTCATCTTCTAAAGCGTTTTGGTTTGAATCCTCACGAGGATCTGTTGCAGGCTTCTTATTGGAATTCTTTTTCAGTTGGTTGTACCTGTGCCTACATTGCAGATCTGTTCTTCCTTTTAGTCCTTGAGAAACCTTTTTCCATGAACTTTCTCCTACTTCTTTGACCCTATCAATCAAACGTTGGTCCTCTTCTGGAGACCATGGCTGTTTGCAGATTTCTGGATTCAGTACTCTCCACCAATGTTGATTGCATTGATCACTTGTCTTATTTCCCACTGCCTTTGCAATGCTACTCCAGTTTTTTCCATCATATTTGATATATGCTTCGAACAACTTCTTGTTTTCTTCTTCTGTCCATCTAGCACACGATCGTTTTTTCTTGACCTTGTTGATATTGGTGCCTTTCCGATTTACAGAACTCTGCGAGTTTGACCTTTTTCTTTCTGGAGGTGATGCAGAATGAATACGTTCCAAAAGGCTAGGTTCTTTGGTAGGTGTGAACGGAGAAACAGGGGACAAAGTTTCATGGTCGGATATCATGTCTCTGCTACTAGAAGGGGAATTGGCAAGCTCGAGAGGACTCGAATATTCTTCAGGGCTGTTGCTCAGCGATGATGTGTTGTTATTTTGAAGTGATGTTACAATGGCATTGTTGATATTAGTTGGAGATGATCCAGAGGTTTTTGACTGTGAATTATTAAGGGGGGAAGCAACGCTTTGTGGGTTCGGTGTAGAGGGAATATGGTGTTGGTGGATGGAGCTACCTCCTAAAACCGTTGTTTGAGTAAAAGAAGGTTGAGAAGATACCGAGTAGGCTGATGGATGTGCTAATGTTACAACATGTTGTGGATGAAAAGTATTTTGAGGAAGAGCTGGAGGAACGGTTGAATAGTGATAAGCATGAGAAGGTGCTTGATATGCCTCATATCGAACGATGTGGTGATTTGAGGCAGGGTCATACACAGTTGTGAATGGATGACAGGTGGTTGGAACATAATTATGGTATGGATAGCCTTGATGTACATAGGTAGTGGTAGTAGGAGGGTTATGATATGCAGACGTATTAGGATCTTGCATCAAGACGACGGTTTGATAGGTTTCTTCTTTTCCATTGCTTGGACGATGATGTAGAATGAAATGTTGAGGAGTAACATTGCCCGCAAATGTGTGTTGAGGCTGTTGAAGGTTGGGTCCAATATTGATGGGCGTATTTGTACATGTGTTGATTGAAGTTGATGTTGTTGAGTTGGACACTGGTGTGGTGTGGTTGCCATTCAACGGTTGCGAGTTGTTGGATACCTCATTTTCCTGCGGTATAGGATTCATAGCGTTCAACCTTATTCTCCCTCAAAAATAATGTCCAAGAGAAGCGTTGTTGTAGGTATTTTTTTTAATAGCTTAAGAGGATTATCGGAGACGAAATACATAAGGAAGCCTTAATAAAAAAAAGAGCGTCCTTCCAAATATTTCCGACTTGATCTCAAACAAAGTTAAAATGACCAAATACACTCAATCACTCATGTTGTTGAGCTACAGCTAGCTCGTTTGCAGAAGACATCAACCGTATTCGTTGGGTGGCTGTGGCTGCTTCTGAGGATGGTGTGATCAACGTTGATGAACATGTTTCAACAACAGATTCTGAATTGGTGGAGATGTGGATAGGAATAGAGGATTGAGGAGATGGTTGTTGGCATGAATTGTTGCTTGTGGCATAAACCAAAAGAGGACCACTTTGAGGGGAGGTGGAGGGTGAAAAAGACGAGGATGGAGAATGTCGTTGAGGAGAAAAAGATTTTACGAATCGAGAGGAGGCTGAGTAGGTCTTTGAGATTGAAAGAGAAGAAACTTCTGATGAGCTATTGGACGCTATTGAGGTCGTAGCAGAAGAGTTTGTGGTGGAAGAACCTATCTGTTGAGTAGTGGTGGTGGTGCTATGAGGAGAAGTTGAGAGTGGATCTGGTACGCTTGTCGTGTTTTTTCCCAATAATTTGGAATCAGAGAAGAAGGAACTATTTGGTTGTTTTCCATTCATGCTGGAATTGTTGCAGTCATAGATTGGTTTGAAAGAATCATTATCATAGATTGTGAAGGACGCCTTTGACCCACGCTTGCTGCCTGGCTTAGGGCCTCTCTTTTTAGGTATTTTTTGGAGTGATATTTGGTTGTTATTAGTAGAGGATGTAGTACTGACAGGTGCATAATCGCTCTGGAAAAAGATGATGCCACTGCTTGCGTTGTTGGATGCAGAAGCGTTCTCAGAGGTCACAATTGAATTCATCGCCTTATTAGCATCCTCTACTTCAGATTTTACCTTTCTTTTTCTTCCTCGTTTTGACCTAGATGCTTCACCATGATTAATAAAGGTAACAGGTTTGTTAGTGCTTATGGCCATCGTCTTCTGATCCTTTGTTGTAATTGCATGGTTGTTTTGCAGAGGTCGAGTTCGGACTTCATTGCTTGCTAAGGGTGTATTTTGTGCACAACTGTTGTCTTCGATTTCGTAATCGGTCTCTTCTTCGGTTTTCTCTTCATCTTCCATTTGGCATTGTGCCTGTTTGCTTAAAGAGGCATAATTATTTGGTAAAGTTGATAAGGGCTCTTTAGGCTCAAATAGGCATTGTTCTTCGCTTAAATCATCGTCTGAATCAGTGTCTGTTGTTTGTTTAGATGTTTCGAAATTGTGTTTTTTTCTTGTTCTTCTTGCTCTGTTGGTGTTTGTCGTTTGTTGGTTGTCGCCCTGCGAAACTATGGACCTTGATTGTTGGCCTGTTTGGTTTAATTTTGACAACTCTAAAACAGCCAGTTCCTCCTCGTCCATAGATGGTTTAGATGAGGTTGAGTAATCCTGCCACATCTTTAGTTCTATGATCAACTCTTTCAGGACTTGATTCTGAATTTCAAGGTGCTGTTTTTGCTTTTCGTGATCTGAGTTCATTTTCTCAAAGAAAAGCTCCAAAGCGTGCAACAGTTGATCTTTGTTGTGAATATACCTTGAAACAATTTCTCTCAATTCAAAGAGAGAGGGAGGCTGCTTGTTATGATGAGACACCGACTTTTTTCCAAAATCGGAATTATTGTTTGTACTATTATTCATGTTTCAAGTTAAAGCCTGAATCATTGAAAGGGGTATTTCTCTGAAAAGATTGAATGTCTGATACTATTTCCGAAAGTTTAAGAAACTCAGACTCAAGGATAAGTTTTTAACTGAAACAAACACAGGGATCGCGAGCGATGACGAGCAAAGACTTGTTTGGTTTGCAGCAAAGAAAATATTTTTTTGAAAATTTTAAATACATACTTGTAAATTAATTTATTTCCCAAAAAGGAACAAAACATGGGTGATCATTGAGAATCAGCAACATTTCAATACTTTTCAATATCTTTGCTGATGGTGGAATCATCTGCTTGCGAGTTCTTGTAAGTACAACTGGCGACTTTATTTGTCATGTCATAAAGAGCCTCCATCGAAACGTCCCAAAAATTCATCTCTAAAAAATATTCTCGTTTAGCTGTTGTGATAAAAATCATCATCATCACAGACGCACTACAAACAACAACTATTAATCAACGTCATCAACAATTTGGCCACAATCAAGAAAAGTTCAATCACACCTTGATTCAAGGAAACAATAGTTGTTGATTCTCCTTTAATTTTTATTTCGGACACGTGTACTAGTATTCTGTGGGAAGAGTTTATGTATTAGAAAACTGTTTTTATCGGTATATTCTGTTTTAATTGTAATAATCAGATAACATTGTTACAATCATCTCCATAACATTGTCTACAACAAGAACGTTTTGAGTTGTGTTCTATTCCTTGCAACTCTTCGTTTAAACAAACTTCCTCTTTTAACTTTCCCCATCCATCTTTAAAGTTGTCCGAACAAAATCCTTCTCCTGGCTCACCAAACAACACAACAAACAATTCTATCAAATTAACAACAAGCTCCATCGAAAGAAAGACAACCAACACCAAGAACAAACAAAAGAATCCACAAAAGACATCTCCTTCAGCGCAACCTTCCTATTCGTCAACTTTTGACACCTCCACCAAAGATACTAAAAATCTTTCACAACAATTACAGATTAATAGCAACGCCAAGAAGGAGGACAACCCATCAGCAGCACTTTCAACATATAAAACAAAGATATTTTCTTCTCTGTGGTCGCTCGTAGAATCTAACATGCTATTTAAATTAGGATTTCATAACAAATCACCCGTAGAATTGCTCTTAGAAAATGACGATTGTACATTAGAGCAAATTCTTGATGAAGAAGATGTTATTTCAGAAGCAAAAGCTCATTACGGAAAATTAATCGATTTCCTTGCGAAGAGTGAGAATTTAACAAAGATGATTGACTACATCACCATTGAGATTCCTCTCGATCAAATTCAAACCCTCAAGAACCAAACAAAGAGTGAGGAAACTGAAAAGGCAGACGACACTACAGAATCTGAAGAAGTTCATTTAAATGAAGAAAAGCTTCAAAAGAGAATATTCAAATATCCAAGAATAGCAGCAGAGATTTTATGTTGCGATATTGATGCTCTCTATTCAGCCATTGTGTCTGATAAGTTGTTGCTAACATCTCTTTTTGACTTTATTTCACATGAAAAACAGACACTGAATCCTCAACTAACTAATTATTGGATTCGTGTTGTAACCTGTTTGGTTCAAAGAAAACCCATAGAAGTACACAAATTCATAATGTCTCAAGGAGAGTCCTTCGTATTGAACTTTTGTAAACATATCGGAGTACCTGGAATGGATGAACTTTTACTTAAGCTCATTTCATGTGAATTGTACGACTTGATAATTTCTGCAGAGACTAATCGATCAGCTAAACAACAACTCAAACTTCGATTAATTGATGCTAAGGACAACTCCGACGCTACAAATGTAATTAAGAGCTCAGTTAAATGGTGGACTGATGCTCAAGTTCCATTTAAACTTATCGAGAAATTATCTCCACAATACTCTTCAGAATGCCACATTAACGTTACAAGAGTGTTGAGCGAAATTATTAGACGATCATTGCAGTATAATCTAGATATTCAAAAGCTTAATCCTCTTGCTACTTCCATTTTGTCTGACTCAGTTTTATGCAAATTAATGGACACTCTCTTGGAGAATGTAAGTTAATTCAAACATGATGATTCTCATATCTTATAATTTATTTAGACTGATGTACTGAACGAAGGCATTGCATTGTTGCATACTTTAATAGACACCAGCGTAGATTTAATGGATGCAGATTTCGATGAATGTTTACCAAGTGCCATCAAAGTTATTCTCACCAAATTGCCCCAGTTAGTACAACTGTTGGAGAGTCCACCTACACAACAGCCTCTGACACTAACATTTGGTGTTTTAAACCCTCCTTTAGGTGAAACAAGGCTTAAAATTATTGAATTCCTTTCAAGCCTTTTTCATATTAGATGTGAAGTCGTCGAAAAGGCTCTAATAGCTAGCAACGTTCTAGGAGTAATAGTTAATCTATTTTTCCAATACGAGTTTAACAATATGCTTCACAATTTATTATTGAACATTATTAGCTTCATTTTGGCAAGTGAGAGTCAACCATTGAAAAAACACCTTTTCGTTGATTGTGCAATAGTTGAACGTATTCTACAAGCGTTCAAAGTGAACGAGCAAGCCCAAAATGAAAGCAAAATACGAAAGGGTTATATGGGACATTTAACAATAATCTCAAATACAATTGTTTCAACCGCAAATTCTGATGAAACTGTTGCTTCCCTCACTAAAGACATTTCTGGATGGAAAGAATTTGTAGAAACATCTCTCTCAGAAAGAAATATGATCGAGACACGACAAATGGGCTCAGATGACTCTTATCTTTCTTTGGTTGGAGGAGCTACACCAAACACAAATCATGCACCCCTCTCTGATGAAGAAAGGAAAGAATTAGAGGATGCATTTCAAGATTTTGATGATGACATGGCAGAAGAATATAAGGACGATAGCGCGAAGGAGCTCAATGAAGAAAATGCATCCACCAAAGACTCCTCTCCTCTTTCTGAATCCATCCAGACCAATAGTGAAATGCACCTTGAACTATAAAGCTTTTATTTATTTTCATCACCATCTTAACTTTCTCGAATAATGGAATCTCAAGCAATAGAAGATTCATGCAGCTTTTGATCAGATGTATGGTATTTTACCTCGTTCTAATGCGTCGTGCATTTAACTTTGCTTTCTAATGCTGGTTGACAAACACCGTCTTTTCAGTAGATTATTTTTGTTCCTGATTTTCGATGGTTGCAACATTCGAAGAATCTTCTTCTAATTTATGAAGATTAGTGAACACTTCAAGAGTTTTATATTTCTCGATAAGCTCACTTTCCAATGGTGAAATTGTTTGTATTTTCTCCATAATTTCACAACCCACTTACGATTTTTCTTTGATTTTCACAAGATTGTCAGAATAAATTTTTTTTTGTTGATCCATTGTAAGATCAGCCCCTTCGAGAGAGTTGAGAAAAATTTCGGCTCCCTTCATGGAATCATATAAATCTTTAACTTTTAAAATTACAGACTCTTCACCCTTTGGTAATTCTTCAAGAACGGCCATCATTTTCGGAATAAAATTGAAATATTGCTCAAATTGTTCAAAAGATGGTTCCACATAATTTGTATTCATTGCTACTGATGACGGAACATGCTCAAAGCTCATCATGGAACCTTCTGGGTCCGACGATGGAGAGGAAGTGACATGACCTGTTGTTGTTTGATTCATTTTTTTTCCTTTTTTTTAAATAATTTTGTGATTTCCAACCTGAACCTTTTATTAAAAAAAACTTGAGTCAGCGAATTAAGAGTAAATCGACATTAGAATTAGGCTCTGTTATTTTGATTTCATTCATCCAAACCACGCGGTTTAGCGTAAAGGCTTTGATCGAATGGTGAATAATTAAATTGAAAGATTGAAAGACATTCCAATTTGAACACAAAGACTTTCTGAGTTCCACTCCACAGTGAACATGTTTTATTATTTTTAGCGATTTTACAATCCTTCTCAACACCAGCATAAAAAAAATATCGCAAGATCATCATCAACATGTCTGAACCAACATCGGATGCTCCAACCAAGTCAGAAGAAGAATTGAAGAAGGAAGCAAAGCTCAGAGCTGCTAAATTGAAGGCTATGGCTCTCAAGAAGAGCAAGGCTGCCAAGGAAGGAGGAGCTACTGAGTCTGCTGCTGCAACTACTGAAGGAGGAGCAACAACTACAACAACAGAAGGAGAGACATCCACCGAATCGAAAGCAACAACTACAACAGCAAAGACCTTTGATTTGAAGGGTAAGAAACGATTTGAAGTGAAGAAATGGAACGCCGTTGCTTTGTGGGGTTGGGATATCGGTATGTAACAATTAGTTTTGTGATCGTATTTATTTATTGACTGACGTTTCTGATCGTGAACCATTATATTTCACTTGTTATCTTGCGATGGTAATATTATTAATTTAATGCAACTTCCAATGTGTGATTGTCTTTCATACTCGAAATTATTGATTGATCAAATTATTTCATCATCTTGGAATGATCGAATGATGATGGTGTGGTATATTTGTGTTGTTCATCAAATTCCTATTTTCAACAACATCATGACAACATTTTGATTCAATTACAATAGTCGTCGACTCTTGTGCTATTTGCCGTAACCACATCATGGAACTTTGTATTGAGTGCACTGCCAATCAACAATCCGCTACCAGTGAAGAATGTACAGTAGCTTGGGGAGTTTGTAATCATGCCTTCCACTTCCACTGTATTTCAAGATGGTTGAAGACCAGACACGTGTGTCCTTTGTGCAATTGTGAATGGGACTTCCAAAAGTACGGAAAATAATTTATTTATCTTCAATATAGTAAATGTACTATTATCATTACTCAAACAAGGTCTTCTTTGAGTCGATTATTATTGTCAAATCTTCTTAACAGTCATGTCAGAGACTTTCGATGGCCTCCTCATTTGGATAATCATCCATTTTGTTAATGTCATGTCGTGCTGAACTCGTGAATAGAACATCGCAACAACCAACACAAAAAACTGCATCAACACCAACCACACAAAACACTCACCAACTTCATGCTGGTTTCATCGTCACCGAAAGGAAATCCCAAGAAACACAACTGTTGTATTGCTGTTATCCATGTGGTTATTATTTCATCCATCATCGCTCTGATCGAGAATCTTTTGCTTGTGAATGGGGAGTATAACAATGTTCCTAACACAGTACATCGAATAAGGAAGAATCACAACGATTCGAACAACATGCAAATATCATCTTCTCCGTCGGGTCTCCCAGTGATGATTCAAGGCTTAGATCTTACCACTCTCAAATCGTTGCTCTATGATTCCTCTTCAAAATTTCCAATCAAGCCTCTGAATGCTCGCTATTCTCAATTCAGAATTGAGAAAGTGGCGTCATCACCACAACATGCAGATGATGCATCTCCAAAAAAAGAAATTATTCATAATTGCGATGATGGTATTAATGAACCAGATCAACAACAATCATTTGTAGTATATTTACATAACGAAAAGCAAGTAGATACACTGGTGAGAAAAATTGAAGCCAACCATCACGTACGATCTGTTGATTCAAGTTCTTCTTCACGACGGTCCGATCGGACACAACCACCTTCTCCTCAATTACAAGTTACGTCCAAACAACAAATATACCTTAAACGATTATATAAGGAGGAACAAACACCTGTGCTAAAACGAAAATCAAATTCATTGCTTACCTATCATAATTATGATGCCCTAACAGCCAAATTAACTGACCTTCATCAACAATACAAGAACATGACTAGCCTCTTCTCCATTGGAAAATCAGTGGAACAGCGAGACCTGTGGGTCTTTAAATTATTTTCAAACACTACCATCGGAACACCTGATCAAGCAGCCAAGTTAGGATATCAAAAGCCTAAATTCAAGTACATTGCCAACATGCATGGAGATGAAACAGTTGGAAGAGAATTGTTGTTATATTTGGCTGAGTATTTATTGGCCATGTATCAACAAGGAGACGATCGAACACGAAAGTTATTAGATTTTATGGACATTTATCTCATGCCATCCATGAATCCTGATGGCTTTGAAAATGATGATCGATACAATGCGAATGGAATTGATTTAAATCGAGATTTTCCAGACCAATTTGTAGCTAGCTCACTCTCAAAAACCTATCAACCAGAAACCAAGTCTGTTATGGATTGGCTTTCAAAAGAGAAATTTGTTCTTTCCGTGAATTTTCATGGAGGTGCTGTTGTTGCAAGTTATCCTTATGATTCTGTTTCTCCAACTGTTTCTAATGCTGAATCTGCTTACTACAGTGCAAGTCCAGATGATGAATTTTTCAAAATGGTTGCTAAAGCTTATGCAAATGCTAATCCTGACATGAAAAACAGCCAAGAATTTACAGGAGGTATTACCAATGGCGCTTATTGGTATGTCTTGTTTGGGGGAATGCAAGATTACAATTATTGGAGCAATAATTGTTTTGAAATTACAGTGGAATTGAGTGATATTAAGCATCCACCAGAATCTCAACTTGATAGTTTTTGGAATGCCAACAAAGAATCTCTTCTAGTGTATATGGAACAAATGAAATATATGGTTATGGGAGTTGTGACTGATTCTAAAGGAAGCCCAGTTCCAAATGCAATTGTAAAAGTAGAAGGAAACTCGAAAACAATTACTACCGACTCATCAGGCGTTTTCTTTCGACTGTTAACACCAGGTAATTATACTCTAACAGTGTCACATCCAGCCTATGGAGTCAGTATGAACAAAAGCATTGAACTTCCTTCAGATACGCACTTTGGCAATCCACCCACTGCATATTTCAGTCTCCCTTCATCAGCTTCAAATTCTCTGCGCCCATCCAATCCTTTTTTTCTCAATAGCAAAGAAAGCATCATCGTTTCATCCACCACGTGCAACCTCATTGGTTGCAAGCTTGTTGAACAACATTTGGTTGTCAATTATGGTATCAGTGATCTCTATGGTGGTTATGGCCTCTGATAAACTGGTGCTAGAGTTGATGGAATAAATATGTTCAAAGACTGCACTACTACAACATAAACAAACTTATTCAGAGTCGGTATTCGGTATTTCGAATGACAAAAGAGTCATCTTTCCCCAGATCTAATTCATCGATTCGGGATGCTTTTCAAATTTTCCGAGTTGATGAATCCAATTCCAAAACCATCGGTCCATTCATTCACAACGTTGACAGTAAGACTAAAAAAATGTCCTATTCTCTTCTCACTGGTCTTTTCAGTGGTATGAATACGGCCACTGATTTAGCGAGTGGAGCAATTGATGTTGTTGTCGTTGAACAACCAGATGGATCACTCAAATGTACTCCTTTTCATGTTCGCTTCGGAAGACTTAAAGTCTTAAGATCTAAAGAGAAAGTCATTCGTATCATGGTGAATGGGAAACTAACGGAATTATGCATGAAGACAGGAGAGACAGGTGAGGCTTATTTTGTACATGAAGCTACTGTAGGTTTTAATAATATTAGATTATTATTCGAGTATATGTTATTATATTTGAAACCAATCATCATCATGATTGGGATCCATCATTCGGCCGTATGAAAACACACCTTTCAATATTGTGGCTACAATTTTGCTTTAAAACTTATGACAATTTTAAACCAAATATTTGGACATCATCATCCTATCATTTAAAAAGGGTCCCGTTGATAGAGATTTAGTAGCAAGCCCGATTGATCTTGGCTCTTCTCAGCCTTTTCCTTCATTTGATAACAACAACTCTTCTTCACTCTTGACACAAAGTCTAATTTCCGATTCATCAGTCCCATCTTCAAAAACCTTGTCAACGACTAATTTATTAGAATCACAGAGCACAACAACAAGAACGGATTTCATTTCATCTCCTCCTTCACCAACAACAAATCAAGATTCTTTTCTTTCTTCTTCAAATACAACAACGACAGCTCCAACGTTTATTCCTACAAGCATGCCAATAGAGCAAGCCTATTTTCGTCCAATCACTTCACCCATTGGATCTCCTAATCTTATTCCAATTTCTTCGTCATCACCAAATCAACCCTATCAACCAAATTTTGACATTGATGAGGAAGTAATTTATGAAAAATTCATTCCTATTGATGATTCTGATTCTGATGAAGAGGAAAGTGTAGTAGCAGCAGGAGTTACTGAAGATGCAAACAGAGTTGTAGATTTGGAAAGAGAAAAATATAGAGAAGATGGTATTACGACAAGTCACATGTTAAATTCCACTCCACCTCCCTTGGTTAATACTTCTTTATCGATTAATATTGACGCAAAAACAATGAGTGACATGAACACTGTAACATCTCCAAGAATCAATGAAACCTCATCTACTACTTCAACTTCTTATTCAACACCAATAGACACTACACCAAAACCTCCTTCAGAAACTCCAACAAAAAAGAGTAGTTGGGGTTGGGCGTAAGTACATAATATATTCTGAGATTATGGAGCTCATTCCAATAATTTTTAGAAGCGGATTAACTTCTTGGCTTGGATTTAAATCGAATAATGACACAGATGAATTTCAGGGAATTAAAACAAAAGGAAATAATTCATTTGTAGAACAACAATTTTTAGAGGTCATGGCTAAACATTACAATTATGATGCTCTTTCAGGACGATATATTAACAATCCTGTTACTACTCCATCTCCTTCCATTACCAAATCTCCACCCTTTGAAATGGCATCAAACAACAATACTTCTAGTAATTTATCCATTCCAAGGAATGATTCCTGTAAAAATTTAATTAGTGACACTTCTGATGATGAATTATCCTATGATGCACTCACTTCAGAGCATAACGAAAGCAAAGATTCAAATGTTGTACCTAATGAGAATGGTGATCAAAAAGTAATAACTGGTGATAAAAACTTTGATGAAGATGCAACAACCGATGAAGAAGAGTTAGAAAAAAATTATCATTCAGACAATGAATCACTTTCTTCCCTCAAACCATCACTTCCTCCACACATGAGAACAAACAATCATTTTGAAGTGATGCCACGGGAGAGCCCCATTTCTAAAAGCGCTCCAGGAAATTCAACTTCATTTGAGGAACTTTTTAAACAACACCAATTGACCAAATTGAAAAGACAAATATCTCCTCCATCGACAACTACGAACAGTCGAGAAAATTCACCTGAAACATTCTCTGTAAATAATACTTTGACTTCTGCCTCTTCAAAGAATGATACACTTTCAACGAACGGCACAGAGTCAAATAACACATCAAGGCTAACGATTGTTACGATTACTCCTAATTCACCACCACCTAACTTATCAGATCCAAACTTGCAAAAGAAGAATGAAAAAACTTATTGGAGATGGTTTTGGACAAGACCAGGAGCAACCGCAAGTACTGACGCTGTGAATCCAAGTACTTCTCAAATTAACAATGAAGTGAACAGAGTGACCAGTCAACCCAAAGTTTTTGATCCAACAGGTGAATTTAAAGTACTAAAGAAGAGTTTGAGACCTACATCGGACGAGTTAAAAGCTCTTGGATTGAAATATGGAAGGAATGAAATTAAATTTCTTGTAACAAGTCGAATTTTAGGAACTCAGGAAGTGAATGCATATATTTATTTGTGGAAATATTCTGACAAAATTGTAGTTTCAGACGTAGATGGTACTATTACAAAGAGTGATGCATTAGGTCATATTTTACCAATGCTTGGTCAAGATTGGTCCCATAGTGGTATTGGAAAATTGTACACAAAAATTGTTCAAAATGGGTACCGAATGTTATATTTGACTTCACGATCAATTATTCAATCTGGAAGTACTAAGAGATATATTTTTACACTTCAACAAGAAGATGCAATGCTACCAGAAGGCCCAGTGGTCATGTCTCCTGATCGATTATTTGCTGCTTTGCACAGAGAGGTTATTCTGAAAAAGCCAGGTAAGTGGATCAAAGTTGTTTTAATGAGAAATATGATCACTCGAATACTTTTCATTTTTAATGACATGTTTGTGAAAAACATTATTTCACAATATTACAGAGGAATTCAAAAAGGCAGCTCTTTCAGATGTTTTAGAATTATTTCCAAAAGGCACAAATCCATTCTTTGCAGGATTTGGTAATAGAATTACAGATATTATTTCGTATTCATTTGTTGGAATACCTGATCACAAAATATTTACTGTTGATCCTACCGGTTTGATACAAGTGTATGGAATTAGTCATGAGTCTTATTGGAACATTTACAAGCTTGTGGATGAGATGTTTCCTGACCTGAATCAAAAAGTTGATGACTCGAATGATTTTAATTCTTTTGCATTTTGGAGAATGCCCATTCAATCCTCTTCAGACTTTAAGTAAAAGTAACTTTTTACAATCACATAGTCTGTGGTATCCACAGACTCTGCGTTTCAATTTCTTCCAAGGTCTGCCTTTAAACGACCTATTCATGAATGACGACATCACGAGAGCATCCTGTGAAACGACATTATATGCTCTCGATGTTTAGCACACTTGATGTCTTTTTTTCCAATCGTGTTTGAGTGTCCTTGTTGACAATGCGCTTCAACTCTTTTTTGGTACTCCAAATTCAGCCAATAAAGCACATGGAATAATAATCACAAAGATGAGAAAGCAACAAAGTGACAAACACACCGACGAGTAAAATAACACTGTGGCATAGGCTCTCGCTCTTCGTGACTTGTACTTGATCATGTCCGAGCACCAATAAAAGATGCAACAAGGTAAAAAAGAAACAACCATTAATCCTGGAATGATGCATAGAATAAAGCTTGTTAACATGGAAAAGAAAAATAACATTCTAGCTCTCTGATCTTCCTTAAATGAGAATGAAAATGAAGGTGAAAAGAAGTTCTTAGTTCCCTTCTCGAACGAGTCAATGGGATTGTCATTTTGATAATAATAGTCTTTCAAATATTCATAGGTAATTTCTTCTTCTAAATTTTCATTTGATCTCTTTCCAAATACTACTCGATCCGAAAATGAAATCAATTCAGATTCAATATCAATAACTTTTAAAATTACAGAATTCTTAAAATTATGAATGGTTCGATTCGATGTGACAGTATTCGAATTCACAATGGATGTCACCACTGCATGAGCAACTTGTTGTGGAATGGAAGGTTGACCATCTATTTTCTCTTCCTCTGAAATGACCATTGATGTGGTTATTGTAGGTTCTTCTTTTTTTACTCTTTTTTCCGAATCACGATTTCCAAAAGATGCTGTAATTCCAGAGGAATGATCATTGTGATGCACTTTTTTGGTGTTTATGGTTGTTGTAGGTTGAAGAACTCCAGTGGTGGTGGTGGTGGTGTTGTTGTTGTTGTTGATAATATTATTATTGATGGAATGGTGATGATTGATGGACACAGAGTTGAGTTCCGAAAAATGATTGATTGGATCGGTAGTGGTGTTTCGAATTATTGGTTGATGATGATGAGTGATGTTCTCTGATACTCCTCCTCCACTACGAGAGGTTGATGTTGTTGCAACATGGAGAGGTGAGGAAGGCAACATTTTTTTAAAATTTTGACAAGTTCGACCTAAGGATCAACATGATGAAAGTTCATTGTTCTTCAAGAAGAAACTGCAGTCCGGACTTTGACACAGCGGTTTTACACAAACTTTCCACAAACTGTCAAACAATCGTTTAGATATCAAAGACTTGGACAACTAATATAGAACTTCCTTGACATCTAAACGAGTTTTTGACAGTTTGGGGTATCATGGCAAGTTTGACTTTAGAACCAGTTGCGATTACCTGATTAGCGAGCTTATGTGAAGAAAAGGATTGGAGTGTCTCAGCCTTCAGTCTGTCGAAGATGTTCTTTCATGCATCCTAGGAATGCTAATGTTCTGTCGAATTGTCAGTAGAATTGTCAGTGATTTGGATTGCACTCATAAGTCTGAACAGACAAATTGAGACAAAATATCAATGGAAAAAAAGCATGAATTGTCAGTGAAACCTTTGTATGGCCAAGAGAGAGAGTCATCAAATTATTAGGGCGTAAGTGAGTTTTTAAATAAATTTTAAAAAAAATGAAACCTTCCGAATCGAGGTCTTTGATTCACAACGACGACGACGACGACGAGATGGTGGTGGTGGTGAACGAAGAAGGCTCATTCACTTCAGAAAAATTTAAAAGATGGCAAAAACCTTTACTGGATGGAGCCAATGATGAATCACAAAATTATTCAACTGCTGATGAAATACATTCTTTTCCGATTATTTCATCAGTTTCAAATCATCATTCCATAGAGGATTTAATATCTAAAAATCAATCAGTGAAAGTGTTGGAACAGGGAAATTATAAAATTTATTTAATAGGAACAGGTGAGTTTTAAAAGAACTCTTTGTGGTGATGATGATGAAAATCAAAATGGATTACAGCTCATGTTTCTGAAGAGTCCGCAAAACAAGTGACAGAAGTGATTCAAGAAAAGAGGCCAAGTATTGTAATTTTAGAATTGTGTTCGAACAGAAGAGCGTTATTGGCTGAATCGTCAAATCAAAAGAAACAAGTCTCGAAGAGAGGTTTATTGACCTCTTTGATTTTAATATTTTCAGAATACATGAAGAGTATGTGTGACAATTAACACCATTGTTTTATATTATTTCATCACAGGTTCAAACCATTCAAATTTATTACATGCAATTTTAGGATACTTTATGCAATCTGTTTCGAATCAGTTAAATATCAAACTTGGAATAGAAATGATTGCTGCTTATAAATCAGCTGTACAAATACACTCAAAAGTAATACTTGGTGACCGACCTATCGATATTACCTTAAATCGATTATGGTATTCTCTGAGTTGGTTTCAAAAACTTAAATTAATTGCAAATATTTTTATGAATGTACACAGCAAATCACTGCTCAAGATATTGAAAGTTTAAAACAATCTGATCTCTTAACAGAAATATTGGAAGAATTATCTGAGAATTATCCACAATTATCCAAAGTATTAGTAGATGGTATGTTATTATTATTGCAACAACCTCAGAATAATGTATTCTTAAACTTATTTATACAAAGAACGAGATGCTTATTTGACTCACTCAATTCTAAAAGCGATTGAATATTTAGAAAATGAAAGACAATCCAAAGAACAAGATTCTGGCGAAAACTCTCACAGCGATCATGCCTATATTTCAACAACATCAAACATTTCGACCAACATGGACTCAACAAAGAATTCAACCAATCTTACAGAACTCTCCACAAATGACACAACCATGGATAATGTCACACAGATATCGTCCAGTGATGCAGACGATGAACTATGGAATCGTTTTGCCAACAAGGATGAATTTCCGAATGATTGCAGAGCATCATCGGATGACGACGAGTTGGTGCATCATCATCCACTTGATCCTCATGCGATTGTGTGTGTGGTTGGTGCAGGCCACATTGCTGGAATTACAAAATACTTTTCAAGTCCTGAAAAAATCAATCGACGAGAGATTATGAAACGACAAAAAGATTCAAGGAATTTTGTGTTACTGTTTTTCTTTATTTCCATTTTTATTTTACTTTTATCTTTGACTCTATATCTAGTATGGCATTGATAGATCCCATGTCATGCCACATTGATGGAAAAATTAGTAGTGATAAATCACCTTTTCCAATGTTGTAAAGCAATGTTGTGTAAAATCTCCAAAAAACGTTCTACTGACTGTACACTCAAAGTATACAAGTACTTGTATTACGACTCTTCTCGTTCACTATTCACATCCATCGTTCGATTCTCTAAACAAACATTGATTTTTCCCATTTTTCTCAACTCTTCCTTAATGACCTCGACTAGACTAGTCATGTAATACTTGTCATCAGTATTAATCTTAATTCGATCTTCATTATCATAGGTATAGAATTTCAACCAATTTTCTCCATCTAATCCTCCCTCTAATAAATAATTTGTAGTTGCAAATTTATAATACTTGTCATCCTCTAGTGGTTTTCCATTAATCTCAAAGGACACAATTCTTTGATTGGGTTCTCTCGTTCTATCATAAATAATTTGTACTCCTTTTGAGACTTGTGGATAGAGTCCAGAAGCATATCCACCTGATTCAGTCATAGGTGCCAAACACAACTCGACAAATTTTCGAATGTATTTTCCTTTGATGGTGACTGCTAGCGTCTCATTAATGAGTGGAAACTCTCTCATAACGTCAATAACTTTCATATGATAATCAATGGCATAGGTTTTATCTCCTCGAATTCCACCGCCATTGAATACAGCTAAATCAGCATTGTATGCTTCCTTGAGAATATCACAAACCAAATTTCCAAACGTGGATTCTCTAAATCGACAATTACTTGTAGCTGAACTTAGAGGACTTTCGCACACAGCGAGAACATCATAGGCATCCTTAGGAATTTGTGAATTTAAATGTTGAATGAGATTTTTCATCTTTAAAACCGTTTCATCTCCATCTTGTTCAAAGTGAGATGTTTCATTACTGTCTCTATTGAGAATAAGTCCTACATTGTCCACATAAATCTTAGTGTGATATTGATTGCGTTGTGATTTTTCAACAACAAGCGACATTTTACCAACGTATTTGGCATCTGATCCACTTTTAACAATGAGAGTATTGTTGGTATTATTAATTTCTATAAATGGATAATGGGTATGTCCTCCAAGAATAACATCCAAGTACTTGACGCTACTTAATTCTAAATCTTCTTTCATATCCAAATGAGATAAACAAATGATTAAATCACACTTATCAATATGCTTCAACTCGACACACATCTTCTTGGCAACTTCCATAACAGGATGAATATTAATTCGATGCATATCATTTTTGAGCCCATTTGTTAAAATGGAGGTTTGAGGAGTTAAAATTCCAAAGAATCCAACTCTCAACTCGTTATTATTCAATGGAAAAGTCATAACATGCTTTCTGTGAAGTAAAACTTCACTTTCAGGAGGTGGTTCTGCATCGACTGTATTTGCACTCACTTCACAACATTTCTTAAATGATTGATCTAATAACTCTACATTGGAACAAATCCATTTGAAATTGGATTCTCTCACTCTTTGGAGCAACACATCTAAACCATAATCAAAATCATGATTTCCAATTGTTACTAAATCAATTGGCATGATATTGAATAAATCAATCATGTGTTTACCCTTATATGAATTTGACAAGAGACCAGCTGAGAGAAAATCGCCATTAATTGTAACAATGGTTGGATGTCCTAACCTCCTTTCATGTCGAATGTGTTTGTTGAGTAATTTTAAAAGTCCAATAAAACCTCCGACGCCATCATCAGGCGATTCGTTGAATTCATAGACATCATTAATCATGAGAATGGAAATTGGTTTAACGACTTTCTCCGAGTGAGTAGTAGGAGTACTACTATCATTCGTTACATGATTATTCTCCAAAGGTGGTAATGAGGTACTAGTCATAGTAGCAGTTGTATGGTAATATTTCCGAGTTGAGGATGAACGAATGAAGGAGGAAGGAACAAGTAATTGTTGTTGAGAGGAATGGTTTGAAAATTGTGTAATGGCAGAAGTACACTTCCAGTAGTGGAACATTCGATAATTTGGCCAAATCTTTAAACATGTCAAATTATCATCCTCTCTCCAGAAGATGAAGCGAGAAGAAATGAATCTCGAATGGTGGATGAGGCTGTTCATGCATTTTTTCATTTTTTTTTGCATCATCGATGCCCGCATATGGCCGAGTGGTTTTTCTGGACCTGTGGCAGCCAACTGGTCCAGCGTTCGAATCCCAGGGGTTGCTGCTGTTATCGTGAGCAGTTTAAACACCTTTACTTCCGGGGTGCCTGCTAGGAAGTCACTACGTATCTTACGTTCGGCTTGTAAATAATGTACATATAAACCATCGAACAACGTTTATCATCGAATAAACCCATCCCTGAATTTTTTTTTGCATCCTCCTAAAAAATTGAAAAAATATTTATTGGCCCTTCGGTGCCTCAGGTCTTTCGTTTTCCCAGTATTGATTAAAAGCTCTACCCATCAAGAGCGATAGAATTGCTTGAATGTCTACCCAGTACTTGATGATGTCCTGTTTTCTTCTTGTAAAATATGTGTCGGAGTTAAGAATGATTCCTCTGCTGTCGATAAGGAATTTGGAGGAGGTTAGAATTTCATTTCGGTCATGGTGAATCAATTCAATGTTTAGAAGCCTCTTCATCTGTTGTTTAGCATACATTCTTTCCTCCGATAGTAATGTGCAACGTGTGGAATAATGTTCAATAGTTCCGGTGCAATTACATCTGGGGCAGGTGTGAGTTTGTTGTTTAAATGTTTTCATGTGAGCATTGTGCATGTTTCTCCAGATTGCATATTTTTGTTGGGGAGAGATATTCTTTGACTTCATGAAATTGAATGTTGTTGGGAAGATGCAAGAAGGGTTAAACTTATTCCTGCTCTTCAAAGTTATTGATTCATTCCATTTCTGAAGTTGTTTGTTCTTGATGAATGTTGCAATATCTGGAATCCAGTGGTTATTGGATTTGAGGATAATTTGGTTTTGGGTAAGTTGTCTGTGAGGAATTATCAATTTTCCTGATGTGCATCCCTTTTTGGCTAATTTGTCTACGTGAATGTTACCACTATTTTGGTGGCCTTTAACTTTGATGATGGTGATTTGTAGGTTTTTAGATTTCTTGAGGAATTCAAATTCAGTTTTAAGGGGGAGAAATGGTCCTCGGTATTTAGGATTTGATAGCAAATTGATACTTATTTCGCTGTCTGTGTAGATTTTTGCTTTTGATTTTGTTGGTAATAATCGGAGAGTGTAGACAATACTTAGTAGTTCAGCTAAGTTATTGCTATGGATTGGGTTAAGTTTGAATTTGTGTCTAGTTGTTATATTTTTGGATTGTAAAATAATACCAAATCCAGTTCCTTGTTCAGTTTTAGATCCATCAGTCCATACTTCAAAGTTTTTACATTTCTTATGGTATTTTAGTGATTCTTCATTTACAAGTTGAGGTATGTAGTTGCAGTTATCAACTTTAAGCTCATACTTCCTTGCTATGTGGTGGAAGTTTTCAAATATATTTAGGTTTTTGGATTTTTTGGTGTTGAATGTTGATGTGATAGCATCATTTACCGCTTCTTGCATGAGTTGGTAATTGTGACATGAGATATTAATTAATGATCTTAGGGTTATGATATCAGTCATCATTTCAAGGCATGGAATACCCATTCCTCCTTGGTAGATTGGTAAGTATAGGCATTCTTTAGGTGTTCTTGCATCAATATTTAGTTTTCTTTTGATTTGGTTTCTGATTGAAGAGTCGAATGATTCTATTTGGGATTGGCTTATTGAATTACTGCGTGCAAGGTGTGTAATTTGGGATAAGGTTTTAGATGTGACTACTTGTTTGAGATTATATGGTTGAATCAGATTAATTGGGAGGATGTTAAGGATATTCATCATCTTATGTTTCCTTTTTTCTAGTTCTTCCTTAAATAATTTAGATTCAAAAAGATATCCTCCGAGGATTCTTTGGTTGTCTTGGTTTGGAATTTTGGTATTGTTAATCAAGGCCTCATTTGGTTTAGGGAGTGAAGTTGTAACTGATTTGGATGGATTAATTTCTAGGAATATTTGTTTGAACCATCTGTTAATTTTCTTGAGTCTTTTGTTGTGGAGAGTAATGTTAGAATTGATAATTGACATATCATCGGCAAAACAAAGTGTGGCAATATCATCAATGTCTAGATCTTGTGGAGTGATTGGGAGTTTTTCTCTTTCAATAATTTTATCAATAATCATTTGGGAGATGTAGTTATAGATTAGAGGAGCTAGAGGACATCCTTGTGGGATTCCTCTTGTCTTGGTGAATTTTTCTGATAGTGTATGATTCCATTCTATTTGGATTTGATGATTTGAGTAAGCATTAATGATGAAGTTTTTAAGTTCTTGGGGGAATTTGCAGTGGGTGAGCGCCATTTCAATGATTTTGAGTTCAATGGAATCATATGCAGCAGCAATATCTATATTGGTTAGAATGAATCCTTTCTTTTTGAATTTGTTAATGAGGGCTTGTATGAGGATGCAGTGATTTGTTGTTTCTCGATTTTGGGTGAATGCTTGTTGTCTAATGTTGATATTTGATTCGGCCCAATCTTTAAGTTTGAATGTTATAATGTTGAATAGGAGTCTATATCCAATATTCATGATTGTGATTGGTCTTAGATCTTTGTGGTCTGTGATTATATCTTTTTTTCCGATTAATTTAACCCATCCTTGTTTCCAGCATTTTGGGATGTCTTGATTTTGGATCATGTGATTAAATGCTGATGCTAATATATTGGGATTGATATTTTCAAATATCTGTTTTGTTGTGAAATCTACCCCTTGTGTTGTTGATTTCATTCTTTTCAACGCGTCCGTAACATCTTCTTTAGTTATTGTAATGTTGGACGGTCCTTCTTTAACTGTTGATTCACCTGGTTTAAATTTAATTTCTGTTTTGTCATCTAGTTTTGAGGTGAATTTGTTTTTAAAGTAGTTCACAGCTCCTTCTTTTGTTATTTTGGTTGAATTCCAATCAATTTCCTTGTATTTGAGATGGTGATCGAAGTTGTGGATTCCTTTGGTGTGTTTGTTATTAATGGAATCTATGAACTTTTTTCTATATTCCGCAAATTCAAGGTTATATTGTTCTTTGAGTTTCTTCTTTGTTTCCTTTATAGATCTTTTGATAGTGGATTCATCTTGGGTTGTTTCGGATAATTTCTGTTCATGGAGATTATGGAGCTGTTGTTTCAAATTGGTAATGATTTCAGATTCCTTAAATCCCTTAATAGGATGTGGTTTATGAGATTGGTTCTTGATCTCATGATTGAGTTTTTTTTAATTCACTGTTGTTGACGGGAAGAGATTTCAAAATTTCTTCGAGTTTTTTTGCAACACTTTGCTCATCGCTGATTATTCGTTTCCAGGTTGTTGGAATTAATAATTTAAATTTGAACATGATTGGTATGTGGTCATTTGTTGTGACGAGTGGTAAAGCTTGTTCATGTTCTATTTCAATGTGACTCGAGTGGAATAGGTGGTCAGGTCTTGAGATTGTTTCTAATATTTTGTTTTGTGATGTGTATTTTCTGATGTAGGATGGAATTATTGTTTCTCTTTCTTTTAGGTTATGTTGGTCCATAAATGTTTTCCACTTGGTGTCTTTGTAAGCATTTCCTTCTGAACTAAAATTCATGTCAACAATCACTATTATTGGTTGGTGATTTGGAGTTGATAGGGTTTCAGATAATTTCTCGAGTAAAATATTTTCATCTTCTTCATTTCTGTTTCCAGAGTAGTTATAAATATTAAATATATTCAATAAGCATCCACCGATGTGGATGGTGCATAGTTGGAGACGTCCTGGAATAAGGATTTGATGAATAGCTTTCTTTTTGTGACGTTGATGGGTAAGGACAAAAGTTCCATCATGAGAATTATTATTGTTGAGAAAAGAATAATATCGATAGAGGTTTTGGTGAAAAGTGCGTGTGTATTGTGAGTTGTTAATGTGTGATTCTTGGATTGCCATGAAGTTAAGGTGATAGATATCCATAAGCCGTATGATTTTGTCCAATCTACTTGATTGATTGAGATCCTTTGGAAGGATTCCATTCACATTAAGGGTTGCAATAGTAAAAGTCATTCAATATCTTCATCATGCATGTCCTTTCTCTTCCCAGCTTGGACGAGTCTTTTAACGCTGTGCATTAGGTTTCCATATTCTTAGCAATATATGATATATTGCTTTCCATATTGGAGATTCTTTTTTCAAGGCTGGTAAACCTTGCTTCATAATTATTTGGAGTAGTAATAGTTGAGAAGTTAGAGCTTTCTTTCTCTGTTGATTGATTTGATTTGGAGATAGCTTTTTCTTTAAAGAACTGCGCTTTGGACTTAAAGGATTTTGTGATGATTCTGCCATGCTTGGTTTCAATAGGATGGACCACTTCTAAGATACGATCGACTTCAGTATCAGATTTAAGAGTCACTATGATGTTATAATATGATTCTTCAGGATTAAAAGGAGATGCCTTTTCATCGATTTTGATAGAGTTTGGGTGAATAGTAATTCCTGCTTTAGTGGTGATATCTTTAACGACGTTTACGATTTCATGTTTTTCAAAATCTGTAGAGAGGTTGATAAAGACTTCAAAACGGGAATCTTCAGCTAGTTGAGTATAAGTTTTGAGGCGAGACCATTCGGTGTTAGAGAGGATTTCTTGTAGTGATTGTAAATTCTTAACTGTAACAGTGGTTTTGAAGCAGCTTGAGTCTGGTGGTTTACTAATTCTCATAGCTATTAAACCTTTAGATTTCTCATGCCAATTGCATAGGCAGGAGATCATATGAAGAATATTGTTTTCATCGTTTCCAGTAAGATGTTGAGCGGTGAACTCTGTGATTTGGAGAGACATATCAGAGATAAAGTATTTAAAGTTTGTTTGACTTTTGGCGGTATTGAGGTTCTTGATGATTTCGTCCCTTGAGCTTGATGAGGACGGAACAATTTGGAGTATGAATGGTCTTTCAGAGGGGACCCATGGATCCTTCGCAAGTTTGGAGGCCTTGAGGTGATTGAGGAGAAATTGAAGTGCCTCTTTGTTTTTGTACAAGTTGGTTGCGCAGTATATTGTTAATCCTTTGTTGAAGTTGATAGATTTCTTAGTTGTTGGGCGGGTTGATTGCATTTTTGCGGTCTTTGGTGTTTTTTTTGGTTGAGGTTTTTTTACCTTTTGGGTTCGAGTTATCTTTGGAAGAGAGATATTTCTTGTTTAGGTTGATATTGGTTGTTGTTTCTTGGTTGAATCTACGGCTTTGGTATTTGCTATGGAATTTGTTTTTTTTTGTTGTGTGTAAGTGTGTGTGGTGTGTTTGTATGTGTATGTGTTTGTGTAGAAGATGGTGCTTGTATTTGTGTTTGGGGGAATATTGGAGTGGACATAACTGACTCATCATTTGGAGGGTTATCATTGATTTTAAGATTAGAAGTAGGTTCATGCAGTTGCTTTTCAATCATATCATTAATTACTTTAGTGAGATCATTCATGGTAGATTGTAGGTATTCAATATATTTTTCAAGGTGCGCAATTTTAGTGATTAACGAGGGATGATCGTCAGTCATTTTTTAAGGGCTCATCCTCCTAAAAAATGGTTTTTCATTCACTCCGATCTATCCCAGCCATCAGCAAGGCTGTAAACGCAAGAGCCACTCCAAATTATATTCTCATGAAACATCTTATGCAACAAACGTTGAATGCTCCTTTTCAAAAAGAATTTGTTTCAAAAGTATTGCGAGAACAATTGGATGCTAAAGATGGAGTTAAAACAGCTGTGTTTCATTTTCCTTTAAAAGAGACTCAAGACTTGCCTTTCCACGTAACACGTTCATCCTATGGCTCTCTTCCTGTATATTTGGATTATAAGTAAGTATATGATGATGAAATGGTTGTTGAGAACATGATGAACCAATCAATTTGAATTCAAAACTCATCAAAATTATCGTTCGGAATGATGATGAAATTCCTTTACAAATAACTCAACAACAGAAATGGAAGAACAAAAACAATAACAATTGTTCGTAAAATTAAAGGAGACGTAAACAAATTGAAAGAAGATATTTCAAGGATTACAGGAGAGGAAGTAAGATTGAGGGCTGGAGACCAACTCGAAGTGAAGGGAAACCATTCTCGAATTTTGAGATTGTACCTTCGTGCTGTTGGTTTTTAAATCATCGGCTTTAGTGTTGCTTTTTGTGCGGATATATGATAACAGTTATTTCTAATGACCAATTTGAGTCGAGTTTAATTTTAAAAAGAACTACGATGCAATCACAAAAACTAAGTTCGTAAAATTAAAGATTGATGTATTCACCACAATTCAAAGAAGGCACCTATTCCATATGCATTGTTCTTCATAAAAAATACAACCATCGAATACTATACTACTTCTCAAGAGATTTTGAATCCGATGAAATCGGGATCACCTATTTCAAAAACGATTCACCATCATCCTCAACAACAAGATGTAAAGTCAAACCGAAAGCCATGTTTATTGTTTGAGCCTAATGTGCTCTTCTTTCCAAGTAAGTTTGTGATGACAAGGAAATTGAAAGCCTAACTCTCAACACATGTCAGTGCCTAACAAATACAAAACAGTTCTTACTCTGCATGTTTTCAATAATCATCTCACAGAATTTGTTGCATTCTCAATCAAAAATCCAAACCCTCAATATTTCAAATTTTCCAAAATGTCTTGTGTGCTTTTACCTAAAACCTCAACAAGCATTGAAATCACCATCGAATGTTTCCATTCTTGGACCACTACAGTGGAGGTGGAAAGTTTCAATGTTGTAGAAATACACTACAAACAATCCGATGATCCTCAAGATTTTACTAAAAAAGGAGTATGTGTTTGAAATTGTATATTTTGAAAGGTAAATTAACAATTTGTACCCATATGGATGGAACAGTTATTATTCACAAGACAAACCCATGTCGAAAAAATTGAGTACAAAATGTCATTTCCTTCAGACAATAATTTACAAGTTCAAATTGCAAATGACACAATAACCATTACTCCCAAAATCATTCACTTTGAAGGCAACAGAGATCAGGAAGTGAAATGTATTTCCTTACTATATGGCTGTGAAGAGAATGATCCAGTAAGTAGTATACTACTGTCGACAAGAAGAACCGTTGAAATGTTTGGTGAGAACTCTTTTCAGTTACCTGTTTGGGATTTATTTATTGAGCCAACACAATTTGTTCTCATTGGTAGAGATCAATTACATGAAGAAATTCAATCCTATTATTGCCCTTCTTGTTTAATGGAAGTGTCTGGATCTGAAGCCATGTCTACGAGAATGACATGCTCCTATTGTTACGAATGCCCTCAATGCAATTCAAATTTAACAATAGCGAACTCTGAAAATAGCACATATTTTCATTGTCCATTTTGCAATTGGAATTCGCTTTCCATTGGAGTTCAAACAGAGGGAAAATATTCTCAACTATTTGATCAATTGAAAGATCATGATTCCATTCATCAAAGCAAGTTTTTAATTTTATCCAAAGTGTTTACAGAATTGTGCCATTCCAATCGCAATGACTTTAAGAACACCCATTCGATGATGGATTTAAAAAGTAAGTAGACTTTATCAGACATAAATATTAAGATACAGTGTGAACAATTTAAAGATTGTCATTGTATTGTATCCATTGATGAATACTTGAATGATGAAGAGAGAATGAATTCGGAATATTCATTCAATGAGTCTTCTCTTCTATCATTTTCCAATCGCATCACACATCCTTCCTGTAGTGAGTGTCATTTAGATCATGTTTGGCCCTTTAGAAAAACACTTTGCACTAAAAAACTCAAAAAGTATGGAGACACCATTATTGTGAAAAGATCTTCAGATTCCAATTCGCCATTTGGTCCATTTGAAATCAATCATAGTGCCATGTAAGTAATTGACAATTCTTCAATTCTCAAATTACAAATAATAATAATTTTGCAAGGTTTTATTTACCAAAAGTATCCATTGTGAATGCACCAGTGATGTTTCTTAACCATGAAAGTGATCTCTATCTCAACATTACAAATCCACATGAAAACTTTAAACTTTGTCTTTCATTCTCTCAAAATCTTGAATACTCGAAAACCAATGCAAAAGTAATTCTTTCTGAGAAACCAATCATTTTGAGAGAGCATTTTGGACTTGATCTTTATTCACATGATACCATGGTATTTATACAAGGCAATGAAGAAGAATATCGATTAAGGGCTGAAGATGACACATCTTTTGTTTTAGAACGAAGAGGAAATCAAGTCAAAGTTCGTCTGGGCATTATTCCACACCAATCAGGAAATGTTCAATTTTCACTTGGTGTGAAAATGAATGTCATCCCAAACGAAACGACACCAACGATCACTTCGTACGGTGAAGAAGCTTCAACTGTTGTTGCTCCTGACCATGTTAGTCTTCTTTCCAATGGAAAATCAACCTTTTTTTACATTTTTGTAACACTTCCTTCGAGTTCTTTAGAGAAGGTACCCATCGAAGACGAGATCGTACCTGTGGAATGTTCTCGAATGGTCTTTTATTGACCTGTTAATAACATGTACAGTTAAACTCTCAAGTTAAACTCTCACTGCTCAACAAGGATACGTTGAGTGGCAATCAAGATCGGGATTCTTTTGAGGTGTCTCTTGTCACTCGTCAAATAATAAATTTTAAAAATGTTGCAATCCAACAACAGTGGTGGCACTACTCCGTTGGGTCATCGACGAATCCACAGTGCCAGTACTTTTCAATTCTCTCGTCACTCTCCATTCAAGAATATTTTCGGACAAGAACAAAAGAAAGAATTACAATTCACAAATTTAAACAAAATCAACAAGGCATCATGTTCTGCTGAATCCAAAGTGATTAGTTGTGATGAAGATTATTTTGCTTTACCATTCGGAACTTATGGAGGTGTCATTCGTACGTGTTGTTTTTTGTCAAGTTTTTTTATATGATCAATATGATATTATGTGATGAAATGTCAATGTTCATTGGATTCCATAATGACTCAATGGATGATCTTTTCAATGATCCACTTGTACAACTACTACTAATGCGTTCTACCTTTGATGTACCTTGTCTCGATCCTCGTCAACATGGTCATTTCATCATCATCAAATCCACAAATATTCATCACCAACATCACCATCACCACCACCATCACCACATCTTCTCCAAATGAATATTTAATCTCCATGTATATACCACACCACCTATTTTCATTTCCACACATACACACAGTTCTCAGACATTCCCAAATTCCCGAAGACTCCAAATCGAGACGTGCTCATGCCAATCCTCCTCTTCTCTCCGATCACACTGGATTTGTTCATGACCATGCATTCTCTCCACTCAAAATTTCCGATGATTTTCGTCTATTTTCAACCTGTTCTGCAGATTGCACCATTAAAATTTGGAAAATTAAACAACATCCTCAACTTGCAATTCATGGCTATTGTGAAAATTCCACCACCGATACCATTACCTTAAAAGGACATGAAAAGAAAGTCAATACAGGTGATTTTCATCCAAGTGTGAATAATATCTTTGTGAGTTCAAGTACAGATAATACATTAAGAATATGGGATGTTGAAAGTCAAAAAGATTTAATTGTATTGAAAAATGATTTTGATGATTTGGTTCAATCGTGGGATTGGTCTGCCACAGCAAGTGTCTTGTACACTTCGAATCGAGATACCATTGCGAGAGTTTATGATCCAAGAACAAAATATGCCATTGTGGTAAGTACTAGATGTGTGTGTATGTGTGCGTGTGTTGTATTATACTCTTGTGTGTGGAATTGTGTGCTCTTGCTCCTGGAATTTCTGACTATACTCCTACTCCTAACTATACTCCTAACTCGTGCTGCTTCCGATAAATTCGATCAGTCAGGAAAAGCTCATGATGGTAAAAAAGGTTTTCGTGTGGTGTGTACCAATCATGATCAATTTTTCACGGTTGGCTTTAATCTCTCAGGTACTCGTGAATATGCCTTATGGGATTTGAGAAAGGGCATGAGAAAAGGTCCACTCGTTCGAGAAACCATCTCCGATCAAACTCCGACCCAACTCTTTCCCTTTTATGACTCGACTTCACATCTACTGTACTTGGCGGGAAAGGGGGATACCAAAGTGCGAATGTATGAAATTGATGCCAACTCGGAACCCTATGTTCATCCTTTAGGTGAATTTAAATTATCAAGTACCAACACTGGTATTGACATGTTACCCAAACGAGTATGTGATACCAAAGTCTTTGAAGTGGCACGATTCATGAAACTCAATGTTGAAAGTGTCGAAACCTTCACTTTCCATGTTCCTCGTAAAAAGGAACAACAAGAAGTCTTTCAAGAAGATTTATATCCTCCAGTTCCGAGTGGAAGGCCATCCTCTTTGACCTCCAAAGATTGGTTCTCTGGAAAGAGTTGTCTTGTGGATTTCACGAGTATGAGAAGTCGAATGAGTGAACAACAACAACAACTATCACTCGAAGAAGAAGGAGGAGGATCTTCCTCGAGGAGTACTACTACTAGTAGTAGAAGTGGTACGAATGGTGGTTCAGACTTGTTGTCAAAAAACGCTCGTAAAAGATCTCATGCACTCAAATCAGCACCTTCTGTGGATGTTGGATTGAATACCTATGCCAACAACAATGAACTTGGAATTCCAGTGGATGAAACTCTTCTCATCAATTCGTTTGGATTTTATTTAAATTCCTATTTGAATGTGTGGTTTCATAGAGAAATGAAATGGAAGAAACTATTTTGTGCATTGCATCGATCCAAAGTGCATCCAGAATTGAATAGTGTTCTCATCTATGGAGAGAATCCACAACAAGTGAAACTCATTCGAGATGAAATTGCTAAAAAGGATCATTTGGAGAATTTCAATCGAAATGAATTTATTTCTCTCTATTCAAAATCAAAGACAAGTGGAGTAATTTTCATGGCTCAACTGTTGTATGTACACAAAGGTAAGTGGAAGGTTGTTGTTATTGTTGTTCAGTGGTGAATGTATTCATGATGTTGATCACGATCAACAATATTCCTCTTGCCTTTTTCATTCATTCCAATACTATTTTTTTCAACCTGTATATAATTATTCATCCACACACACACTGTATTTTTATTGACATGGACCTCTTATTTTCTTCAATCTCACCACCACCACCACCACCACCACTACACCACTACTCCACCACTGATAGCTTATCAATTGGGAGATGAATACTTTTCAGATCATCAAACCATGGAAATTCTCTTCTACGATTTAATTCTCAATGAAATTGTTTCCTTCTTCTTTAGTAGTGGAAGTGTTGCAACCGCCTCCAGTACCACCAGTACCACCAGTACTACGACTACGACTTCTGCTACGACGGGTGGCATGAGTGGCGGTGGCGGGGAAACAGGCGGTAGTTCCGTTGTTGTAAATGATGAATTGATCCAAACCTGGGCAGACACTCTCAAAAAACTGTGCAAGCCTCATCGCGATGTGGTTCGAAACAGTCGAATCTTTAAAGGCTTTATTCTTCAATTGAAAGATTCATCTTCTCAGAGTGACACAACCTCACAGAGTGATCAATCCAATAGCAATGGCAATCGGAACAACAACAACAACACTTCAGAGGACATTCCAGCATATTGGGCCAAACGTTGGTGTGTGGTTACTGAGGAATTTCTCTTCCTGTATTCTCATCGTAAATCACCTCTTCCGGAATGTGCCTTCATCTTAAAAAAGATTTCTCTTCCTGGAGTAACGAACATGGAACATGCATTGCCACATTACAAAACATTACAGAGTATTTCAGATTCAATTCAGAATGAAAATAATGAATGGATCAATCTCATTGAGAACACAACAAGTGGCAGTAGTCATACTCTTCTCATGCAAACTCTGAGTGGAGATGAAAAGAATTTATGTTTCGCTTTGAACTATGAGAATGGTCATAGTGGTAAATCCAATAATTGGAGCATTTCAAAACAACAAAAACATCATCATTCACATCGTACTCCTCTCTGTTTCTTCTTGGCCAATAATGATCAACAAAAAGAATCACTCTTTGAAATGATTCAAATCAATAGTGGTCTCATCAAGATTGGATCCTCTGAAGAAGAACGTTTATTAGAAAAACTTGGATTACCCATTCATGAACATGATAATGGCAATATGGAGAGTGGTCATAGTAGTAGTCTAAGTGTAACCACTCCTTCTTCTGACTTGTCAATTTCTTCTTCTTCACGATCATCTTCTTCAAAGGATTCTTCTTCTGAAGGCATTGGTAAAATTCAAGTATGGCCCATCTCAGATTCCATCTCTCAGGAAGATTTGCAAGATTTATTTGGTGTCTTTGGTCCCATTGATCACATTGAATTATTTTCAAAAGAACATCGAGCAGTGTTGACATTTCACAAGAAGAGTTCAGCTTTGAATGCACTCGTATTGCATCATACCAATTTGGATGCCACTAAAATTAATGTACAAGCTCTTTCGGATGAACATCTCTATGAACCAGGTTATTTGAAAGTGGAAAATATTTCACCTCAATGTTCCAAACAAGACATTCGAGTGATTTTTGCTACTTTTGGAGAGATTCAGAAAATCAAATTGTGGAGGGATCCCAATTCTTTGAATCATTCCTTTTGTGGAATTATTAAATTCAAAACAGTGGAACAAGCGAAAATGGGTCTTGTATTCAATGGATCTAAATTATATTATGAGGAAATTAAGGTGACCTTATTGGAAGGTAATACTAGTAGTAGTAGTATGGGTGATACTTTTCGTAATAGTAGTGGCAGTAATTATAATTCAATCTTTGGAGAAGAAAAGTTATTCAACAATGAATATGATCCCAACGAAGTCAAAGCCAATCGACAAAAAGTTCTCATTCAAATCAAGGGTGATAAGAAGATTCGTTCACGACAAGTTGAACTCTCACCAAAAAGTATCAATTCAGGAGATGTTTTTCTATTGGATTGTGGAAGTGTGATTTATGTGTGGAATGGAAAACAAACTTCAAGATTCAAAAAAGCACGTGGTCTCGATGTTGCTACTAATTTGAAACTCAAAGAACGTGGAGGTAATGCTAAAATTATCATTATTGATGAAGGTCAAAGTGTTAATCGTGATGAACAAGAATTGGAACGACAATTTTGGAATACTCTCTTTACTGAATATGGAGATCCTTCCTTTTCAAGAGAAGAATTTTTGAAAAACATTCCAGACAAGAAGGCAGGTGGAGATGATAAAGAATTTGAAGAAAAGTTGGACAAGAATACTGTATTGTATCGAATCAATTTCACAGAACATCAATTTGATTTTTCAAATTCTAAAAACAATGATCAAGAATTACCCATTGGAAAATATCAATTGAAAATTGTTCATCGTCACTCACAACCAGCACTCTCTGATTTGAATTCTAATTTTGTCTATGTCTTGGATTGTTTGAGTGAAATTTATATTTGGGAAGGAAAGTACTCTTCGAAAGCACAACGAGTATTTGGTAGAAAATTTGCCTCTAAAATTGAACAACAAGATCATCGACCCATTTGGACTCGTGTCTGTAAAATTGTTGAACATTCTGAACCTATTCTATTTAAGGAAAAGATGAGTGACTATGCAGGTGTGTTACCCATTGCAGTTTCACAAGCTGCCATTGATGAAAAACAAGGAAAGGGTAATGTGGCACAAAGGAAGGAACAACATGTCATTGATGTGAATGCAATGATGTTCATTGGTGGTAGTGATAGTAGCAGTAGTGGTGGCAATGTTGGTAGTGGTAATAGTAGTGGTGAAAAGGATTCATTCTCCACACTCCCACGAGAACCCATGTTTCATGAAATGTCTAATCATGAACTCGTTTCCAATGCTCGAAATACTTCATCAAACTATGAAATATTTATATGGAAAGTAGAAGGATTTGAAAAAGTAGATTATGATGAAGATTATTATGGACAACTCTATAGTGGAGATTCATTTGTGATTTTATTCAAATATTACAAATCAAATAAGGCAAAACATATCATCTATTTTTGGCAAGGAAGAGATTGTTCGACCAATGAAAAGGGAGCTTCCGCACTCTTGACCATTGATGTTTCAAATATTAATTTACAAGGTGATGATGCACCACAAATTAGAATTATTCAACAAAAAGAAACTCGACACTTTTTAAGCATGTTTCATTCCTATTTAGGATTGGATGGATTGGTGATTCCTTTGGGTAAATTTGCAATCGATATGATGAATGATTCAAGTAGTAGTAGTAGTGGTAATAGTAGTCTCACAAAGAGTCATAGACTAAGATCCATTGGCAGTAGTAGTAGCACTGGAACTCCCACCAATAATTCCACAACTACTACTGGATCCTCATCTGTTGTTGAAGAATCAAAGAGAGTATTCCAACAAGCACTTTCACAATTATATATTTATGATATTCGATGTGTCAAGTCACCCATTGCAAAGAACAAGAATGAACAACAGGATCAGAATTCAGTATTGTATTGTGAAAAGACAAAGGCCATTCAAGTGGATACCAATGAATTTAAGAGTATTGAACAAATTGGTCGTCTCTTCAATTCCAATCACACACTATTAATTGTTACCAAAGATAGAAAAGAAGGATATTTGTGGAAAGGAAAATACCATCATCAAGAGAAGGAGGTGGCTCTTGCTCGTCATGTTGCAAATCATGTGTTGAAATTTCCAGATTCCAAATTAATACAAATGGATCAAAATGCAGAAAAAGATTTCTTGTGGAAATTATTTGGATTGAATGCAATGAATGCAGCACCTATTAAGAAGTTTATCAAGTCTCAACTTGATCAACAAAAGAAGAGAATTGATCCAATTTTATATCAATTCTCTGGTGCGACTGGAGTGGTCGATGTGGAAAGAGTTTACAATTATTCACAAGATGATCTTGACATATTTAGTGTATTTTTATTGGACGCACAAGAGTTGGGATGTTTCTTGTGGTTTGGCTCTCACTCATCACATAATTTACAAAAGATTGCACTCGATACTTCTCTCAGATATTGCATGACACACTATGGCAGCAGTAACAACAAAAATAATACCACCACCACTACAGGAGAGGATGTAAATTTGTATGTGACCTATACAGGTCAAGAGCCAGCCTCATTCAAAACTCATTTCCATGCATGGGGTGCATACAGAGACAAATACATTGTCAACTACTTGAATAGTAGTGCCAATAATTCCAAAGAAGTGTTAATACCTGCCAGTGACATGATGAAAGAATACGCAAGGAAGACATACTCTTACAAGACACTCCTTTCAGAACAATTACCAGCAGGAGTAAATGCCACCAAATTGGAAGAATATTTGAGTAATGAAGAATTCCAATTAGTATTCAACATGACACGAGATGAATTTAATCAACTTCCAAAATGGAAACAAGAAAGTGAAAAGAGAAAGGTATATTTGTTCTAGAAATAAATATTGTTTTTAGTCCAAATATTGTCGAAATGCACAACAAATTCCATTAATCAATCCAACATGATTCAAATAGGCTGTGTGATTCATCTTTTTGGTCATTCGGTCTACAAAAGATTGAGGTTGTATCTTTTTCTTTGAACCGTCAAAAGCACTCTCTTTCTCATCTTCACTACTATCTTCGCTACTTTCTTTTCTCCTAAAAGATACAGCCCCAAATGAGGAAACATCTTCATACATCTCTTCCATCGCACTCGTGTTGGTTTGTTGTTTTTTGTTGAACACTTGCACAGTCGAAATAAACTCCTTCTTCTCGGGAGAGCTCGAGTTCTTAAAAAGATAGGTCATATCACATTTGCATCGAATCAACTTGGTATTTGCAAAAGTGTCTGACAGATTCGAAATCATTCTTGAGAGTATACTTTTAGATGTTTTCTTTTTGGTCAGAATGAGTGGTTTGGCACTAGACTCATAATAGATCAATGCAGATTCAACAGGAACATAGGTGTCTTGTTCAGAACCAATGAGAATCACCTGTTTGAACCATGCCAAATCATTGGTCATGGACAATTGAAAGAGTAAACACTGTTCTAACTTGTGTGCATTTCCAGTGCATGCTTTTTCATCATAATCTTCCATTGCCAATTCTTGAAGACACTTTTCTCCTTTTAGAGATTTTAAAAACCATATTCCAGCCCTCACCAAACGATTCGAATATTCTGATTCTTTGCTCTTCAATTTTTTAATAGGTCCAATACCCAAATGAGGAACAGATAGACTCATGAATGTATAAAGATATGGAAAGACTGCTCTCCATTCTGAACGAAAATGATAAAACGCAGTTCTTAGAATAATTCCACCAAGTGAGTGACACACAAAACTAATCTTATGAAAAAAGAGTTCACTATCATTAATAAATGTATTCACTTCATCGGTCACAAGTTTAGCCATTGTTTTGATTGATGAATTATTATAATTATGTAACTCTTTGGAGTGTAATTTGTCTAGAGATTTGACAATGAAAAATTGATGCTTATCGTCATGAAAATGCATTGAAAGTATTGTCTTGAAGGTCACAAAATCATAGTGACTTGATTTGTATCCTGGAATGAAAACTAAATGTGCAATCAGAATGAACACTAAAAACCATCCATCCCTATTATTCCAATACTTACCAATTAAATGGTTCTTACTAAGTTGTGCTTGAATTCCATTTCTAAGAAGAGCATTATTTGGTAAATTCTCGGTACTGTCTTGAGAACGATCAACCTCTTTCTGTGGAAACAAGATTGGTTCTAATGGTTCATCACCCATAATGTCAGCTACAGAAAGTTCATGATCAGAAGGTTCTGAAACTTCTGAAATTAAACTAAATGGTGAAAATCTTGGATAAAAGAACATGGAAGTATCTATGAGATTATTGATCGAGTGGATTAGAGTTTTTGGATCTTGATCTTGTGTTGGACTTGCATCGTTGCATTCACTAATAGTTTCTGATGAGGAGGTCAAATTCTCTCCACTCCAAGCTTTTCCCATTCTTTCTAACATGAATTTTTCTAACTTGTCCAAAACAACTTTTGGTTGATCAGCAATTAATTTTTGTTGAGTTTTCCACAAATCTTCAATGGTCTCTAATAAAGGTTTAAATTCACCACTAATGACATCTGGAATAAGATCAAAATCAGTGATTGTGTTATCAATTTTTTGATTCAATGTTCTTACAAAGGAATCAACTTCTCTATTTTGTTTTTTTTCATTGATTGGATAAGGATTGGAATGTAAGGATCGAGAGGAACAAGTTTCATGTAGAGTTTCAACAGGTTTCAATTGCAGTAATTTAGAGCTTGATGAGTTGTAAAGAAATGGTTTGGATGAATGAGGCAATTTGGGTGTGAGGTTGTTGTCACTTGATCCATTCTTTGAAACATCCGAAAAGGATTTTCTTCGAAGAGAGGAAAGCAATGATGTCTTTGATCTCTTTTTTTCAAAATTCATATCATTCAAAAGATAGGAAAGTGCTTCTCTTGAACCCATTAAACAAGTGGCAATCTCTCTTGCAAACTCAATACTATGAGAAATAACACTCGATCGATTCCATGATCTGTTTCGAACAAGAACATTTGGATACAATTCTTTGAGGTAGAGAATGAGATTTTTCTCAAAAGATGACACTGAAGAGAACCATGTTTCATCTAATAGAATCTCTTCATTTCCTTCTTGATCAAGAGTAGAATCCTGTATGTGTGAGGTACAACTTGCTCCGCCACCACCACCACCACCACCACTGTTGTTATTACTGCCACTCTTCAAAAACATTGGATCATGATTCAATCTTCGTGGTGGAAGAGAATTGTAAGACACATCAAATAACACGACATGAATGGAAGATTTTAAAATGCTGTAATACCAATTTTCAAAAACAGCAGGATAGTATAAATTAAAACCTCTAATTGCTTTTCGAATGGTAATGGATCGATCAGCTACTTTAACAAAATCATTGATATCAAATTGTTTCACCTGATATTCATATTGTTTCATTCTTTCATTTTTCTTTTCTTCCTTTTGTATCCCTTCCTTATCTTTTGGTAAATGAAACAATTGAAAATCAATGTCAATTAAATTATACTTCAATAGAGTCGACATATCAGCAGAGATATCAAAAATAATAATTTCATAGAGCATCACTTCTTGCTCTCTATATCTAATATAAAATACATGAGATTGTTTCGAGTTGTTGTAAACTTTTCTAGAATCCTCCTTCAATTGTTCATTCATCATCATATCAATTCTAGTATTGTTTTGATGTGGTGTTGAGGGATGAGACATGTTCAAAATGGCGTTAGAGTCCACAAATCGAACTGAAAAATCCGATGCAGAGTTATTATGTACATGATTGGCATCGTATTTTCCTTGTCTTCCTTCAGTTGAAGAATTTAAGACAAAAGAGTTGATTTGAAACTGGTCCCGGAATTTTGACTCTTCCTTACTTCCGATTGAAGAAGACTTTTTTCTTGATGTGGTGGTGGTTGGTGTTGATGAAGAGGAAGTAGACGAAAAATTACCGCGTTGAATGCAGCATTGCTCTCGTGGGTTTACTTCAATTCTTATATAGTAATATCCTTTATGCAGCATACCCGCATTGATGAATCGTTCCAAATTCACCATCAATCTTATTTTGCCTTTGAATGTCATGGTTGGAGATTTTTTTTTTATTTTCAGTACGTCGTGAAGCGGGAGTCCAGCAGTGTCCGAAAAAGGAACGATCGAATTTGGTTGTCAGACTCTCTAAAATGGCACGAAGAGATGAAGAGTTGTTATCATCCACAAGACTCCTTCTTGAACAAATCGAACAGCATTCCTGCATGAGAGAAAATACTGCATACATTTTTTAATATTGACATTGTGTCAATTTGACTGTTCTCTAATTATCGGCCATATCATCAGTCCACAATCCACAATCAATAATCGTAACAGGTGTTACAGGCTTGTCATGACCGTGTGTCTTGACCATTTCAATCTTTCTCACAACATCCATTCCTTCCAAAACTTTTCCGAACACAACATGTCTACCATCCAACCATGGAGTAGGACCCAAAGTAATGAAGAATTGAGAGCCATTGGTATCCCTTCCAGCATTAGCCATTGAGAGACATCCAACAAAGTGGTTGATCTTAAAGTTTTCATCTTCAAATCGATCTCCGTAAATGGACTTGCCACCCATACCATTATGATGAGTGAAATCACCTCCTTGAATCACAAAGTTAGAAATGATTCTATGAATACCTGATCCCTTGTAGCCAAAACCTTTAGCGTGAGTTGCTAGTTGTTTGAAATTTTCAGCAGTCTGATGATGATTCAAAGATACAAATCAATCAAACGAGGTTCATCATTATCAATTTAAATAATAATATTTTGGTTGTTTCAAAAACATTCAACGATTTACAACGGTAAGTAAGTCAGTTCAAGGCTTCATCATCTTCTCAAACTTACCTTTGGAACAGTCTTTCCAAACAATCCAAATACAATCCGACCTGCAGGTTTATCACCGATTTGCATATCAAAATAAACTTTATCAGTAACTTGCTTCAAATCGTCATCGGCAGAGCCAGCAAGAGCAACACCAGCAAAGAACACCAACAAACACACAAGAGAAAGAAGTTTTGCCATTTTTTTAAATTAATCGAAACTGTTGTGCTGTAATTCATCACAGTCCAGAGATATCAACAACACGTGTGTTTCATTGAGCTCATGTTAAGGCTTTACTATTCCTATTGGTACAAACAATTACAATAACTTGTCATTCTCTAAATCATAGATACTATCGTCTTCCATCATAATGATGGCATGATGATCACTTGGTTGCTGTATCGTCGTTGCATGACCAGTGTAGTTGTTATTGTTGCTTGGAGGAGTCGTACTACTAGTGTGGTCAGCACCATCATTATCGTTGTGGTCAGCATTATCATTGAGAGTGGTGGTTGCTGTTGTTTGTTGTTGTTGTCCAAATTCTCTTCGTAAAGTCTCCAAATCAAATGGTAAGGTTAATTGAATTTTCAAATTAGGTCTCTTTGCATTTTCTCTTCTCAATCTCTCTAATTCTTCTTCATCAATAATCCAAATATCTTCATTATCGACATCATTTTTACCAAAACACAATAACATGGATTTGGCCATTCCCATGACCTTTCCAAGCCATGAAGAGGCAGTAAATGCTTCATTCTCTCTTTTCAGATCCATGTAGAAATTCTTCTTGGATTGTACTTGTTCAATTCTAGAACTTGATGTGGTTGTATCGAATGGAAGTGGAATCTCTTTGGTGGCTCTATAATTTTCAATATTCGCTAAATTTTCATGTTCCACTCTAAAAATATTCCAAATGAATCTCCTCAATAATTCCAAAGCAATCAATGCATACAAGAGCCATTCGAGTGTATTCTGTTCCACTGGTACAAATGCCTTAACAAATACAAATGGTAACCATACCCATCTCAGTACAATATTTGCAATCATGGCCATGTAGTAATAGATGGGTGAGAAGATTAATTTTCTACGGAGAAGTGGTAGAGATTGATCACGTTGAAGAGAGGAAGAAGAGGAGGAACGGGTGGCCAATCTCGTCGTCGATGTGCGGCGTGTGGTGGTCAGATTGGTGGTGGTACTGTTGTTGTTGTTGGTGGTGGATAATGAGGTGATCCTTTTAAAAAAAATACTAATACCATTCATATCAATTGGACTATTGAAACAACTCTCCAATAGTCCCATATCAATTTTCAAATCCCAATACAACTTCAAACAGGTAGAAAAAATATTTACAATGAGCCACAAAATTCTCAGAGCTGTCCAATACGCTTGCGAAGAAGAAGCCTCTCCTCCTCCTCCTCCTCCTTCCGAACTATGACTACTCATCATCATCAAGACCAACTTGTCTATAAATGCAATCACTACCACTAGACAACTTGATGCATATTTCAATGCATTCAAAAGATGCATTTTCTGACGAGTATCATAATACTTTCTCAAACATTGCATCAATCGACAATGATAAGGAATGTAATTGAGAATTGGAATTCCAATCGACTTGGTAGAATCACAAAATAATTTCATTACTTTTGATTGACTTGTGGCTGGATAAATACATGCAATGAATTGTAATTCAAATAAAACATCTCCTAAACTTGTTAATTGATCTGCAATGAAGAAATCACTGAATCGAACAGCAGTGAAAGGAGAAGCTAACATTCGAAGTACACATTTTAAAAACCAATATCTAAATTCAAAGTTCAATATTTTGAATGGATTGAATAAATAAACGAATAATAGAATCCATAATACAATAGGATGCCAATAAGCATACTTTCCAATATCCATAATACCATACAAATACGATACAGTATTCATCATGTACAAGAGTTGAGATAGAAATATAATATTTAACATTAAAAGAGTAATACTTAGAAAACGAAATGTTTGTAAACTCATTAATGGATTCAATCCTAAAATAAATACATAATTAATTGAATGTTTGGACCATATTCTAATATTCACAGCAATGAGAAATGCTAACATGACTGGAAATAGAATTAATCGATAGAGTGAAAAGGATTGATCATTATAATCAATCCTTTCTGCTAAATTAGGTGCAAATTCATAGGTATGGAAATAATAGAACACATTCACACCAATGAGAATGATCAAAGTACCTAATAATAGACCACTTGAGAAGACATCCTTCATGGAAGAGTTTGAAAAGAAACCACCATCACCACCACCACCTCCAACACCTCCTCCACTTGCTCCTCTTAGAATGCCATTACCTCTCATCATCTTTCCTAATGCTTCAATGGCTGCCTTTGTATCTTTTTCATAGAAATATTCAGCATAGTATTCGACTGTATCACGAATGTGATGTTCTACAATTTTAGAATGTTTAAAATATTGAGATTTGATAAATTTGGAGAGTTTAAAAGAGTCAGAATGTTGTTGATCAGGAATTACATGAGTGTTGTTAGTGTTGTCATCATTGTTAGTCGAAGTAGTAATAATATTAACATTAGTAGGAGTAGTAGTAGTAGTCATAGTACTATGAGCATTTGTATTATGATTATTAGTATTATGATTAGTATTAGTAGTAGCATCTTGTTCATTATTAGTATTAGTAGTAGCATCTTGTTCATTATTAGTATTAGTAGTAGCATCTTGTTGTTGTTGTGCAATGTTCAACACTTCATTCATTTCATTAAAACTCCATTTCACTCTTCTTTTAATAATTTCTTCTAACTTGGTACACAAGTAGATCAATGCATTGAAATTCACCAATCGATAATTCAATAATAAATTTAAATTATAATAATGTTCTTCAAGACCTTCTTTCAATTTTTGTCTTTGATTAAATGTTAAGATTTGTAATTTGTTAGGATTCATTGAAGATGATGATAGTAATGAAGATGCATATTGTCGATCATGATACATTTCATTAATCCTTTCAATTTGTTCTAACAAACGATCATGTTCAACACTCATTGAGTTTTCTTGTTGAGTATAAAAAGAATTAATCTTATTCAATTCCTTGTAGAGTAAATATTTGAAATCATTCACTAATTCTTGAAGAATTGGTGAAGAGTAGTAATAGTACTCATCAATGATCCTATTGGATGGTGATTGTTGCTGACCTACAGTGAACACTCGATACAAACTAGCTCTAATAGAGGATCTATTTTGTTGTTGTCGATTGACATTAGAATTGCTACTACTACCACTCGAACCTCCACCACGTTGAGTCCATCGAGTGGTTAGTGTGTTGTTGTTATTGTTGTTACGACTCGTTGTTGCATCTAGATGGTGGGTAATAGTAGGATCCATTGGGAGAGAATCATGATGAGAACTACTTTTCATCTTTTTTAATTGTTGTTTCAATTCCTCTTGAATGTTCTTTAATCGATCATTTAGAAATTTAAAATCGAGATATTTCAATTGCCATTCGACAACCATACTCGAGTAGAATTGTTGTTGAAGAGTGGAATCATCATAGGAAGATGCCAAGATATTCAGAGGAGATGTTCTCGAGGTGAAGTGTGTTGTTGTAGTTGTATCATCATTCTCATTACTCCCATCATCATCATCATCTTCTCGATCATGATTGACTTGTGTGGGAGAAGAATCCTCATCATCCGACAAGTTACTATTGTTGTGAGCAGAATGATGATAGAAATGAATCATTTGAAAAAACTAAAGTCTTTTAAACGGGTGTGAATGAAAGGATACGGAAAGCAAGAGAGAATGTGTGTTTTATCGTAACCGATGCTTGACCGTTTTTTTGTTCGAGTTGAACTTTGGGGAGCACAGTTGTTTAATTCCATCAGATCGGGATTGTTTCATCAATGTTTCATCTCGCTTTCAACTCAATTCATTGAATCAAAATAGTAAGAGTCAATCATGTTGAAAAGCGAACTGATGCATGATGTTCATGTTTTTCCATCATATACACAGAGTCCATTCAAGAATTGAATATTCTTTTGCAAAAAAGGAATCAAAAGACTTGACTTTGCCTTTTCCATGATTCGATCGACCCTATCTTCGAACAACAACAACTTCAACAAGAGTGATGATGATGACGAGGATGATGATCCTCTCTGGAATCTTTCAAAAAAAAAAATAATTAATACCATCATCGCCAGCTCTCTCTTTGGGTCGAATCGGAGAACGGTCATTTCATCAAGTTGTTCTTCAATATTAGACTCAAACCTTCTTATTACTCTTATTACTCTTTTCAATTCCTTCTAGAATTCAGCTCATAAAAATGGGTGTTCCATCATTCATGTCTCAACTCAATTCCATTATTAATTCTCTCTATCAACAAGAACACATTGGTCTTCGATATCAAAAAATTATTTCAAATGTGATGAATGAAAGAAAGAATAAGAATACTACTACTAGGAATACTAGTAATACTACTACCACTACTAATACTACTTCAAATAATTCTCAGCAAAACAATTCAAGTTGTAAATTTCAACCTCCATTCATTAGCAATCGTATTCATTCAAAAGTATTTGATTGTATCTATATTGATATAAATCCAATCATTCATGGAGTGGTGAGAGGAGTTCAAAATTCACTCGATGCAACTGCTGAAAAGAGTCAAACACAAGATTCAAAAAAAAAAGATTCAAAAAAAAAGAAATCCAATGACATGTCCTCCAACGCCCAATGGGATGATAAAATTGTGAGAGGTGTGATTAAAAGTCTTGAAGAGGTCATGACTAGTTTTAAGGCTAATAGTCATTGGTTTATATCTTTTGATGGAGTTGCAACAAAATCAAAAAGAATTAAACAAAGAAGTCATCGAGCGAAGGAATCTAAAAAAAGAAATGGAGAAGAGAAAAAAACGAGTGGAGATAAAAGTCATGCAAATGAGACTATGAATGATAATTCCAATACACAAGGTGAAGATGATGGTTCTTCTCTCGATCCTATAATGGATGATGAAGAAATGATTGATGATGACGATGATGATTCTATGAGTGTGACCACAAGTAGTGCTTTGGAAGATTCTTTTACAAATTCCACTACTAACTTGAACTCTCTTTCCAATACCATTTTTGAAACTCCTAAAAAGAGATCTCTCTCTGTTGAAATATCACCTGGTACTAATCTCTCTAAAAAGATTTATCAAGGAGTATTGAATTTATCTTATCACTATTCAAAGACTCACAATGTTACAGTTTATGTTTCATCATCTTCTCGATCAGGAGAAGGAGAAACTAAAATTATTGAACATTTAAGAACATACATGATGAAAAAGAATAAGAGTGGTCACACAAGAAAGAAGACAAGTCGAGAAGGAACATCTTTACCACTTGCATCTTCGGTGTTAATCATTTCACATGATTCAGATATGGTATTAATTCCATTATCTAATCCAGAATTGAATTGTTCATTCTATGTATTGGTACCAAATGGAACTCGTTGTACCTATGGAACGATGATTGATATTACTGGATTGAAATTATTATTATATCATTTATTTAAAATGAACCATTCTTCAAGTATCATTGCTCAAAATACCACTACGACCATTCATACTACAAGTAATAGCAGCAATAGTAGTGTTACACCCTCAGATACCCTCACATCTCCCACAACAACAAGTCATAACTCAACCAATGATAGTCATAGTTCAATATTGAATAACTCATCATCAACCACAAGCACCAACTCATCAACAACAACTCCATCCAACCACACACTTCCCAATAGTAATGAAATTATTCAACAATTATGTATTGATTTTGTTTGCATTTCTCTACTTGCAGGTGGATGTGATTATTTCAATCCATTTGCAAAAACATTGGAACATCGATGGAGAAGATATTTTAAATTAATTCAAACTGAAAAAACAAATTATTCAATATTTACATTGAAACATAATGAATTGACCAATGAATATATTTTAACAATCAATACAAATAATTTACTATTTGTATTTGGTAGTTATGTAAGAGATAAGAGAAATACATTGGATAAGGCTAATCCAGATCGTGCCATTCAATTCTTTAAACAATTAACTGCATGTTTACTTCAATTTAAAGGACAATTACCAATTATGGAATATTTTAGTCGTAAATTATCAATGATTGATTTATTAGCCTTAATTGAAAAAATTACAACTGCTACAACTGAAACTACTGAAAATGGTACCACTCCTGAAACTGCTACAACTGAAAATGGTACCACTCCTGAAACTACTACCTTCATGAAGGATGATTTGAACACCACGACTATTACCACCAATACCACCACCAATACCACTCCAAAGAAGAACAAAAAGAAATCTTCCAATCATCCCAATCTCGTGATTACAATATCTTTTCAAGAACTTGTAGATACCTATCATTTAACACCACTTGAAGGCCTCTTTTCAATGATTACTTCTCATAATTCACATGCACTTCCACATGACAAGTTAATTGAATTATTTTCCTTCTCTCCTAAATTATGTGATTTGTTACATATTGATTCTAAATTTAATTATGAATCGAGTGGAAATGATAATCATTGGATTGCATCGAATGAACCCTATGATTTGATTCGAAAAGGAATTATGGAATGGAAAGAGAGATATCCAACCATTACAGATGAGGATATTAATAACAAACATATTGGAACGATACAATTTACATGTCTCAGTAATGGTACGAGTGGTAGTAATGGTAGTAATGGTGGTGCAGTTTTGAAATATTCATACCATGGTCAAAATCATCGTAGTAATAATAGTATTAATAGTACGAGTGGTAGTAATGTTAGTAGTAGTAGTAGTAGTGGTAGTAGTAGTAGTGGTAGTAGTGGTAGTAGTAGTAATGTTAGTAGTAGTGGTGGTGGTAGTGCTTCTGCTGCTGTAGGTACTAAGAATGTCTCAACAACGAAGAGCTCAAAGGCTTCAAATCATGCTTCAAGTAGTAATAGTAGCAACAATAGTAGCAACAATAACAACACTACAACGGATGACTCGAATTCAGCCATTGTTGTTGAAGTGTTAGAAGAAACCATTCGACCCTATGAAGCATGTGTACCATATCCATTCGTACCTGGAATTTACACCACTTCAAGATTGAGACTTGCTGAAAAGATTAAATACCAAAGAGCAAATTCTCTCAATCAACATACTCTTGGTGAAGAATTTGATCGAATTGTATTGACAGATATTCCATCTACTAAAACAACAACGAAACAAGTCAAGATTGTTAAGAAGAAACAATTACCACCAAAGAAAAAGAAATTACAAAAACCAATTTCAACAACATCTTTGTGTCAATCTGTTCATGTGACAGAGAATGATGTGAATAGAAGTGGAATTCTTCAAGCCTTATTACAAAAATCAGATCAATTGCCAGAAGTCATTACTGTGAATATGGATACAAGTGACAATGTTTCATCTCAACCTTCAGGTACAATGGTATTACCTCAAAAAGATGACAATAAGAAGAAACGAAAATTGAATCAACTTTCCTATAGTGGTAGTGCCAACAAACAAGAAAGAAAAGCAGTCAAACGAGAGGAATCATCGATGAATAATAATTTTACTCAGGTTGCAACTAGAACCACTTCTGAAAAAAAGAAGAGAAGACATCCAAAGAAAAAGACCAACAACAATGCAGATACCAACACCTCTTCTGAAGGGGCACAATTTGATGGTGATGACATGAAACAAGAATAAATTATGTTCATCTTTCAATTCAATTTTATTCAAGAAACAGATCCACAGTTCTCATACAAGAATTATGAGAATTCAATATCCTCTCTTGTAATTAAATTTCACCTTCAACAAGTATTTGATATTCACTTGAGCAATATCATAGACAATATATTCATTGTACAAAAGAGCAGCATGACGTGGTACTTTGGAGGCAGTTGGTGTTCCAAGTGGTACTTTCACTTTTCCATCACAAATATATTTTGCCATCGAGTCATTAGGTTCAGTTTTACCATGTCCAAAACATGAATGATATCCTTTTGGTAATTTCTCAATATAATCAGCTTGTAAACGTTCATACATTTCACCAAGTGCAACATCACACAATAACAAGATACCAACATTGGCATCAGGACTTGTTCGACAATAATTGGCTGATTTGGAGGACATGTCAGCCTGTAAGTGTCAAACACAAGTCATTTTTGATTAAATTCAAGTTCAAAGTTCAAGTTCAAAATTCAAGTCAAATGTGATATCAAAATGATCAAAATTCAAGAGAAAGCCAAGTGAGAAAAGTGTTCATTGTGTCGGACACACACAAGTCATTTTTGATAAAATTCAAGAGAAAGCCAAGTGAGAAAAGTGTTCAATTGATCAAAGTGAAAGGTGAGATTCAAGTATATGTATGAACAACAACAGTTCAAGTGATCAAAATTCAAGTATATCAACAATTACTTACAAAGTAAATACCCTTACCAAACATGTATCCAGTGGCAGGTGCTTCTGGTGGTGCAATTCTTAATCCTTGTGATAAAATACCACCAAAATTACTCACTCTCGATCCATGCCATAATAATTGTCGATTATGTAAATTCTCAAAAGCTTTAAATCTTTCACTTTCACCAATACGTTCCACTTCAAATGCATCAATTAATTCCAATGAATATTCTCTATGAGTCGATGCATGAGTATTTTGTAAATATTCATTCACCATTGCAAACAAATCAGAATCCTTTTTAAGAGGTGTGAGATGAGTTGCTAATTTCTTATAATAACCATCCAATGGATCTATTGTGTTAGGATCATTGGAATCACTTTTAAGAAGAGAAGTTGCAATTTCCATTTCTTGTAATGCTTCAATCATTTTGATTTTCTCTTTCAATAAATTTTCATCATCAATAATTTCAGGATTACTTGTTGGAATGATGGTATAGAATTTGTTCGAAAGAGTGAGAAATTGTTGTTTCAATTGATCAACACATTGATGATGAATGGAATTCTTTGGAATGGTTGTATCACCACCAGCACCACTTGTACCACCACTTGTTGTTGTGTCCATCGCATCCATACTACTACTCGCAGCAGCAGCACCATCACCACTTGTCATGTCCATATTCACACCACCACCACCACCACCCTTCTCAACACCTTCCTTTTCACGAACTTGTTTCAATAAATTTTGAATTTCATTCAACACTTGATATCCTTTTGAAATGTGACTCTTTTTCAATCTTCCAAGTGGCATCTTGTCTGTATCAATTTCCATTTCTTTCAATGTTTGTTTCATTGTCTTGACATCAAAGATTAATTTGACCAATGATGCTACTTCAGGATGTAATGAACCATGATATTCTTGATCCATCTTCTTTTCAAGTGCATCCAAATCTGTTTGAGAATCATCATCACCATAATCCACATCAATTGGAAAGAATCGACCTGGTTTCTTTTCAAAACAGTGTCTCTCTTCCCAATGATTACCAGTTTTATCATAATACGTATTAGTGAATTCATTCAGAGCATTGTAAAAGGAAGTTCCATGTTCACTCAACTTGTGAGAACCAATGGATGAATTCAATCGACCCCATTTTCTAAAACAATAATATTGTTTGGAATGATCATGTTCTAATAATTGAATAATGTAATAGGAATTGATACCAGTTTGAAGATCAGTCAAATTCAAATGAACAGAATAGACATCATTGCCATTTTCATAGACATGAAGATGTTCAGAATCATCACAATCTTCATCGACGGCTGCTCTTCCCTTAATGGTCAATTTCTTCTTTTTAGGTAATTCTTGTTCATTTTCATCCTCATCACCACCGTTACTGTTTGCCTTTCTCTTCTTATCCGCAGGATTGTAGAGAATATAATCCTTATATTCAGATTCATCTAATTTCTTTTCCTTTTCAGCACTCATATGAATGAAATCTTCATCCATAATGAGAATGTTGAGTTTTTTAGCCTTCTTCACTTTGGTGGTGTCTTTTTCATATTCTTTTGAGGTACATACGAGATGTGTACATCCTGGAACTACATCATTCTTAAAGATACCACCATTCTCTTCAATAATGTCTTGTATTTCATTTTGTTTCATACTCAATTTTCCAGATAAGGCAATTTTGTAATTACCTAATGGAAGTTTTTCCTTTTCTGGATCAATTTCATCATCATTGTCTGTTTGAGAGGAAGAAGAAGAGGATCCTTCTGTTGTTGTTGTTGTTGCTGTAGTATTTGTCATGACATTCTCCAATACATAATCACACTTTTTGTGTTTGACAAATTTGAAATTAGCAAAATAGTCAATATCTTCCAAGGATTCTGGAATGATCCAATCCGTTGCTTTTTCAAAGGCTTCATCGACAGTGAGAGAATAGTCACATTTTGTCCATTCTAATTTACCATGACCTGAGTGAGAGGTATGTATTCAATATATGTTTGTATCATTGGATAATATATAATTATCAATTGGATATGGTTTTACAATAGGTAAGAGGAATGATTTTACAATGAGTGTAGTATCAAAGTTAATATGATAAGAACATCATTCTCTAGATACACTTACATTTAAATTTACCACCAGAGAATGTCATGTATCCATCTTGACATTTCTCATTTGGACATTCTGGTAAACATCCAAACATCATTCCCAATGCACATCTTTCAATCAATAAATCTTCACCACCTTTTTCTGATTGTCCATTTTCAGAAAGCATTTCACGAAGAGAAGATAATTTCAATCTTTTTAATTCATCCTTGATTTGCCAAATCTTCTTATTTTCTTCTTCAAATTCTTTCCTTTTTTGTACTTGTTCAGGAGAAGAGGATGCAGCAAGATCTTCTGGAGAGACTATATTACCACCACTTGAACCACCATTCACATTCATTAATTTTTGAACACGTTCTTGATCTTCCATACGGAGCTTGTTCAAACCCCAAACTTTTTTACATTTGGTTTGAAATTCCTTGACAAGTTTTTTATCCTCTTTCCAATCTATCCGACAGTGATAATAATAATTACAGTAATAATAATAATTGTGAGACAGGAAATAGAGTAATAATAATAATTGTGAAATAATAATGATGACATGATATCATCAGAAAAGAGATGATGATGTGAGAGAATTGTTGTACCATCCATTTTAGGTTCACGTTGCGACTCTCAGAACAATTACAACAAAACTATTACCACTTACCATCAAAGTTATACCACACTGGATAAGTTCCATCAAAGGATTGTGATTGAACAATTTTTCCAATACGAAGAGCATCTTTTGGAATGGTGTTTCCGGTGAGTTTGCACTTGGATCGATTACTCTTGGAATATTCCACCTGATAGTCTCCTGGTTGGGGTTTGTCAGACAACATTTTTTTTGAATCTGAAAAATCCAACACTTACTCGATTTTGCAATCACGTTCACCTGCATTGTTATTGATAACAAGTTTTTCAAAGGAGGTGAAGAGAGTTGTCGGAGCAGACTTTTGTTCAAACTTTCTGCTATTGTTTCTGGAGTTGCTGTAATTGCTATCCATCCGAGAAATCTTCTCCATCCTGGATATTAGCTGTGTGTTGTGTTTGGATTTGTTCCACCCTCTCTTCAAAGTATCGAATGATTATAATCATCCTAGTGGAATGTAATGAGAATGGTGATCAAGTATCCAGAGGATAAATTTACTGGAACAAATGTAGAAAAACAAGTCAATGTGCAATTACATGTTACCACAATAAACATGTCTCTAGGGGAATGTTAAAATTTACAAATCTGCACTTTGTTCAACCATGTCGGAAATAGGTAACGAATTTCGATTCCATATATTTGGAAGGTTCTTCTGAAGCCAAGGCTTTCTAAGCATTACTATATTGTGATTACGGAGAATAATTTGTTAATGCCGATTTTATTGAATGTTCTGAAAAGAACGGAAGTGTTTTGTAACGAAAACAATAAGGTTGACTGAAAGTATGGCTAAAAAATGTCAACAAATCCACAACCAAAACAGCTCTCTAAAGAGCAAACTAATACCACTACTGCATCTTCCCAACAGTCTGGCACCACAACAGCACCCTCCCCTCCCTCCCATTACGTTTAGAATTCAACAACACTTTGTGTTGTATTAACTGGCTTTTTCCTTATTTATCATTGATTTGCTCAGTGATTTTCTTTGACACTTTTGTGTCTGCGATTGGCTTTGGCCTTATCATTGATGGGTTCTCCCACGATCTTTTTTAAATTTTATCCGTCGTTGATTCGCTCAACGATGTTTCCGTCGCTTTATTGCGATGTTTTTCAAGGAACATGGTCTCTATCAATTTCTTGTTTAAAATTTTATTGAGCTAACCTTTTTTTTTATGATCACTTGCGGTGAAGTAGACATGAATATTCTTGATTTGTTTCAAAATTAACAATTTGTTTATGATTTGATTGAATAATTCTAACAAATTTATTTATATGATCTATATTCGTCCCAGAGCTATTATCCAATGCTGAAGATAAATCAATCGAAAAATCCAACTTCTTAGGTTTTAGTTGAGAATGTTGATTCTGATAAGATTCACATGACTCATTTGTTGATGATGCTACATTGGGGATGATTAATTTTGGAGGAGAATCAAAACCAAGGTTGTTGTGAATGTTTTGGCCGTTGTGTTGGTTATTGCTTGGAAATGGTGACAAGGGTTCCACGGTAGAAGCTGATGTCACTGGCGACTCATCAGAATCCACACATTCATAATTATTTTGATGATGTCTAAATTTGTTCTGAGCGAGTATGGATTTCAGCGATTGCATTTGTGAATTCGATGAATGGTGAAGATCCTCCATTGTTGTCGACAAAGAAGAAGACCCAACTGTACAACAATAAAGGTTGTTGGTTGACACTCCATCTCCAAAGAAGTGACACTTCCTGGAGAGGAGACAGCAACTAACCCATTGGTGATATTCTATTATTGTTTGAAGTTACATAACACTAACAATAAAGAGAAAATTTTTCGCGTTACTTTTCTTCCATATCAACATCCTTTAATTATTACCTACACAACTTAATATATTTTATTAACAACATAATATTATATAAATTGAATTGAAACTTATATTTCGAATTAAATACTTTCCATAACCATATCTTTGGTATGGAAAGTATTATAAATATAGTACTAATATATCAAGGTAGAATTATTATATATTACTATAATTTGGTTCATCGTGTATCTGTCTTAAAGGGAAGTGAACGTCGGTAGTTAATATTTATAATTATATAGTATTGTGATTTGACAAATTATTCTATAGTATACATATATTGGGATATGTGTTATTATTATATATGTTTATCAAAGAATTCTTGTTATATGATTAGTGTTAGAACATTTATTTTACTTGGGTCTGTGTAATATAATTCTAAAGCTTTGAGATTTCAGATGCTTAAAGATTTGGATTTTATTATGATTGTCTTTGTTTGTTAGGATTTGGTCTGAAATCATCAAGATCTATCATACCATAAAATACAACAATAACAAAGAAATTCGATGAATTATTAGCGATTTCTAATAGGTATAATTTTGAATCCCTTGTTTGCCATTAAATATTCATCAGTATTAATATCTTTCCAAATATGATTTTCTGGAAATAAAGATTTAAATCATTATTTGATATGTTGTAAGCTTACATACAAAATAGTCATCGTGAGACACACCAATCAACAATTTAAATGTGTGCTTACACTTTTTACCTGAGTACAAACTTTGCTCTTTTATCTTGTTGCTTGGTGTAATACTTGTTGCTCTGTTCCATCTAAAATAATAGTAATTAATTTTCCATTATATTTTACACCACGCTCGGCCCTAAGTTGATAGATTTTGAATGAGAATTCTTGATTGTAATGAGTGAAAAACACATCAATCACCTTTTGCAAATTTCTGTGCACAGTAGACCGATCTATTTTAATTAATAGAGTAAGAACCTTGTGACATTTTTTCTTGTTTGTTCAGGATTCCATAAAAGATACAAAGCTTGTGAAAAGAATAATCAAAGATCTTATTCAACACTATTAACATCCAAATTATGTTACAAAGAGTGTCGGCCAACTCCCTCAGTAAAAATGACAAGATAGTTCTCTTTTGGAAGGAACAGAAGTATTTTTAAAATTTTCAACCGATCCATCATTAATGAGAAGTTTTTTTTACTGTGTTTGGAACTCTCTGAGAGGCACGAAGATCAAGTCGTTCCACTTTGGAACAGCCTTAAATGAGTGTGGAATGGCCTTAACTGAGTTGCTGCAAACAGCAATCCACGTTGATTTCCTGCCAAGCTCTGTCAATCGTGCTCAAGATTCGTTATTGAAGGATTTTCAACAAATTAATTTTATTTTCTTTTTGCAAATAATTCTCTCTCGTAAATCACTTGCAACAACAAAATTTTGTTCTCTCTTTAAAATTCTCAATCTCATAATAATACTCATTCTCTCAATTCCTCTCAAATCATTGTTGATCAAACATTCATACCATAACGGATACTTTTGGAGTGGTCGTGTGTACATTCCTCTCTACAAAAGTCCTTTGAAAATATCATTTGCACCATCATCTGAAGGCAAGCTAAACATGATATTCGGATCTACTGAATACAATTTAGTGACCACATGATTGATCATTTGTCTCTTCTTTTGTTCATCATTAGCACTCTGAATATAATCAAAAACACTTGCAGTGACTTGTTTAAAATCTTCAAAGTTAGAAATCTTAATCTTTTGAGAAGGAGGTGGTTGAGGACAAGAATCAGCAACAGTCACAGCAATATTCTCTTCCTCTTCTTCCTTCTTTCTCTTTTGAGCAGGTTTCTTATTCTTTGATGGTTTTCTTGCCAATACCTTAAATGGTGCTGATTCCATAATGAGAATTGGATTATCCAAATCACTTTCAATAAAATATGAAACTCGGAATGCAAATTTACAATTTCCATGATGATAACTGCAATCCGTAAATTTGATTTTCATACTTGTCATGTTACTATTATCTGATTGTCTTGATACATTGGATTCAATCACTCCACCCAAAATAGGTTTACCATTCTTTAACACTTCAGTCTTATTGTCAGGATGTATGATTTGAATACGACAAAATAATTGTAAATCATCAGATTCTTCACCATTATTGAATACCAACTCCTTAATTTCATGTCTCATTTCATACTTGATTGAACTATACAATTCAGAGTCTACAATGGATTCCAATCGAGGTCCAGAGTCTCTTGTTTCTAAATAAATGTTCACTTGAGAATTGAGAAGAATTTGAGAATTGACAAAGGCAATACTCCAATGACGAGAGTCTTCTTCAGTTTGGTTGTTCATGTTAGCAGGAGTGTTAGTAGTGGTTGGCAATGAAGAGTCCAGGAGTGGAGTCATGGTAAGATCATGATCACCACTACCAACAATTGTTGGATTCACAACACTTGTATCCATTGAACTCATCTTATCAATTGTCTTCATTTCTGAAATGTTGTTGCTACTCAAAGTATTGTTTGTTCTCTTTTCACCACCACCACTACTACTACTACTACTACTACTTTGACTAGTAGTAGTAGTATTCATGGGTTCATTCTTTTGAATGTTACTACCACTTTCAAAAGATGGCTTCTTTTCATTGTTTGCTCGATGTGTTGCAACACTCTTCATCATTAAAGAGGATGTCAATTGTTGAGCAAGAGCCACACTATTCAACAAGGCTTGTTGTTGTTGTTGTTGCTGTTGTTGTAATAACACAGCAGCAGCTGCAGTGGTAGGATCAAAGAGTGAAGCTGTCGTAGGAGTACTAGTCGTTGGAGATGAATTCATCAAGGCAGCAGCCACTCGTTGTTGTTGTCCCAATTGAAACAATCGAATAGAAAGATAGGGATCCACTAGAGCAGCACTGGCAGCAGCTGCTCCACTTGGAAGAGTATGAAAAAGAGGTGAGACTTGTTGTTGTTGTTGAGTCAATTCATCCAACAAGAGTTGAGTGGTGGAAAGGCTATGATGAGAATGATGGGAAGGAGTGGTTGGAGTGTTGGTGGTGGTGGTGGTAGGTGTGGTGGTTGGATGATGGGAAGCAAAAAGAGAATGGAACAAGTGATTTGCAGCATTGGAACTACTTGGCAACAGGATTGATTGGGAATCATTGGTGCCATTATTGTTACTGCTTTCATGGAGCAACATGGAAGATTGATGTTCAGCATTGAGAATATTCAAGAGTTCAGGATATGAAATAGGAGCATTGTTGGAGGAGGAGTTATTGTTGGTATTGTTGTTGTTGTTGGAGGAGGAACTGGTTGGTTTCATTTTGTGTGTTCGTAAAATTCAATGATGATGATATAGAGTCAGTGTTTGGTAAGGTGGTATAAAAGTGGGAATCGGACGGAAGTGTATCGTTTTAATCAGTATGTTGATGATGATGATGATGATGAATCGTTAAAATATTTTGCAAACGTCAAAGGCTTGAAGCAAGGATGAAGCTGCGATATCGAGACGTGCACAGACGTGTGGTTTTTGCCAAAGCTCTTTTGTTTTTGCGTTAAAATGGTGCGTGAATGCACACAAAAAATCAGTGGTAAAAATTTTCGAACGTTCGTTACGGTCCGTGAAACTCACACACACTTGTAATGCCAGGAGCTTCTGAATAGAGGTTAGAAGAGACACTGTTTGATGGTGAGATTCGGAGGCTGATTGTTGGACAATCAAAATAGGAGTTGAGGGATAATGAATGAGAGAAGAGACCAATATGGGATGGAAAGTATTAGAGAGAATTGTTGTTGTGGGTGTGTTGGGTGGATTGCTATGAAATCTCGAGAGAAAGGTTTCAAAGCAAATTGTTTTTCAAATCAATTTCGTCAAGAGAGCGTGTTTTTAAGATTTCGAAAAGAGAAGTTATTTTTGGAATTTGAATCTTCATGAACGTGTGACCGCCAAAAATTTACTTGTTTACAATAGAGACTAAGCCAAAAGTTGTCCTCTTTTGACATTCTTTTTACACTCCACGAACACCAAAGGAATCAATGAGGAAAGATCGACTTGTGGTCGGTGAGAAGGGAGAATAAATGACATGAATTTGTCTCGAATAATCATTCACACTTTCATATTTAGGTTCTTGTGTTTCATAATCCCTTAAATACACAGGTGAAGAGTTTTCATCATCGTCATGATCATTCGGTTTGAATTTCTTCATGTCTCTTCTCAATCTCGAACGAGATGCAATCACAACATCCCTCCGATTCAACTTGGTGAGGAATAATCGAATATCAATGAGAGAAGACCAATGCAACCCTAGTGTTGGTTTGACTTTTTCACTGGGTGTGAGTTTAAAATAGGATCGAACACTTGAAATGTCTCCAATAGAATCGAACAATGAGTCATCATCATTAAGATGGTCACCATGACTACCACTACCACCATCACTATCATCACAGATCGAACTATTATAAAAATTACTACTACTACTACTACTACAGGTTGCACCACCACCATTATCACCACTCCTCATTGTACCTAATGATAATGTTCGATGATCATACAAATAACATTCCAATGCTTCTTCACAATTCAATGTATCATTTGGATGACTTTGATGATATTTTCTTACTAATTCATGATTCACATCATCCTCAAATATTGCTGACACTTGATTGAGAATTAAGAATATGATCTTATATTTCGTAGCAAGATATTTCATGTGTTGAATTTGAAATTGTAAGGTTTCTGATCTCTCAATGGTTGATTTTCTACTCGCATGTGAATCTCTAAATAACATTCCTATGGAATCTAAAATGACAAGTCTAATATTTTTCTTTTCAATAACATTCTCGAGAGGTGACATGTGACTCATGGACGTGATGTTTGGTTTGAGTAAATCATTGAATTCATTGGTATTGGAAATGTTACGTTGAATAATATTATTAAGGAAATAATCTTTAGAAAATTCAATAGGATTTTGAGAATGATGACGAGAATAATATTCATTCAATTGTCTAGTTTTTGCTTCAATCATTTCATTCAATCGATCCATAGGATAACTTTCAGAGTGTAAATATAATACTTTAGAATTTAAACCTCCAAATTTACGATTCAATAAACATTGTAAAGTTAAATGAAGTGCTAATTGTGTTTTTCCACTTCCAGCAACTCCACTTAATTCAATAATAAATCCACCACTTGTTGCTTTGATTGGAATGCCATAAATACCATCTCTCTTAGAAATTGATGTTTCAAATAATTCATCAAGTATTGGATCACCGAATGAGAGAAATTCATGGATTGATCTGTTGTTTTGAAGAGTTGGTAGTGTTGTCAATGATGAGTTGTGAAGAGATGGTGTTGTCAATGATTCATTTTGAGCATCATTGATAATAGTAGGAGAAGTGGTCGTATTCAAAGTAGTCGTAGTAGTAGTAGTAATATCAGAACTAGTCATAGTATTCAAAGTATTACTCATAGTATTCAAAATAGTTGAGGATGATAATTTGATAATTTCTGTCAGTTTCATAGGTGCTCTCAATAACACTTGTTGAATAATATCATGACAAATGATATCAACATGATTCATTCTAAATCCTCTATGAAGTACTTTAAATGTACTCAAATGTGAAAGTATTTCTCTTTTGAATTGATCTTTATCAGATAAACATCTCGTAAGAAATGTAAATAAAAATAATATTTTCATCGTGCGAAATACATGTGATAATTGTGATTTGGTAGGAAATGGAAAGTCATAGGTTTCATCATTTTCTATTAACTGTAATGGAGGAGGAGGATAATCACTGCTGTACAGAATATCCAAAATATTTTCAATCGATTTGTGATGAATATCTAATGAGAAACCATCTTGATATTCGTAAGAGGTATTAGTGGTATTAGAATCATTGGAAGGATGATTGTCAGAATTGTCATCATCGGATTGAGAAGTGCTTCCTGGATTATTATTCGTTGTTAACAACGATTGCATGTGATGATTCTCATCTTGCAATAATTCTTTATATAATTCATCATCAATGATGAGATCAGAATCATCGATATGATCATGATAGGTGCAACCACTACTATTATTATTTAAATTATTTTGATCGGAATCAACAACGGAACTCGTTGAAGAGAAGCAAGCAGGAGGTGCGCTTCTTAATGTCAGGATTTGGTTGTTGTTGTTACTACTAGTAGCAATAGTGGTACTGTCATTCAAATCATTGAGAGTGTGAGGTGTGATGGTTGGAGATTCTGGCACTTCATCTTGATCTTGCCAGGAATTTTGAGGTGATTCAGGTACTTGTTGAGACATTTTTTTTGTAAGAAGGAAAAGCACTTTTCCAGTGTTCCATGGAACGGAGTTTTTTCCCGCCCAATAAAACGTTTGTTCGTTACGTAAAAAATGTTCTCAAATTTCAAACCGGTTGCAACACCATCACCAGGCGTCCACCAACAGCATCATCACACCCTACAACAAGATTTATTGTTCGGAAACGGCAGCCAAAACAATGTTGTCAAGGAAGGACCACCAACCATTATGAATCAATCTTCTTCCATGCTGATGGCTTCTAATGAGCCCACAAGAGAACCACAACAACAACAACAACGAAATTACTTTCAATCATCATCATTTCAACCACATTCTGATTATTCCATGTTTCAAGAGGATGAAGAAGAATTACTATTTGATACCATCAACACTACGAATTCAAGTAATCACTCCTCCTTCCTGATGATGGGACATCCATCACAATCGGATTGGCAAACAACCTCTCAGCAACAACAAGGCTTGCTCGGACCTCGGCAGTCAAAAATGATGACACATTCATTTCCTTCTTCTTCTTCGAATACTACAGCTATGAAATTCTCCTCTAATAATAATAACAACAACAATAATAACATTCAATCATCCTCCACTCTTAAATCTCCATCTTCTCTGAATCAATCCTTTTCAAGTCAATTGAAAGAAGTGCCAACCAAATCCAATCATTCAATATTTGTTTCTTCCAAAGAACAATTACCTCAATGTATGGACTATCTCAATAACAAGCTAAATAACACAATGGCATTGTTACCATTAATGTCCTATTACAGTGATTTGAATGCAATAGGATCCTTTAAATTAGATTTCAATAATCCTGATAATGATATTTTTGTTACTAATGTCATTTATTACCTTCTAAAAGAAAGAGAAGAAGAGGCTATTACTAAGGCTACACTGCAAGACAAGATTCGAAGATTACAATGTGATCAAAATGCCATTTCTTTAAATAATAACAAATTAGAACAAAAAGCAAGTGATACCCAAAAGCTCTATGCCATGGAACAACAAAAGTATTTGAATTTACAAAAAGAAACAAGATTAAAGTTGAAAAAATTAGAATCAGCAAAGACAAGCTTAGAAACACAAAACAAAAACATTCAACAAAAATGTGATCAATATGAACACAATTTGATCAAAATGGAAAAAGAAATGGACAAATTGAAACAACAAATGACACACAAATTGAACACAATGCTCATGAATGCAGGAAATCCATCCAATAAGGTGGATGTTCTCAATCAATCCAACCATCCAGCAATATCATCTCCAGCTTTGACATTACCTCACAATAGATCTTTTAATAGTGGCATGTGGAAACATGGATTGGAAAGAAATGAAGATATTCTCTATCAGAATGTTGTTGAAGCATTTAAAGATGAAAAACAAGAAATTTTAGCTGAAAATCAACAATTGAAACGATCACTTCGACAATTGAATACTGAATTGAATCACTTGAGACAACGATACTCTTCTACTACATCATACGATGGTGATACTATCAGAGATGGTCAATTCGAATTACCTTATCATTTGGCACAAGATGAAATTGAAACAGCCATTCGAGAAAAGATTCAAGATTTGAATCATATTTTAGAAAGAGCAACAATGCCATCTCCTTCTCATCGTGAAGGAATGAGACTAATCCATCACCAACAACAACATTCAATTCTTCAAGATGATGAAATGGATGATGAATTGGATCAAGTGGATTTTGATGACAAGACAGCAGTGAAATCAGCAATTGAAACTCTTCAATCGAAATGCAATCAATACAAACAAATGATTAAGGAACAGGAAACACTCATTGATCAACTCTCAACAAGAACATCCTTATTACGATCTTCTACCACAACAGATGATGACTTGACACATTTTCCAAAAAGGAATGAACAGAGTGGCTCCACTAGTCCTAATTTAGATCTTTTAGATTCACACCACCACCACCACGAATTACTTTTACATTCATTGAATCATGAAGATGCCATCACAACCTTCCAACCCAAGTCGATCAACTTTTAATACTTATTTTTTACTAACAATTCCTTCATACTGATTATCATAATAATATATTTCAGGAGGTTGATATTCAGGAACAGGTTTTGATACCTTAATTTTGATACCCTTAAATAGATAAAATAAAAATCCAATAATGGAAACGACCACAAAGGTAAAGTATTTTCTCTTGTTGGGAGCCATGTCATGTCTCAACACGAATGAAGAGGATTCCGATGTGGTGGTGCTTGATGCCTTAATAAATCGATTGGGTGAGGAAGCAATTTGAGGAGCTAAACTGGGTGAGGAGGAAATGGAGTAGTCATTGTCGATGAGGGTCTTTGCAAAATGTATATTATATTCAATCATGGTATATTCCTCTTGAATTTGATTTATCCATCTCTGAATATTTGGATATCGATTGAAAATGGTGATGATGAGCATGGCACCATCGAGTGATCGAGATCTGAAAGCATGTGATGTTGCATGATGAGAGAACTGTACACCAGGATGATGTATGTTGTTGCTGATACTACTACTACTCATATTCTCGTCTTTCGTCATCATGTAAATGGCTGGATAATACAATGTACTCAAATATCCAAATGCAATGGCATCCAAAGTAGAAGGTGAATCTCCATAAAGGAATCGATTTGAACTTCCCAATAACATGCTCAATGAATCCAAGCATTCTAAAAATAATTTAATACTTGCATTCTGCTCCATGGATGACTTGGGAAGTAAATATTCTGTCAAGAATGATTCTTCACCATGTTGTTCATCATTAAACTTTTTTAAACTTGTTAAACTTTTCAATAGTTGAACATGACGTGATCTTTCTGACCACATGTATGCCCATCTCACTACTCTGCTCATATTATTAAAATATAAATCTCTTGTCAATGTTTGATAAAGATCATCTCGAAACCAATATGAATACAAATAAAAAGGTAAACATTTTTCATGAACAATGTTGCTATAAGCTTCAATTTCTGTTTGAATTTGTTGAAGAGTTGTAGTTGCATGTTCATTAAGAGTTAAATTTGCATCTAAATTCTCTCCTTTACTTTTCAAATAATTTAGAATTTCTTTCATTCCATAAATCACAATATGATGTTCGTTATAGTCATGTACGAGTATTGGAAAATGAATATCATTGGATGAGGTATGATTTGAATAGAGAGATGAGAGAATATGAGAAGGATGACTTATTTTCACCTGAAATTTAATATTTGAAAATACGAGATATGAGTAAATGATACTCGAATAAATATCAATATTGAGAGGATGGAGGATGGTCGAGTTGATAGAGTTGGAATGAAAGGTGTGTGGATCATGATGTTGTTGTTGTTGGACCACAATGGAAGGTTCATAGGAAACGTAGAGAGTGATGGAGTTGGAGGAGGTGCTGCTGCTGCTATCGGAAGGAGCTGTAGCGGTGTTGATGGTGTGCTGATGGTGGTGAGAAGAGGCTTGATGATAAAACATTTTTTTAGGTCTCGGACTTTTCATCTGCCTAATGACTTTTTTTTTGTTCGCAACAACAGATGTTCTTTGATATTTATATAACAGTTCATTTTAGAGTATGTCTGCCCGTCTAGCTCAGTCGGTAGAGCGCAAGACTCTTAATCTTGTGGTCGTGGGTTCGAGCCCCACGGTGGGCGAAAGAATTTTCTTTTGTTGGTTTTGTACATCGTTTTTCCTCATTTAATCCATTTTTGAAAGAATTTTTTCTTTTATTGTTCAATTAGTGTTCTTCTCGACGACAATGCTCTTGGTTTTGCGAAGACAACAATATCGACGATTATCTGAGAACAATATTCTGCAAATTTTATTTTGAATTTTTGAATTTTTAAAAAATGTCTTCACAGAACACTTTGTACGATCCTAGTGATGTGTCGGTTCTAGGCAAAAGAAAAACTGTCTCCGGAGATGATTCAAGTCTCAATGAGGAAGAAGGGTCATCATTAAACAACAACACCACCACCACCACTCCAAGTGATCCTTCTCAGAAAAAAGTCAAATCATCATCACTCTCTACCAATGATGAACAAAAGTTCGATGACACAAGAGGCGCCTCTTCAATGAATAACACCATCAATAATAATAACACCATCACCGACAACACCAACAATAACACCATCAACAATAATATCACCAACAATACCAACAAACGCACAAACTATGATGAAATTATTCCTGAAAATGAAATGTTCTACAAATACTATTATGAAATTCAAAAAATTGTTCAATCTAAAGAAGAAATGGATCAAATGATGCAATACTTTCAACAACCTCTTCCTCTTACTTTTCGTATCAACAAATCACTTCCTCTTGAATTAATTCAAAAAATTAAATCTCAATTGAGTGAATTTAAAACTCAATTAAATCATTACAAATATGATGAAGAGACTGAGAAAGTTAGATCTATGACTGATATTGAATCTAAAGGAGTTCAAATTGATATCATTCATTTGAATCACATCAATGATTTATTTTATCAACTTTGTCCAAATATATCAAAAAGAAAATTGAGAAGACAAAATAGTGCATGTGGAATGAGTGTTGTTGATGTTGGAAAGGTCAACAGCAGTGTTAATGATAATACTACTTTCAATGCTACTCCTAATTCGACTACAACTCCCAATGTTACTGCTGCTACTACTCCTACTAGAACTGACAGTGGTGCTGCTGAATATGTCAACTTGGATGAAATCAATGGTCAAGATTTGAATGACTTACAAGATGACATGATAATGACGACCACTTTAGATGAAAGTGAAGGATCAACTCTATTAACTAGTTTTAGAGATTATCTTGTCAAATTAACAACCATTGGATATATTAGTAGACAGGAATTAGTGAGTATGATACCTCCATTATGTTTTACACCAGCCATCATGACCACCACTACAACTACTACAATTCCTACAACTACTACTATTCCTACTTTGGATACTACTACTACTACTACTACTACTCAACAACAACAACTGGAATCTAAAGAGTTGATGGAAACAGAGATGGCAATGACATGGAATGATGGCTATGTGGACATGTGTTCAGCACCTGGAAGTAAATCCGCTCAAATGGTGGAATATTACTTGAATGGAAAGGATAAATTCCTAATCTGTAATGACATTGACCGTAAAAGGCTAACCACCTTATTTTCCAATTTGAATCGTGAACCTCAACAATTGACTTCGAATATTGTAGTGACTCATCACAATGCAGTCACTTTACATCAAGTATTAGCAAGTTCAACCATTCAGGGACATGCACTCTCTCATGTTCATCATGTCTTGTGTGATGCAGTCTGTTCAGGTGATGGAACACTTCGAAAATCACGTGATTTATGGGAGAGATGGAACTATGAACATGGACATGTGAATCACATGACTCAAGTATCCATTCTTGTGAGTGCCATGAATATCATTCAAACAAGTTTTAATCAAGAACAAGAAGAAAAAGCAGTACTAGTTACTACTACTACTAGTACTACTACTACTATTGAGAAGAGTTCAAATCAGTCGAGTGGTGGTGATTCAAGTCAGAGTGGTTCAATTCAGAATGATTCAATTGGTTCAATTCAGAATGATTCAATTGGTTCAATTGGTTCAATTGGTAGTGGTGATAGTGGTAGTGCCATTCTTTCAAATACATACCATGGAGAATATGAAATTGTCTATTCCACTTGTTCTTTGAATCCTATTGAAAATGAAGCTGTGGTCGCAGAAGCCATTCGAAGAACGAATCATCGATTTGAATTGGTGAATCTTGAAGAGACTTTTTCAAATTCAATTTCCTATCGCAAAGGAATGAATGATTGGAAAGTAGTGGATCGAAATGGACAAGTTGTGAATTCTTTTGAAGAATGTATATTGGAAGGAGATTTCATTCCTCGTTCTGGATCAAAATCTGATAATAGACCTAAAAAGGAAACATGTTCTAGAATTAGTGCAAGCATGTTTCCTAAAGAAGATGTCAAATCTATGAATTTACATTATACCATGAGAATTCTACCTCATTTGAATAATAGTGGTGGTTTCTATGTAGCTAAATTAAGATTGAAAAAAGAATTTCTCATGAATGATGAAGAATTTAAAACAAGAAGACAACGAAAATTCGAAAAAAAATTGGAAAAAAAGAAACATCTACAACAAAAACAAACACCTAATAAGAAGAATGTGATTTATGTGAAGGCATTGAAAGAACATGTTCAACCTTTGTTAGATTTTTATCAAATTGATTTGACAAGAATGATGAATCATTCCAACAACACAACAGATCAAGTAAGAATAGATCAAGTAAGAATAGATCAAGTAAGAATAGATCAAGTAAGAACAGATTCTGATACTCTCATTAGGAATCATTTTCTCGTTCAAACCACACCTGAAAGTAAATATGCTCAAGCCATCCTAAAGCTTTCACAAGTCAATCCTACCAATTCAGATACAATCACCAATTCAAGTACAACCACATCAGCAACCACATCAACCACAATTGCACCTCCAAAGAAATTTACATTCATGAAAAATTCATACCTTTGTGAATATTTGAGAACCAACTTCTCTCCTGAAGAATCATTGAATATGAAAATATTTCATAGTGGAATTGTTGCATTTGAAGATTCAAAAGATTCAAAAGTATTTCAAATCACTTTGGGTGGAGCATTGTCATTGATAGATTGTATGGATCCAAATTCAACACAATTGATGGAAATTACAAAAATGCAAATGAAACACTTGTTGACGGATGGAAAATTACCACTTGGTGATTCAAGATTTATTCAAAATGAAGAACTTGAAAAGAAACAATTAGAGAAATTAAAGGAAATGAAAATGGGTGGATGTGTGTTGAAATGCATGATGGTGGACTCATCAGATCACAAAAAGTATTTACTTGCTGTTGGTTTGAAATACAATGCCAATACCATTTTCAACAGAACTGAAAGAGAAGAAGCTGCCAATTTACTCATCAAATTGGATTATGATTTTTATTATTGAAAAGAGATATTGGACATTTTTATTCAATGCGAATGTCTCTGCTATACGTATAGCAGGAAGAGAGTAAAAGAATATATATTCGAAACAAACTTCTCTCCTGAAGAATCATTGAATATGAAAATTGCTGAAAATTGCTGAAAATTCTTCCTTCACAAAAGTTGAGAGCATCCAATGTCTTTTCCAAAATAAATGAAAACACCTCCTTCATTCATGGAAAGGTAAAGAGAAGAATTTCTCTCACATTACTGACACCATCTCGAATGTCTTTGAGAGTCTCTACTTGGACATGACAATCTTTTTGTTTGACAAAATGGATGAATTGTTGAGTGCTACCACCACATCCAAAGTAATAGGATTTAGCTCCAACGAGTCTATCAGAATCAACATTCGAGTTGTTTGAAATAATAATTCTCTTCTATAAATTCATTGTACTTACAATTTTCCACCTGGTTTAATTGCTGATCGAATCACTCGATATAACTTTTCATAAGAACCAACAGAATAGATCGTATCACTCATTATAATTAAATCATATTCGTGTTGAATGATGGACTGTTCACTCATGGAAACCCAATCACCTGAAAAGAATTGACATTGTGTATCATCAAGTAATAGAGGTGCACTGGGGTGAGAATGATCTGAACTTGTCAATGAACAACTCATGTTTAAGAGTAAATTTGGAATGCTCAATAATTCAATCACTTCCTTATTCTTTGTAACCACACACACACATACATGAACAACATGATTAAAGATACATTCAGTTGAACACACCCATTCACATATTCAACAATGTACATTCCATTATTATATGTATATTCAAGTGTATTATATGTATATTCAAGTGTATTATATATATATTCAAGTGTATTATATATATATTGAAATATATTCAAAAAAACATTATTCACACACACACACTTACATAATCTTGAAAGGCACACTTCTTTGCTCCTCCTTTTAATAAACAATAAATAGCAGGCAATGCATGTCCACATCCCAATTCCAATACATTTCTATTCTTCACAAATTCATGAACAAATTTTAAATTATTCATTAAATATTCAACTAAATCTTCAGAACATTCCCATAATTTAAATCCACCTTCGTATTTGTTTTTTACAATATCTGAATTTGTAGTTTGAGAGATGTGATGTTCATGTTGTAATTTTGTAGTAATATTAATATATTTCATGAGTCCACCTCTCCATTCAATTGAAAATTGTTTTAAATAATTAATTTCATCTAATTTTGGAATTTTCACAATTTCGAAAGGAGCCAAATTGGATGAAGAATCATCATGATTCGTCGACTGGTCCGAATTGGTTGAGATGGATGGATGAAATGTAATTTTCGAATGTTCTTCTGAATTCGTGATGTTTTTTTCATCATCACTCGTCATCATCACTTCGTCCTCTTCTTCTTCTTCAACAGAAAAATTGAATCGGAAAATGGCTGAATCTCCTGAAGACATTTTTTTTTTCGTTTTTTTCCTTTTGAAGCAAGACTTGCCCGCCTTTCCATCTTATCTCTCTCTTTAAAAAAAAACACTGTAGTTGATTCGCACGACCTACCAAAAGCAAGAACAAGTTGTCTCAGTCAGAATTGATTCTCCTTCAACTACTCTTGTATCCTTGTTCGAACATCATCATCATCGAACTCTCTCATGTGGGAAGTCATTAGAAACAAGTATGAGGGATATGGGGATGGAGGAATTGAGAATCCCGAAAGAAACTTTATTGCCAATAACAAACATATCGCCAAGTTCAGTTGTAAACCAAATCCAAAAGAACAAGATCCCAATAGTTGCACGCCTGCCTATGGATCTCTTCTCTATACAAAAATATGTAAATTGACAAAATCGGACAATGACATACTAGTCATTAAGAGTATGAAATCACTTCAAGAGTTGTATAAGGCTTCCTCAAAGAATATTTCTGCAAGCATTCTCTACACGGATCATCAAATCATTCCGAATTTAGTGGATTTGACAAAGAAGGAATTTTCCAAAGAGGAGGCTTTAAAAACCTTGTGTTGTGCTTTCAAATGTAAGCATGGAAGAGTTTCCATATTACCACATGTACCATCCATTCAAAATGATATTTTGAGTCATTATCAAACAGAAAACCCTCAACATGTGTATCTAACTCTTAAATTATTCAAAGGTTTAGCTTTGGAAAAAGAGGCATGTCATCAAATGACTGAGAGTGAAGATCTTCCAGGTTTGGTCATGCAGTGTTTGGATTTCTACCAAAGCAGAGACATTCATCCAAAGGCAATGAAGAATGGACTCAAGTTATTGAATCAATTGCTTCAAGTTCCAAAAACTCATGTTCTACTCGTAGTAGAAGATCGAATTTTCTATTTAATTGAAAAGATCTTTGAACATACAAATTATGACGACAAGGTGATGGTTGCCCTTATGGAACATATTTCTCTTTTGAGTCTCTACACCGATGGTTTAACAAAATGCGTTAGATTTATTCAAAATATTATGACATACCTGGAAACAAGAAATTTGTCTCTACTCTTACAGTGTATCTGTGCCTTGTCTCATATTACCATAAGTGTGGAGGCTAAATATCAAATAATGGAAGAACAAAGCCCCATCAAAAGTGAATTCATTCGAAAAGTAACCCAAATATTTGATAATTATTTAGTGACCTATGACAATCATTATATATTCATTAATAATTTGAAAGTAATTTGTAATATTGCAGAGAAGGATAGAAAGGCATTGAAAGAACTCATCTCAAAAATTGATACTCGATTACAACAATTAAATAATCCCACAGTGGTTGATGAGCTTGAACATACGAAACAAGTACTATCATGGACTCCATAACTACCTACCTCATTCTACTCTCTTTGCTTGTACATAATGTGAGGAGGAGGAGGATACATTTTCTGCTCTCTTTCTATAGAATGTACAGGAACATTAAGAAGATTAGTTTGTGTTGAATAAAACACATTAGGATCTGACTTTAATGTTACAAAGCAACGATGGTGATAGTAGTTATATTCAATGAACAACAACAACACATCACCTCTCCTATACCTCACACATGTGTGTTTCATTGACAATGATCATTGTCATTGAATCAAAATTCATGAACCATGACCATGATGTATACACACTTGTATCGACTTAGGGATGATTTCCTAAATCCTCCAATCGAAGCATGGTTGATAACTTGCCAATTTGTGATCGATGCAATTCAATCACATAGGCTCCACATACTTCCAATAAATGACTCAACTCATATCCCAATACTCGAATATATGTTCCTGTGCTACATGTACATGAAAATGATAATTGACCCTTTTCCTTGTCAATGCCAGTGCATTCCAATCGATCAATTCGAATATGACGTTTTGGAATGTGTTCTTCTTCATTGTACATACCACCATTACTATTATTAAATTCAATCATCATTGAAGAATCTTGATCATGGAATTCAATGAGGACCTGACTTGGATCATTTTGAATGGTTGAATTCTCAGTAGTGGATGGATGTTTCATTCCTATGGGATCTAAGAAGAATTGATGTTCTTCTTGAATGGACTTGATCGTTTCATGAGGGTGGTGGTGGTGGTGTTTCTGTTGTTGCTTCTGATGACCATCTTGAAACATGATTCTTTCTAATTTTTCTAATTTCTGATGTCCATATTTTGCTAATCTTTTTCCTCCCTTTTTTACTGCACTAAAGACAGGAGTATTTTGAATTAAATAATTATTTCTCTCTTTCAAATATTCTTCAATCTTTGCATTCACTTGTTCAATACTTTGACAATTCTTTTCAAAGAAATATTTATAATTGTGACAATGTTTAGCGAATTGAATTGTTTGTGCATCATAGGATGGAGTACAAGAACCACATTGAATGATAAATTCATAAACTTTGTAATTAGAATCTTGGATGTAATTTAACGCTTTGGTTCCTTGACCATTTACACCTAAAAGTAACAATCCATCTTTCAAAGGGTTGAATAAAGTCATATTTTAGATGAAATAATTGATTTTTTAATAATTCATGAAAATAGTTGAAAATGAATTTCAATAAAATTAAAAATAAATAATTCATAAACAATTTGAATCAATTAGAAAAATAAAAGAATTCAAAATCATTTAAACCATTAATAAATATAATATTAAATAAATGCATACAGAAAGGTGTGATAAACTCATTCCACTAAATGCATACACAAACCTACATGCCAACGGATCTAAACTTCCAGAATGTCCAATTCTCATTCTTTTATCCAAATTAAATTTCTTTTTAAATTCCACAATAAATGATTGTGAAGAAATTCCTCTCGGTTTATACATGGGTATCACACATGACATATTTTCATCATACAGAAACTCTCTAAATGCACTCACAGATGTGAAATATTTTGAAGAATTCAAAAGTGCACAATCTACCATAGGTGTCTTGATCCATTCAATTTCGGAATGATGAGAAGCATATTTCTGAAGAAAGGAAGAAGATTGAAAGAGAGAATGAGCATTACGAGCTGGTCCTTTGTATGTCGTGGAGGTGGTCATACTATTGGTGGTGGTGGTGGTCAGATTGGTGGTGGTGCTAGGAGTGGTAGTTGGAGGATGGGTAGTATCGGAAGAGGAGGAGGAGGAGGTCATGTGAGAATCCTGTTGTGGTGGTGGATGTGCTAAACCAGTGAATCTGATGATGGATCTTTTTGAATTACTGGATGGTTGATGTGTTCGAACAACATTCGAAAAGAAGGTATCTTGGAGAATGGTGGTTGTCTTTGGATGCAACAATTTTGAGCCCACCAATCGGAAACGCAAAATATTTTTGAATGGATTCATTTTTTTTTTAAATATTCGGTTTGAAAAAGATTTTGGACTATGAACATTTATAGGTGTTAATCCGTCATCATTGCAACCCCCATGTATCAAGTTACATTTATACGATGTAGTAGCTCAATGAGAATTTCCAAGAAGGAAAGAATGAAGATCGGAGAGAGAAAACAAAAAGGGACACTCGATTTTTGTATGTCTTGTTGTGCGGCTCCAGGTCACACAAACCAGCAAACAACAAAATCACAATAAAATATTCAAAAAAAAGCCTCGAATGATTCAGCGGTTTTTATTTGCTGTGATGAACGACAACATTTGCTTCTCGGATGAAGTGCCAGCAATAGGTTTACTCTTCCCTTGCTTGATATGATAAATACAATCAACATTACACTTATCGCAACACTTTTTACACATTTTGTATTTACATTTACCTGACACTTTCACCAGATGGCAACCAGGATTGGCACATGTTTTCTTCTGTTCAATAATCGGAGGATTCATTACTTGTGCTAATTGTGTTGGAGGAAGTGATTGTGATGGAGTGGATACATCTTGTGTTGCATTTGCTTGAGTTTGAGACTGACTGGAATTAATAACGGAATTGAGTTTTTCTGCTTGCTTGTTGAGTCGTTCCAGACTTTTCTTCTTTTGTTTGATGTGAAAAGCACAACTTGCTTCTTCACAACAGTTACTACAACAACCAATAACACATTCTTCAGAAATATGTTCTGTGGATTTACAATTAGGACATTTGCTCTTTCCTTTTAGTGTTGTAGGTTTCAACAAAATACATTTCTCAAATAATTTTTCTAATTTTTCAGTGACAGCAGCTCCTTGTGTATGAATAATATGACCATTGAACTCAAATTTTTGGAAAGAGGAATAATTGGACTTTAAAATAGTAGCTTCAAACAAGGGAACCCATTGTGAATATTGTTGATGTGTTAATAAGGCCTTTGGGATGACGCTTGGAATTAAGGGAACATCTTTCAAAAGCTTTTCAATTTGTGACTTGTGTGTGCTAGAGGTGTTTTGAAAACTCTCTCTCACAACATCACCAAGAACAGTCTTTCTAATTATTTCAAGAACTGCTTTTTCTGGTTGATGGTTGGAATTGTGTTTGGCAATACGTTTTTCCTTAGAGAAATTCTGCTCATCTTTTTCAGAGGAGAGATAATACAAGTTAACTTGCCAAATCAACTGACTTATATGAATCCAAAGTTCATGAAAGTGTAATCCAGCAATATTTTTACCCCAACGATTGACAGCAAGACAACCAAACACAAAAACTTTCACACAAAACTCTTGGTTCTCCGTTAATGTATGAGTTTTTTTCGTATATAGATATCTCACAATGTCTCTCCAGAGTAACAATATTAATTCTGCATTTTCTGGAGCTTGAATAATGAAAGGAAGAATGCATTTTTCAAAATTACAAAATGCCATTCTCCAATCACCATTCGACATTGTTCCAGACTGAGCATTATGCCTTATGTATTCATCAAAGGCTGCAAAACAATTTTCTTCTTGAAAGTTTTCTTCCTTTTTAAATAATGTGAACATACTAGTAGAAATTCCTTTTGTAACATGAAGTATTTCAGCTCCATTTTCATATTCATCCAAACCTCTATCTTGTAATGTCAAGGTAGACTCATCATTAATTAAATGTGGCAACCCTTATTGTCCACATTTAAAAGAATTCTTACTTCCTAACTTATAGAGATTCTCTAAACTCTTATTATTAGTCAATAATTTAATGCACTCACAGTAGTCACATTGATTACCTTTAAAAAAAACATCACATTTGCAGCAACGATGATCTCCTCCTACCTTATGATTCCATCTTTTTGCAGCATTGCTGTAATCTGCACTCATATATTTTGGTTTCATGGTGAACTTAATTCCGTCATACTCAAAGCTGAATTTTGCAAGCTGTATATATTGTTTTTGGAGTATTTTAGAGACAATACTAACATTCTCTTTGGTTTCTGAACACCATACATAGAGAAGGGCAAGAGATTTTGTAACAAAATCATAACCCTCACTATTGAACATTGCTTCATCCCATAGAATGTGAATAGATATTTTCACCAAGGACTTATTTAACATTGAGGTACCATCCATCCAATCTATACCTTTAATTTGAACAGCAATAGGTTTTGGATTGTTTTTGATATATCCACGCTTGCAACATTGGATGATATGTTGAATTATTACTGGAATAAGATCTCTAACTACCCCATGCACCTCAATATCCTTCCCATTCAAAGTAATGGGGACTTTGATAGGTCTTCCAATATAGACTGGTAATGGATTTTCGAATGCTTTTACCCAATCCTCATTGGAATAGAGTTTTGTCTCGTCTTCTTCTTCTTCAGTCTCCTGCCCAATACATAATGCTGATATATCTTCTTTCATTTCTTGCTCACTATAATAAGGCATGAAAATATCATTGTCCAATTTGACAATTCTACGCTGATGTATTTGAATTGGAGGTATTTCGTTTTGGAAATGGTAAAACCCTAAACGACAAATATCTTCAGGGAATTTTAAATTAATATTCAAGGCTTTGGCAATTTTGGACCACTTATTTTGGGACTCAATTTGCACAATACCACCATGGTCTTTCACTTGGTTTAACAAATTAGTAGAGTTTAGGGATGCCAATTTCTGTTGTATGTATATATATTTTAAGATGGAAGGAATATCTCTTTTGATACTTTTGGTATCAGGATGCTTTACAGATTTGAGTATTTTGTTGTAAATATCTTTCTGGATTTTGTTGAGTTCAGCATCTACATGTGTATCCATTATTTGCAATAATTCCTCTCCAAGAGCAGTTGCTGTTGCATAATTCCCTGAGTCAAACTTATTACATACAAAGTCAAGTAATGGCTGTTGTTGAAAGCATTTTCTAATTCTGGAAAATGGTGATTTAAGATGGGTATTTTTAAGTTTTTCTTGATTGCTCTGTTTTGCATTGATAATATTAATTTTTCTAAATTTTTCTTTAGATGAATTTGTACCACAAGCAATAATTGGTGCTAATTGCTGTTGTCTATTTTGTATCAAAGTTCGAGCTTTTTTAACAGCCTGTTTTGTGGCCTTTGTGATTTTAGCATTCAAAAACTTGCTTTTCTCAATCACCTTTTTAGTGGGCTTTAGTGAAGACAGTACATAATAGGTATCTTGGCTATGAGTTTTCATAATGGCATTGGCTAGTGGTATTATTTTAGCTCTTGCAACTTTTTGAAGATTTTTGCGTGCAGTAGTTTTACCACTTCCTTTCAACTGAAGTGTACTTTTAATACCATTTTCTGGAAAGTGAATTTCTACTGTTTGGTTTGGATTATCTTGAAATTGTTGAAGACTTTGTTGTAGAGGCACTGTTTGCATTGCACTATCATTAGTTTCTTTTCTCTTCTTCGAACTGGTAGTTTCGTTTATTGGCCTTCCTGTTTTCTTTGAAATCTCACTTTGGTAATGCTTTTTCAATTTCAAATACTTTATATTGCAACAATACTCATCAGCTCTAATACTGGGCTTTTGGAAATAAAGTGAAGCCACTTTAGCTCCTTCATTGTTTAACAAAAATCCTTTGGTCCACTTTTCATGTTGTGAATCACAGACACAACAAACTTTTCCTTTCAACCGTTTCCGACTTTTGGTTGATGATGATGATAGCAATTCAGGCATTTTGTTTGTTTGAAATTCTTGGATTGTTTAAAAATAATAATATTTTACTACTGAACAAAATAGCCTATTATCTTGATGAATTAAAAGAGATCCCGAGAGACCCCATGGAATCCAATACTTGAGAGCATTTACAGCATTGTGCTGTTGTTTTTAGTGTTTGAATAACCAGCCATTACCTGCCATCCATACTCAAAGTTTGTGAAATTATCAGGTAATTGAAATCAAAATCAAAAAAAATTAAAAGATTCTCTCAATAAATTCCGAATCTTTTGACATACGGGTATCGAGCAAGTTTTCAATGGTCAAAGGCGCAACTTTTTCGCTCACATGCCCGAAAGAATTTTCCCATCCTCAACAAATACAAACCCCATCATCATCATCATCATCGGTATCGACACCATGAACAAGACACCATGAACAAGACACGAAATGCGATCCTGTCTGTGAGATAAGGGTCTTGATGAGATTATTTACGCTTTCAACAACAAGTACTGTCAATCAACCTCTCAACAATCTATTCTTTATGACAGAAATAAAATCAACACTCAAGTCAACACTTCTTGTATCTCCTCCACAATTCAATCATTGACCACCACCACCACCACCACCAGCTTGTTCATATCCATCCACCATAACCTTTATCATCATCATCATGAATCAATGTTACCCTCTTGAAGAGAATGTCGTAATAATGATGGAAGACAAAAGCACAACTTGTATCTCCAACATCAACACCACCACCTTCAATACCACCACCACATTATCAACACCACCATCTCTCCAACATCATTCTACGACCCAAATGGCTTCTCCCAAGAAACCTTTCAAAGAAGAACCTCCTCTCTTGCCTTTTTCTTCTCCAAAAATCAAAAGGAGTGAAACACTTGAAAGACAAGATCTTCGTACCTCAACCCTTCTTAAACCATCATCGATGAGTGTCCTTCGAGTGCGAGTTCCATCCTCTCTCTGGGAGTGTTCTTCTTGTTGGAGAAGACAATCAAGGCCATCCACAACGAGTAGAAACACCAACAACACCAACAACAACAACAACAACCACTCTACCACTCTTCTCGAATTGAATTTCATGCGATTGATTTCTCTTGTGGGTTTAGCCTTCTCTATTGTTGCCATTCTCATTATTGCCATCATGACCATCTATACCTTTGCCATTACGAGTTTCCCTGTGGTCTATACTCTCAAACTGTATGGTCAGAGTGTCCAACAGTACAATGAAATGGTTCTATCGGAGTATTTAATGGTCTATGCGAGGGATTCCTCCATGATTCAAGTCTTTAATCACTCGAGAAGAGAATTGCAAAATACTTTGAATCAACTCTTTCGTTTAATGCCTGAATCTGCCAAGGAAGCCTTTGGTAATAATCAGAGTTCCAATGTCGACGTCGAGTCGATGAAGTTGTGGCCACTCCAAGATGTAGTTCTTTATGAAGTATTGAATGGAAATAATTCACTGAATGCAGTTCGAGCCTTTCAAAATAGCACTCATTACAACACGTTGTTAGAATTTTTAGACAATTTTAATGTTTTTATTCGAGATTTGAAGAATATTAGTACGGTACAAGAACAAGTGATTGTTTCCAATTCCACTTCCTATCTCATTGTCATTGTGGTGTGTTTGGTGATTACTTTACCCATTGTCATTGTCATCTTTGTGAGTGCCATTCGAATGGAACGTGATTCTCGAAACAAGTTATTGAAAGCAAAAACCATTCAAGTGTTAAATGTGTTGGGAGAATCGGTGGTGCAACGATCACTCTTTAGAGATTGGATTCAACAACAATCCATGAAGAATCAACTCTCAAGTCTTGTTACCTATGGTGGTGGTGAGAGTAGTGGTGGTGCGAATGGTGCGAATGGTGCGAATGGTGGTGTAAAACGATTGGATCTGAATGTGGAACAACAGCAACAACAGCAACAACCTTATGAGCAACAACAACCCTATCATCAGACATCGAGTGTGCAACACCAACAACAAGAACAACACCAACAACTGCTAGAGGATTTACATCGAATCGATTTATTAGAAGATATTCAAATATTCAAACAACCTGCCAAACAAGAATTGTCCATGATGAGAAGTTTAATTGAAGCATTGAGACAATGCAATACTAATACCAATACTACCACCACCACCACCTCAGAGGATGATTCATCCAACACCAACACTACTCCCACAACTTTATATCCGATCGAACAAGATGCACTCTCTTCTCTATCCTATCAATCCAATGATACCTTTTCTGTCCATTCCAGTGTGGTGTTGAATTCAAGTGCTAAAAATGTCATGTCTCAAGTGATATCCATCTATGAAAAGTATTTAAATCCAATGGCTGCAACACATCCTGTGAAATGTAAGGGTCATTCCAAAATTGCAAGATTTTTACAAGAAGGTCATGTCAATCAAGAAATAGATCGAACACTCTTTGATGAAATTGAACAACAAGTGGCTCAACAATTAATTCCAAGTTTTGAAATGTTTCAAAAAACAATTCCAGAAGGAAAAGATGTGGAAGAATCTTCTGAAACACTCTTTAGAAATGGTGTTTTGACTCAATTTAGAATTGATTTTAGAAATTATTTAAATGATTTTAAAAAGAATTACCAAAGATGTAAATAAAGGAGGTGATTGTCATGAACACGCTACTATTCCAGTGAATAGAAATAACAAGTGTATGTGTGTTCTGAGTGTTGATCATGATGAAACAAGTATGAATTTTTTTTGACATACAGATTCACTCACTTGATGATCTTTTTCCAACCACATCTGAAATTAATAATACAAACTAATTCTTTTATTGTCTGAGAGATTCTGAGCTCTTCATTTGTTGAGGTTTGCAGTATGAGTTTTGTGAGAGTATTATTCAATTACAACATTAATATTATTCAATTACAACATTAATATTATTCAATTTATACTTGTTGTGAAGGAGAGTCCAACACCATCATCATCTCAGAGTTGGGAATTTCTACTTTCATAAACTCATCACTACCACCAGTGGTACCACTGTTCGCATCATTCAATCCTTCTTCTTCTTGTTGTTGTTGTAACAAGTGTGGTGGTGAACATATCCTTTGAAGATAAGAGGATTTAAAATTCAAATGAGTCAATGCCAAACTATCACTCAATTCCTTTTCCAATGCATCCATTAAATGTGGAGGTAATAGATCCATCTCTTCCAAGAGGTCCTTTCGATTGTTGTATTGATCATAGAGTTTGGTCATTTCATCAATGATTCGAACAAGATTGGCTCCTAAAGAGAGTTGTTTCACATTTGTGTCTTCTCTCAATTCATCAATAATCTCAAAACAAAGTTGAGATTTGATCAATTCTTGATGAATAATTTTCTTATTGGCTTCATTTGAGATGTTGAAGAGGACCAAAGCTTTTCGATCGAATAATTGAGAGGAATTATTGAGAGGAGGTGAATTCTTTCCCAAACCACCACCTCCACCACCTCCACCACCACCACTAAAACTAGTACCAAAACTAGTACCACCAAAATTATTTCCACCACTAAAACTATTATTACTATTCTTGTATTGTTTCACATAATCATGTGTCAATTCAAATAATTTCATTTGAATGGAATGTGAAACTTTACAATGTTCCTTATAGCTCATGACTTTTTCAAGAATATTCATGGTACTCTCCAACCCTTTCTCTTTACAATACAATTTGAATGCATTTCTCAGAGTTGGATCTAATAAAGTTTCTTTCAATAAATGTTGAGAAGTATGATTCAATAATTTTTCATTCTGAGAATCTCTCTTGATAATAAACATCAAGACAAGAATCATGACAGGAATGACCACAAGAAAACAAAAACTAATCACACATATGGTGACAATATACGATGCACGTGCTGTATCTTCAATTCTTGTACAATATTGTGTTAAATTTCCAATAAAACTATTAAAAAGAGATTCATAGGAGAGAAAGAGTTGTGAATATTCAGGAGAGGCATAGGTCCTTTTAGCAATTCTATAGGCTGTATTATTTAAATAGGTAATGACTCGTGTTTGATTCGTGGTGGCATTGAAACCAAGTCTTTGATAAATGGTTGGCCCAATCAATACTTGATCCCATAATTGTACAATTGGATATTGAAATGGAATGTTAGAGTCTCGAGTGTAGTTGAGAAATTCATGTTGAAAATCAGAAGGTAAAATCTGAGTCAAATTCATCATGGATACATTCAATAAATTCTTATAATAATAATAAGAGGAATAAGTAGAAGCAGGTGAATAGATGGATGTGAAATTATTGGTGACATGAAATCGAGCAAAACCTTTCATGGCAACATATCTTGCAAGAATGGAAGCTCTTAAAGTCATGAGATTGACAAAGGGTTTAGTAGTCACATCTTGATAAGGTAAAGTAACCATCACCCATATAATAATAAGAGCTGAAATGGTCAATAGAATAGAAGTCATGGACATGCAGGGAATGAGTTGAGATTTGAAATGATGTTTGAAAAGATCAAGTCGTCGTAGTCGTTGAGAAAACGTTGTTTTTTGATCATTCAAATGAATGGTAGCAGCAGCAGCAGTGAAAGGACCACCACCATTACTACCACCATTACTACCACCATTATATTTACCTCCATCAATTCGACTCGAATTCTTCTCACCATGACCACCATCACCAACAGAAGGATGTTCAAGTTGGTATGGTGGTGATACTTCTGGACAAGTGACAGAGTCATCCTTCTTGGTGAGTGCGGATGGATGGGTGGTGATGGCGAGGACAGTTGTTGAAGGTACTTTCAGTGGTGCTTGATGATCCAACTGTTGAGATGAAATGTGATGAAATTCAAGGTCTGAGGATGAGACATAATCATCTTCAGCCAACACACTCAAATGGTCATCCAAGGTGTCATTGTCTTCATCATGATCGTCTTGACTTGAGGACGATTCAGAAGGATGATGATCATGTTGAAGACTTGAATGGGTATATGGAACGAGATTCTGTTCAAGTTGTTGTTGTTGTTGTTGATTTCGGAGAAGTAATTCTTCAGTACTTGCAATGACTTGAGTTCGAGTGGTAGTTGTTGTGATTCTGGTTCGATTAGGGTTGGTGGTGGTGGTGGTCATTGCAAGAGTGGTGGTGGTGGTGGTGGTGGTTGTAGAGGATGGTGGTGATGTTTCAGTCTTCGTTGCCATGATTTCAGAAATTCAGAAATAGGATATTAGACAGTGCACTTGTTGAACAGTTTCAAGAGGAGATTTTGAATCTTTCTCTCTCAATTATTGTAATTATTATTGTAATTGCACACAATAATAATTGTGGAGAGGTATTGTTGTTGTTTTGTTTTAATATTACGTGAAGTAAATCTTTGGATATCGAGCCCATCATGGATGGTTCTTTGCCAACATCTCTAATCTCACACCCGAAATTATTCTCTACAGTAGGACACACTTGACATTTATAGTAGTCCAGGAGAGAGACTTTTCTCAAGCGTATTCGATGGCGACATCTTGTTCTTCCAAAGGTAAATACTCCTTCAAGTGAGGTTTTTACTATGCAGGATACTATCTTCTCGTCGTTCAATTGAACGCCGATCCGATCCATCCCAACAATCCCCACTAATTAAATTACCTCAATGAGATTCTCTTTGAAATTTACTTCAGTCCTTCCCATTATCGAAAAACAATCACCATTCTCTAATGCATGCGCAACGCAGTTTTTGGGTGACGCCAAGCCAATTTCTCTGGAGAAAAGGACTTTCGCTGCTGGACTAATTCTAGTTCATTGTCCAAGCGAATCTCAGCTCCAGCGAAAAAACTCGTTGCGCACACATAAGACTACTGTGCTGAGTTTCAATTCTGCATCAGCTGCATCAAACATTTATTTGAATGCTCTCTGAATAATTTCAACCAATTTTTTTTTAAAAAAAATGTCCAACACAAACGTCGATGAGGTTGAAATTATTGAAGAGGCTGTTCTGGATTCAAAGGCTAAGCCTATGAGCAGCTCCGGAGTGGTACCAACTGAAGAAAAGAAGACTCACCATCATCATCATTCAGAAACTAATCATTATCATGGAGAACCTAATGATGATACTCTGTCGAGTACATCATCCAAAAGAAGTAGAGTTACTACTCGTACAACAACGACCAACGCTTCTCGTCGTGCAGCAAAAAAGAAGGACGTTCCAAACGTCTTGTGTTGCTTGTGTGGTGTGAGCACCCCTCCCAATCCAGCAAATATGTGTTTGAATTGTATCAAATCTCAAGTGGATATTACTGACGGTATTACCAAAAGTGAGACCATCTTCTTTTGTAGAGAATGTGAGCGTTACCTTCAACCACCAAAGTATTGGATAAAATGTGATTTGGAAAGCAAAGAGCTGTTAACTTTATGCTTGAAGCGTATTCATGGTTTAAATAGAGTGAAATTAATCGATGCCAAATTTTTATGGACTGAACCTCACAGTAAGCGTTTGAAAGTTAAAGTTACAATTCAAAAAGAAGTATTAGGTAATGGAACAGTTCTTCAACAGTCATTTGTTGTTGAGTTTATCGTTAGAAATCAACAATGTGAAGTATGTCAAAAATCCCATACTCTCTACACTTGGAATGCTGTCGTTCAAGTAAGACAAAAACTTGATCACAAGAGAACTTTCCTCTTCTTAGAACAATTGATTTTAAAACACAATGTCCATGAGAAGGCAATCAATATTAAGGAAGAAGCAGATGGTTTGGACTTTTTCTTCTCCGAAAAATCTCACGCTAAAAAGCTTGTTGACTTTTTACAAAGCGTTTCTCCAATCAAATTGAAAACTGGAGAACGTTTAGTGACTCACGATGCCAAATCCAACATATTCAACTTTAAATACTCATTTTCGTTGGAAATTGCACCAATTTGCAGAGAAGATTTGATTTGCTTGCCAAAGAGATTGAGTACATCTATGGGTGGTATTGGACCTATCGTATTGTGTACAAAGGTGAATAAGAATTTATTCTTTATTGACCCAACTACTTTACAAACAAGCGAATTAGATGGATCTTTATATTGGAGACAGCCATTCTCATCCACACTGACAAGCAGACAATTATCAGAGTTCACTGTTATTGACGTTGATTTATTGGACTATTCATATTTTGCAAAGAATAACAACAATCCAAATAATATGCCAGCTGCCAATGGAAAGTATGTCCTTTGTGTAGTTCAAATTGTGAGAAGTGATGAAATGAACATGGATCCAATATTTGTCAAGTCTCATTTAGGCAATTTGTTACATCCAGGTGATACTGTTTTGTGTTATGATTTGAGAAAGGCACAATATGATGAAGGGGTTTTATCTGAATACAAGAACTCACAAACTGAAAAACTTCCAGAAGCCATTATTGTGAAGAAGGTTTACAAGAAGAGAAGAGACAGAAATTGGGAGTTAAAGACTTTGGCCTCTGAAAAGAACTTTAACAATCCAAATGTTAAAGATGAAGGCCCGCAAGGAGATGATGTCGTCATGAAGAAGAAGTCAGCGAACAAGAAGACTGACAAATTATCAGGAAATGAAAAACTTGATCAGAAGAGAAAGGAAAAGGATGTCGAAGAATTCTATCGTGAATTGGAAGAAGATGAAGAAATGAGATCCAAGATTAATATTTTCAAATCAAAGAAGAAACAGCCAAGTACTACCACCACAGCTACCACCACTGCATCATTAAGCTCTGCTCTAAATAATGATAAGAACGTGGATAGTGAAGATGAAGAATTTGCACCAGGAATTGCTGACGAGGAACTTTTAGATGAAGATGAGTATAACAAGATGAGAGCAGCCAAGAAATTGGAAGAGGATGAGCAAGAGGATGATCAAGGTGACCAAAACAGTCCTCCTGAAACCTTGTCAGAATCTTCAAATGCCAAGCATGAAGAGGTGAAGATTGTTCAGCAATAAATGGGTGTGTTTTATTTTGAAAACGAAATTAAAAATTAGAATAATAATTATTTAAAAAAATGCGCAAATCATGGCGACTGTCGATTCCCTTTTTCTCGCCTCTCAATAATTTGTCTCATATCTTAATATCCTCTAGCAAAAAGTTTGGAAAGACATTGTCGTTCTCATCACTAGAATTTTTATTATCAACAAATCCAACATGTTTATATGGGTTCCATTCAAGAACATTAACACTCACATCGGAAATCACTAAATTCAACAAAAATTTAACTCAAAATTCTAAAAACATTATGAATGATTTTAAACAAGACAACTCTAATTCAAAACTTTTATTAACGACTTTAAAGAACAAAAACTTTTCATATTCGCTTTCAAATCGACAACGACAACCATCATTTTCTTCTCCTTCCTCCCATGAACAATCTTCAACCATACAAATGACTCGAATTCTTTCTATTGAAACTAGTTGTGATGATACAGCAGTTGCTATTTTACAACAAGATGGCTTTTCACCTCCCAAAATATTATTTGAAAAAGTTATCACTCATCATGAATTGGTTGAACATTTTGGAGGAGTTCATCCAACAGAAATGGCAAACATGCACAAACAAACTCTAAATGGAATGATAGAAAGAGCCTTGAATTTTGTAAAGTGTGAAAAAGAAATTGATGCAATTGCTGTAACGATTGGACCTGGTTTACCTCCTTGTTTATCTGTTGGAGTTGAAGCAGCAACCTTGTGGAGTCAAAAGATGAACATTCCATGTATACCCATTCATCATCTTGAAGCTCATTTACTCATGCCGTTAATGTTCTCCAATAATGATGTTCCATTTCCTTATTTAGCACTGTTGGCAAGTGGAGGCCATTGTATGATGGTTTTTAGTAAAGGAATTGGAGACTATGAAATTATTGGATCTACTGAAGATGACTCCATTGGAGAGGCTTTTGACAAAACAGCAAGACTATTAAAGGAAAGTGTGAATGGAGATTTAACAGAGTATGCTTTGAATATTTTGAAACATTCAAGGAATGAAGAACAATACACAACGTTCACTGGAAATACACACTTAAGTGGAGGAGCATTAATTGAAGCACTTGCAACGAAAGGACAAGCTGATAAATATCGTTTTGCAATCCCATTAAGGAAAGGTAAAAGACATGAAGAAATTACCTTCTCATTCAGTGGACTGAAAACTGAAGTTTTAAAAGTTGTGAGATCAGAACAAAATAATGGAGTTTCAAAAAAGGAGCTTCATCGTATGATCAGCAAGTTAAGGAATACGACATTTACAGAAAATGAATCAAACTCTTCTTCTGCCAAGATATCCATGGAAACTGCCTGTGATATTGCAGCCTCCATGCAACAAGCTGCATTCACCCATTTAATGGAAAAATTACAATTAGCAATATTTAGATATAGATCCTACACAAACGAGTATTCTAATACCCTAATTGTGAGTGGCGGTGTTTCAGCCAATGAGTATTTCAGAAAACAATTGATAGAGATGGCAGAAAAGAATGAATACTCGCTAAAGATTGCTCCTCTCAAATATTGCACAGATAATGCAGTAATGATTGGATATGCTGCTTTGAAACGATTGGCCAACAAGTGTCACGAAACGACGGACAAGTTCGATAAAGAAAGGTATTTACCAAGGTGGCCAATCACCTCACTAGAAGATTTTTATAAAAGGTATTAAGTTGGATATTTATATTAAGATGTTGAATCTATTTGGACATTACAATTTGTGGCTCTCTTCAAATGCATCATCAATCCTTAGATTTTTTGAGCCATCTGATCATTGCAAATGTGAGTAAACCAAAGCCAGATACCACACCAACGACTTTCAGAGTTCTCTTAAGTAGTGATTCCTTCCTGTAAATATCATTGGATTCATCATCATCATCTTGATTATCGTTCATCTCATCAATGTCACACATGGACCATTTTGGAAGGCATCCAGAATCCTCAGGATTCAAAGCGACCTCCAATAAATCAGAAAAAAGAGTCTTGATATTGTTGAGCCCTTGAGCAGAGACTAACGAGCACAAATAGGGAGGCCAGATCAAAGAGAGAGCTTCACAAAATTGTTTTGGAGTAACATCTCCCATATTTTCCTGCTCGACAATTTCAAGATCATGTTTTGTAAGCATGTAAACACATGGAATGCTTGGATCCAGCCCTCTTTGGATATGTTCTAGAAAACTGAATGAGTATCTATCATTTCCATCAAATAGCAATAGAGCAACATCACATTTTCCCATAATTTCTTCCGATTTCAATACAACTGGTATTTCCTTATCTTCAAATTCTGTAATGATGAGATGGTAATCCTTATTTTGCAGGTTAATACGATCAACTACAGAGTATTGGACTGATTTGATGTGAATATCTCCATTGAGAGGTTTCTTTCCAATGAAATGTCTCAATATTGAAGTCTTTCCACAATTTGAAGCACCAAAGACATAACAGTGAAGAACGCTTGGGTAGTCTGAAGAATTTTTTCTAAATAATCTCTTTCTACAATTTCACAATATTATTTGTGAGATTCAACAGTGGTACTACTGTTACTACTTATTCGAACACTTACTTTTTGATTTCAATCAATTTGTCAATTTCAGAGTATCCCCATTCAAATAGACAATGAATGTATCTATAGCAATTTGTATTAGCAATCAATTGCCATAGGGAAATCCACGCATGAATGTCAATTTGTTTTTCTCCAACGGTTCTACATGAATCAAAATAATTTGTAGACATTTCATGAAAAGGACACACAGAAGTTAAACTGAATGCTTCATCAATATCTTCTTCATTCAATAGTCCATCATTATCTTTATCAAATCTATGGAAAATATGAGAAAGGACTTGTTTTCCTTCTTCACTAAGTGTAATGACATCTTCATGTGAAATGTCAGGAGAGGCCTCAGAGCTATCAAGAAAAATATACCAAAAGAAATTAAAAACCACATGATTCAATTTCTTTTAAAACTACAATTACTTGAATACTTACATAAAATCGTCAATATCGAGATCCAATCGCTCGTTGTAATTAAATTTCTGGACTAAATTCCAAACCAAGTGTTCGTGTCTGGTCAGAATTAAGGTTACCATAAACCCTAGAAATGATTCTAAATCTATAGTATTTTCGTCAAAGGACACTTGGTCTTCTTCAGTAACTCCCAACAGCGATTTTAGATTCTCAACTTGAATCTTTCCACAGTTATTTTCATCAATTAGCCAGAATATTCTTCTCAATGCCTTGTGACATTGGCTTGTTAGTCTCTCCTCAGAAAAGTTGAATAAATAGTCCGCAGAGAAGAAAAATAATTTCGATAAATTAAAAAGCAAAACTTCAATATTTTCTCTCGTCTTGGAGCTATATTCAAACACGCCTTGAAATCTGACATATTTTTCCACCTCTGAACAATCAAATGGCTCAACCGTGTCAACAGTGTCCACTTTTGATTGAATAATGTAGAGCATCTTTTTACTTCTCACAATATAAGGAAGCCATTCTTCATGAAATCGTTTAACAGCCTGTGCGTTGTTTGTTTCAATCACAAAAATTATCAATTCTGAGCTAAGAAGAGGAACTGTGGAAAATATTGTTTCAATACTTTTTGAGGAATCGGTATCAATAAAGTTGAAAGTAATTTCTTGGTTTTTTAAAGGAAATGAGAATTCTTGATGAGGAAGAACGCTCGGAAGCTATTACATATATACCATTTAACGTGTATTCAATTCAGTTCATTATTATTTAAAGAAGTGATATGTCGGAAGCAATTCAATCAAAATTAGAAATTTCCCAATCATGAATTGTCCATAATGTTTTGAACTTATGTGCTCAAAACATACCTCTCCTGAGTCTCCTCTATTAGGATCAAAAACAATAGAGTCAATGAGTCGAGTCTTTCCGCTACTCTTGTCTCCGATAACAATCAGGTTGTGGTAATTGTTCATTTTATTTTTTATGAAGAGAGCAAAGGCGCCAACCAACCCACACTCCTATTGTAATTAACAAAAACCAAGTTGACCAAATTTCTCAAAAAATTCTTGTTGAAAAAAAATACGTCAAAATCGCACATTGTAAGTGTTACTCTCGTTCTGCTGCGAATTTTTCTAAAAATGATTTTGTTTGAACATATGCCTCTTTCATGAATTGTGGTATTATTATTGACAATAGAAACAATGACCGGCGGACCAACATTTAGATTGCAAAAGAGACTTGCTGCTGATATTTTGAACTGCGGCAAGGGAAGAGTGTGGGTTGATCCAAACGAATTGTCAGAGGTCTCCCAAGCAACTTCCAGAAACACCATCAGAAAGTTGGTCAAGGATGGTATCATCATTAGAAAGCCAGTCGAAGTTAGATCCAGATATAGATGGAGAAAGAGAAGAGCAGCCAAACTCGAAGGTAGACACATGGGTATTGGTAAGAGATTCGGTACAAAGGATGCTCGTAACCCATCTAAACTCCAATGGTTGAAGAGAATGAGAGTCGAAAGAAAGTTGTTGAAGAAGTACAGAGAAAATGGAAAGATTGACAAGACCTTGTATCGTGAATTGTACCTCAAGGTCAAGGGTAACGTCTTTAAGAGCAAGAGAATTTTGATGGAACACATTTTCAAGGCTAAGGCCGAAATTGACCGTGAGCAAAGAATCAAGGAACAACTCAAGGTCAAGAAGGAAAAGCAAGAAAAGATCAAGACCAAGAGAGCTGAGAAGACTGAGTCCAAGAAGAAGAAGCAACTTGAACAAGCCGAACAAGCTGCTCAACAGGCTCAACAAAAGTAAATTACTATCCTTACCCACCTAATAAAACCCAAAATTATTCAACACTTTCTCCAATTATTTGCAATTAGTGACTCGTTCCGACAATCAGTTTAAAACACAAAACCAGAGCAAGTTTTATTGTTCTGTACTCCGTCGCTAGATGTATGATACACGTTGATAGTATTGATGGTGTTTATGTAATGCGTCAAAAGTCGAAGCAAAAACGAATGCGCACTAGTATCATCATAATAAATTATATAATTATTCAATGTAACCGGATCGAGCATTGTTGAAGATTTGAACAAGAGCAGATCCAACGACCACAAACAAAAGGAAAGCCAACACTAGTGGGCCCACTTGCGAAGACTCCTTGTTTTCAAGCTCCTTTCTTCTTTCCTTCTCTTCCGCAGTGAGCTTTCCTTTCTTCTCCCATTCCTTGCTCTTGATCTTGGCGATAGCTGGATTCACTCTTCCTGGCATTTTATTGTTGTTGATTTTTGTTTTTTAGAGACCGAGCCATCCATCACCAAACTCTGCATGACGTCAACAGGATTTCGAGAGAAGACCACAAGGTGGCTAGAGAACTGATGAGAATAACCAGTCAGTCGCGTACCCTCATTTGTACACAAATCGGAATGTATTGTTACCAATGTTTGTTGTTGTCTTCGGTTTGTGTCCCAACCAAATATTGTTGCTTTTCTCCTTCGATCTAGAAAACGCTGGAAGCTAAACTCAAAAAATTGCATGCTGCTATCAGTTGCCAGTAAAACTTTTCGACAATCGGAACAGAGTAAAAGAAATTTATAACAACAATTACTCAGTTAAAATTAATATGATTTCAAGTCATTCAAATGAATGTATTTGTCTCTCAAGTGATGATGATGAGGATGAAATCATAGAGAATTCACCCCAAGTAGTTTTTATAAAATCATCCTCTCGAGTTATTATAGCTTCATCACCAACAACAACGAATGGTGATAATAACAACAAATTTTCATCTTCTTCCGATCGGAACATTGCACTACCAAAGCCCGTCAACCGTGATTACCCTTCTCAAGAGGATGATGTTTGTATGATATTGAGCGACGATGATGAAGGAACAATAATGTACACATCTCCTCCGAAAAGAAATGAAACCAATGGTACTACCAACACTATCAATCACTCTAACGATCCGACGAACAAAACTTCTGGCTTTTCTACTTTGCTATCATCACCAGTTTTGTTCACAAAATCATCATCTAACAGCTCCACAATTCCTTTCGCTGAGATGGGCAATAATCTATTAAGCGATGAAGAAGAAGAAGATCAATACAAACTTCCTTCCCCTCCAATTTCCATTCACTCTGAAAAACGATCTTTCAAAGAAAACGAACTTTCTCAACCTGAATGCTCACAAACATTTTCAAATCATCAAACTATTTTTCCATCTCAATCAATGGAATACAGTGATTCTCAAAGTAGCTCACAATATTATGAAAGCCAATCACAGACATTTGGATCTTGTTCTCAAATAAGTTTTTCCCCCAGCAGAAAACAAGTGTTTAAGAAAATTGCAATAGGAAAATTTGCTTCAACAGAAATTGTGACCACATTTGATGAAAATTTGAAATCTAGCGTTGGGGGAGATGACATAATTTCTGATTTTACTCAAAACATTGCTTCTACAGATGCAAGCTTGGTCAATATCACAAAGTTACCAATTGCTCACTCCATTCAATGGAAACGAAGACTTGCGTTGGATTATGTGTTATTTGTTTTTCAAAAACAGAAAAGAGATCCAAGTCATTCTATTCGATATGACCCTTCTAACATGGAGAGTCAAACTGTAGAATTTTATATTCCATCAGTGGCTATCAGAATGACTGGAGCATCGTTTCTCAAAATTTATTCTGCCTCCAAAGACAGTGATACAAATATACTACACAAATACTTGAATGACGTCATTCAGAGGTTAGATAGAGAGGGGAACAACATACTTATGCAGGAACATGTTTATCCTCATTTAAAAGGAGATAAATTCAATATTATTCTCATCATTGAAGGTCTCAATGAATGCATTAAGAAGTATGAAAACGAACAATATCAACACTCATTACAGTCTTCCAAGAAAAAAAAGAAACCAAACAACCCTCCATCAGAGCAGCCTAAAAGGAAGCTGTTTCAAAAAGATGATATCGAGAAATTTAAATTGAAAACATTATTTACATTAGAGAGAGTTCAATTTGTGGAAACAAAAAACGTTACTCACACGTTATCTATTTTGAAAGGAATTACAACTCGATTTCAAATAGCTCCTTATAAGAAAATCACTTCTGCTGTGGATTTTATTCAAAAGCCATCGGCAGGAGTAAATTCGGTTGACTCTTGGACAATGCAACTGATTCAAATTCCAAAGATATCTGAAAAATCAGCCAAACTAATTGCCCACCAGTATCCATATTATGCAAGTTTGATGAAGGCTTACCAGAGATGTAAAAGTGAAACAGAAAAGAGACTTCTTATATCTAGCATCAAGAATGGAGACAAGAGATTGGGAGACGCAGTGTCTCGGGCGCTCTATAACTTTTATTGTGTTGACAATGAAAGTGTAGAAATTATGGAAGAGAATAGCAATGTTTCAGGACTCTCTGAAGAAGAAAGCAACTCTCAACGTTGTGAAACCATTGTTCACTCACAACAAGCACCTCCTAAAAAGAAGACTCAACAATCTAGAAAAAAGAAAAAAACAGCCTCAACAACATCATTTAATGTTGAACATTCTCACAAGTCTTCATCTCGACCCAGTGATGAGAGCGAGAATATTCTTTTTGAGAATTTACTCTAGTGCTGCATTGTTATTCCTCCCTTAAAGGGAATACTGTATTTGAGTCAATTCAACATATATGTTTGGACTATTACTTTCAAATAATTATTTTAAAAATAATGAAAGCAAGACCATCGTTGTGGGCGTCTTCAACAGGATATTTGTTTAAACAAAACACGAATCTCATCACCAACCCACATCTAAACAACCAATCAACGGCAAAGACTCAATCATTAACCATTCATTCTTCCTTCTCATTTCACACTCATTCTACTTTGTTTACTTTGAAGGCAATCCATCCAAAAGCAACTTCCAATGATCAAAACGAGATAAATCAATTAGATTCACATCAGAGACGGCAGATTCAACATATAATAACAGAGCATTACAATGCTCACACTCCTTTGTTTGTCTCAACAAGTAGAAATATCGATCATGGACCATATTTGGATACTAAACAACTAGAATCAAGTTATATTACGGAAAGAAAACCACTTAAAGGGGTTTCCGAGTATTTAGCCTATTCCATGGTCAGATGTATTAAGGGATTAATTCACACATTTTTTGGAAAGAGTATGTAATGGATATATGCTCACTTGAAACTAACCATTGTTGATTGTCAGAATATATTCATCATGCTTTGTGTTTGGAGGCTATTGCAAGCGTACCAGGTGTGTTATTCTCTTTTCTGGGTTGGTTGATAAATTCACATTCTTTTGCAGGTATTGTAATGGGAACCATCAAACATTATGCCTTCATTATTGGATTGAAGAGAAAAATTTCTGTAGATTCTAGCATCATGTTTGATGAAGCAGAAAACGAACGTATGTACATGCATATTGCTTCATTTGATTCTCATGGTTTCAAAATTGTCAAAATCTTACTGAAGGTACACATTTAATGATTTGGACACAAATTACATCTCCCACATTAGTGGAACGTATTTTAGTGATCAGCTCTCAAATTAGTTTTACAGTATTTATTATCAGCAGCTTTCTCATTTCGAGACGGTTTGTACACAAGTTTTTGTCATTCCTGGAAGAGGAAGCCATTCAGTCCTACACTCAATTATTAGAGGATATTGATACAGGAAATTCGCGTTATATTGGTATTCGCATTCCTGAAGTAGGCAAGTAGGATAGTACTCATACTTGACATTACATTCTATAATTATTGAAATACTGAATTATTATATATTATGTATAATATAATAATATATATATATATTTATATTATTATTATAATAGCTCTTAAATACTACAAATTAGATCCATCTAAATCTGAATTGAGAGATTTGGTTTTGGCGATTAGAGCCGACGAATGTCATCATCGAGACTTTCACCGATTGAAGTCTTATCTGAAGGAAGACTTGCAGCAATTTTCTGTCACAGAAGGCAGTTCATGAACTGTTGTTTATTTCAAATTTTTATTGGTGATGAGAATGGATTAATTGGGATACAGAAGACAAGTCTTTTGACAACAACAACAATTAAAAAAATTGGACCAATATTGATTTACTTCAGGAAGACGTCATTATTCGCCTTGTTTTAATTCATTGATCATGCTCGTTGTCGCCCAGTTTTGATGGCTAAGGAATTATATCTTGGATAAACACCCACATTAATTTATTATTTCCATCATCATCAATAGCATGTATTACAGCAACAATAATCTTCTACGTGAACCTACTGTTACCATGAACAACAATAACAACCCTGTAATATCGCCCACTTCATCCGAACCATCTCTTTCCGAAGATGTTTCCCCTCCAATCAAAAATATTGTCATCAAATCATCTCCACAAAACAATTTGATACAGAATATCGCTTCGCATGTCATTCAAGAGGATTTGGAACTCTTTGATGGAACAAAAAGTAGATCCATTTCGAACGCTTCTTCCGTTGCATCAACAACCCGATTAATTGAAATGCACGAGAAGAATGCAATATCATCAACAAAATACATTGATTTTGCTACAGCGTTCGATTATTTTGTAAATCAGAAAAAGAATGAATTGGATTTGAGTGCTGTAAAATTTACAATGAAGGAGGGAGAATGGACCAACGTTTCAGAAAATTGTTGTTTTTGCATGACACGAAGAAGGAGAGTTCTTTACGAGTCGTTAAATAGCGATTTACTGGAGGAGCTGAGAACTTATTTATCATTAATGACTGTTCCATTCAGTAATTTAAATTCAATTCACACAGATATGTGTCTAGAAGTTTTTTATTCAATGATGGGAAGGGAAATTGGTGACAATACAACTTCAAAGACAATTGCTACTAATGACACTGAGGCCAAACTCTCACATCCTAACGCTGCCGCTCATTCAATCATTACCAAAGAATGGGAACTGATTGGATTTTTAGGGCCTAATCTTGAGGAAGAATTTAGAGGTTTTGGAGTATTGGGTGCTTTAATGTTATTATATTTCTGTACACATCACAAAGAACTAGCTCAAAAGATTTATGCTCTTTCTCTTCACGAAAAGAAGCATTTCCCTTTTGCTATTTCAGTATTGCATTTGCTTAAGATTGGTAAGTGATATATTTCTTTCAAATATTAATGTAACACTGAAATGCAGCAATTGACTTAATTAAGGGACGGAGGTTTAACAAGTATATTAACGAAAATCACAGCGTCATGAGTACGATGCAAATAGTGCATGCAGATATATGTAGAGAGTTTCTAAAACTATGGACAAGCAAATCATACACGGAATTGGATTTTCATCACATCATTGAGTCCTACAATTTTGAGATTGTAAAGAAGGAGAGCTATGCTAAGAAATTATTGCTTTCAGACATACAACAGTCTGCTCAGCGTGGCCAATCTCCAATATCACAGCAGGGAAGATCGCCTGCTTCACCTTCATCTTCGCATCAAACAACCCTTAAGAATAGAAACCTCTTCAAATAGATTAAATTTAAACCATTGTAAACTTGTATGACTACTATTAAAATTTATTAATGTGCTTTATCACCTCCTTTCGAAAGGTCCATTATTCGAATCAATCAAGAACGGAACAAGTTTGACTCTTTCCAAGTGATGATCAACAATAATTGTAAGTTTTTTGAAATTTAATGACAAAAATGAAAAATGAAATGGCGGGGCATGCTGCTGCTGATGCTTCGGATCATTCCTCGGTGAATGACGCCGTTCAAACTTTAGCCAATTCATACCTCATGATGGAGGTGAACCGAGACAATATTCATGGCCTATTGACTCAACAACAACGGAAACATAGTAATTTAGAACACAAACCATTATTAATGTCTAAAGCATCAACTTTACAGCTTCAACAAGCATTTGATAAAGCTCGGAAATTCAATCATCATCAAGATCCCAGTGCTCAAAAACACGAAGAAGTAAAACTAGAAGGAAAAGGTTATTCAATTGCTTTTAAAATCCCAAAGGGTGGTTGGCGAGATCAACAAAATGAGGATTTTGAAAAGAGTGCATCTGTAGATGCCTGCGCAACAAAGGCTACAGAAATAATTGGGGCTGGACTACCAACACGGGTTGTTGATATTGACGTGCAAGAGTTTGATCGATTAATGCAAGGGGAAACAGGTATTACATTTACAAGTAAATCAAACCCTGGACAAATGCCATTCGATTCCATGAAAGAGCGAGATAAGGCCATTCATCATGCAATAGAAACACATAAAGCAAAAGTAATTAACAAAATGAGGCGAAAATACAAAAGAATGATCAAGAGAGGAATTTTTGATGATGAAAAAACAGAATTCGAGTTGAGAATATGCTGAGATGCTCATTCTCAAGGTTAGTGTGGTACATTCTTTGTATTGATATTGACTGTTGTTCAAAAAAGGTTTGACCCTTCAAAAATTCATGACATACTTTTACAAGATTCAGGATTTGACCATGAAATTTTGAATAGAGTACGAGGAATGGGAGGAGGTAGTACACCTAGGCACGGAAAATTGAAAACTGAAAATTCTTATGCATTTCTATCTGGGTTATATAATGATTCAGGAGAGAATATGGAGAATGATCAAAAACGACACGAAAGCCCAAGCGCAATTCTTTCAAAAGTTCCAACAGCTTCTGACAAAAAAGTTCACAAGAACGCCGAAGAAACAAGCCCTGTTGATTTCTTGGACAAAATTCTTTCGTTTAACATGACACCTGTTACACCTCTATCAAGAAATCCTTTTCTTTCTGAAGATGTAAAAATGGTGCTGGACAGAGATCTTGGAGAAGTTGGAATGGAAGGATCAAGACACAGATTTTCCAGAAATGCAACAGCTATTCGAATATTACTACCAAAGAAGAGAGAAAAAGAAGAGAGTAAGGAAAGACTTTCTGCGAGAGGCAGAAATGCTGAGAGCAAAAAGAAAAAATTCACATCCTCAAATGCAAAAGAAAAAACTGAAAGCGAGGAAATTATACAAACAAGCAAACAGATCATAGACATGATCAAATACGATCCGTCAAAGTCAGGAGAAAAGCTGTTATCAGAGGTTATGCCTTCCATTGAATACAGTGTTGCAGAAATGTTGGAAAGAATTTTGGAAGATGAGGAAAAACAGCAAGAGGACGAACAAATGCAAGCTGTGGCGTCCAAGACATCAAGCTGCAATAAGGTCGAGCGTCGTGGATCAAAATTGGTTTTTGATGCTAGAGACACTTTCTTCTACGAAAGTGTTGACTCTACTGCAGAAATGGAGAGAGTAGCACAAAGAGAAGCATTCATAAGCAAAGAGTTTCAAGAGTTTAAACCAAAAGAAATTGAAAGACAAAAAGAACAACTCACTAATGCAAACATGAAAAAAGCAAGACTTACAATCTACAATTTACAAAATGTACATATGAACAGCGAATTTCAAGAGTTACTTTCGCCAAAAAGTAAATCCATGCAAGACGAAGAATGGAAAAAGAGAGACAAAGAAATTTCAGATCTTTGTGATACATTGGAAAAGCTAATTATTGATATATGCCACGAGATGAAACAATTGAATGAAAGTAAGCTAAATAGCTCTATTACGCCTCAGTATCATGAGATAGAGCGAATTTCTGATACTCTAATTACGTGCTTGAAAAGAATACCATTTGACTGGAACTCACGAACAAAACGAGAGTGGGCTCAGGGTGCAGAAGTATTGTTGATGTGGCAAATGAAACTATCTTCCCCATTAAACATCAACAAGGAAGAGCATGTGAGGGAGTTGGCCAAATTCTATGTTAGAATATTTTACGAGAATGATGTATTGATGAAAAATTTATTTCTTCATTACAAGGAAGCGGTTATTGACGAAATTAAAAACGGAGAGAAATACAGGAAGATGAAATCAGGAAATAATGATGACATTTCACTTCCTAAACTAAATGGATTCACCGTATGGAGTGATAGTACAAAAAGTTCAGAAGTTGATGAGGTTGACCTATTTTCTTATCCACAATCCTTTGAGCTCCAACGTCAAAGGGTTTCAAACATCAAGAAGATGTTATTTATCATCATTAATTATGTAAATCACTGCAATTCATACACCAAGGATGTGTTTGGAGATCTTGTCATGGTTGAAAAAGATAGATACCAAAGAAAGGTTTTAATTCGAAAAGCGACCTTAAAAGAAAGCGGAAAGAAAAAGGAGGTCCAGTCCATGATTGAAGAAAGGGGACTAAGTGCGTTTGCCAACATTTTAAAATCTACAAGTTGGGAAAATGTTCCTCACTCGGTTGGCAAAGTCGAGGAGGAAGAGCTTGATTCTGAAGTTTACGTTCATAGGGAACGAGATTTTTACACTTCAGTTTTTAGTAAGGACGTAGAGAAAATTGTTAAAAACATTAGAGAAAGTAAGGAAACAATGAAACTCGTACATGAGAGCCCATCTCAACAAAACATTGAACCTATCACAACTAGCAAACCCACAAATGACCAAGAAGATATGATTCATCTTCACAAAACATCGTTCATCAATGACGAGCAATTATCAGAAGAATCTGCTCTTGAATTTCAACGGCCATACCTGTATCAACCTCCCACTTTAAAAATGTCATCTAAAAGCCCTACTCTTCCCAATAGAGAGAAGAAGACCTTGCCAACACAACCAAACCCATCTTCCAAAACAATAGAGGAGAAGCACAACGACAGCAAGATTAATACGTTCCATAACTCGTTTATGTTCACACCTAGTGAACCAAGTATTTATGATCCATCAGAAAATACGTCGTTATCACTAAATGCAACACTTGATCCAAGCCATACCCTGGACAATGCCAAACAGAAGAACCAGATCTCTCAAAATATTCATCCTTTAGAGACCAATAGCTCTATCACAATGAACACCTTGGATGATTCATTTCATAAAGAAATAATGGAAGACATGTTCGGAAAGGAAAGACAAGTGTTGTTGAGCCCACAACCTGAGTCTCCTGAAGAAATTAGGAATCAACGTGCATCAACACAAAGTCCAATCACTAGTGACCATGTGAGTCTTCACTCTCTTGAATCCTCAATGGGAAGAAGCACGAGAATGAATTCACCGATAGTGGAGTTTCCAGAACCGAGAAAAGTGACTGGTCTTCGCTTTGACACTAGGAGCCTCTCACCCAGCACAACTCCAAAGCTCAAAAAGGATAAAGAGCAAGATCAGAAACCAATCCAACTGAACGTAACTGATCCAAAGCATGTATATGATATTGATGAACCAGAGATGCTCAATAATAAGGTTGAGCAAAAGCAGGAAATAGTAACAATTCCTGCTCCAAAAATTCAAAATCAGTCGGTGCTGTCTACAACTTTTTCACTTCTAAATGAATCGCTTGCTCCAAATGAAGAAAAAAAAGAGAATAAGAATATCAACAAAAGTGGAAGACAATCGTCACAGAAATTTGGGACAAAACGTATCACACCTGAAGTGACATCTATTCATGAAACCAAATCAAAGAATTTAAGGAAATACTCTCGACAAAAAAAAATCAACACAAAAAGCGTAGACAGCACAGAAAATGTCAGCACCAAGTCTTCCAACATGAGTGTGCAAGATTTTACTCCCACAAGGACTGCATCTCCTATTTCAGCTCATGATTTACATCAATTAACTATTTCTTTGGCACACTTTGATGATAATGTAAGGCCATTATCTTCAAGATCATCCAATTACGTTGCCCTCAAAGATGATAGTCCAAAGAGTGCAAGGTCTACCACAAGTGTTGAGAAAAAGAATAAGCATTCAGGAAAGTGGATGGTGAAATCAAATGTTTTTCAAACATTTTTCGATACTCCTCTTCATGTGTCCGAAGATTTGCAAGAGACTAAAAAGAAAGATGACATACCCGATGATAAATTTGATAGTGTCACGTTGTTGGAGAAGTTGGAACAAACTTGGGACGAGCTACTCATTCCAGCGGCTACCAAAATGAAGCTCTATCAAAAGTACAGCTCCTCAAAGTATATTGGCAATGTTAATTTAATGAGAGATGCTGTCAAAACATGGAAATTGGGAGCTTCAGCAGTAATTGCTAGGGAATCCATTTTGCTTCAAATGCAGGAATATGAGAAGAACTTGGCACAATCTGCATCAAAACTGCCATCATTTTCTGATAAGATTCAAGAACAGAAGATGCGATCGAACCTATTCAAGAGACTTAGTGTGATTGCTTCAGAATGTGAAAAGATTAATAGAAAGCTTAAGAAAGATCACGATGATCAATTGATGTACAAGAGCAATTGCACCTATGTAGATAAGATGAAACGTGATTACTTGTCCATCATAGCTGGTATTGAAGCTCTTGCAGAGGAAATTCAACCTGTAGATTTCGACGTTGTTTCTCCTCGTTCCTTAAACAACAATAAGAAAAATGCATCTGTAACTGTACGTAGTCAATTTGTATTTACAATAACTATTCAAATAATAATATTGCATCACAGAAAATCGACCTCATTCTCAGTTATGACAAGAATAGATGAGAATGAATCTTATCTCTTTTCAGCATTAACACTCCAATGTTCGCCGCATACCAATAGAGAAAGATGTAGAAGAATGAATAATCAATCTTATGAGGTTTGTCCAATTTTAAGCCCAGCAAGCACCAAAATGTTTCATAGAGGAGTAAACATCCAATGAACATTATAAATTTGCGTGTGATAAATTTGTGATCTCTTTTGAACGCAAGCCAGTGACTCTTCTGGAGTTGATGGAAATTTTGTGTACAATAGATTAAACCAAATAAATATGCAGGTGTAAATGCCAAGGTCCATGTTAAATTCATCACAATATCTCCAAAAACGTATCTCAAAACCAGCATTTTGTCTAACTTGAAGCAAATAAGGCTAACCTGAAAGAGCAATGCTGTATTGACGGAACGTAGAGTCTAGTTTTGATAAAAGTCATTGGCGAGTGATTAAATTTTCAACAACAATAAGAAAACTTACCTCCCATTTCTTTCTCTTTAGAATTTTCTCTCGTTGAACCTCATAAATAAAGTAGAACAATTTTTGAATCATGATGGCAATGACTACAGGGATCATACTCACTGTGTGTCCCCAATCAAAAATATGCATAATAATAGGTATGCAAAATACTAAGGGAATTGAGCAGAGTAGTTGAGTCTCAAAAGTCACGTCCAAAAGGTAGCTTGTCACATTGGTCATTGAAAAAATTAATAGTCTCTCATTTTGATCATGGTACGAAAGATTCACATGTGTACGGTACACATAATAGCAAAATGCTAAGCAGCAAGCATGGCTAAAAAAGACTGGCCCGTAACATACAAGTACATAGGTACTGTAGTAATTTCCTAAATACTCTATATCTTTAAGATTGCCATCATTTTCTAACAGAAGTGGAAGAATCAATGAGAATATTAAAATTCCAATGCTAAAGAATAAATAACAAATTTTCTTAAGCATTGGTAAATATTGAACAAACTTGTTCAAAGTATTGTACATTTCGATGAGATCCTTTTTTCGTAGCTTTTTCTCATACTTGTGAACTGCCTTGTTCAAGAACAATGATCTATAGCTTGGCTTGTGATCTTCTGTCGCCTTTTCAGAAGGTACTGTCGTTTTGACACATGTTTCATTGTCTTCTGCTTCTCTTTCTTGTAACATCCATGATAAATATTCTTCTGATAAATGTTGTTGTCTTGGAACTAGGGCAATGCCATCTTTATCATAAATTGTAAAATCATTCACTGTTAACCCTCCAGTTGAATTGATCTGATTCACAATATTTCTCAAGGATTTTGCATCAATCATGTGCCCATAAAACGGATACCAAATCTCTTCTCTTGAGGCAAAATCATACCATTGTTTGGATACCAATTGGCATGTTAGTAATGTTTTGAAATCGACAAAAGTTAATATTAAATAATGAATCTCTGGAGGTAACAATCGAATGAGCATTGATGCACGGCTATTATTGAAATTCCAATCATCAAAATTCGATTCTTCATTCTGTATAGAAAACAGAGAAGGGATAATCATCAATTGTTGTTGTTGTTGTTTTTCATCCACCAGTTCATCATCATCATCAAACAAGCCTTTAATTTTAATTTCCTCCTCATCCGTTACGTCCTCATCAAAAAGACTTCGTATTTTCATTTCATCTTCATCCAAGGATCGATGATGATCCCACCGATCGTTCATTTCCGAGTCCGGAGTAGAAGAAGAAGAAGGAAAATATAAAGTGAGAGTGAGTCTGTTGTTGTAAAAGATTTTTTTTTGAGAAATGCTTTTGATTCCTTCCCTCAACGATCGAATTGGAACGTTAAGAATATTCATTCGCAACTCTTGCAAGAGTTTCCCCTTACGTATGACAGAGGTGGTGTTGAGGTGTTGAATACAATCATGATCCACACATCTGTCTGCAAACAAGCTTATTTTGGAAAGAGTCTTTAATAAACCAGATTCACAGAATCTTGACCAAATCAAAAGCAGAAACCATTCTTGATATAAAAACAAGAAAAGAGCTTTTTGGTTGTCAGGTATGTACAGTTTTCTACAGGTGTTGTTGAACACCTGTCATTGGTAAGTCTCTTATTCCTAAAAAGTCTCTTTTTCAAATCCTTTGAAGAGATAGAACTGTGTGTTCATGCGGACAAGATGGCCCTCACGTGCCTTGTAAGAACGCGGCGTACATTTAGAGAGATCTCTAACGTAACGTTGTTGTTCAATGTTCATTCGAACACCTCTAAAAGCATGTCGAAGATTCAAATGCATTCTCTGAGAAAATAATTTCCATAAATGAACAATTCAAAACAAAGCTCTCTACTCGTAGGGAGGTCCCAAAAAAGAACAAAAAAACAAGACAAAAAATTACCACATTTTCTTCCGAAATTTTGTTTCCTTCTTGACAACAACATCACCACAGGTGACATTTGGCATCCACGAGTCGTTCATTGAGCGCACAAAACCTATCAAATTTATCTTGATTCACTCCGCTTCTCTAATATTTTCATCCTAATGGTGACTCTTCCACAACAACAACATTCCTCCTCTCTTTCACAACAACATTCCATTCCTCCTCCACTCTCTCTTTCACAACAACAACAACAACACAACAGAATATACAAAGTTGGAGATTTTCTAGAGTCTCCTTCCTTGTCTATTATTAAACAAGGAGCATTCAAACAAAAGAATAGTCTTTTTTCAACATGGAAAGTTCATTCCTACATGTTTGATGGACATTGTTTGTATCGTGTGAAACATCACAACACTTCAGTGGAAGTGAGAGAAATTTTTCCATTGAATACTTCTCTCAATGTCAATCGATATGACATTTTAGTGACACAAATCATTTCAGCAGAAGACATTACAGGAAAGAAGAATACCATTGGATTCTTTTTTGAAGAAAATAAGCAACAGAAACATTTGAGTCATTTAGGAGAACAAGCTGCAAAAATTATTGCTGAAATCGATGAATTATTGGATGAAAAGAAGAAACCAGAAACAACGCTGTTGAGTGAAAACATGTCAGCAAGTGAAAGAAAAAAGTTATTAGCTCCTAAATTCTTAATGGCAAGTTCTGCAGATGAGAAAAACCTTTGGATGAGTATTTTGACACAACATTTACAACAAGTCGTGGAAATGAATAATAATTCCAATCAATCACAAGTGAGTGCAATTTTATCAACCATTGAGGCAATGATTGATATTGTTGTGGTGAGTGATGCTTTTGGAACCATCACAGCATACAATACACAAGCAGAGAGTTTTTTTGGATATAAAAAGAAAGATGTGATTGGTAAAGATATCAAAATTTTAATGCCTTTTGAGGTTGCAAAGAACCATGATGAATTCATGCAACGATTTAGAAAAACAGGTGAGTATTTTTGTGTTCAACAAACACTTCATGTGTGTGAATTTATTTAAATAATATTCATCACACCACGTGACTACCTTTATTTAAATAATATTCATCATCATTTGATTACATTTATTCATCATACCACGTGACTACTTTTAAATATTCACACGTACCGTTTGTGAATGACTTTTCATCACACTTGACTACATACTCAAAATGATATGCATATCAACATTATGATGTTCAATATAATATTTCACAAAATGATGTATTTTAATACCCATTATTATTAATATTATTATTATTATGATACATTTGTATTATTATTATTATGATACATTTCGTATTTTTTTGACGGACGAATAGGAAACAAACATTTAATTGGAAAACCTCGTGCACTACCTGCCAAGTTATCCAATGGTCAAGTTCAAGAAGTGAGATTGTCTTTGGGAGAAATTCCAGGAAGTACCGATCGAGACAAGTATCGATTTATGGCAGTCATGAGAAGACAATCAAATTCAAGTCATGTCGTCATGTCACCAAAATCCAATCAAAATGGCTCATCGACATGGCAAACACCAAGTCCAAATTCATTGACAAATTCACCATCACTCACTATCCATGCATCTTCTTCTCATTCATCCAAATCTAAATTAATGTCACCTCAAAGTTCAGTTCATTCCTCCATTTCTAATGATCATTCTGATGTGATAGCTCAAAGATTAAATGTTCCTTACTCGGTAGAAGAAGTTAAGGTTTCAAAGAATCAACAAATTAATCAAGAAATATTTCAAGCTCATCAACATATTTATGAATTGTACAAATCCATTCATTCTACTCTTAACAAATATGGTCACAATGTCAATCAAAGTTTTAAGAAAGATTATTCCTCATTAGAGAAGAAATTCCATCAACTTGAAGAAAAAATCAAACACTTGGAAATATCCAATGCTCACATGCTTGCTAATATTCAACATCAGAAAAAGGTCATTGATTTTTTAGAAACAAAAACAGATGTCATGTACAAGGAAAAACGTCATTCTGTGCAAACAAAAACAGAAATGGACAAGTCACAAAAACAACAAGTGCGCAAGTCGCCCAATTTAGAAACTTTGGGTCTTGATCCAAAACAACTTGTCTCATCACCAAGATCGACACACTTTTTAACGAGTCTTTCAAATTTAGTGAAGGACCAAGCAGAATTTACAGATGTGTTACAGAATGATTATGCCCTTAAATACTTTATGAAATTCTGTGCTCAAGAATTGTCTCTAGAAAATGTGAAATTGTATTTATATTTAACTCGATTTTATTTACCAGAAGCAAAGAAAGATCTTAAAAAAGCAAAAATTATGAGACAATTTGTAATTGATACATTTATTGTACATGGTGCACCTTTTGAAGTGAACTTGTCTTCATTGAATAGAAAAAAGCTTCTCGAAAAATACTACAAATTGAGAGATTATGAAATTGAAAAGGAATTGGAAGAAAAACAACACATGGAAGATTATATTCATAGAACATCATCGAGTGGTGGAAATGCTCATAGAAGACACAGTCATCATTCACAACCACATGAAGATGACACTCTTTCTGATGCAAGTAGTGAAAATTCAGAAATGGAATTACTCTTTGTAGAGAATGAGACCAAGACAAAAAGTAATACTTGTCACAAAACATCACACTCTGTGAGTAGCACTGGAAGTGATGATTCTCATTCCAAATCTTGTGGTGAAGAAACAAAACATCATCTCGATGATTCCAGTAGCAGTACTTCTGAAGATGATCTTGCAACTGTTCATGATTGTTGTGAAGAAGATGTCACAACGTTGATGGATGAAACAATACCTCCTTGTCCCACCACCACCTCTCATGAATCCTCCTCAACCGTTCAAGTGGACTCTACTTTTGAAGATACTTCTGAATGTGGTCGTCGTCGTCGTCGTCAAACCATTCTCGCCAGTTACATCAAACAAATGAGAAGAAAAAGTGATTCATTTCTTCATCAACAGAATTCTTCACAACAACAACAACCACCACCACCACCTCAATCATCCATTAATGGAACAGAAAGTAATACTACAAGTAATACTACTACAGGTAGTGTTTTATTACACTCTCCCAATCAAAGTACATTTCCAACTATTGCCACTCTCATCTATGACTTGGAAGAAGGTGAAAAATTCTTTGATGATCTTCTCCTTCAAATTAAGGGAGTCATGATGGATACATTTATGAGATTTATTAGATCTCAAGAATATGTGGAAATGAAAGAAGAAATTCGACGCATTCACAAAGCAGAAATGGAATGGATTCAAATGAAATTGAATTCTTCTCTCAAATAAATTTAATTGGTTTTTGATTTTTTTCACGAGTTCTTTTATTTCATCTTTTCGAAGGAATTTGTAAACGTTTGTAGATATTATCGCCTCAAAAAAAATATTATTACTACTCGCTCTCGTTCTCGTGGAAGATGAGTCCAACAGTTGCTGCCAGTACGACTACCATCAACACCACCATCACCACTGGTGAGAACATGAACGTGGAAAAAGAAGAATCCGTTCATATCATTACAAATAATCATCAGGAACAATTAATCGGAATACTTTGTACAGTGATGACAAGATCATCAAATATACATGAAAACTCGCCTCAGCAGAACCATGGTTCTCAAAATAACAAAAAACCAATAGCTGTTCTTTGTCATGGATTGGCATGCCATAAAAATTATTTTATTTTTCCAAGAATGGAAAGTAATGAATACGATACGTTTAGATTTGATTTTTCTGGTAATGGAGAAAGTGATGGTGAATTTTCATATGCCAATTATCACAAGGAAGTTGAAGATTTACATTGTGTGATTAATTATCTGAAAGAGAAATTAAATTATTCCAAAATTTCAATTATTGGACATTCAAAAGGTGGAAATGTTGTGTTGCAATATGCCAGCAAATATCCTCAAGAGTTACAACATGGAGTTGTTGTGAATATTTCTGGAAGGTTTGATATGAGTAAAACTCCTATGAACAGATTTTCAGAGAGTGAAAGACATCAATTGGAAAATGAAGGAATATTCTTGTGGAAAGTTTTCACATTAGAGCCATCTCTTTGTGTACGAAAAAAGCAAGAAATAACAACACCAACTAATAATGAGGAAGGATTGACGAGACGATACTACGTGACAAAGGAAGCATTACAAGAAAGAGAATCATTGAACACCAAAATTGAATTTAATCTTCTGTATCCTTTAAAACTGTATTCCATACATGGAGACAATGACGATGTCATTCCTTTTCAAGATAGCCAAGAGTTTCATGAATTCTTATTGGAACAGATGAGAAAAAGGAATTTAATAGATAGATTTTCTCACCAAGTAATATGTGTGAAAGGAGCTAATCATTTCTTTGCAGGACATTATGAAACATTAATTGGAATCTTAAAGGACCTCCTGGCAAAAGAATAAAATGACGTTGACAACGATGACAGGAAAAATCAAAAAAAATGTCATCGTTTATGGTTCAAGCAACAAAAGAAGACTGGAAGACCAGAGACTACATCGAAGACGTATCGCTATGTATTTTACAAGTGACAGAATTTCTCAACAAATTCGGTATGTATTGTTATATGACCGTCATCGCCACATTATTTACTTTTACCGTTTGTCATAATCCGTCATCACAATTTTCATTATTTTCAAATTTTATCGGATCATCAATAATTAACCGTTATTGAAAATTCACTTTACCAATTTTATATCCGCAGAAAAGAACATGAGAGTCAAACTTCTTGAATTGAATGAAAGATTAAACGATTTGGAAAGAAAGATGCAATATGTGGAAGCTGCTGTGAGCTCAATCGAACAAAATTCGCATTAGTGATTCTAACGACCGATGTGCACAAGTTAATGTAAAATATATTTTCCCATTATATAACATATATTCAAAAAGTTATATTTACTTCTTCTTTTTGGGTGGTTTGACGTCGTGCAAATCCTTAGCAAATGAGAAAATGGAATCCAATTCTTTCATTTGAGTCTCTAGTTGTGATTCTAAAGACTTGATATTCTTTCCTTCCTTAAACACATTCATCAGTGCATCTTTGAATTTATCTAAATCCTCATCAGATTTTGCTCCAAACATAGTCTTCAGAGCTTTTCGCATTTCTGGATTTTCAAAATCTTTGGCGACAGTATTTGCATCCAAATCTAGGTCCATATTTTCAATTTCGTCCAGAGTGAGCGATTTCTTTTGTTTACTTGTTGAAGGAGTTGTGGATGGAGCTTGTGCAGATCTTGGTGCTGTTGTTTGTTGCTGGGAAGATATGCCAGCTTTTGTCTGTGATGCTTGAGTGCCAGCAGATGCTGCACCAGCCAGTCCAGCAACACTAGCTAGACTCGATAAATCAACACCTGCATTGCCGTCTGCTTGAGTCTTGATAAAGTTAAATAGCTCAGGCTTATCGAATTCAGACTTCAAAGATTTGAGGTAATTCTTTCCAAACATCTTGTACGATTTCTTCGTTTCTTCATCCATATCTGCTTCGTCCCAATTTTCACTGGCTCGTCCTCCGAATTTTCCTTCCTCGAAAGCATCAAGCATGTCCTTGTATTGATCCCATCTTTCGTCCAATCCCATACTCTTCATCATTTGTTGCATTTCCTTTTCATCTAATCCCATCTGGTCTGCCAATTTTGATGATGAAGAAGAGGCTTTTGTACTGGAGGCTGCTGCTGCACCAAAAGCCGAAGCTCCTGCTACTTGTGCTAATTTTGAGCCTGATGATGCGGGAGTCTGTTGCTGAGATTTGAGGCTTGCTGATGGAGTTTTCTTTCTTTGTGGGGTTAGGATTTCTTCGTCATCCAACAAGGCTTGTAATTCATCAATTTCTTCTTGTTCTTTAGTGCTCTTTCTAGAATCAGTAGTGGTTTTGGTAGTTGTTGTTGTGCTTTTAGCTGGTGCAGCGGTTTTTGTCTTGTTCTGTGAATGTTGTTGTTGGAGAATATGAGAAATTCCTTCATTCTTCCGAGCACCTTGAAAATGTACAAAGGTGCGATGTACATTTCTGATGGTGTTTTGCTGTCGATTCAATACAACAACGTTCTTTGAATAGGATAATAAAGAGCGAGATACTGAGTTTTTGTGAAGCAAAGAAAGCATCGAATTTTTGAACATTTTTTTAATATTCTTCAAACAACTCTCTGATGAATTCACACGACAACGATGGGTTTTGATTGAATCGATCCAATGCTTGAAGAAATGAATTGCATCAGTAATGTATTCAAATAATAATAATTCATCTCAACAGTTAAAAACAGGAATCACGAGTAGGTGTATCTTTCGGGATGATTGGCCATGAACATGTACAATGCAAAAGCTGTCGGAACTGCCAAGACCAATCTTCGGAGGTGTAGTCTGTTGATCTGAAAGAAGGCTGTAATTGCATTCTTCTTCCCAACAAATCGTTTGAAGCTCACCACCTTTGATTTATGTTCGTTTGGTGTTTCTTGGTTTGTCATGGAATTTTTTATGTTTTACTCTTGAAAAAACAACTCCTGTCCATTCAACACCATTCCAAATGCTGCCTGTCATGAATGGTAGTTGATTCATCTCAATAATATAGTCTGTGACACATACACAACAATTTAGGAGTCAAAATGTCAGCTTGTATGGAGGTCATTCGGAAGACTAAAGAATTTGGAAATGGCGCTCAAACTCTACAAAAAAATATCAACCATTTTATAGACTGATCATTCTTTGTTTGAATAATTTTATATATTATCGGAAAGCATGTCATCAAACAAAGTGCCATCCATTAATGTTGATGAATTCATTGATGAAGAGGTGGATGAGGAAGATCTAGCGGAGGAAGTGGATTCCGCCCGATCCCAACCGGCAGTAGAAATCACAGATGACCAAATTGTTGCGGATTTGTGGGAGGTATTCAATTCAATTGATAAAAACCAAGATGGTGTTATCACATTCATGGAGCTCAAAATAATGCTCAAGAGATTGGGTCAGTACAATTCAGACGCAGAAGTTCTTTCCATGATCAAAAACATTGCTGGTGATAATGACTTGGTTGACTTTTCGTGCTTTCTTCGAGCCTTTATGGACCCGTATCGAGACAGTGTATTGAATGGAAGCGATGAAGAGATGGATAGAAAAGTTTTTGAAATTTTCGACGTAAATAAGGACGGAATGATCGAAGTAAGTAAATCTGAGGCGGATTTTCCAAATTTCAACTGCACGCAGATTGAGGTATGTGCTTCCTTTTTAAACACAAAGCCCAAATGTGGTGGTGAAATTATCCTCACCCTTTTTCTACAGGAAATTAAAGAAATCATCCACGAGTACTGCATGGGAGATTTGGCAGAAGATTTCACTGAGGACCGCATTGTTGAGTAAGTGAACTTTGTTAATTCATGAATCCCACATCACAATATCCATTTCTAAAGCATGCTTCACTTGTTGGATACCAACTTTGACGGCGTGATTGATTTTAAGGTAAGCGATCATTTCCTTATCTGTGCCGATGTATTGATAAGGTGCAGGAATTCCGTAACTTGGCACGGAGCAAAATTGCCTGATTGGCTCTACCGAGATAATCACTGTATAACCAAGCACACCACCACCACAAAAAAACATTCAACATTAACACTGTGTGCCACCAGTGTCGAGAGTGTACAACCTGAGAGAAAATCCCAAGACTCTTTTGCTTGTTCGTTCAGGTCTACATTGCCCATACTACAAACACGATGCTTTTCGTCAATAAACGAGCAAAGGAAAATCCATCTGAAATTGTTCTATCTGATAGATTGAATACGGATCACCATCGTGGACGATCCTCTCGTGGAAGGAGATTAAGCGTTTGTGTGGTTGATCCCTCTGAAGCTAATAAAGCATCGAACCATGAAATGTTGAGGAACATTTTCAATATATTCGATCGAGATAATGATGGAGTGATAAGGTAAGTAAGAACCTCCTCATTCTCGAATCGTATTTCTCATCACATCAAGGGCAGACATGCCGAATTAAAGCTCATCCTCAATGATCTTGGATACAATCTATCCATCCAAGAAGTAGACGAAATTATTAATAATTCAGGAGCCAATGGTTGCATCACGTTCGAAGAGTTTATGGATTTGATGATGATGGATGAAATGGATGAGGATGAGGATCATTCACAAGGCAAAATATTAGGAATTGATGAGCACATTCCATTCATCCTTACCAATGAAGCGAATGACTCGTCCTGTGAGAATAGTTTTGTATTTCCTGCCGATGTTGAGGATGAGGACATTTCACATGAGAGATTCCATCATCACCCCTCACTCAGTGGTCATGGCAGTAATCGAGTGATTGATAAGAGCTATTCGAAGCGAGTACTTTTGAAGAAGAACCATCAAGAGCCACCTTCCCCACCCTCATCAATCCATTTGACTACTACCTCCAACACCACCACCACGACCTTCTCTCACCCACAGACACCCTCACATTCTCCAACCAGCACGATGAAACAAAAGACATGTTTCTTTCCCGACCTCTCACCACCGAGAAATCAGAACAACAGTGGTAGCCCTACCACAAAGAACAACCAGGTCGTACCATTCGACCAGGTCTTTTCTCAACAACAACAACAACAACCACCAACTTCACCTACTGCTTCGACTCGACCTAGATCAAATAGTAGTGGCTCGAGTCCATCTCATTCTCCTCCAACAAGAGAGAATGAACTGTACAAAGCAAGTTTTATCACTCGATTGCCTGCAATCTCTAGCAATGAGGATCATCAAAAGAAAAAAAATCCAAATTTGTTAGATGCGTTGAAAAAACGACTCTCAATCTTTGGTAATATCAACAACAGCAACAACAACAACAATAGATTGGAAGTATTGAATTCACCTAACACCAAGCTACCATTATTGGATTCTATAAATACTAGAGCAAGAAGAAATAGCTCACCTGTAGTACCATTAGGTTCTAACAATGAAAAACATGGAAAACTCATGCCACTCGGAGCTTCAAGAAATAGAAAGTCATCGAGTCAAAATGGTATTGACCCAAAAAAGCAATATTCATCATCACTTAATACGAGTAGTTACTTTTCTCAAAGATATAGCTCAACAGATTACGGAACATTGCATACTAAAGATCAATTAAGGGAAGCGTTTCAACTCTTTGACAGCAATAATGATGGCTTAGTGAGCAAGGAAGAAATGAAGAACGTATTTTCAAAAATAGGGCTTGTCACAATCATGAGTGATGAAGAATTAGAGCAGCTGTTCAAAATTGTAGATAGTGACAATGACGGTAACATCAACTTTGATGAATTTGTAGAACTATTTCTCTTGTAAAACATTTCACAAGTAAATAAATCATCTTTTGCTAAAGTTGGCCAATGTTTTCGATGGCAATGAACTTGTGGATGGTGTGATAGATTTGTTCCATTGTTCCTTTCGTTCTTTTTCAATTTCTAATTGATTGGCCATCTTTTGAGCAAAGAATTGACCTACAGCTTGCATTGCATTTCCCACATTATGAAAAGTCACAATGTCCTTTCGTATCCATTTTGAAAGCTTGTTAATAAGTCTTTGCTGTTGATATCTCTTATCAAGAAGTAATACCGTTGCATAATCTTTTCCATGACGAATGGCTCTTCCAATCGATTGATTGACACCATTCATACAAATGTTATCCAAGTATTCATTCTTATTTTGTGATTGAAATTGTTGAGTGTGTTGTTCAAAAAACTTTTGTTGTTCCATCAGTTCAATATCATTTGGATTGGGATAAGGTAATCCAATGACAACGATCAATCTTCCATATCCATCACTAAAGTTAATTCCTTCCGAGAGTTTACCTCCAACTACACACGATAAGACACTTCCATTGTATCTTTGAAGAGTGGCTGTTGATCCTCCTCTTATTCCATGACTGCTACTGTTGCTGCTTGTTGTTCCAAAGTTGTGATCAATAATTTTCTTATATTCCTGTAAAAGCTTATCTAAGGTCATGTTAGGATCTTCATTAGCAGAAGCTTCACGAAGAAATTTCTTCTTCTTCTCAATAGAATCAATAATACCATTCGATTTCCAACACTGATAGACAGTCTTCTCAAATTGATATGATGGAAAGAATAAAACAACACCATCTGGCACAATATTACACATATTCACAATGGTTCGACCAAGAGATTTGATTAAATCCATATTGTTTTGTCTGTTCTGAAATCTAAAATCAAATTCAACATCTCCAACTCCTTTTGTGAGTACAATGGGTAGAAAATGATTTGGAGGTACAATATGCTTTTCACATTGATAAATGTGAATTTTCGAAGAGGGTGTGTTTGGAAATAATTGTTGAACTAAAGCATTAATGGGTTCCATGGTTCCACCAGTCAGAATAATCGATCGAGCCTCTTTCACAATCGATTGAAAGTACACACTTGGGTTTAAAAGTAGGAATTTGATATGTGAATTGGGTTTGACAAACAGTTTACCATCCTTATCCACATTCATGAGAGCTAAAAGCATTGACACAACATTATTGATGGCATTATTACTCGTAGCTGGAGTGTTGAGATTGGAAAGATCTGTTTTGGTATTGACACCACTTGAATAGTGAATATAGTTGGCAGTATTGTGAGTACGTTTCACAGTATTGTTATTGTGAATAACGACTTGATTCGTCTTTGATTGTTCAAGATCTTGTCTCTCCATAAACATGTTCAGTTTTTTAGTCAAGTCTGATTTTTCAATAAATTCTGCAACTTGAAACAAGTTAATATTGTCCATTTTGGTTTTAAAGAGTAAATCAGTGATGGGCACTATAAATCCATTATTTTCTGTTTCTTCCTTATTAGCATTCAAATCCTTATGTTCGCTAACAGTTAGAAATGTTATTAATCCTTGAATAATGTTTAACAATCTCTTAATATTTGTTTGATTCGTTGTAGAGAGTTTGTTCTTAAATTTGTTGAAATAATTTAACAATGTTTCATGTACCATTCGTAGTTGATGAATATCAATCTCATTTGAGTGCATTTGATGTATGGCAGAAATCAAATTGTGTGCCTCATCAATAATCACTACACAATCTTTGAGAGATGTCACACCAAGTGACTTTCTTGTTTGTTCATGTACCAAAGAGTTGTATGGCATGCACACAAGCTCTGCAGAATGCATGGCCTTTCTAGTTCCGTAGTAGGAACAGATTTTTAACTTTTTTCCAAGATCCAATAATTCTTCAATGTCATGAACTTTTAGAACCATATAGTCTTTAAACAAGGAAGGATCATTGTCGTATTCACATAATTTCTTGTCTCTTAAATATTGACATTGCTCATTAATTCTATTGAGACCATTTTGAACTTTTCCATTTTTGGTATTTCTATAAAGCACATTCTCATTGATACAAAGCACTTGACGAGATGCCAAATTGGATACCTTAACCTTCTTTGAAAATTCTGTTTTTCTTAATTCTTGAATAAATTGATTGATTTGAGAGTGTGTTCTTGTGCAATATAAAATCTTTGGAGTTTCAAATTTTTCATCATTTTCGATTCTACTACATGCAGATGATGAAAATATTGGTCGATCATTGTCATCATCACTATCTTCATCATATAAATCTTTCAGTAAATTATTATTGATTCCAATCTTATTGAAAACGCTTTCATCAACTTCATTAAGAAGGAGATCATCATCGTTGTTTGAATCATTCATAGTCAGAATGGACTCCAAAAATTGTTTTCGTCGATCATCATACTTTTTCACATTCTTTTTGCTCTTTTCCAGTTGTTCTCTTCTTGCATTTTCTTCTTCTTCTTTTTTTCTTTTGATGGTTTGTTCAATCACCCAAGCAGGTTCTTCATCGGAAGAAGATTGATCATCAATGTTTTTTCTCTTGAGTGAAGATGTTGTGCTGCTATGAATTCCGTTCACCGTGATGCCATCTCTTTGTGCGTAATAGGACATGAGCCAAGAAAGAGCTCCGCAAATGAGAGAAAGAGATTTTCCACTTCCGGTTGGCGATTCAAAGATGCCAATTTTTTCCTCTTGAATGGTGTTGAACAATTGTTCCATGTATTGAAGTTGAATGTCATAGGGGTTCTCGTAGGGAAATGAAAAGTTGTTGTTGTTGTGGTTTTTGTCATGAGAAGGACTTTCTTGTGGAGTCATTTTTCTTTTGAATGTATTAACGTTCAATTTTGGCGCCTTCATTTTGAGTTTACTATGTAAAAAAAATGCGAAAAAAAGATCCGCAAGCAAAGCCTTTGCTGTCAACCTTGCCATTCGATAGTCTCGCAGAAATATTTTCATTTCTCAAAATTGAAGAATTAATATTTGTGGTTGGATTTACTTGTAAAACGTGGCGATCGACAATTGCATTTCCATTCATTTCAAAATAGAAGGGACGAAATGTGTTGAGACATATTCTTAGAGGTTGTGTGAGGTATCATGCGGATATTTTGAACACAAATTCTACAGAGTTGGAAGATCGTCGAACTGTCTCCCATTGCCCAAATTTAAATGAACTATTGAGTACACTGAAATACTACTTTTCCTTTTTCAAGAGTCCATACGCACAACCTCCTAAAAAACCATCAAGTTTTAATCAATCATCATCAAGCAACAAACCCTGATGACATAAATAACGAATCATGGGACAATCCAAAAGATGTGAGACACGTACCACTTGACAACTCATTATTGAGTACAAAACCAAATCTGGATCATCTATCGAAAATCGCCTTAGATGGAGATGCCAAGGTTGGGAAAACATCATTTTTATTATGCTCAATGGATCATCAAGTTGTAAATCCTTTATATCCATATTTGCCAACTATTGGTGTTGACTTTCGAGCCAAGTTGTTTGTGATCGGAGACAATATCTTTTCAGAAAAGATACAACTATGGGATAGGCAATCAAATAGTGCAAAATTTTTACCAACTTCATACTTTGTGAATGCAACATTTATATTTGAAATGTTTTCTTTAATGAATAGAGACACCTTTGATTCACTGATTGAAAAATCTAACCATTTTAACAATTTTAAGAACAAAGAAATGATATTACTTGGAACAGGATCAGATGATGTACAACACAGCAGATGTGTTTCTGTTCGAGAAGCATCTAAATTTGCATTCGAAAAGTTGAATGGAGCATTGTATCAAGAAATTTCATTGTGCGAAACTTTTGACGCTAAATCAATTCTATGGTATGCGTGTCTACTTCAATATTGCTTACGAGAGCAATAACTAAATGATCAACTAAATCTGTGATTTAGGAGGAAATAATTCTGTGACCGTAATTTTCCAATAATCATTGAATGTGAAGAATTATACTGTCCACAAGTGAAAGTCAACTACAGATTTAAGGGGTTTGGATCTTTCGTTATTAGCGAACCTTGGCTTTTCTGCTGACCTGTCACCAAACTCGGCCGATAAATCCAAATTTTTCACACTTTACAACAGACATACCACACTTGACATTTTTTCAACAAGCGTAACGGAAATCACAAACACACAAAAAAAAACAATTTCACCTCGAATATCATCATCATGGGCAACGTGAACGTTTCCTCACTGCAATCCTACTCACAAAATGTTGGACATGCTCTCATGGATGTCAACAATTACACACCATGGCTATGGATTGCCAATTGTGGATTTATGGCCCTTGCAACTGTTGCTCCTCGAACATTAACCAAATGGCAAAGTAAGTATTCCTTCCTTCCTTCCTTTCACTGAATATTTTCATTGTACATTGAATATCCTGAACTCATGAAACTCACTTTAATAGGTGACGCCTACACTTCTCAACCCATGAGAAACTATGGACCACAAAACTTTTTGATGCAATCAGTGACTGTATGTAGAAGATTAAACATTGATGACATCTGTGCCCCTCTCGCACACCCAAACATTACATTTGATTCCTATATTTTCATCATCACTTTGAATCTTTCATCATTATATGAATCCTGTTGTGTTTGTGGTACAATATTCTGACACTTCTTTTTAGGGATACATTTACCATCAAGTTCCATACAATATATGGACACACATTTTGACTTTCCCATTGGATTTAACATGGTAGGTTAATCATGAACACCTGAAACTGACACTTGAATTTTCATCATGATGTGAACCATCATTACATATCATTCTCGCATCATCATCATCCTGTGTCTACCATGAAACACATTGATGTAATAACCATCAAACAACAACAACAACTCTTGTGATCCCATCATCATCATCACCATAGGTGGGGCTACTATTTCGCCTATTTTGGAAAATTATGGACTGGTCATCCAGGTTATTTCTATTGGGCTCACTATGCTCTTAGTATTGCCCAATTAATCACTTACTGTGTTGGTCCTGCCACAGCTCAAGGTGAGAAATGTGTTTTGAAAAAGTTCGATCCTGCAGCACAAGTCAATTTGGCAGATAAGAAAAATTGGCCTCTTGTTGAAGTTGAGGTTTGTAAAAAGAAGCATCCAAAGAGACACTTTTATTGGCTTCAATTTATTGTCACTGCTTCATTCTTTACTTTCTGGTATTCATTGTTACCTTATTGGTTACCTGGACCTAAGGAAATTACACAAAAATTACTTCCTGAATTTATTTGGAATTATATTCCTGAGGTATTGAGACAATCGGACATGTTTTGGGTTAATTTCTTCTTGTTGCATAATGCTATTCTTCGTGTGACGTAAGTTCAGATCTGATTCAATGGATTCTTGTTTTTAACAATGAGAAATATTAATGGTGTGACAAACCTCTCATGATTGCATATGAATACAGTGGACACATGGCAGATTATTTACCTCCAATCATGTTTGATCCAGATCATCACGATGCTGGATTCACTGGTTTGGGTAAAGGATTTATTGCTTACTTTAAATACTTCTCTTGGAAATGGATGGTTCAAACACCTTTAGGAATTCTTTCAGAATTGTGTGCTGGATATCCAGGAAGACTCTACGTTTGGAGACTTGTGGCCAATTTGAGACGTGTTTTGAATTTTGTTGGTGTTCCAGATAACAAGCAAACATTCTTTACCATGAATTGGAATGAAGTTGAACAAGCTAAGAAGACAATTAATCAATCGGGTTGGAATGCTTGGCCATTGACTGCCAAATTGTTCGAATGGGCCAAAGTTGAAGATGTTGATAATACAGATGATGATGATGATGAAAAAGATGAATAAATGATAGTTATAATATTAATCAATCTTAATTGTTGGATGGTCTTCAATGATGTCACCATCTCTACAAACGAATCTCTGAGAGTAAGGAAGCAAAATAAAAAAAAATGACGAAACACAGCAAGAACGCCTCGTGTCGGCAATTTTATTCGAATCAAGAGAAAGGTCGTTTGAAACAGGGAACACAACAATCAAGGCTCGGAAGTGAATCGATGAGGCCATTTGATGCTTGTTGTTTATGTAATCAACCTGTGTATAAACCTGCTGTATCAAAAAGTGGATATTTATACTGTTATGAATGTATTCTTGAGAATTTAGTACAGCAAAAGAAAGAGAATGAAAGAAAAAAACTGGAGATGGAGGAAAAGCAAGTAGAGGAGCAGATTAAACAAATTAAAGAATTGGAAGAAAAGCAATACATACAACTAGAGAGAAAATTGGATGTTTTGCAAAATAGTGTTGGATCATCAGGAAATTCAACTCCGATTTCATCAAGCAGCACAACGAGCGAGAATAATAACAACAAGAAGAAAATCAAAAAATTCAAAACTGTGGATCCAATGGATCCAAAGGAGACGCTAAAGATGAAAGATCTAGTTCGAGTGAACTTCAAGTTAACGAAGAAAGCTGAAGAAGAGGGAGAGCTGATTCCTGAATTTAATGTTAGGTATGAATGCCCGTGTTGCTTCAAAGTATTCAGCAATGCCTGCAAAGGGGCTTATGTAGTGAGAGAATGTGGTCATGTGCTGTGTGTGACATGTTTTGACAAGTTCTGCAAAGATACCAACGAATGCTTTGTTTGTCAGGGAAAGATTAAGAAGAAACCCATTCGTTTAGTCTGTGCGAATCTAGGCTTTGCACATAATGACGAGCATAAGGAGAGTGTTGTGGCAGTTATGTATACTCCAACAATGAATATATCGTAATAATTATCATAAAATTGGTGATTCAAAATATCTAGAGTGTAGATATATTGTTGTGACATTTACATGACTGTAATTAAGGCAAAAGTGGCATAAACCAGTCCCACAGGGTAAGCTACAAGCATTCTTTGGTGTGCCATACCGAGTGCAGCAACAAACATTGTGCTTGTTCCATAACTGCTCCAAAATATTGCCAACCAGCTCAACACTAATCCTAAGATTGGGAACGGCAAAAATGTTGTGAATAGACCAAGGAAAACCATGGGCAGTAAGCCATAACCCATGATTGAAATACAATGCTGTAATTCGATATGCCTTTTGAGCGGACACATCAGGTTTAGCAATAAATAAATGGATAAACATCCAACAACGACCACTCCATAAATATAATTAAAGTGAATCTTTCCTTTCAAAAGGAGAGTAAATCCAAGAGCAATACAAAACATGAGAGGGCCAGCTAAATCCATATCTTTAAGTAAGTGTTGGACAGAGGCCTCTTCACTGTTTAGCCTGCTTTGTTGGAAGTTTGGATTATTTGCATTCATCATTGAATTAAGAGCTCTCCTTCTTTCTTTCGAGAATGGGTTTAAAACAAACAAGCTCCTACTCCAAATATCTCTAAAATTAATTCCGAGCTCTTCCAACAAGGGGATCTCATCAATGACTGGTTCCAGACTATTTTGTTTGTTTTTTTGAGAGGGCATTTGATTCATCATCATGAGAGGAGATGTACTCCTGCCAGTGGTAGCTGTTATTGGTGAAGTTGGTCTGCTATTTCCAGTACTTCCTCCGCTATTATAATTTATATCAACCATGTCAAAAGAAGCGTTTCTGAAATGTCCTCTTCTTCCGAAAAACTCATCATCACTACTTGTTCGGATCGGCTGAAATGTATACTCTCCCATCATGTTCAACTCTCCTCCTGCTGAAGCCGAAGATCCATCCATGTTTGTGCCATGTGGAGCGAATGGAGCAATATTATTTCCGTAGAATGGATCTTGGTCATTGCTCCACAGCACGGATTGTCGTTCGTTGAAATTTGCTTGCATTTTTTTTGTAACAAACAACAACGAAACGTTACACGTGTGTTAGTCTCGCGATCTGAATAGAAGGTGGATGATTAATTCGATGCTGGAAGAAGACATTACTGGTGGCTTCTCATCATCCATTTCTTCAACCTTGAATAAATTTAGAAGAAAAAAATCGATCATTTGCTCTCTGCTGCTAAAAATTCCGAAGAAGAGAGATTTATTGAACAGCACCATCTCATTCCTTGTACCATACATACCTATTAATCATAAATCATCATTCAACAATCAAAATGGTTACTGCTAGAATTGATAGTTTTTCGGGTTCATGGTACTCGGATGAAGAGGAAGCTCTCTCCCAAGAAATCACTCAGTACATGGAGAAGGCAAAGCCTATCATTCAGAATTATGTGGGTAAGAAAGTAAAGGCTATTATTGCTCCTCATGCAGGATTTCGATATTCTGCTCCAACTGCTGCCCATGGGTATGGATGTATTCGGAATGCCTCTAATTTTGATGCAATCACCACAGTGTTTATTTTGGGACCATGCCATCGAATCTATCTTGATGATCAATGTGCCTTGTCCAGATGTGACCAATGTAACACACCACTTGGTGCTTTGAAAGTCAATCAGAAAATTCAAAATGAATTATTGAAACAATATCCAAATACTTTTATTCAATTCAAAGATAAGAAAAACGAGGAGGACGAACACTCTCTTGAATTGCAGTTCCCATTCATTTCTTATTTATTTAAGGGTCGCTTGAATCAGATTCAAATTGTACCCATCATGGTTGGGAGCTTATCAAAAGAGACGTTACAGCAAATTGGAAAAGCATTATCGAGTTACTTTGACGATGACTCTTCGCTCTTTGTCATTTCGAGCGATTTTTGTCACTGGGGAAAACGATTTAGTTATCAGTTCGTTGTAAACAGGGATGTACCTCTTCACAAATCTATTGAACAATTGGACATGATGGCTGTGGACCTTATAACAAAGAGTTCAAAGCAACCTGATGAGTTTTATGCTTACATGAAAAAGTATAAGAACACAATTTGTGGTAAACATCCAATATTAATCATGCTCTATGCCCTTCAAAATAGTAATAATTGGAAAGATGATCACAACATGTGCTTTTTGAAATATTCTCAGTCAAATGCAGCCAAATCTATGGACGACAGCAGTGTGAGTTATGTCTCGATTGCTCTCATGAAATAGAAATTATTGGCCACAATAACTTTTGATTTTCTCACTTGTAAATATTACGTGTAAATATCCAACGATAATACATATTAACACTTGAAACTTGTTTTGTGATTGTTCAACAACAAGTCAACTTACTTTGAGACCAAAGGTTAATTCCCGCCACTTTTTTGCGCGTGCAACTACACACAAATTCAGAACTAAAAAAATTTTGAGAACAGTCCAATCCCACCCAAAACATCATCACCTAACAGGATTTGCCTCCTCCGAAATGATGAATACAACTCAAGAAGAAGTTGAAATGAATCCAGAATCTGAAGCAAAGCGAAAGAAGAAAGTTCTGAAAAAGAAAATCAAGTCGTCTTCGAACCCAGTGGGCGACAGCGAATATATCGAATACAGACGCTCTGGATCTTCGGAACGACATCAATCACCTCCTGTATATTATCCACCACCTCCTCCAAATTATCAAATGCCTTACTATCCTCATCCTTCGTCACCTTTTGGATATTATCCTCCTCCAAGTGGAGTTCCATATGATTACAACAGAGGATATGTTCCTCCAACTCAATCATCTTCTTCATCAGCAGATGATTATATCTATGATCAAAACAGCGGGAAATTTTATTTCAAACCTCGAAGAGAAACATTAAATTGGAGAGTTCTACTTCAGCTAGATGTTGAAAAGATCATGGACCAAGTAGACATTGATACACTTGAAAGTGTAACCAAGAATGTGACATTTTCCAGAATTGACTATAATGATCTCAGGTATTTTAACGAAACCAATTTTGTTCAAGTTTTTAGGATTTCTCAATTAATTATTGAGTACTTGCTTTATGTTCAAAATTATTTATCAACCAAAAAGTAAGTATTCTTAGGAAATACTCGTTTTTGTAATTAAACCCGCTGAAGAAAAGAAGTTGAATCTAATGTGAAGACAATCATCCAAGATTTAGAAGATGCTAAATTAAACTTGGTCAAAAAAACTGAGGAAGTTGCATACTTAAAGAAAGAACTAAAACGAAAAAAGAAAGCTCTCTATGCTTATGAATGCGTGTTTGGAACGAACCCAGAAAAAGCAAGAATTTTATTAATGTCACAAAGTAATCAAAATCAACCAGTAACTCAAATGCAACCTACGCAACCTCAACAACAAACATATTCACGCTCTGATCGAGAAGAAACATTTGGGGAGCTGCGTGGAGATATTAAACGATTGCAAGAAACTCTTTTTTCTCAATTGGAAAGCACGATAGAGAAAAAACAAAGTCAACTTGAAAAAGAAAATCAAAAGAAAGTATGTACTCTGTTGTTGTCTAATTTAACAATTTATCAATAACTCTTTTAGTTGGATTATTTCCAAAACGAGTTCGAACGATTTACCGAAAGCTTTAAAAAACAGCAAGAAAATTTATACTCTACGATCGCAAAGTCAGTGTCCAAGTTTGCAGAGAGTGACGCCTCTACAAATTCTGAAGGGAATAGAGATGAATTTTTGCAATTTTCATCTCAAATCCAAAATCTTATTCAACAAAATAATCAACAAATTCTCACTTCATTTGAAAGAAAGCTAAACGACCTATCTGCATCAACGAAACAAGTGAAAAAAGCAGACCAAGACGAAGAGATTTTGGAATTAAAGAAAAAACTTGACACAGTGCTGAACGCATTGCAAAACAAACAAATGGAGCAGGTCAAACCTGTGGATGTGGTGGTAAACAAAATGAGTAGAGTGGAACCTACTCCAGCGCAGGAAGAGACAATCGTTGTGAAGGCCAAGCCAAAACATGCCATTGTTAAAAAGGAAGAACCTGTGGTTGCGGTTGTGGTCAAATCAAAGGAGGAGCCTCCAAAGAAAGAACCTATGAAAATGGACATTATCAAACCTAAGGAACCCAAGAAGGAGCCAATGAAAGAACCAATGAAAGAACCCATCAAGGTACTTAGTGTGGAAACCACTAGAGATTCGCCCAAGGAGCGTCCAAAATCAATAAGGTCTACTTCTCCCCCAACGAAACAGGTTACTGTGGCTGAGACCAATTCAAAATCTGTCGTTACCATTGTTGAGCAACAACCTAAACCTGCTGTGAGTGAGTCACAACCAGTGGTCTCTCCTCCAAAACCTATTGAAGAGCCCAAGCAACAGGTGCCACCTCCAGCTGTACAGGATGTATCAGAAGAAGAAGAACACGATCAAAGTTATACGACCACAAATAGTGAAATCATGTCTGAAGCAATCAATACAACAACCACAAGCGTTGAAACAGATGTAAGCACACTAGGGCTCAAAGAAAGAATTTACAGAGATATTGAATTAGGAAAGGTATTTGAAGAATTTGGTGAGGGAGTTGCTTATCAACATGAAGAGGATAAACCATGGCTCACCTCCAAGTTTAAACAAAATTCACTCTTTAGAGAAATACAAAAAACAGAAACGAAAGCACTTGTTGAACATGAAATGAATCTTAGAGGAATTGATATGGACCAACATGGATTGTCTGAAGCAGAATACTCTCGAGGTTTAAAGTCACTGCAAAAAGAACGTGATTCTGTGGTAAAAAACAATCCTGATCATTTGGTAATCATGAATGAGTTACGAGAAAAGGTTGACAATATTGTGGCTGAATCAAACAAGAATGTTCATCCACAAGTGGCGTTTAGTCAATACATTGATGACATTATCAACAAGATACAAAAGATGAATGACTTTGATGAGGAAAAGAGAAAACTTCCGCTTACCACTCCCAAAACACCTCAATCACCCGTTCCAGTTGGTGCCAAGAACAATGAAGACGATGAAAAGGAAACACCCACAGTTAAAATTCCTCCAAAACCTGCTCACCGTGAAAAATCAGAACCTGCTATGAAACTAGTGGCTGCTACATTAATGCAAGAAGCTCTTTTAAAGAAAAAGGAAATGGATGAAAACAAGAAGGAATTGACCACAACTTTGTTCAACACACAAAAACCACAATCTGCCAAGCTAGAAGAACAGCGTACTCGTGTGGATCAACAAACCACTCTCAAATCGATGGATTTTACAAAGAAAGTCAATGAACAAGATGAAGAAGAAGACGAACAAAAGAGTGTGAACAATACCAAAATCATTGAAGCTGAATTTGAGGATGAAATGGTTGAGGAGGATCATGAAACCACAGGCTCTACCCTGTATGAAGAAGTTGGTCATGGAGATGAAGATGATTCACAATATACCTATGAATACGAAACTGCAACGGAACAAGATCCAAATGAAACAAAACGAGGAGATATTAGTGTTCAGGAAGAATCCTTTGTGGAAAATTCAAAAAACAAGGATACTGTTCAGGCATTCACTGCCATTGACGAAGATTCAGAGATTTCTGAGAAGAATCACAGCAAACAGCAACCTTCAAAGAGCGTTTCTAATTTAAAGAAACCAACAGAAGAGAGCTCCTCAGTGATGAAAGTTGTGAGTAAAGTGTCAAAACTTAAAGCTCACTCTAGCGACGAAGAAGACAGCGACGACAATGTTGACTTGCCAATCTCTAAGGGAGGTTCGACGTTGACCAATGCCGCACTTGGTAACAAATTTAAAAGCTTGAACAACATGTGGGAAGACATGAACAAGAAAAAGAGCTCCACACTTGACGATAGTCTGGATTTACCTGGATCAGACGACTTTGATCTCTCTTCATTCAAACCCAAAAACGTTCCTTCTTCCAAACAAACAAAACCTTCTGGTTCCTCCATGTTATCTTCTGATGTTTCAGGCTTCATTAAAACGCTAAAAGAGGAAGACGATGATTTGGACACTGAAGAGCTGTAGCACCAATAAAAACACTTCTTTCAAAAATTGTACAAATATTTACTTTTTCCATTTTAAACAACCAAGAGAGACCAAACTCAGCAGTGCAAAATTAGAAATTAAAATAGCAAAAGAAATGAAGTCCCTACCAATTATCGTAAAACCAATCTTGGTAATTGCATTGGTGTTCATACTTGTTTCAATCTTTTCCAGTGTGACTTGCCAACACTCAACGAAGCAGGAAGAATTGATTAAGCAAGTCAAACTCGAAGCGAAAGACATGCCGACAAAACCAAAAACGCCTCGCCATATCATGGATTGTCCGTTAAACCTAGAACATTTTCCTGAATACAAAAAATGTTTCAATGCTCCACTACACTTTTAAATTAATTTGAATCTTTCTTGTGAGAAATAAATAATCGTTTGTTTTTTCTCAATTATTTTCTCAAAGTAATTTGTTAATCAACAGTTAAATATTTCAAATCTAAACTTGGTGTACCGACTCTGAATTCTAGAGGTCCATTGTACATTAAGAGTCTATCGACATCGTTGTTCCATGAAAATAAAGCTGCTCCACAGTTGTCACCAAATGCATTAAGTTCTATAATTTCCACTAATCTCTGCTCTAAATCCAAAACAACAAAATCTACACAACAATCGTCCAACGGAAGAATATTTGAAAACGTGTTTTCAAATGCCTCGGTAATGATATCCTTAATTTGTTTTCATTCCTCCATTGTCACTTGAAGAAAACAAAAATTACTAAAGTACTGAGACATATGGTAGTTATTTTTCTGTTCCTCACAAATGTTCGAACCTCCCTCCAAATTGGTAAGACAATCCATTCTCTAACGACAATTTGTATTGGCATTTCATCTGGAATGCGATGACTTTCAGAAATTCCTTGCAGCATAATTGATAAATCAACATGAGATCTGTAACTTAGTCATCAAATTAATAAATTCCTCTCCAGAATTAACTTTCATACATTTTTGAGCACATATTTGTGAGATGGTTGATTGATACTTGTTATTCTTGAGTCGTAAACTTCCGTCTTCTTGAGTTTCCATTTCTAACTTGTAATTTTCATGCCATTCTTATACCATCTCATTCACCAGTCCCAAATAATTGTTAGTGCTGAATGTAGCATCTTTCGGAGATCTATGGCTAAGTTTTACAAATGCAGAACCTGAAAAATCCTTACATTGAATAACTCTGTCAATTTTTTCTGCGAGTGCATTTAAAGTTGCTTCATCTTCTTCATTGACAGTTCTAGTTCCAAAAAACCATCGTTCATACTTTTTAACAATAGCTTTGGCTTCATTAAAAGTGAAGGATATAAAAATTGTTTTGAAGGTATGATTACCAAGCTGTCAGTAACAAGTTGTCACAAACCAGTGGTCGTCATTGCTCAACTGATGTGAATCATAGTCCAGGTATGGAAATGGAATCATTGTCTTCAGCAATAGTAAAGTTGCATCCCTAAGAGGATAATAGTAAGAAAATAACAAATACATTATAAAGGGAAGAAACCAGTTCAGTTCTAATAGCTTTCTTTTGATCGAGCATAGATCAGCAAGTCGAAATTCTGAAAATATAGAAATAAAAAGAAGTATAAATTCAGTCAATAAGGTGAGTTGATCAAGGGACGAAGGGTTGAAATAAATTTCCATGATTTGGTGAATCCATATATAACAGTTGCTCATCGTCACACATTTCTCCAGTAATCTCACAAAGGTGAGAAAACGTTTGGAATCAGAGATTGGTCTTGTAGTCAATATATAGTGAATAAAGTACAGAGCTGCTCTATACTTCTCTGGAAAGTGAATTAATTTCTTTCCAAACGTTAATGACATCTCCGAGACATGCCATGTGTTCGATCGATGAGTTGTGGACATGTCGAATTTCTTCTAGTTTGTATTTCATTGGATAATTCGGAGGTGATTTCTGAGGTTCGTCCAAAGATGATAATTTTCCATCCAATGTTTCTTCGAGGAATTCTAGAAGAAAATCCAATCATCATCATCATCCGATAAATCCTGACCATACTGATGATCAAGTCCTTTCAATTCCTTCATCATTTCTTTCCAAGCATGCTGCTTTCGGGACATTTTTGATCGGAATTAAAACATTTTGTTCTGTCGAGCTGTCGAGCTGTCGAGCTGTCAGACATGTCCAGAGAGAATGTTTTTTGGTGGAAACAAAGCCTTTTAAAAAATATCCAAAATGTTATTACTTTTACTGTCGCGACGATTACACCATGAGGAAGAACATCATCACAGTGATGTTTGTAGGAAACATGCACTTCCGGTCGTGAAAAAATCAAAATATAATTACCTACTCTTGTCATCATCATGTCAAAGAGTTCCAACCATCATTTCCAAAATTAATATTCTTCTCTCGGGATTGTTGTGCCTGTTCATATGGATGCCAATGATTTCTTTGTTTCTTCATAGACATCAAGACACAGAAAATTATCATTTACGACCGTCTCATAATAATTTTCAAGTTTTTGCTTTTAAATATATATTTCCGTCAGATTTGGATTGGATTGAATCAACAGAACAATTCTCATTCAACAAGACACTAACGAACAGAGTCTCCACACTTAATCAATTCAGTTGTTTTCTCGAAAACAATTTTAAACATTTTGATTTAATTTTCAATGTTGGAAATAATGAAACTGTAGAAGAAACAGGAGGGATTGTGTCTTTTCAAACAATGACTGATCTCTTTCAATACTTCTCATATATTATAAAGCAGGATTTAGAGAAATATAAATGTCTCATGTATAACGTGACAATAATTGTGACAAGTGACATTCATGAAACACCAGAGCAGCCCAACACTGTTTGTGGAAATAGATTACCCTCTTTTGACGACTCAAAAAATTTGGTCAGAGTAATTATTAAGATCAGGAGTGAATACTCTAATGACAGACAGACATTGCAATGCTCAAATGATAATCCAGTGTTTCTCTTTGATTCAGCTTCTGCTGTGAAGTTAACCTTCACTAACATTCAACTCGAGAAAATGATGATACGACCTTTAAATATCACTAATTCAATACTTATTAACTCTGTCATTTACATTCATTTGAGTGCACATGAAGCTGGAATTTCAGACTCTAAACTTATTAGAACACAAACAAAAATATCTGAAGTTGGAACGTTGAAACTACGTAATACTACCATGCTATCTGGAGCTTTGTATATAACCGATTGTGGTAGAATTCATATGGACTCTTTTTATTTCCATGACAGTTTGGAACACACTTCAGATTCTACGCTGAAGGTCTCCAACTCTGAGACATTTCATGTATCACGGTCGACATTCGTTTTCGGAAAATATTCTTCACTTCAGATAGAAGCAGTGATTGAGGCCATATTTTTAACATGTCAATTTGATTACATGACTTATTCATCCAAAGATGATGGTCCTACAGAATATGGAATTGTAGGAAATTTATTATTTCGATTATATTTAATTGGATGTACTCTAAAGAACAGAAATCACGATCATGGTTGGCTCAAGATAATTAGTGGAGGTGTGATAAATATTGAAAACGTCATTGTTGCTAATAACACATGCAACAAGGCAGAAGGGATTTTCTATTTTTATTTATGCCAAACAATTTACATGTCAGATTCCACATTTACAAGTAATTCAGCCAAGCACAGCGGTAGTCTTTTATTGTTGAGCTCTAAAACCTTCAATATTTCGAATACCCAATTTATTGACAACCATTCTTTAAAGAGCGGTGGAGCATTGTCCGTCTTAGAATCGTACGGTTCATCACAATTGAGGAAAGTTTCTTTCATTCGAAATGTTGCAAATAATGGAAATGGAGGAGCTATTGCCATGGTCAACAGCAAAGGATATATCACCATATCAAATGTAACCTTCTCACATAACAGAGCTACCCTTGGAGGAGGAGCATTGTATGCGAATAATGTCACTTTCCTTTTCATATCACAAAGTAATTTTGAAAACAACATTGCTCATCACGAAACCAATGATGAACGATGCGTGACTACATCATTTTTGTCAGGTGGAAGTGGAGGAGGAATTTCTTTATTTCAAAGTGCTTTTGAATTACTTGAGTCAAACTTTACAGAAAATAAGGCAACAAGGGGAGGTGCAATTTTCACAACCTCTTCAGCTCTGATCCAAGATACCCAATTTGTAAATAATAAGGCATTTGTTGCAGGGGGAGCATGTTTCTTTGTACTAAACTCCTCGCAAATTACTTTATTCGACGTGGTAATGCAAAACAATGAGGCCAATATTTATGGGCAAAACATTTCGACTCCTGTTTATAGTTTTTCAAAAGAGATACTGAAACCAATTCCAACGAATGGTCATGTCATGTTATATCCTGGAGAAACATTAGCGTTAAAATTTACAAACATGTATGACAAAAACAATAATTACATACCTATCATGTATGAATGCCCTTTTCCGTCAATTTCAGATAGACGTTTTTATCTCCTCAGTAACATTTCTAACTTTGAAAGCAATACGATCTATTTCACATTAATGATTCAACCTAATGTAGATGTTGATTTAGAGAAACATCTTATTGAAGCTGACATTACGATATGTTTCACAGAATCTCAAAATTCTTCATTACGTGTTTTCATTGGTCCCTGTCCAACAGATTATGTCATTAACGACGGAAAGTGTGAAATGAGTTTTCCACTTTCCAAAGTCATTCCTGGAATAGTTGTTGGGTCCATTCTACTCTTATTTTTTGGAATCATTTTGGGCTCATGTGTTTGTAGCTTCTGTGCCTTCAGTGTATGGAGAATTTTCAAAAAAGCCAAAAGCTTGTACGTGAGACAGCGGTCAGAAAGGGAAATTGAAGAAAAATTGCTCAATTACGATGTATCGTTCTCTCATTATGGGTCTCTAAATTCAGGTGAATCTTCTACCATGGAAAAGAATTTGCAGTACATCATTCCTGTGAGTGATCTGAAAATTGAAAAGAAAATAGGTGAAGGTGCAAGTGGAAGGTAGGTGTGAACTATGAAAGTATTTTAATTTTATGTATTTACGAATAATTCACAGCGTGTACAAAGCAAAATATAACATGATGGATGTTGCAGTGAAGACAATCATTAGAAAAGATGATACTCACCAAGATTTTGAAAAAGAAGTCATGCTACTTGTTAAGCTTAGACATCCAAATATTATTTGTTTTTATGGAATTTGCATATCTGAAAGCCAGCTCTGTATTGTGGTCGAGTTATGTCAGAATGGAAGTTTAGAACAAATGATAAAAGAAATGAAAAAAGGAAAAATTAAGAAGAAATTCAAGGACAAACTCAAAATATTAATTGGTGTTGCAAATGGAATGAAATATTTACACGGACTGCAACCTCACTATTTAATCCATAGAGATTTGAAACCTGCAAATATCATACTAGATCAATCTTATACACCAAAGGTATGTAAATAGAGATGGTGTATGTTTCATGATTCATTGTATTTTTCAAGGTTTGCGATTTTGGGTAAGTGAATTTATGATGAGCACAATGAAAAAACATTTTACACTTATATTACAGACTGAGTCGTGTGGTATCCATGAATACACAAACAAATTCCTTCACAGGAAATGTTGGAACCATGCTCTACATGTAAGTATTGAACTGTTCACAAAAGATGTTAATTTTTCACACACTTCATTCGTAGGAGCCCTGTAAGTGTTTATCATCATTGAATTTCAATACATATTATTTACTGTTTACTTACACATATTTTACTGATTACTAATCAATGACGTGTTCTCCAACGATAGGAATTAATCTTGGAAGAAGACTCTGAAACGAACAAACTCACAAGAGAAAATGCAACTAAAATTGATGTCTACTCGTATGCCATTATCATGTACGAATTGTTCTTTGAAGAGACACCTTACTGGAATGAAGATAATGAAAAAATTAATTTCTTTCAACATTGCAATAGCGATCAAAAGAAAGTGAAAGCGTTTAATCTTTTATATCAAGTTGCCAATCATGAAAAACGTCCTCTCATTCCATTCATCAACCATGAAGAAATGAAACTATGGTGTGAAAAATTCATGCCCAATGATAATGTTTCCAACGAAGATTTATTGATTGGAGTTGACATGTATGTGAAACTCATGAAACAGTGTTGGTCTGCAAATCCCATCGAAAGGCCTTCTTTTGAGAGAATTATTCAAAAGTTGACTGAAATTTATCAGATGCTCTCTTAACACAGCAAATTCCACTCTCAATAAGGATTGCAATTCGATGTGCGAATTAGGATCATTCCCTATTTTCATTGTGGAACATTAAGCATTTCATTAGCAATGGAATGACAAGATTCATGCATCAATAGACGAGAGACTCGAGTAAATCAATAAACCACCCACACTTCCAATTTAAACTATTTTCAGAAGATTTCAAAAATTCAAATCAAACACATTTCTTTAAGAACACAGATCCACACTTTAAACGCTTCTTCAAAAAAAATATTCAACCGCAATCGAAGAGATTGATCAGAGAGTGATTCCATTTGCCTTTCCGAGAGAATCATGTCCTCTTCAACTAGTAGTAGTGGTAGCATCAGCAATACCACGAATAACTTTTCAATGGCAGAAAATTATTTACACTTCCTTACATCGGTCAATCCTACGGACTATATTTGCACCTCGGAACGTGCTTCTCAAATTGTAAAATTATTTTCGGAACACTATTTACCACTTCCCTTCTCGTCAAATGAAGACAAGTCTGATCTTACAGAAGAAACGACTCTAGTTTTGCTTGTTCCATATTTTATTGGCTTGGCAACATTACAAATCAGGCAAGAACGAAATCCAAATCAACCCTTTGATATGGAAGCACATAAAAAGGTTAGAACTGTACAATTAAAACAAGCCAAACAGCAATTTATATCCTTTTTAAATTTAGTAGTACAATATGAGCAAGTGAATGATGAATATTTATCTTGGGTTCTTCCATTCACCATGCAAGATGATGAAGAGGAAGAGTTGCAACAAGTCAAGAAAAAACAAGATGAATTTCAAAAATTAATGAGCGATAGAAACCAAATGATTTTGAGAATGAAATCAAAAACCTTCCTAGAAAATAATTTATTTTCAAATTGTGAATCATTGTCAGATATGGAAATTTCAAATTTATTGAATGATCGAACAACAGAAGAATCGACCACTGAGCTTAGCAATGACCACAAGCTAAAAGTTTCTGATAAAATCAAAAAAAGAATGTTACCTATCAGAGAATACATTCAATTTTGCGTATTGGATACTATTGAACAGCTTTCATCCATCAACAGAGAAGAACAAATGTTAGCAGCAGCTGCGTCACAGGCTCAACAACAACCTACCAGAGGCTCAAATACAGGAATGAGACCATCACAACAAGGCAGCGGTAGTGGAATTGCACACCTTAAAGCAACCTCTATCAATGATATTTTATCTAATAGGTCTCAACTTTCACAAATGGGTTACAATATGGTGTTATTACCCAGTGCTTCTGGATCCCAGAAGCAACCCAAGCAAGGATATAACAATTATTTGCCACGTTCAACCGTTGGGTCACAAGGTGTGGCGAGCTCTGCATTCGGCTCATACAATACCAATAGAACGGTCCGAGAGAACATGAAGGATAAAGTATTCGGTAGCTATGTTCCTCCTCCAACCATGTCCATTGAAGAATTTGCCAGAATTGAAATGGAAGAGCTTCATCAAAGACACGAACGTGAAAAACAACAGGCTCAACAACAGAAAAAGAAGGAAGAGGACGAAACAGAAGAAGAGGATGAAGAGGAGCTCAAGAAAAAAAGAGCATGGGATGACTGGAAAGATGATAATGTAAAAGGTTCTGGCAATTTAAGAGATTAAATGTTATTGTTTTACTCAGGCAAAATTGTTCTAAATCTTGTCATTCTTAGGTTCTGGTTGAACATACGGATCTATCCACTGAATCTCACACTTAAGCATTGGTTCGTCACACACAAAAGTCTCATTAGGGAAAGAAAGCTGAACTTCGGAGTCTTGTTGAGGGATAATACTTTCCTGTGCAACTTGCACGCTCGAAGAAACAATTGATATAGGTTGGAAATGGTCACACGAAAAGTAAATGAGGTTACTAGAATATAGGGAGCCATGTGTGTAATTGGAAATGAAATTAAATTCATCTCCAGTAATAACTCTGTAAGGACTAGTAAACCCAAATCTACTAGTGATAAACTTGTGAAGAATGGTATCCTTGTTATTAACTCCAATGTTTCCACAAAGTGTCATTCCAAGTCTTAGTTTAGGTTGCTGTTGTATTCGGGTCGCAATGTAATTTGTAAAACATTTGAATATGGCAACCAGTTGAGTAAGCAAAAAATTGGTTTCTAAATCAAAATTCTTTTCCAATTGAATTGTTTCGTCAACATCTGAAAGAGAATGCAAGGCAAAATTAATGACCAAGACATTTAACTGATCGAATAATATTTGAGGTCGTAATCTTGTGGACTTTCTGTCCTCCAGTAACTCATGATTAAACACTTTTAACAACTCTGCATTGTCCTTCATTTCAAATTCGGCAATGCTGCAAAGAGACGGCAGTGTGTTTTTTCGAATCTTTTCTTGTTGAGCTTCGCAAAGCCGTTTCAGTCGTGTGACGTCAACTTCTTCGTTTGGAGACTCTCCAAAATTACTTATGGTTTGTTGTACTGTTTTAAAAACAGTGTCATCATATTCAAGTTCAATGATTTTTGTGTCACTAAATCTGCTAAACTTGCTTCTCTTGTAAAAAATGCAATTTCCAGAATTAGTTGTATCTAAAATATGAGAAATATTCGAATAGCCAATTTTTGAGAGATCTAAGTTCCAGTCGTTATATTCCGTGAGCTCAACGTTTTGAAGAGACAACATGTCAATATCTGATTGAATGAGTTCTCGATATATCAAACGTTTTCTATATACTGAGTATGAAATAAAGTCTAGGTCTGGCAGTGTATGACTTTTTATGCCTCTGTAAGTCAACGTATAGCTTCCAATAGAAAAAACAAAATCTGGTTTGTAATATGTCAGCAAAAGTCTTGTCTTTTGTCTGTAATCTAAAATATTGTCATCCATATTCGAAACAATTGTTCTGCGCGGTATGGATGTTGGCATTTGTATCACAGGTTTTGTGATAATGTCTTTACAAAAACATTTTCCTGTCTTTAAATAAAATTCGTCATCAAATAGCACTACTCTTAACCGTAGCCTATAATTTAAATCGTCACTCGTGGGAACATAGCTTAACCCATTGTACAAGGAAATGCTACTTGTTTCCTCTTTTTTATACGTTTTTGTGGGATCGCTATTTGTTTCTCGGAACCATTCAATGATACAAGTCCCTAAATTTTTAATGTACAACGTCGGAGCCATATCTACTCCAACAATAGGTGTATGAAACTCAAATGTTACTTTGATAATGTCTTTTTCTTCTAAGAAGGAGATGGATCTTTGAGGTAATTGTTGTGCAGAATTTGAGTTGCCCATGTTGTAAAAGATGAGATAAATAAATTAAAATTGATGATGATGATTATAACAGTTTTCTTTGTTTTAAATTCAAGAAGGAGCTCCAAGTACGCAACAAATGACAACTTTTCTTCAGTGGTGGTAGACTGATTGATGAGACCGACACCAGGTGTTACCCAGCGATAGCAAAGTTGTCAACTGTGTTTGGTTATTTTTTTAATTTGATTTATAATCTTTTTTTCAAACGTTTTCAAGTTCTTGTTGTCTGTTATCCACAACTAGGATCTCCGGAGAAGCCCAATAGACCACGCCATTATGTTGAAGTTTGAAGATGTATTAATTCAAAAGAAGTATTCATTGGTAAATTGAAAAAGAACAAGATTGGAGAGTTCAAACAATAATTTGTAATAATTTTCAAAATTGTTTTTTAATTGGTGGAACAAGTTGTGGATTGTCTAAAGACAATGGCTAGGGAGCATCAGGTTACTACTACTTGAGATCACTGTACAATGTTATATTTCACTCTAGAATGTCATTCGATGACTGGCAGATGTTGTTGTATTCTTGATCTTTGATACAATAATAAAATTAAATTATATTCTTTTAGTGTTCTCCTTTGTGAAGGTTATTTGCTGGTATGCGTATTCATAGGTGTAACAGGAAAAGCAATATCCAGTGTTTTTGCTGGAGCGTGGGCAGGGATAGATTTTCTCTTATTCCTACTCGTATTGGTGTGTTGAGCCTTTGAAATACTAGATAAAAATTCACCAAAGGAAGCCTTTGGTTTTTCCTTCTTGTAAAGAATGGTATCATCAGCGTGATGAACATCAGCTTCATAGCCATATATTTTAGCTAACGTTTCTTCTTTCTTTTGAAGCTCCGAGAACGAGCGTCCGATAGGAGATTGATGCGAAGCTGAAGTCGATGAAGAAGAGGACATTTTTTGTTTGATGATATTTTCTGATTCATCATTTAATTTGTAAAATTTATTGTTCTGAACCTACGCACCGAAAAGGCGGTGTTTGGTGCTAGTGCTGCAAAAAGGATATAAAACAAGATCCTCAGCGAATCCAAGACGAGGCACAGCAGTTTCATGGTCGATCGATGATGAGAGAGGGAATGAACCTTTAAAAACTCTGGTCTCTCGGTTTCGAATTGAATTCTAAACGTTTGTCCGAAAAAAACTCAAAAAGATCCTCCTCTGTACCTTGTTCTTCTTCTTCTTCTTCTAAACACAACCACTCCGTTTCAACAGCAAACAACAACTCAACCATTCGAATTCCATTCCATCACCATCATCATCGTTCTTGGTATTAAGAAAGAACCACAAAAAGAAAAATGAATCCAACACCCAAATCCATCCAAACCCACCAACCACAACTCTTCCCTCCGATCCCTTCCAAGCCACAAGACGTGATTCCACAACAACAACAACAACAACAACAACCAATGAGACCCATCACTCCTGCAGCGGTGGTGATTCCACAACAACAACAACAACCATACAGTTCGACGCCAATGACAGACTACTCAAGGAATATTCCTCTCAATCATTGGAATGGATCATCGGGAGATCATCTTCATGCATCAACCTCAACCAGTAATACCATACACGTGCTTTCGAATGAAAATTATGGAAATAATTGGCAGCAACCAGTGGTGATGTATCAGCAACAGCCTAAAGATTTAATTTATGGAGGAGAATTAAATCATGGTAGCAACAACTATGTTTATATTACTAGAGATCATTCAGTGTCACCAAATTGTAATGTCACAACTAATGTGTTGTCTCAAAATAGTGGTCATGTGAATGGCTTAAATAATAGCCAACAACTTCATGTGCCTATGGATCAACAAATTCAGAACGTTTCGTCAAAAAGAAATAGTTCACAACACGTAGAATCCAACAAGACATCTCTCACCAATTCATCATCACCCTCAGCATCTACCACTTACAACAATCATCAAGAAACTACAAATAATTCACATTTCTCTTCAAAACAACAGACACCACCTGCATTTCATCAATCCAGTCCATCCAGTAACCACTTGACTACTGGGCTGAACTCGACCATCAACCATCACTTTCATGATGTAAGCCAATTTCAAAATAACTTTTCAAATTCTCAAAAAATTCCAAAAAAGTCCGTTTCTACAGACAATCCAATTAACAAGATTGCGAATGTTGTTGAGGATTTTATTGACCGAATTGTTCCAGGTGATAAAGGCACTCGAGTTGACCTTACAGAGCCAAAACCAATTAAAGGACTTTCGAATAACATTGGAGAGTACAATTGCTTTTTGAATGTTGTGATTCAAAGCTTGTGGAATTCTCGACCATTCAGAGAATTATTTTTATCCATTGATAAGGATAGACATTTTCACAAAGATCCACAATCTTGTGTGTTTTGTGCTTTGAAGACTTTGTTCACAACTTATGAGACTGATGCACGATCAGTGATTGAACCCAACGATGTGAGAACAAGTCTCTCGTTTGCTCATAACAAAGATTCTAAATTTCAATTAAGACGTATGGATGACGCTTCCGAAGCATTTGTAAGTTTAAAAAGTTTTTCAAAGTATTCATAGCAACAACCTTGAGTGTAGCAAGCAATTTTAGATGATGTCAATAATTCACTCAAGTATGACCAAATTCCTATCTTTGATTTTAATGTGACTGATTTTTATGTGTGTCGTAATTGTAATTCATATTCTGAGCCACACAACTACACGACAAACAATTGGTGCATTTCCAGTAGTGAATTTGTCTCCAACAAAAGAAGAGATCCCAACATGTCATTTGAGAATGCTATTCGATCGTCGATTGAAAGTTTCCATAAAACTTGTGAGAATTGTAAAGCGATATCTGACTCCCAGAAACATATTTTCCAAACCTTTCCAGCAGTGTGTACGATATCCTTCTCTTGGGAATCTGATGTTATTTCAGAAGATTCTATTTTGGAGTTTATGTCTTATTTCAAAATTAAGAATATTAATTTACATGAAATTTTTAGATTGTACTGTAATGGAAATGATATTGAAGTGATTGGAAATGTATCTTCGATTATTTGCTATTATGGCAGACACTACATTGTAAGTATGAACAAGTCACAATATCAAAATTCTAACATTCAACAGTGCATTGTTTATGACAAGAAAACAAACAAATGGTTTGGAATTGACGACAGTCGAGTAAGAGAAATTCCTGAAGTAGAACTCGCCCATTTCATCATTTCTTCAAAGTTTCAACCTTGTGTAGTACTGATTGAGGTTGAAAAAAGCAAAGGAAATATTGAAATTGAAAGAACGCTCAAGCAAAAGGCATCTATAGCTGAAATTGAGCTTATTTCTCCATTGAAAAAGAAGACTTCTTTAAGTCAATTGACAAACACTCAAACAGATTCCAGTGAAATTCAATCGAACAGTTCAAACTTCATTGTGGAAAATCATCAAATTGGATTAATTATCGATGGATATGGACCTGTCTCTGACTTCTTTGTATGGAGACAAACCACCAATAATTCCAGTATTTACACACGTACAGTAACCCTTTCAAAAGATCACATGAATAGCATTTCATCTCAACTGAATATTTGTTTGTTTTTAGATCAGATTGAACTTGTAGACAAGGAAGCAGTCACTGTCAAAATTTGCTTTGCTCCCACAGGTGGATCAAGAACCTTTCAATGGTTAGACATTGGTAAGCTTGACAAGAATAAGAGAAGTCTATTCTCATCCATTCCTGTTGGCTTTATTTTGACCGATGGTGGTTTATCAAAGTCTTATGAATTGTATTTTACCCTGAAAAAAGAAAGAAGCACTCATTAAATCATGCATCCATACATGCATCGATTTGTTGTGTAATGTAATATACACAATAAGCAACATATTACTCTTTTCGTTGTTATTTCATTCTTCTAATATTTGTGAATGAATCAACAATAAAAAAAATGGAAAAACTGCTTCAGAATTTTCTCAACAGTGAAAAATGTGCTTCTAGCCTGTCCAATTTCAATTTTGAAACAGTTTGCTTGAAATTATTGCTTTCCAAGCTTTTGGGTACTTTGGTTATTCTTGGATCTGTATTGTATAAGGTTCCGCAAATTATTACCATTTGCAAGAAGTCTTCCGTAGAGGGTTTGTCTGCCTTGATGTTTATTTTGGAAATTTATGGGTAAGTAGGAAGTGAAAATTTAGTACTTGATCGCGATCTGAAATTTTACAATATGGATCATGTTGAAAATGATATTTTAATACTTTTTCGTTCTCGTTCATAATGATGAATACAATTTATAAATGTACAATATTTATTCACGAAATATTAATATTCAGACAAGTGATCACTTTGGGATACAATATTCGTGGAGGCAATCCATTCAGTACCTATGGAGAATATGTCTTTATGATTGTGCAAAGTAAGTGGTGAATTCCGAATTAATTTACGATGATTGTGAAATTCGTATTTGATTAGACGTCATCATTCTCTTGCTCTTTTTCATATATTCCAAGAACAATGATTTTATTTTCTCTCTCTCAAGCATTGCATTCCCAGTCTTCTTTTACTTTACAGTGTTTGACACTATATATGTAACTGAACAAGTGATGAAAACTTTGTTTGCTCTTACTGTTCCAATTTTCATTTTCTCTCGTGTACCTCAAATTGTCAAGAACTTTTCTCAAGGAGGAGTTGGTGCTTTGAGCTTTACAACGACCTTCATGCAGGTTGCTGGATCAGCTGCCCGTTTGTATACTACTTTGCAAGAAGTTGATGACAAACTTATTTTGTTCACAACCATTTTAGCTGTTGGATTGAACGGCATTCTCATGTTGCAAATTATTTATTATGACATCATTGTTGGAAAGAAAAAGAGTGACGTTGCAACATCCAGTACTAATGCCGCCACAACATCAAGTCCTGATACTTCCACCCCAAAAAAAAGAAAGTCTGTTAAAACTGAGTAAGAATCCAGAGGGAAACTGACGCTTTAAATTAAACCTTTTTTCAACTTTTCTGCACACGTATTTTGCTCGCCTGATTAGAGTTTTTTAAGGATGGCGTTAATTCTGTTAAAGTGTTCCAGCTTTCTGTCTTGCAGGATTGTTTTCAAAGAAGTTTGATCTTGGATGTCAAGGTTCTCCTGTTGAGACGAGATTTCATTTTGCAAAATTTCACGTTCTTTCATAAGGAACTTTTCGATCAGTAGCAATAAATCTTGATATTTCAATTCAGGGCGAAATTGTCGTTTCCCAAACGAATGTGCACATAGAATCTCCAAGAAATACTTAGTATTGATTTCTGAAAGCATATAGGAGGTCGAAATCATGAACCCATTGTCACAGATATCACAAATTTTTTGAATTGTGAAAGGCTGGAAAATGATTTCCTCCTTTTCTGCAATATCTTCTGATATAAAGGTATTGTTCTCAGTATTTTCATTGTTATCTAAAGGTTCCACAGGTATTAACTGGTTTGATAAATTTCCTTCTTCTTCGATATCTGCTGGTCGTGTTATCATTGTATTCACAACTCTCTCAATATTATCTATGATATTTAGATCATTTCCTATCGATCGTCCATATCTGTACACATATCGAAGTTGTTGCTCTGGAGTTTCAATAAAAATTCCATCAGGTTCATTCCGAAAAAACAGAGGTAATTCTGTGAATTCTGAGGATGAGCCATGCCAATGCATGAGGGATTTTTGAGGACTTGACAAATGTGATGGATTCGTAATCACTTGGTCATGAGTGTTACAATGGGTGTTGTGGATGATCCTGTTATTAATAAATCGAATATCCTGCAAGGGATTAAATAAATGAGCTCTATCGTATTGGGTTGTTACATGTCCATACTTTTGAGAATATTTGGTGATAGCTTGTTCTCTTTCTCTAAAATAATACTGATCGTTGTTCTTTAGAGGAGTTTTCAAAAAAGAATTTCCTTTTCCCTTCATCTGTCTCGAAAGAATGCAATGCTCTTCAATTTCGTCACGATCCTGAATGATACCAGAATGATCTTCACTCTCAACAGTCTCTTCAAGGTCTACTTTGATTTCTTTCGCCTTTCTCTTGCGTCCTCTACGTTTACCTCTTTCAGAATTACTAATAGGATTGTCGGACTTGCTTTGCTACCAGTAAAAGATTTTGTGCTCATTTTCAAATACTGTGTTCTTGTTTTTTTTTCTAACTTTGTGCTACTTTGCTTGAAATCTTGTTGTACTGGTATGCGAGGTTGACCTTCAAGACGAACCAATCTGAACCTGAAGACTTTAGCACCTTGCTTTCCATTTGGAAGCACTTGGTTCTCTTTCCAATAATTTGTAACCCAATACAACCCATCATATCTGTAACCAGATTTTGGGGCATACTTGGTTTGTAATTGAAAACCTCGCACAACACGTACTGGTATTTTTTTTGTTAGGTTCAAAGTTAAACTCTTATTGACACTATTCATTGTTTGATCTTTAGTTTCTGAACCTCCTTGCCCTGTATAAATTAAGATGTTTCCATAATCCTCATCACCGTAGCCTCCCATAGAAGATGCACAAATTGATTCTGCAGCCTCATCGTTTTTACCATTTCCACAAATTCCACACTTAATAATAATTTGTTTCATATTCAAAGAAATAGTATTATTGAAATGTGACAGCAACTTACCTGAGGAGGTCTATGGGTTTTAGTGCATGAACAGTCTAATCTTTTTTCGTATGTTGTCAGTACTGGTTCAATATACCCATAAATTCTTTTGCCTTTTTCCGAAAAACTAGCATCCTTAATATCATTCCATTTAGAGGCATCGCCAAAGTGTAACCTATCCTTTTCAGTAATTTCTGGAGTTCTGTTCGGACGGTTGATTTTCAATGTTTCATCATTTTCATTGTCTTCATTACTAATATCAGACTGTTCACTTTCTGACAGCTCTATTACAGAATTTTTCTGAATTTTCTTAATGTTCTTTTTTGCTCTTTTTCTCGCTTTTGGTTGTATCTCTTCTTTTCTCTTGCTTTTTGGGATGTTAATAGCAGGAATTTCAGTAACATCAGAATCGTAATTGTCACTTTGATTTATGTGAAAATGATAGCTCATCATCAAAATCTCCAAAATATTGGGTTGAGAGAAGAGGGGAAGATGGGATAAAGTCTGAACCTAGGGATTTAGTCGTCATATTAAAAATGTTGCTGCTCCTCAGAGTCGCAATACTTTTGTTGAAAAGAATAGATTCTTCATCCTCCATAATGTTTGTATCATCACCAGTGATAGGTGATGGTGTCGAATGATTAGCTCGTTGTGATAGAGTACATGGTTGTTCTTGTTGTTGAGAGTTCGTATTGGTGTTGCTTTGGTTAGAAATTATATTTTGACAACTCTCTTCGTGTTGTTCTCTTGTGAGATTGCATTCTTGCTCTTGAGTTGACTCATCACACTCTTGTTTTGACAGGCTAGGATTTTGATTACTTTGATTGGTATTGTTGATGTTTTCGCTGACATCATCACCATGAAACATGTTTTCCATAAAATCCAAATTCAACGACTCATCATGTTCCGACCTGTTATGGCTTGGTGGAGGAGCAAAGACTTCGTTGTTGGAAAGATTCAATTCTTCGGAAAGATCCAACAGAAATCTACCAACATCAGCTGAAGAGAAGTCTTCTTCTTCATGCGGTACCCTTCTTTCGTAATGATGATCAGAAAAGTGTTGAGAAGGCTCCGACACCTCTGCAAGCCTAACCATTTGGTGTTGGAAAGTGTTGGGGAGGTGTTTGTTGAACGGCCGTTTAAATTTTTTTTCAAAGAGGGAAAATTGCCTTCCCATAAGGTCTGAGAATATAAGCAAGCAATACTTGCCTTAATACATCATCATCGAACCTTCGTGTTCAGGTTGGTATCTACTGTTCCTCCTCATCAGTTCATCAGAAATGTTATATAACATGAGCATGGTTACTGGAGAAATGCTTCAATATAACGTTTCCGGTAAAATAAACTATAACGACATGGACCACCAAACGAGAGTGAGTACTTGAAATTCATGAATGGCTCTTGCTGCATCTGCAGGTACAACAAGAGATAAATCCACAGAAGATTCTCCATGGATGATAACACAAAATATTCATGACCACCTTTTCAGTCAGAACGGTTCCATTTATGCCAAGGTTAACCTCCAATATATTTTTTCAGACAACCCTTCCAAAGAGATGCGAATGAACTTCTTGGAATGATGAAAGGTCGTTTCGTAGAAATCCAAACACAATAATGACAGGTAGCTGTCCGTTTTGGAATTACCCAATTTTCATTGACAAGACATTTGATTGTTTGAAACAGTTCTGTTGGTTGTGGATGCGGTGTTGCCATCACAATCATGATTTTCCTCGATTACATCAAATATATTTGCTTTTTAACTGTTCTGAGGGGTTCTCATCCACAAAACAAAAAGCCACAACATCCACTCATTTGAACCAACACAACCATGACAATTTCGAACCAAATGATGACATCCCATCCTTCTGCACCAGCTTTTGACGATTTCGTTCTTGCCAACAACACCAACACCTCATCCACAACCACAACCTCTCAGTTCGGTGAGTACAATATTTTGGTTGTGGCCTTCGTTGCACCCTTCGTTGTCGTGTTTGGAGTTCTGTTTGTGGTGAGTTGTGTCAGCTTCTTCCTTCAAAGAAACAAAATGAAACGAAAACAATTCGTTTTGTTTTCTCTCTTACTGACACTTTGTTTAACAGCCACCTTCTCGAATATGTTTAGAATAGGCTCCGAACTTGCCTTCTTGCATCCTCTTCCAGACCAAGCTTTGTTACTGAATAATGGTATCAAGGCTGTCGATCGATTCCTAGTATCGGTACTAATTTATGTACAAATTCTCATCCTTGCCGTGATTTGTTCGGTGTTGTAAGTATTCAATGAATGAAACACATTCTCTTTATGGAATGATTTATCATCAGTATGGAGACCACAAAAGCAACAGGATTTGCCTCGAAACCAGTGTACAGGGCTTCATACGTGGCACTCTTTGTCATTCTGGCTCTTCTTTTTGGAATTTTGTTGTTGAATAATATTGCAATTTTCACATTCCATGGTTTAAGAGGAGCACCTGTTCAAGTATTAGACATCAATCAAACAAACGATTTTCAAAAATCGATTTTCATAGCTCCTTGTATTATATTCTTTCTTTCATTCTTTGCCATTTCTGCGATCCTTAATGTAAGTAATTGGTGCGTGTTAAATCTTACGCTTGAACCTATTACTTTATATCATTGATAGGTATATGGATTCAAACTGTATCATTCCCTGCAAAAAAGTAAGGCCAAACTCATCAAGATGTTCATTAAGCAGCATCAAGCATTCCAAGGTATTGTGGAACCGCTTTCTCCAATGCCTTTACAAAGTATGGACTCTCTCACAAACGATTCACCTCGAAATAGTATTCCAAATTGTATAGGCAAAGGCATGACAATGGACGCCTCTCAAACCACTATGGATGACGCAAAACTTCCAACCTCTCCTTCCACTTCTGTAGAAGATGTCAAGTTTACAGCAGAGCAAGAGAAAATATATGAATTTAAGAAGGCAGCATTGCGAAGAGCTCTTGTCATTCAACTGGGATTAAGTGCATGCTTGTTTCTCCAGTCGATTGGTGTTCTGTTCATTTCTATTGCTGTCGTTTGGAAATACCTGTTGCTGTTCTTTTACATGTTTATTAATCTTGGGATGAGCTTCTTTGTGATTTTGCTATTAGTGATTTACAGTCCTCTAAGAGAAGTTCAACGGCTTGTAAGAACACCAAGTGACCAAAACTTGGCAAAACAAGCTCCTCCAAATGAAAATGTAAACATAAAAACCGTTGTGCAATAATAAAGGTTCCATACATCCAGTTGGCGGTTTACAATGTGGACTGGCTTGCCACGACACCACAGCAAATTCAACCTGCGTATTCAGTCCATCAAAAAAATATTTATTCATCATCGTCATTGTCAACTCAAACACCAGCGATGCAACGAATGAAAGCCAGAAAATCGGGAGGTGTTTCCCAACAACGAATTGCTCTCACTGGTAGTGATCACGGTTCAATTATGAAGACGTATTTTGGTGAGGATGATGCCCCTGGTATTAAAGTGTAAGTGTTGGACGATTTCAATTATAGGCCAACAATGATGTTTATGTGATGATGCGTCATAATCTACGCTTGTTACAACAATCATACTTTAACGATCCTTTGTTATAATATCATTGAAAACACTCGTGCCGATATAGCTCTCCAACAACTGTTCTCGTTGGTAGTTTGGTTTTCATCTTCTCAGTCATTGTTCTTCACTTCTGGGGAAGATTCTTCAGCTAAATCTGTCTGTATTTGTACTTACATATTACTCAACAAGACATCACTAGTACTCAACACAAATAATCGGAGAAGGCCTCACAGTCCTCTCTGTCCAGCAATAAAACAAAAATTCAAATCAAAAATTCAAAAGCTAAAAGAATCAAACAAAAAATGGACCAAGTGCTGGAACTTGCCACACTAGAAGTTGCTTTGGAAGGCTTGAGAGGATGCTCGTTGGATCGGTTAATAAATCTGATGCAAGAGTATCATCCCGATATTATCATGGATGAGGATATGCAAAGGGCTTTGTGGATGAACCTAATTAGAAGCCCAAAACTGTTAATTTATCGTGTCTCCGAGAATGCTTTGTCCGATGAAACAACGAAAGAGGTTTCTGCTCCATCAACGTCTAAAACTCAAAAAAACAAAAAAGCGCCTTTAAAAAATGATTACCAGTATACAATTGAAGGATTTGCAGAATATGCAGAAAGCAAGAACGGTTTTGATAAAAGATTTTCAAAAAAACGAGAATTAATACAAGACTCTAATTGCATAAATCAGCCATCAGACACGTCATTTACTGCTAGTAGTTATTCTGACATTTGTTTGGTAGCCAATTTTGAGTATAGAAAGTATGCTTTGGGGATGGATGTTAGATCTGACGTGGAAATTAGCGAAATTCAATTTTGCTTGTTAGAAGAAGTTGGAAGATCTAGATACACAGGAAAATACCAAAGTGACCTTACCAAGTATTTAAATATTGATTCAAGATCTACTCTATATCACTTAAAGCGATTATATGGTCTCAATTTGATGTTTAAAAAGTCTGCATACGATCCACGATTGAAAACAACATCTAACTTGATAAGGTTATTCAGATTTGCCGATACTATGAAGCAACAACTTTTTGTCAAAAAAACGAATGAAGTGGTTCAAGCAGAGGGCATGTTTGAAAAATTTACACAGGTAAAGGATTCTATTGTGGATACTGTGGTGGGCATGTTAAAAAGAGCCAAGGGAAATATTCTAATTGATTATGAGATTCGAAAAAAGCTATTAGATTTCATTGAAGACGACACAACTCAAAAGCACAAATGGGACAGATTAAAAGGCATTTTACAGTCCAGCGGAAAAGTAGAATATTTCAAAGCAATGGTAGACAATAGATTGACTTACTGTGTTAGATTAGTGAATAACTCTCAAAATTTAACAAACAAATTGTCGGTTGGTCAATTGGATTTGACAGAGGATGAACGCCTTCTTACTCCTGGATTTGAAATGGAGAGACCTCAACTTTATCAAATGTTTGATTACATCGGAAAGATGGGAGGCAAGAATGGTTTGATTCATAATGAAATTTATCAACATTTCATGATGACTGCAAAAATTAGTGGAAACTTGTGCAATGATTTGAGAAAAGAATTTGGCGTTTCCTCTGTTGCAGAAAAATCAGAAAAACAAATGACATACAGATTTTCTGTGCCTTATTCATCAGAGGATATAGCCCATGATACAACATCTACAACTGACCATATAACTACTCAAGATGCTGAGACAGAGCCACAAGTATTGTTCCCTACTAGATTGAGCATTACTAACAAACCTAGGAAGAAAAATCAAAGAGATAAAATGGAAGAAGAAACAACCTCAGATCACAGCGAAACAAGCTCTCAGAGTGATGAAGATATAGATGAGACCGAGACTCAGTCTTCAACATCAGAAAACATCACTGCACCTGTTCCTACAAACTATTATCGAACTAACAGCAAAACCAAAGGTCCAAGAAAGGAAGTAATTACCAAAGAATTCTCGGATAGATGTAAATTAGCTCTTGATTTTATCAAAGAAAAGAAATGTGTTGCTCGTTTTCAGTTGATAGAACACTTTAAACAAAACAACACAACTTATGAAAGTAAGAGCATGACAAGATTGATACGCTACCTTGAAAATAACAAGTTGGCAAAGAAGATTCACATCACAGTCCCAAATCTTTTTGGAACAACTACAAAAGAGCATATCTGTTTGATAGACTATTCTCTTGATCTTCAGTCTGATGTTGTTCAAGAATTTACCAAGAGTCTTTATTCAAGCGAGGTTCAAACTAATTCTAAAGAAAAAGTCGATAGAAGTACATTAGAGTCGCTTCAAGCAATCGACCATATTGAGCCAAAAAAGACACCAAAAAGATCTTTGAATACCTCTTCGTTCCACTTATTATTGAACGGCTATATTAATGCCAAAATGGTCAGAGTGAAAGTATTCCACAAATACTTATGGAAACAAGCATTGACTGGAGCAATTAACTGTGAAAGACTGCGCCTGTTTGACATTTATAAGAATATGAGTGTATTATTATTTTGTGAACTAGTTGGTTGTATTAGCAGCGTTGTTGTTACCCCTGAGAATAAGGAAATGCTGAAAAATACTACCATTGATAATGCTCAAGAAGATATCAAAAAAGCAATAGAGTCGTCTGTTGTGGGAAGGCGTTCAGTAGCTCTCTCTAGGGTAGAACAATTTATTGACATCCTCAACAAGTTGGGATTAGTAGAGATTTTACCTGAGGAATCAGCATCAAAGGTATTCAATCTTGTGAAGACTGTAGAGTTTCCATTTCCACAACAGTTTCCTTCAACCGAATACAGAAAAGTTACATTTAATACGTTAGAAGATATCGATGAATATTGGGACGACCTCGAGATGTGCAGCATAAATATTGAAAATATTAGAAATGAAACAACTGATAGTGACGACGAGCAAAAAACGGAAGAAACGTCAATCTTCTCAAAAATACCTGACCTTGGAAAAAGAACTAGCTGGTCAGAATTGCGCCATTTTACAGTACGCCACCTGAGAATATTGGAATCCTTCTACAAGGATAATAAGCACCCTTCTCCAGAGGAGTGTTCCAGCATTGCAAAACAATTAAGACATCCTGTAGAACAAGTTATTCTTTATTTCTATAGGTATAGAACAGAAATCTTGACAAATAGAATTGATGGAGATTCATCGATCAGAAATTCAAGAAAACGAAGAAGTACCAAGAACAATGATTTTATTGTCAATGATGATGAGATTGAATACGAGGAGGAACAAACAAGCAACGAAGATGATACAAAGGATAAACAAGAAAAAACAGGACCAACCGCGAAACGTCTCGGATACGTATCTAGACTATTTATCGATAAAGCATCAGAAACAGTTAAATGGAGAAAAAAAAAGAACAAACCCAAAGAAAAGACACTGCCAACTAGAGACCAGAAATGGACTACTGAACAGGATTTGAAATTACTTGAAGGTTTGTCAAAAATTAGAGAACTTGATCCTGCTACTGGAACCTTTTTAGCTAAGCCAATTAAATGGCAACAGTTGGCTGACTCTATTGGCGGAGGTATGACAGCAAATAGATGTAGACTAAGATGGACTAATGTTCTAAGGAAGCTGCCTTGGTGTCGTCGTGCGCTTGAACTAGCCGTAGGTCATAGAGAATTGATGAAAAACAATCCAAATATTGAAAATATATCTATAACAGATCTTGTTCAAAGCTGTAAAGACCAATATAAGATGGGATCAAACGCATCCCAAAACCCCTTGATGAATTTTGAGCTTCCAAAACATATCGAAGATGTAAATAGACATTTTAAGATTATTAGATTTGAAGGGATCAAAAACGAGGACTTATGTTCGACAGATATTTCCGAATGTGATGCATCCTTAGAGAGTCAGTTAAGAAATGCGTCCTTACAAAATCTTTTCAAGATTATTCTGTTGACACCGGACGAATGTTATGACGTAAAGTTGGCAAACAGACTCGTAAAGCGATTCAGGCCCAAAGAAATAAGTCAATGTTTCTTAACCCTTCGAAATAAGTCAATAATTTCAAAGTCAAAGCGAGGCCTCCGTATGAAAGGATATCATCTTAATGTTAACTTTTCAGCAAGAATGACTTCTAGCCATTTTCCACCAGAAGTTTTTGAAGATGCACCAAAATTTAGAAAAGCAGCATTGATGCTTGATATGGAGGAGGATTCTGAGAACGAGGACGAATATGAGACTAAGCAGGTAATTTATTCAAAAGACGGGCCTTGTTTCAATCCACAGGCATCTGGAGGGTCTGTTGCAGCATGTATGAGTCTAGTGATACTCAAAGAGATAAAACTAATTCCACAGGTAACACCTTTAACAGATGAGGAACGAAATCAAGCAGGCAGGAGTGATAAAGAACTGGACGAGGATGATGGAGGAGGAGTAAGCAATCACCTACTAAGGGTTGGTGCCATCAGACATGGCGAACACGACTCACATTTTATTGCTGAGGGAACTAACATTAGGAGCTCACAAGGAGCTTTGCAAATGCCAGAATGGAATATCAGCATTGCTTCTGTGATGGAGGCCGACCTTTTTAACACGCTTGGAGAGGAACACCAAACGTTAGCCAAGAGAACAATTGCTGAATATGGCACAGTTATGTCAGATATCGAATACTCAATTGAACTTTCTGGTCAGAATAAGAGAAAGCTGGACGATTTCTTAGCGGATGACAATCAGGAAGAAGAAATTCTTTCAAAAAAACAAAAAGATGATCACCCTCCAACCGAATCCGAAATTTCTGCATATTTTCAAACCTTTGCAGCTCAGAAGTCTCTACCACGAGAATTTTCTGAACAAGATATTCATTTGCTTGAAAATCTTGAATGTCAAGAATTGAAACCCATTGTAGAGTATTTATTATTGACCAAGCATGAAAATTGTGCATTCTGGATTGACTCGATCATTTCTGTGTATAAGTTTATCGCCGCAAAGACAAACATAGGAGCCTCTATGAATGAACTGCAACAAGAATTTTCATCATTATTTGACTCTGATGATGAAGTCGAGTTTTCTCTACAAGAGATAATTCAACAGTTGATTAATTTTGATTGTGTTATGGAAATTAATTCGGAAAAAGAATCAAGGTTTATGACTTCACGGGAGGCTAAATTACATACCATTCCATACCATGACAATGGTGTGATGTTACACAGACCAATCTCTGTATTTCTTCAACTGAATGGCGAGCTTAACGAAAGCTTGTTACAAAACTTTAAAAGGTGTCTTGTTTCAAGAATAATGAGACATCCTGGCATCTTGGAAAAAACTCTCATCTCTTCCGTTGGAGTAATTTCAGCACATGATATCAGAACAGTCTTAAAGATGCTTGAATCAGAAAACATTATCACTTCGACCTATTTCCAAACATCATCCAAGCACAACCTTGCATCAAAAAACACCTTATTTATGACTGAAGAAGAAATAGAAGAACATTATTCGGAGCCTCGATATGAGAGAGCACTTTTTGTCACTCCACGCTATGTTTTCCTTTCTCAATAAAATTATTCATGAATAATATTGCTGGTTCCAAAAACATTCATTAAAATTCATCTCTTCGTTCAATTTTTAAGGATTGAAAAAAATACTCTCACATAGGTGTTGATTCGTACTACTGGTTGGATGGCTCTGGAAAATGAGTGCGGAAGACCATCCAAGAAAATCATCATCGGGAGGAGAGGCTGAAATTAGTAGTATCGGATCAAGTCATTCGATCAATGTTACATCAGCAGACTCTTCGAAATCGAAACACACACAACAACCGTCCATCGTGGTTGATTGTCCTACAGAAGCCTGCATGAGTGCGAATAATGATCCACAAGATGTTCGTCAAAGTACTTCATCGTCTAACGCTGAAATCAAACAATCAATTAATAACACTCATATTATTCCTTCTTTACACTCGACGTCGCATTCGGAACCCTCTCCAATTCTAGAACCTCACCCGAACGTTTCAAGTTATTTAGAAACTCCAACTCATAGAAGGAATCCAGTTTCTGTCCTTCGAAGTGCTCGTGGAAATTTTGGTAGTACTTCCTCCATCATGGCAACAAGAGGTGGAAAATCCGTCGCTTCACAAATAGGAACAAGGAAAAGTACAGACGTAATTTCACATAATACTTCGGAACCTATCCTCACTACTAATAACACCAGCAATATAGAGGTGTATGATAATATTTCTCTATTATCAAAATATGCTCAAAGCCACCTCGGAGGGATAACAACAGCAGAAGCGAAACAGTAAGTGATGAAAATTATTATTTATTGTTATTAAATAATTTATTATTTTCAGAATATTATTCCAATCACTTGAAGAAACAATATTTAGGATAGAACGTCGTACAGGAAATTCTGTGTTTTCTTCTGTGTTGGATGTACTTTTTCGAAAAAAGCCCAATTAGAGGTGGAATGCTTTTTCTACTAGTTTTATTTTCATGCTTACTTTTGTACATATCTGGTATTCTCAAGTTTTATGGAGTACCATTCTATGACCAATATGGTGCAATTAGATTAGTGGTTGAGGCATCTATTTTGACTTTAAGTTTGCTCTTCTTTTTTATTGTTACAGTCGTGTCACACTATCGAAGGGTAAGTTTTTCAGCAAGATGATTGCATTGATTGAACGACAAATTTTAAACATTTTAGAACCGAGTTGTCATTAGTTTACTCAAACATAAATTTTCGAACCTTAAGAAACACGATTTTAACTTTTCCATGAAAAGTAAGGATGGAAATATATTTGAGGGTATGTTTGTGAAATCAAAAAAGTATTTTTATAGAGTTAATGAAACAATTATGCAATCAGGAATTAATATGATTCCCTATAAGATGATATTCGTACTGAGAGATAAAGCATGGAGTAAAATGCCTCATGTATTGCTTGTGAAAGATGATTTAATTTATACAGCCAATACAAAGAGAGATCTAGAAGATAGTCACATCAAATATGAAATGGTGGATAAAGTTGGTCTCTATCGAGTTTTAGACACTCCCATGAGTCAGTACATTGAGGACTCTTACACAGACTACAGAAATCAACAAGAGAAAATGCCTTTGAAAATTAAGCTTAATAACTTGATATCTGTGCTAACCATTGTGGCATATATTGGCTTTGTACTTACTGTGATATGTAATGTGATACGAATTGGTGTTGAGGGTGGATCATATGATTGGGTCACGCTCGGTTTGGTTCAGCCTGTCTATGTGAGCTTAGTAGCATTACCTATTGCATTTCCAGGCTATTGGCTACTTTGTCTTTCTACCTCAAACTCTCGATTATTGTCTCTATTCGAAATTTTAATGAAACCTTTGAAAAACGAAACAAGTTCAGATCACCAAAAACGAGTGCAAATAACAGAAGAAAATAGACACAAACCCATGAAGATTCCTGTTGGAACGCAATTGAAAAATTTTTTCAAAGTCATTACTACTGCCAATGCTAGATATTATGACAATTTGACTGTACTTGGAACAATTACTGCTTTATGTTTTATTAACAGAACAGGACTTTTAGCTGATTTGTTATATGCTCCTGAAAAAATTTTGTTCATGAAAGGAGAAGATGAAAGCAGACACATGGGTGGAGATATGGGTGCAGTCAGTGGCATGGACATATCTGAAGATCAATATTCTGAGATTAATCCACAAACTTCATCTAAATATCCACAGAGAGAAAGAAGAAACAGCACACCTAGCCAAGCAGTCTCTGTTTACAACAATCCAGAAGATTCTGCAGATTTAGCAAGCGAAATTGAGCTCAAAGAAAGTGACAAGAATTTCAAAAGTCAAGGAAATTTAGGAATGGGTGACGAGGTAGATGAAATGGTGGGCAATGTAGCTAATGACGAGGTTCTTCCGTCTGAGACAGTTTCCACAGTCCCTGAGCGACCTGAAGAAAATACTGGTAAAAAGAATGAAAGGCCAATAGATGGACTTCCAAAAGATGAATTATCATCTCATGAAATTCCATCTGGTGTACAAACAACTGATGTTACATCTCATCATGCTATTCATACAGAAAAACCAGAAGAAATTGTTACTTTAGATGTACTGTTTGATAGAACTGCTTCGAGAGAAGTGGATGTCATTCGTTTTTCTGATCCAAATTGGATGTCACATACAAATTCCTTAAAGCCACTAGGTTTAAGTCTTTTAGTAACGGGATCATCGCCATTACCTGATTTTGACAAAACTGAGGGAATGCTTGATGCAAAATCCCATCTGTGGAAAAAGTATGCTTACTTGCTTGGAAAAGAAATTGGGTTTTCAGACAGTGTGATTGAGTCGTTTAGTTTTAAGAAACGTCTTCATACTCAGTCAGCAATAGGCGAAATGAGCTCTATTATTGTGGAATATGACAAACAAGAAAAACAATTGCATTCTTTTGGTGATCCAGAGGTACTTATAGAATATTGCTCTGACTATTACTCAGGAACTGACATTAGACCTCTCAACAAACATTTAAAAGATAATATCTTGGAAATTGTGAAGAACTGGAGAGAACGAAGAGATTTATATTGCCTGGCAATCTCTTATACCCCCATTGACCAGAAATATGATCATATAGTGAATGGAAAAGGAGATATCATCAATATTTCACGAAAGGAGACAACTACATCTGTAAATATTTCACACACTTTGTCTCCCTCTGCAACACCACTTGATGAGCACTCTGAAGGTGATATTTTCGATAGTGAAAAGTATATCAATGCTGCAGATCATATGCAAAGAGGACAAATCTTATTAGGAGTAGCTGCTTTTAGGCAACAACCCAAGAGAGATTTGGCTGAATTTGTTAGAGACTTACAAGAAAATTGTGGAATTAGATTCATCCACTTTTCTCAGTACAATACTCAAAAAACAAAGGCCTTTGGATCAAAAATTGGTATGGAAGTAGATTGGAATTGCTGCATTTCTTTAAATGAAAAAGAAGTGGAATTGGATTTAGAAGATTTGAAGGCGAAATTGCCACATGGTATTCAAAACATTAGGGAACACTTGAAGACTGTTGATGACGTACCCTTGCTTGTTTCTCTCTTTTCAGACAGTACTCCCGTCTCAACTAAAGAAATGATCGAAGTATTACAGGAGAATCATGAAGTTGTATGTTGTGTTGGATCATCGATCAATATTAACAACTCGAGATCATTCAACCAAGCAAATATTTCTATTGCCGTAGATCCCAGTACACAACAGCATTTAAGGCCAATGGACTTTGACAACCTTCAAGAGGAAGTTTCAGATTTACAAGAAGATATTTCTCCATTCCTATCGTATCCTTGTGCCCTTCATATTACTACTCATCAGTCGGAGACTCCAATTTCATCCTTCTCCGTTATTTTCCATCTCATTAAGGAAGGTAGAAAAATGGTACACAACATTCGACAATCTCTTGCATTCCTATTTGCATCCTGTATGTGTCTATTTTTCATTCAACTTTTATCAGTTGTGATGGCACTTCCTTCCACCCTTTTTACTGGCATTCAATTTCTTTGGCTTATACTTGTGATCATTCCACTCATGTCCTTCTCACTATTGGGAACTCCAATAGAGCCAAAGATTATGGATTTAATTTCTTCAAAGAATGAATTTAAGAGAAGCAAGTATATTTGGAAATTGTTGTTGACCATGTTACGATTCTGCCTCCCCATTCCAGCTGCATTTCTTGTTTACTTTTGGACTATCATGTGTATGGATGAAACTGTTTCCATCTCAAATGTTGGAATGATTTGGGGAGATCAAATTCCATCAGAAATCAGACAAGGAGTAGCATTCAACAGTGTTCTTACCTATGCCCAAACGATTACGATGTTTTGTCTTGTTTATTATTGGATTTTCCTCTCCGTTGGGACGATGCATCGTGTGTATTCCATTATCACTGTGAAATTCTTTTTGAATCCTTTGTGGTGGGTGATTATGCCTATTTGTTTAATTTTACAAGCGCTCTATACATTCCTACACATTATCATATCAAGACCATCGAGCGTACAATCATGGCCCAATTACCCTTTCTATGCCTATATCATTATTTTTCTCTTTCCTTTCTCGTTCATTGCAATAGATGAGCTTATCAAGATTCGAGTGAGAAGAACGTTCTTCAACAAGCAACAAAAAGCAAAACTCATGTTTGACACAAAGCTTGGAATGTATTCACCAAAATAGAATAGATTCAGAACATGATCAAACCATGGTTTTTCTCAACATGATATTTGGATAGTGTGGTGTTTTTAATTTCTATTTATTCACACACTCTAAGGTGTTGGTGGAATTTTCGAAATTCGTTTTTGATTTTGAATGTCGTGAGCGTCTTTTCGAAGTTGATGGTGACCAAGCGTTCATTGGTTGAATCACACATAAAAGTTCAGTTTACAACAAAATGACATTTTCCGAACACCTCGACCCTTCCTTCTTCCAGCAAGAAGACAATATTCAAGCACAAAAATACATAACTAAATCCGATCTGTATGGCACTGAATCTACAGTCACTTGCTATACACTTGAAAATTGTCTCACTCCGAAGGAATGCAAAGAAATTATTCGTTGCATGAACCTCATGGGATATGACATCAAATACACTGGAAATAGATTATGTTGTAGAAATGTTATTAATGATGACAAGTTTGCAAATATATTGTTTGAAAGAGTTAGATCTTTTTTGCCACAAACCCACCACTTTATGGATATGGATCGTCCACTCTATGGATTGAATCCACAATTTCGAGCCATCAAATATAAACACTTTAAATCCGGACACAAATTTGGGAAACATATTGATTTTTCAAATAGCGATGGGTTTGGACGGAAGAGTTTTTATACCTTTATGATTTATTTGAATGATGATTTTGAGGGAGGAGAAACTGTGTTCACAAAGAAAGGATTTGAGTTCACATTAAAACCCAAAACAGGAATGGCCATTATCTTTGAACAAGATATCAAGCAACTCGAACATGAAGGTTTACCAGTGACTGAAACCTCTGAAAAGTACATTTTACGTTTGGATGTGTTTTATACTTCAGCCTATTAAACAATGCACGGAGTTGCTCGGAGAAGGCATTTCCTTCGCTCCGACAACGAGTTTTCGTTTCAAAAAAAATGTTTAAATTCGTCATTGCAACCCTCCTCGTGTTGGGTGTTTTGATTTGCACCACAACCGACATGGTGCTCTCAGACATTCCAGTTCATTGTCTCTATGAAAATGTTTATGGTATGTTTTAATTGTTTTATTTGGCGATGAGAACGTGAGCTCATCTTTCACCCGAAAATTTATAAATTCATAAATTCAAAATAATTATGATTGTTGCGATAACAATTCAACCTTTTGGATGATATATAATAGGTGATTGGTAAGTTTTTGAATTGATACGAAAATTCTTCTTGAACTGGTGATTGATGAAATTCTTGATGATTTTTTCCTCATGATGCATTTTGATGATCTTGAATGACCACACACACAACCCATCATCACTTCATTGCTCTCATTTGATACAGGACATTCTACAAGACTCCTCTCAACTATGATAACAGTGTTATTTACAACCAATGCTCGATTGACCAAAAGCAATTACCAACCACTCAACTCAGTATTATGAACGTAAGACTTGTGGAACCAAACATTGCTATTTTGTTGGGTAAACCAACCATTAGAGGCCATTTCACCATGATTTATGTGAGTATTTGTTCTTTCTTGAATGTTTAACTTTATATTGGTTTCATCATAACAAATAGGATCAAGGAATGGAAATTAGACTTGACAATATGAGATACTTTGCATTCTTCAACTACACTCAATCCATTGTCAACAATCAAACTGTTGTGACCTCACACTGCGACCAAACCTTCGTTGGTACTTATCACGACAAGACCATCGCTGCCAAGCAATGGGGTTGTTTCAAGGGATTCAAAACAGCATCTGAAAAGTCCAAGACTGTCCAAGTATTCGACCATGCCGAGGAAAAGATTAAGAGAATTTATGAAGAGAACACTGTTTTCAGAAACAATGACAAGTACATTGCTGCTTTGAACAAGGCTCAAAAGTTGTGGAAGGCTGCTCCTCAACCAAAGTTTGAAGGAATGACCTTTGCTGAATTGAAGAGACTTTCTGGTGGTAGAAGAAGTTCTCACAGACGCAATGCTTTAAAGATGCAAGCCAAGATGTTGAGAGCTCAAAAGGAAACTGGTATTATTCATCTCTACAATCCAAGAACTGATTCCTATGAGGCAGTGGATGCTAAGAAGTTGAGAGCTTCACTTCCAGCTGAATTCGATTGGACCAACGTTAAGGGACGTGATTATGTCGTGCCTGTTCGTAACCAAGAAAAATGTGGATCTTGTTATGCTTTCTCTTCATCAGGTAAGTGAATAATGTAGTATATTATTGACATGAGTTGTTTCACACACGTTCAACAAATTAGACATGTTCGGTTCTCGTGTTAGAATTTTGACCAACCTTACTCAAACTCCAGTCTACAGTCCTCAAGATATTGTTGATTGTAGTGCTTACTCTCAAGGATGTGATGGTGGTTTCCCATTCTTGGTTGGAAAGTATTCACAAGATTACGGTCTTACTCTTGAACAGTAAGTAATAGAAGAAGGTTTTCGAGTTGTGGAAATAATTTTTATCTTCACAAAATCTGTTAGATGTGACCCATATCAAGGACAAGATACTGGCAAGTGCAACAACAAACAATGCCCAGCTTTTATGCAAAAGCGTCTCCATGCTACTAACTATTACTTTGTAGGTGGCTACTATGGTGCACCAGACATGGAATTGCACATGATGCATGAAGTTTATACCAATGGACCTTTAGCAATTGGTTTTGAAGTGTATCCAGACTTGAGAAATTACAAGCATGGTGTCTATCGTCATGTTACCAAAGAAGAATTGAAGGCTGCTGGTTTGAATGATGCCGAAATGCCTCACTTTGAAGAAGTCAATCATGCAGTGCTCCTTGTTGGTTGGGGATTCGAAAATGGAGTTCCTTACTGGAGAATTAAGAACTCATGGTCTACAGCCTGGGGAGATAATGGATATTTCAAGATCCTTAGAGGAAGTGATGAATGTGGTGTAGAATCAGATGCTGAAGCCGGAATCGTTGATGCTCGTTACATTCCATAAATTCATTCACGGAACCGTGTAATTGATAAAAACATGTTCACAAAATAAGCTCTATCATTTTTGTTTGACATTACTGTAAGGAATTTCGTACAGGCACATTGAGATTTCAGTGGTGGCGTTTCTGTTCCATTAGTTTTGACAATAACTTTGAACATCTTTATAATTTTCTTCTCCAAAATGCAAGAGATCAAAATTATTTACTTCTTGGAAACAACGAATCCACGCTTCCAAACAACTGTTTGTCTAGAAAATGCAGGATGAAAAAAATTATGAGAATTTGAATGACAAATCGCAGAATCCGAGCAGCTCTTATGACCATCATGCCTCGTTTGAAAAATTTAAGAACTGTTGTCACTTCCTTGTCATAGATATCGATGAATTCGAAAGATTTGCCATTCAGCTTCATTTTGATGAGCGAAATACACTCCTTAGCTTGACTGGCAAATTGAAGTGCAAGTCCTCGCAACAATGGAATAAACTCTACCAGAGGAAGATGAGTGTCAAGTTTAAGATTTTGAGTAGTGCTTAAAGGCACAGTGTCTGACACAATCTTAAAGTTTTGAACGACAAAATGGTGCACGTCCGTTGGATCCTCACATGTAAAATCATAATTGACGCCCAAGTTAACCACCAGTACATACTCTTTCAAAAATAGATACATGTACATGAGTATTTGTAAAGATATTACATATCTCGAAAGAATTTGGTCCTTTTCGTAATTGGGATCATTATTCATCAATAACTTGCATAAATGGGTGCCCAATGTTATATCTACATAAGCTCCAGCAACTTGAAGAGTAGACATTTGCAAGAGAGCTCGTTTTTGAATCATGTCACAAATAATAGTTAATTCTTCGTTGCTCATTTCTGACATGTTCGATAGATTAATATTTTTCAACTTTTCATCATGCTTCTGTAGATCTTTTGTCATCTCAAGTAGTCTGGTCTTGTTTCTCAAAAATAAAAAAATCGGATGATTTTTTTCTAAGTTGAGAATATCGTCATCAAGTGGATCTACATTAGCCATGTCATAAAATTTTGAAAGAATCGTGTTAACTTTGGATGCATCTTGAAAAGCTTCGTTGATGATTTCATTGAACTGTTCATCAGTAAGGGCTGGTTTTTCGTCCGAATTTTCAGATTTTAAAAATTCACTACATCGATTTAATTGCTTGTTAATGCAGTGACAATATTGGTTGACCATTTCAATAACAGAATCGTGATTAAACTTATCAGTAACCATGGTCATAATTGCTTCAAAAGAAGGTTTTTGTAGCGGAGCGTGAGAACTGTGGTCGTTTGCTAATTTCAGTATTGAAACTAATTTGTCTCGACCAAATTTAAACTTGAAATGTTGATATTCTTTAAGCCTATCAGTTGATTTTTTTTCAAATCCTAAAAACAAGACATAATTGAGAACGTTCTTTGTATCCTCTAATAGATCAATCAATTCTTGCTTGTCTTTGACTGAATCAGGAATGAGCTTGTTATAATCCATTATTGATGGTAGAGCATAAACTTGGTGAGAATACATGATGATGTTATTTATTTCGAATACAGCAGGCTGTCCACTGTTCTCCTCCGAATTTCGTTTCGGAACGAGAGTAGTACGATGAAAATTTCGATGTTGAGAAATGGTATTGTAGAGGTGGTTGATGCTGAGATGATTCATTCTCCCTATTGTTGTCGTGGTTTGGGATGATGAAGAAAATACAAAGCTTCCACCGTCTTTAAACAGAGATGGAAATTGATTGAGCCGTAGGGATTGATGGCTGCTTCGGGAGGGAAAATTGATGAGTTTGATCTTTCGCATTTTTTTTAAAGATCTAAAAAAAAAGATTTTCTGACTTTACAAAAGAATGATCAACTGGGTTTATGATTAATAGTATATTCAAATTTGCGAGTTTGTTGGTGGCGTATGGATGCATCTTAAGTTTGCAAAGGTGTGCCAAATATTTTTGCTGTTTGAAGGAAACAACCGATTTCAAAATGGTCCTTTTGATATTGTCAATGACTTAATGCCAAAGACTGTTCATTACCACAACAACACAACCATCATCATCACCACCACATTCATCAATATTCCAATCGTACGAGAGCAAGCAGCATTGGCAGCTCTACTCGTTGTGGCATTCTTTCCACCAACAGAACTTGAATTTGGTTTTGGACTCACTTTTGGTGAAGGTTTTGGAGAGGGTTGTGGAGTTGGTTGTGAATTACAATTCAGAGCTGGCTTAAAGACTGGAGCATTGTTGGGTTGATAGGAAACACCATTACACGTCTCTGGAGTTGGAAGGTGTGAATCCTCTGGTGACAGTGCTGACACGACGAACGATTTCAAAAGCAGTGCTTGGAACTCTTTTCAATTGACTCAAATCATTACTGTTCCAATTATCATTGGGTTCTCGTGTTAAAAACCAATTGGATCCCTTTTTGTAATCATGTGAAAAACATTGACAATATATAATTTCAAAATATTGACGGTCCCATCAATCCTCTTCATCATCCACTACTACCACCACAATGTTCACACCACTTACCTGATCTGCAAAAATCATTCCATACTTTTTCAAAGCTTTCAAAATGACCAAAGAATGACCATAAAAGTTTGACAAATCAAAAGATGCTTTCAATCTCACTCGAGTTCCATAAGGCATTATTGTTAAATCTTTGTTTCCAGAAGGTCCAAAATGCTTTGCTGGAGCAATATATCCATTTTGAGCACTTTGAAGAGTGAATCGAATGGCATGAGTGATATTCCCTGCAGCAACTTCTGAATACTTGACCAAACCTGCATAAATGGACAAACCAGCAGCATCGGCACTGGTGACACTTGTCAAGGATGGATGTCTGAACATGCTGGCATTTCTCTGATTGAGATCAAACATGGCATTGCTGTAACAATACCATGCATTGTTTTTCACATAGGAATAGTACATTTCGTAGAGTTTACAATTATCTGTATCGAGAGCCAACACATGTCACCATAGCCATATTTGGTTGTGTCATTTGGAAATTCAATGGGAGCAGATAGAGGAATGGGAGCTGAAGTAAAATCCGATTCATCGGGATATCCATTTGGATCAAATTGAACACTGGTCCATGGAATTGAATTTCCCTTCACATGAACAAATGGAATTCCTGCTCGAACCATCACACCATACGTCGAGTCGTAATAAGCTTCACTGAAATCTGCTTTTAAATTACCAGGTTGTTTAGTCAAGTAACAATCACTCATAAAATCGACTGGATCGTTGCTAATGTCACGATTCCATTCATCCTCTGGTGGAAAGATGTTGCAATTTCCAACTCTTGGAGGATTACATGCAAGTGTGTTGTTCTGTTGAATGATCATGATCGCGATGGACAGAGTTAGGACCATGATCAGTAGTGACCACAAGGTTCTTGTCGCGTGAATACCACCACCACATGTATGGCGACCGTGATGGATAACACGAATGTTCTGTTGTCTTTGATTTGAGCGAGTCAGTAGCACCATCTTTTGAGAGATCTCTTGTCTTTTTTTTCAAATGAAGAAAGATGGTTGGGATCACTTCGAAGGGTCAACTTGTGTGGACAACCGAACAAGCAAGTCACCTTCTTGAAAGAAACAAATGGTGATGAATGAATCACATATGAAGATGAAATTCCTTTTTGCACGAATCAATGTAAATGACCTGACAATTCGTGCTTCAAAGCTGATGATGTCTACTAAGCATCAAAATGTACATATTTGTATTCCACTGTTAATTACAATAATTAGATTTAAAAAATATTCAAATATCGTTACACTTACACCGAATTGCACGTTGTAGCATCATCATGAAGAAAATCATTCTTGTTGCCTTGTTTTTGATTGTCGGTTTGTTGTTCCTAGCAAACCAATCACCATCGGAAGCAAGAGTTGTTCCTGGTGGGAAATCGTTGGAAAGAAACAAACAAACCATCAAGGCTTTGGGTGAATTCTTGAATTCAAAATTGAGTACTACTGATTATGCTTCGTACAGCGTTGAAAAAGTGATCGCAGTGGAGAGACAGGTGGTTGCCGGAGTTAATTATTTTGTTCGTGCTAAAATTCAAGCTCACGGATCTCAACATGCAAAGATTATTGAAGCAAAGATTTTCGAGCCATTACCATACATGATCAAACAAGGAGCTGAGCCATACAAATTGGTCTCTGTTTCTGAACGAAGATAATTGTCTTCCTATCATTGTAGGAATATTTTGAAATTGTAATTAATCATAGACAAATAACATTATGTAATTTTAAAAGAAATTTGAAGAAGAGACAATAAGATTATTTTGATATTGTTTTTTATGGTACAGCATAATAGGGCACGATATGGTTTGCAACCATGCTCATCAATCTCTGAGGTCTTTAACAGGTCTTTAACAACTCTTAACAACTTATTGTTTTTGAGATTGTACCCATTGCATGAGTGGTAAATATTGTTCTCTCTCAAATTCCATCTTTTTGGAGATGGCTCTAAGTTGTTCTTTGAGTTCTCTTGTCTCTTCCAATCTAAGAGCCTTTTCTTGCTCAAGTTGACGCTTGAGATCCTCCAAAGAAGAGTCAGACGAGTTTGTTGATAGACTGGATCCTGCTGACTTGATAGTGCTGACACTGCTACTTCCAACTGTTGGCTTGTTTGCAAGCAATGGATTGACTGGCTTGGAAATCTTCTTTTGTTGTTCCTCCAATTTTCTCAACAAACTGTTCTTCTCAGTCTCAAATTCTAAGGTGAGTTTTCTGGTGGTTCTTTCTAATTCTTCACTGTGATCTTTCTTGATCTTTTCGATAGCCTTCTGATGTTCGTCTTTGAGACGATTAATAGTGTCAAGAAGATTGTTGATTTGTTTCAATTGTTCATTGTTGGATTGTGAACCTTGATATTGTTTGAGTTTCTCAACATTTTCAGTGTTAACTTTCTCAAGAGCTTGATTCTTGGTTTTTAGTGTTGCAATTTCTTCTCTCAATTTTCCTAATTGATTGGTTAAATAATCTGAATTTTCCTTTTCAGTCTCAATTTGTTTCTTGAGAGTTTCATTTTCCTTTGTCAATTTTCCAAAATTATCAATACTCTTATCATCATTCTTATCAGATGGTGTCGAATTAGAGTCTTTGGATTCACCTGGAGTCACCTTATCCTGAGGTGTTCCAGGTGTTGTCTTAATTGGAAGTCCCACTCCTCCAACTGGAATTCTTCCAGAAAGTGGATTCACAGCACCAACAGGAAGCTTTGGATTCGAAGTTGTAGAGTTTTGTGTCAAACTGTCCATTGAGCTTGATACTGCATGTATGAAAGATTTTTTAGGTTTTGCCTCTGGAATTTGAGGAGGTTGCTTGTCCGTTGCGGTATTTGTTAGTTCTTGAGAGGTTGAAGTGGAAGACAAGGTTGTGGTGACGCTTGTTCCAGAAATCTCTGATACTTTCTTAAATGCAACTTCAACTTCAGGTGTGAAACGACGAGGAGGTGGAGGAGGAAAACTTGCTGCTTGAGATTGTTCTTCCTTACTGAGCTCGTAGGGATGCATTTCAGGAGGCTTTGCTTTTGGATCTAGAAGAATTATGATCAACATGGTGCCACAAATGAAAGTGAACGTTTGAAAAATTCACAATTTTGGAAGTGAATAGTGATCAACATGAAAAAAAGGTGAACATTCGAAAACTCCAAAAGTTGTTCAAGTTACTTACTCTTTCTATCAATTGCATTCTCAAATAATTCATGTTGCATTTCAGTAATTGCCAAACTTTCTCTAATATTCTTTGCATTTCGATCTGGCAATCTTCTCGGAGCTGCTGTCTTTTTTTTCACAGTTTGGTCCAAATCTTTTGGAATTTCTTTTTTTCGGAGTTCTTGAACGATGTGAGCAGGAACGAGACCTTGTTCATTAGAATCTGTTTTTCTGATCAATGTAATACCTTGATTCTTGTAGGATTCTAGAATTTCCACAATTTCATCCGTTTCTACGCTGGTTTCAAATTTGTTTTGAGCAACAAAAGGTTCCAAAATCTTTGATGAATGGCATTGTGATCAACAAGATGATCAATCGATGGATTTACATACCTTTCCTTTAGCGAGAGAAATTTTGCAAGAATCTTTAACAGCACTGAGAATGTAGCTGTCACGAATAATATCTCCATTGTCATCAATTTCTTCATTGATGTGTTTGACATTAATGGTGAGCTTGGAGCCAGACTTTTGAGCTGCTCCAATGAATTCCAAAATTTCTGCCTTTTCTTTTGCCACCAACATGACAACATCGTCATCTAATTAAAGTTCAATATCAAAATTTGATGAACTCAATAATCATCACTTACAATTTGTACGAATATTAATTCTATATCTGCAAATGGCATCCATGGCTTTCTCAGAATAAGGTGTAGGAATGAGCCACTTTTCATTTGTTTTTACAGAAATAATTGATGTAATGGGTGTCAAGAGAGCAGTATCTAATTGTTCCTCAGGTAAAATATTTGCCTTTTGTTTAATGGAGATCGGATCATAAAATACAGCTTCAGATTGGGAATAAATGGTAATTTCGGCATCATTGGTGGTGAATTTAAATACTTCTTTCTGTAATTGATAAAAGTTGGTGAGTGTGTGTTTCATCGTAATTGTACATGACAGTTTGGGATGTTTCATAGTTTTGATCATGAAAGTCCATTACAAACAGAGAATGTGTCAAACTATAATCACAACTCATCCAACTACTTACAGCATTTTCTTTACTGTAGCATGTAACAATTCCTGTTTCATGCATTAAGACCATTCGAGGAATAAATATCTTCTCCTTCTTGTCATAAACAAATAAAAACCAGTGTGCAATCACAGATGGATAGGATTTTGAAACTGAATTTTTAACTTCCTTCAACCATTCATCAAATCCAAAAAGATCGTTGAGATCTGTGCTAAATAAATGTTCTCTTGATTGATAGGGAGGTTGAATAGGATTCGCTCCATGAATTGCAAGCATATTCATCCAAGCTTTGTACTCGGAAGGTGATGCACAATTGAAATAATGGACCTTTTCTATTTATCCATCAGGTGTGTGAAATGATGTTGTGATGGAAGTGACCAGAGAGGTGTGTGAAAAAGTTCATGACAAAAATTTTTTAAATGTCAACACCATCGCAGACGATGATTCGGAGCAGCAATTTAATTTCAAAATATTATTGTTTTCAAGTGCGAATCATTGAGCAAATCATTTTCATTATGCATCATTATCATCATCATTATTATATTTGAATTTGTACCAAGTTGTACTTACTCGATGATTCTTCAATCTTGAAAGTGTCAACTTTTCTCGAAAAGTTATCACATCCTTCTGCGACATATTTATCTTTAATTTTAATGCTCAGTTTCACATTCTTTTGACCTTCTTTTTCATATAAATCTAAACGATCAGCTGTCAAAATACAATAGTACTTTTGCCAGTGCTGATTTTTACGGAGAGAAGACTTTTCTTGTTTGAACAAGTATCCTTCCTTGACCATTTGTGTTGTCGTTTTAAATGTTGATGATGGAGTAATGTGCGTTGTGGAAGAGAATGATGATCAGTGTTGTTCTAGTGTGGCAGTAGCAGCGATAGGAAGGAACGCGTGTGATGAGTCAGTAGTGGTCGTTGTAGCAGCAGGTGACGAGAGTGATGAAAATGTTTTTTTTCGGTTGTTGGCCAACTCTGTCAACAATCACCTTCCAGTTTGTTCTTTGATGACGAGTTTCGGCTGTGATTTTATCAGAACTTGTTTTCCTGATCTGACGAAACAATCCCTTTCGAACCTTTTGGAAGAGCTCGTTTCACGTCAATGTGTGTTGAGGAAATAGGGTTCCAACACCAACGTGCGGTTTCCAAAATCAAATTTGGTTGCACCAAAAAATGTCTGATTTCAATCACTACCAACAACAACAACAACAACAACGGTCATCACTACCTCTGAACTCATGTTCGAGCCATGGTTCTCTTTCTCGATGGTTGAAATACTACGCTGATGAGCTTGTATCATTACTTGATCGCAATGCCATCTCGGATCCTTCAAATTCATTGAAATATGTTGAAGGAATTGAAGAGAATGAATGCTCTCTGAAAGATGAATTTTTGAATCATTTTGTTAGCACATTGTATCATCAAATTTTAAGCTTGAAATTTAATCAAGTTTTATGATCACCGCTTCGCAATGGAGAGGTTTCATCGAAAGAAAAGGTTCAATCATTGACAATAATTTAGAAAAGTTGATGTCCGCAATTTGGAGACAGGTAAACAATATTTTGGAATATGAACAATTATTCAGATTGATTATACAGTTAAATGCTTTGTATCAAACATCATTCTAAGAGTTATTTTGAAAAGAGACAATTATGTTTTTCGAGTGTGCAAGATTGTGATCGATTTTATAACTTCCTTTTGCTCTTTAACATCTTAATTAAGGAGTACCATGTCAAGCAATGTAAGGAACCAGTTTCGAAATTCGTGAATTGTCTTCAAGAAAAATCCTTTATGACGCTTGAATGAGACAAGTTGGACATAATTCTGGACAAGCTGTTCTTCGTGCCTTAGCAACAGTCTTTGGCTTTGAGTCTCTCAAGTTGTTTTGAAGTTGCTAAGGCGCATGAAGAATCACGGACTAGATCAAGTTCTTCCTCTTTGACATGTCACATGTTAGACTTGTCGCATCGAATATTCGACTCCAAATGGTCCTCGTTGGGATTATTCGCCTGACATAGAATTTTGAGGATCCACTATTTTGTCCTTATCCATACCATGCAACAAAAAAGGAAAATCTTATGATTCATTCCAAAAAATTGAAAGATTGTGAATTGGTGCGCATTACTGTTCCATCTCAACCTTCCAACACCACAACTGGGAAAGACGACAAATCGTGGATGTATCATGATCAAATATTCGTGAGGATTAGTATCTAAATAATGGTTGTCAGAATGAACAAAAACAACAACCAAGAATCGTCGCATCAAGAAAAACAACCACCACCACCACCACCAATATCACAATCATCATCCTCTCCTTTAACAACATCACCAATCTCTCGTTCTTTTTCTTCAAGTAGCAATATCAGTAAAAACCCTCAAGAGTCGAGCCAACAACGTGAAAGACCATCTTCTTGCGCTTCATCCAACGAAATCAAACCATCATCACCTCCTTCTCTGCGGAGAGATGAGTCATCCGCCTCGTCGACCTCCAATTCCCAGATTTCGTTGCAACAACACCCACTGTGGACCTCCAAAGAGGCAGCAACCTCAAAGCCACATGTATCCAACAAGAACCACTCATCAAGCAATTTAGACCATCAAACTAAGATACCCAAAAGGTTAAGAAAACAGATTAATATAGAGAGTTTTAAACAAAACTATTTTGAATTAATTCCAGAAAATGATGATACGAGTTCGAGTCGTTCTTTAGCTTCATCCAAATCGCAAGAAGGCATACCAACCATCATGATGGATGGAGTCTTTTCTTCCTCTAGTTCTGGATGGAACTCCTCTCAAGACAATTCCCTGTCTTCATCATCCATCCAACAAGTTGTACCCAATAAGAGAATGAACAGCGAGGAGCCACTCAATAACTCTAAAAAGAAGTACAAAATGATCAGTTTTGTACATGCAGATGAGGAATTGAAAGCCAAGGAAAGGGAGAAGCAAGCCATCAGAGCTCAATCCTCTCACTTTCTTCTCCCAAATTCCAAGCATAAAAGAAAGAAGAAAAAGGAGCAAGACATGCATGGAGTTGAGGTGGAGGATCAAGCACCACCATCACAAACCGAGCAGCACCCGTCGTCATCCTCAAATTCTGAACCTTCTTCTTCCGCACCCACCTCTTCCATGTATTCCAACACCTCTCTTGACCAACAACAACAACAACAACAACAACTCATACATGCGCACAATGTGAGCGCGTCTTTTCATCCAGGACAACCTTGCAACATGCATGTCCAAGCAGAATTGGCAACTCTACACAACCATTTAAGGGTAAAAGCGCCAAACAAATCGCCACCATCGCACCTTCACAGTGATCCTCCACATGCACGTGCAAACCCTTATGAACTTGTCCTCAAGGATCTTCCACATGCAAACAAGGAGCAACATTCAAAGCAGGAGGAGACAGAGAGCGGCCAAGAAGGTTGTTTTCACGAGAAAGCGACAAAGTTGACACCCAACAACCCTGCTCACCTACATGTCCCGACTAGTTCAGAGTATTTTCCTCCATTGTTGCACCCTTCTGCTTCGTCTCTCGTAAACCATCAGAGAGATGCTGCAACCAATGAAACACAACCCTCTCTTTCGAGAGAACAATTACTTTATTTATTGTTTACACTTTTAACAACATCCAACAGTATAGGTAATAACAACAACAACCCATCCCAACCACCTCCCCAACAATGATTAAGTTCATTGAAATTAATTAATTCGGGCTCTACGGTTTCCATTTTCAAAAATATTCAATTCGCCTTTGTAGAGTCAATAACAACATAATATCAATTATTACAAATTGTGTCTTTCAATAAGGCAATTACTGTTGGAAAAGAAGGACATAACTTTGGAGAGCGTTACCATTTCAATAGATCATTGGTTTCGAGTAAATGTCACCTACGAATTCACAGAGATTGTAATTGTTTTTTTGAAATGCCTGTCGTTTTCTGAGCCAGGTGAAATTTTGGCTTCAGTTTCAAATTATTTCTCTCTTTTGAGTCAATTAACGAGGTACAACATTGCTCTCTTGTTTTGAATCAACCATCACGTCGATGAAATCAATCAACTCACTATTTTAAAGGGTTTTGATGTCCAAGGTTGCATCGAGTGGTTTGGATTGAGATTTTATTTGTTGATTACAAAATTCGCCAACGCATTCATCATCAAAAGCAAAAAAAATGAGTCAAGGACCTTCTGCTTATTATATCCTTGATTTGAAGGGAAAAAATATTATTCATCGCGATTTTAGAGGAAACCTTCCACGGAACATCATTGATAAATTTGTGAGGAGAGTGATCAAAGAGGAAGATGAGAATATTCAACCGGTATTTGAGGAAGATGGATATTCATTTTGTTTTATTCAAAAGAAGGACTTGTATTGTAAGTGTACAACAACGGATTTGTTGAAATTCTTAATCGTGTTGATGATTGTAAAATTTTGGTTTTCTATTGAAATAATATTGTGATCACGATGTTGTCGTTAATGATTCTCCGAACGATTATTAATTTTGTACTTATCACAACACTCATCAAATATGCGCCACTCACTCAACAGTTGTGATGGTTGCAAATTGCAATTGTAACGCCATGGAAATGGTTTGCTTCCTCTATGAATCGTACAAAGTATTTGAGGACTACTTTAAGGAAGTAGAAGAGGAGAGTATCAAGGATAATTTTGTTGTTGTTTATGAACTACTTGACGAGATGATGGACTTTGGATATCCACAATCAACAGAGCCAAAGATTTTGCAAGAATTTATCAAAAACGAATCTCACAAGTTACAACAAATGGATACTTTCAAATTTTGGACCGAGTTGATGGGATTAGCAGTAGACAATGGAAACGGAGGACAGGCAATCAACCTTCAACAGTTTACAACTGGCTTACAAACTGGTCTTTCCATGTTAACAAAACAATTACAAAGCAACTTGGAGAGTATCACGAAAGGAAGTCATGATGTCGAAGAAAATACTTCCAAAATTACAATTCCAAGAAATTTCACACAAGCTATTTCTTGGCGTAAAGAAGGTATTCTCTACAAAAAAAACGAATGCTTTTTGGATGTGATCGAAAGCGTAAATATTTTAGTTTCAAACTCAGGCACCACACTTCGATCACAAATTGAAGGTCGCTTGAACATGAGAGTTTTCCTGAGTGGAATGCCCGATTTGAAGCTCGGACTCAACGATAAGGTTCTTTTTGAAAATTTAGGAAAGGCTTCAAAGAGGTCAGTGGATTTGGAAGACGTGAAATTCCATCAATGTGTGCGATTGAACAAATTTGAGACGGACAGAATTATTTCTTTTGTTCCTCCAGATGGTGAATTTGATTTGATGACCTATAGATTGTCAACTAGAATCAAGCCACTAATCTTAGTAGAGTGTCATGCAACTATGCATGGCTCTACACGTGTAGAATACAGTATTAAGGCCAAGGCTCAGTTTAAAAACAAGTCAACAGCCAATAATGTGAAAATTTATATACCTGTTCCTAAGGATGCTGATTCCCCAATTTTTAACAGCATGGTTGGTCATGGTGACTATGTACCAGAAGAAGATTGTATTTGTTGGACCATCAAACAGTTCCCTGGTGGAAAAGAATTTACATGTCATGCCGAGGTTGGCTTGCCAACACTCTCATCAGAAGAATCTCAAGCAGAACTGTCAGCATTGGCAAATGCTTCTACTCGTTTCGCTGAGGCACTTCACTTAGATAAGCAATCAGAAGAGAACGAATCTACCCCAAAGCTAAGAAGAAGCTTTGTAGAATCACGCAAACGTCCCATTCGTGTTGCATTCGAAATACCATATTTCACTGTTTCTGGTCTTCAAGTTCGATATTTAAAGATTATGGACAAGACAGGTTATTCTGCACTTCCTTGGGTTAGGTACATCACAACAAGTGGTACCTATGAAATTAGACAATGAGTTGTGTGTATTCTTTAATTTATTAAACAATACTGTTCGATTAAAGAGAATCTCTTGCATAGTCTGGATGAATTAAGGTTTCACAGTGATCATACATTTGCCATTTAATTGTAATCATTGTTCATTGATCAATGATCTACTTTCTTTATAAATCATCATCAATGGAATTAAGAAAACAAATCAAAATAGTCAATGTCAGTATCATGGTCGCTTGAGTCCGTCGTCTCTATTGGATCATCATGATTGTCCATACATGATGGTGGTAGTGGTTCTTTTCGAATCCTATAACGCATTTCACATTCTGTTTCAGTGTCCAATACCACTAAATCTAATATTCCCTTCTTAATATCAGCAATAACAGTGAGCTCATTCAAAAGTGAACATTCCATTGAAAGAGCTGTCATTTGGTTGGCAGCCTCCACACAATTCTCAAACCAATCACGTCCTAACATTTCATCTGTTACAATGCATGCATCTCTCTTGCTGAATAAATACAATGACTCTACACATTCACGAATGACTTTTAGTTGCAACAGATTTAACATTCTTACCACTTCAGGAGAACACACATCCCCAGCTTTGAGAATTCTTTGCTTTTCCAACAATTCAATTCTTCCCATTCGAATTCGTGTACGGACATTACAATTGAGAAATACATAGGTCAAATGTGGTGCCAATCCTGTACTTCCTTCAAAATAGACATCTTCCTTTACGATCGATCCTGCTTTGGCTTGTTTGATGGTCACATGTTTTCCAATCTCCTTTTTCAAATCAAAATAATTTTCACAATTTGTAAACAATAATCCAATCTCTCCAACCAATAATTCTTTAAATTGTGAAAGAATGGTTGCAAGCCTTTGATGTTCGTTATCATCATCATTGTGATTTTTCGTTAACTTTCGAATCAGTCCATCAATGGCTACTCGAGTGAGAGAGTGTTTTCCAATATATAGCTCAGAATACAATTCGGAATCTTGATTGGACAAGGATCTTCTTATTTCTTGCAATTCGTTTTTCTCAACTCCTGCTATTTTCAAGATAATGATATAATTAAAACGTTCAAATAATTCAGTAAATTGATCGGTTGCTTGTGACTGCAAGATCTTTCGATCCGAGGCATAGAAAGGAGATGATTTATCAAATCTCCACTTCATCCGACCTGTGGGAAATTCTAATCTTGGCATTTTCTTTGTGTTTGTTCACAATCAAACCCATGTTCAACATTCCATCCTGAAAATGAAAGAATCGCTCCAAAAAAATATCAAAAATTATACAGCGAACGGGAATCGAACCCATGACCTTAAGCGTGTTAGGCTTACGATCTAACCAACTGATCTACCGCTGCTTATATAATCAGCATTTCATAAAATATTTAGTATTAAAAATAATATTTCGAATTACGTGTGGCAAGAAAACCTGCCGAAACAAAAATTAAAAAAATTGTTTTATCGGTTCGTCCAAAGCGACGCAAGCGCTTGTGCTGAAAATAATCCTTTGATGAGATAGCAATATTTATTTCATTCGTTCATAATTTATTTCAATCATTCATTAACTAGTCATCATTATTAAACACTCTCGCTTTCATCGGAGATGAAGAACAATTGCGATCATCCTCTCGCATCTCTAAATGGAGGATCGATGAGTGGATCAACAAATTTAACCATGTCATCATCATTGCCATCGACTTCATTTATGCGAATGGCAGACTCATCAAATAACAATAATTCAAATAATAACAACAAAACAAATACTTCATCCTCCGAATTGACATTTGAAAGAAAAGACATCAGGTCAAGCAGAACAAGCATTATCAATAACACTAACAATGGAGATATGCTAATCACCCCAATGTCGTCACAATCTCAAACTAACTCTCTTGTTAGTTCTGCTCGAAAGAAAAGAATATTCACAATTGAAGGGTCTACTTTTTGGAAGATAATGCTCGCGAACAAACAATATTTACATTCATGTATGGATGCACAAAAAACAATTTGCATTCCTCCCGATGAAGAGGTGGAATATGTGTTAAATCATTTGAAATATCCTGCCTCAAAACTTCAAGCATTTATCAGTACGTTGATTTGTTTTCAGATTTTGATCATTTAATATTTCCGTAATTTTGTAATATTATAATTCTTGATGATGCAAAACAGAGGATCATATTCTCTCAAACTCACCCCTATTCGTCGGAGAATACATTACAGATCGAGGAAATCATCTCAGTGAAAATAAGGAAAAATTTGAGATTTTAGAAAAAGAAAAACGAAAAACCATAAATCTTTCTTCTCTCAGTCTTTCCACCATTATGGAAGAAGGAGAAAAAGTACAACCTGTAAATATACTACAAAGTGGAAAAGGATTTTCTAAAAATTTTACTGTACAGGTTTTGAAAGAAGAAACATGTTACAATGATAATTTTAAACCTTACAAAGTTTTATTTATTGACAAGTGTTTAAGTGATGTAGGTTTTTAAAAAAAGTTGATCTTTAATATACATCTGTGTGTGTGTATAATATATAAATTGATGTGAACTACTACTACTCTATAGGAATATCAGCAAATAACAGTTGGAGCATCGTTGCATGATCATTCGACAAAAGTTTCACCAAAGAAGGATGACCGATCTATTGGCAGCAAACAATGGTCTTCCTCATCTCCCTCAAGCATGGAAGAGTAAGTGACTGAATTGTTAAAAACCATTCGAAAAATGATAATATTTACATTTCTACTTTAGATACAACTTGTTTTTACAAGATTGGAATTTAAAGGCGTACAATGACAAACTCAAAAGATCCATTCAACATTTTAATTTTAATTATTTGCTTTTGAGAGGATTTCATTCTGCTATTCCTGATAAAATTAAGGAATACTTTGAAGTAATTTATAGTGAATTCATTTCCTCACAACCACGTATGTGTTTTATTCTTTGTGTTTTTGGTTCATACAATTTGTTATAGCAACGCCTGAAGAAGAGAAAGACTTGAAAAATTCCATTCATTGTGTGTTGATGGATGGTATTTATGACAAATTATTTCCATTTCTAGAAAAATATGCATTCAACGAAGAAGACAAGAACTTTTTGGCCATTTGTGAAGTGATCGATGAAGCATGTTCCAAATCAGAAAATAATGAATATGCAGAATTTGATCTCTATGAAATTTTAAACATCAGCAAAAGCTTCCAATGTAACCAAGGTGATTCCATAACGTATTTTTCGAAATATTTAAACCTTGCAAGAAATCCGTTTGATAAGATGAAATGCCTCAAACAAACCACGGATAAGATTGTCTCCAGTATCAATAGACAGCAGACAAGTATAAAGACAGAATTTGTGACAACTGATGACATGATTCCTCTGCTTGCTTATGTTGTAGTGAAAGCCAAAATTCCAAATCTCATCACTAATTTCAATTTTATGCAAGATTATCAATTGGAAGAAGAGCATGGGCTGTCAGAATATGGTTTTAGCGTCACAACTCTGAATGCAACCATTGTGTTTTTGAAAAATGAAATTTATGCTAATAATGAGAACAAGTGGAAGAAGTACAAGAAAAAGAAGGCAGAGAAAAGTAAGGATGCCACATCAACAAAATCACAAAAGCCGTTCAAGTTAGATGTAGAACCTTACTTGGCGTCACCAATTTCTCCCCTTAGTGGCAGCTCTTCGTCCATCGAAAAAGACCTTTCTCCATCATTGCACACATTGGACCATCCCACCGCAGAAGCAAACAAGACTCCCAGTACTCCTCAGGATGACATGTCATCACAACCACCTGTAGAATCTCAAAACAACCTTTCTGGCTTGTTAAGTCCAAGAGACTCTCGAAGTTTGGCTTTGAAACAAAAAAGACAAGAGGAACGAGAAAAACGCATGTCGCTTCGAAAACAAGAATCTATTGCTGTCATCAAAAGCTTTGAAAACAAGGTACCAGAAAAGAAATCGTCATCGTCCAATTCGAGCAGTTCCCTACCTAGACAAATGTCTCTACCTCAATTTTCCAAAAAGTCGTACGATAAACTTTAATGTTTACACGCAACTGAAATATCAAGTAAGAGATGATTATTTGGTTCTGAGTAATCAGTGCTTTTGAAGAGACGGGTCACCATTTTCTGGTTGTAGTATGCGGTAAAATCACAATATACGACATAACCAATGTTGACAATTCTAACTTGCACGACATCTCTGTAAAAATTATCACTAATTCCTCCTCTCGAGTAATTTTCAAAAGGTATGATACATCTCAAATCAACGCATTGAGCATTGTAGGTTTGCCCTCCATAATAGGTTGATCCAATTACAAAGAGCAAGTATGGAAATTCCAAGTGTCGTAGCAACATAAAGTCTCTTGTATATTGCACATCGAATACGTCTGACATATTGTCAGTAAATTGTATATGTTTGTGGTGAATTGCTCGTACTTTCCTCATGGATTTGACCTGTTCCAAAACTAAATTTGATGTTAATTGTTCGTTACAGGACCCTGTCAAATAAATTGCCTTGGAAGTGTTCGTTACATTCTTCACCCATAACACCGAGTTGCTGCCGCTGAAAATATTGTTAAAAGCAAATTCATGCAAATTCAAAGTCGTGAATGGTGCTTCAACACCCGCATTAGCCAACTGACCAGAGGAATTAGATCCACCCACCGAAACAGAGCAATCTTCATGTAACAGCACAACATGAAAATCTCCATATTCCATTTTCACAATCTTTTTTTTAAAACTCTGGGCAACATTTCGCCAACAGTGATATCCAGATATCAGATTGACCTGTGAGGTATTCATCCAATTTTGACCAGTAATATGAACATCATGGCCATTGATTACGCATATACTAAATGAATAGCAGCAACCGACATGATTGATCTTGGGAGGGCTTTTAGGTTTCGAATGTAACTGATGATAAGGATCAAACATTAATTCAAAACTATTGCACACATATCCTGAACCTAAAAAATGTGACATTCGAAAGTAGCCATTGTTTCCAATGCCGTATATATAATATTGACCTTTGATTGAATCGTATACAATCAATAACATTGCTTCAGTGTAACACGCAAGTTGTATAGCCTTCAAAGAAGTCGATCCATCAAAAGGAGCTATAATTTCAAATTTTGCTTCTTTTTCTGAAAATTGAGCTTCATATAAATGGCCACAATCTGTAATTGCGTAGAGTGTGCGATCATTAGGGCGTGTCATGACTTGTTTGATTGACCCCATCATTGTTTTTCCAGACTTTGTGATATCCACCTTTAAAGAAAGCGATGCACAATCAGGTTGAGTCAAATCTTGAAAGAACATTTTTGAATGAAGTGAAGTGGTTGGTACATTTCTAATTTGGTCAAGACCGTGATGATGATCGGATTCCTGAGTCGAGTTGTGGTTGTTCGGATTCTGCACGATCATTTCGTGAAATAATATTCGTTGTTGTTGATCCAAAGCCATTGTTGGATTTGCATCGTTCCTGAGCAGACAAGCAGACTCAGAGATCTCTTGGTCTTTAAAGAGATTGACTTTTTTGCGTATCACTTGTTTGAGTTTTTTCATTTTTTTTCACCATATTTTTCTTTCTTTTTAAAGATGAGGAGTTCTTTATTCACAATAAGGTCATGGTTGTTGAGGATGAGAGTTTTTTCCAATCAAATTGAATGACAAACAACCCTTACATTTCTCTTGCTCCACTTTCCCACAGCATGTTCAAAATTCTCTTTGCGAGATCCATATCCCTGTGTAAAACAGCCCTTGAAGCAATAGAGAGGCATGTCCAGTTTTCACAATCTCGATCATCAAGAGGAGCGTGTGCTTGGAGAAGAATCTGTACAGCTTCTTCATGTCCATATTGTACAGCATCCATCAATAGGGTTCGTTCATTACCATCACCTTGTACATTTAAACCTTGCTGTAGGAGATACTGCATAGTGTCTACTTTATGGTTCCACATGGCATACTCGAAGGCCTTCTTATTCACAATATTAAAAGAGGGATTGTCCTTAATGAGTATTTTCAGTTTTTCTAAAGTGCATGCTCCTGCAGCACGATTCAGCTCTTCCAAAGAGCTCACAACAGTCTTATTTTCAAACTCGCTCTCTGACACGATCATAGTATCCTTGAAAAGATCAAAGAAAGTGCTATTGGATGCTAATTGAATATCAGGAATTGTGCTTACTGGACCATGTTTCAAATAAACTACATTGGACTCTTGTTCATACACTTGATTCAAGAATGAGTTTAGTTGTTGTTCCATAATGATTTTAGGAAGTGACATTAACAATTCATACACTTCATTTTCACCCAAATGTAATTTCAAACATGGAAATTCAAAACAATCCGCAAAGTTAATGTAAAACCAATTCGCAGTTCCTAAATGCTGTTTACTTTCTTCAGGTGTGATTTCGTCAAATACCAAAGAATCGTTTGAGATGAATGGCAACACCTGTTTTACTTTCGTGCCAGCTTGGATCGTCTTTGGATTGCGTTTGACAATTTCGGCCAAATGATTCATGATGTTTCCAAATAGCGAGTACATGAACTTTGTACCCAATTCGCCAACCTTATCCATGGACATGAGAATTTCAGGACATTCAGGATACCAATAATGCACACCAATGGAAAAGGCATGGTGCGTTTCCACTTGAGTATCTTCCATAATCAAATAAAGACTATGACCTCCATGATGCAAATCTTTAAGAAACTCAACGCAAGGCTTTAAATATCCATTCTCGGAATAGTATTTCAATCGTTCTTCGAAATTTTGAGATAACAATTGAAATCTCTGTTCATGGACACCATGTGTGGGAGATGGTTGTGGCTGAGATGATTCCGAAAAAGAACAATTTGCTGTGAGATTTCTTGCATCCATCATATATTGAGAGAATTTATGAAACAATATTTGATCTTGCCATGGAATAAATAGAGGAGGAACTATGCATTGTTGCCATTGTGGATGAGAGTAATAGGAAAAGAGTTCGGATCGATACTCATTGACAGAAGCCCCTCTCTGCTTCAAGAAAAATTTGTTGTTCTTGCAGGGTCAAAAGTGATTTGGACATTTTTCTTGAGAAAGGTGGAAGATAATGCCGTTAAACGCTTGCGCTTTACCAATTCTGAGTACAACAAATGGAACAACCAGGAACTTGTTTTACAACGAGGTTTCATGAGTGAAAAAAAATTGCTGTCATCTTGTATCAACCCAATGACCGACAAATCACCAAAGAAACAACAGCTTTGTCTCGAAATGAAACATGCATTGCATGATCCTTCTCGGGGATTGGATGCAATATTGCAATCACGAATTAAACTATTTTTAAAAGAGCGAATTGAGAAGGGATTAGATGTACAGAAAGAGAGTGTGATGTCTGAATTTGCTGAGGAATTGTGGAAGGAATTTTCCAAAAACCCCTCTCTATCGTAGAGTATGCATACTCCTTCTTCGTGCATAAACATGTATGGATCATCAGCCCATATATCGGGATAAATAATTTACAAAATTGTTTGGTGATCATTTCCAAAATAATTATATGTCCTATTTGATAATTTCAATGATCCAAAAGTGTGGGCTCAATTTTATCAATAATTAATAAATAGGATATCAATAGTAATCAATTGATATCCTATTTATAATTATTGACTTGCTTCTATCCAACTGTTGGGTTCGACTGTTTACTCATTCTTGGAGGCATGATATTGCCTTACTTAATGAAAGCCTTACATCACCCGATGTGACACCACTAGTAACTATGTGGAGAAATTTCTACAAAAAAAATTACAACAACCACTTCTCCTCCTCAATTGAAGTTTGAAATGTTCAAAACAAAGAGGCTCAGAAGAACAAAACCCAGACTCTATGGCTCATCTGCTTATCGGGTTAGAAATGATAGCTCTGTTGAGAGTTATGACGCTTCTGATGATGACGATGATCATCAAGGCTCTCAAGTTTCCAGAAAATACATACACTATCATAAGGTTGAGCCTAACAAACTAAATGGATTGTTGAGTAGTGTACTGACATGTTCCTATGTGTTGTCGAATATCTTGAGCTTGATAGCATTGGATTATTGATGGAAACTTGTTCGAGCATTTACCATTGCTTGCAACCTGTGAGAGAGAATTTTCATGATAGAGCCTTGAATTACTTGATCGCCCTTAATAAGGATAGGAATGCTCCTTTTGATATGAAATGTTTTGATTGGTTACTTGGAATTGCTCGCAACCATGTCCTTGACTTTGAAAACCTTCTTCTTTGGCTTCGCTTTTTCTCTACCTCTCTCGAAAAACTGAACAAGGATCATTGTCTCACTCAAACACAAACTCTCCAAGCGATATCCAAGCTTCTTGATGCATGTCCGTTTTCATTGTATACTATTTTAAAGCTCTGTTCGAAATATGAACCAGCAAACTTTGACATTATTCTCAGCCATCCACAAACCATTCCAATAATTTCCAAGTTAATTGAATCTCAACAGTTTATGGTCTCTAGCAAAGCTTGCTCTTACTGCTTTTTTTATCATTCTTGCTTAGAATTACATCAGAAAAAGGCATATCTAGAAAATTATCTCAAATGGTGCTACGATGGAAATGATGAGTCCTTGTTGTTGAGAAGTGTGATTGAAGACAGCACTTTTGACAAGACAGAGTTTGCCACTGCCTTAATCCAATGTCTGTTCAAACAAAAGACTTGTGGCGAGGCAGAGGCTCTCCTTACATTATACCTCAAACAGTACTCGAAAGAGCAACGATTAAGTCTAATTAGAGAAGCAGGAATTGACTTGTTCAGCGCTCTTACTAGTAACGAAGAGATTTTCCTTTGGTACTTTCATAGATTTCCTGAAGATGTACATCAATCCTTCGATGATATCCTGACAACAATGTTACGGAGGGGTGATTTTCTGTTTGTTCTTACTGTCTTGGAGAAGCGTGAACAGCTTGGGATGCAATCATTCAACACCTGAATTTCCAAAGCTTTGGCAATTAGGTCGTTCTTTCTTTGATTTTATGTGTTCAACTTCATCAGAGTACAAACATTATTTGGCTTTGATGCTGTTCCTAATCAAACGAGCCAAAAACTTTTTTGACCATGATGAATTGAGAGTTATCTTTACCAGAACCATTTCTTCTAAAGTTGGTGACCAAGTGTTTGTCAAGTTTTTGTGCAAGACTCTAAAGACGTTGTCATTGAGTGAGAATGGTTGCCAAAAACTTGACATGTTCAATTTGCTAAGCAAAGCCATCCCAAGACATAAGACGCACCTTATCAGAATACTACTTCCATTCGAGCACATATTTCTATTTTCAATTTTATGCCTCTGAACAGCGAAAGAATCTAGTTTTTGACCGTTTCAAAAATGTGTGTGAACAAAACGACAAGTGTGACGTTGTGTACTACATAACGGAAGAGATCGACATGATCGCCACTCCCAATCTTCAAAAACCCATATTGTAAATGTCAGTTAAGAATTCTTTCATCTCATCTTCAGTTATGAAAGGAATGACCGGTCTCTTCTCGTTGTTTGCAACATAACATACAACAAGTTGAACGCATAAATCGAAGGAATAAACATAAAAGAATATGTGTACCGAATCATTGAGCTGAAACTGAAGAGCTTTATAAATGAAAAACAAAAACAAGATCACACTTTCTAAAATCAAACGTGACATTTGAACAAGGGCTGAATCGTTTATAATTCTCTAAAAAGCGTAACCAATTTCAATTTGGCTTTGCCCATGTTTACAATAGTTATTGCAATCCGCCTTGAACAGCCTTTGCTTTGTAAGGCTCTTCAAGATATTTCAACTCCTCAGCACTGAGCTCGATATTCACAGCAGCAACATTCAAATCTACATTTTCCAATTTAGTGGCTCCAACCACAGGAGCAGAAACTCCTGGTTTATGCAACAACCAAGCAATAGAAAGTTGAGCAGGTGTGACATTCTTCTTCTTGGAAATTTCAGAAACACGTCTCAAAATTTCCTTATCACTTTCTTCCACAGCATTCTCGAACGTTTTCAAAAATGGATCTGTAGTTGCACGAACAGTGGTGCCTCTAAAGTCATTGGTATTAGCAAATTCATGAGCACGTGCCAAAATACCTCTGGCAATGGGTGACCATGGTGTAATGGTGACACCCAAATCTCGACACAATGGAATCATGTCTCTTTCTTCTTCACGATAAATCAAATTGTACAAATTTTGCATTGAGACAAATTTGGTCCAACCTCTCTTTTCAGCAATGAATTGAGCTTTGGCGAATTGCCAAGCCCACATGGTAGAAGCACCAATGTATCTGACCTTTCCACATTTCACAAGATCATGTAATGCTTCCATAGTTTCTTCGATTGGGGTGTTGTTGTCCCAACGATGAATAATGTACAAATCAATATCTGTATTGTTTCATGTGAAAATTTAAGCACAAAATAGAAAATTAATGTTGAACAGAAATACATACAGTCAGTTCCCAATCTTTGCAAAGAATCTTCAATAGCCTGCATAATATGCTTTCTAGAGAGTCCACTTGTATTTGGAACAACCTTCTCAGGTGTAAACAACAAACGTTTTTGTTCACCAGATTTATCCACAGGGAAATACACTTTGGTGGCAATCACGACTTGTTCTCTTGGAATGTTGTTTTGTTTGAGGAATTTTCCTAAAATTCTTTCACTCTCTCCATTGCTAGATGAATTGATGGTATAATATTCACATCGATGAAAATATTAAGTGAATGTTGTGTGAAATAAATCTTACAAAATTTCAAACAGACTGTTGTTATGTCACGAACGTACCTGTACATATCAGCAGTGTCGAAAAAGTTAATTCCCAACTCATAGGCTCTCTTCAATAACTTCATCGATTCCTCCTCTCCCAAGACCCAATCTTGCCATTTTGGTGTTCCGAAACTCATACAACCTGATCAGGAGGAATGTGTAGTAATGATGATCATGATTTAGAGATTATGATCATAGGTGGAATTTACAATTATTGTGGATGAATGATTGAATTCATAATCATATGGATAATCATAAATAAATCCTTCTCGAATATCATTTTCAATGACCTACCAAAACAAATGGGAGAAACTCGTAAGCCAGTGTTTCCAAACTTTCTGTACTTGGTGTAGGGAATTCTTTCCACACTTGTTGTTGCAGTAGTAGTAGCAGTAATGTTTGTTGTTGAAGACATTTTTTGGTGTGTGTTGACGATGAACAAAGGAAATCCTATCAAGACTCTATTAAAGATTGTGAGTAAAAGTACGCACGAAGGACAAAACGCAGAATAAAGTCACTTTACAAAAGTGCGATGCAGATCAAGAATTTGTTGATCAACTACAATGAAGCACTCTCAAGGTAATGATGCTATCATTTTGAATCCCTCTGTCAGAAGTTTGTGAGTCAAAATGATAGCATCATTACCTTGAGAGTGCTTCACGGATCTCTCTTAATCTCTCTTCTTGTTTAATGGGAAAGAAGCGAGATCTTGGTGATCGTCTAATTAAGTACTGTTTTGGACTGATTGTCAATTAGTTGATTAAGTCCTTTGCACTGTCAATTTTTCTCATTTTCATGTCAAAGGGGGTCAGTGAGGTTTTTTGTGACAGCGATTGAATTCGAATATCTCTCAAATATTGACAGTATCTCTCTCGAAAATTGGCAATACCGAAACGAAGAGATACTTTTCAAGATGCAGCAATTCAGAGGTTGATAAATGGTCCTAAACTCTCAAAGAAGAGAGAGCCAACACTCCATTAGGATCGTGTAACAAAAACATCTCGTGCGTAGAAATGTAGTTGGTTGTGAAGATATCTCGATTTCGTTGAACTAATGACTTGAAAGAATCTGAAGCTTTCGAATTTACTTTAAAAAAGCTTTTCACTATTTTATTGAATAATGACAGTCAGCAACAACAAAATTCAACCAATTAATGCCGGCAATCATCCTCCCACAACAGCTGGCTCCAGTCATCAACCCTTTGAAAACTTTTTTGATGACATGGATCAAGACGAGCAGAGAAGCAACTCACCACTTCAGGAAGGAATTAAAAAAGCATCAGAGAATAAGGCCTTTCTGTCACTTCGGTGGTTTGTGATTATCTCTATTTGTTCCTTAATATTATTATCCTCGGTTTGTGTCTATTTGGCCGTCTTTATTGGTTTTCATCAGGCCGTGGATGAGTTGTCTGAAAAGGTGATTAACGACACGAAAAGTAAAATCGTCATTTACATTGATAAGGTTCTTTCTCAAATGAGCGTGGTTTCAAGGCTGAGTGCTGAGCAATATTCCTATGGTCTGGTCACGCTTAATTTCTACCGAAATTTCTTCTATACACCTTTCAAATTAACTGGATTGAGTGTTGGTTTTGCTTTTGGGTATCCCTCAGAAAGATATTCATACACCATTGTTGGAAAGGAAGGGGAGGAGAGAATTGTGTACTCGTATCAACCACCAGGATTTATTGGGTCTATTCGTGACGCCTATTTTCTTAACGGAACCATTCAGACTGTCAATGAAACGGTGGATTATACCGTGTATGAAGTTTCGAAAAAGGATTACTACAACTCTTCGATCAATGCAGCAAAATTGATGGGTTCTGAAGGAGCTTTTACAGATCCATATATTGTCACCAATGGAACGCTTTCTATTGCATACGGAGCCATGTTATATGATCCTCACATTTTGACTTCGACTGGTGAAAAGGTGTTGAAAGGCATTTGTAGAACTGTGATGCCACTTGCAAATATTGTGAGGTTTATGAGAGAGAAAATCACAGTGCTTCAGAATGGTTATGTTCTATTGCAGCAAAATGGAACGGATCTAGTCGTAGTAGGGAGTGTCAACACCACATCGTTCGATGAAAAATCTCGAGTGAAAATGACTGATATTATTGACAAGAATGCTGGACAGCTTATGAAGGACATTAAAGAAAGATATGTTACTTGGGAGAATGTGCCAAACAAGTTCTTCATTTCAAGCATGGGAGTTAACTATTACGTTCTTTCATCAATGTATACCTTTGAAAATATTGAATGGAGAATGTTTGTTGTGGTTTTTGAGAATGATATTCAACTCACCACCACTATTAGTATTGCTGCATCGGTTGGTGTGGCCCTTTTAGTGACAGTAATTAGTTTGACTCTTGCGTTGATCATTACATCCATCGTTTTGAGACCTGTGAGGAAGCTCAAAGAGCAATTTGAACTTATTAAGGTGTTTGATCTAGATAACATCCAAAGACTCTCCACTAATTTTGTCGAATTGAATGACATTTACAAAAATTTGTTCAATACTGTCACTTGGTTGAAAGAAATCAGATCCTTCATTCCAGATAAGGTTCTACTTCAATTACGTGAGGAGGAGGGAGACAATGACCCCAACACGCCAAATGAGTTAGAATCAAATAACTCAAATGCACATCATCACTTGCAAAGTACTCTTGGAGCATCAAGCTTTACAATAACAACAACATCAGACAATTCAACATCGAAAAAGCTTTCCTCAACAGCCATCTCGAAGAAGGAAAGCTCGTCAGTGTTCAAAATGGGATACTCCGTAAAATATGTTTCTATTTTACATATCAGGTTGAGTAATTACTTGTCTGAATTTACCCCTAATGAAATTATAAGAACATTTCCAAAATTTGTTTCTGCCCTTGGAAGTGTCACAAAGGTATTACAAGCAGAACTGCAAATCATCTCAACAGATGAATTAGGGGTAATGATTGAAACCAAGAAGAGAAGCTGCAAAGATACCGCTCAAGAGTGTGCCCTGAAAATTGTAAGAGCATTTGAAATGATCAATGCACAGCTGAAAAATCATCACATGCCAGAAATTAATTACTCAATAGGAATTTCAACAAGCGAGTCATATGTTGGAAATATTGGAAATCACTCCATTAGATATTATTCAGTCTTGTCTGAATCTGTGAAAATCTCTCAACATTTGAGCCTCCTTGCTCTCAATTATGGATTAAGAATTCTCATCGATGAGAAGACTTTGATCGGAACAGAAGACAAATACATTTCCAGACCAGTCGAAAGAATTCTGAGCTCACCAGGTCTTCATTCTGTTCCTTCTAGAATTTACAATGTCTATTGTCTGGAAAAAGAGAACCTTGTTCTCGACGATGAATGGCTTTATGAGCTCGAATCAAAGAATGCAATAGCCAAAATCCAAGAATTGCATTCCATCTTGAAACTGTTTTCACGTTCCTCCAACGAGTCAAATGATACAGCTTCAGGAATGGAATCTATCATTTCATCAAGCCTCGCCAAGCTCACAAATTTCATAACCGAATATCCTCAAGATTTGTCCTACAAGAGATGGTTTCGTCTCTTTGAAAAATTCCAAGACATGCTGATGAGAGACATCAATGCTGTGGATATCATCAAGAATTATCATGTTTGTCTTGAGAATACTGTAAAGACCTCCATCGAAACACACACGGAATATGGAATTAATTATTAATAATTGACATCAAAGACATCCATGTGATTTTGTAGTCATGAAGAAGAAACTAAATCGGAGCAAGATTCCATGATTGTTTTCACTGGGGTGTGAGTGTCGTAAAGTTTCAAACTGATGTGGAAATGGCGCCATTTTTTACGAGTTGTTTCTATCACAAAAAAAATATCATCATGGACGATTTGAAATTATCGTTTGATGAGGAGTACAACCTCAGAGTGTTTGATCCTGCCAAGTTTACCACATCCGAGGCAGTGAGGCACAAATCAGAAGAATTCGCAACAAGTAAGTGTCAGGTGCTTGAACTACATATTAACTACATTCTGTTTTGTTTTAATAATAAAAAGAAATCAAGGACTTTCAAAAATTGGTATCGGAAGTGATGCAAATATTGGAAAGTCAAGGAAAAACTATTGAAGACGAAAAATTAAAAGCAATCGGAATGAGAAATTTAGTAAAAGGAGAGGAAGATCGACGAAAGAATCTTCTTCGGGAATACAATCAACTAATTGCTGACAAACATACAGAATTGGAAAGATATGTCGACGAGCTTGAATCCTTGAAAAAAGTGGAGCAAGAACAACGAAAGCTTATTGATAGACTTAGTAATAATGAGCCCACCGAAATGGATTAGTATCATTGTTACACTTTTTTGTAAATTATTCCACAATCAAGGTTTGGTCAATTCTGTGAGTTGACTTGTCCGTCCCTGTAAATATTTACAATTATTTTGACGTTTCCAATCATCGAATATCATTGGTATTCATATAAATCAATTACTGAAAAAATTCCTTCATAACATCCTCTCCTAGCTCTACATTTACAAGATCTGTTGAATTAGTGTCTCTAGTTTTCTTGATGTAGTCTGTATTGTTAAATCCATTCGTGAAAAGAGAAGATTCGAGAGGTCTTGTTTGCTCTTCTTCTTCACGTTTTCTTTTCATTGCTGATGATTTTTCAACATAAAAATCAGCAATAGAAGAATCACTTTCTAACAATGCAGATGATGCTGGCTCGCTTCCAACAGTTTTCAAAAATTCTAATTCTTCCAAATTGATGCTCGTTAATGTATTATGTGCCTCTTTCAAGATTTTGTAACAATATTGAATGCAATCTCCAACACTTTCTGTTACCTCCCTTCGTCTCTTGAGTTGGTTTTGAAGAATTGTGATCATTTGCTCTCTCGCTTGATGAGGCCTGTAATAATTTAATATAAATGACATGTTGATGAAAATTAATTCGATTTGATTTAACTTCAACTCCCAGCAATACTTTGCAGAAGCTTTGGACGGATCAAAATTCGTTACAGTGGACAACTCCTCAGTTTCATTCACTTGAAGTGTCGGATGCTCCACAAGAAGATCCAACAACTCTAAAAAGTTATACAGCAGAGATCGATTTAATTTTTTCAATTCTGCCACATGATCTATGGTGTCAATGGATCGATCAGCACCATAAAGCTTTTTCACAACCTCATACCCAGGTGGGATTGGATTAAAATAGGGCTAAATGTTAAGTGCCGCAACGAATATTCCCAATTCCATCGTCGTCATCATTTCACAGATCCGAACAATGTAAATAATATCACAATCATCATTACAGTTGAATAATATTCCAAGAATAAATTTCCAATAAATTCGATTGAATAGTAAGTCAAACAATCACCACATCATAGGCACACATTTAAATCCAAATGTTGAAAGTTTGTTACATACAATCGCTGTGAGAGTCTCCCCAAAAGATTGATAGGTCTGTCCCTTCTTTAAAGGTTTTGGAGGCTCCGGAGCTATATATTCACTCTTTGTGGGATGATATAATTTGTAAAATGTCGGTGGTGGAGGAAAGACATCCACAAATTCTTGTTCCTCTTGTGTGTTGCTACTTTGTTGCATTTTTTGGATTCACAAAACAATTCGGGAGAAGCTTGATCCGGACTTAAGTTTCCGATCTCACAAGCATACTTTCGAAAGCCACTTCATACCATTGAAAGGGTTATATTCTAATAACTTAATGACTTCGTGGTTGAACCCGAATCAAAGCCTGGTTTTATTAAAATCAATAATAAAAAATGTCTTCCACAGCAGCCCTTGGTGGAGAGCCTCCACAAAAGACAGCCGAAGAATTGGAAAAGGAGGAAGAATTACTCTTTGAAAAAGGACCGCTATCATTATTGTTGGAGAGTGTACGAGAACAAACTCAAATTTTGATCAGTTGCAGGAACAATCGGAAACTACTGGCGAGAGTGAAAGCTTTCGACCGACACTGTAATATGGTATTGGAAAATGTACAAGAAATGTGGACGGAGCAACCAAAGAGTGGAAAAGGCAGAAAGAAAGCAAAGCCAATCAACAAGACTAGGTTTACCAACAAGATGTTTCTAAGAGGAGATTCTGTAATTTTAGTATTGCGAAATCCAAGGAGATGATCGGAATAAATTCCGTCATGTCAAGTCTTAATTTTCACTTGTCATTTTGTTCAGAACAAGAATTGACCATATTATCATTTGAAGAATTATGTTTTTTTAATATTTTATACTCCTGATGAAGGTAATTTATTGCTTCTTAGCAGTTTCCTTCTTGTCTGGGAAGTTGATAAAGGTTTTCTTCAATGCAGGTGGTAATGCCTTCTCCAATTGTTGTGCCTTGACCTTATTCTTCATCTTGAGGGTATAAAGGTATTGTCTTGTTCTGAGCTTGAACTTGTATGATCTGTTCTTACTTTGCTTGGATCTGTAGATGGTGATTGATCCCTTTTCCTTGGCAGCAACAGCAAGATTGAGGAATTCCTTAACGTTCAAGATTTGCTTTGGCTATAAATCCATAAAAATCAGTGCCATGTGTTGTTTCGAAAAGAGTATTCAAATGTCAGTCAAGAAGGAAAAATAGCGAGAGTACGAACCATTGTGATTGTGGCGTATTTTTTTTTCAACGAAAATTTTTATAAATTCTGGTCAACCAGTACAAAAAGTTTACAATAAAAAAGACTTCAAAACTTCCACGGCTTCTTGTCTGCTGATGACTTTGGTGTTGCTGAAGTTAACTTTCCGAAAGTTTTCAAATCTTCCTCTCTCCACTGACTGAATTTGTCTGCAGCCCTGAACGTGGATTTGTCAATCGGATCTGAATATTGTGGTCTGAACAGTTCCATATGAATATTTAAATTTGAATTCATGGTGGTCATGATTGTGGAACACTTACTTGAAAGCATCTTTTGTTGTTGACAGTACTGGCTCTGTAGGTATCACATAGCCAGGATTTATTCTCTATTTTGATTGATTTATATGGTGTCATCGTGAATAATATTATGAAATTTGGAACACTGTCGTGGATGATAAGATCACTTACCTTCCATATGGAAAATGATAATTCGGTTTGAGCCTTTACAGCGTTCTCATCCCGGTGGGTCACCAAGGGATCTACTTGGTTCTCATCTCTCTTAGGAGGAGTTGCATTTTGTTTAACGTTGTTATTATTATGGCTGCTCATTTCTGTTGAGTGTCTTGCAAACGAAACTTCGAAGGAGTTGTTGGTCTAAAGAAATTATATATGGACAAATGATGATGATGCTTCTGCTTTTGTTACTTCTGATTGTAGGCGAATTATAATTCAACTTATACTTCCGAGATCTCAAATTTTGTTTGATGAGGGAAATTTTAGAAAATTTACAGTTTAAAGCCCAGTATGTTGTAACATAAGCCTCATCTATCTCTTGGAAGAGAATACTTGCATTTGATCAATTTGAAAAATTTGGGTCTACAACAACTCAATCATCATCACTTCGAGTGATTTGCGTTAAACAAAGAACATTTGTTTAAGGCTTCGCCATACGGAAAGAAATGTATGAACACAGCGTACGAGATTACTACACTCATCATACTGAGAGGTTGAGGCTTCAGCTGGAGCGTGTCTGCTCCATTCATGAAAATCCATCTGTAAATAATGGTTTCGTTTCCAAGCTGGAAGATATGCGCTCCAATCGTGATTGGTCAAAATTTCATTTACAAGAAACTTCAACCTTACATCAAAAAGGTATGTGTTTGTTCATGGAAAATTCTAGTACTATCATAATCATCAATTTTTCAATGTTCATCTCATTAGATATGAATTCTATCCAATATACCGACTTGCTCACGTTCATCCAAGACAACAGAATGGATAACTTTAGGGAGTTATGGCCAGCACAAGAAACAGCAAAAGAGTTGCAAGAGTGCATGGAGCATTTAGGTGAGAGTAATTGGGAAATACATTATTCAATAGACAAATATGAGGACTATTTGGATGTATTTTCTTATGACGAAAGACCAGACGAAAACATTTATAGTGATATCCAACTTGAAGATGTCTTATTGGACTTTGAGAACCTTAACTCCGCGCTACTGTTTTTCTCAAAGGAAATTTTGCCCAATTTTGATGTTGAACATCATTCAACCTTTAGAAAAGATCTATTACATGAGGTTTGTGCCAAACCATCAACAGACTCTGTTGTTAACGAGATGGAACAAATGTGTAATGCCTACCCAAAAGTTTCTCAAGGTGAGTCCCTCATTAACGAGCCCAAGAACTCCTATCGGACAGGATACACGCTTGTACAACTATTCCACTCCTCTTTTGACAATATCGTGGACGTATTTTCAAACCTTGAAGACACTTTCTCTGATATATTACTGCTCATCAATGATGAACATTCAGAATTAGACTCTTCATTATACTCCGTTGTAGATATTGCTGATAAGAATACTCTCGAGTTTGATATTGAATCCAAATCTGAGTCATACCTTCTTTTACAGTGCCGTCCTTACAAGGATTACCTTAAGATAGAAATGAGCGCTCATTCGACTGTCTTGAAATCAACTGACATCAATTCTCTTTTATCATTTGAAGAAGAATATAGCCATGAGCAAATAAGTTCAGCAGTGCACGAAATTGTCAACACTGTTGATAGTACAGACATTCTAGAGGAGATTTCACCAAACGTTTTTATTACAGAGCTTCAGACAATTGCAATTTCAAAGACACAGGAGCAAATATACGTGCAAGAGTTTTGGTGTCTAGATTCCAAAGACAAAGAAATTAATAATGCACGCAACAATATCCATTTCATTGACACAATTATTAATACAGACGACGTGAAGACCATTCCAAACCCTCTCACAGAAGTTACACTTTCAAAATGTGACAATATTATTCCCATTGAGAGGATAGCAAAACCGAAACCCACAACAAATATAGAGATTACTCTACCTAGCATGTGGCTTTCAGATAAGATTTACTTATTCAGAAAGGAAATTGACAAGGAAGGCTACACTGAAATATTGCCCACTAGAGAAGATGTGAGCTTCCAAACATTCGAACATTTTGCAACAGAGGAGCAATATTGTCCAAACGTGCAAGATATTTATTTGAATGTGCCAAACCATTTGAAGCCATCATCGAAGACAAGAGTAAGATCTGAAAAGTTGGACAAGGCTCTGTTTAATCTGGAAATTCGTGAGAAAGATTATGAAAACATGGATATCTTGTTCATTCAGGAAATGTTCAAGCAAACATCATTATACGCAAATACAGTTTCCCACTACAAAGATGATGGAAGAGGCGCTCTATATCAATATGAATCTTTATTGGAAAATTTACTTTCTATCGAGGAGTTCCAAGAGCATGGAAAGCCCAACACGCACATTCTACAAACTAAAGCTGGAACAAAAAATCACTCCAAACTTGAGGAGCTTGTAGAGGAAAACTTGGAGAGCTTTATGATCCAAAAAAAAGCACACACTTATTCTACCACACAGCAGCTGACATCAACTCTTGAAAAATCTACAATCGATACAAATAAGGAAAACAATCTATTTATACCGGACGACATTAGAGTTTCAAAAGAGGCCATTGACATTGTCACAGACATTCAAAATCAAAATTCATTGCTGGTGCTGCCTGCTATAACGTTGAGATCAGTAATTGGGCTATTACTTTTACAAAAACTCAAGAAATGTAGCTCAAGTTCCAATTTTATTATCATTGATAGCAATGAAAAGCGCTTGGAGGAAGATTTTAAGTTTTATTCTTCATATCTTTCGAATCACACCAGAAATCTAATCATGGTGACGAAAGAAAATTTTACATTTCAACTTGTCAAAATTAACACAAATTGCAAGTTGATATTTTTATCCTCCCACATAGTCGACAATTTTTTGCAACGTTTTGAAAACGTGATATCTAATTGTAGTTTCATTTTTTATCAAGATTCTATAGTTGCCAATTTGATAGAAAGAAATATTCCATCTGCAGCACAAGTCTCAATTTGCAAAGTACTGGAAAATGTTTACGCAATTTCAAAGAAAACTGTACATTCTATTATTGCCTCATTTATTCCCGCTCGAAGCGTTGGTGAACTCATTAGTTTGTTGGATGCAATAATCTCAAAGGTATGTATGAAATTGTTGAACAGATGTGATAACAAATTAATTATGAAAAGAGAATAATTGTCAAAAGAAAGAACATCACTTCTTTTCATAAAGAGTTGGTTGTCGAATTGGATGGACCGATATCAAAGTTTCTATGTGATCTCACCAAGATTGGTGACTTTACAATGAGCGGAGTTTCAGGTGTAAAAGGATATGATTTTGACACAATGAAATTCGTGGAGGTAGATTCAGACTATATCAAGCACATAGTAGAGGATTTTGGAGCTAGCTTAAAAGTTGTAATGGCTTCCAATGATCAAAGGCGGATCAGTGAAACGAAGTCTGTCTTCAAGAGGCTTGTTTGCCTTCATACTTTAAAATACTTATATGAGGTTATTTTGGATGGTGGCATCTCGGTAGGACTGTCATTTCTTGAAAAGATTAAACAAAGTGACACATACAACACTGTGTTGGAGGGATCAATTTCAGATATATTCATTCGCCTCAAAGATTTACAAGAAAATTGTTCTCAGCACGAATTGGACTCCTATATAGACAAATTCAAAGTTATTGAAGATAATATCCTACAAACATTAACCACTAACAGCAACATGAAAATTTTGTTTGTTACAAAGCACAACAAAGTGTTGACTTTACTGCGTGAGCACCTGCAACGAAAGTTTAGTGCTTCCCATCAGATCAAATATTTCACCTTAATAGTTGGAGAAAAGGATATGATATTTATGCGTGATGCTACCTTAAATGAAGAAGAACCAAAGCAAGGATTTTCGGAAGTTTTGAATTTTAATTCAACGCAATTTCACTTTGCCACTTACACCATGCTGGAAAGGATAAAGGAACAGAGATCGTTCGAAGCATTTTCTGGTTTTTTATCAATAGTTCAAGTGGAGCCAGGTATTTTACCACTAGCTCTTTACTCATTGATATCAAGATGTATGGTTGAGAGTTGGGTTATTAATAATGTATTACCTTCTGTAACAGTTCCTCAAGATCTTTTTAAATGTGCTTATTTTGTAGATACATGGAGTTTAGGGTTGCAAAGAATACTTCAAACTGACTCTTCAACTATGGATATGGAGGATTTAATGTCTGTACCTCTTAGAGATAAGGACATCTCATTACTTCCAGATTCAGATTTGAATATGATTGCTAATAATTATCTAAGAGACATGAAAACAACGAGGAAATCAATTATTAAGATAATTGCTACTGAGAAATGCATTCAAAATAGCGAACTTATTGCAGAACTAGAGTCAAGATTTTTAGTTTCTGTTGTGGAGAGAGATTTTGTCAATCATGCTCCAGCTGACATGCTCATCAATGACAGACATTGTGTTCTTATTGCGTCACCTGAAAGTTTAGATACAGAGGACACAATACGAGAGGAAACTATCAATTTATTTTCCAAAGTGCTTCATTTATCTCATCAATTTTCTTATTGTTGGATCATTATAGAAAAGTACATTGATAATTATGAAAACTCATTAGGAGAAATAGACTCTATGACATATTTAGCATCCTCTTTATTGTCTTTCACAAAATCGTTGAGTAGAATTGAGGTGAATGTCAAAATGAGTTATAGCATGGACCAAACAGCAGAAATCATTAGTGTTATATGCAGCGATGTTAAGGACCAAACAAAGACGTTGAACAAGGACATACTATGGATTCGAGAACATGAGACTGATCACGAGTCATTCTTAATGCAATTTCCGTTTATTAACTGTTATTCAGCCCAAGTGATTCTTCAAAATTACACCTTGAAGCAAATAGCCAGCTTTAGAAACTTCGACGAGTTTGCTTTTCATTTAGGAAACATGGTTGCTGAGCCAATTTTGGTAAGTCTTCAAATCGCTCCCAATATATATTTCTTATTGCAACACTACTTAGAGCAATTTCTATCAGTGCTTTAACGAAATTTTTGATGGGCATGATGAGAATGCCAACATGGCAACAGCCACGGATGATGAGGAATTCATTCAGACTTCGCAAGTACTGATCAATCAAGGGTCAAGCCATGTTGATCATTCTTTCTACATTAACAACCAGCCAATGTTTCATCAAGACAACTGTCTGGGTCAGCATCAGCCATTCCTTACACCATCTGATTCGTATTTTTCTTATCCATTCATGTTTGGAAGAAATGAACAAAATGATCAGTCAAGTTTGCTTTCAAATTCGTTACTCCACTACAACAGTTCATATGAAGAACCACCGCTCAAAAAGACCAAGGCATCAATACATTTTCCCTTAAATAAGCAGACCTACAGATATCACGCCGAAGAAACCATAAACCCATCAATTCCCCCTCCATCTCCCCTCTTTCAACAACAACAGACAGTATTTGAATCAAATATGAATTCCTTTAAAAATCTAGCCCATGTGAAATCATTCAAACCCAACAACCTTTTCCAAAGCAGCGGAATGTGGCCAAATCCAGTGATGCAAGCCACAACCGTAAGAAGTGACTATCAATTTTTGAATGAATCAAGTGTTCCTTTTAACTGTAATTCAAAAAAGATTCAAACACCACGTCCAAATCAAAGTATTTCCAACCACAGTTTTAAATTTATTCACGAACAAGGTGCAATAGCACCACGACAAGAACAGACTGTTCTTCTTGGACCTCATGGAACATACAATAAGATGCCAAAAAGTCATTTCAATACAACCATGAGCAGCACTCCAACCTCTCATTTTCGAAATTATTTCTGACAGCCAAGAGAATGTTGAGTGCAAACCAATTCTGATATTATTATATGACAGTACGTTGAGTAAATTTGTGAGTTTTCTGAAAGAATCCTTAATATCAGGTTTAGTATTTTCACTATATAATCTATTTTGGCAAATTGTTCATCAAGTTGAAGAGTTTCGTTCAATTTTTGTGAGAAAAACGCTTGAGCCTATTTCCGAAAAGACCATGCAAAAAATCCTCACGACAAATGTCCTCAGCACTCAGCGAGCCTCTTATTTGCAACAACTATTCAGAGCTTGCTGGAGTGGTTGGTCAAACACCTCCTGAATCCATTCATTCTGCTGTCAATCAAACAGAGGACTACAAACCCAATGTTCCTCCAATAGGAAGCTATGTGATAAAAGGAGGAGAAGGAGGCTTTGTTCAAGAAGTTGAAACCGATGGAATGGACTATGATTCGGAAGATGATGATTACGATTTATCACAACATGACTTTTCTGGTCAACATCGACATCACAGAATGAGTATGGCACCTAAACAAATGAAACGATTCAAAGTCATCACAGGTATTGTCACACTCGTCATGATCATTCTCATCATCATGGGTCTGGTCTTGTTTCCTCTCATCTATTTTGTGAACTTTTTAACACACCCCGATAGGAGTCAAACAGTCATCATGACTCCATACATTCCGGATGTTCCTTTCTATCATCCGAGTTTCACACCTCCATATCTTCAAGCGAATATTAACATCACCACACCTTTAAATGCTCGATTTATTCTTTTCTCGTTTTCAGCAAATGCTACTGTTCAAGCTGCTGTCATTAGAAAACAAGCCGCGTTTGAAACATTTATGGATCTTGCAGCCAAAGCTGCTCTTTCATTGAATACCATGTCCAGCTTTATATTCGACAAGCCTTTGGATCGATCTGTTTTTGTAGTATCACCTACCACGTTTGGAACTCGATTCTTTTCACTTGGAGTGCTCAATAATTCAGGAATGTATGATGACGAGAGCGATTTCAATGTTGCAACAAATACGACCATTCCAAGAAATACTTCTACCATTTACATGGTTTGGAGAAATACAGATAATTCCTTAACTCCAATTCAACTCAAATTTTGGTATTGGCTAGAATTTGATGACAATAGACATCTAAAAGCATTTACAGGTGGTGCTATTTGCATTGCAATTGCAATTATTCTCATTTCGATTATTATTCTGAATACCAAGACAACAACACTCGTTATATACTATCTCGTTCGAAATTTAAGACCAAGTGGAAGAAAACGCTTTTTAAATGATATCAAACAACTAAGGACTACTTCAAGGAGTGAATTCAAGGAGAGAGATGTGCTATGGACAAGAGGAGCTGATATCACTTTTCACAATTTGGCTTTCACCTCATTCTCTGGAAAAACAATTTTACATCCAATCAGTGGAATTTTACAAGCAGGCAGATTTACAGCAATTATGGGGCCTTCAGGCTCGGGAAAATCAACATTTGTCAACTCATTATGTAAGAGAGCTAATAATGGTAAACAAAGTGGAAAAATTTTGATTGACAACAGAGAAATTACGGAGGAGACAAGCAAAATAATTGGATTTGTCACTCAAGAGGATACGATGGCACAATGTATGACTGTCAGGGAGACTTTGGAATTCAGCATTACTTACAGAAAGAATCGAACGTTTAACAAGAAGGAAAGAATATCTGCCATTTTAGACAGATTAGGTTTATCCAAGGTCCAAAACTCCTTCACAAAAGTATGCAGCGGAGGAGAGAAGAGAAGAACATCGATTGGTATTGAACTGTGTGCAGACACTCCTGTTCTCATACTGGATGAGCCAACAAGGTAAGTAACAAGTTGATATTTTTGTTCGAGCGTTTCCTCCAATGAAACATTTCACACACGATTCCTATTAGTGGACTCGATTCAGAAACTGCCCTCTCGCTATGCCAAACATTAAGAGAACTCTCTGAAAAGTGCAACTTGAATATTATTTGTGTTATCCACCAACCATCCTTAGAAATTTTAAAACAGTTTCATGATATCATGCTTTTCAGTGAAGGACGGCTTCTCTTTCACGCTCCAGTTTCTACTGTTGTGAATGTTCTACGTGAAAAAATTCCAGCAGATGAAATTCGAAATAATCCAGCAGATGAAATATTGCGAACGCTCATTGCACCTCAAGGTGAATTTCTAGTGGATGAAATCATTAGAAAAACACAAGAAAAAGTTCTACATGCAAGTCAGAAGAAGAGTTTATTTTCTAATGGTGACGAATCGTATCGAGATTCATTCACTGAGGACAGCTACAAACGCTCGTATTCAACACGAGCCGTTTATTACAACAACAACAACCACTCTGATGCAGCTTTCATAACCATCAACAATAGCAACAATTCCAAACTCCACAATATTTCTGCACAAGCCTATCGAACTGCTCCATTTTTTGTTCAATTTATTATTTGCTTTGTGAGAAGCTTTAAACAATTTTACAGAGATTGGACCACCATCCTTATTGAGAATGCCATTTGTCTTGGAATTGGAATTTTAATTGGCCAAATTTTCAAAGGACTTTCGTTTGCAGGAGCAGTTCCTGAAAGCTTGTACATGCAATGCCCTATATCATTGCGTGGAAATGCCATGATTCCACAGTCCGATTTAATTTCGCCTTACTCTACTTTTTTTAATATTGCCATCTCTCTGGTTTCTATCATGAGAGGATTGCTTGTTTTTGGAAATGACATGAATAATTTTAAGAGAGAGTGTTATTCTGGTCTCAATAGTTGGATGTATTACTTGGCAAAGGATGTAGTTTCGATGGTTGTCGTACTTTTTCTCTCTCTATCATTCACCATAGGATTACAAGTGGCATCTCCTCATACCAACTTTGGTATTTTGTGGATGGTCATCTTTGGAACCATGTTGGCAAGCTTTCCTATTGGTTATATCATTTCATACTTTTTCACACCACACACGTCACAGTTAGCTGCTTCGCTTGTGGTCATGATATTTTTTGCTATGAGTGGAAATCAACCATCGATTCCAGAAATGGAAACCTATGCATTTCCACTCACCTATATTCATGTCATTTCGTATTTGAAATATGTCAAGGGCTTAATTTTCATGTTGGAGCTTGAAACAAGAAGAGGAAAAGAGACGTTGAACGAAGTGTTAAAGATGTATGGCTTTGAAATTGAAGCATTAAGTTATTACGTCTATGCGCTAATATTTTGGATTATTGTTTGGAGATTTATATCTATTTATTGCTTATGGGCATGGAAACCAAGAAGCTTATTCAGTAAGATTGTCTATTACGTCAAGTTGATGATTGGTAAAATTTATGGACGCATCAGCAATGCAGGTTCCACAGTAAAGCTCACAATGAAAAGAAGAATGTCAAGCACGATGCACGATTTTTGAAGAAATGAACAGGCAATAAATAGGGACTTTAATAGATTTGAATATTGCGCTCATTGCTTGCAGTCAGCAATTCCATAAAATCAATATTGTTCTTCGCGAATTGAGAAGTAGCACTTCGAGGGGATCTGGGTGATCTCTTTTCATCATTTCCGATTACGTGCAATTCCACTAACTTGGCGAATGATTGCGATTCGGTGATCATTCTGAACCCATCATTCTCAATTTTGTTGTCCAGCAATATTAAGATGTTAAGATTGTGAAATGCACCTGATGCAAGATAGTGACATCCTCCACTTCGAATGTCGTTTGAATCCAAATCCATATACTCCAGAGATTGAGCGATGGACCCCTTGCTTAAATATCTGCATCCTGAAGTTCCAATTGCATTTCTCGCAAGACATAATCGAGTTATGTTATGCATTGACGCAATGTTTTTGCATGAAAGAGGGCCCAACATGTTTGAACTGAGGTTCAAATGAGTCAAGTTTGGAAGGTTATTACTCGATAAATTTGAGCACCCTTCGTCTTGAATTTTGTTGGATTTTAGATCGAGCTTTTCAAGTTTAGGTAAATTTCCGTTTGTTAGGTACAAGAATCCATCGGATTCAATTTGACAGTTAGTGGCTCTCAATTCTTTCAGATTTGGAAATGCCTTCGATGTTTGGGCAAGCATTCTGCATCCTTCATTTTGTATGGTATTGAAAGATATATTCAAAAAGGTTAGATTTGTTAAATTACCACTGGCCAAAGCTGCGCATACGTCACTTGAAATATCACAAACAGCAAGATTGAGAGAAACCAAATTGGAGAGTGCCTTACTACTTCCAAAGTATTTAGCTCCCTCTCCGATAAATAAATTGTATGACACATCTAAATGTGACATGTATGGTAAGTTTCCATTCACTAGAAACAAACAACCGTTCGTGTCAATTCGACAAGACTTCAGTTCCAAGTTCGTTAAATTCTTCAAATGGCCATTCGCTAAATATTTACATCCACTTCCTTGAATTGGATTTCCACTTAAATTCAACTGAGTTAATTGTGAGAGATTACCATTGGCTAAAAAAGAGCATCCTTCCGAGTCGATCTTATTCGAAACCTCTTCACCACCGTAACCTAAACTCAAATTTAAGGTTTTAAGGTTTGGTATTTTTCCATTTGTCAAATGTAGACAACCTTCCGTGCTGATCGATCTTCGAGAGGAGATAAAATCAATAGATGTTAAATGAGAGAGTGTGGATCCGCTGGTAATATACTCACAAATATCAGCATACGAAGATATACTGACATCTCCCTTCTCCACATCCATGCAAATCATCTTTTCTAAACATGGTAAATTGTCAAAAAATGATTGATGCGGAATTGCTTTCTTTTTCTTTTTTTGAGAGGTTTCAATATCTAAATTTCCAACAGACATGCTCTCTTTTCTTAACTTCTTCAATCTGCTAATCTTTTCAGCAGATTTTTTAAAAAATCTCTTCTTTTTTCGTTCTCCATAAAATTCATTCACTCTTTGCAACATGTAACTCACATTTCTCATCTCCAAACAAGTCACCAAAGAATATTCTTTATGATCACACTTTGTGAAAAAATCCAACACGTCCTTCTCATTTGAAAAATCAATCACCACATTCCTCGGTGCCAACACTGCTTTCTCTTCGAAAGAAAGTTCTGTATTGTTGTTCAAAGCAGCAAATGCATTGACAAGTAATTTGATGGAATGTCTCGGCGAAAAGGATTGAATTCTTTGACTCATTCGACGTTGTGAGGTGGTTCTTGTAGTTGTTGGCGAATTAGTCGTAAAGGAAGTGGACAATGGATCTGATTGAGTGGTCGAATTTGTTGATGACAAAGAACTTTCAGAATGTTTTAAACTCTTCCCGACATCACGACCAGAACCTTCTCTTTGAGATTTGTAGGAAGAAAAGACATCATCGCTGTTGAATGATTCCTCTCGTGAGGATCGAAAGAATGGAATCTTCATAATGATAAAGAGTAGATATTTGTTATAGTCGAAGAGAACTAGAGAGTGTCAGTGGAGAGTTTTGATGTTTTTTAGGCTTGTTGTTTCGCATTGATCAATGAAAACGACATGTTCTTTTGGAAAATAGATTGTTTTAAGAAGACCTGTCAAATGTCATCATTTACTTGATGTGGGCAGTATTTTCAAAAAGGAAACTCATTCAGAAAGGGTGCACGTTTCTGAATGGTGTAAATAATTATTTGTCAGGCTATATCTGATCAAAAAACTATCTAAACATCGGTACCATTCTTGCATTTATTTTACAACCATCCTTAATTATTCATTCCACTCTATTTGAATATAAGGAAATGCCTTATATTGAGTAAACAAGTCGTTGAGAGAGTGATTGTTATGAGTGGAATTATCACTTTTCTTACCCTCCGTAAAGGATAATTCTCGTTTTTGTAACGCAGAAATGTTCTTTTCAATTACTTCCTGTTCAATTCCAATACCTGCCAAAAAGTTTCTCAATATTTCATAGGATGGAATTGTGTCTTGATTGGTTGCAGTTGTTGTTGTTGAGGTGTTCATGTTTTCGTCTAGCCATTCTTGACACAGTTCTTGAAAAAGTCCATCCACTTGCATGTCACTGAAAAACTTTAAATTGTGTTTGATAATGTCATTCGTTGATTCTTTGTTAGAACATGGGTTGAATACAAGTGGAATTCCACTCATTGGATCAGTGAAGAGAATGGAGGAAGGATCTTTTAAATTAGAAATCATTTGGTGATGATTTTCAAAAGTTTGATGAATGTTCTGTTGAAAAGTTGTAAAGCAGTTGTGAGTGAGAAGGCAAGAGGAGGAGCGCCAATGAGTTGAATGGTACAGTCGCACTACTTGTTTCAAACTTTGTCTTGCAAGCATTTTCTTTTGTGTATTTTTGATGGTACATTCCATCTATAACATTCAATATTTGGAAATTTTCCAAATACAACACAATAACTATTTGAAAATCAATACTCTTCGATTATGCTTATCACATATTAGGACCTGTCCATTCTGCTCATTCAAAACCATTCCAGATGGAAACTTAAATTGAGATACATCTCCAAACTCGTGGATACAACGTCCAAGCATATCAAAAACCAGAATTTGATGGTTTCCAGAGTCTGCAACCATTAAACGTTTCGATATTTTGTCAAATACTAGTTCACATGCGTTGTAAATTGCTCTATCGAAGGTGAGCCTCTTGGCTTTATACATTTGATCATTGATTGTTGTTGAATTGTTGTTATTCTTTTCAAAAACTTCAATAATATCATTGGAATCAATTTCACTCACAAACAAAAGATCTTCTACATAGTCGAGTTCATCTAAATAGTTACCACTACATCCAAATGTAATTCCAACAGGACAACTTTGAGTATTTAGAGTTGACACAACAGTTCCTGAATTCAAATCTAATATTGTAATACATTGTGTATGGTCTTGAGATCCACATACAAACACTTGATGACATGCACGAGAAATTGCCACTCCATTTGCACTAAAGAATGGAACACTCCTCCAAATATATGAATTCTCCTCATTCATCATTATTTCATTCTCGGATGCATTTCGAATCAATAATTTTCCTAAATCACACTTGTACACGAAATATTCTTTCAAAATTCTACAAGATAAAATCAAGGCATCATGACGATAATTTTCTTCGATTACCAAATATTTCGGACATTTCCAAGGAATGGCTAATTTAAATTGTTTTGTATCTAAATCAAATACATGAATGCTATTATAATGTTGATGACTAATCAAAACACAAGAGTGATGATATGAAATAGTAATATGACAGGGTTGAAAAGCATTATTCTCTTGAATAGAAGAGCTATCCAACGTATCAATTAATTCAAAATTCATTCCGAAGGGTTTTTACTCTTCTTTCTCATTTGCTTTTTGAATTTTTCCAGTAGACTTTTCGAAATGCTTCATCATGAAATGAAAAATCCACCAGCAGTAATTTTACCATTTTTTTAGCTCCAATGTCCTCTCGAGCTCGACATCCTCTTTCTATATTCCTTGATCACTCTTGAAATGTGATGTGGCCGAGTCTGTGGAGGTCCATGAATGATTGAAACAACAGAAAAGTGATTCATAAAGATCCTCCCAAAGGTTCATTGTAGATATTAGTCTCACAAATAAAAATGAAAAATCGAATCAATTTGCAACGATTCAAAAACACGATTGGTTTAACCTCTCCTTCCGCCTCTGCAGCAGAACATGAGGATTCTATCATTGATGGAGAACAACAGCCATCAACTACTACTACTAGTGCTACTACCACCACTACTACGACTAATAGTACAATGACTGGTGCAAATCACTCATCATTATCGAACCGACGTACCATTGGGTATCATCATCACCATGTTTCAGATTTTCCTTCCGATGATGATCAAATTTCACCCTCTCTCACGGCAAGTCCTCCAATTTTAAATTATCAAGTCGGTAGCAATGGATTACCAATCAATTACAATTCTGAATATTTTCGGAGAACTACTATTGGACAACAAGGTGATGATCATGATGGTGAGTATTACGGCAGCTCCAGTAGTCCATCACCATCGACCTTTCGACAGTCGCGTCGATTAACTGAAGATTATCAAAAAGTGAAAAAACCGTCACAAAAGAAGAAAAAGAAGAATTTATTTGCGAGTTCTGCAGAAGTTTTTCCCAATGCATGGAATGACGTTTTTGATGATGACGAGGAAATCGATGAAGAGACAGAATTTATAAATCCTCTCTTTAAACATTCAGATCATGGTGGCATCCATCGAAGCAGTGAAATCGAAGTCATTTCAGTAACTTCACAACAGTCTACATTATCGCAGTCTCTATTAGAAATTAAGACAAAATTAGAGCAAGATTTGGAAAAAGAATATATTTCAAAGAAAACCATACTCGAGAATGAATTGAAAACTGCTCTCGAACAAGAAAAAAATTTGGAGCAAGATTGTAAAATAGTTAAAGAAGAAATTGAAATGCTCACATCCAAGCTTCATACAGAAAAAGGAAAATGGGCTGAAACTACCCTTCATAGAATCAAGTTGGAAAAGTCAACCAAACCTGTCACGCTCAATGTAGGAGGAAAGCGAATGAAAGCATCACTTTCAGTACTCATGGACACCACACGGGATCCAAACTCAGTGATCGCAAAGATGTTCAATGGAGAATTTCCGCTTCGAATCTGTAGCGATGGTTCATACTTTATCGATTGCGAAGAGAGCATGTTCAAACTGGTGTTACATTGGCTTCGCTATGGAAAGTTGAATATTGATTGTGAAGTGACCAAAGAACGATTAAGCCATGTGGCTGAATATTTTGGGCTTGATAGACTGAAAGCCATCTTGAAAGATGAAATTTATATAACTAATTGTGAATCTAACTCATCAGAATTAAGAATTGATACTGACTCAAATATTTCTCAGGCTGAATTTTCTCATCTTGTCAGCGTATCAAAGTATCAGAAGAAGCCCTTGGTGATAACCAAAACCGATTTAACTCAACTTCAATTTGACAACATGACATTCACTGATGCAGAAATCGTTGATTGTAATTTATCTGGTTTGGACATTCGAGGAACTCATTTCAAAGGATGCTCTTTTAAGTCTTGTGATTTTAGTTCAACCAAATTCAAAACATGTAATTTTGCAAGTTGTGATTTCTCTCAATCCAACTTCTCAAAAGCTGAATTCTTAAACTCTACTCTTTCACATTCCAAGCTCACAAGATGTCACATCGATAAGGCTACATTCAAAAACACAAAATTTGATGGCACAGATCTTACACAAGTGGCTCTCTCAAGTGGATACATTATTAACCAATGCTCGTTTTCAGGTTCAACCTTTAATGAGGAAACACTTCGAAATGCTTCCAGTCTGAAGGGAAACAATTTCTCCAAATGCTCTCTCATTGGATTTAATTTATCAAATTTAGATTTTTCTGAATGTGACTTTTCACATGCCAATCTTTCAAACTGCAATTTCAGTAAGACCAAATTATATCAATGCAATTTGAGTCATGCCAATCTAACGTATTGCAAATTAGATGGATGCTCGTTGAAAAAAACTGATCTCACCGGTGCCATACTATTCGGATGTGATTTAAAAACTGTTTCCTATGATGGATTCAACATTTCTGGGTGCAAACTTAATGGAGCCCTCTTTGATGTTCATACATTCCATGCTTCAGAAAGCGTGACAGGAATTGATTTTCGAGGATGTAACTTGGATGGCTTTGATTTTTCTGATCTCGATCTCTCAAATTCATATTTTGAAGGAACCAAACTTGATGACACCAATTTCATGAATTGCAATTTAACAAATGCCACCTTTGTTAATTGCGACCTTAGAAATGCCAACTTGCACAACTCCAACATTACATTTTGTAATTTTAACAAATGTAAATTGCACAATTAACCAAAGTTCCCTATGTACATGTGTCAAACATGGATATAGTACCCATCAACAACAATACGATGACACTTTTTTCAATCAATCTTCGAATTTGTGCAGCTGTGCCATTCCACGCATCAAGGTCTTTAAATGTCAAACACTAACAAAGGTTCTTTAGCGATTGAACAGCGCTGATGGTCGCATTTTCATTCGATCATGTCGTTCTGTCAATCTGTTTTGTTATTGTGCCGGACTTGAGGTTTGATTTTTCAAAGCTGTTTCGTGATACTGACGAGAAAAGGTCTTGTCAACAAGTTCCTCTCAAATTTCAAGGGCAAGTTTCTTTCCCAAAACGATTGGTTTTTTCAACCCTAAGGCAAAAACGCAGCACCACATCTTAACGTGTCACTTGTCGTTCACTTTTGTTCAGCACGTTTTTGTCAAAACTCTCCAGACAGCAAAAACAAAAAAATTGTGTCACCCCAAACAACATTTTGTATTGCCTTACATCATGACAGACCCCACGTCAGAAACAACAACACTGACCACCAACGACACCGCTCTCAAATCACATCATCATCTTCCTATCAAACACACACCAAGTAGCAGCAACATTGCTGACCTTCAATCACCCAATGACATGCTTTCCTATCTTTTAGATGATGATGAAGATGATGGGCTTGACAGCATGCATCATGGAACCTTCCAAACAGCAGCTGTTGACTCACAAATTACCACATGTGTCGGTCACTCGAATCATTTTGCCACTTCTCTTCCTTCTCATGTCAATTCTTCTCTTCAAAGTTCATCAGCAACATCTCCCACTTGTCTAAAAATCTCCATCTCACAACAACAACAAATACATGGAAAGGATCGACGACAAATGAATCTTTCTTCTTCTCTCCTCGGAATTGATCCAAATGAAAGCAGCAGTTCATCCTTTTCAGCTGACTCTTGTAAGCTATCACCCTCATCATTAGCATTAGGAAATAATCATCCACAACATGTGGACACGTCGTTCTTGACTGCATCATCATCACTCGGAGGGCTCAGTAACCATTCGAGTGCTTCTTCAACAACTATGAATTCCACCACCAGTACATCAAAAGCAGCCAATCGACAATCAGGAAATTTCGATCCCATCAATTATATGGTCATTTATGAAGAAGCCATCAAGGATAAAGAATTGAGAAGAGTGTTTTGTGATTTTTTGAAAAAGTGTCACGTGGAAGAACCAATTTTGTTTATGAACTCTTTGGATCAATACAGGACAGATTATGAAAAGAGTTTGAAAGATTTGGGAGGATGGACGGGAGGAGTGCCACACACTCCATCAACATCGAGATCTTCATTGGCTTCTCAAAATGCTCTTCTTGTTTCTACTGCTTTAGAAGTTTTCTCAAGAAATAGTATAAGTGAAAGAAGTGATAATAACTTTACAGGAGGTGACATTGCTCTGTCACCAACTTCGGCGAATAGTGCTTTTGATATGATGGTCACTGCTTTACAACTGTCAAATGCCACCTTACAATCATCTTCATTGTATGGACAGACCGTGAAAAATATGAATAATATCAAACTAATGAAGAAACATATCAAGCACTTGTTTGAACTTTCGAAAAACATGGTGCAAACCTTCCTTACTATTGGATGTGAAAAGGAATTGAATTTGGGCGCTACTCAAAAGCAAATTTTGGATCGATGGGAACTTTTATGTGAAAATTATGATCTCATTTCAAATGTTGATGGTTTTAGTGACGTTTCTAGCAATTCAGATGCTTCAGTTTCAAGTGCTGTTTCAAGTCCATCAACAGCATCAGCAGGTTCATATTTGAGCAATTCAAAACTTGGTTGTTTACCTGCATTTCTTAACACAATTTTGTTACAACTAGAACCAGATTATATATTTGGACAAGTTCTCTTCTCAGTCAACCTAGATTTAAAATTAGATCAATTTCCTAGATTTGTTCGTTCTGACATGCTGTACAAGTTTTTGAAAGAAAAAGGTGTGAAATATACAAGAAGTATTGCTGTGGATATTTCAAAGGGATATAAAGTAGATTTGAGATTTAAGCCACAAGATTTGAAAAATAAGATTATCACTGATGATTACATTTATTTTGGATTTACACTTGCAGAAGACACACCCGATTGGCAATGCATCTTGAACAAGGATAAGCCATATCTCACTCAAGCTTACATTTCAAAAACATCTTACTCATTTGATGAAAGTATGAAAGGTATGAAATTGGCTAAAATAGTGGTTCACATTCCACACCCTTTGGAAGTCATATGGGGATGCTATTGCAACGCTGATTTTTCAAAGAAATTTGACAAGATGGCCAATACCAAACATGAAATGTACAAATTTGTTCCAGGATGTCGACAACCAACAGGAGTTGGATCGAGTCAATGTCCTTACAATCCTGACAAACCACCCTATTCTCTACAATTTGCTTCGAACAGTTTGAATTTGCTGCCGCTTCTCAAAAAGAGACAAGTTCCATATGTTTACACAGCCATCAAAGATCCTATTGGAATGTACATGTTTTTGGCTCACTCTGCTGAATTTGATGATAATGAAATTCCACATCACAAAGGTGAAGTTCAAGGCAAGGGTCTCTTTTATTACATGTTTTATAAGGTCAATGAGAATTTAACACGAATTGTTCATGTCGTGTACAGTGACATGATGCTTCCAATTAATCCAGATTTAATGTTAAAGATGATCTTCAAGAAGCGAGCGAAAGAGCACTACACTGGATTCGAAAGAATTCTAAATGAACTATCCGAAAATGGAACTAAACCGATTGACACCTCTAAATTTGTGGATGGACAAAACACCAAAAAGTGTTGTGAGGAAAATTGTAAATTATATCCAGGAAGGTCGTGGTATTACGAGTGGAGTTCTTTACGACCAACCTACGAGTATTCCAATAATAATAATCAATAATTGATCATTTTTTCATAAATTGTCTATCAAGAGCATGCTTCCAAAATCGAATCGAAAAAAGTTTACAGATTTGTGATCGTTCGAGCTTTTCTATTGTTAGGATTGGGAACAGGAATGTATAGATCTCTGACATTGTATTCGATCCTCTTAATACTATTTTCTTCTGGGTCTCCTCGAACACCAAAGAATGATTGATTTTTCATGCCTGATGAAGTTGAATAATCAACCACAGATAGACCTTGTGAAATTCCTGAAATGCAGAAACTTCTGTCAAAAGCTTTTAACAACCGAAAATCAATCTTTCCTTCTTCTGTACTAAAATATTTCAATGAGTCGATCCAGTGACAAAATAGGTCAATGGTAACTCTGTCTTTGAACTCAATTTCTGTTCTTTCATAAAACTCTTTGTACTGTTCTGCTTTTGGATTGGACTCCATCATCGATTGAAGAGTATTTGAATAGTAATACTTTCTCTTTGTAGTACCTTTCTTGAGATCTTCGAAATATTTGTCAAACGAACCTCCAGAAGGTTTTGTAACACCAATAGCATCTAAAACATCTTTCACAAAGTGTTGACAATTGCAATTGCGTTGACTATACGTCTTGGTTGCATTATAAATGCAACACACTTTAGCAACGCTTTCGAATGCATTCTTAATTTGATCTAAATGAGTCAAATACCCCAAATCAATTACAGAAATTGAATTTGAAGAGCTAATATTCTTGTCCATTCTTACTGCCACAATAGAGTTGTCATACCAATCAAATTTCCATTCTCCAACAAGTATTCCTGTATGCAAAATTCCAAATTCTGTTTCGACAGCATTTGCAATGATTTGTCTTGCAAATTTTTCCAAATAATTGCCTCCTAATTCTGAAATTACCAATTTAATAGCAATAAAGGGCGCACTACTCATATCTCTTCTTTTCTTGTTTGCTAAAATTGGTTTTCCAAATGTTTTGTACATGAATCGATCTTCACACACAGAATTTTGAGCATCGGCATCATAATTTCCAGTGTATCCTTGAGCTTGTAGTGTATTATTGCGAGAGAGAAGCAATTTTTCAAATTCTTTTAACTTGTTCTTAAAAAGAATAATTCCTTTCTTCTCCCAATCGCTGAGACTCGAGTCAGTAAATACGTCTTCAACATTGAAAGTTGAACAATCAACAACCTTCATATTATTATTACTTGAAGAGACTGCTCCACTATCTGAATCCATCGATCGAGGCATCACTGTCGCTCTATACTTCTCGAATGTACTTTCACTTGTTGTCTTGGTGTTCACAAGTTCTTGTGACTGTTTCATGTCGTTTTTGATTTTTTCCAAAACGACCTCTGAAATAAATGCATTTGCGACATGTTTGGGAATTTGTAATTTCGTTGATAGATGCTCGATCAGTCTCTCTTTCTCTTGTCTCATTCTATTTTCATCATTTAAAGCCACATGGCTTGCCAGATCGGTAAATTCATAACCTCCCAAATCATGTGTTTTAATCTTATCGTCCATGTCATAATTGATACGTTCAGAAAATTTGTAATGTTCCATCAGAGCAATTAAATCTTGTGCGGAACACTTGTTCAGAGGTTTTGGTGTCCATTGTACTCCGCTACTCGATGATCCCGATGAGTATAAAACTTGTTGCGAAGTGGTGGTGTTGGTGGTGGTGGCAATCCACCAATTCGATTGACCCATTTTTTTCTTTGAATTTGTTCGAAAGAAATCAAATAACACGTGTTCGACACGATCATGAGGAGTGATGACTCCATCAAGTCAATGAGGGTGCAATGTTGTTAAAAGTGCTGTTAACGGCCGTAGTCAACAACAACCGATTTATTGTTGTCTGGATTTTACAGTAAACGGATGTAATCCTTACTATCAATCATTTGGAGAACATCACTCCAGTTGTTCAAATCTTGCGAAAAGTTTCCAATGAATATCACAACAATATACTGTCAGAGATGACATCTTTTCATCGAATTTGACACCTAATCAAATGCAATATTTTGGTCAATAGTAGGATTTATCTCTCTACATCATCAGAAACAATGAAAGAAGGTCGAATATTGTGATTTCGGTGCAGCAAGTTTTGAGGGTCGTACTTGTTTTTAAGCTGGACAAGTCTTGCATAGTTTTCTCCATAAAATCCTTCTGTGTTTTTCGTTTGCTGAGCTGTGTTAATATAGCCATTAATGTTACAGGAGTATTTGGAAACGTTGTCAAAGAACTCTTGTTGAGCCCAATTTCTGAATATTGAAATATCGAGACTGTTGTTCTCCCATGAACAAATGGAATGAATTTCATACAAGGCATCTCGTTGGTAATATGCTGTGTGAGTGTGGGCTACTTTTGATATAGCTCCTCCTAAATGCATGACTTCGATCGTTGATGCTTCTGGAGCTTTTTTGATGGCTTTCAATAGAGCTTCTTGTGTCTCCTCTGAGATTGCAGTGTTAAAAAATAAAGACTTCCAATAATAATGTTTTCCATGCTTATTTCCAATGTCAAACATGCTTTGAAGGCATGTATAGCTGTCAGTGAATGAAGTGTATATTGGATTAAAAGCAAATAATTTTTCAATCACTCTGTTCTTGTAAAATTCAAACCTCTCTTCTGTGTCAATATTTTGTGTAATATCACCCTCATGATAGAGTGACATGACTAAAACTTGTGTAGGTAATAAAAACAAATACAAGGTAATATTATCAGGAAGTGGATGAGGATTATTAAGAGGATTGGTTATGGAAAAATAGGTTTTCATAATTTTGTGAGCATCTTCGATTGGATAAACAAAAACTCCATGATCCAATTTTGAAACCTTATATAGTTTGAAAGTAAATGCGAAACAATTCCAAAATTTCCTCCCCCTCCCCTTAGTCCAAATAACAAATCTGAATTTTCTTCTTCGCTGACATTACAAATGGAGCCATTTAATAAAACAATTCGAGCTCCTATCAATGAATCACATGTCAAGCCATAGGCTCGAGACAGCCATCCAATTCCACCACCAAGAGTTAATCCACCCACTCCAGTATGAGAGACCATTCCTCCAGGAACAAACATTTGATAAGGATCACAAGCTTCATCCACATGTCCCCATAAAGCTCCTCCTCCAACTGTGACTGTTTTGAGCTCAGAATTTACAATCACACTCTTCATGAGAGACAGATCAATCAAGAGACCACCATCACTGGCTGAGAATCCACTTACTGAATGGCCACCTTTAAGAAACAAAGAATTAAAAAATTCCAAAGATTTCATCAAATCATTTCATCATATTATATATTAATGGTTCCAAAGTACTGCATGCGCATGGTCATTCACTCACCTCCTCGGACAGCTATTTCCAATTCATGAGTCTTTGCAAAATCCAAAGCATTCACAATATCCTGCTCATTCTCACATTGCACAATATACTTGGGATATAAATGAATCGTTCCATTCCAAACTTTCCGAAGACGATTGTAATCTTGAGGATGACTGGTGGAATCGATGAAACGAAGTGGTGGCATTTTTTTTAATTTCCTAAAATGTAGAATTCCTCATTCAGACCAATCAAACTGGTTTTCTCATTTGCATCATTTCAATTAACACAAACTGGTACAAATAAATCACAACAAAATGTATTTGAATTCATCGGCCACTACTTTCTTCAAATGCTGAGATAAATGTTCTTCTGCGAATTGTTTGGTAATAAATCTATACTCAAATGCATCTTCGTTTGTCTCTTGGCATGTCATTGATGTGTCTCTATGACTCGGTAATGGTTGAGCATCCTCTTTCCATGAGAATAAACACGATCCTGTGGATTCCTCATATGGATTAAGTTCAATTAATTTGATAAATTCACCACAAGATCTTTGAGATAATTCTTTCACATCATCTACTCCCAATTCTTCCCGTTGGATCTTTTAGAAAAACTTTGGGTAAATAACAAAATCTGCCACGTAAGTTGTGAATACGCCCTTAAAGAAGTTTTCTTGCAAATAATGAATCGTCTCGTGAATGAGTGCTCGAATTTCAAATTGATACTTTTCCAATTCTTCAACATAAATGACATGATTATATTGACTACATGCTCTCAACTTTGAATTTACAACAAAAGTTCTTAATTCAAATCTTATATCAATGGTGGGATCCCATTCACGGAGAGCGATCTTATTCTTTGTTGGAGAGGATTCATTCCAAAAATCAACATAGGTTTCAATTAAATCTTGATACACTCTTGTGGAGCGTAACATTAATTCTAACACGTCATTGGAAGAGTGAACTTGAAGAAGTTTTGTTGCAGCTCTTGTGAAAGATAAAATTCTATTGGAATTATTTGTTTTTTCAATTCGGTGGTGTAATGATCGTTCAAATCTTGTTCAAATAAATCATCGACATTCTTGTCATTCATTCTTGTGACATCTTTTGGAGATCTTGAAGATAATTTGAAAAATAGAGGGGATCGTACTTGTTTGTTCCATAATCGACATTCATCGATTTGTTGTTGCAGTTTTTGAATAGAATTTTCTTTTTTCATGGAATTCAGTAATTGATTGACGAATTCGTCTGCTTCGCAATAGGTGTGATCGGACGGATGTACCACTGAATGCTGGTGAAATAATTCCAATTTTTCGTGATACTCAATGAATAACAAGGCAACATCTTTTTCAATGTCAATGAAGAGAGTATCAAAAGTCAATTCCGAAGGAACAAGAGGAATCCATTGATCCAATTGAGCCAATATTTGATTCTGTCGATATCGAGAGAGATTTTCGTTTTCAAGCTGAAGCCAAGAGATGGAACATTCCGATGAAGACATCTTTTTGTAATCTAGAGAACTCTTCTCGATAGGTTTTTCCACATGTTTTAGTTTAACATTGGCAATATCATTCAAATTAATCATTTTTGTTTATCTCGGAGAGAGAATATACTCTGTTTAAATTTTGTCTTTGGCAAGTTCACATGTTCAGCCCCGCACACAATTTTGACGAACTTGGAACTGAACATTTAAATGCATTTTCGACTGATGATGATTACGGTGGTGCCAATAATTTTCACAACACATGTTAAAGTGGGATAAACAATCCAAACAATGCAGCAACAGCGGCTCCAATAAATACCACAATGGGAGGATAGCAATCAATCCAATTCACAAGTGAAAAGCTCAGTAAAGAGACAGCTCCTAATGGAACACTTGTTCCCACAACAGAAATCCACAAAATCACAATATTGTTGATAAGATAACCAACGCAAACAGCATTAATTCCAACCATTGCTTTTTTGCACAATTGGCTTGCTTTTCAAAGTTCCCCATAATGGAACAATTCCTAACAACAAAATAAATCCAGGTAAGTGGAATGCAATACCAGCAAGCACACCATAGAATAATGGTAAGAAATATCGCGAAAAAGCAGAGTATTCAGCTGTTGTGGAAGTCTCAGTTGTGATGATTGAATCGGCGTTTTGGTCCATCAAATCCAATTCTGGAAGCAATAACTGTTGTTGTTTAAGCATAGATGTAGAATTATTGGAAGGAATTTGGGAAGAATTATTTCCAGCATTTAACAAATTTCCAGCAATGATTGCTCCAAAGTAAAATCCTAAACTAAAACGTGGACCTGGAGCAGCATTCGTTAAACTGTAGCCATTGATAAATTGTTCCTCATTAACCCATCCTCTTTCTATCATTTCATCTCGAATAATGACCACGTTTACAACAGCTCCACCGTAAATTAAGGAGCCACATCGATAAAAGAAAGAGGTCATAATGATCCATTCGGTCCATACATTGATCTTTCGTTTTGATGTTATGGAATCGGAATTATTTTGATATTGAAATTGAGACGAGTGGATAAAAGTGGGTTGTGACAATCCTGTGTTGGTGGTCGTAAATCCTGATGGAATACTCTCCACAATAAATGAGCCTCCCATTAATACTGCAAGCAGCACAAAATATAGAACTATAAGAGAAATTCCAACTTTGTAGGATGCTAAATATTTGAAAGGATTTTTTCTATCATCTTCGTTGTCTTCATGTGGAGTGCTTGTATTTACACTCTCATTGTGTTCCTCTTCAAGCTCTACTCGTCTTTGTTTCATTTCTCGTGAATACTTTGGAATGAATGTCTTTAAAATTAGTACAATAAATCTCAGTTGATTCCTCCATGATAATTTTTCGAATTGTTTTTCTTTCACGTTCAACAAGTCATAGAGTGCGAAATGGGAAATTCTATTAGTCCATCGCTCCTTAATTTCAGCATAAATTATTCCTAGAATAGCACCAATAACTAATAGCACAGGAAGAAGCCATGATTTTCTATATAACATCGTAATGACAGCAACTATTGTCAGTAAAATATATGGAAATAATTCGTTTGACTCTCCTTTCGAATCATTCTTCTTCTTTCCTTTCTTCTTGTCTGGGCTTTCGAGCAGAGAAGAAAATCTTGTCACAGACTGGAGAGCAAATGCAATACCACTGCAAGCCAAACCCTTTTGAGCATGAACGAACCACTGTGGTGCTGTTTTGCTGTCATAATCATACATAAACAGTCCCATGGCAAGACACAAAATAAATCCAGGTATCGAAAAGAACAAGTAAGACAAAATTCCTCCAATAATTCCATATCTAGGTATTGCTTTTGAATTATTAAGATGAAGGTAATATTAAGATCAGAACAAATGGTAGCATGTGAAAATTGAATATTTTTGAATTTCACAAGTAAAATAATTAGGTTAGAACCTACCAATGCCCATAGCTTAAAAAATTCCTCAGTTAATAATCATATCGTTCACTTGTTACCAATTATATACATACCAATTTGTGATGGTTTAGCTCCTGGTACTAAATGTGACATCATATACACCTCCATAAATTCATTAAAACTTAACCAATTCACTTTTTCACAAAATCTATTCATCAAGTTAGCAACGCCACCTCTAAACGATGTTGAGCCAACAATGGTCATATTCCATCCTATATCTTTCAGCATTTTCCATTTGTCCACCGGTTCTCGGGTATTATTGCCACTCTCAGAATGACCATGAGAGCCTTCCGATTCTTCATCCCGATAAGCTACGTCATCATCATTGGATACAATTCTATCATGTTCTTCTTCTTCGTTTCTTTTGTTTGAATGCAATGGCAAATCACCAGATTCTTGATGATTATTTTGGAAAATCCTTTCATCCTCTCGAATTGAAGAGGTTATTATCAATTCCGAGGATGAATCATCATGACCGTCTTTCTGCTGTAAAGAAGACATTTTTTCATCTGCAAAAATTCAGGGATGGGTTTATTCGATGATAAACGTTGTTCGATGGTTTTATGTACAATATTTACAAGCCGAACGTAAGATACGTAGTGACTTCCTAGCAGGCACCCCGGAAGTAAAGGTGTTTAAACTGCTCACGATAACAGCAGCAACCCCTGGGATTCGAACGCTGGACCAGTTGGCTGCCATAGTTCCAGAAAATTTTTCATCTGCAAAAATGTGTTCTTGATTGGATTCAATCATATTCAGAAAGCGAACTCATGAATATATTGACTGAATTGTTTCATAATGATTTCGACAACTAGTACTGAAAAGAAGAAGTATTCGCCAGCTCTCCTCATCCTGTAATTTTTTTGTCTCATAAGTTATTTCCAGTTTGGAAGATATTCGGTGTTGAACAACACAACAATAAAAAACACGCCGAAACATAATATAATTCACCTGAAGAGAAGGCTTTCATGCCGAACGTTATATCTTGAGGGTTTCCAAAGGGTTGTTCAGCAACATTCTTTGGTTGTGGCCAGCAAGGAATTTACAGCCTTCCTACAAACACGGACGATGATTTCGAGCTTCATGAGCTACGTAGTAGCAATTGTTGGTTTGACCTTCTTTGCATCAAAACAAGAACCTAAATCATCAAACATCAATGTAAATCGTATGTGTTAGTCCTTGATGTGATAAGAACTATATTATTTATTTAGCAGATTATGAAACTATGAGTCCTCCGAAACGAAAACTTCGTTGCCTCATCTTGAAATATTGCTTCCCCCTTTGGGTTTCCTCTCCATCTGAAAAGGATATGTTCTTGTGAGGCTGTACTTTTTGGATCTAATATTCGGCGTCTCTTGTTGGATTCGATTCAAAAAAACATCGATAATGAGGCGCAGGTGCCAAACATCAACAAACAATTCTACCTCAAGATCAGATTCAAAGGTGCCTCATCATCCTTTTCATGACTTGTTGTTGATGAACGATGATTCTTCAATGGGAAAAGTGTCAATGACCACACTTCAACTCAGAATTCAGACACCAATCACATCTTCGATACACAGGTGGTGTTCATCGTCATCTTTGACGAGACAGTCGTGTTTTTTTACAGCACGAACACTTTTGCTGTCAATCATCACGATGATGGCATTATTGCTCGTACTATCTTTCTCCTCGCACCTCCTCGTACATGCAGAATTGACACTCTCCATAGAAACCATTTCCATCGAAGAATTAGCGACAATTACTGAAAATGTTTTCAAAGAATCACCATCAGCGACTACCATGCCCTTTCACATCATTCAAATTCATTCTCCTCAAGTAGCTCTTGCTCCAAAATTATTCAATTCCTATGATAACCAAAGTGCTCTCTCAGAAATGAAAGATACAAAGAGTTTGGTGGAATTTGTTCATGCCAATGAACTTTTTGATTCAATGAGAGCATGTTGTACGGACAATGCGTTCCACATGATGGAATCTTGGAATTTTACTGATTGGAATTATGAGGAATGGCTCAATGGTCAAGAAGGCAATGGGTCTTCTATTGTTCACAATTTGAAACAACAAACACGTTCACAAATGTCCAAGACTTTGACCATTGAGAAGAAAGTTGTTTCACCAATTGGATTCTATTCTAAACTTGAGAATGAACATTGGTTGTTGGATACGCTTTGGGCTTTTGTGCCTATCATTTCACTCTCCATGAATCAAGTGGATCATTTATTGTTGAATTTTAAGAATAATTTATTGCTGAACAGTACAAACTTTTCAACTTTTGATCATTTGAAATTTGCTGATTATGTCCAACTGTTGCCAACCAACGGCGCAACATCGGTCACAATTTTGAAAACTGTGCCACAAGTCACTGAAGAAGAGTTGTGGTCACAATTAAGCGACTCACAACAACATCAAATTGTCGAGGCTTTGAAGGAAGACATTCAGACAAGTATTTTGAATCCAATTCTACATTATCCTGCAATGTTACAATGCAACATTACAAACTCCACCACGCTCAATCAAATGAGAGAGTATCATTTAGCGCTTCTTAGAAAAAGTACTGGAATGGGCTATATTTCTGCTCGACAATGGATTACTCTCCAAGCCTATACATATTTCGCTCTTCCCATTTCATACGTTCCCTATATTCCTTATACAAACGAATTTCTTTGGCGAGCATTGAAGATTCTTTATGAACAAGAGTCGAGTGATTTTAAGAAAATTCTTTCACAAGAAGGTTTTGACACTTCCAATACGTTCAACGAAACTCTGTTAATTGCAGAATTTGAGAAATGGAAGAAAGACGCTCCTTCATATGTTTCGAGCAGATTCATGGACATATATTGCTATAGTTCTTATAACAATTATTTGGGAATGTTTCATTACAACTTTTACGATGCATATCAATATTTCATGTTTAAAGATGGAATTTTATATTGCATCTCAGCTCTAGCCATCCTATTTTATGTTGGATTTATTGCAACTTTTGTTGTTCGTCGAAGAACAAAGAATATTGTCCTGAAAAGACGACTTTTATTGCCATATGTTGGTCCTGTGTCGTTGTTTCTATTGCCTCTCTACTTTTTAGAACCTATTTGGAACAGACAGTACATTGATGTTTTTCACACAGATGCTGCATTCGCATCCACAGGTATTTACCCCAATTTGTTCATTTCACTATTCTTCTCCACCTATTGTGTGACTGTTCTGAGGTTTTATCACTTGAAGAATCTGTATTGGATCATGAACAAATTTGCCTCCAAGAAGTATGTCATTAGTGATAGAGCTCTTCGAATCAACAAATTCCTCACATCGAAAGTTATGGCGTTTGTGTTCACTCTCATCCTTAGTTCGGTAATTTTTTTACTTTGGGTTCCTTATTATGTTTCATGGTATGGAGAATCGAGAGCCATGATTTTCTCTGCCTACAACTTGCAAGTCGAATTATTGTTTCTTGTTCCGTTTTCCTCACTCATTATTCTACTTTCAATTATTTGTATCATTTGTTTGATTATTGACTTGATTGTCAACAGAAAGAAAATTAGACAAAAGGGTGTTGTTCATTACTTTATTTTTGATGACCCTTTCTTTTTGAGAATTGATTTGACCATGATGTTGTTGACAGCTGTTGTTTCTGCACTTATTTACATGACATTTTCAAGCGCGACAACCAATGTGGTATCAAAAGCGTTATTTTTACTTCTTTTTATTTTGTGTTATTTGGTCACAGGTGGAAATGCTATTATTATTGAACTACTTCGAGGAGTTATTGCCTTAATTCGTGGTGGTAAAAAGGAAGAGTCAGAATTCACGAAAATGATTAATGATCCAGATTTTAGAAACATTTTTAGAATGTATTCTGTCAACGAGCATTCCGTCGAAAATTTGGTGCTTTACGAACTGTTAGAAACTTTCATGAAGAAAGGCGAACTTACAGAAGAAGAGATGCATGATATTGATCGTAACTTCTTGAGGCCGTTCTCGCCTTTCGAGATCAACATGTCTTCAGAAGGAAAAAAGAAATTTGCAGAGCTCATGATGAAGAATAAGGGGACAAAAACCACATACGCAAGTGTTGATGAGATTCTCATGAAAGAAATTTTGTTAAACATGTCAGACACTATTGCCAGACTCGAAATGACTCCCGAATACATGGATTGGTTAAAGACCAAGCAACTTAAAGGAGATATTGAACTCGGGTTTGAGAACAAGTAAAGGATGTCAAAGACAGTTTCAGAGAACAAGCAATGTTTTATTTATGGATGAGATTTCTTGCGCTTGATCAACTCACTCACAAAGTGTCGACTAGAATTTTGGCTAGAGTCGATCGCAACCTGTGTGGCGCTTCTTTCCATGTAGTCTTTCATTTCGAAATTACCTCCATACTTGGAGAGTTCGTCAAAAACAAATGAATGGCAGTCATAGAGACACAAATGAAGTGGTGTTAGTAAATGGTAATTGCAACAATTGACTAGATTTGGCGACTTCTTGATTAATGTAAACAGTACGTTGTAATCATCAGGTCCTTTAAAATGGAGGAATAAGTGTAAAATTGTATCACCTCGCTCGTTCACTCCAATCGAGTCAAATAATTGTTGATCCATGTTTTCAATAATTTTAACCAGCAAGAAACTGTTGCAATGGTCAAATAGGAAAGCAATAATTGGAACAGAGACTACAAACTCTTTACTTGAGGGAGCAGTTCTCTTAACCTTTTTCACAAGTAAACGTTGCAGCAAATCTCTCTTATTGGAAAATAAATAGAAAAGTAAGTCATTCAAAATTTCGGTCTTTGACTTGATACAACATTTCAATACAAGTGACTCAATTGTTGATTCATCTACATGAAAATATTTGAGGGTAGAAACAAATAATGATGGAGCTTTGGTGGTAAGTATAGCCAAAGGAAGAAAATGTTTGATCTGAGTGGAGACATTCCAGCCATACTTGGCAGCGCTCACAACACCGTCTGACATATTAACATCAGTATATCTTGAATCATCTATCAACATTCCACCTTGATATTCTTCTCCAATATAAATCAAGTATTGTAACATTGCGGTAGACTTTGGATTTGTCATTGTAAAAATGGAATTTAAATTCAGAGGTGTTAATAAATATTTAAAAATGTAATCTGCGATTGCTTTTGATTTTAACAAATCCTGATCTTTGTTGTAAATGAGTCGGTTGATAATGAGAAATTGATACAGCATATCAGCTCCAAAAATATCTACCAGTTCTTTGACATCTTTTAGTGTAAAATCACAGGCAAGAGTAACTAATACATCCAAATCACCTCCATTTCCATTGAGGATGTTTTGAACAAATATTGTTTCAGCTCCTTTCTTTCTTTTGATATTGACATTTGCTGTGTGAGAAAAATTATGAAAAAAAGGGCTGATGTCTACACGAGAAAGAACTTCAAAACTCAATTTTTGAAGGTTTGGTAAAAGCTGATCATTAATTATTGAAGCCAGAAAACTATTCGAAATAATTTTGAAATTCATGATAAATTCCTGATATTGAACTTACCTGGGCCAGTACATTGTATCACATTCTGCTGTTTCTGTCACAAAACGAATATATTCGAGCGAAGTGCTATGTAAAGTCAAATGATAATGATTGTACAATATATCTGTTGTAATGACCGTGTCCAACTGTTTCAAATTCTTACACCATGCAACCAAAGCATTTAACAGTGTGCACGATTCATAACTATCCAATAAAACTGACAGTCTTTCAATGATATTATTTTCAATTGGTTCAATAGGTTCGGATCTATAAGTTTCATAATTAGAGACTTCCAGTTCTCTAAATGCTTCGAAATAAAGATTTTTTTCTTCTGAAATGTCTCTGACTAGATCTTGTTTGGCAGGTGTGTAGTCTGAAGTATTGCCGTTATCTTCATTTGTGCAGTGTCGTTTTTGATATCTTTCAATTAATTCCTTTTCCAAATTTGCTTGTTCCATTTTAGCGAATATGATATCTATTTTTCCTGATTCGTCTTTCAATTTCTCGGTGTTTCCATTTACTGCTTGCAAATTCCAGCCACCTACTAGCATTGGTTGATGTTGGTCCATGCTTTGAAATGTAAAATCCATGTTTGAACTGCTATTGGCAATACTGGCTTGGTTATCGGTTGATTGGTCATATAGGTAGAAAAGTTCAATCGGCCGATTGTAAATGATATTGTCTTGGTGAGAATTCTGTAAGCGTAGCAGCTTGCTCAAATTGTCCAAGTGTTGCTTCTTCAATGGTTTACAGATGCGTAGATGTTTAATGGCAAGCAGTTTTCTAATCATTCTTCGATTCATTTCCTTGTTAATAACCCTTAATTTATGATACGTGACAATTGGTTCATCCATTTTATATTCCAGGTCGATGAATGATTCTCTTTTGCTGTTGACACTAGAGTCAAAAGTAGTTCTTCGAGAATATGTTGGTAAAAAGCTCAAAATCTCATACTTGACATCAAGACTCAACTTTTTCAAATCATTCTCAAAATTTACTTGAGAATTCTCCCGAACAGAACTAGAGGTTCTCTTCTTTTTTAGATCCATATAAATCCAATATTTTACCAAATCATCAACCGCGCCATATTTTGTATTGACATATTCCATCAAAAGTTGTTCCTGATGATTGGAATGTGCTTCGGCCATCATAGACGATGAAAAATTTTCTTCCAGTTTCTCAACTTTCTTCAATCATTTTGCAAAATTCCGAAAGTTTGTGCTGAAATTAACCTTTTTGAAAGCCTAACGAAAAATTTTTGAATGAATTTTTCGCAGGCAAATTTTGGTTGAAGAGGGGCGCTTCAAGTTTGTCACAAATTAATTTACCATCACCTATTTTCTGTATTGAGGATTTGGGTGATACAGAAATTATCGACAATAAGTAATAATTTTCTTTGGGTCTTGATGCTCCAGGTTGAACATAAAAACAACAATGTTGTTGAAATAAAAAATGGACCTGATTGTGCTTGATTGAATTGTTGAAAAAAACAGTCATGATCCCTTCAAACAATTCCGAAACCACTCTCTTGAACGAAGGAATTAATTTAATTGGAGATAATTCGTTCATGCTTTTGGACGAGGAGTATTATGAGTTGGCACAACAACTTAATTCAGATAAATATTATTCCGAAATTTTTGATGAACCCGTTCCGATAAACCATAAACTTGCGGATTACATAGAAGAGTGTACTGATATGTTTCATCCATCTTTTTGGGTGTTGAATTCCTCACACTTTGGAAAAATCGAATGACAAAACATCCAGAGATGAGAGAAAAATTTGAAGCTGTTTCTAAGCAGCAGTTGAGCAATTAGGAAAATCCAAATTGATATACGTTAACTGTAAAACGTATCGTATCATCAATAACAACTTGCAAGAGACGTTTAGGAAGCTGAGAGATGATATTGAGAGATACATTGGAGGTAGTATTGAAAGTGTTCCTTGTTTTATCGTAATTGATGAAATTGGCTCTTGGGTACAATATTATGAGCCATTACGTCGCCCCAACATTCATCGCAACTTTTGTGCCATGTATGATATTTTGAACGAATTTATTTTAGACCTGCAGAAAATTCGTACCGTTAGTTTGTATGTATGTGGAAAGGGAGCCTTTTTGGACATTGTCGGACAAGGAAAACTTCGCCCAACATTACAATCACCATCAATTATCAATGCAATTCATTTGGAAGCACTTTCAAGAAAACATATTGAATCAGGAATTGTCAACTCAAATCTACTTGGCCCCCTCATCTCACACTTTAAAGAACTTAATTTATTTGATTATTTTCTTGACCAAATACAAGAAGAAACCCAAGGTGTTCCTATCTATGTTGTTCATTATGTTTTCGACAGCTATATGCAGTTATTGGAATGCAAAACAAAAGAAGATATTGATCACACCCTTATCCAAATTCGTTCGACACTTCCAATTTCTTTCAACGCTCCATTCAAACAATTCTCTAACCAACCAGTCTTGATGAAGGTCTATCAATCTTTGCTCTTTGCTGGCATTTTGAAACTTGAAGCTGGCAAAGAATTTAATATGGATGAGTTTAATACAGAAGGAACAGAGTTTGAAGGTGTCACTAGTCTCGGTACCTACGATATTGCAACAATGTTGAACTGTTTTCTACAACCTGTAAAGGAGAACATATACCAACTCTTATTTCCAAGAGCAATCATTGATCAATATGTAAAATCATCTGAAGCATCTTCTCGCACATTTGCAATTTCACACATTGTTGAAGAATATGGACCAGTCGTTTCTCTAGGAAACATTATGGAGCAATTAACATTGGTCAACTTTATGTTTAGAATGAAATGAGGATCAATCCAAGGGTTAAATATTGGAGAAGTTATTCCATTTTTAAAGAATACGTGTGTTGAAAATATTTCTTTGGGAAGTGATAAGCTTGGGAATGAAATTGATGGCCGATGAAACAAGTAACTTGAACAGTTGGAGGAAAGTTATTCCCATGTTGGATGGAGGAAAGCTTGGATATTTCTATGATCGTTCACATTCGCCTGACAAGATTTGGCAAATCAATTTGGGATCAGAGAAGATCTTTATTATGATTCAAGATAAGAATGTTGATGAATTATCATTTCTAAATTACGGGAGGAAATTGAAAAGAATGAAAAAATTAGAAAGGCACTCGATAAGACCATTGAAACTAAATTAATCATGATATTTATGGGGAGAGGAAAGTTCAAGTTCCCAGGTCATTATCTTGATGGAAGTACTATTGAAGGAATTCAATTGCACCAACATACATCTGTCATTATTCCAACTGAAGAAGAGATTTCAGATTTTTTGGGAGATAGAAATCGTGAAGCACTTGAAAAACAATCAGGATTGAAAACAATAAACTACAAGGGCTTAAGAAAATAAACATCTCAGAATGTAGCTCGTGCTAACGAATAAGGAATAGAATGAGACGAGCTTCCATTCATTATCTCCGATTGTTATTTGATTTTTTTCTTCAAATGAGGACGGGAAGAGTGTTAATAGAATTCCCGAATATCCAATTTTCCATGGCCTTCAATTTGCAATCGGAAAACTTGGTGCTCACGACCATGACACAATTACTGCATTATTGGAGGAACGTGGAGGAGTAGTCTAGAAAATTTCATCCGATGTTGATTTCTTGATTGAAGAAGGTGGAGAGGAACGATCTCTAATTGGTCGTTTTTGACCTACACAACATCATGTTGATCTAATTGTTGACAGTAAGAGACTAGTACATACTGTGAATTCCTTCATCGACGACAGGGTATTGAATGCGGACTGAATATTCAAAAAAGTAGACTCAGAACTCAAACTTGACACAAGCATCACGGTATCAATCATGACCATATTCCAATTTGAAAAAAAGTGAATGGCCTCAATGGGTTGATTGAATTGTAATTTCAGAATTTTAACTCTAATTTCTTGTAGCGAATAAATGTAGCCATCCACCTTGTCAAAATTACTTTGCACCTGAGAAAACAAGGGAGAGGGAGTTTTGAGCTCATTGATTAATTCGTTGAGACATGAATTGTCTCAAGACATCATCTGTATTGTTCCTCCTCTCCAAGACCAAATCATAATAGTTGGCAGACCCGTTGGAACCCAAATACAAGGAAGAAACTGCTCTCTCAATTTGACTATTGTGCACCAAATTGGTCAATAAAGTCGTCAGAGTTGAAACGTTTCAACATTGAATTATACACCAAAATAGAAGCAAATACAACGAGAGAAAGAAAGGCAAATATGACAATTAGGAACAACTTGAGTGAAATGGGAAGCTTTTCAAGACGCTCATTGATGGGATTTGGTTTGTTTTTACGTTTCGTTGATGATCCCTTGGAATGACTTGTTGTTGCTTGAGAAGGAGGAGGTTGAGGATTTGTTTTCGAATGGAATGATGATGTGGTTTGGATGTTGTTGTAAGCATGTGTCAGAGTTTCTGGATGAATTTTAGTAATTTTGTTCGAAAAAGAACAGTGATCCAGAAGTAGATCAGTGGTCAATCAGAGACGCTTTCTTTATCCTTGGGAATAGTAGATGAAGGCGGCAAACCTGTTACAAATGGCAAAATTGAATGGATTTGGAGTGAAAGGTATATTCTTCACTACAACAGTTTACATGCGACAGGTGACACGAGAGCTTTCAGTTGTTTGTTTGATGATGCATAGAGACAGAGTGGACATATTTGTACGCAACTGGTTTTTTCGCTGGAGAGCTTTAATGTGGTGACTGTCTAGGGTTGTTCAATTGAGTTGGAGTGAATTGGTCGTAGTATGAATTACTTGTTTATGAATGCTTTCATACAGACTGAAAATTGCCTCAACAACAAGATGATTGTAAATGTTTAATTTCATAAAACTGTTTGTAGAAAATATTGAATCAACTAGGGCTCATGGAGCTCCTGACTTGTCACTGGTTTTTGTGGGTCTGTGACAATTTCATGGTTTCTCTTTTTCAAATATATAAACAAACATATGCAAATTCCAGTCATGAATAGTCAAGTCAGTCCCAAAGTGAAATAAGGGAAAGTATATTCTACAGCCATATAAGCCAGCACCCAATAGGGAGCACCAATGAGTTGTTGCATGACAGAATCGGAATAGAGAACAACCATTAACACTATATACAAAATCAAGAGAAATAGAGCAATTACCACTCGCATGGAATAACAAGTGACACATCTACACCTTTTTTTGCGACTTAACGATCCGTCCAATAGAGGAAGAGACAATTCTAGATAATTAATACCAGGTATCAAAACAAACAAACAAACTCCAATCCATATAAAAAAACAAATGAGAGACAATACGATTCCAAGACCAATCCACAAGTCATTATTCTCTGCAGCACATACTTCACTTGTTTGCCAAATCATTCTCGACCAATAACACAAAATGTGAGAATAGAAATTGCCCCCTTTCTGACCATTTGTTAAAATAACAATTCCTGATCCATTAAGAGTCCATTCATAATGTGCTTTAAAACCATGAATATCACCTCCATGATAATAGGATACAGGTCCCCGTCTATTTTGTGTCATCCATAATCCTAAGCCCACAGAAAGATCATCCAGGATTATAAGGTGGTGGAAGAGTATATGAATGCATATGTTTTTGAATTGGATCATCCAATTGTATGAGTCCTTTCTGTACAAGTGTCATGACACCCCAAGCAGTAAATGTCTTTGATAAGGATCCTACTTTAAACAAAGTGTTTTCATCGAAAAGGGCTCGTCCACATGAGCCAAATGTCTTCATATATTGGACTTTGCTCTCAGAGATGACTGCAATTGCGACTCCAGGAAGATTATACATGGTCAAGTAAACAGGTACTACTTTTTCGAGAAGATCTTTCAATTCGGAAACGGTGGATGGGTGTTTGTCTGGATTTAGCAGTGCCTTGTCATTGGAATAGGTGAAAAACATTGGAAAGAGGTGAGCATTCAATGAGAGAAAAACAATGAAGGGAATAAACATTAAAAAGCACACTGCACCTCCAGCAAGCAGTGTTTTGGTAAGGAACTTTTTCATGACAAAGGTGTTAGTGTTGTTGAAAATGATTTTTTCTTTTGAAATATGATACATTCAACTAATTGCTACTCTATTTAATACCCAATGGTATTTCCTTCCCCTTTCTAATTAACGCGCGATGCGTTGATGGCAAAATCACCTCTCTGATGAGCGAATTGAAATTTTTTTTATGCGCGAAGGAAATTAGTCGGACTAAATATTGAATTAGAGAAAGATGGGTATTAATGGCTCTGTTCTTGTTGAACTCAATGAGAAGTCAAAAACTTGCAGCTGTCAGTTCAAGTTGAGAGAGGTTAAAAATTTGCTCATGGGAATAAACAGTCCTGTGATGAAGTTGTCCAGTCTCAAAAAAGCCCGTCAGTTTAAATTAGGGACTCAATTACTTACACGTTTTAAATTGACTCATTATCTTTCAACAGCACCATAAATTTGAAGAATATGATTTGGAAATGATAAAAACTCTTGTATTAGACTTATGAGCATAATTAGTAATGCCTTAATCTTTTACAATGGAAGAGAATTCGATGAGTGACTGAAAGCCACATTCAACTCTCAACCCTTACCTGTACCATTCCAGTTTGAGACTTGATCTACATTATGAAAATAAATCATGTTGATTTGTGAAGCCATTATAAGGAGCTACAGCCTCACCTTCTCATGGACATACAATTCCAAATGTTTTCTTGGTTTTAAATACAATTTGTGCTTGTTGGTGTCAATATAAAACAGTGATCGATCTGTTTCCATACGTGGAAAAGCTGTTAGATTACTATGTCTCAATTCGAAATTTCTTACAATATTTACCAATGCCAATACAATCTCGGAATAGGCAATTCTAGAGCCTGGGCATTTTCTTGCTCCCAACCCAAATGGAGTCGTACAAAAATTGTTCACAGGAGCGTACGGAAAGTTCGTTTCAAATCTCTCAGGTATGAATTCAGTGCTTCGAGGGACATGGCGTCCAGAAAGTTCAGGGTTCTCCAAAATGAAAATTGTTGTATCTTTTGGTACTTGATAGCCACCAATCACAACATCTTTAGACAACTTTCTAGCACTGACTGTGTAATTATGATTCAATCTCATGCTTTCATCGACAAAGTTTCTACAAAGTCTAATCTTTTTGAATTGATCTTGGGAAACAGACAAACCATTTTCTGAAGTGACTTCTTCGAGGGTGGGCTCTCCAAAGACTTGACACAACTCCTCAAACATTTTCTGTTGATACTCAGGTTCGTGAGCAATTCTAAAGAATAGAATGCACATCACTGATGTGATATCAACAGCCCCACTTAGGAAAGCTGAGAGAGCGACTGTGGTTATTTCATCAGAATTTTGAAACTCTTGGGCTCTCTCAGCAATAAAATCCTTGAGTCTCAATTGGTGAGAGGGATTCTTTTCAAAAGTGGTAATCATGATCGTGCCAAAGAAATAATTCTCAAATAACGCTCCTTTAACTTGGCATAATCTTTGACGTAAATGTAGTTGTAAAATGGGAACTGATATTGGAGCCAAATACTTAGATTTAGCATTTCAATCACATCTCTAGCAAACTGATCCACAGGAAAAGGTAATTCGGCAGATGGACCCGCTCGTCAAGGCATTCATCAAGTCTCGTCATGCCTACATAGCTTCTCGTCTATTTCATCCCTCCGTGCTAGCTGGCGACACTGACCAAGCTCAAAATCCAGACCATCTTTCCTCAGTGTCCTCTTCATCAAAGAGGAATTTCACAACATTTTGACTCTACAACTATCGTAAAGCCCTTCAGTGCCATGCCAGGTCCAAAAGGACTTCCTTTCATTGGTAATCTACTTGATATGACAAGAGCGTCAAAGAACATTCAGGGCTTTTTCACACAATGTGTGAAAGAACATGGCGAAGTTGTGAAGCTAACAGCTCTCAACAACAAGATGGTCATCCTATCAAACCCAGAGCTCTTCAAAGAACTGGCCAAGCTCGATGAAGGAAGAATAACCATGGAGGTCTTACGAAAAGTAAAAGTAGATACTGGTATGATGATGATCCCTGTTGAAAATTACAATCACGAAAATTGGCAAGATGTAAGGGCTGTTTTGAATGTCGCAATGCGACCAGATGTAGCTGATAAAGTTGTGCTGCCACAACTATCAGAGTTGGGAAGTGACTTTGTGAAGTCATTGATTAACAATCTAGAAACGATTGTTAATGATCAACATGGTACTGAAGAAGGATATTAGATGTTGAATAAGGTAGAAAAAGTGATTAATAGTTACACTTTATTATCTGTATGTAAGGTATTCCTAGGAGCTAAATTGACAGGACAGATTTCATTGTGAAACGTGTGCGAGTGGATTTTTTTGTTCAGGATCTTGACTTTCCTTTTAACAACGTGATTTGGTACCCCTCAAATTACCACTGATCACTCTTTCACTCTTTCTGAAATTTGAAATGGCGCTGCCCAACTCAAATATAAATGGTCGATTTCAACAAGGCAAAGGTTTACTTACTACACAGTAAATCGAAAGATTACATGGAGTCTTCTTCAAGCCACATGTAATTCTTTTCTTTTTCTTTTTCCATGAGTTGTATCATTTCAGCACTACTAATTCTTGCATTATTGTCGCCATATGCTCCACTCTTTCTGTACATTTCCAAATCGATCAAGTAACACTGAAGAACAGTGTCAATTACTGTCTGGAAAATAGTAATGAATAGGGAGCTGACCATTAAACTCAATAAAAATACAAAGACAAGCAATAAAAAGCTACGATTCACGTCCAGCCATTCCTTTCCGGCAAATACAACTTCAAAAAGGCCATATTGGCCTTGTTCGTTGTATGCAGAGGAGAGTTTTCCAACAATTTGGCTTAACTCTCCAAAAGATGCATCTTGAGAATGAATGACCATATAAGCCACACACACGCTAATTATTGCGATCACCATCTTCATGCAAAACATGATCCAATCTGTAATCCACTCCAACACAGCAATTACAGTAATATTTTTCCTCATTAATTTGGTAGCACTCAAGCTTGAATGGAAGAACGATGTACCGAATATGGCGCAGTGGATTAAGGCATTTCTTGCAAAGAACTCCATGAATTTTTCCAGCATTCGAAGCAAGGCAAAGAGAAGCTGTTGAATAAATCGTGTGAAGAAATTATTTCTCACGTAATTCACAAGTCTAAATAGTGCAAATTGATTTTGAATCTGGTCAGAGGACGAGCTTTTTTCTTGTTGATAACCCATCACAGATAGAGTGGTCTTAATAACCAGAATTAAATATTTCACCAACCCAACAAACAATGATGCGACTGCCACGCTTCCTGCGTTGTAAAACATTACGAATAAACTGGCTTGAATTACAGGTAATTTCAAGCACATAAGTGTTTTTTCAAAATTATCCAACATTGAAGATGACTCGCCTCTACGGGCTCGTGATATAGTTCCCGAAACATTTCCAAATTTAAAATAAAATTGAGATGTCACTCTAGCCACAACAATTGTGACAAAGCTCAAAAGGAATTGAGTGACCCAAAAAAATCCAAACAGTAAATATGCAAACCAACCCTTTAGCAAGTGAGATTGAAGAGTGAGAATAAAGGTTGTTGGATTGGACAGAGATTGAAGCCTCTCCGCAACAGTAGCTCCATTATTTGCGCTTATGACTGTATTGGTAACCTTTGAAGATAAGGATGACGCGTCCACAATACCAGCGCTTGTTAACTCATTGGTAAACAAGAGTGCTACAACAAAGAACCACCAGAAACAAAATATCAGTCCTATAATAAATATCACAATCGGGAATAGAGAAAACATTTGTGGTACTGTGGTGATAATCATAGCACTCTCACTAATGATGGAAACTGCTCTTGAGAGAGTTTTTATCCAGTTTGTCCAAAATAAAAACGTAAACAATAGATTGGACAATAATAGTAATACTCCACACCCTATATAGAGGCTTTTCTCCCAAGAGAGGTCCGAAAGATATGATACAAGTTGCTCTGTCTTGGAGCTGGAGGTTGAAAAGTGTAGATTGGATGATCCTTCTACCAAAAGTATGATAGATAGGGAGAACCATCCAATCATTAATAGGCCTACCGTTCCATAAATTAGAGGTTTTGCTAACACTCGAAGTAGTACTACGCAAATAAACGAGACACCAGTAGTGATAGCAACCGCTATAAGAATAATTTTCCAACTATTATAGAGAGTCATGATACTTTGTATCATAAATTTTTCTAAAAATGACGGTACTAATCCAGAAACTTGTTTGACATCAATCATGTTTTCAATGTTCGATAGAGTTGGTAAACTTTCTAGATATGGAGAGATCGTGTTACTGAAATATGATACCGGAGAAAGAGAAGAAATGTGTTGCATTAAATTGGCTACCGTCTCTTTTTGCTGTGCATATAATTGCTGAATGTCAACAGGAGATGTGTCAGTTGGAGCCTTAGACGTTTTCAGTAAAGGAATACAACGTCCCATTAACGACAAATGTTCTCGTTCTGTGGTCACTTCAAAAAACCTTGCTTCTGGTTTACCACCATCATCTGAGAACAAGTATCTTTTCGATGCACATATTTCTTTCTTTGAATATGTCACCTTTTCTGTTGTGGTATTGCCTGTTTGAACTTGTTGTGACACCTTTTCTACAATTGTTTGTCTAAGTGAAGGAGGGCATTGATCGGAAATGAGTGAAACGCTCTCTGATGATTGACTCGAAAATTCATCTTGGATTTCGGTAGGTTCATTGTTCTTATTAAATTTCGCATTGCTGACAGTTGTCACTCCGCTTGGACAGCTCTCAACACAAACACCACCAAATTTGATCCAATTTTCGTACAGTTCTGTGCTTGCATTTAATGAGTGAACATTAGTGCTTTCGAGCGCAGAGAACAGGTACTTCTCATTAACAATCCACAAATATCTTCGAGAAGATAAATCCTCTTTCCAATAATTTCTGTTCACCAATGCATCTGCTAAAAGCATTGCTCTTTGTTCAATTTCTAGTGTCTCCACCGACTGATCTTGAGAAGTATAATCAACTCCACACACCCGTCCAAGAAAATCTGTAGGGAAGTAAAGTCTTTTCATTTCTCTCCAGGATGGAGCAAAGCTGCTAAAGAAACCATTGACATTGTTTACACTATCTGTGTGTTGGTTGTTGTTCAAAATATCAAATACACTTGCTTTGTAGCTATTGGTAGAATCTCTTTTCATCTCACCGTCCGAACCGTTGATTAGTGAGTTGATATATTCTCGTCGTTTTACAACAGCTTGAAAGGCAATCATGATCATGCCCAAACAAAAGGCAATAAATAAGAGAAGAAATAGGAAATCTCTACATGGTCTATGCTGATGAAATTCATAGATGTATTGCTTTGTCAGGGTAACTCGTTCTACCGTTGCAGACTTTTTTCCTCCAATCAATGACTCTTCATCGGAGTCAGAATCAAAGTCATGTTGTTGCTGTTTGGTGTTATTCTTGTTGTTATTCTTGTTATGATTATTGTTATGATTATTTGTCTTTTTTGATGATGGTTTGCCTTGGTTATTAGATACAGAAGAAGAAGGAGGTTTAGACTCAACTAATTCAATGGTTGCTTCTTCGACATTGGGATACATGGATGTTGGTGGCTGTTGAGTATTATTGTTATTGGTGGGCGTTGATGATGGCTTTGTTGGTTTGGTCATTCTTTGATGATAGACTATTTCAACCAAACACAACGAATGATGCAGCAGAGGAGCGAAAATCGAATAATTTTTTTTAAATAGAACTGTGCCATTTTGAGAAGAGATGTCAAATACTTAAGAAGCAGTTTTGAATGTGTAAAGTGCAACATTTTGATTAAGGCCCCACAATTTTCAGTAATTTGTATTATTGAAAATGGTGATTTGTTTCTTTTACTTTTCGAGATCTCACAAGTGTCAAATGTCACTGTTTAAAGTTCCAATTTCAAGCCACACAGAACATTGAACTCTTTCAAAGGCAACAAAAACAAGACAGAGTCGAAGAATCAGAGCATCACACAAAAAACAAGAAACTCTTTTATTGCAACAACTCTAACATGCAAGAATACCCAGACACAAAATCCCTCAAACTCGTTTGTATTGGCGACGGAGGTATTGGTAAAACCATGATGTTGATTTCATTTGCGTTTGGCAAAGTGGCAGATGACAACTATGTTCCAACAGTTTTTGACAACTACAGTGCTCATGTAAAATATGGAAATGAAACTGTGATATTGAATCTATGGGACACTGCTGGACAAGAAGAGTAAGTATTGAAAATAAGTTTTTTTGGGAGACATTTATGAACATCTTTTCTTCAATAACAAAAGTTATGATCGAATTCGACCTCTCTCCTATCCAGAGACAGATATTTTCATCCTCGCATACAGTGTCGTGAATCCAGATTCGTATCACAATGTCAAAGTCAAATGGTTTACTGAAATGAAACATCATTGTCCAAACACTCCATTCCTTTTGGTAGGAACCAAAACAGACTTGAGAGATAATGTTGAATTTCTGCAAATTCTCAAATCTAGAGACTTGACACCCATCACCTACAGCCAAGGAGTAGAACTCGCTCAAGAATTACAAGCAGAAAATTATCGAGAATGCAGTGCTGCCACACGAGGTGGAATTCATGAAGTTTTCATTCGAGCCATTAAGGCCTATTATGATTATCAAGAAAAAGAGAAGAAGAACATCAAAAATCAAAGCAGTAGGAAATCCAAACAATGTCTAGTGTTATAAATGGTTCAACTTCAAATAATCTTTATGCTAAGTCACTTCCACCAACGGTGCATCAATTGGTTTTACAAAAGAGACACTGCTTCAATTTCTTTGTGTGTGTTAGGGGTATCATCTGCCCACTGCTTCAGCCTCAAATTGTTCGATTTCAATCTTGAACTCCAAGACTTTTCTGGAAAAACTGAACAATAAAAAAAAAATATGCCTTGCTTTGGACACACGACCTATCGATCCAAAACTCGTCGACGAAACCTTCCTACCTCTTTAAATCTTGAAACACACCTCCGAGAATGGATATTTAGAAAATTAATATTGAAACAATCCCAACAACAACACATTGAAGAAAAAGGGAAAAGAGAATGTCAAGTGGAACCTCCTTCCGATGATGAATTGTTCCTAATGATGGGAATAGGCTCCACCACGAATGAGCCTCAACCTCAATTTGAAAAATTCTATCTTGTTTTTAAAAGATATCTCGACATGTGGAGTTGTGATTATTTGATTCAAGATTTAACCAAGTGGCCGCATTATGGTATTACAGACTGCACTTTGAATGAATGCATGGGTGAAATGGAAGTGGACCAAATGATGACTAGCGAAAAGAGAAGAATCATGTCGTTGCAAGCGTTTTTGAGTTTGTAGACACATTGTCGTTGATTCAGAATTGTTCCAATGTATGCACAGAATGGCATCAACTTATTCTCTATGATGAGGGCGTGTCACATCAAATTTTTGCCACAAGAATAGTGAACGTTCTCAAGAGAATAACTCAACAAAGTGACAGCTCCAATTTAATAACTCTCTTTCAAAAGGAGAATATCAAAAACAATCTTTTCTTTTTTAAGGAGTTGTACGGCAATATGAGATGGATTGAAATTTATCTGCTCTCCGGAATGTTTCATTTTGAAATGTATCAAGATTATTTCATTTTTCGATTTGATTCATTACTGAGTGGCACACCAGGTGATGAAAATAATGAGTGGTTCTATGGAATATTTCAGATTAATCCGTTTCAGCAATTGAAACTTTCAAAAGAACATGTACTCTCAAGAGGACTCAGTCGACACTGCGACAAGCTCGTGTTTGTCCACAATAGTGACAAAACAGCTCGAAATACTTTACACAATTTGATTGAAACTCACCCAATTTTTACGAGTGTCTGCAAATTGGATTCATCAAAGAGAGGAATTATTTCGTTAATGGAGATTGTAATCTCACAACCATGTGTCACTCCTTTTTCGAAATATCACAATTTCAGTATTGATTTTGGTGAAGGTTTACAATTATATTCAGACTTTTTAAAAGATGTCGCCAAAGTATTTGAACCTTTCTCTCATCTCACTACAAACAAAGAGGATCATATTCCTGTTCGCATTCTTGCCAAATGTTTAACCAAAATGTTAGAAAAAGCGAGATTTTTTGCATTTGAAATTTTGACAACGAAACTTCTCATTCAATAAGGTTGCTCTTGCAAAGAAAAACCAACAATATAACACACAACAAACAGCAAAACAATCAAACATTATTCCCACCGGAGCTTCAAGAAGATTTCATTCAATTCGTCTCTCAAAGAAAGACCCCAAAGGACACACCTATTGCAAATCCTCCATTTCCAAAAGGTTATTCTGCTGTTGAATTTATTAAGGAACACATTATTGAAAAAAGTGAAGTGTGCCCTATGGTGGACATTCACAACAGAAAACTCTTTGATCAATGGGTAGATGAACAATTGATTTCATACGTCGAGCTTCTTCACTCTTCAGCTCCAAAAGTAATGCCCTCAAAATCACAAGATTTGATATTCCATTTTCACATGCTTCATCCTCATCATTTTGTTCAAGATTGTCACAGATTAACACACCACATTCTTTCCCATCACTTTAATTTCAGCGAATAACATTCATGAAAATGTTTTTTCGAGTGTTCACCGCTTCCATTCATGTTGTAGCTCTGTAAGCTTTTTACAAATCTCTGAAAAGTCAGGTCTCTCTAAATAATTGGCATTCCAACACTCTTTCATCATTTCAACATATTGTGTCGTAATCATGCATAATTTTTCAAGAGGAATGTGCTCATTGTGAGGCTTGACAAACTCTTCAATCCACTCTTGCATTTCTTGTTCATTTCGAAAAGGAATAATAGGTCTTTCTCCTTTCAATACTTTGAACAAGACATTGACACCAAACGAACCTGTTTCGTGAGAGGATGGAATAAATTTGTAAAGTTTTTGAGAAGATGCATTTAAATAAGGATTTTCTTCAAAGAATAACTCCCACATCACAATTGCAAAACTAAACACATCCACTTTGTGGTTGTATTGTGAGCTTGTTTCAATCATTTCCTGAAAAGGAAATGTAAAAAAAATTCACCAATAAACTACTACCTACGTTTGCCATGTAAAATAATGTTCCAACATTAGTGGTTGCTGCTTTCGAACAACTATTGCTTAATGTTTTGCTTAAACCAAAATCACAAATTTTTGAAGTGAAATTTCTATCAGAGGATTCTTCATAAAATCAGTCAAAAGAATTACAACACCTACCTGTCTAACAAAATATTTCCAGGTTTCAAATCTCGATGAATGATTCCTCTTGGTTGTAAGGAATGCAAATAATTCATTCCTTTTGCAATTCCAAGCAAAATATCAATTTTTCTAAATAAGTCTATTTTCTCAATTCCATGTTTCGCATTATAAATCAACTTATCCAAACTACCTCTTTCCATATATTCCACAACCATATACTTCTTACTAGATGCTAAAATGATTCCAAAAAATTGAACAATATTTGGATGTCTTATACTTCCCAATAATGAAGCTTCTCGTTCAAATTCTTCATCGCTTTCATGATTCATGTCATCTTGATCGAGTTGCCAATTCACTGCTTCACTTTTCAACGTTTTTAAAGCCACTTTACTACCATTCCAACACGCCAAATACACAGCTCCATTGCCTCCTTCTGCAATTCTCTTCAAAATCTCAATTTGATCAATGGGAATGATCCATGAACGAGTGGCAAGTGAGGAAAATGGAAGACGATCATTGTCACTAGCAGTATGAACATGTCCTTCTTGTCGACCACCATTCGTATGACTGTTAATTAAAAGTGCAGTGGTTTCATTCGACGTGCTGAAATCATCTTCACCCATCATCAAAATGACACGTTTATCGATCAATTTGGATTCCATCTTTTTTTCAGCACTCTCTTTTCTTTCCAATCGTTTCAATCGCATGAAAATATTCTTCATCACTTTAAATAAGCCATAAATGAGTGTCAAAACGACAGAAATAATCACAATCGCACAGAGAATTGCTACAGGAATCACAATTCCATATGGAATGTAAGGTTTAGCACTACAAATAAAAGATCCCTGTGGAAGAGTATGAAGAGTCATTTCTGGTGGACAATCCTCAACATGAATCAATACATCAATAAAAAGCTGATCAATGGGATCATCTTGGATCGAAATGGACATCCTTAGAGTTTTCACATGAGGTGCTGCAATGACAAGAGATTTCACACTCATGTCCAAATTCGAATTGGAATTGTTGTAGCTCAAAAAGATCGATCCATCATGACCCTCTTCATCATGGAGGTGACATTCCAGAGGCAACGGTAAAAACTTGACTTTCTCTGTTCCATTATTCCAAATCGACAATTCTATTTTTGGTAATACTTGACCTGGATATAAATATAATTCAGGTTGATCTGTAAAAAGGGAGTAAGAAGTATCAGAGCCATAAAACACTCGAAATTCATATGAAATATTATACAAGCTAGTTCCAATCGTTGAACCATAGGACATGGCATGGTTTCCAATCATGTCAACGTTTCTCCTCTCAAGAAAATGACTCAGAATTGGATTTTCAAAAAAGAGACATCCTCCTGCATAGAGCGCAGTATTATTGAAACAAGTCGAAAACATTCCAAATTCCATGTCTTGCAAAATATCTTTCACATAAAGAGCTCCACCTGAGTGAAGAGCCACATTTTGCTTGAATTGAGTGCCAGAGAGTGTTAATAAGTTGGAACTTTTCACATAGATGGCACCTCCATGATAAGCATGATTCTCAAGAAATTGGTTGCCGTCTATTTGAATTCTTTCTGCTTGCAAATGACAAGCTGTGCCATGACATTCTTGACAGGTATTATTTCGAAAAGAAGATCCATAGATATAGATCCATGATCCAGCAATGTCCTCAGCAATCGAAGAAATACAAGATCCACCAGAATTGTTGGTAAAATTCAACATTTTCAGTATCACGGATTGAACTCGAGTGGTTTTTAAAAAAGGAGCCTTCACACCACGGGCTGTCACAAATTCCATTTCTAAGGCACTACATGAAATGACCTCAATAATGACACTCTTTCCAAATGGACAATGAATCGAATCAAATATACTATTTCGAATTGCCACTCCATTTAGACCTTCAAAATGTAAATGCAAAGAACCTTCAATGGCCAAAACGTTATTGAAATATGACCCATACGAATACAATACTCGTATGGAATTGTTTCCAAAAAACTCCAAATTTTCAAAAGTTGTTTGATCATACTCATCAATCACCATTTCTGAATTTGAGAGTTGTGTGTGAAAAATTGTAAAGTGTTCAAGAGATGTATCAAAATATTGAGCATAACGCACATCCATCTTGAAAAATTGAAAATAGTTCAGAATCGAATATTGAATGGTCACATTCGTCCCTGGTGGAACTCGAATCATTGTTTCTTCCAAAATGGATTGTAAAATGTGAACATGAGAGGCACAACAAATCACACTCGATTGATTCATGGAACAATTTTCGAAAAAAACACGAATGGGTATCTCCCAAAAACACTCATTCATGACATGGGAATTCCACATGCTTACATTTCTAAAATAAAATTGATCGATGGCACCATTCACATGTGTCCTTAATAAATGAAGGTTCAAAAAGGACATTTTCATTGAATAATGACTATTTCTATGAAAGAGATGAGAATCCTCACAATCCCATAAAATTCCTTCTTCATTTTCTTCTTGGGGAGATTGAAAGATAATTTCATGAAAGGAATAATTGGTTTGTAGATTGCATTGACTCTTTCCATAAATTCCATCTCCTCCTCCTCTCAATAATAGAATTTGAAGAATGGTCGAATTTGCATTCCATTCATCATTCTGATACTCCTTTTGAATCAAAAACTCTGCTACTTGAAATGCTTGTGAAATGGAATAACATGGAAATTCTCGAAGCGTACAATTATTATTATTAACAATTGTTGTTTCAAATGAATTGGAAATGTTGTTAGTATTATTATTAACGAATTTCACATACAACATCAAACTCTTGAAATGATGCTTCATGGATTGTTTCACAAGAACACTTGTGTTGGATAATTGGGCCAATGGTGATGATGAAATCCATGATCGATGAGTTTTGTGTGAATTTCGATTATTCAAATGATAATGATTGAAAAGAAATGAATCAATGGATGGTGTGACCCTATTCAAAGAGGGCGACACGAATGGCAAGTTGGTGTGAAAAATTGTAAGATTGATTGTGAGGATGAAGAGAGTAAACACTAGCCACAACCATCCGTCATGGATGCTCCTCCGATTGGAAGACCATTGACTTTTGTCGAGTAATGAATGATGATCCAATTCATGTGAAATCATTTTTTAAAATAAGTTTTTCATATTGTTGATGCAATGACATTTTAAATTCCTTGAAATTGACATCTACCAACGATTATTCAATGAATAAATAAATGGAGGAATGAATGGAGGAATAGTCAATCTCTTGATGCTCGTTCATTTTCAAGTATTCCATTCGGAACAAGTTCATTCTCCATTTCGACAAAATGAAAAGTGAACATTCGGAACTTGCAAAAAAAAAATGATTCAACATCTCACGAGGGATTGTTTGGCTGTCATTTGTAGCTTCTTGTTGGGTTGCTACAGCTATTACGATCATTCCACTCTTGGAACTATTACCAGTAGTGATGATGAGAAGACGAGTGGAGATTCATCTTTTGAAAATAATTCTTCTTCTGCTGTTTCTTCTTTGACACATCTTAAAGATGTCATTCCAATCCTTTCACTCATGCATACTCATCCATCACTCCATGAAAATATTTATCATAATGAAATGATTTGGTCTCATCTTACCATTCCGATTCCTGATTTTCTTCAATCGAAATCTATTTTGAATTGTTTGACAGCTGAATTGGAGGATGGTGATGTGAAAATTATTTCTGATCGAGATGAAAAAATTTTTAAATTAATGCATCAATCGTTGGAGACTTTGTGTGACACATCTTTGATAAAGAAAGTAGTGTTGACCACAATATTGGATGCTAAATTACGGAATCGAGACGATGAGTTGATGGATTTCACAGGATATGTCATTCGAGCATTTCCAAATGTAGAAGAGCTCAAATTGACCACTAAATTTAATCCAGAACAAACTCTATTTAAATATCCAACAACACATAACAAGTCGAACATTCCATTCTGGAAAAATTTGAAAAAGATCAGTGTTTCAGACTATGACTCGTTAAACTTTTTTTTGAATCATCCTCAATTGGAACATTTAGAGAGTGTTTCTCTTTATGACGCAAGAAAAAAGAAGGAAACTATTCAACTTGTGACATGTAATAGCAAAATTAAGAACATTGAAATACTTTCTTTAATTTCCATTGCGGATGTGGAAAATCTTGTTTCAGTCTCGCAGAGAGTCAATGTTTTGAAAATTTCAGAACGTTCATCTACTTTTAATTTTTCGAGCTTTTTGAAAGATACTTTGACCAAGTTTGATAATTTGAGAATATTAAGCATGTCTTTTCCTTCTTTTTCTTCGTATGGTAGCAACTCTCATAGTATTGAACTATCAGTAGACTTTCCCAGTTTGGAAGAAGCATCTTTTAGGTTTCTCAATGAAAGTAATGCTTCAACATTAATATTCAAACAAGTCACAGCAAGAAAATTGAAATTTCTCACATTTAGCAATTGTTGTTTAGAAACGAACTCGGATACATCTCAAGTTAAACTCCCACGAGTGACAAATTTGCAGTTTTGTAATGTTGTTTGCAACAAGTGTGATTTTTGGACCTCTCTTCCATTTCTTTCGACATTTTTTGCATCCTATATTTCAACATATTATGGTGTTACTCCTTCTTCAAACAAGTATGAGTTTAGAAATCAAAATTATTTGAGAAACATTACAATTTCTGGAGCATGCGAATCAGTAATCATTGACAATTCATGCAGAGAATTGAAGAAAATTTCTCTCAGCCATACCAACAATGTGGATATTCAATTAGAAGATATTTCTCTTTCTTATTTGAAAATGGAACACATTTCTGGAATATTTAACGTCCAAGTGAAAGAATGTGAAAAATTAATTTTAAGAAATATGGTTGAATCGAAAGACTGTAGTTTAAACATTGATCGAGTTCAAAACCTTGAGGAATCATTTGAACAAAGCGATCGCATTGCACACCATAAGGGAATTTTAAATGTGAATCTTGTTAAAGTAGGTCTACAGGAAAACCGCACTAGTGATGAAAGGTTAAAATCCTATTTACTTTCCTTTGGAAAGGTTGACAATATTCAAATCATCACGAGCACCATGAATGGAGCGGTCACAAAAGCAATTTCGAAAATTTACTCTGTTTCGTCACGAGAATATTTATTAGACACACTTATACCAATGCTTGTACAACCAATATCATATTTGGACAGAGTCACACATGTAGAGAATATTGCTCCTACCTATGGGTTAGAGTCTTTAACGATCACACAAAACAATCAATGCAAAATCCACGCAATACCTTCCTTGAAACAGCTGCATGTGCTTTCGTCGCGAATATGGACTTCGAAAAACTACGATATTTTGGTTGATTTTGACACATTTCCAGACTTGCATTCTTTGTCCTTAGCAAAGCATGACATGTTTAGCCCTAAACAAGTTTTTGCAAATTTGAAGAGATTGAGGTTAACCGAGATAACACAAATCACGTTGAGATTGAATTTATTTCCCAATCTTAAGGAGTTGATTGTGTTTGGAAAGCCTTCGAAAATGAAGGTCGAGTTGGGCACTGACACTCTTGAATTGCCCAATTTAGTCATTTTCAACATTTATGGCATTGACACGCTCGAATTTACTTCTCTGCATTCGATGAAAGCTCCCAAGCTGAGAGAGTTGGTCATCCAGAACATCAATGATTTGAATCTCGGCTGTAATGCACTCTCACCTCAATATCAAGAGGAAAATTGGCCTGTCTTGTTGCACTGCACCATTCAAGAGAATAAGGAAATTGCTACCATCAAGGACGAGAAAAACAAAAAGCAACAACACAACAAGTGTACTATTGCTTAATATATATAGTACGAAGAGTTTCAAATTTATTGTTGTTGTGTTTGAAATAAATTAATTGTGTATTATAACATACATGGAGTGTGGATGGAGGTTTTTACACTTGCTGTTGGGCAAAGATGAAAGTGAGGAATGAAGTTTGATTAAATGTTTGAAAGTCTCTACGAGTATACTATACACACATTACATCATGTTCAATTGCTTCATGTGGTCAATAAGGATAGTATTTTTCACATCATCGAGAACTCTCTTCATGTTATTTGTATCAGTGGCACAGGTGACGTGGCTATACACTTGTCTTCCGTTTTTGGAAGTGGCGCTCTTGGCAGCACCAGATCGACTCATAAATTGATTAATGATGAATTGTCTTGCTTTCTCGGCATCTCGGCCTCCTGTATATTCTTTGAAGATGTTGCAAATGTTCAAATCTTTCACTTTGATTTTTTCCTCAAACAAGTCATTCTTGTTGAAAAATATAATAATTGGAGTTGTTTTGAAATAACGAGAGGCACAAATTTCGGAGAATAAGGTCAAGGATTCTTCCATTCTGTTCATTTCCTTGTCCTCAAATAATTGTTGATCATATTCGCTGAGAGCAGTAACGAAAACGATACAGGTCACTTCATCGAAGCTGTATGATTTCATGAAATTGTCACAATCATTCGTAAGCATAAATCAAGTCCAACATTAAGTACTTACACGTGAATCCACTTTCTTCTTTCGTTACGTTGGCCACCAACGTCAATCATCTTGAATTTGTATCCATCGATTGTGAAATCAGCCTCCACAATACCGACTGTTTTAACTCTGGAGCGAAGGACGTCTTGCTGTGTTGGTTGATAGTTTGGGCTTGTCAATCGTTCGATATCGTTCAAGTAGCTGTTGAAAATTAAAAGTTGTCACATGGAAAGGTAACACATATTAGTAATTAATTCAATAATTTGGAAATACTTACTATGCTGCTGAGTCATTCAATTGGAACTCACTTCGTCTGTTATAAACCTGTTGAATACCAGCATCTGACCACAGCATTTTAATGTCTTTTCCAACTTCAGGTGAGATTATACTTCCTGCATTAAGAATAATTTGTTGTTCTGGAATTCGTGTGAACTTTTCTGCACGGTCAATATTTGAAGAATTGGCGAATTGAACAGGTGGGTTCAGAGATGACATGGCTTCGATCAATACTCTTATTGATTGCAATGTGTTGCCATAAATAACATCTTTGAATCTGAGACATTCTTCAGGAGTGTAGCCTTTGTGGTGAATAATTTTCATTTGCTTGAAGATGGTTGACTTCCCTGACTCACCTATTGTGTGTGAAATGAGAGAAGAGAACATGAATAAGAAGAATGTTTTGAGGTGTCAACATTTGAGTTCAAAGAAAGGGTCATTGGTCGTGTACAACAACACAGTGAGTAACGGCAAAGCGTGTTCGTGTCGCCAATAATCAGCAGCGATGATGAAGTGTGAGAAATATATTGTCGTTCGAGAGTCGAAAATGTTCAATCATCCGTCATATCGATATAATTGCGATCATCAACACCATGTTGTAGGATCATCATCAAGAACCCAGCAAATTTGAAGGAATGGAAAAGAATCATTACCGCAGTAGTACACACAAATGAATCCACCATCACGAAAGGCCAAAAATATTGGTTTTCAATGTTGTTGATATCATCATCAACAACATCAGTATGGAAATTTGAATCCAAATTCAAAAGTATAGTCCCTTCACTTACCTGCTCCTAACAACAACAATTTAATTTCTGATTTTTGCTTCTCATGATCTTTAGCCAACTGTTTGTTAATGTGTTGGTTGGTTGATTGTTCTGGTGTTGCTTCTTTAAAACACATGCTCATATTATATCGAGGTTGTTATATTATTGTTAATAATTGATAGTAATGATGATGATGAGCCCGTTAGTGATGATGGATGAACGAGTTCCTCTAAATGATGATGATACTAGTACTGATCGTACACGGAGAATATTAAACAAAAACTCAAAGCCTAGTGATGATGAGCTCGCTCAGTCCAATGATGATGATAATGGTGGTGGTAATGGGGTGAAATAATGATGATAAAGAGGCTATTCTCTCTCTCTGAGGAAAATAAAGGCAAAACGGGAGGGTGCAACCGACTTGTGTTTTTTTGAGAAGGATGATGATGCTTGTCCGATGTCGCTTGCCAATTTTCAAAAGCTGTTCCAACTGTGTCACCATTGTCGGGAGTTTGTCGCCTCAGGTCGAGGATGTGAGAACACTGAATAGTCATTCAAAAGGAAATTAGGAAACTCGTGAAGGATGCATTAAACAATTTCCTAAATGTCCGCACCATGAATCTCTTGAATATTGGGATGCAAAGAACGTATGGCAAGTGATTTGGTGTTAATTAAAATGTCAAGAAACAATTATTGTCGTTGGAATCATGTTACATGAATTCCATACATGAAATATGACCAGGGCTCTGTCTCTCCAGAAAATCATCACATTCTTTGAGTGGTGCCACTCCTTTCACATCAATCAAGTGACACTCATAAAAATCAAACCTTTTAAAAAAAAATATGAGCAGTCAAGACAAGCTTCAAATCTACTCCAACGAATTGGAGAGTGTTGAAGGAAGAATTGAAGAGAGCATCACAACGCTCCGTAGACTCAACATCACAAGTCAATCCGATCCTAATTTTATTCAAATACAAATCGAAACTCAATCACAAAGTATTGAAGAGCAATTAGAAAAGGCTAAAAAAATCTACAACAAGATTAATAATTTAACCAAGAATGATCCGACCATTGAGAATGCTGTGAATGAAACAAAAAAGAAACACAAGGAAATTTTATCGAAATTGAGATCTCAGTTTAAACAAGCAAAAAGTTTTATTGAAACCAAAGCCAAAGGTCTCACTGAGAATCTACCAAATAATAACAACAACAACAACAAATCCAACCACAATTCATTGGATACATCTTCCTCTTTTGTATCATCTTCGTCGTCAAATACTCAAACATCATTCAAAGAGTCGACGAAAGAGGGAGTAAAAGGATTTTTCGGTTTTGGTGGAAATAAGAATAACAACAACTCGGAAACAAAACAATTGTTGGACAATGATGAAGAAGACGTGGTTGAAGTGAAGGTCAATGAAACTGATATTTACAAAGGAAATGCAAATCTCACAAAAGAGCAACGTCAAAAGCACGATGAAATTGAGAGAGAGCTTTTTGCAGAGGTATTTACCACACAGAAGGATTGTCTCGATATTATCGATCGATTAAACAAGAAGGCCGAAGAGACGATTGCAATTGCAACAGACAGTGCAGAATTATTGAAACAACAACGTGAACAGTTGCACAGAATTGATGAGGAAATGGATGCGTTAGGAGGTAATGTTAAACGAGCACAACGAGAAGTGACATCTTTCATGAGAAGAATTCAAACAGATAAGTGTTGTGCTGTCATGTGTCTATTGGTGGCATTGGCAATTTTGGGAGGATGTATATTTGCCATTGTCATGAAGTTTGTTCCAATTAACATTCGAGGTGGAGGCGGAAACAATAATAACAACAACAATCAACCTAATTCAACCTCCATGTTGCAAAAGAAACAATTGTGAACGCGATCGTATAGTTATGAATTCTAAGAAAATGATGAGCGTATTTGTGTGTGACCAATTCTCTCAAAGATGGTGATGGCCAGTCACCATTGTTTTTACATATTCAACCCTTTGCAAGTAAATTTATTTTTGAACAGTTAAGAAATTTTCAGGTTCGAGTAAATATCAAAGATCATTTTCATCATCTTTCTCTCAAATTCTTCTAAATTCCTTAACAGAGCAAACGTAAATTTAGCCATTTTCTAAGTGTGGAATTTGTTGAAAAGGGCAATAAACAAGCAACACTTAAAACATGTTAACATTGTCATCTTCAAAGAAAAACCTAACTGATTTTCCTAGATCAAACACTTCTTCCTATCTATTGCAAATTACCCAACAACTCAAAACCACACATAATGATTCCAGAAGACGCTCTTTCGAGATCCAAAGCATTCTTTTATGCCTTTCTGAGTGGATCCATCCTCACTTGTCTTGCCTGGTTGTGTCTTCTCATCTTTGGAATTATCACCATCACTAACACCACAAAATCTGCCATCATTTACAACAATGGAGCTGCCATGATTGTTTTTGCATGTGGAACGTTCCTTGTCTGGTTGAGTATGATGGGAGGTATGGCAGCAAGTGCCTACATGATGCGACGATACAGTGAACGTTCAGTCGTCTCTCGAACCACCAAACCAGTGGTCTATGGTGGCGTTCAGGAACAACACATTGCAACCACACTTCCTTAATGGTAACCATTTCGTTTTTATTAATTGAATATTGATACTTTATATTGACTTTCTCGTATTGTTCTTTTGATCATTTCATTAAAATTTAATGATTCATTCAAACTTTGTAATTTTTTCTTCGTTGTGTGTCTTGTGTGCATCACTCATGCCCTTATTTGTCGCAAGCCACCATTTTATAAATTTTTAAATCAAAAAAAATTTTTGTGTGAAATTTAAAAGAGAAGAGGTTTGTAGCAGAAAAGTGTGCTTGCTCTCGTCGTCATCTCATCGTCATCCATCCTCTCACTTTCGTGTATGGATTCCACTTGTTCGAATTTCTGATATACATCCTATTGTTAATGATGATTATAATTGATGATGATGATCATTTGAATATATATTCTTTTGGAACACATGATTGTTTCTGAAATCACCTCACCTGGGTCTTTCATCATTACCCAAAATTTCAATAATACATCGACGATTATACAACAACAACAACAACAACCATGAACATAACCATTTATTACTATTCCATATGGCTCAACAAAATACCATATCCGAAACACACAACAGTTTTTATTACAAAACCTTCAAATGTCCCAACAGAAGACAAATATGAAGGGATGGACTTGTGCCATTCTGCTCCTTCTTGCTTTTACCACATTGATCTCGTATTCCTTTGCGGAAACACTTCAATCAGGAGTTATTTGTATTAGTAATGATGCTTCTTGGTGGCACGCCACTCTTCGTACGGGTAAACCAGATCTACAAGTTGAACTCTTTTTGAAACTTCAAGGCTACAGTGATGTTTCTCACAACTTTGTTGGTGGTATTCAATTTAAAGTCATGGAAAAGTCGGGACCTGCTTTTGGAAGACAATCGGCTATTGCTGGTGTGGAATTACACGGAGGATATTCTGTTGATGAAGAGGCTGGTAACATGACCATCTCATCTCTTGCTTGTACTGTTTTGGTGAACAGTAATTACGGAATGGATAATGCTGCTATTTGTAACAAGTTCAGCAATTTGTTTGCTTCTCACAATTTGTTATTTACTGCAATTGGAGATTGTGATGGAGTTTCTCTCAACGGGTTTAGTTCTTCTTTTTATAAGAAGGCTGTTTCATTTATGGCATCTTCCGATCCAGCAACAATTTGTGATTTCCGTGGAGCCAGTGCTGGTAAGGTTGACAATTGGTGGTACACAAGCAACAAGAGAGTCTATGATTCAAAGAATTCAGTGAGAGAAGACGTTTTCTTTAAAGTTGATAGTGATAATAAGAAGTTTACCATGTCACAAGTTGCATATTTGAAGGAAAGTGGTGTTGTTGACTGCAACGTGAACAAACTTATTGCAACATTCAAAGGAAACTTCTATTTCAATAACCAACTTTCTGTCATTGTTGCCAATCACACCGAATGTCAAATGATTCAAGGTTCTGATTATCCTGGATGCAATTTGTGTACTAATGGTCACAATTTCTTCTTGAACGGTCCAGTTCATTGGCTCTCAAATTCTACCTGTACAAATTGGATCTATGAAAGCGGAGCTCCAGATAGTGGAGTTGATGTTTTGGACTTTTCTTTCACTGTCACCACTCTGCAACCACCTACTTCTGAATCTGAGGTTACCATGCTCATTATTGCTATTGCAATCATTGTTTGTATTCTCGTCTTTTTGATTCCTTTCATAATCATTGTTTGGAGAGATTGCAGAAGATACAGAGAAGAAAAACTCAGAGGTGGTGCCCAACAACTCTAAATTGCTTTTACGAGAAGAACTTTTGTATCTGTTTTTTGAGAATTTAAAATGACGATATCTAGATTGTTTTAGATGGCGCAATTCACAATAAATACTAAGAGTTTAATCATAATTAATACATCCATAAATGTGATCATTTAAATTTGATGAAACCCGCCAAATTTTTTTACAAACAATTCATTTAAAAAAAAAGAACGAGTTTCCAAAGGCTCCAAGAGCGGTCCTTAACGGTGATTTATTTTGTGACCTGCAGGTTCAGCCTTTGTGTTTTAAAAATTAAATTGTTATTTGATTAATTAATCAACAACAAGATGAGTAATCAAAAGGAGAGCTCAAACAGCTCACCTTCGGGATCGGGTTCGCACAAGCTTCAATTTGACGACCTGATTCAAATGCTCAAAAAGAGTTTCATTGATGAAACAAAAGAGCTGCGTGATGAAGTGATGGAATGGAAAGTGAAGTGTAAAGAGCTGGAAAAGCAAAACAGCATTCTGGACTACCGAGTTAAGGGATCAAATAACAAAATCGTGGAATTGGAAAAGAAAATTGAAGAACTGGAAGAGCAGAAAAACTCGTCTCTCAGAAAGTACTACGACTTGAAGAAAGAGTATGAGGATCTCACACAATTTAAAGCATCCATAACGAATATGGTGAGTCCAACAAAAGAAAAGCCAAAAGCACCAATTGTAACTGGTTCATCCTCTTATGCTTCGTCGATATCAAGCATTGCAACAAATCTGTCCAACAAATTCTCCTCTCCAGAAATAAGGAAAACCTCAACAGCCATGATCGGATCGACAGAGTTTTCAAGTTTAAGCAGCGACAGTATTTTAGAAACCCCACATCAACAAAAAGAGTATGTTCCTGTCTTAACAACATCTCAACAGAGAAGTAGATATGGATCGGATTCTCCAATTGTCATCCATTCAAATTCTTATCAGCGAGATCAACCTTACCGAAGTAGAAGCGCGACGCTGTCCACTCAAAGAAAGAGGTCTTCCATCCTAAAAGATTCGTCATCATTGTCGAAAGAAAAGAATGTGAAATTCTCCCCCAATACTAAGGGAAGTGATGACAGCAATCAAAATAATTCTTCGTTTGTGGCACCACCAACTCCTCACTCGTCGTTTGGAGTGCAGTACTCAAAAAGAGGACACTCAATGAAATCTTCTGAATCCACAGATGTTTCAAGAAGTAACAATGAACGCATCATCTCTACTCCTTCTCGAAGAGTATATTCCGAAAAAGCTGAAACAAATTTGGACACTTCGTCAAGACGACAAACTTCTATTGATCTGGACAACCTCAATGACGAAACTGCTGACGGTGGCGCTCAAGAATTATATTTGAAAGTCAAAAAAGCGCTCACACCAGAAGAATTTAAAGCATTCAGCACAAACATTAGAAAGTTAAACATGGGAGAACAATCCATTACCACAACACTAGTGAATCTAAGAGAGGTGATTGGAGAGGATCGACAGAATTTATACTCACAACTAAAGCGAGCCATCTCCTCAGGAGAAATGTAATATTACCGCATTCAAGACTCATAAACCTAGGAATCGTGACAACTTTTCTTGCTCTAACAACTTTTTGTTCCGCGTGGTCAGAATTCTCACATCAAAAAATGTCCAATTTGCTAACGATTCCTTGTCAATATATTTTTCAAGGAAAAGCAGCAGACATGAAATTAAGCTTTAAATCAGACCAAGAGCGAAAAAGAATTATGGAAATTTATTTACCTCGATTTGGAGTCATTGCAATTGAATTATCGGAAGTGATCAACCGTAAATTTACAAAAATCAACGACGAAGGAATTTTAGAGTTGCGAGTACAAATGAATTTGATCAGTGAGAATGAGTCCTCTGAATCCACAACTTCTTCATCATCAAATAATTAAAAGGATTACCACCTATCTGTACCATATAATGCAAGACAAAACGAAAGGGCACGTCGAAAAGAATGCACTCGAAAGAATTTCCAAGATTGTGAACAATCCACTCTTTGCAACCAACAAGGTTGAATTTGATTTAATAGTTACAGCGAGTGGAAATTGGGAAACCTATTCCAAAAAGTTTCTTGACATCATTGGGTCATATTCAAGAGTGGAAAACAAACCAGTATTGTACAGCATTGGGAGAGAATTCTTTTTTGACAAAAGAGATGCCACTGCAAGTTTGAACGGTTATTTGTATCAAGTGGATTTGACTGTAAACTATTGGCTTGACACATTACGTGATGAGAATAGTGACAAGTGCGTGATGCTCGAGTTTGGAGAGGACATTGCTGTTTTGCCGATTCAGTCTGTTTTGGATATTGAACGCTTTTCTGGAAAAAGTGAGCCACAACGTAATTCCATCACTGATGATTCTCTATCAACACCTCTCTTGATATTTGAACAAGCAAAATTGTACAAGAAACCAATACCTTTTAACTCTGACTGTATTTGTGACATTTTATTCAATTATTACACAACTATCTCTAGCCACTCAAGCAAACATTATCTATCGATTTACCACTAATTTTAAGAGTTTTTGCGAACAAGATTGGAATGCCGCGGTATCATTCCTTTCTCGAGTTGAATTTATAGAGAAGATGACCTGTGAAAAAGTTGCACAGTCAATAGAGGAAAAGCTTTCCAAATATTATGCTTGCAGAAATTTTAAAACCCTCAGCAATTGTTTGTATGGGTTTGTGAAATCTCAATTACTAGAACAAGGTATTTCATCAAATGGTAAATTCTCGAAATCCATGATGTTAGATCAAACCAAGTTGAAAGAAGTGATCAGTTCCATTATAATGGATTTTCTTCTCCATAGCAAGACTATCATCCCTCCGGGTTGCAGGATGGATTTGTTCGTCAACTCCTGTCTGTTGGTGGAACAGTGAACTTGAAGCTTCAATTTCAAGATTTTTCTTTGCCAGCGTTAAGCCAGCTCTCTACAGAAACTTTTTTTTTTGCAGGGACATAAATCGTGTCCTCGAAGCCCGAGAGTGCACTTTCGCTGGCTGTCTTGCTATGTAAAATTGAGGTAAAGAAGCTGTCAGGCGCCAAAAGAAAATGTCAGTTAAAAAATTAAAAATTTTTATCAGAACAACAAATTGGCCTCTTCACATACAGCACCTCCGATCACGAACAGGGACACTACAACATAAGAACCCCAGTAACGTACAGGTGGGAGTGACAGGTAACGAGATCTCTCAAAGCCAGGAGAAAAAAATTGGCTGGACGGGAAATTTAATTTTTTTTTTCTCGATACCACCTCTGTATACGTTTATGTTGTAGTGAAAGATTTTATCATCAAACCGTTGATGGCACTCAAACAAAACCTCACCTTATTATACCTTATTATGCAATAATTATAACTATTACAAAATTAAAATAATATTTAATAATGATTACAAAAAACGTCTACTTGGATTGGCTGTTAGTTGCATTCTTGTTCTTTTTCAATGTAGTAATCTTGAATGTAGTCAGAGCTTCCTTTCTTAATTGTTTTTGGAATTGAACCGATTGCACAAATCGAGCATGAGTGTCGAGCATGAGAATACAAATTTCGTTTTCGACGCCATCGAAAATACCGTCAGCCAAATGTTCATTTTGACCAGTGGCAAAGAAATCTAAATGTTCCTTCACACGATCGATCATTTGCTTATTAAGATTGACAGAGTGTTCTCCATTAACTTCCAAAAAGTCACTATAAATCTCAAATGCAATTTCATACTTCTTCTTTTCAATATTAATAAGATCTTTTTCAGTGAATCCCTTCTTCTTCTTTTTAGGTTGTTCCACACTAAGTCCTCCTTCTGAGGTTGCATCTGAGGTTGTTTGATCATTGTCATAGAGATAGACTTGAATCTCAAAACTTCGTTCACACAACTTTTTGTAATCGGTAATCTTATCCAAAAGTAAAAAGTTTTCCAAGCTCAACTCTTGCTTGCAGTGTGCCTTGAACAATTCTCT